ACAAAAAAAAAAAAAAAAAAAAGAAAAAAAAAAAAAAAAAAGAAAAAAAAAAAAAAAAAAAAAAAAAAAAAAAAAAAAAAAAAAAAAAAAAAAAAACAATGGACTGCAAAGGTAAAAGTACTCCGGGATAATCACGAGTGGAACGTGGTGTTCATGCGTTGATGTTGGCTGAAACCGTGGACCCTGGACCGATTTATACCTAGTACCACCTGGCAGTCACCACCTGGGTACCTGGGTGAGCCACATACAACTTGAACCTTAAGACTGAGAGACCTTGGAGTCTGCCTAGCCCTGGAGGCAGTGCTGAGTCTGTAACCACTTGGGTAGACCTGTGGACATCGTGAGGCCAATCACCACCTGTCCAGGTGCTATCTACAACCTAGGGATGCTTTACTGTTTTTAGGTCATATATTAAACTACACTGGATTTCCATGGATCCTAGATTTCACAATCGAAGTTTGCATATATTTGGATTCAACCTTGGAAGACAGAGCTTTCAAGGTTATGTCTGTTCAGCCGTACTCTGTACTGAATGCTGGGATTGAGGGATCAGTAGAAGGTTAAGTGGGTGACCACAATCGTTGGAACACATACTGTTATGTTTTTTGGCCATGTGTCTTTCTATTTCCTTACTGTGGACCTAGGTATGGAATTGCAACTCGAAAGTAGTATGGATGCAACATTGGCTGATTCAATGTATTCTCAAGCCATTACGTAGAGAGACTACGTACAGCGCTGCGTTAGACCAGGAGACCCCAAGCCCGCTATCGCGAAACTGTGTCATTGTGCAGACAATTATTGAGCTGTGTCATGATGCATACAATTACTTGACACGTAATGGGAGGGCTACCCTGGGATCCTTCAAGCAGCCGCCTTCAACAGGAAACCTTGGAACTGTCGGTGGGAGTTAGAAGCGGAAGTACGACACGACACCATACATATACCCATAAGCAGGAAATGTTCTCTTCATGTTATATGTCAGAAGCTCCTGGCCTCGTATGGTTACACAAACATGCCAAGGGTAAGTTCTCAGCATTTCAGTCTTCCCGGACAGCAATCGCAAGGGCCTGCAATAGGCACCTTAAGTGTTCCAAGGTTAACTGGCAATAGATTTACCTAGGTAGGTATTCTACCCAGATGGTGAGAACTACTGGGTAACTCCTGAGTCGGACTGAAAGCAAAAATGTGATATAATCTATGCTCTAAGGGTAATGCTCCAGAACTCTTCTGAGTTCCATAAATTACTGTATAGTAGAATGTCATACATTAACACGATTATGTATCCATGCTTGTATTTATCCATGTTTAAGGGAAAAAATATCTGCACGGCAGCTTTCCTGCACGGGAATCGAAGTGCATGAAATAGGTACATTACCCCCCACTGGTGAACTGGCAATGATTGAATCTACCCAAAGGCCGCAACCCCACGTCCACAGGTGGCGTTCCAGATTGAAGCTGAAGTTTGATAAACATAAATGCTCCTTGGTTGATATTATTTGGTCTATTATAAATCGAAATGTGTATATTGGCTTGCATGGTTACATATGTATGCTAAGGGCAAAATCTCAGCTTCCTGCATAACAACCCCAGGTGACAAGGGTATAGAATAGGTATTTTATTTATCAACCAGCGATAACTCAATTCCACCTCGTCTAGTAAGCAAGTAGAAATATCTAGCCCCAGCTTTTATAAGAACCTATCACACTGTGTTTAACCTTTAGACATAATTCTTTTCATGTTTTGTGAGTTGGAGTAACTTACAACATGGTTACACATGCATGCGGATGGAAATACCTGAGCACAGCAGTCTTTCTGCAAAGCAATCGCAGATGCATGGGATATGTGCATTGTCTGGAGCTGGAAATGACTCAATGATACCCAAAGCCTGCAAGCCCAAGTGGCGAGAACCTGTTGCAGCTTGAAGCTGAAGTGTGACACACTGCGCGTCGGGGCACAATGTCGGTGATTCCCCCACGTTGTGCTCGATCGCGCACAGAGCTGGGAAATCGAGGACTTGAAGACCCTTCGATTTTAGCAGTCACTCGAGCGGAGGAGCAAACATATAAATACGGACTCGATTCCTTACTCAATTCTTCATAATTCAAAGTTATTTCGCAATACCTACTACGACAACTAAACCACAACAATCCCATATCATACAACATGGCATCCCCTTGGAAGAATGACCGCATCCAAAACCATGAGGACAAGGTGTTGCTGGAGCGCATCAATGAGTACTTCTTGGCTTTCGCTGTTGCCGATGCCGACAAAATGAACAGCATGGTGGCTGATGATTATCGCATGACCGACATCCGTAAGAGCCAAACCCCGATTTCTCACCTCACAACTACCATTCTAACACGACCCTTCATATAGCCCTCGGTATCGTTAGAGCATCCAAAGGAGATTGGTACGGACAGAATAAGGGATTCAGCGGTCTCATGACGGACATCTCAGTCGAGGCCATTTCGCTCCACGGCAGTTCTGAGCCCGGCAAGTTTGCAGTGCTGGAGAACGTCGTCCGATTCACGTTGAAGGTTGACCCTCCCGAGGTAGCCAAGCCCAACCTTCCCCCTGGAATCAAGAAGGGCGATTCCTCTGGTATGATTATGTGCTCTACGATCTGGTGGAACAAGGAAGGAAAGATTGCCCGCGAACTTGAGTATGGAAAGTTGTTGTGGGATGGCTTTGATATCAACAAATTCAACCAGTTCTAGGAAGATAAGCATGTGAACTTCTTGATGAATTTTGAGAAGTCATTTGAATACAGATAGGCCATAGGTAGGGGGAAATATGGTTATGTGAAACGCTAGCCCAGTCATTACATTAGTCGCAGGGCCGTGGGAACGGCATCAACAATTATTATATCTGGTCGAATCGGATACACCACCCATCTAGTCTCCAAGTAAGACAAACCAGGTGGGTTGTTCATATAGGGGGCGACAGCAGCCTAAGGGATTCAAGACAGGTTTGGATTTAAAAGGCTACGTATTTGTCGACTGCGTACACTGGGAAATCGGTAGATGATACACAGCAATAATTCCTCATGTCTGCCCAACTTTGGAAGTGGGCAGAGATCGTAGAAACGAGTAGAATGGCTGAGTGAGGACCACCAGAGTCTGTCGAGCTTCAATGCTCAGCCCTTGGGAAAGAGACGAATCTTGTTATCACAACTCCACATAATAAATGAGCTTGGGCAAGCCTCTGACATAAAAGACGATGTGCCTAGTTGAAGCTCATTATTACTTTATGCTAGCGCGAAGCAGATTAGGCTCGATCTTTCAAGATCAGATCAACCTTTGTGAGCTCCTTGAAGCCAGGAACTACAGCTATGGATCATGAAGCACCGAGTATGTTTAGAGAAGTTTCATTCAAGTATCAAATAATTCCCATATATAACCGAACAACACAAGTGTAATGGCGAAATGATCATCAGAAGGAAGGCAACGGAAATCTCTACACGGTTTTGCGCATTAAGAACAGGTCTGTGAGTTTACATCCGAAAATTTTTCGTCACTTGATCATTTAGCCATTACACTGCGAGCCCATGGCATATTGTAGTCGAAGTTGATCTAGACTGAGAGCGATGTTAGCACAAGCTCGGTACAAAACACAAGTGAATATGAATTGTGATGAAGAGTTCTCAGCAAGATATACTGGCAAGTAGCAGACCAACCGGGAAGGAAGGTCCGTATTATCTCCGCATTGTCGATTTGGAGGGTAAAGAAGTAAAGGTTTTTGTCATCCTTGAACGGATAGGGAGGGCACGAGAAATGGGTGAGAAAAGTCTTCGACTTACGGAAACTGGTGATAACAACTCTTGAAGCTGTCAATGTAAGTTGTAAAGCTCGCAGGCCACCGGGTTACTGAAAGAGTCTTGAAATCTTTGCATCATGCCATGTCGCATCAGGTGCTGTCAACATCATGAGAGCACCTAAAGCGGCCACGGCAAGAACAACAGATCCGAACAGTCCCAGAACACATCAACGATGGCCCAGCAGAGTGATGCAGCAGACATTGCAGTCTGGCACCAGGTGGAAAGTGACCAGAATTGAGATTGAAGAGATGAGTGATGAAAGAAGAAAAGAAAAGCGTAGGGACGAAAAAGTCGTGAAGAAAAAGACGCCGCGCTAAGAGATTTTTCACGTGACCCCAGCCCGATCCGGGCTAGCGCGTGGATGGGAATCAGGACAGCAGAGAGCGAAAGAGAAGAGAAAAAAAAGCCTCAGCTGGCTCTTTGACAAAGTGAAAAAGCATACAGGTCATCTTCAAAGACTCTATACAATTCCCACCATGCTATAGTTCTTCTCTACTCTCTATCCCACGCCGTTGTCGTCTCGGTTAGATCCAACGGAACCCGGATCCTCCGTCCCCAGTTCTCTCTTTCCCACCGGGCGATCATCCTTAATTCCTATCTTATGGGCGCCAACACTCCCCTAGCCCCTAATATCTGCGATCGTTGAGCATTTCTGTACGTGAGAGGATCGACAACTTCGGCAAAGCCCAGCCCCTCCACACCCCTAACCACCTGCTTCCCCCCGTTTTGGGCCTTCCTTATCACTCCCCACTGACACCGCCTGTCCTGAACAGAGACAAACCCCGTCCATCGCTGACGTGGAGGTATCGAGATTTCAGCATCTCGCGTTTGCTGAATCACAGTACTCGCTCCCCACGTCTGGGCAGTCGTCTGTCGCGTCCACGTCCCTTTGATCCCGTCTCCTGTCGCCATCGCGAGCGATCGTTTTGAAGTCCCCCTTTTGCGGTGACTTTGTCGCTCAGCAATGATGATGACACAGCCGTTTCCTGCCCACCAAGGCATGCCCCAGCATGGGTTTCCTCCCGGCCATCCAATGGCCGCGCAACATCCAAATGGACACCCAGGCCCTGGGATGGCACAACAAATGCATCCCGGTGTATCCGCGCCTGGCGGGCCCCAGGTCAGCCAAGCAGGCCCGATGATGGGTGGGATGCCCCCGGGCGCTGGAACTGCTGGCCCTGGTATGCCAAATGCCCATGCTCTCTCCCACCTGAATCCCGCGCAGGCGCATATGCTTCAGGGTCCGCAATTCCAACAGAATTGTTAGTATTCCGTCTTCCTAGTGTTTGATTTGTTGGTCGCCCGTGCGGCTATGGATGGAATAAGAGCTCGGCGGCCTTCCCCGGCGAATTATCCATCCCCGCTACATCCCGCACCTTCAAACCACTGCGATACATCGCGTGCTAACGTTTCCACGATGTATAGTCGCGAACAATCCTCAATTCCTACAGCAACAGCAACATCAGCAGTTAATGCGACAACGAATGATGATCCAACACCAACACCAGCAGCAGCAACACCAGCAACAACAGCAGCAGCAGCAGCAACATGGCGTTCCTGTATCGATGCCCAATGGCACACAAGGACTCAATGCTGCTCAAATGGCTGCAATGCAAGGAAACCCCGGAATGCGACCCGTCAACATGGTGCATCTTCAGCAGCAAATGCCTCACGGCCAACCGCAAAATTTCCAACATCCACAGCAATTCCTCGCGATGCAGCAGCAGCAACAACAACAGCAGGCGCAACAAGCTCAGGCCCAGGCCGCCCAAGCAGGAAATGGACAGCCGGGCCAACATACTCCTCAGCGTGCTTCGGCGCAGCCTCCGAATATACACGAACAAAGTGCCACCCCGCAGTCACAGCATGGTGGTCCGCCTCCCGGAAGTGGCACGCCTCAACCCTCCCAACCATCTCAGCCACCGTCCTCGCAGCCCCCGACCTCGCAAGGGCCTCCACAGGGACAGGCCACTCCAAACCCCCCTCCCCAGCAATTGCCTCAGTCCCAACAACCAGGACAATTAGGTCAACCTGGCCCACAGCAGCAACCGCCTCAAAATGCCCCGGGCCAACCGGGTCAGCAGCCGGGACCTCCGAACCAGCATTTGACACCTCAAGAAATCCAGATGAAAACACAACAACACCAGCACATGCTGATGCAGCAAAGGATGAAACCACAGAACCAGGCACTCATGGTTTTGGATGCTTATTCTGAACAATTATGTAACTTCGTATCCCGCAGCGAGGCGCAGGACCTTTTATACTGGCAGTCGTTTGTCGACCGCTTCTACTCCCCCGTGGGTGTATTGCGCCAGGGTGTCTGGTGCACCGCAGCAGGGTCTAAGCAATTTGAGATCGCGACGCCCGCATTGGCGCGTTATTATTTGACGCAGTTTTCAAGCGGCATCACATCTATCCAGATGGTGGTGGAAGGCGCTCGCGAGCGTGAATCCCACAATGGAGGCCATTATGTTGAGGCTCCCAAATGTTCGTTCATCTACTGGTTCAAGAATGAGTGTCAGCTTTTCACCAATGGTTCTCTGCGCGCGCACTTCGATTTGAACAACAAGCTCGAGATGCTGGATATCAGTGTGGTCAACCACACGGAATACATCCCACGGTCTCTCCTGCTGACCATGGAGGCAGACTCACAGAAGCAAAGTCCCAAGGTCCCAAAGAACCCAAAGCGCGCCCAGCAAAAGCCTACGCCCTCCGCATCACTGCCAGAATCTATCATCAACCCCTACGGTGTGCCCACTGAAGTGATGTCGTTCCTAGAGGTGGCCGAGACAATTTCTCAGATGCAAATGTTGTTCCAGTTCTCACAGTCAAATCCCCAACTCTCACCTCCAGATGCTTTAAGGAATCTTGTCAGCTCTTTCTCAACACAAAATCCCAATCCAGGTTTTGTCCCAGGCCCTATGAACCCCGGGATGAATCCAGGCATGAATCCGGGAATGAACCCAGGCATGAATCCGGGTATGAACCCCGGGATGAACCAAGGAATGACCCCGGGCATGAACCCGGGCATGAACCCTATGCACCCTGGGATGAGCCCCGGTATGAACCCAGCAATGAACCCAGGCATGCAGCCTATGCAAAACGTGCGGGGTCCTAGCATGGGCGCTCCATCGCAATTTGCTTCGCCCGCCATGGCCCATCTTGGTCTTCCCGGGCAACAAGGCTCGCCCCATTTGACTGGCTCCGCACATGCGAGCCCCGCTCAAAGCCACTTGGCCGGCCCCCCTGGAATGCAACCACCCATGCAGCCGTCTCCAGCCGGCGTGAACAACAGTCCAAATGTAGGTGGCAATAAACGTCGCCGGGCAAGCACCGTGAAAATGGAGTCCGAGGATGGTGCTGGAGTCGATGCTAACGGCGCTCCGCAGGGCTCAGCGAAACCCAAGCCTAGCCCTCGGGTGACCAAGCGACAGAAGGGCGCCGCTGCTTGATTGAGATTTCCCACTTGCTTTGCTCCTTTTTCACAGCAGGAAATGGCGTACTACTGTATCTTCGGGCATCCACCGCCCTTGCTTTTGACTCTCTCACCCCGAGAGAACCCTCCTGGTTTACAGCACATCACGACTCAATTTACAATCGACGGGATTTAATCGGTGCTTGAGGCTCCACGCCTCATCGATCCTGCTCAACTCCGACCTAATGTACTCTACTTTACTTTCAGCGTTTTCGTCGGGTCTCGACTTTGCATGTTTCGTTTGATTTTCTCCTCGGTTTCTATCCTCGTGCTTTGTCTGGGATTTGATGACTTTTGAATTGGTCTTGTTAGGCTTTATGCCTTTTTTTGCTGACGGTCTGTTGCTTTCAAACCGACAGAGTTCTTGATATCCGTGTTTGGCGACTGAGATGGCGTCCGGCTCTTATGTTTCCTTGCGTCTGCGTGCATTGAGGTGTTCGATGTTCCAGGCCCTATGGTTGTGGCTTTGAGTTTGATCATTCTCCCCGGGGTTTATCTTTGCCGCTGTTTGACGAATCCATACATACTTGCTTTCAATCAACATGCATTGTAGTCTGTATTGGAGTCTGCCAATGACCGGGCCTGGGCCGTAGGAACAAGCTTTTGTCTCTGATTGTCCCAGTTGGATTTGTTCATATACCATGAGGCTACTCAACTGAACTGCAGGAAATGCAGAAACGCAGCAAATATCAAGTATGTACATATGGACTGTATATATCGGACGGTTAAAACGCTGGCCAGACCCGCTCTCGCGATGGCCGAGACGTCAAGTTCGGCGAGCTCCGTTTTCGGCCAATTGATAATAGTGAAGCTCGGCATTTGTGTTATCAGTTCCCCACATTCGCCCTTGCATTGAAAAACATTGCCCCTCATCTTTTCGTTAGACAGTTCATTCATATCCCATATATCTCAAAATGGCGCACTCTCACTCTCACGATGCAGGTGTCGATCACTCCCATGATGACCCATTCAACGGCCACGGCCACTCTCACGACATCCTCGACGGCCCGGGCTCATACGTCAACCGCGAGATGCCCTTGATCGAGGGCCGTGACTGGAAGGATCGTGCCTTCACAATTGGTATCGGTGGGTATGTACCACGCACTGTGGAAGAACCACTTTCCTGCTGCCATAGATATGCCGGTCCCATCCGGATTTCAATAGTTGAGCAATCAAGTACTAAAAAACATACTTGCATGCAGACCCGTAGGATCCGGAAAGACAGCACTGATGCTAGCACTGTCTCGGGCTCTCCGTGACGAGTACAACATCGCCGCCGTGACCAACGATATCTTCACGAGGTATGGAACCCACAGGTCGACACGAGCATGGGCAACCGACCACTGACCCGGAAACAGGGAGGATGCCGAGTTCCTCACCCGGCACAAGGCGCTTGCCCCTTCGCGCATCCGCGCCATCGAAACAGGTGGCTGCCCGCACGCTGCGGTTCGTGAAGACATCAGTGCGAATCTGCTCGCCCTTCAGAAACTCCAGAAGCAGTTCTCGACTGATCTGTTGCTCATCGAGTCTGGTGGTGATAACCTTGCTGCGAACTATTCGCGTGAGCTGGCTGACTTCATTATCTACGTTATTGACGTAGCGGGTGGTGATAAGGTGCCCCGTAAGGGTGGCCCCGGTATCACGGGCTCGGATCTGCTGGTCGTCAACAAGATCGATCTTGCTGAGGCTGTTGGCGCGGATCTGAGTGTCATGGAGCGAGATGCGGCGAAGATGCGTGAGGGTGGTCCCACTGTCTTCGCGGTGGTCAAGAATGGAAAGGGCTTGGATCACATCGTGAACTTGATCATTAGTGCCTGGAAGGGAAGTGGTGCCTACGAGGAGAGTTTGCGTCGTTGGAAGAATGGTGCGGTGCGCGGATCTGGAAGTGTTGACGAGTAGATGATCGGTAGTCCAGTTGGTAGACACAACCCTAAGAAACAAGAAACGAGAATTACACGATAAATCAGGATGCGGATTCAATATATTCATATCTTTGGAAGTACATGGTACACTCGTTAAAACACTGCTTTTCCCCTCCGAATACAAAAAATATTCACCGAGAACGCCTGGAATGCAGCTGTCGCCAAATCACCAATATGTCACAGAAGCCTTTTGGGCTGGGTATCTGGGTGCTTTTGAGCAGAGTTTCCTCTGGTGTCACAAAAGCCCTATTTGGCGAACCGAGACAACGCCGGTCCCAGATCATTGCGCTCTGCCTTGAGCTTCTCCTTATGACGAGCAGCGTGCTCCTTGCGCAAAGTCTCGGCCTTGAGACGCTTCTCATCAATAACATTCTTGCCACCCTTCTTGCGCAGGTACTTGCGCAAAGCACTGTTGCGACCACGGCCACGGTTCTTGATCTTGTCCATGGTATCCTCGGGCTTCTGGTCCGGGTTGCGCTGCTGCTGGTACTTTTGGTCGCTGACTGTATCGAGCTTTCCAATGACATTGGGATCCAGCGAAATCATATCCGGCTGCAGCTTGGTGAGCAGTGCGTGGACTTCGTGCTCTTGGCGCTGGCGCACGTTCTCGTACGGGTTGGCCTCCAATGAATCGAAGTTGGGTTCTCCGGCACCGGGGACAATCAGACTGGCGAATCCTTGGTCGTGACCAACACCGAGAACATCTTCGTAAGGGCACCAGCGCACATTCTCGATACGCTGGCCATCACCACCCCATGCCATGTAGGGGCTTTGCACCTTGCCTACATCGGCGGCGGCGGCGTCGAACAGGCCTCGCCATACGCTCGCCTGGGTGCCCCAGCCTACCGCGGTCAGACCGCGGTCACTGATTGATACTGATGCACCGGGCTGGTAGCAGGAGTATGTGTGTACTTCACGGTACATGCGGATATCCCACACGCTCATCTTTTGGTCCTGGCCAGTGGAGACCATGTAGCGGCCCTGACGATCCATTGCCATTGACCGAACGGGCCCCTGGTGCACAAGTGCCTTCACAAGCGGAGTCTGAGAGTTGGGAGACCACAGAGTCACGTTTCCGTTTTGGTGTCCAACATGGAGAATTGCATTCCACGGGTTCTGGGCGAGAGCGGTCGGCTTGCCTAGACGAGTAGGAAGCTCGGCGACGATTTGACCGGTTGATGTGTCGGTGTATTTGAGGTGTCCGCTCATTTGCTATCACGGTATGGTCAGCATGAGACTCCAAGTCCAAAGGCGAAAAAAATACTTACAGCGCTTGCAAGAAGGAAGTGGTATGGCAGGAACTCCAGGAAAAGAGGCTCCAGATGCTTGCTTAGACAGTGCAGTTCTGTACCCTGGTGGTCGTAGATATAAGTGTGCTTCTTCTGCGCAACAGCGAAGAACTGATTGTTATGCAACCAGCGGGCATCCCGCACAGTCTCATTCAGTTGCAACTCGCAGCCCAGCTTTCCCTCGCGCCAGTCCATCGTTGCGACATGTCCCTTCCGTCCTGCCAACAACAGATCGCGACCGTTCCGAGTGTAGTCCATGCGGTAGGGGCCCATGTCGGGGAGCTTCAATTCAAAACTCTTCTTCGCAGTTTCGATCCCGACGCTTTCCTGGATCTCATCTTGGCGAACCTTGTATGTCTTCTCGAGTTCTCCCTCTGGCTCAAGGAAGCCTTCGGTGTGCTCGAGCAGAAGCTCAGCATCTTTGGCTTGAAGAACAGCCTCCTTGTGCTTGAACTCCTGTCGCTTCAGGTTTGCGCGCAGCTTCTTGTCCCGGGCACTCTTCACATTGACACCTTTGCCTCGTCCATAAATTTGCTCAGCCTCCTGGAGCCTCAGGTTCGCAGCATTGTCTTCTTTGGCGACCGCCAGTTTGGAGGTTGGACCGGCCATTTTGGGGCTATTTGTTCTCGATCGTGAGCAGATAGGCGGAGACTTGAAAAAAAAGTTGTTTTGCCCAAAAGTCCGCCAAGACCTGCGCTCACCGCTCGCTTATCCTCCACTGGCGAATTTTTGTTTTCTTATCGCCTTTTTCTTTTTTTTGCAGAGGCACTTTCGCTTTTCTTGTGTACTTCGTGGTATAAATCAAGTCGGCTTGATCTTTGCCGAGTCTTGCTTGATACCCTCAATCTGGCCTCCATTCCCTTTCGTTTCAAAGGGTCCAACGCCAATATGGCGCCTGCCCAGACGGTGCACCACCACCGCTCCACCACCAAGGTTTCCCACAAGCCCTATAAGAGCAAGCATGCCTCCAAGAGCGCTCTGAAAGATCAGGCGAAAGGTATGGATTTGAAATCAGAATATTCTTCTTCACGCGCATTTTTTAATATATATTTTTCTACAGGTAAAATCGAAGGTGATGAGCGGGGCGGTCGTAAAACACCCCACCAACAGCTTAAGACGAAACTCGATCGCCGAAACACCGCCCGCCAAAGACAGGCATTGAAGCACCAAGAACGATCCCAGGCTACCAGCATCTTTGCTGGTCAGAATGGCGCACCCCGCCATGTCGCAATCCTGCCGTTGTCCCCCGATATCGACGCCGCTGCCGCCATTGCTTCTATCAATGAAAGTGTTGACATCCTGACTGATGTCTCTCCCGATGGACCTACCCGTGTGCGCATCGATCGATTCCGCCAGAGCGTCCAATATGTCCCCGCCAAGTACGATGTGATCAGCGCGTTGGATGTGTGCCGTATGGCCGATTTTGTCGTTCTGGTTCTGTCTTCTGAAGTTGAGGTTGATGAACAGGGAGAGATGCTGCTGCGATCTATTCAGAGTCAGGGTATCTCGAATGTGCTGGCCGTCGTGCAGGGTCTGGACCGAATCAGCCCTCCCAAGAAGCGTCCCCAGGTTGCCGGCTCTCTGAAGTCCTTCATCAACCACTTCTTCCCAACCATTGAGAAAGTCATGTCACTTGATTCACGACAGGAATCCTCAAATGCTATTCGATCAATCTGCACTGCCACCCCCAAGGGTATCCGCTGGCGTGATGACCGCAGCTGGATGTTCGTTGAGGATGTTCAGTTCCCCGAATCTACCCTGGAGGTGGTCGACGATGTTGTTGTCACTGGTGTGGTTCGCGGAAAGGGTCTGAAGGCGGACCGCATCGTTCATCTCCCTGGCTGGGGTGACTTCCAGATTGACTCGATCACAGCTGCGCCACTAGCTACCAAGGCCAAGCGCGACGATGCCATGAACGTTGATACCAACGAAAGCACACAGGTCTTGGATACCCCGACGTCGGACCAGGATGACATGGCTGTTGTTGCACCCGAGGAAATTGACATGGTGGATGACGATATGATCTCCATGGCCGAGACTGAGAAGAAGGGTGTCCTCCTGGATGATTACCACTACTTCTCCGACGACGATTCTCATATTCCCCCCGTACCCAAGAAGCTTCCCAAGGGTACATCAAAATACCAATCCGCTTGGTATCTCGAGGATGTTTCCGACTCTGGATCGGACATGGATGACGACGATGAGCCTATGGAGATGGATACCGCTGGAGCACCCGAGGACGGTGTGTTCCCCGATCACCAGGATGCCATGACCGAAGGTGGTCCTTCAGAATACCCACAATCAGAAATGTTCCTCGACCCATCCCCCGAGGACGAGGCCCAAGAATTGGCTGCCTACCGCGAGAGCCGCAAGACCGAGGCCGAGGAGGACTTGGAGTTCCCTGACGAGATCGAGTTGCACCCCAACGTTCTCGCCAGAGAGCGTCTTGCCCGTTACCGTGGACTGAAGAACCTCAAGCTCAGCAACTGGGAAACCTCCGAGGATCGCCCCTACGAGCCCGAGGACTGGCGCCGTCTGTTGCAGTTCGCTGACCACAGAGGCTCCAAGAACCGCATTATCCGAGAGGCTCTGGTCGGTGGCGTGAACCCCGGCACTCGCGTGGATATCCACCTCCGCGCTGTCCCCTCCGTCCTGCGCAACGGCCCCAAGCCTCTTGCGCTCTTCTCTCTTCTCCGTCACGAGCACAAGCACACTGTGGTCAATGTCAGCATGACCCTCAACTCCACCGTGGAGAAGCCTCTGAAGGCTAAGGAGCAGCTCATCGTCCAATGCGGTGCTCGTCGCATGGTTGTCAACCCCATCTTCTCTTCCGCAGACAACACCCCCAACAACGTGCACAAGTACGACCGATTCCTCCACCCCGGTCGCAGTGCCATTGCATCCTGGATTGGCCCCATGACCTGGGGTTCTGTCCCCATCCTCATCTTCAAGAACAAGCAGGCTGAGACGGAGGATGACGACGAAGAGATGGAAACCGATGCCAAGGAGGAGCCAATTGCCACAGACGACCTGGAGCTCATCGGCACTGGTACCGTTGTTGCCCCCGACCAGAAGCGCGTCGTTGCCAAGCGTGCCATCCTCACTGGTCACCCCTACAAGATTCACAAGAAGGTTGTCACCATCCGGTACATGTTCTTCAACGCTGAGGATATTCAATGGTTCAAGGCCCTCCAGTTGTGGACTCGCCGTGGTCGCAGTGGATACTTCAAGGAGAGCTTGGGTACACATGGTTACTTCAAGGCTACCTTCGACGCCAAGATCAACCCGCAAGACTCTGTTGGTGTCAGTTTGTACAAGCGTGTCTTCCCTCGCAAGGCTCGGGCTTTGGAGTCGATTGCTGCTTAAGCGATGTTGGTGTGGATGATATGATACCATTTGACTGAATTGATTACACGATCATGATGGTAGCTCTGTTGGAGCATACCAAAAAGTACATATAGACCCGAGACATCTTAAAATGATGAATTACGAATCTTTTGCACCCATATCGTACCATTTCGTAGATGTAGTACCGCGAATGGCTCCTGGGGTACTTTAGATCAAATTGAAATTTCTAGGTGAGAATTCATGAACATCACTGAATGATAGGCCCTGAAGACAAAGCCTGTCACCTTATGCTCAGGTGCGTAACATGGCTTACTCGACAATGACTGTAAGCCTGATTCATTTCCAACCCATATACGTTTCAGAACAGAGAATAACACAATAAAAAACACTGCAGGGTCAACATGCTCTAGACATGACGGGGAATCACTGAAGAAATCGATCGTCGTTTACGAAAAGTCCTCCTCAGCCTCCTCGATGTTATTCTTGATCCGCAAAAGGAGAGTAGTCTTCCACTTGTCCAGTTTGCTGAGCTGATCATACTGGAACAGCTTCTCAGCAAAAACCTCCTGGTCGCCATCCTCAACAGCTTGAGTCAGGTCCACGAGCAGCTGGTGTTCCCGCATTGACGCAAAGCTAGGGTCGAGCTCTCGGTATGATTCCAAAGCACGATGGGTCTCAACCAAGTCCTGATTAAGATATTTTAGTATGCCACTCTGAAAACAATGATCAAGTTGAACGTACCTTTGTAGCAAGATGACAGATACCAGCCTTCAACAAATAGTCCTTTACACTCCAACGCATCAGGTTGTTGTTAATAGAAGACCGGCCGATGCGCTCAAAGTTATTGATGGCCTTGTAGTAATCGTTGTCCAGAGCAGCCAGGTCCGCAACCTTGAGGAAGTGCTTGTTAGCAAGACTAGAGGTAAATGTGTCAGCTCGAGCTCCATCAGATCTGAACAAGAAACGATAGGACCGTACGCTTCAGCATTGTCGCCTTCGAACCACTCGGCAGCCTTCTCATACGACTCCAGGGCCTTCTTCATATCTCCAAGCTCCACCTCATACAACTCGGCCAGATATTGTTGCTGAGTCGCCGCACGGCGCAGGTTTCCTCGTAAGACGTAGTGCTGAATAGCACTGGAAAGGACGCGAGCAGCATCTTCAGGGTCTGACTTGCGGTAGACCTTGAATGCTTCCTGGAGAGTATTCGCGGCGTCATCAGGCTCGTTGAGGTTCTGAGTTTGGATAGAGGCGGCTTTTTCAAAGGCTTGGCCAGCCTCCTTGTCTATTCAAAACCAAGTATCAGCCCAGTTCAGGCACAGACACAAGCGGCGGGGTAGCTCACTCATTTTCTGGACTCGGAAGGCATTTGCAGCCTGGCTGTAGAGATCTGCGGCATTCTCATACTTTTCAGTTCTTCCTCCAAACCAGCTAAAGCCTCCTGAGGCGCTAGAGAGTGCTTTGTCGGCCTAGTTCGTCACAACAAGTCACATTGGTCAGTTATCCGGGGTATCGTCATAATGCTGTCAAGGTGGAAAACGCTTCAGGCATACCTTTTGGAGAAGGACACGGGGATCTTGAGCCATCTTGAGTGTAATCTGTGAATCCTGCCGAAGAGAAGAGCAGTGGAAATGCGATGTGAAGCAGTGTGGCCAAACGTGCTATCGATGAGAGCATGGATCGGCGGGCCCGTGGAGGCGGTGTCCTTTATTTTTCGGTCTCCGCCTAAGCTCTTTTTAGTGTTGACCTGCATTGCTGCACTATTTTTGGGATTTGCTTTGCCCTGCAACTTTTTCACGCTACTGTGTCTGGTACTTTGAGGCAGACATTCTCATCGTGTCCAGGTGCTGAACTTTGCTGACGAATATTACTTCGTCCATATCTTGCACAATGTTCCCTCTTCGTTCCGGTGTGCGACTTTCGCAGTCGCTGCGCTCGAGTTCGCCTCGATTCAACGCGTCGTTGTCTCGATCTTATTCCGACAAGTCCGACTTAGCAGATATATTCTCCATGATTGGCGCGCCAAATTGGTCTGTCAAATCACTTCTACCGAACCCAGCCTCAAAGCCTCCCCAAACCATCACCCCGAAAGAACTTCACCACCTCCTGCGCATTTCAGCGCTTCCCCAGCCCGCCAGCGCAGAGGAGGAGCAGTCCATGATCGAAACACTGGAGTCTCAAATCCATTTTGTCAAGGAAATCCAACTTGTCGACACTACTGGGGTCGAGCCGCTTCCGAGAATTCGCGATGAAACTTCCGATGCAGTGAAGGAGCATACCATTGGCGTTGAGCAGCTAAAAGAATACCTGGCTAAAGAGCATACGTCTGGGAGACGAGGCAGAATCCAGCGTATCGTAGGTGTCAAAAACGACCGTCCGGACGGAGAAGCATGGGATGGAGATGCCCTCAAATGTGCCACCAAAACGAAGGGGAAATACTTTGTGGTAGAAATCGGCGAGTCTCCCAGTCTCTAAGTAGTTCAGCACTGGAAGTCAACTGGTCTTCTCAAGGCTGCCTGTCGACACTCTAGTTGGCCTGAGGCAGAGATATAATGAGTCAGCATGGCCCCAAAAATGGAGCTATGACAGCATCGCCCCTCGCAACATGATCGGTTTCTGCCTGCTTCTTGAACCTCCCCTTCAAGTGCAGCAATGTTCAAAAATTTCAAGGAAAAACATGCATCGTTGTTTGAATCCAAACAACCCAATGCAACTGCATCAGAAAGTGACAGAGGTCAGGATCTCTCATCGATCCTAGACAGATCACAGCGTGGAGATCTGACCGTCCTCGTTGCCGAAACCGCTGAGTCAATGCGCATCGGGATACTCGAGCTTTGCGAAAATAAAAAAGATGGATCTCCCAATCGTGCCTCTCCGCGCCCATCTCCACAGGATGACCCCCATGCGGATCAAGAAGAAGACTCTCCACCGTTGCCGCCACGGCCACAGCGCAAACCGGTCCCGGCCGAAGCTGCGAGGAAGCAAACAGACCCTCCTGGCAAGCCATCGAGGCCCCAGACCCGAGAAACCTTGCTGTCGACGTTTGAAAACTGGAGAGATTCAGTTCTGCTTCGTGTTGGCGAGGTCGTCAATCAAGATAATGAGGATCAGCCAGATGACAAGGGTGAATCGGAATTGCAGAAAGCTGCCAAGTCTGATGATCTTCCTTTGGACGAGGATGAAGATAGATTGAAGAAATTACAATCAATCTACCACCCGGTAGAAACACCTTTGGTTCATCTTCCCAAAGCCACGCGGTTGCTTATTCTTCATTCCTTGCTGCTGTTACTTCTCAGTCTAGAGCATTACAGTGCTTACTCGCGAGTATTGATGTTGAATGTTGCGTCCAGCCTGCACATAGATATCAATATCCTCAATCAGGATGAAGTGAAGGTTGCTCGTGGGTTGCTGGCGACCGCACTCGCCCTTTCAGCAGATAAAAGCGCCGAAGAAAAGCCGAAGAAAAATGACGATATGCGCAAATGGAAAGTTGGAATTGCCTCAGTGGCTGGAGCCGCGTTGATCGGCTTGACTGGCGGCCTCGCTGCTCCACTAGTAGCCGCCGGCCTGGGAACTGTTTTGGGCGGCGTGGGCCTCGGCGCCACTGCCGCCGCCGGTCTTCTCGGCACATTGGCTGGAAGCAGTGTTGTTGTCGGTGGGCTATTCGGTGCCTATGGCGGACGCATGACCGGTCGCATGATGGACAAGTACGCCCGCGAAGTAGACGACTTTGCATTCATTCCTGTTCGAGGAGACCGTCGACGCAACCAAAAGGACAAAGAGTCTGCCGAGCAGGATCATCGTCTGCGAGTCACCATCGGTATCACGGGCTGGGTCAAGGAGGAATCGAACTTCGTGGTCCCATGGAGAGTGGTCGGTGCCGACTCAGAGGTGTTCGCCCTTCGTTGGGAAATGGAGCCTCTCATGAACCTGGGTAATGCTATCTCCGCGCTTGTCACTAGCGCAGCGTGGTCAGTGGCCGGTCGCGAGGTCTTGGCTCGCACTGTGTTCTCCACCCTCATGAGCGCTGTCATGCTCCCCCTCGGCCTGATGAAGGTTGCAGGTGTGGTCGATAACCCTTTCAGTGTGGCCAAGTCGCGCGCCGACAAGGCGGGCGAAGTACTCGCGGATGCTTTGATCAACAAGGCCCAGGGTGAACGGCCTGTGACTTTGATAGGGTATTCCCTCGGATCCCGGCTCATCTTTTCTTGTCTTCAAAGCCTCGAGAAGAAGGGCGCGTATGGGTTGATCGAGTCTGTCATTCTGATGGGATCGCCAACTCCATCGAACACAGAGCACTGGCAAAAGATTCGAAGCGTCGTGAGTGGACGGGTCGTGAACGTCTATTCGGAGAACGACTCTGTCCTGGCTTTCCTCTACCGCACCAGCAGCATGCAACTCGGTGTCGCCGGCCTGCAAGCGGTTGAAGGTGTTCCAGGCATCGAGAACCTCAACGTCAGCGAGATGATCAGCGGTCACTTGCGATACCAGTATTTGCTCGGGAGGATCCTCACTCTCACCGGGTTGCAGGACCTTGACGCCAGCGAGATTGAGCGCGAAGAAGCTGCTCTTGCGGTTGAGGATAAGAAACAAGAAAAGGAACGTTTGCAGAACCAGGAGGATGCTGGCGTCAAAGACCCCGAGTCTGCGGCTGCACAGGACACGGTGAATAGCAAGGAGGGCTTCGGCGAGGATTCCCGTTTGCAGAAGCAGGTTGAGGCGCAGACTCAAGAGAACATGGCCAGTCATCGGATCGAGATGCTTGATCTGCATGATGATGACTATTCGGCGCCTTTGAAAGAGGATCCTTCCAAGCATTCCGCACTCTAGCTTTGGCAGTTACACATATCCACAAACAGTGATCAAATGCTACACACCCATCACATTCTTCAGATAATGAGTCTTTGATCCGAGCGTTGTAGTCTGTAACCTGGCGCCCGCTACGGCGCACATCATGATCAACACATACAAAAGTGAACAGTGTTCTAATGGAAAGGATCGATCAATTTTTTGATAACGCCCCGTAAGTTTGCGACAAAGTACAATTCAAGAATTGGCAACATGCACAACAATCTTGCCTCTCGCCCTTCCAGAGCGAAGTTTCTCAAATGCCTTTACGGTCTCCTCGAACTCGAAGGTCGAGTCCAGCTGGATCTTCACAGCCCCCTTCTTCACCATCTCTCCAACCTTCACCAGATCCTCTTTGTTATTCTTGAAAAAGAAAATGACATACTTTCTCTTCCCGCCACCCAAGAAGCCCGGAACCACCAATCTCTCCGCAAAAGTAGCCATAGCAGAAGCCCCAACCTGCACGAAAGTCTTTCCAGGTTTCAAAAACGCATTTGACTCGCGGTAAAGCGGCGCCGGAACCCCAATATGATCAACGACATGATCAAAGACCTCTCCCTCCTTCAATCTCGCAACCACATCCTCCGCAGAGTAATCAATCACCGCGTCCGCGCCAATGCCACGCACAAACTCCACATTCCTCGTCGAACACGTAGTCGTAACATGGCAGCCCAGTTCCTTAGCAATCTGAATCGCGAAGATGCCACATCCCCCAGACCCACCATTGATGAAAACCCGATCGCCGGCACTCACGTACCCCGCCAAACTCTGGTACGCCGTCTGTCCGGCAATACCGATTGAGGCGGCGTGGTCGATCTCCACGCCCTCCGGGACAGGAACGAGGAAATCAGCAGATACAACGAGGTATTCGCCCAGGGAGCCGAATCGAGAAGGTCTGCTCAGACATCCGTAGACTAGTTGGCCTGGGGTGAATGGGCCATCGCTGATGACTTCGCCGCAGAAATCCATTCCTGGGATGGCGGGTGTGCCTATGACTAGCTTTTGAGCTACCATGCCCATCTCGGGGACTTTGTAGTCTGCTGGGTTTAGGGAGGCGGAGAGGACTTTGATGAGGACTTCGTCGCCTGAGACCTTGGGGGTGTTGGCTGTAGTGTCGAAAGTGAGGTTTTTCTCTAGCCCGTTTGTTGTGCCGGAGTAGATCCAGGCCTTCATTGTGGATTGAGCCATTTGCGATGAGTTTGGTGGTTGCTGGAGGATGTTTTGGTAGTCGCGGTTGGGGTGAGGTTGGCGCGCAAATTGCAATGACCTCAGGGCAGTAGCGTCGTTACCGGCCATCCATGAACACTGGGACAACCACCATATTTGGAGGGATTTGCTAGATGAGACGAAGGTCAGCATGTATATCTCAAGATCTCCGAGGCGCTGTATGAAAAATGAAAAACCAGAACACATTCGCGTTTGGTGATTGTGGAGTGCGGTGTCGTGGTATAATCTGGTCTGCGAGAAACGTGCATGGGCGTCCAAAATTATCGTTGAGGCTTGCGCGGATGACGCTGGCTTCGGTTCAATGAAAGGGCTCATAGCAGGATTGCGAAACGTTGAGGCCATCGGAATAGACCCCAAGTCAGGAGGGAGCACTGCCCACCTGGGCAGTCATCTCGACATGAAAGACTTGACTCCCATAGCGGACCTTGGACCCTCCAGTGTCCAGATTGTATTCTAGTTGTCGCAAATTATAAGAGTAAACAAAAGCCAGTATATAACAATCATCGATGGGATCAGAGCTTACAAGACTCAAGAGACATGCATTGCAGTTGACTAGCTAGACTATAAACCCTCGGTGGGATCAAAGAGAGAATGTATTCTGACAAGCGAAGTCCAGGGAACATCGGGGAAGTGAGAACCAAAAGGCGCCCAGCTTCCCCATCCACGAGACCGATGAAATGCCAGAAATGTAAGAGATTGATATCCCATCCATTGTTCGTATCGTCTCCAGAGTGAGCACCCACCAGCCCGCAAAGACCGATGAGCAGCTCTGAAACCGTATACCACAGATGAGGGTTGAGCGCCGAGCTCGTAAATAACGCCCAACACGACCCACAATGCCAACATCCTTCCTCGCAACGCAATGTTGGGGCTACCTAATTCTCAGACGGGTCTATTCTAAGCTCCCGCAGGCTTCGACGTAGCGACCCTTAAACCTCCTACCCGCGGGCGGTCGGACATAAGCGAAGGTCTCATCCATAGGGCTTCTTAACGCGATCGCTCCATGTTGAATGGATTTGGTCCTCAGAAGAAATGAAGGCGCCCACTGCCAAGACGCACCTGTAGAATAGTTAAGTAAAGTCAGAAGAGGGTAGGGGGCAGAGGTACTCACGTTGAAGCTTAACCTTGGCAAGCCAAGAGGCTGTGGGAAAGAAGAAGAGAGAGAGAGAGAGAGAGAGAGGAACAGATATTTATACCTGGGGAGTGCAAACGTGACTTGCTGGAGATCACAGAGCAGGTGATCTTGCTCTCATTCAAGGAAAGCTCCTGCTCTCACATTGTTCTCACTTCTTTTCAGAGTTGAGCAGCCTGAGGATCTATGGATCTACGCCCAAGGTGCCCTTCTGACTCTAGCAGATTCCGTACAGCATCCAATAATGATAGAACTGAATCAACTGATTGAGATTAAGCTACAGAAACATCAAGATGACTAGAAGTAAAAATGTACGCTGGTATTTCAGTATACGCCTCGCCTAGGGAGTGAAGTGCGGAAAGCAGAGGCTCAAAGCTTCCAGCTGACCTTCCCGGAGACCCAGCAATATCCAGCAAAGAATGTGTTGATCTCCAATCTGCGGCTTCGTTCCGAAAGTGATGACCCGGGCAACTTTGAAACGATAGCCTTGATTGTGATAGTGAACTGTTGGATTTCTCCAAGCCCACAAAGTAAAAAGCCCCCAGAGACCCCTCCTCTCCAACGTGAATTGACTCTTCTCGCACAGGACTGGCCTAGTTTCCACTGTAAGCTTCGACTTTAGCGGCCAAAAACCCACTCACACAGGGCTATCGCCACCATGCTTAAGCGTGGGTCCCCATGGGAATCCGCCAAAGCGCGACATCCTGTTGAATGGAAGTTTTACGGGACAACGGAGGGAAGCCCACAGCCAAGACGCACCTGGACAAGTGTTAGAACAAGAGAAGAAGGACATGGGGGGGGGACTCACGTTGAGGTTCTACCCTGGCCCAGCCCGAAAGCTGTGAGGAGAGAGAAAGAAGAGAGAAGAGAGAGGAGAGAGGAGCAGGTATTTATACCTGGGGAGTGGGATCTGACCATTCCAAAATGGGAGAGGAAAAGGAAAGTGAAAAGAGAGTGAATAGAGATAATTGACCAGAGGCTGAGGTACAAGAATACAGCAGCGATTCTCTTGCATCTAGAAGTACTGTTGGCTCTACTCATTTCTGGTGGTGCTGCTGCGCTGGAGCAATGCCAATGCTCAAGTGGGTCTGATTGAATGACAATACAAGATACAACGATGAGCTGAGTAGACTAGTCTATAGGTCTACCGAGGTATGGTTGAGATGCCTTGGGTCAGATACACCACAGGTCTATGATCTCAAACATAACACCCGTGGACACTGGCTGATATCATTCTACGATAGATGCCGCGCTGAGCCGCCTTGAACTCCGAGCTTGAATGATCTACGGGGTCTGCAAGGTGAGAACGGTGAGTATCAAGGAAATCACTTCAGTGCTGTCCTCGCGATGTGGGGAAGATACGCCATATATTTCACTCCATATGCCGAAGAGGATCAATGGTCACTGACAATGATTAGCAGAAACCAATCTCGATTGCACCTTCATCACAGTCAACAGACAAAAAGGACGACCCTCAATGCTTGAGCCTTGGTGGTACCGATACCCAGACCGCACTGAATGACCCGATGGAGCAGGGAAACATCTATACCAAACATCCATGGATATTCTCGAGTGATGCCCGGTAACTTGAGTCCCGCCTACGTCTTTGAAGCAATCTTCTGGTTGAGCAGCTTGTCATCTTACCCCCTGATCGTATGCCATTCAGCTGACCGATCACTTCATTATTCAGATGCAGGTATCACCTGGGTTGCATCCATTTACGGTATGGATAAATGCACCACTTTACTGCTTGAGAGAACCCGAATATCTTGAGATTTGAACCCGAAATTCTAGCACCGAGATATCTACTTTTTCAAGAAGGTCAACGCTCCAAGAGCCATGGCGTCAATGCCCGTCTTCAAAGTCGGCTGGAGGACTGGGGCAAAGAAAGGCGAGTGGTTGCCCGGCAGTGAATGCAAATCTCCCTTAGATTCAGCATCATCCCAGGTCTTCTCATCCACTCCACCGAACATCCACATCACATACGGAGCCCCCACGGCAGTTGCCAACAACGAGAAGTCCTCACTAGCAGCAGGCGGTTCCAACTTGACAAGATCCTTCCCAAAGTACGGACCAAACGTCTCACGAAGAGAATCGATTGTCTTCCCATCATTGACAGTGGAGGGCGTGGAGAAAGTCCGCTTGATATCAGGCTTCTTCTCCGCGCCAGCAGCCATACACTCCGCCTCAATAATGCGATGAACAGCAGCACACACCCGCTTCCGCACATCCGCATCGAAAGTCCGCACATTGAGCTGCAGATCCAAATGCGCAGGAATGATATTCGACGAGCTACCCGCATGAATACTGCCACACGTCACAACAGCCAACTTACCCGGAGTGACCTCCCGCGAAACAATAGACTGCAACTTCGTGACGATCGACGCTCCGATCACGATCGGATCGATGGTCGTCTGGGGTGCTGACCCGTGTCCTCCGCGCCCGTACACGCGCACATCATACGCGTCTGCGGCCGTGAGGAGCGGACCAGCGCGCAGATTGACCGTCCCCGCTCGCATGCAAATCACATGTTGCGCCAGGACGATATCCGGCTTGGGGATCTTGTCGTATAGTCCGTCTGTCAGCATGGCTTGGGCTCCGTCGAGATGTTCTTCCGCCGGCTGGAAGATGCAGATTAGTGTTCCGGACCAGTGGTCGCGGGCGCTGTGGAGGAGCGTCGACGCAGCCATGAGTGCAGTGGTGTGGAAATCGTGCCCGCAGGCGTGCATGACTGGTTTGTGGCCGGCTTGGCTCTTGACTTCTTTCTTGCTGGCGTAGGGGAGGCCCGTGTTCTCCTTTACGGGGAGGGCGTCCATGTCCGCCCGGACGAGGATGGTGGGGCCATTGCCGTTGCGGAGGACGCCTGCTACGCCGTGGCCACCGATTTTGGTGGTGACTTCAAATCCTAGGGAATTGAGGTGGTCGGAGGCTATCTTGGCTGTTTCTTCTTCTTCGCCGGATAGCTCTGGGTTGGCGTGGATGTGACGATAGACATCTTCAAACTCTTTGAGGTCTGGGCGATAGCGATCGATGATCTCGCCGAGTTTGGATTCTTGATTCATGGTGAGTATGGGGCGCTGGATGCTTGGTGTGAACTGTACCTGGCAATTGCATGTTAATGGGGGAACGTGTGGAATGGCTCCAGTTCCTTACGTGTAACAGTACTTATACAGTCAACGGACTACAATCAAGGTCCGTTAGGAGATCTGGTTGCCGAAGATGGGATCCGGATTGGCGACAGGCGATGGTCGGCAATCTCTCGAATCAATTCGCCGCCCCCTCTCTGTTCCGCCCGGAACTAACAAATTCCTGCTGGGCACTTAGGGTGATCGGCAGTCTTGTTTTTCGCTTTATCTTGATTTCTATTCGATGTCAACATCGGAGTAGATTGCGGGGAAATATTGTTTGTCCACGGGTGACTCCGAAATGTGAGGTTGGCCTGATTATCGGATATACAGTGGCACAGCGTATATATACCTTCAACTTTCAACCTCGGAATGTCCCAACAACGTGGTACTGAAGCAGGGTGAACCAGACCTCTCAAGAATCAAGCATTGAAGGTTGCGATTCAAAAAATTTGCAATTAATCCGGCGCAACGAATTGACCTCGGAGATGACTGTCTGATTTCAACCTTGGACCTCAAGACAAACCAGGAATTTTCGTGATCTTGAGGGCTTCATTTGCTGCATATTGGATTGAACATTACAGCGATAATGCTCAAACTTGAAATAATCCATGTTGGTACGCTGTCATCTCAAGGTCTAAGGTTTCCTCCCGGACATTCCAGGGGCCAGATGGACCTGGGCAGTATGGCTTGAACCCTTGGGAGATTTCCAAGGGCATGGATTTCTGCAAAAGCTAAAAGCTCCCACAATCTTGCAAGGTTCAATGCGATCCTTCGATGTTGGTCAGACTGCATGGTACCTGGTTCGAAAAGTGACTACATGAGCTCAAGCCCTACTGTACTACCTCAAACAGGGTACAAAGTGGGCGTACTAGGTGCCCATCTAGGTATATACAGCCTAGAAAGTCGACTGGTTCTTCTTATAAATGAGCTTTATTGCCAGGCTTTGATTACCTTGAGCCACATCTCGGATGGCTGAGGGTTCATTGCAAAGTTGGGAGACTACATAAGTTCGACTTATGGACACACCCGTACACACCTGACACTGCCGGAAAGCATCCATCGCTTCCAAGATTTTCGGCCGAGATCATCCATGGACTCAGATAGAAGCATGACAGGTCCAGGCCATCCACCTGCATGGATGGAAGCTACGAGACATTGCCTCCAGGTTCCTGGGCTCCTAGGCTCCCAGGTCCCTCGAGCCCATGGATCAATCGAATGGCCAGGTAGACATCATACCTCTATCCTAAGGCGCGCCACACACATGTCAGGACCCAATGACTCCAAGCAACACAATACCCAGACATGAAAGACACCTGCATGGCGTGGTGGCAATTCAAGATTGCTGCAACCCTCGAACAAAGTCCAAGGCAGCAGACCACCCGATGGAGCTGAAATCCAGAAGATCATCCCACTGCATGTGCCACCTCAAGCACGTTTGACCGGCAGTTTCTCCCCGAAGCCCTGGAGCCCGGGCTCGCAAATAGTTGCACCGTGCGAGGAAGGGACCCGGGCTCGTCCGCAATCTGTGCAACCGGTAGTCAGACCTCTATATTGCATGTAAACAAGCAGTAATGTAAGCACTGGTATAGGATGGTGTAGAATGACCAGACTCGGCCGACCATACTCTGGATTCGGATGTGAACCTTGGAAGGTATATGTCATCATACGGCCTGCCCCAGGAGGCGCAACAGGATGAAACCAAGGGGAGCGAATCACAAGAAATGACCGTAATAGTCCGCACCAGATCAATTGAAGCCTACGCTAAAGGAGAGCGAATGATCCTTGTTCAGCTGAGGACAGAAGTTTACTTGACAAGGCGTTCTCTGCCTTGCGCTTGGGCCCCTCTAGATATCACGGTGTTTTGCTCTTGCGTTATCTACGGAATACTCTAGAGAGTATAGTACCTAGATACTCAGATCAGTTTTCTACTAGTACTATATCACAAAAAAAAAACATGAAGCCCTGGGTCGAGATTCCCAAGCAACGGCCCCACTTGTGGAACGCCTAGGTTCCTCCACCACTCAAGTCGCCGCGGTGGAGTATGAGCCGCAGAGTTTTCTGTTCTCAGCAAAAAAAGATAATCTCGAAGACCATTTGGTTTTTAGGAAGAGCCGAACGCGGGGGTCGAACCCGCAGCCTTAAGATTAAGAGTCTTACGCTCTACCGATTGAGCTAGCCCGGCGGGCTGTTGAAGAGACGTGCGAAATCCAGGTACATGATGCGCATGAAGCGCGGGAGCAGGGTTCAGTGAAGTGTCCAAGTGGAGGATGCGGCTCTGATTTGGCGGGAGTTACAAAGGACAAAAGATGGTCTGGGCGTGTTGTGAAACCAGACTCCAAAAAGACCGTTCTGGTCCCCGTCGGTCGATGCCCGCCATTGGGAGGTCGGACCTCCAGGGGTAGGGACTCGGACCTTGATGCCTGGGAGGCAACAAGAGAGGTTGAGGAAAAAAGACACCTATGGCGCGACAAGCGACACATTGCCGTGTCAGTGGTGAGGGAAGCATGCAAGATGGGAAACCCCTGAGTGCCGACGATGCAGCAAAGGCGGGAGAACAGGGAAATAAGGAGCTAACGAGAAGAAGACATCAGTGGCTGGTGTCACGAATCATGAATCCGAGATAGCACCATTGTGGCTGAGGCTGAGCAGAGAGTTGAGGAATAGACCGGACAATAAACAGTCCAGCGAGAGGGTATACGGGGTGTGGCTTGAGACTAAGAGGGGAAATTTGAGGCTGTAAGCACCAGCGCGTGGGGTCCAAAACAACTCGAGTTCGCACTATTCTTAGTCTTAGCGTCTCGAATGCGAAACGAGAATCGTTAATTTTGGAACAAGAGACCAATGTTCTAATTCCTCGGTTGGAGGCTCAAGTGTCTCGGTAGCCGCTTGTTTACTATGTAGGCAGCGGTTGCGGGGGGACCTATGGTCCACTGGACACTAAAAGTGAAGAGCGAAGAGCGAACGGAATGCTTCAAAGATTCAAATGACGTGAACCTAAGGCACACGACACAAGCCACAGGGAAATAAAATACTCGTACGCCGTAAGAAACTGATGTCATGAGGATACAGAGAATGGAGTCGGGGAGACCAAAGTGGAAAAGTGTGAAGAGAAGAGACGATGTTGACCGTCTTTCAGGGGATTCAAACCAATCAGCGCATCGGCAGAGGACGCAGTCGGCGGTGTTTGACGGTGTGCACCGCCTCAGGCTTTGTACCAATTTAGTACTTGCGCCTGGGGCACTCGCACAGTGGGGCATGGTGTAGCCGCTAAGTACCTGCAGATCGTCTTCCAGGCTCCAGGGCTCTATGGCATGCATGTCTACAGTATATAATCCATACTCTCCCCCATCCTTTTCATTTTACTCATTCCACTTCAAGCTTCAGCATTCCAAACATCATTCATAACTCTCAGCTTCAATCATCTACATACGGTGATCATCTATCCCCTCGTGACCTCCATACATCAGTCACCGTGTCGCCTCTTCGCTCAACTTCGTACATCGTGGACCCCTCCAACCTCTCCATCTCTCGAGAGACCCCCACCTCCAGACCTCTGACACGACGTCTGCTTGGGCTGCGCCGTACCAACACGATGCCCGCCCCAATTGACATCTCTGATCCTCTCGCCATGTCGCGCGACCTTTACGACGACGAGATGCTCGTGGTCAACGACTTCGAGCGTCACGCAGGCCACTGCAACATCTGCGCCAACCCAGCCGAGACTCACAGGAACAACCGCCCCCTCTGCCCCAGAGGAACAATCTACGCTCGCGCCGTCGCGGGCTACCTGAACAGCCGGAACGGCAAGTACTACTCCTCGGTAGACGACGAGAGCGGCCGCTCCACTCGCGTCAAGCTTCCACGCAACGCCTCCGCCCTCCGCAGCCTCCTCGCTGCCCTGGAGCAGGGCCTGAGCATTCGCGACAAGCCCATCATTGTTCAGCCTGTCCAGCCTGTCCAGCCCGTCCAGCCTTCTCAGTCCCTCCCCATCAGCTACGACCGCACCTACCACATCCCAGCCCGCGGAGCCAGCAGCCTTCGTCCTCGCTCCATGTCCCCAGAGACCTACCAGATCATCGAGCGAGCCCCCCGTCTCTCGCGCTCCCCAACCTCAATCATGTACCGCTCCCCCGGCGGCTCCCCAAGCCGTCCAACCTCCAGCCGTGGCTCTCTCTACGACTCCGACCACCAAGAGCGTGGGGAGCGTCGCACAGAGACGACCCGCCGCTACGTCCAGGGCACCCGCTACCACCGTTGATCGAATCGCTCAGTATCATGATCTATACGCCCCAAACCCTATCTGAACACGCTTCAATTCAGCGGCATTGATTGCTGCCCCCCACACGCCAGTGCGCGACTCCCGCGCTGGCATTTACCCATAGTCTTGGATTGAAAGGGCCGCTGGATGCGCCCTCGGAAATTCCGCTTTCCCCCACAACCTATCTCTTGACTCGAGTCTGGGATTCCTATTTTGGAGCCCGAGGTCTCTAACCCACAAGTCGACATTGTCTTGCGTCTTGGTCGCTCATTGGTGTGCTGCTGTCCCCCAATGTGGAGGATTAGCCAATGGCGGAGACGGAATGTCGACAGTCTCATGCATGTTCTTGTGTCCTACTGCGTGCTCTATTGGCTGCTTTTCTGTGACTCATTTTTTATGGGGAAACCCCATTTCTCTTGCATGTACGCTGTGCTTTGTACACTGCTTCTAGTACTGTCGTGCCTTTTTTCCTTTGTCCACTAGTTTTATGATCTGCGCCCGGGACAGGCCTACCCCACGCTCGCGGGAAGCCTGTGAGGTCCCTTAAGGGTCTTATGTTACACGCGCTATGAATATTATCTGACGTCTTATTGGAAAATCAGAAGAACCCTTAAAGATAGAACAAGTGTGACCCCCTCAAGTAAGACATCGGGGAGATTCATCACGATGTACAGTCATGTGGGCCCGGGTTTCCAGGCTGGCTCATTCGCGGCGATCACAGAGACAACTCATGCTCTGTGCTTAAATTACCAGATGGTTTTATCTATACATGACTCACTGCTAAGTGTGGCTAATGCTGTGGGAGTCCGAAAGGAGTAAAAAACAGAAAAAAAGGTTGTTTAGCGGCTTGGTCAACCATGGATTGTTTTGAGGCTCTGTCGGCTCCACATGTTCCCCATTCTTTAACATCGAAGTATTCGATCGTCGAACCAATGCGACCGTTGGAAGATGTTATCCCGAGCATTTTGTTCGATTGTTCAACCGTTTGAATGCGTCTCAAGGTCCAATGGAAGCAGCATCAATTCATTCCGCAGTGTTCAACCCTTTTCGATTTCGGAGACAAAGCTGGCAATAAGTGAGTGGATTCGATCTGATCACACTGCCCACAACTACTCTGTCGACTAAGTTGCATTCACATCAAAAACCATAAACTTCTGATCCCGCGCATCCGTCTTCCCAGCAACAACATTGCAGTCCTGCACCTCACAGTCTCTAAGGATAGCCCCACGACCAATCCTAGCCCGCCGACCGATCACACAACCACTCAGCTGGACGCGAGCCTCCACAACCGCCCCCTCCATGATCACACAGCGAGTGATCCGCGCTCCACGTTGGATATGACACTTCGAATCGATGCAGCTCTCCTTCACCACACACGTCGGCTCGATTATCACATGGTCACCGAGCAAGCAGTCTTGTGCTGTGACAATACTGCGCTCGGCGACGAGTTCAGGGGACGAGATCTTGCGTGCGTGTGCAAATGGCGAAGCTGCATTGCGACCGACGTCTTCGAAGGAGGGGAGTTTGGCGAGGAGCAGGGATGTCGCGAGGAGATTGGCGGGGTTGTCGACTCGGCGGATCAGCTGCGGTCCTTGATGGATGTAGGCTAGTAGCTGGGGGAGATCACCGGGGGTTGCAGGAGGAGGATGCTTTTCCGCTTTGAGGCTCTTGGGATCGTGGATGTATTTTGGGGGTTGGGTATTCAGTGCCGATTTGGTGGTGCTGAGGCGGTGCATATCAATTCGGGGGTCCACGTATTTGGCTCCAACGCTGCTGTCGAAGCTTGATTCTTCAAGGGACACAGTGTTGTACTGGACCATGCGGGTTAGACCCAGATTCTCGCCTAGGCCGTCTTGCCAGCCTGATTTCGCCCAGTTTCCGATGAGGTCATCGCTGATTGATTGGATTCGTTGCTGACACCGGACCAGCTCTCTCACCCAGCGTGGGAAGATGTAGATGTGGGCATCGCGCAGATTGGCGAGCAGTCGGACGTGGGCGTGTGTCTTGAGCAAGGAGTGGCGGAGTTGAAGGCCTTTCTCGGCTTCCATCTTACTCTTCGCTGTTGCCATGGGCATCGAAAGAAGCAGCTTGGAAAGATTGAATCGAAGGGGCGCGAATGCGAGGTCAAAGGGTGGGATGGTAACCGCTTCGTCATGGCTTAGAGGCGCGACAGCAATCAAGTCAGAGGTGTCTTTTTGTGAACTGGTGCTTCCCGCATTGTCCGCCGTTTGATAGAAGACAACCAGACCTCCATTTCGACCCTTCTGTCGCACATCCAGAGGTTTCTTCTCATAGGTGTCGAAGGAGCTGCGACGCTGTTTGCTAGATTTGGTCTGACAAATAATACCCTGAGTGGCCATCCATGCTTCGATGAGAGACTCTCCAGACAGGTCGCAGATAAGATCGCAAGGCAGGAGAACAAATTCTGTTTTCAGAACCCCTTGGACTTCCGGGAGGCGCAACAGCTGGGCAGTTGCCATCGTCATCTCTAGACCCTTGGGTGCAATCACCGCAGGGTTCGGGCTATGAAAAGAGGTGAGATACGGATCGAGCTTCATGGCGGAGGAAACTGCCGGGAATGAGGATGGGGGGACGACTAGAGTGATGTCTGAGGTCGTTAGTCGGTGTCATTTCAAGTTGAAGATTGGGATGTACCGTAAATTCCTGCTCGTCTGCAGAACTCGATAGCATAGTAGACCATTGGCCGGTTCCCGACTGGGATCAAACACTTTGGGTACACTTCTGGCTTCGATGTGAAGGTGGTAAGCGACACTCCAGGCCCACACAGGATGAGGGCTTGAAAGCCCAGTGTGAGGGAGGGTGCCATGGCCGTTGAAGAGGGGCTGATATGGCAGAAATATGGATGAAGACGAGGAAGAAGAAGACAAGAGGGAGAGAGAGGGAGAAGAGGAGCAGAGGTGGTATTCTTCTGAAGAAGAGGAAAGAGTGCACATCTACATATTGCGAAGTTTTAAACATCAACTTGTCCAGTCCTGAAATGAATGCTGTTGGCCAAAAGATTTTTATTGACTGATTTTTATCCTTCTGATATATAAAAGCAAAAGTATTTTGAGAACTTGGTACTGACAGCGAGAACACGACAAAAGACAGATCAAAGTTGAGAGGACAATGTCTCGCAAGTAGGCAACTAGCAGTACTCGACCCAGGCATCGAGGTTCATGTTCTTGATGACAGTAGAGAACTTGTCAGCGCTGGCCGCATTGCAAGCCGAGGTCTTGAGCGAAGCCGAAAGAACAGCTCTGGCACGAAGCTTGTGGTGTCCGTGTCCGTAATTGTGCTTGGGCTTGGGGTCGGTAGCTTCTTCGTCGTCAACCTCAACCTCATCCTCTTCGTCTTCTTCATCTTCTTCATCCTCCTCATCTTCTTCATCCTCCTCGTCTTCCTCGTCCTCATCATCTTCGTTGTCTTTGTTGTCTTCGTCATTGGTTGCGTCAGATGCGTCAGTGGCAGCAGCAGTGGATGTGGTGGTAACAGAAATAGTGGCAGAAGCAGTGGCAGACGCAGCGACAGTAGTGGTGCCAGTAGCGGATTCAATAGCCTTGACGCTACCCTCGTTGGTGGCATCATCATCGTCATCCGCTGTCAAAGCAGAGGTAGCAGTGGCCTTGGCAGTGCTGGTGGTAGTGGCATCGCTATCTGTGTCGGAATCGGTGGAAGAAGCAGTACTGCCGGAGCTGCTAGACTCGATAGTCTCATCGGAGTATTCAATGTGGAAGACAGGCTTGTTGACCTCCGTGAAAGCAGCATAGACATCGCACTCATTGTACTCAGCACACTGTTCGTTGACAGACCATTGCATCTTGTCAATAACAGAGCCAATGATATCGCCACCATTCTTGAGTCCAATAGACATTCCTCTCGAGTGAGACTCGGAGGCCAAGAAAGTGAGGAAGTCAATCGAGTCAGCCTCGGTGAGACCGAGTCCGTTCTCATTGCCATACGCATCAATGTTATCCGGGTCAACACCGTCACAGCCCTTCTCCTTTGCCAAGTCCAAACGGGAACTCATGATCGATCGCACGCCGCTGGATTTGATGTTGAGCCAGCGCTCGCCGGGCCACTCGTCGAGGTTGCTGCCGAAGTCGGCAGAGTCAAACTTGCTGAAATCTGGGCGCCAGTCTTCGGAAGTTCCGGCGGAGAAGTAGCAGATGACCTTGTGTCCTTTGCCCTTGAGGGTGGAGATCGTTTCGGCGGTGTTGTCGAACATGTCGATGTCCCAGATATCGGCGTCGACGGTGGTATCTTCAACGGCATCGATCAACTGGATTTGCCATTTGACACCGGCGGCTGGCTGCCAAATGGCTGCATCAGCGGTGGTATCGCGCTTGAACAGAGTGTTCTGGCTGTGGCTCGCTCCATCGGCACGGAGATCGGCCACCAGGGCGATGAAGAAAAGACCCAGGATACACGAAACCAGGGTCTTTCTGTTGGCCACCAGGACCTGCCAGTTTGAGTTTTGGGTGGCATACATCATCTTGAAAAAGTGGGTATTTGAAATGAATGTGTGAATTGAATGTAGAAAGGAATGGATAGACAACTTGAGACCAGCAAGTGTCAGAATGTCAGTAAAAGGAGAGACTGAAGGATAGTGGTTGAATCGTGGGCATTATCGAGCAGAGGATGGATACTTATAGTGCTCGCCATGGGACCTGACAGAATACAGTATACCCTGCATGAGAGTGTTTCATGATCCCAGTATTCGGAGGTATAAGGCTGCACCCGATCCTTGAAGCGGGGGGTCATCGAATCTGGATCTGGCGAAGCCACTAGCGGAGGCCGTTAAACGAGCCAAGCCTCTCCAAACTTGTCACACTGCAGAGCGATCCAGTCACGGAACAGGTACGCAGCAGTGGGAGAATGTACTGTGCGTCAGGGCAGAAGGGATGATGAAACCACTGCCAAGAGCGCCTCGCGGTTGACGTAGTCCGCTCATTTGCGAAGTTTGCATTTTCTTTGATGCAATCTGACAAGTATAGCGTTCTGGCCTGGAGATTTAATTAAGGTGGCGTCCCAATCGGAGGGTCCGCTGATCGTTTAATTAAACACAATCTGGGATCGCCAGAGCGTTTGAACGTGTATAGTTGGGTTAGCAGGGGAATTACAACGGAGAGAACATGTGAATTAAAGCGACAGAGAATGAAAGAGACCTAAGTAGATTCCAAATGAAAGAGAGTGGTGAGATTGACAGGCAAAATACCCGATCTTTAGCATTAGTGTCAAGCCTCCTTAGGGTTAGGCCCAGGAACGCCCAATGGCATCCACTCAGAGTGGCCTGTGGCGGGATACACATGGTGAGCAGAAAACTTCCGCTTCGCCTTGGCACTTTACTAGGGGCGCTTAGCTGCATTTCATGCAAACAAGTCTTGGGATCCTGACGTGCATCTCCATGTACCATTCTGTACTGTGTACTCCGTACTCGATGTCCAATAAAAGAAAATAGTGCCATAGACAGTCATCATTGGACCCTGCGACCTCGCAATCGGCTATTCAATGAAAGAAAAAACCCCTACGGAGCAGTACCTGGGGAGGGTAATTAGATAGGAAATTAAATGGCAAACTGCAACATACTATAGAAATTCTGCCCCCAACCGATGAGGCTGATCTAATTTCTACTCATCTAACCCGTTTACTGCCCATCGTACACCTCATATCCGTACCTCTTTCCGAAATGGTCATCCCTCAAACGCTTCTGACCGGCGCCGTAGACTCTCTCGCGCATTGTACCACTCTCATTCAGGGGCGCATACACGCCCCTCTTTCTCAGCTCGGGCACGAGAAGCTCAACAACATCCTCAAAGGTCCCCGGTGTCTGAACATAGCCAATATTGAATCCATCCAAGTCCGCCACACGGACCCATTCCTCCAAAAAGTCCGCGACAGCACTCGCGGATCCAACAGGAACCGGCCCAGCCCCACCAATTGAAATGTGCTTGCCAATGTTCCTTGGCGTCCATTCCGGGACATCAGGACTCTGGTAACTGAGCGTATTGATCGTGGAATGAACCCGAGCATCAACATGCACATCTGTCGGCTTGATCGGTGTGTCCAAGTCAAATCGACTAAGGTCAATTCCACTTCCCCCGGAGAAGAAGGCCAGGCCAGCTTCCTCGCTTGCATTCGCCAGTGCTTCGCGGTACTTGGCTTGCGCTTCCTCTTCGGTGCGCCCCACTATCGGCGTGAGAATAGCGAATACCTTCACAGATCGGGGATCCCGACCATTTTTCGCTGCTTCTTCGCGGATTGCACGGATGCGTGGGGCGAGGATGTGGGGTGATGGGGCTGATACGAAGATGCCTTCTGCGTGTTTGGCGCCGAAGGATACTCCTGCAGGAGAGGTGCCAGCCTGAAAGAGGAATGGAGTCCGCTGTGGAGACGGATCTAGAATATGGGGACCATCGAACTGGAAATGCTCGCCCTGGTGGTGGATATACTTGATTCGACTCGGGTCAGCATACACGCCTGTTGTGGCATCTTCTTGAAGAGCATCGTCGGCCCAACTGCCCTCCCACAACCTACATCGTGTATGGAGTAAGTCACCAAGATCTGAGTGGTCTTGAGACATGCATCGGGTGAACTTACTTGTATAGAGCTGTCAGGTACTCATCGGCAATCTCGTACCGCTTGTCGTGGTCTACCAGGGGCAAGCCCACCTATGCATGTCAGCTCCAGGTTGAAATTACTGGATTGTCTCAACTCACAGCTTTTGCGGCCGATTGCTTCCAGGATGTCACAATGTTCCACCCGAATCGGCCCCCAGTCAGATGGTCCAGTGTCGAAAATCTCTTTGCGACAACGTATGGAGCTTCGTATGAGGTTGAGGTTGTGATCGCAAATCCAAGGTTCTTGGTCACCGATGCCATAGCAGAGATTGGCTAAATATGCATTAGCGATTGACTCGCAAGCTTGTACATTCGACATACTATCGCAGGGTCACCCATAGGGTACTGGGCGGCGTTTCGGATCGCGGGCTCTGCAGTGCCCTTGTAGGTGTCATACAGACCGAAGGTGTCGGCTAGAAACAGCGCATTGAAATCGCCCTTTTCCAGGATCTTGGCCAAATCGGTCCAATACGACAAGTCTCGTCGCTTAGTTGCTGAGCGGTCGCATGGGTTTCTCCATTGACCGAAGGAAAGGTGGCCTACTGTGAACATGTCGAAGCCATTGAGGTATATCCGTCGCTTTGGAGTTGTACTTTCCGCCATGTTTGATTATTGTCTTCAATCCAGAAGATTTTGCTCCCTGAAACCCTTGGAAAATGTGACAATCTAGTTGAATTAAATGGTTAAATTCCAGTTCTTTCTCTCAAAAGGCAATTATTTATCTTGTTGGGATCATGACCCCCGCTCGGTGCTAACATGCTGTCATTCTCGCAAGATAGCACGAATTTATCCCCCAGCCGTATCAGATCAGACTATCTCAACGTTAGAAATCAAGTCTATACCGTTTAAAGTCATCACTTTCGGAGAAAGACCGAACTAAGTGTCACGAGACATCGCATCATACAGAATCTGAAACGGGCCATACAACAATGGGGCTTCCCTAAGACACAAGCATCCTCTTTTACCCGGAGATCTGCGAGTTTCTTCGACTTGAGCTGATTCCTTACGGCTCCTTCGTACCGATCTCCAAGGTTGGATCTTGAAAGATATTTGACTTTGGGAGTCGATATTGAGCCCTCAGATATGACTCGATATATTTAAAGACATCCACAAAATGAATTGTGAATATTTTAGAAGTAAATCATTTAATGAAAGTGCCTAAGTAGATGATCTCAAGCCCAGGGTCTCCAATTATGACGCTTTTTTCAAGGTTACTCTGAAATTCAGCAGCACTTGGATCGGGTGGCAGCTTGACTTGAGGTCTTTTGGGTGAAAGGTTCCAAGTTTAAGTCAAAACTGGTCTTCAACAGCGCTGTGCACATACTCAACTACTAAAAATCGGATTGGCTGTGAAAAGGGACTAGAGATAACTACCTAGCCCTGAGGTAGGATATGGATTGACTGAGACTCAATATGTATTGATGTGCAAATGAAGTGAGCGATCTGGCCGAGGCTCTGATCCTCGATCTAGAGTAGCTACAGGCGCTAAAAAGATATGCCACGAGGCGCAAATGGGGTCCAGGACAGAGAAACCCCCAGGGATGACAAGTAAAAGCTCAGAATCAAAGCGACAGCAAGATCAAGAGCAGGTCCGCTGAAGCAATTTAAGGACTGGCGCATTTGCCAGACTTGCAGACCAGGTCATCGGAGCAGTCATCCCCGCTGGAGCAAGAGGCTCCTTTGCATGAGTTAGCATCAGTCAAGATGAAAGCCGGAGTGATACTCACCAGCACAATGCCCGGACCACGAGCAGGAAGTCGAGCTGGCACACTTGCCGGACTTGCACACAAGATCGTCTGCGCAATCATCCTCGCTGGAACAGGAAGCACCTTCATAACATATTAGCCAATGCCATCGAAGCAATCATCGTAAGAGTAGTCCCACCAGCGCAGTGTCCAGACCACGAGCAAGAGCCGCTCGTGGGAGAAGAACCGATTGTTGTAGTGGTCAAGGTGGTAGGTGATGACCCCCCACCAATCAAGCCAAGGTTCTTTGCCAGCGCATTCACCAGGCGATCACCCATGGAACGCAGGGTGCTGAAATTGGTGATGTAGTTCTTGTTCAAAGCACTACCAGGAAGAACCGATTCCGCCCCGGTGAAAACGATGTCTGCTGGAGTTAGCACAGATCAAAATCAGCTTGGTTCTCCACTTACAGGTCACATCGGCAGCACCGTGGCCGGCGTTTCCGTTCAAATCGTCATTTGGGAAACAGGTCCGGGCCATCAACCAGGATGCCTCTCCAATGACCTCCGGAGTATCTCCGTTGCTGTCGCCGTAGATGCCATAGAACATCTTCCCGTTGCTGTTTTGTTGTCAGATAGACGGCAAGCTCCACGGACTTGGAAAACTTACCAAATGACAGCAGCGAGGTTGTTGCCGGGGAACTCACTGGGATAAGCAGTGGCGAATTGATCAGGAATGACGATGAAGGGCACCTCATATGCCGACAGAGCACCAAAGTTTGTCTGGGCCTGCCCATCAGGATTGCCCTATCCAGACTGTCAGTAAACGTGCATTCACACGATGGCCTACACCTGGCTCATACCTTGCAATTGTGGTTCAGGCCATCGCAGTCCACATCCATATCTGCGACAAAGACAAATGCCGCTCCCTAATCAGCAGGTCAGTAAATCGATGAAATGACCCAAGCCCATGCACCCAACATGATACATACCTCGGAAAACTTGGACCAGTCACTGTGAATAGTGACTCTTTGAGCACCACCATTGTTGTTGATGGCATATGTGGACTTGGATGCAGCAGTGCTGACCTTAGCCGCAGCACTCTGCAAGGCAGCAACGGGGATCGTTGTTGCCGCAGCGAAATAACTAGCCGGAGGGCCGGCAGTCGGGTTGTTGAATTCGGCGCCGTTCACCTGTTGAGCTAGACAGGTGCCCGCAAAAATAAAGAGGGCCGCAAAAGACTTGAGCATCATGATTGCGGAACAGAAGGTTCACAGGGGCTTGAGTTCAAGACCTTTTGAGGAGTCGACGCAGGTCTTTATACTCCTGCACTCTGAGACAACAATCAAACAAGTGCCTCTGGAAGGTCACACCGAGGCACAAGCTGCTCAGGGCACTTGTGGGTTGAAGTCCCGAATAGATTAAATGCAGGGACTAAGAAGCGTAGCGTGTGCTATTTCCCATCGTGGTCAGCTCGATCCATGCGGGTGGTCACGGGTATGCATGAAGTTGGAGTATACTAACCCAAGATGGAGCTGAACACTGCACTTACTAACCAGAACAGTCAAAGGGGGCTTAGTGGAGAAGTGCAGGATTTTCCTATTTCGTACAACGTGTCAGGACGATTGGTAGAGAAGAGAAAAGTTGAGAAGGGAAGAAGAGGGTGGGATGATTGTGGCTCCTTTTATGAACCTCTTCCCAAATGGGCGTCGGGGGATTTTGACGTAAATCCAAGTCATATACAAGTCTAGATTCCCCTGGACTCTCCTGTCGGCAGCACCGATCGAGACAGTCGGCGGAGTTACAAAGCTTAACTATACTAGAAGGCTTCATCGGAGCCAAGGAAATATATAGTTCTGCCAGTGGGCGCGAGACAGCAATTGCCTACTGACTGAAATGGAACGGGGATAGTTCCATGGTTTCTTCCCGCCGACAAAAAGGAACTGATTTTGACTTTCAAAGTTGGAAAGAACCTTGGGCACCCACAGGTCTAGAGGTAAATAGCCATAGCCCTGGAGCTCGAGCACTTGCATAGCCATGACCCCTGTAGTCCTGGAGGTCAACATACCACAGCAAGCCCTAAGGTCCTCAATCAACGACTTAGAGTAAGCCCAGCAAAGGTTCAATATGAGATCAGATAGAAGTCCAGTGAAGCGGAGATGTCCGCTCCCTCGATCTTGTAGCCGCTAGCGAACAGATACCTCCAGACAATCCGTGATGTCACATCCATACTCGTATAGTGCGGTCATCCACGGTGGCATTTTGAGACAGCATGAGCCCAATGCCTATCACCCAGTCAGACGACGAGGAATAAATTGACCTCCTTTGCGACACGGAACCCCTGGCTGCCTCAGTTGCATGTGGACACTGCAGTGGAAGAAAGAGATGACTCAGCCCACGTGACCGCGAAACCGTCAACTCGGGGCTCGAATTTATCCCGCAACGTCAACTCGACCAACGAACCTCGAGACCGCCCAAGATGGCCAAGAAAGGTACGTGAATGGTTCAATTTAACTGCAAGCATCTCGATTGCATCCCACATTCCCGACGCGGCGCAATGCCCCCGATCCGACCAGCCCCCGATCCTCAGCTAACAACCCAACAGCGAAGTCCCGAACTGTTGCCGTCCGGTTGATCTCCATGGCCATGACCGGCTACTACCGCACAATGATCCGGCCGCGTGTGCACCGCCCGCTCAGCATGATGAAGTACGATCCCGTGGTCAAGAAGCAGGTGCTTTTCCTTGAGGCGACGAAGGGTGGAAAGAACAAATAAGCGCTTCGCTGAGATCGAATTGCATCAATTACTCCGTTCGACACCGGCTCTCAATCCGTTGACCCGATTGCGAAGGCGATTCCGATCTCGACCTCCGAACTCCACCTTGCCGCGCAACCGCTCTTCCGATTCTTCGATACCCGGGATATTGTGCGGTGTGAAATAGGCGAAAAGGTGCCAGGGACGATCCCTGTTTGTACATTATTTACTGGGAGGATGCAAGCGGGAAGTTGTGGATTCATAATTTCTCCGATGTTTTGCGGTATACCTCTTGGAGCATTGTGTTTGGCGTTAAAGAATACAGATATGGGTACCTTGAATAAAGAATAAACCCATCTCCCACCTCCCAATTCGCTACTTCATGTATCCGATCGAAATGCTCCGAATGGCGATAAAGCCCCATAAAGTGAACCCTCTCGAAAACAGTGTCTCACAGCATGAGTCTCAATAGTAAGTCGACATGCCTACAATATGAATGGTTAAGACACGGCGCGTTCATGGCCCGTCGCCTGATCACCCTGCGTCTTGGCTGAATCGCTCAGAGTAGCGGTCGCCTTGGTACGGTTAGTCCAGTGCTACATGGAGAAATGAGACACCTTACCTCGACTGCGGCGCTTGGCCCGGGCTCGCAAATTAGTAGATGTGCTGACCGCGTTGCTTTTACTACTGCCTGAAGCCAGACCTTTTGGGCTGAGACGTCGTTCCGGCTCGACGCCTGTCTTACGCGATCTCTTTGGTGGCTTGCAGGGCGCACCGGGGTCTTCGGCCGTAATGGTCGAGCCTTGTCGAGGATTTGCGGTTGGATCCTCAATGGATGGCTGCAATTCCGTTTTTTCGTCAGCGTGGTTTTCGTCCTGGACCACAGATTGACGGAGACGACTGTAGGTGCGCTTATACGTGCGCTTAGTCTCTTTGCTTTCGGAGTCTCTGCCGGAACTCTCATCAGTGGCATCTGATAGCCGCCGTGTTCCCTTGACCTCAGCCTGGGAGGAAAGACGCGACCCCTCGAAGCTGACTACCTTTCGCCTCGCGTTGACTTGTTTAATTTTGGGGCAATCGTAAGAGACCTTCTCACGAAGCTCTCCATGATGGACCAGTTGGGACTTCTCGATATTGGCGGAATCAACCACAGAGTCAGCCTCTTTGGCAACCTCGTTTCCTTTATCAGATGTCTCTGGAGCCTTTGGGGCGTCCTTGAGCCGATCACATGGTGCTCTTTGGCTGGAAGCAAAAGGCCCCTGGAGGTCGGGTGTTGACAGCATGAGCATTTCCAGCTCAGCTGTATCGTTGAACAATGAAAAGTCATCGCCTTCAGCTGCAATTTTCTCATGGAGACTGGAGAACGGCACGATGTGGCCATGGTCAATGGGTAGCATGCGCCGCGGGTCAACACAATTGTCATGCTCAAACGACTTGGGAGCATCGCAGACACTTGGTGGTAGTCTTTGCTCCAGCGGAAGTCTTTCACTTGCATCGCGAAGCCTTTCAACAAGCTCATTCGCAAATTCAGCCTCCGCGTCACGTTTCTCCAGCCCTTCGGCATCATTGCCTTTCCTCTCAGTCTCCACCTCATCATTTTGTTCAACGCTGGTGCATAATGTGTTTTCCGTGGTGCGCTGCGTGACTGACAATTTCAGCGCAGTTTCGATTCTCTGCCATGTCAATTCGAAAGGCTCGTCTGGATGTATTTCCATAATCTTCGCAAGCCCTTCTCGCATTGTGACTTGCCAGCTTTCGGCTTCTTGGGCTCGCTGAAGAAGGGATACAATCTCAGCATCAGCCTCTCCTCCAATCTTCTCCAAAGCTGCAGACCGGGATTCGAGCAGGCTGATGGCTTGTTTCATGGACTGCATCTCTTCGCTTTTTCGTGTCGCTTCCAGCTCGAGCAACACAAATGCTTTTTCCGCCTCTTGCTTAGCCTTTTCCATCATACTTTCCGATTGAGTCTTGAGTTCCAGTTGTGCCTCAAGCCTGTGAGCCTTCCGATTAGCTTGATCGAGTAGCTCCTTAGCCATCTCTTTCTCCGAATGAAGCTTATTCTCGGAGGCCTTGGTCATCTGCAATTCAACCTCAATTGCTTTCTCTTTGAGAACATATTCGGAACATGCTTTGGTTAGATCTTCAATCTGTGCCTGTGATTCTTGGCGCTGGGAATGTCAACACGATTCAAGGAAGCAACATCGCAAAGAGTTACCTTTAAGTTTCCTTCCAATCGATTATTTTCTGCTGATTCGTTGGTCTGGGCCTTGGCAATGTTAGTGGAATTCGGTCACCGGGTGTTGATGAAATCTCACCAGCAAAGTCTGAGCATCGGAAAGCTGTGTTTTCAAGTTCTTTAGATCATGTTCAAGTCGAATGTTGATCGTCTCAAGGTCTCTGACTTCGTGTTCGAACTTCTCTCTCATGCCATCCTGCGACGTTCTGGCGGCGATGGTCAGTTCCTCTCGGATTCTCTGTTCGAGTATCACAAGCTCTCCACGCAAAGCTGTTTTCTCGATTTCGCACCGGGAAACTTGGCCCCTATGCTCCTGTTCATTGTCCATTGACTCTTTCAACTTGTTTTGAAGTTGCATGACTTCAGATGTCTTGCTGCTGACTTGCATTCGAAGAGAATCAATCTCACTTGAGATCTGTTGGAGCCGAAGGTGCAACTGTGTGTTTTCAGAAAACTTCGCTGTGAGCTCTTTCTCTAAGACAGGATTTCCTGCTGGTATCCTGGCCGCAGATAGCATTTGACCGAAGTTCTGCAGTGCGCCAATGAGCTCCGTCTCAGTAGCCTCAACGGTCTTGACCAAAGCCCCCAGACTCCCGAGACTTGGTGTAACCGCTTGAACTTGCTGTTGGAGGCTGTTATAACAATTTTCGTTGTTGGCAAGTTGCTTGACCAGCGATGAGTATGGGCCAAGGTTGCTTTCCACTGATTGCAGGCCCTCACGTAGTGCCTCGGCCACGCTGTTGCTCATTTCATTATTTTTGTCAAGATCACTTGTGAACTGACCCGCCAGGGACCCAAAGCTGTATGATCTATTAGCCCAGGCCACAGATATTCACGAAGATTCTTCAAACTGACCGAGAGGCCGCTTCTTCGATACTTTTGGCGAAGTGCTCGGCATCCAGCGTTTCAGCAGAGTGCTGTTTCTTCATGTCCTCAACTGATGCGACACATCTCTCGACTTCTGGACTCAGTTTTGACAGGATAACATCTTGTGTTCCAAGACATGCCTTGCTGAATTGATCGCACATGGCATCAAGCTTCTCGGTCATTCTGCCTTGCTCTTTCTTGACAACATACAGGTACCGGGCCTGAGTCTGAGATTCGTTTTGGATATAAGTCTCTAGCGTCACGATTCGCTTTCTCTCGCCCACAAGCTGACTCTTGATGAGATCTCCCCTTTTCTCTGAATGATTCAATGCATCTGTTAAATGAGCAATCGCGCCATCGGAGGTAGCAAGCTTCTTTTTCTGGCCCTCGGCCGTTTCAGTGTGTCTCGAGACTTGCATCTTGAGATCCTCCAGGGTGGCTTGGATTTGTGATTTTTCATCGCCTAGGGATACCGCGATCTCTTTCAAACTCATTGTCTGTTCCCGGACCTTGTCATATTCACGACCAAGCTCTCCGATGATGCCCTTGAACATGACAATCTTTGCCCTCCACTGGTCTAACTGTGCGCGCTGGCCTTTGTTTTCAGAAGAGGCTTTGGCAAGTTGCCCTTGTTGCTTTCTAACTCGCTCCTGCAAATTCTGGTTTGTTTCTTTCAGTGCCTGGTTTTCCGATTCGATCTGTCGTATAATGCTCGCGGTGTTTTGCTCGCTCTCCTCTCGCTGTCTTATCTTCACAATGAGCTGTTCGAAGAGGTCATTCTCACTCAATTGAATGATTCTTTTACCGGTAGGATTTGGAAGCAGCTTGCTTTGTGGGGCCTCCTTTTCAACCGGATCAACCCTTTTGGAAGCAGGTTGGGTGTTGACCGGTCTCAGAGGCACCCTTGATCGTGGAAGGCTCGTGATAGCCTGAGGCCTACGTTGAGGCTGAGGCTCTTGCTTTGATTCTGGGGGTAGAGGAAAAGATGTCTTGTTTCCACTTGGTTTCGAAACATCCTTGCTGGCTGGCAGCGCGGCTCCACCATCTGATGTCCCCTCAAGGTTTACCCGGTGGTATCCATCTTCAGCAGGCGCATTTACTTGGGACACGGTTTTGGCATGCACGGGGTCAGCAACTGACTGGTCTTCGCATTGACTATTGACCGGGTCGGGGATCACATTTGTCACATCGCTGACTCTCGAAAGTCGAGGTGTGCGCTGGGCAAGCAAAGGCAGCCTCGCTGGGGCAGGGCAATTAGACACTGGCTTGGTGATATTCATGCGAGGGTTGACCGGTCTATGTCACTCACGAAACCTCGCTGTGAGCGATTGTCCACGTTGTTGCATAGGGTCTGTGATTTACATACGTGTCTGGTCTGATCCATGGCAGGTCAGCGACTGCCTCCCTGCTCGCTGGCTGGTTAGAGGGCGGGGGGCTGTCAATCGGGGTCGAGGTTGTTGAGGGTTGCTTATGGATGGCTTTCAAAGAGAATGGCCTTCTGCTTGATGCGGGCTTGGTGAACGAGAACACTGGATCCTCGGGCAAGTCGCTCTTGGGGCGCTGCAGTAGGTGAGATGTGCCAGTGATTTCCATGTTGACTTCTCCCAGGCATCCTCCGACAGAGGGAGGGGGGAGGGGAATCAGACATACGATTGGCAATCGAAGCAGAAGCAGAAGCAGAAGTTGGCCTCAAGTGCTAGTAGAGTGAGGTGGCCCGGGCTGACATCCATTGATGAGGAAGGTGCGAGTCTCTCTGCCCGAGGGGTTGGAACACTGCATATTCCCATAGCTTCATAGATTCCTCTACCCAGGTGGTGATTTCCCAGGTCATTAGAAATAATCGCAGAATGGTTCTCGTAGAAGCAAATTTCTGGGATCTACAGCGATTTCCCACGGATTTGCGCATGTGCATGAGAGAAGCTCATGCGTACGTATCCATTTGATATGTACCTCAACGTCAATCTCGAGCTCTGATATCATTCACAACGATACAGTGAGGTTGCCTGTCGCAATTACTGTTTACAGATTTCTCGACCTATACAAAGTAGATCGGAACCGAAGTATTCACCTAGGTATGTGAATATAGTAGTACCCATCCCGCAAGTTGCATCGTGCACTGGGAGTGGATATTCATAACTTCAGATGAACCTCAATTGATGTTATTTGTCCAGGTGCTTTTCTATTGTCTTGAGTGAATTGGGTCTAACAAGCTGCCCAGGTGGCCAAAAGCTGATTGTCATCGGGGACGTCCATGCACATCCCCCGAGGTGTGACTATCGGACCATGCCAGGTCAAAAGGCATATGATAGACTCGTATAAGTCCGAAATAGAAATGGGTCAGTCCCCACCGCTTGTTTCAAGTAGAGGGAAATTGGCTTAAAGTTGTGGAACAATCTGACTGACTCGCTGATGTGCTCATAGGCCCCATCTGAGGCTGTAACGAGACCTCGGGAACACCAACACCTAATTTCACGAAGAGAAACTCAAATGAGAGGGATCGAGCTCTTTGAAAGTTCTGGCTATCTGAAACGACCCGTCTCAACTTGCCCAGAGCTTCTTTGTTGCTCAGCCAACCTATGAGAAACGACAGGGGTGGGACCTGTAAGCTCCCCTGATGAGCTTACTTGGCTACAAGGTTTCTAGTGACCCGTTTGGCGTTTTCGTTTGGCCCGCGAACCCTGTGGCTGTGACGCTAGTAATCTGACCGTGTCTAAAGATGAATAAATAATGAGAAGCTGGATCGCCTCCGTCGGCCGTTGAGATGTGCTCCGTAAAAGAACGGGAATCGAAGAAATCAATGGACATACGTGTCTCACGCACTAGGAGCCAAGGATCATCTAGAGCTGCAGGCTAAGCAAGCGACATGTGATAGGTCCGATCGAGCCTCGCGTCGAATATTCTACACGGCTTCCAGGGCCGTTCTGTGCGACACCGGCGTTGCCGAGAGAACTTCGATTCCGATCAGCAACGTGGCGGCCACGAGAAATCGGGGAAAATAGGGCATATCGCTGGTGATGAGTCCAGCGCAGGTTGCATACATGCACGCTGCAGCGTCGTCTGTTTCGATCGAACTAATGAAGGATCACAATGTGATTTGTGAGATCTTTCCGCAACATCGGCAATGTTCATTGAAACCTCCCGGGAGTTGTCCTGGGCCATGGCAAAGTCTCACATGGAGAGAGCGTTGGGCGTGGCGATTAGTAAATCGTGATCTACTGTAGACAGGTACTTTGTGTCGGGTGCCCCCTAGGTGCCACCCGGTTTCAAGTTGAATTTTGATCGCCGGGATGTTCGTCTAGGATCAAACTGGACAAGTCACTGAACGAATGGCGCGAAGTCTGTGCATCCTGGAGCGGATACGTTGGCCTCCGCCCATCACACTAAGCGGGCCCCGGTTCGTACTGGGCAAGGCCGGCTGCTCTCCGCTTTCGACGGAGGGTTGCACATGGAGAAGGTCGTGGGTCCCCCGACATTGAATTTCTTCGACTTGGGAGGTCTGTCTAGACTTGAAAGGCACGGACGGGGAGGGGGCAACGCTCGGCAATATCGCTACCGCAGCTAGCCTTGAAAGGTATCAAGACAGTGTAGATCGCACGGCGACAGCCAGAATGAGCATAGTATCGCATTGGGTAAAACGAAGAAAGCCAAAGGGCCTTTTATTTTTTTCTTTCACCCTTTTCCCCATTCGTTGCGCGTCACGCGTGATTGGCCCGCACTTACTGCCGCTCCTGACAGACCGCTCGCCCGCTTCATCCCCTTTCTTTCATCTGCTTCAACTTCCCGATCTGAGAACGGGTTTTTGCTTCTTATTGGTGTCAGTCGACCCTTTTGTCTCTTTCTATCTACCTCTGGCCTGCGACCCTTCTGCAAATTGCGCCGCCTGCTAGCTCCCGAGCCCCCGATCTCTCGATATACATATGCAGCCTAGAATCCTGGCATCTTAACTTTTTTTTTCCTTGCCTGGAGCTTTGATACATTACTCGTGCTCAACTGTACAGCTTGTCGCAACCGTGCAGTTATTTGCATTCGGACCTGCATAGAACGCCTTGCGACTCTGAAACACTCGACCCCCGCCCGGCCGCTCTACATTCGGAATTCGGTCACCTCCCATGGACATTGCGATTTGAGCTCGATATTCGCCAATACTGATTGCATTGTTGTCTCGGTCTACTCGCGTTTAACGTATCCTCTCGCCGAAAATTGCTGGGATCAGTGACATGTTGCCGGCGTACTAGTCAGCCTTTGAAATACCTCGTCCACCGCTCGGTTTCTCCAACATGGGTAACACTCAGGGAAAGCCAGTTAACTGCAATGATGCAGGTATGTTCAGATTTCCGAATCGTTCGCCCGAGCAAAAGAAATTGTTGCTCGAGCTTTATCACCCCGCTTTGACGCTTGAACGATAAGCTGATCGCCGTGGCTCTACTAGTCAACCTTAATCATTTCCGACTTCTTCGTGTGGTAGGCAAGGGTGCCTTCGGCAAAGTTCGAATTGTCGAGAGAAAGGATACCGGCCTCACATTCGCCCTGAAATATATTCGCAAGGAGGAAGGTTCGTGAAAGCTCGAGACCCCCGTTCGCCACGGACCCGCTGACACCCCGTCCAGTCGTTCGCTCGGAAAGTGTACGGAATATCATTCGTGAACGCCGAATGTTGGAACACTTGAACCACCCGTTCCTTTGTAATTTGCGGTACAGCTTCCAGGATATGGAGTATATGTGAGTCGGCCCCATTTGGCTCGGATCACCGGTTTCTAATTTGAAACAGTTACATCGTGGTTGATCTCATGAATGGTGGTGACCTCCGCTTCCACATCTCACGGAAATGTTTCACAGAAGATGCAGTGCGCTTTTGGATGGCCGAATTGGGTTGTGCTTTAAAATACATCCATTCGCAGGGTATCATCCATCGTGATCTGAAACCCGACAATGTGTTGTTAGATTCGGAGGGACATGTTCACTTGGCAGACTTTGTAAGTTCTACAGTGATCAATCGGGAGCTCTCGTCTAACATTGAACCATCAGAACGTGGCCTCGGATTTCAGGCCAGGGAAGCCTCTCACTAGCAAGTCGGGAACGCTAGCCTACTTGGCGCCGGAGGTCTACGAGGGCAGTGGTTACACTTTCGAGGTGGATTGGTGGTCATTAGGTGTGACATTTTACGAGTGCATCTACAACAAGGTATGTCCAAGTCGCTGTTCACCCTTGGTTTGATCTAATTCGGATTGCAGCGCCCCTTCGAAGGTCGAAGCCAGGATACATTGAGCGAGAACATCAAAAAAGCGCAACCTAAATACTATGTCACCAACCCCGCAGTATCAGTTCCCTGCCTGCGTGCATTGGGGTCATTGATGCAAAAAGACCGAAGTCAGCGAATCGGAGCTATTGGCTGGGAAACTTACACTCAGCACATGTTCTTTGCGGAAATCGATTTCGAAGCTCTCGAGCGGAAACAGATTCCGCCCGTGTTCCGCCCATCCAGCGACAAAACCAATTTCGATGCGACGTACGACCTGGAAGAGCTTCTTCTTGAAGAAGCCCCACTCGAGGCCCGGGCTCGCAGGCAAAAGCCGCGAGCTGAATTGAGGGAGGATGCGACCGCAAAGGAAATCCGAGAGGATGAGCTTCACCGACTCATTGAAACGATGTTTGAGCCGTTTGACTACACCTTGACGAACTACCAGGGCAATGCCGCTGATGCCATCGCTGCTGCTACGTGAGTTATCAATCTCCGAAATGCTTCGTTGTTTTGGAAAATCCTAACATGACTTACTAGTAACCCCGAGGACTGCTTCCCGGTAACTACAACAAACTCTGCCAACGCCGAACATGCGCGCCAAATCTCTCAAGCCGATGCCCCCAAAACCATACACCCCTCTCAGTCCGACGGACAGTACCGTGCTTCCCCAAGCCAGCAAATCACTACAGTCAATGAGAACCTGAACGCTCAAGATCCTGCGACTGGCCCACCGCCGCCATCACCTTCTAATCGCGTCTCACCCTCACCACCGCCCGCCCCATCTTTCCACCGACCTCTCCCCCACAACCACCGTCCACGCGGCGCCACACGGCAAATGAGCAAGAGTGGAGGTGTACAGATGGTACTCAACGAAGCTGGCAGCTGGAGTGAGCTGGCTCATTCCTCTTCCACACTTCCCGCCGAAGGCCTGGAGGGCGGTGACGACAAAGGCAAGCAAGCCAACGGCATGCTTTCCTTCTTCAGCCGCAAGAAGGGTCGCGACCGCAGCCCCAAGCCAACTGAACCCGGTGTTCTGGGCAAGGAGGGAGCCAGACAGATCATCAACTGAGGCCCTTTGGGGTACAAAAAATATACTCGGTACCGGGTGGCGGCGGTGCTCCGAACCACGAGGACTTCAAGATTTGAGGGTGTGTGCTATTGCTTGCACCTCTGTCTCTGATTCAAAATTGGTAGCCCTTTGCTATCACGAATTCCGAGACAAGACCTCGTGCGAATCACGACTCTTGCATCTTCCAACCTGGCTGCCGCTATGTGCCCGACACTCTGGCTGGTTCACTGCATTTTGGACCGGTTGAGAACAGACTGCATCGTTGAAAACACCGCCACACACTGCGTGCCCGAGGCACCATTCAACCTTCTTTCTTAGATTCCCTGTGAACAGCGAGATATCCCATCACCCTCTGTTTACTCCCCAGCTGTACAGATGTCCCGGGGAGCCCCCAGATAACCAGATCCTCGTTCCGCTCCCTTCTCTTCTCAGGACCGGCTCGCATTTTGTCTTCCCTTCGCAATGATGTGTTCTTCAATCTTTTCGTGATTCCCTGGAGTTTGCATACCCACTCGTTGATATGACTTTTTGTTTTCTAGAATGGCTTGGAGCATGTATACGTGGACTGGATAGGGTGTATTTAATGTCTTTTATTACCTGTGAACTATATTGAATGGATCTTACCCCTGATCCTCACCGATGACACAACGTTTAGTGACTGTTTGAACACCGGTCTCGGGCTTTTGAAGTTGAAGACTCCGATGTGAGACTTGCCAATGCTGCGTGGGGCTTGGCCCTCCAGTTAGGTAGTAGGAGAATTGCGAGGTCCGTCTGGGCACGAATTGGCCGAACCCATTTAGCTCAATTGAACAGGCGAAAAACGTACTTTGGAGCAAGGGGAGATGAGCTATACATAGAATGAGATGTTTCTGCGCGACACCAAGAGGTCCAAGTCCAGTTACACACGACCGAAAGGAAAGCAAATAAATCATTCCAATATAATTTCCAATCTAATCTGCGAGAACAAGAAAGAATACATAGTGTAGTCGCCCTCTATAAAGGACAGTGAAGTAAACATAGCGCCGATCGTGTGGGGAAAAACCAAAACAACGCAGCCTAACCAAGATCTCGCCTGAACGTCGGAGAAAAACTTGGCCATGAGTTGATTTGTTTCCAGACGGGCTCAGCCCCAATAGTCACATTTCACATAAAAGAACATTCCACCCCCGACATTCCACATCTTCCTTAACCAAACGAAGGCATGCCGAGCCAATCGCGCGACCGAGACCGTCGCGACAGACGAGAAAGGGATCGCACTCGGGACCACGATCGCCGGCGTCGAGATCGCGACTCCGACCGTGACCGCGAGTATATCCGTGGTCGCTACGAAGACCCCGTTGAAGGCACACCCAGTCCCAGCAACGAGCGGAGCGCAAAGTACCGCTTCCGCGGGGAGTCGGGCTACGAATCGAACTCACACACGGAACGCGATGAATACGACGAAGAGCGTGAGCTAGAGCGCGAACGAAGACGAGAACGGAGACGTCGACGCCGCGAAGAAGATGCTCTGGCCTACGGGTCTCCTGTTTCGGATCGACGGAGGGAACGGGGAAGTTCCAGGCCCACCGATTCCCCTGCTTCGCCGGCAAAGAGGAGGGAGCGCCGAGACCGTGATGGACATCGAAGACGGGATGAGGACAGCCCTGTGAGAGAGCGTCGGAATCGTGATATGAATGTTGATGCCGAGACGGAGGCGCGACGACACAGACGACGTGAGCGCGAACGGGAAAGGGAACGTCAGCGTGAGAGGGAGATTGATGCTGTGGCTGATGTGCCGGCGCGGAAACATCGCAGTACGGAATCTTCGAGCAGTGCGTCGCACCTCCTAAGCGTTGACGCTATGGCGCGGCTGGCTGCTCAACATGAATATGATGATCGGAATGATTTGGCTCGCGAAGAAGAAGAAGCGCGCAGAGAGCGGAGGCGTCAGCGAAAACGACCGGTCGTGGACGATGCTGGCAGTGCTACGCTCAGTGCTGATGTCGCGGAGGCACGAACACGCCACAAATCGGGGGCTCGAGTTGCGTCCGGCGCATACTTGGAGGAAGGGCACAGTTCCGATGCGCGGGTTCGTCGTCGGGGCGGCGGTGGTCCCGCCATGGATGATCACTGGAAGGAAGAGGATAGCTGGGAAGGCAGTTATGACAGTCGAGGACCGCCGACGTGGAAATTCTGGTCAAATTGGTCGAAGAGGAAGCGTATTCTACTTGGCTGTTTACTGCTGTTGGTCCTGGTCCTGGCAATTGTCATACCAGTTGCTGTTGTCGTTTCCAAAAAGAATGATACAGACACAGGCTCATCCGGATCCTCCAGCTCGGGTGGTCCTTCCAATTCAAACCTGGACAGCATCAGTCGCGACAGTATTCCGGTTGGTTTTGAATTGAATTGCTCCCTGAACTTGACTAACGATTACTCAGAGTTATGCCAAGGGCACTGTCTTAGACCCATTTACATGGTACGACACCAATGGATTCAATGTGACATTCACCAATGCCACCGTGGGTGGTCTTTCTCTCATGGGGATCAACTCGACCTGGGATGACTCGACGAGGGCAAACGACAAGGTACCTCCCCTCAATGAGGCGTTCCCGTATGGGAGTCAACCAATTCGTGGTGTAAATATCGGAGGATGGCTGTCTATTGAGCCATTCATTACTCCCTCATTATTCAAAAGATGGTCATCATCTGATGGAATCGTCGATGAGTACACCCTAACCAAGAAGCTCGGCAACTCCGCGGCATCGACAATTGAAAAGCACTATGCCGACTTCATCTCCGAATCGGACTTCAAAGAAATACAAGACGCCGGATTAGATCATGTTCGGATCCAGTACTCCTACTGGGCCGTCACTACCTACGACGGTGATCCCTACGTCCCCAAGATCTCCTGGCGTTATCTTCTGCGCTCCATTGAATGGGCCCGCAAGTACGGACTGCGTGTGAAGCTTGACATCCACGGTCTCCCAGGCAGCCAGAATGGCTGGAACCACAGTGGCCGCTTGGGGAGCATCAATTGGCTGGTTGGCTCAGACGGCGAACTCAACCGTAAGCGCTCGCTTGAAATTCACGACCAAATTTCCCAGTTCTTTGCCCAAGACAGATACAAGAACGTGGTTACAATCTACGGCTTGGTGAATGAGCCTCTCATGCTATCACTGCCGGCTGATAAGGTTCTGAACTGGACGACGGAGGCATCACACTTGGTGCGAAAGAACGGCATCAATGCGACTTTGGTTCTGCACGATGGCTTTTTGAACCTCAACAAATGGGACAACATGTACAAGTCTCACCCGGACAATATGTACCTGGACACCCACCAGTACACTACTTTCAACACGGGCGAAATTGTCCTCAACCACACTGCCAAGGTTGAAATTATCTGCAAAAACTGGTATTCCATGCTCCAGGAGATTAACTCGACATCAACTGGGTAAGTGGCGCTTCAGGCACCTTGAATATTCAACTAACCAGAGCAGATGGGGCCCTACCATATGCGGCGAGTGGTCTCAAGCAGACACAGACTGCGCGCAATACGTCAACAATGTCGGTCGCGGTACTCGTTGGGAAGGCACCTACGACACCAAAGATTCCACCGCGTACTGCCCAACAGCAGATGACGGAACCTGCAGCTGTTCCAAGACAATGGTCGACCCTGCCGTGTATTCAGACACGTACAAAAGCTTCCTGCTGACCTATGCCGAGGCCCAAATGTCCGCCTTCGAAACAGCCATGGGCTGGTTCTACTGGACCTGGCGCACCGAGTCAGCAGCACAATGGAGCTACCGCACAGCGTGGAAGAACGGATTCATGCCCAGTAAGGCATACTCGCCGGGCTTCAAGTGCGGAGACACGATCCCCGATTTCTCGGGCATGCCCGAGTTCTACTGAGCCCGATATTACTGAATAACAAAGTCACGCATATTTGTAAGATACGATTTAATTCATCACGGTCTGCATGAGGACATGAAAGCCAAATATCCCTGAAACTGCATCTGCCCTCTCGTAGAGCGAAGTATCTAGGCCTTGAACCATCCTCCCTCCTCCCACGCACCCGGCACATAGGCATGTTCCTTTCGAACCCATTGGTGCCTTATGCCCCCAAGCAGCCGATCGAGTCGCTGGAAATCGATCGGCTTCATGATCCATCCATCAAATCCCGTCCTGAGGTAAACGTTGCGGTTCTCTTCAAACAGAGATGCAGACACGGCAAAGATGGGAATGCGAGGTGCAGGGGTCGTCTCGTTGGCTATTTCCTGCTGTTCGTATTCGCGGATCAGTCTCGTTGCACCGAGGCCATCGACGATAGGCATCTGGGATCGAGGATTAGCAGGTTATGCATCGCTGGGGGGGGGGGGGGGGGCGGGGTTGACGCACTTGCAGATCCATCAGTACAGCATCAAAGCGATTGGGATTCTCCTTGTAAACGGTCAAGCATTCCTTGCCGTTGGGCGTGAGGTGGACAGTATGGCCGAACTTTTCCAAGCGTTTCTTCATGATCGTGCTGTTGATGGGATCGTCTTCAGCAACGAGGACGTGCAGACTCCAATCCATTGGTGATGAGGCAGTCGGTGTTTGTGGTGCAGTTTTCAGTGAAGGACTTTTTGGCGACGAGTGAAGTGATTCGGCGGTGGTTTCGGATGGTGAATCACAAGGGTCTTGGTTGTTTGCCTCACTCTCGATCTTCTGGGCAGAAAGTGAGAGGGTTCTACTCTCCCCAGTCTGCAGATTGACGTCGATGTAGACACCTCGTTCCCCAGACCTGAACTCTGGAGTCTCACCACATTCGCACAGAATCCCATCCTTCTTCATGCAACTCGACACATCGCCTTCCTTCAGTTTATCTTTGAGTTTTGTATTCATATTGTCGTCGCGACCAGCCGAGCTTTCATTCTCCTCAGGAAGAGGAAACTCAAGCCTGATCTTGAAGCAACTCCCTTTCCCTGCCTCCGACTTCAAGCTGAGCTGACCATTCATGTTGCGCACGATCCGAGCCACCAGAGCAAGACCCAGACCGAGGACGCTCTCATTAGGCTGAGACTGGTCACTAGCCTGGTCATAGGCCTTCGGGTTCTTCATGTACCCTTTGTGAGACACTTGCTCGAGCTCACAAAACAACGTTTCCACCGTCTCCTGTGACATACCAGAGCCTGTGTCGTGGATAGCGACCTCCACAGAAATACAATCTGGGTTCAATGACTCCGGGACAACGCATGACTCAATCGTGACAGCCCCGGAAGACGTATGCTGCACTGCATTGCTGATCAAGTTGGTGATTACTTGACGCACACGCCGCTGATCGCCAAGGACAGGGGGTAGAGCAGCATGCTGGACTACCTGCAGATTGACATGCTTCTGTCTCGCTTCCTCCCAGAAGATGTCGGTGGCTTCGGTGAGGGTCTCGGAGAGTTCGAAGACCTCATCTTTGATCAGTTGTTGCCCGTTTTCCGCGTTTGTCAGGTCCAAAAGATCATTGATAATGTACACCAATGATCTCGATGCTGAATGGGACCGCGATAAGTTGTCCCTCGTTTCTTGATCCAGCGGTCCATCGAGAGCGATCTCCAAAAAGTTGATGATGGCATTCAAAGGAGTCCTAAACTCATGTGCAGAGTTGGCAAGAAGAAGCCTCATCAATTGGTTATTCTGCAATGTCATTTCCTTCTCTTGCCAGACATCAGTGAACGTGCGATATATTTGAGACAGGATGGACGCTTTCCCAATCTCCGCCGTCGACCAAAGCTGCTGTCGCTTTGGTGTTTCCGCATCGGGCTCAACGTGACGCTGCGGTGTCTGCTCGGTGCGAGTATCACCAGAATATGTCCGAAAGAAGATGATGAAGTCACGTCCGTCTTCCGAAAGTGGAACGTAAAACAGACCAGCGAGATGATGAAAACCACGGGAATAATTGAGATCGGGGAAATCACTAGCAATATCCGTGGACCAACAGACAGTCTCATTCTCTTTGGCCTTCATATACTCGAGCAAGGCAAGGACCTCCTGTGAGTCGGTCGGTCTGCCCAAAATCTTGGTTTCGCCAAGTATAGACGCTGCCGCATAATCTGCCCCGAACAAGCTGAGCAGATCACCCAAAGGAGTCTTGATTGCCTGAGACTCAGCTGTATCGGGTGACAGTTGACTAGAGTCTTTCCATTGAAAGGGTAGACTATACGATAGGCGTTCAATATTGCTTGAGATGGCTTCGGCAATGAACCAACAAAGCTTTAGGTTGAGAGGGTGGAGCGTCTTCTTGTCTGTATAAGACTGACATGAGACAAGACCCCACAGCTTGCCAAAAACATTGATCTGGATAGTGAGGCAGGCTTTCACTGGATTCTCTGTGTTGATCCCTGACGGATTCGCCATTGCAGATAGATAAGAGTGCGAAAGATCGAGTGGTGTGCTCTTCGCAGAGGGACGGCGCACCAGCTGTGCACCATCTTTCTTTGCAGAATATGAGAAGCAAATCGTGCTTCGTGTATACTTCTTTTTCATCGTTTCCGGAAACGCGGACTCTGGAAGATGAACACCTCCATACGAAGCAAGTTCTGAATCCGTGTTGGCGTCGGCGAGGACTGTTCCATTGCGATCGCCATCGAAGTGATATATACTCGTTCTGTCAAATTGCCCATATGCTTGCAAAATTGAAACAGTCTCATGGACGAAGCTTTCAAGGCTCTGGGCATTCGCCAGTCGCCGAAGTGTTCGCGGGACTTCATTTAGCAGTTCTGATGCTTTTGGTTGACTACTTCCACCTGTGGCAGGTGGATCCAAGTCTTCGAAATATGCCCCAGACGTCGAGTCCAATTTTTCACTCTCGCACATTGCCTCACTCTGGGCCTGGACTTTGGAAGGGAAAGCTGCACTTTCTGGTTGAAACTCGCAAATGATGTACTCCTTGTGGAGTCTAGCAGTATGCATAGTGCACCACAAATCGAGAGAGATGTTGCTTGAGGACAGTATAGAAAGCGGGAAGACTTCTGGGCCAGAATCTTCGATGTCATATTGTTGATCGAGAACGGCATTGCTGTGGCCGATGAAGTTCGCTCGGTGTGGAGAGGCCAATATGTCGCAAAAAGATTGAATGTCGAATAGCTCCTCTGGAGAATGGCCAATTATCTCCTGGGAGTTGCTGCTGGATACCTGGACTTCAAACTTTCCGTGGGTTTTTGTAACAATGAGGATGGCTCCAAATGGCTGAACAGAGACATTCTCACTGTTCTGGGTCGAGGGCTGATCTTCTGCTTGGCTTCTGTCGAGAATATCACTGCCATTTCGTAAGATCTTATGAAGACCCTCCAAGAGTTGCCGATTATCTCTGTCTGGATCTGAGTCCAGGGCTTCTCTCTCAGAAACTTTTGCTTGAAGCCCTTCTTTAGAACTGTTATCAACGGCAAGAGGATTCGTGGACATAGATGCTGTTCTGTTATCCTCTCTGTTCTCTTGATCCAGCCCATCTGTCTGTTCCGATGCCTTAGGGATATCTGCTCTGGATTTGGTTTGCCCCAGCGCATCCCTCTGTTTGCAGCTAGCCCTCTCATTCCCGAGGTCCCCAAGCAAAGTGTCCGAAAATGGAGATATCGACGTTTCGAGTTTCTCGAGAGATGGCGTAGGGAGAGCGGATGAGGGCGTCGAGTCGAAGGAAACCACTGATCGGACTGGAAAGACTCTTTCTGCAGATTCATCGCCCAGCTGGGGAAGCTTTAATTTGGGTGAGAGTAGCTCTGTCACAGTGGATATCTCGGTTTTGGTATCAGACATTATGCACATTGTCTTCGGGATTGACAATGTTCTAGAGAGGGTCTTTCTTCTCTCGGACAGCTTCGTTTCTTTCTTCTCATCTTTTTCGTCGTCGTGTATGACAGTCCGATCACTGTTGTCTCTTGCTTCGGCGTTGGAAGACATTTTATAATTCGTTTTCAGAGCTGTGCCTAGTTCAAGCCGTATGTATTAGCCCACAATTGACGACTGAGAGACTTGATGCTATACTCACCGAATAGAAGAGAATGATTGTAGACTAAAGGAAAGTCCACTGCCTCTCCGTAGAAATTTATCAAGAGCGACTAAAGTGAAGTAGAGACAATGCGGAGGAATAGAGATTGAAATTCCATGTATGGCCGTACCGTAGATTCACCAGTCTCCGTCCGCTTGTCCTGAGCTGTTGGCCTATGAAATGGCCGACAAGCTTTCTCCCTGTAGACATGTCCTCGGTTCCCTTGTCCGGTTCGCCGGACATTTCCATCGAAAAATCACTCGCAATCCACGAACCAGAGCTTGTAACCCATGGTTAAGTGTTGGGGATTGCTCTTACTATCTAGGGCTCTGACCAATACTGTAGTTTGAAAGCTGAACGGACCCCTTGTATACTTCAATATCACATTCGACATTATGGGATGGAGAGACCTTGGAAATTCTTACAGAAGAGGCTGGATTTAAGTTGCATTTTGGCAGAATGCTATGATCCTGGGAATTTTTACCACCTTCACTAAGGCACAGCCACGAAGAAGGCGAGCTTCGGTGACCCCGGACCCGCACCATTCCAGCTATAGGCGATGGAAGTACTTGTCTAGGTCTGTGGAGAGTCTAGCTTGCATGATGTTACCCCACAGCAGCGACATGCTGTCTTTGTCCAATGATCTGCTATTCCAGCTGCTGCGACATGGCGAATGGCGACACATTCTCAACACAAGCATCCTATCCCATTCCTCCAGGTGGATTTTTGCAGAAAGACGAACACGTTGTTGATGGTCTTGATCACTCCAGTGACGATTGTGAGAATCTGAGTGGTGAGCGACATCAGAATAGATCGTAAAGAGGGTCTAAACATATCCGACAGGGAAACAGCTTCCAGCCAAAGTAAGCCAGCCGGACCAAAGGGCCGGACTGTCGCCATCTTCCAGGGAGTGGAATATGACTTGTGGGCATACCTTCCGGGCCCAGCATGGGAAGCTGACACGTCCACTTTTGAACCAAGGTACTGATCAGCCGTTGAGTTGGTTCTAAAAGGATTGGAACACTCCAGGCTGAGAAAAGGCCGATGAAAGGGATAGTCCAATTCAAACCCCGAGAGAAGAGGGAAAATTCTATGATACATTTGACAAAATTCCGAAAAGACTCCCCGTTCTCCACATCAATTCATAATTTAGCGTCATTACCACCGCCGGCCGTAGACGGAATTCTCCTCACGCGGCTTTTTAGCTTGAGACTCGCGGCCTCGGCTGCGGAAATCAGACTGCGCCGAAGACGGAGGCGCACTGACGTAGTCAAGCTCGTCCGCAGCTGTCAGCAGTCGAGCAGAGTGCGTGAAATCAAGTGTGCTTTGATCATCCTTGAAGCTGTTCTCCGCATCACGACCAAAGAGAGCCATCATATCACGCATGGTGAGCTTTCCAGCGCCAGCCTTACCCTCAATGGTGGCGTTAGCTAGTTCACGCTTCCGGTCTTGGAGAGCAACGATTCGCTCTTCCACGGTGCCCTTGATCACCATCTTGTAGATTTTCACGTCGATGGTTTGGTTAAGTCGGTGGACACGGTCAATGGCTTGCTCCTCGACGAACTGAAAAAAGTCGTTAGTAAAGTACGTAGCCGATGAACAGCAGGGCAACTTACGGGATTCCAGAAAGGCTCCAAAATGACCACGCGGCTAGCGGCTGTCAAATTCAGCCCCAGTGCACCGGCGCGCAAACTGCAGAGCAGAACACGAGTTCCACGGTTGTTACGCAGCTTGTCGAGACTGGCCTCACGATGGTGGTTCGCCATTCCACCGTCGTAGCGAGCAAATCCAATGTTGGCACGCTTCAAAAATGGCTCAATCTTGTCGAGCATAGAGGTGAAAACCGAGAAAACGATGAACTTGAAGTCTGGCGCCTCACGGTTGAGAATGCGCATCAGGTGGCGGATCTTGGTCGACGGCAATTCCCCTTTGTCTTCTTCGTCGTAAATGTCATCATCCTCGGAGTCGGTTTCCTCCTCAGACTCGCTTAGAACAATGGGCTTGCTCTTTCTCCGAGAAGGCGACTCGATCTCGTCGTCTGAGTCGTCCGTTTCATCTTCAGAGTTGAGCCATTCACCACCACCTTCGGCGTTCTCGTCATCCAATCCGCCGGCCTTGCCAAGGTTGGGCAGCTTGGCCCGCTGATCCTCAGGAATCACCCAGTCACCTTCCTCTTCGTCTTCATCGTCACTGTCAACAATGATGCGTCGATTCTTGCGTGAGCGCGCAATCTGCGCCTCCGACTTGCGAGCGGATGGGGATTCTGGGGCATCTTCCTGTTGATCACGGTTCTTCTTTGACTTCTTTGACTTCTTCTTCTTCGAGTCGGCCGCCATGAAGTTTGTGTTCAAATCAGCTTCACATTCAGCGCAACGAGTGCTGCCAGCCTTCACTTCATCCTGACCGAGGTCCGTCTGGCAAACATCGCATTTCCTTGTAACAACGCTCATGGCACCGAAGAGATCGGCGATGTCGTCAAGGTCATCCGACTTCGATTTGCTGGATTGGCTGGATTGGCTGTTTGAACTGCCATTCTGGAGGAGGATGTCTTTGTCTTTCGCCAAGTCGCCCTTGACAAGGTCAGGGTGGTTACACGCCTGACGAAGACGCAGCAGCAAGACCAAGGCACCGGCATAATTGACCTTTGCCCCTCCCATCATTTCTTCAAGGCTGTTTTCTGTCCGCTGCTCCAAGCGCTTGTAGAAATTCAACTCGCCGGGCATGAAATCAGCGGCAACCTGAATGACCTCACGCTTGGTGATATGGAACCCATTGGATGACTTCTTGGTGTTTCCATCTGATCCTTCCTCTTCGCCAGGCTTGGGGGCATCATTGAGTCTGAGGACATCCTTGGTACGACGCTTCATAAAGGCCTTGAGGTAGACCTGTAGTCGCTGAATGGCAAGTCCTCCACGTCCATTGTTCAGAGGCCTACTGATCTGATCTCTCCACGCTGCCAAGTCATCGTAGGGTTTCACACGGAGGAATTTGATAAGACTTTGCAGCTCGTCCAAGTTGTTTTGCAGAGGTGTTCCTGACAAGCACCAGCGGTACTGAGCATCCAAAGCATAGGCAGATTGAGTGGCTTTGGCGTTACGGTTCTTGATGGTATGCGCCTCGTCGAGAATGATACGATACCAGTGAATCGAGAAGAGACCAGCCTTTTTGTCTTTGTCGGTCGCCGATGAGTTGAAATCGGAGGTAAGTGTCCCGTAGGTCGTGATGACAACGTCGTATTTATCCAAAGTAGTCGAGGTCTTCGCGCGCGTTGTACCATGATACAGACACACTTTAAATTTGTGGCTTGGCTCAACCTTGTCTTTAATCTCCGACTCCCACTGCTTGATGAGCGCAAGCGGTGCGATGACAAGGGTGGAACCGCTACAGTTCGGCGGCAGCTTGGTCGTTTTGCCCTCGGATTCCGGGTCTGTTTCGCTGTGTTCGTTGGCGGATTTAGGGTTGCTGAGCAGCAAAGCGATTGCTTGCACGGTTTTACCCAGTCCCATGTCGTCTGCAAGGATTCCACCTTTGGGGAAGATTCCCTTTGAGTTCTTTCGTCCGGTTTCTTTATCACACATCCACTTCACACCCTCAATCTGATGGGGTAGAAGTATTACTTTCAGGCCTTCAACCACCCCATCATCCTCCTCATCCTCCTCATCTTCCTCCTCCTCTTCGTCGGCCTCCTCTTCCTCGTCTTTCTGCGCACCCTGGGCCTCGCCTGCTTCGGCGTCAGGCTCCTCAGTATTGGGTTCGCCTTCTTTTGAATCATTCACTGTGACTCCCGACAATTGAGCAGCGAGATCATCGAGATCATCAGCAGCTTGCTCCTTTTTATTGTCCTTGGTGGCCACATCCTTTGGCTTTGCCTTGGACTGCTTCTTCTTCGAGCCCTTCTTCTTCTTCTTTTTGTCGGTAGCCTTTGACTGCGACTCATCTTCATCTTCGAAGGCCCCCTCTAGCAAAGCTTTGATGTTTTCATTTGCCATGGCCGTATCGACATAGCCGTCCATGTCCATAGCCCCAAATCTGGAAGGAATGTGACTTGCTGGCGCTCTTGGGATAGGATCGGTTTGATCGCGTGTGAGATCGATAAAGCTCTGGAGATTCTTGGACGAGTTGCTGGGCTTGGGCGGGAGAGGCTTGGACTGGAAAATCGGCCTTGGGGCCCGAGGTGTAGTCCATGTAACATTTTCAGGGCGTTTGATGCTCACTGACCCCGGTTGGAAACCTCCACGGGGATTGTTGTAGGCAGATGGTGCCACTGGCTTGAAGGGGTCCCATGGCTCGCTTCGCTTCGCCGCTGGCGTGGCAGCAACCGCTCCTGAAGGGGCTGATGGACGATAGCCCTGAGGCCCGGGAGGAGGGTGGTTTTGTCTCGCACGTGGGTCAGGTTGGTTGTTCGATCGATGAGGGACGCGGTGATGTTCAGCACGTGCTTGGTTGGGCTTGGGAATGTTGAACAGGTGGTTTGATTTTTGCTGTGGACCGATCGGCGAGGGCTTGCCGAATTCGTGTTCTTGGATATGCGGGGGGCGATGTTGGGTGTTCGGCTTGCCTCCAGGAGTGAGGGGCTCTTTCGGTGCGGTGCTTTCTTTCGCCATCTTGTTCAAAGAGCGGTGTGTTCTAGCACACTGCGTTTGTCGACGGTGGTGTTGATCTCGGGGTAGAAAGGAATCCGGATCTACAGGTGTTGGTGTGGTCGGCTATGTACCGAGCGAGACTTCGATCAATCAAACGCGAAGAGGGTTTAATCCGACTTTAATATGTCAGTCTTGGTGGGCTAATCGAGGTGACGGGGATTCAAGCAGCAAGCTTGCCCAGAATGGATGATATGGAGAACAAGTGACCATAAGGGCAATGCAACATACCTTCATAGCACTCAAGACTCGGTTGGCGATGGTTGGCGATGGCGGGGTTGCGAGGTGAAAGAGTTGCGGCTGTTATCGATATCAATTTGCTCGTCATCACCCCGGCAACGGTTGGTGCCTGAGGCAGAGATTTAGAACGAGACTGAGAACACTTCAAATGTTGGGTAATTGGACACCTCCAAATCATCTATTCATGATATTCACAAAGCTATAACTTTGACTATTATTACATCTTCTTAAGTTCCTGTTCAAAAACTTTCCAAGCCCTCGGCAACAAAGCTCCGCCAAGCCAGAAGTCGTCCCCATAATCTTTCCCGAACATAACGAACGCATTGAAAGCGTCGTACATATGATCGAGATATTCGTTGTAATAGCTGATCATAGTACCCGGTGGATTCCGTCTTGTCTCAGAGCTCTCGCCCTGTCGAATCACTGCCGGTCCGAATTGCGCAGTCTTCATCAACTCGATCTTGATAACGTTGTTGACAACCATGCAGACAGCGCTCGAGGGTCCAAACAGAATGCGAGGCTCCCTGCCTTCCTGAATATCCTTCATCATGCCGTTCATCAACCGACGGCCTTGGATATCTGTTCCCTGCTCAGCAGTATGCTGCCGATTCGCAACTGCAATCTCACTAACGGGCGCCCTAGCCAGCTTGGACGAAAGGAAGGTAAACGTGCCGACACAGATGTTTTGAAGGAATACGCCAGTTGATTTGGCCAACAGCGGAATTCTGAATCGCAAGTTCAAGAAGTTCAGGACAGTGATTGGACGGGAGCTGGACTCTGATAGAGCCAGACAACGTGCTGCCCACGCAGAAATTATGTCGTTTTCGGTGACCCATGGGGGGTTCTCGACATCACTGGCATTTTCAGCCAACTCAGCCTTAATTTGATCTTTCATTTTGAGGAATGATTCCTTGGGGAGGTAGATGACTCGCTTTTCGCGTTTTCCATTCCAGAGGTGGTCCCAAATGAATCGCAACTGGAATAGGAGAAGACTGGCACCACTGAGACGATCCTTTTCCAGGATGAACTCTTCCTCGTCCTGCTTCTGGATATCTGGGTGTTGAAGGATATCTTCCCGGGCGCCGATCACTTCAGGAACCTCATCTTCTCGCCCAGCCAACACTGATGACCATCCAGCGAGCAAAGCCTTGCCACCCATGGCATCCATCAATTGGTGAGGCCATGACAGAGCGATTATGGTCGCATCGAGGAACGATGTAACGTGCACGGATATGGGAGGGATATCTTTTTCGGTCATCTCTTTGAAGACAGGGAAATTTTCGCGGCCATTGAAGGGTCGAGATTCGGGTGAGACGAGGTGAAGAGATGGTCCGACCGTTCTCGCTGGGAGCTTGCTGGCAATGGGGTGATCTCCAATCGTTGAATCAATCACATTGTGTGTGAAAGATACATTCTCTCTGGGCCCTGCAGATGATCCTGGGACAAAGATTTCCAGCATCCCATCCGGCTTCTCATGGTTAGTAAAACCCCCATCACAAGCGTCGACACTGGACATACCTTGTACCGGAATCGTCCACCGAGTTTCCTCCAGTCCCCAATTTCGAGCAATCTGGATAGGGATTTCTTCAGCATGTCGGCATCGAGGACATCGTTATACCGCATGACCCAATCTACATAGTTTGGGTTGTGGTCCAATGTGTGCAGAGGGTAAACATCGTCTGCCACATAGGGAGTCTCGTTCACGACGACAGGAGCTTTCTCGTCCATCTTTTCAGAGTCCATCGTGTGTGAACTTCAAGGTCGATTGAGAATTTTGACATGAGAATTTCATCGGAGTTTTACCTTTTAATTTCATTAATTGCGGGCTCACCCTAGCAGCCGTAGCCATGGCCTTAGCCAGAAACTTGGTTGGCGCCGCAGGCAACGATTAGGTTCATCAAGACAAAGTGTACTTGCTAGTGTGACTAGTGTACACTAGCCCTCGAGCTACCAAATCCACACGAAAGCCTGTCTCCATGAGTTCTGCCAAGGCTGCCTCCTGCAGGCTGCGTCCTGCGGTCATAAATACAATGCTCGCTAGCAAATTATCGTTGATCTTTCAAGGCTACAACACATCATTCGTTTACATATCATTCTACTAGTACCCAGGGTCAGCAATCTGTCTGTGAAAGCTACTGATCAAGTTTTCGTTACGAGAGCCATTACCCACATCTGCTTATTGTGGATCAAATCGCATCTGGAGATCCATCTGACATCCACAATACCCACTGAGATTTCTCAAATCGCCTCGACAGGCTTCAGCCAAGTGAGAGCTGCCCCTGTCTAATTTTAAATTTATGTCGATCGATCTTCCAAGACTTCTGGATCCAGCCTAGCCAGATCCCGGCGAACTTTTCTATTTTGCTTCGTTTCGCTAACTGGGCCCATATTTCCGCCGAAGCGAGTTTTTAAGAAAAGAAAAAGAAAACTCCAGCAGGAGCAAATATGCAGTGATGGGTACGGAGTACGGAGTTGCCCATACCCTGTGCACCTGCGACTAACGTGGAAAAATACAATACGGAGTGCAGCAGGCCTTGCATGTACCGCTGATCATGCCAAGCCAATTGAATGTCAAGGGCACTTCACTGACCAAGGGGTTGCGAAGTCGAGTAGGTGGGCCGCAAGGGGCTCCACTCCCGAGACTTCTTGGACACGATTTCGGAGGATTCTCGTTCCTGTCTGCTCGGATATGTCGGAAGGGGATTGGCAGGAAATCCAAGATCTTTTGAGTCGAATCGTCCCACTGTGGTCCGCATCCATTAGTACCCACTACATCTACTCCGTAGAGCCCGCGCCAAACCATGCTGTCTCGTTCAGGCTATAGATCGACATGTGGCAAGAATTTACTGAAGTGCCGGGTACATTACCGAAGATCGATTGAATTTCTAAATCGAGATCACAAATAGTCAATAAAATTTTCAGTGTCAATTCTATCGCATCGAAACCTTGTCTGTGTCTAGTTGTCTTTCCACATCGAGGGAACCCTGTAGTGTTTTCCAAGGTTAGTAACCTGGGAGCTTTGACAATTCCGATTTCATTGAATACTTACGAGACTTCAATGACTGCACACTTGCCCCCCTGAACAACTGCAGTCGCCTCGTTGATAGTGGAGTCGACTTCAGCTTGCGCAGTGACCGTCGCGCCCCAAGCTTTTCCGGCCGCAGTCGCAATCCCTGGGTAGTCTGGCGAAGGGTCGAAGGAGATATTGAGATCTGTCATGCATGAGCAATTGAACACCAAATACAGTGGATGGTAATTTTCAACTTACCTCGTCGATTTGACTTTGACGCCAACCCGTCCTTGTGCACGAGGAGAGCGGATACCTTCGGTGCGTTCCAGCCACCATTGTTGAGCACGATCATCAGGAACGGAATATCGTAGCGCCTGGCAATCCAGTAAACGCTCTCCATTTGAGAGAACAAGTAAACTCCATCGCCAACACTGGAAATCTTAGAGTTTGCAACATGCAATCATCACCGGATGGAAGAACTCACATGCCACACACGAAAGAGCCAGGCTTGCCCAGCTTAACGCCCAGAGTAGCACCGCCGCCCCATCCCAGACCACCGGCGCCACTTGCGACCAAGCTTCCTGGCTATATTATTGTCAATTCGCTGCCTCGGGTACATGTTCACTGGGTACTAGGTATTACAGACCTCAGTCAAGTTCAAATGATGAATGAGATGTCCCGCATTGGTCACAGCCTCCAAAACGTACACGGTATCCTTGGGAAGGAGGCTTCGCAGTCTCGAGGTCAGATAAGGCACACTGACGATGCCGTCGTCAGTTGGTGCTTCAAGCTTAGTCAAATTGTTTCTCCACGACTGATAGTTCTTCGAACGAGCATCGAAGAGGTCAGTATAGCGACTTTTTGGAATTTCTTGTTTATCCAGGAAAGAGTTGATCTGCTTTAGTGCATAGCCACAGCCAACCTTGAATCGTCGGGTTGCAGGGATGGAGAACACTAAAAATATAGTTAGAAAGGGCCTTGGTACATAGTTGCTCCGAGCTTACGGGGCATTTGTTGTTTCAGCGGATCAACATCTAGATGGAAGATTTTGGTCCCTAGAACGCGGTTAGTAAGGAGTCAAGCTGCAATTTGTCTTTGTAGTTACCATTTCGAGGTCCGCCAGCGGTAGGAATCCAAGGTACGTCACAATCGAGTATGAGAATGACATCGGCTTCAAGGACTTCTGGGTGAGTATTGACAGTGACACCACGATATGCTTCATGATCACTTCGCAGACAAAGATCGGAGCCGACCATTTCAACAACAGTGACTGGCAACTTATCACATAGTTCAGCCAGCAGGGCAGGTGCTTTGAGGTTTCGACCCAAGGAGGTTGTGAGCACGAGTGGGTGACTTGCTCCCATGAGGGCATTGGCAATCAACTCCACCGCTGCTCAAGTTAGTCATGTGTGCATACCTAGTAGAACCAGGAAAATCCGACTTACCGTCTTCTGGCAATGCGCTTGGTGATATCGGGCTGACAACTTCTCCATCTATAGGTTCCAGGCCCACGCGCTTCATGTATCTTGTCAGCTTTGTTCATCAACCCGGACATTTGAATTCGTACATCTTCCAAAACTTCCCTGGCTGCCATCAAATATGCCGGTCCCTTAGGATCAGATGTAGCAAATTCCAAGGCACGACGGACCATCTGCTTGATGTTACGCCCGGTCTTAACTTCGCCGGTGTATCTGCAGTACTGTCGCACGATCGCAGATTGATCGGGGACATCTTGCAGCCAATGAATAAACCTGCAGTTCGGTAAGCTTCTATGATCCCCCCTGGGAATTCTGGCTTTCTCACTCAGTTCGCGAACCCAAAAGCTCACCCCTGGAAGTAAAAGGGCTCAGCCCAGCAAAGCATAGAACCGGAACTCTGCTGACAGACGCATTGTGCATTGACTGGCCCAAAGCTAACGTTCCACAGTCGACATGAACGATGACACATTGCTTAAGCTGGGTCAGCTCACATCAAAACAGCGCGCCTGAATTGTGATCATACCGGAACTCCTGTGACTTGGGCATAACCCAATGCTGCCGATAGTGCAACAAGCTCGGAGGGACATGTAATGATATTGGGGAAATTGGTCTTGTTCTCTTCATGAAATCAATCAATCAGGTCGATCGATACAAGGCTTCCAACGAACCTTGTTTTGCCTTGATCATTGCTTCCAACATGGCGGGATGATCGCTCCCCCTATCCGAGCGGTCAGGACGTGGCCACTCCAGAGGGCCCCGGGGGCCGTAAACACTCACAGATTCACAAAACAATGCGAGACACCAGCCTCAGCTAGGCAAATGGTAAGTCTTGATCACCATGGATTGGGGATTGGGGATTTGCATTACACAAGGCCTCAAAGAAGTTCTCTGCAGCAGACGTGAGTGCGCCGTCCTTGATGATGTCGTCTTCATCATCGCAGTCACTCTTCTTGCGCTTTTGGGGGACTTGAAGACTTCCCATGTTGGAGTTTGGTGGTCAGAGTTAAAATAACAAGATTGGCGAGAGTTGGTGAATGGGACAGGTCCAAGTCGAAATGTTGAGAAGTACAATATTACTCCTGATACCGAGAAGCCCTCGTCACCTGATCTCTAGTGGCAGCCCTGGAGTAGCTAATGGAAGTTTGACGGAATTTCTATTCAAAGATCTGGCGTTGGGCTCAAACTTAAGTCTTTATTTATCGAACTTAAATTCACTACGCCAGCGACGGAGGGGCATTTATGATTGATAAATTATTCTGGCCACTCGCAATGCGTATCGCTCGCTAGTATATCCGGAACATATCCCGCCAGCAGCACTACCGATGATCATGTCGATGAAAATCTACATATAATCAACCCCAGATTCAAGTTCAAAGGCAACTTCATTTGCTATTCCGGCATGAATTCTAGACTGCCCAGGTGCCCAGGTGTAAATATGCCGCGGTAATCGTTCATTTTGAAGGAAATGTTCCGCTTTGACACTTCTCAATTCCGCGCACCGCGCTCTGTACCCGAGGTACTTGAGTGCTGAATAGCAAACGACAGAATTATCAATGTCCACCACACTTGAGAAATGTACAGTACTTCCAACCTTGGAAGCTCCTAGATCAGACTCCAGGAAATATCAAAGCGACGGGGTAATGTCATAAATCATGGAGCCATGAAGACATTGAAAGTTAAATAGTAGCAACTTTCAGAATCAAGCCTTCAACGTGAGAAAGAAAAGACTGAAAGGATATGCATACGCTAGTAGGGAGGTGTAATTGGCGTGGTGTTATTGGGCAAGTAAATCCATTGAAACAATGACGAGAAAAAGATGGGAGAAACGCCGCACACATCACTTCACCTGGTGTCAGCAATCCACCCTTAACGCGAAAAGGGATCACCATTTCAATGAGCCCGTGTCCCGCTTAGGGCTTGGACGCATATTTCGCCGACCAGCAGGATTTGGCTTTGACCATGGCTTTGAGGTATTAAGGCGTTGCTCATAGGCCGAGATCTTGTTCTCCATCCCCATGGTGAGACCGATCTCATCGAGGCCATTGAGAAGACAATGCTTTCTAAAAGCATCCACCTCGAATCCAGCAAGCTTCACACCGCATGAATCTCGAATCTCTTGATTTTCCAAGTCAACCTCGATTTCCCGCCCTGTTGCAGCTTCCTTCGCAATCGATCCTAGAGCGGCCTTGTCCGATAAAACGATCGACAGCATGCCGTTTTTGAACGTATTGTTGTAGAAGATATCGGCAAAAGAATCGGCAATGATGCATCGGATACCAAAATCGAGAAGCGCCCATGGGGCGTGTTCACGGGAGCTACCGCATCCAAAGTTGCTTCCCGTGGAAACCAGAATTGAAGCAGAGCGGAAGACGCCCTGATTGAGAATGAAATCGGTTTCTTTCCCGTCGCTGTCGACGCGTAAAGGATAGAATAATGCGCTTCCGAGTCCGGTTCTCTTGATTGTCTTCAAGAATTGTTTTGGGATTATTGCGTCCGTGTCGACGTTGTTTCGATCGATCGGTGCAGCAATTCCCCTGAGCGTAGTGAACTTTTGGATTCCTAGACTTGGAGTGGATGACCCAGATGACGGCTGGAATGTAAATGAAATATCCGAAGATCTTTCCGACTCTTCCTCGACCTCGGACGCGCTGCCGGAATCGCCCTCCACGGAGTGCGAATGGGCATCATGGACGACAGTTGCAGCTGCGGCGGGAAGAAATTGACGAACATCAGTCAATCTTCCAGTCAAAGCTGCCGCGGCCGCCATAATCGGGGAGACAAGGTGGGTTCTTCCCCCATTCCCTTGTCTCCCTTCAAAGTTTCGGTTAGAGGTGCTAGCGCAACGCTCTCCGGGGTCTAGGATATCAGTGTTCATTCCCAAGCACATCGAGCAGCCAGCTTCTCGCCACTCGAAACCGGCTTTCAGAAAGATATGATGCAGACCCTCTTTCTCGGCACGAGCTTTGATGAGACCGGATCCCGGGACGACCATAGCACACTTCAGGGTGCTGGCAATTTTCTTTCCCCTGACGATGTTTGCTGCGGCTCGCAAATCTTCCATTCTGGAATTTGTGCAGGATCCAATAAACACTTTATCCAAAATCAGATCCTCCATTCGGGTTCCAGGTGTCAGACCCATGTATTTCAAAGACGTCGCGCAAGCTGCGGCTTTGAGAGGATCCGCAAAGTCAGATGGGCTCGGCACAATGCCAGTGATTGAAACGGTATCCTGTGGACTTGTTCCCCAGGTGACGGAGGGCGGGATATTCTTCGCATCAAGGTAGATTTCGCTATCAAACGAGGCACCTTCGTCCGAAAAGAAAGTTGACCATTCGCTTACTGCTGCATCCCATGCGGACCCTGCCGGGGCCATCGGCCGATTCTTCAAATAGGCGTATGTTTTTTCATCGGGTGCAATCAGACCGGCCCTTGCGCCAGCTTCGATGGTCATGTTGCAAATACTCATTCTTGCCTCTATGCTCAAAGCTCGGATTGTACTGCCGCAAAACTCCACGACGGCGCCAGTTCCTCCGGCAGTGCCGATGAGTCCGATGATGTGAAGAATGATGTCCTTACTACTGGTGCCAGGTAGGAGGTCGCCGTCGATTTGGATTTTCATGTTCTTGCTGCGCATCGTTCGAAGGGTTTGGGTAGCAAGCACATGTTCCACTTCGCTTGTACCAATCCCAAATGCCAGAGCGCCGAAGGCCCCATGAGTGCTGGTGTGGCTGTCACCACAAACCACGGTCGTTCCGGGGAGTGTGAAGCCTTGCTCGGGGCCAATGACATGGACGATTCCCTGACGTTTGTCCCCCAAACCGAAGTATTGAACTCCATACTCGGCTGCGTTGCGTTCCATGGTGAGGACCTGGATCCGCGATTCTTCTTCTTCGATGAAGCTGTCCACAGACTCGAAATCATTTCGCGATGTCGTAGGCACATTCTGGTAGCCTGATTAGTATCCAATGTGGTTGCTCATGAAATGGACGTGTCACTTACATGATCCGCAGTCGCGAGAGTACACTCGGGTCGTCGAACTTGCCGGCCGGCATTTCTTAGGCCCTCAAAAGCCTGCGGGCTGGTCACCTCGTGAATCAAATGGCGATCAATATAGAGGAGCGCAAGTCCATTGTTCTCATCCACGACGTGACGGTCGAACACCTTATCATACAAGGTACGAGGTGCCATTTTGTCGCGTCCTCAAATGTCTGAGGATCCCAGAACAGAGAGCGCAACAGCGGGGTTTTATTCACGGCAATCGACATCATGATCGTAGCAGCCTTCCAAGATTGCAATTCTGATGCGCTGATTCAGCCACTTCAAAGATTCCCGATGCTTTTTGTCCACCCCGATCTCCGAATCACGGATACGGTCGCCCCCGCTGTAATCTCCGGTGGCTTGTTGCGAACACATGGAGCTTGTGTTTTCCGAAGTCCATAGCGATATGCGAAGATACCCAGCGATCGTGTTTTGTGGCTGATTCTCGAGTGTAGGAAGATTACCGAGGGTCAATGAAGCGAGAAGGAAGAGAAGAAAGCGCAGGGCAATCTACGGAGTAGACTCATTGATGCCTTACGAAAAAGGCATCCAAGCTGATCTCGGATCCCTCAGGCATCAACCCGCCAAGGACAATCTTCTGTCGACAATTCATTTCTGCGAAGTAGGAGCACACCCGACATCATCTTATCTCCTTGGTCCGCACCAGGGGACCGTGAGCGACAAAAAGGAGCATACCCGCGGTGTTTACAAAAAAATATTATCTTCATGGCGACAGGCGCGTTGGCCGATCCCAAGATGCAGGCCAGCGTGTCAGTCCCATCGTCCCATCTCATGGAAACAGATCTCAGACAATGCCCTGACATCTGGGTTTGTTTTCGTACTAAAATTTCCACACACGTGGACATGGGATATCTCTACAAATGACATGTTGCATAACCTGATACAGAAGGAGAAGTTTAAATGTTGAAAATGAACGAATTCGCAGACCAGAGGTAAATTTCTTTCAAGCAGGGTGAGTTGTCTAATATCACCAAGTACATGTGTGAAGCTCCTCAGTCGATTCCGGTCGCGAAGCTCTTTCCACCAGCCTGCTTATCCACCTCCATACTAGCGTCAACACCACAGATTCGGAACAGTGTTTGAGGAGCCATCGTCTTTGCGTAGTCGGTGCTTCCAGTCTTTTTGAGGTGCTCCATCTCCTCCTTGATAGCCTTGTAGGCAGGGGCGATAGCCACGAAAGGCACAATCATCAATTTGAATCCGGCTTCCTTGGCCTCAGACGCGCTGAAAGACGGAGTCGCGCCTGCTTCCACCATATTAAGTAGGACTGGCATCGGTGCCAGGTCTTTGGTGATTCGCCGAGCCTGTTCCTTGGAGGTCAAACCCTCAAAGAAGGCAACGTCCGCGCCGACGCTGTATGCATCTTGCAATCGCCCAATAGCCTCCTCATACCCATCGGTCTGGAATGCATCCGTGCGAGCGATGATCACGATATCGCTGCCGATTTGTTTCCGCGCATTGACGGCCGCCTGTATACGACTGCGGAAAACATCGCGGTCGACAACTTCCTTGCCGGATAAATGACCGCAGCGCTTGGTCTGGACTTGGTCTTCGATATGCAGGCCAGCGACGCCAGACTGGGCATACTGTTGAACAGTGCGTGCCACCATGATTGGTCCGCCGTATCCAGTATCCGCATCGGCAATGACTGGCAGAGGCGCATTTGAGTACTCGGGAAGAGCGGCCAAGGCAGAGATCATTTCAGCATTGGCTCTCATCTGGCCCTGCGAAAGAAGACCAAGGTCGGCGTGGCCGAGGATTGAGGCGCTACTTCCCGCCCCAGTCTGGTTCCATGTCATTGTTTGCTCTCAAAAATCCACAGAAGATACGAAAACACAGTTTACTTACCATATAGAGACCATCAAAGCCAACTTCAAGACCGATTCGCGCCGAAAACCCATCGTATACCCCTGGCAACAACAGGAATGAGTTTGGATCTTCGATCACTTTGCGAAGCTTAGTAGCGGCAGCCATTTTGGAATTGAATTGTTTTGATACTCGAAGGTACTTGAAGATCTCAAACTTCGCTGACCTATGCATATGTCTTTTATATAACAAGCATCCACGGATTGTGAGTGGTGAGCTCGGCGAGGTTGGCGGGGCGGCGCATAGCGGCGGACTGCCTGGAGGCCGCCACCACTCCCGCTCCGAAATCCGAGCCCCGGACGAGGGAGCCCTGGTGTGAAGACTTCTTCCAATTTAACTGACCACCCTTCCTCACACGACATTAGTCTGTCATCTGTCCATACTTTCACGTCAGAATTAAGCATCGGCACGATTGTGAACCCGACTCTAACTTCTGTCACCTCGGCGGACACAATTGACAGCAGGCCATTCATCATGAGTTCTCTACCTTTCAAGGTGATTTCAGGATACACCTCCCCCATGTGATTGACAGCGAAAACTGAACATATCCTTCATAGCTGAATGACCCTAGCTTACTGCATTTCGATGCCTTTATCAACGCTGAATGGAAAGCCTCGCGATCTGGCAAGCGCTTTGACATACTCGGTAAGTCTACTAAGTGAAGAACATGTCGGCTTCAAACTGATAACTCTCGGTAGACCCGGGTTCCGAAGTCAAATGGGCCTCTTGCACCGACTGCCACCAAGAAGATGTCGATACCGCTGTCCAAAGCTCCCATGCTGCTTTCCAAACCTTCCGCAAATCACTTCCACGGGACCGAAGCATCATGCTGATGAATTGGTACAATCTCGTGAGACAGAACCGTGAAGATATTGCTACAATTCTCACCTATGAGACCGGGAAACCCCTGTACGAGGCTCAAGGTGAAGTGGATTACGCATCAAGCTTCTTGAGATGGTTCTCTGGAGAGGCAGAACGAGTCCAGGGAACTACATCTTTAGCTTCCCTTCCGAACCGCCGAATCTTTACGATCAAGCAGCCGATTGGAGTTGCTGTGGCACTTGTTCCATGGAATTTTCCAATCGCGATGGTACTCCGCAAAGCAGGGGCAGCCCTTGCAGCTGGATGTACCTTCATCTGCAAGCCCTCTCCGGAAACTCCTATCAGCTGTCTGGTTATGGCAGACCTTGCTCATCGTGCCGGTTTCCCAGCTGGTGTCTTCAACGTACTGCCAACTAGCCTGGAAAATACACCAGATCTGTCCAAAGCTCTTTGTGAGCATCCATTGGTAAAGAAAGTCAGCTTTACGGGATCAACGAGAATTGGCCAATTGATCGCATCGCTTTGCGCTCCACAGTTGAAGAAGGTTACCCTAGAGCTAGGGGGGAACTGTCCATTTGTCATCTTTGATGATGCAAATCTCAAACAAACGCTTGATGCTCTAATGGCCCTCAAATGGAGACATGCGGGCCAGGCATGCGTTACTGCTAACCGCATTATCGTCCAGTCCGGCATATATGAAGAGTTTGTCCAAGCCTTGCGTGAAGCCACACAGGCTCTCAAAATTGGGCATGGCGCAGAAAAGAATATTGACATCGGCCCTGTCACTACTCCACAGTCACTCCCCAAGATTGAGGCTCACATCTCAGACGCCGTCAGCCGCGGTGCGCAAGTCGTCTTGGGCGGGAATCGCATCGAAAGTTGCCCAGGATATTTCTTCGAGCCAACGATCTTGAGAGACATGGATGAGCAAATGCTCGCCAGCCAAGAAGAGTCGTTTGGTCCATTGGCTTGTCTTTACAGATTCGAAACAGAAGATGAGGCCGTCAAACTGGCTAATGCGACTTCGATGGGGCTGGCGAGCTACTGCTTTACTAAGAATGTAGATCGCATTTGGCGTCTTTATGAAAACCTTGAGGCTGGGATGATCGGGCTTAACACAGGTAAGCTTTCTTTTCACGCGTCAATTTTCATTGAACACAATCTGATTAAACATCATTAGGCAACTCATCTGCCGCAGAGAGCCCTTTCGGTGGTATGAAAAGCTCTGGGTATGGTAAGGAGAGTGGAAAGGACGTTGCTATCAATGAGTACATGGTCACGAAGACCGGAACATTGACACTGGAAGGTCAATTTTGATTCTTTTGCGATAAGACTGGAGTCGTGTGATTTTGATTCATCTTTTCCTGTAGCATATATAACTTCCAGCTAGGCATCACAAGCCTGCCCAGGTGCTCACCGTGCCTCCAGGCCTACGAGGCTCGGTGGTCCTCTGTCTTCGTGAATATTGTACTCATTCAATTTTATTTTCATTGCCTCAGTCTAAATTAACCCAAGGCAATCAGAGAGAAGGAAAGAATAAGAGGATTCAACTCCTGTACAAGCATCAACAATAAGGCAGTCTCAAAATTTATCGATTTCCTATGCCCCAGTGTAGCCTCTCCCCTTCCGATCGTTTCTCGCCTCTCTTCCCTTTCACTCGTGAGAGCAGGGGAAAAGTCACTCAAGTTACATCAATCTCTGGCTGCCAAAAAGTTGTGGAATGACATGTCGTGAGCAGCTTGAGTTGATTGTCAGGCTCGCTGTAGCATGCAGGAAGCACAAAAGTCGAAAAATAGAGACTGGGTAGGGGATACTCCCCTCCACACCCTCCAGTGCCGGGGCACTCTTTCATTTCCCCGCACAACCATGGAATTCGGCACTGCGACTCAATGGCCTCAACTCGTCTATGCTGCTATTTCCGCTGTTAAAAAAAATGATGGGGAGTCTGAACACAGATTCAGTGAATACACCCGATCTTCGGATAAATGGAAAACAAGTAACCAGAAGCACAACCGCCCACACTGCCTAGATGTAAGGTACCCCAAAGATGAGACAATCTGACGCAGCTTGTCCAGATCAATCTAGTCAAAGTCACAACTATCACAGATCGCTGCGACAAACATTTCCCTTTTTGGAAAAGAGTTAAAAGAGTTGGGAAATGCCGTCAAGGAAAGACCGAGCATCCGGCCCCTCTCCCCACTCTTGCGCACATCGCTCTTCGATGCTGACCGGGAATGCCCCACCATTTCAAGTTTCTTCCACTCTATTCTACTTTGAATTGAGGTCTTCTTTTATTGATTTCACTACTTACCATAGAGTAAGTGAACTGCAAAACGGGAGAGAAGGATCTTTCAAGTTTCATCAAATGTCTTCCTTTCAAACATGTCGAGCGCTAGGTATGAGCTGTTGCCCAGGAACAAAGATTCCTTTACTAGGTTATTTCCATTTGATTCGCTAACTCAGTCGTACAGGAAGCCTTGAGGCAGACTGCGCACTTCGTCATGACATGCACTTTTATGAAAATGCCGCCGTCTCAGCAACCTATCATATGGAACATCCATTCTCAGAGGTCACGCAGTTGCTGATCAGGAAGGCTTGCCAGGATCTTGTCGAGCAGCATCCTATCCTGAGTACATTTCCTTGGAAGGATGATGAAGGAAAACTTGTCTATCGACGCTCATCTGAGATTGACCTAACAAAGATGATCTTCGTGCACGAACGAAAGAATAAGAAGTCAGACATCAAAGCAGAGGACTCAGAACTCGAGACATTGCTTCAAGTGCAGCACAACCTCTCTTTCTCGCCACCACTTCCATTCTGGAGACTTTGCATTTTACACGACCCCCTCGACAACACAGAGTTCACAGCATGCTTTGTCTTCCATCATTCTATTGCTGATGGAACGTCAGGCATGATCTTCCATGCTTCATTTTTACGTGCGTTGGGGAATTGCAAATCAAAGGACGATCTCGGCAACGGACTTTTTGAGCCAAAAGAACAACCACTTTTGCCAAGTCTTGAGGACCTGGCTCCAAAAGGCTCCTATGGAGTAAACACGACTTCTGAGATTGTCGAATCAGAGTCAGTCTCTGAATCTTCAGTGTGGAAAGGAGCCTCTATCATGCCTCCATCAGACACGCAGATACGGTTAATGACCATTGACAATATGGCGAGCTCGTCCTTGGCGATGCGATGTCGAGCAGAAAGTACGACAGTTACTGCAGCACTGCAAACGATAATTGCCTGTGCGTTCTTCGATCACATCCCTCGCGGATTCACCACTGTCCGATCCTCTGTGCCTTATTCAGCGCGAAGATTGCTTCCACCCAACATCCCTCAGGACTCGATTGGGGTGTGGATCGGCGAGATCAAGGATGAATATCATCGTGAAGCCACTACTGCCCACTCTGAGTTTCCCTGGGATGAGGCGAGACGATCACGCCAAATCATTGAAGCTACTCTCTCTCGTGTATTCAATGATCATGTATCCTCTATGAAAGAGTTTGACTATGGTAAGAACGAGAAATTCCTCTTATCCAAGATTGGACAGTCGCGCGGCTCTACTTTTGAGTTATCTAACATTGGAAGATTACCAACAAAGGGCTTGGAAAATGGGAGGAGCAAATTTCCGTTTATAGGCCGCATGTTTCTTTCTCAGGCATGTAGTGTCTCAGGAAGCGCGGTAGAGATATCAGTCGTTACGGGAGGGGATGGGTGTCTCACATTGACATTTGCGTGGCAGACTGGCGTCGTTAGCGCAGACCTGATGGATTCCGTTAGGGCCTCGGTCTTTAACAAGATTCATGAGATCACGCAGGAATAAGATATTAATGCAAATGCCTTGATGAACTATTGGTGCAATTACCATGAAATTCAGACACCTTTGGATGCAAACACCTGCGATTGCAGACTCCTCGGTGTAGCTAGGGCGGGCCCGGGCGGGTGTAACATTTGCAAAACCAGCCCCGAAGAGAGTGCAAACACCGCCCCCATAGGACCAAAGACCCCCCTAAATTTCCCCTTGCCCTCCCTATCTTCCAGACTTGGCGCTTTTCCAGCATCTGGGTGTATTCTCGAGCTTACTTATAAACAATTAAAAATCGCACGAGTTACGAGTCAAGAGATGCAAGACCGCGATTGCCAAAAATTTGTCACTTTGTTAACAGAGCCCAAAGGGAGGGGAGCGACAGTTTTGACTCTAGGAAACAATGCAGCAGATCTTTAAAAAGTCCGCATATTGCGCAAATTGAACTCATGTGCTCCGTATGCTATCGTCATGCTTCACTTCTCACACGGTCGCCTTCCCCAGAGCATGCAAGGCCAGTCTTTGATAGGCGCCGACTGACTGAACCAGATCGCGGACCAAAATCATTTCGTTCTCGGTGTGAGCCACATGGATTGAACCTGGTCCGTAAAGATAATTCTTGTGATTGCCCTTGAGATTCGGAATATCCGTCCCATAATTGACAACCGACTGTGTAAATCCAGGAACATCACCCTCTATCTTGACAGGCTCACAAGCATCAATCGCAAAATTCATCTCATACTTATGGCCGGTAGCATCCAAGCTACTTTCAATCGTCCTCTTCAAGTCATCTATCGTTCCACCTGCGATTCGAAACATGATATTGGCCTCCGCAAAAAAGGGAATGACATTTGCAGCCACGCCCGCATCGATGCGGCCTATGTTCATAGTTGTTTCTCCAAATCGTTGGCTTGAAGGAAGCTTCATGTCGCGCAAAGCTTGGAGTCCATCGAGTAATTTGTTGACAGCCGACTCTCCCAGAGAGGGATAGCCAGAATGCGCCGCCTTGCCGCTGGCTCTCAAGGCCATATTGAGAACACCCTTGTGTCCTCTTGGAAGGGTACCTTCGGTAGGCTCCCCGAAAATAACCGATTCCCAGCTGAGTCCGAGGTTGTTGGCATATATCATTCCATCACCTTCAGTCTCTTCGCCTACAACGAAAAGTAAGGAGATGTCGCCTGGTTGAATGTGGCCATTGGAAAACAGCTCCTCCAGTGCGACTATTTGAGCAGCAACGCACGATTTTGCATCAACTACTCCTCTGCCCCATATCTCGGTACTGTCGTTCAGTAATCTGTACGGCCAATACGGTGGTACCTGGTGGATTCATAAATTAGTGATGCTTCTCCAAACCCATGTCCGTGAAGATGAGTTGTTCCTTTTTCCATCGGCGAGGGCTTCTTCGATTTTCAACTTACCACATCGATGTGACTTGAAAAGCAAACCCTGGTCTGGCGCTTGCTTCCATAGTAGGCCAGTATATTGTATCTCTCCTCCGGGTAGTCCGATGGAACAACTTGCTTCTCGACCGTAAGTCCTTTCCCCTCCAAATACGACACGAGCAGATCGGCGACTGGCTTTTCGTTTCCGGTGATAGATTCGATCTCACAAATTTTTCGATGTAGATCCACTACTGGATGTTGGGTAATCGACTGGGATTCCATGGTGTGATTCTGGATGGCTGAAGAAGAAAAAGAAAAAGAAGCATAAGACCACAACTCCTATATCCGTTGAAAGGCATCTTTATGAGCGAACAGAAGGGAGGCTTTACCCCGGTATACTTTTCATGACACGATATTTTTATCGCATGGATTAATTGACTGGCCGCCAAATATGTCTATTCCGAGCGAGTTCCGGGAAACATCTTGTGATAATGGCCGGACTTGCCGCATTCACCAGTCCGGAGATACTGGCGGTGGCTCACCAAGTCTCCAGAATTCCCCTCAGTTAGTTCCGAGGTCCCTTGGAGTTACATTCCTTTGATGATCTTGAGTTACTCATTTCAAGATAGACCCTACTCTATCTTTATACGTTGATTCTGTATCACCGGGGAATCTTATAGAAAACCGCAATTTTTGTATACTTGCATAGATTTCTTTCTCTCTCTCTCTCTCTCTCTCTCTCTCTCATTCGTTTCTCTCTTTCCTCTCCCCTTCCCCTCTCTCTCTCAAGGTCTCTACCTATCTCCTTCTCTCCCCCCTTATTTTTCGCTTTCTATTCTCTCTCCTCGCCCATATCACCGACTGGTGTTGATGAACTTCATTCTTGGGTCGACCGACAAAATGTGAGCGGTCGCCAATCTAAACATCCATGGCGATGAGCCCCGACGACCAGAAGAAGTCAATCAGGGCAAGGTAGCAGTGAACCACGGACAAGCTAACTACGATCAATAACATGATCAGCACTACGATGATTACCCCTCTCTCTCCCAGGATGGACCAGGTCACAACAACGAGAGTTGAATGGCGAACGTGATCAAGGACGTCCCCTTTCGGGGCCTCTCAAGGCACTCCGACAAAGACGTATCCTTGTCAATCACCCATAATAACACCGCCGGTCGAGGCAATGAGCGGCGCGCCCGATATTGCTGACTGGCTTTTGGTGTTGGTGTGCCCCCCTGAAAACCCCGGCCTCATACGCACAGTCAGTGATCTCGCAGCAATTGATTTCGAAGAGTACGCAGCCGGCCGCCGACTCACAGACTTCGGCGTCATCTTTGCACTGTTGACCACTGAGCCCCAGTGGCACAGCGAAACCCTCCGGCGGTATCCACTACTTACGAGAAAACAATGCGGCCTCTGTGACGATCGCCCGGGCGGTATTCGAATCCCAAGGTTCAATGTTCCCGACATCTGGGGGCACAGATGTCCACTCCTAGGTCGCTTCCAAGGTTGCCGGCCCCATCCCATCCATCCCGAGGTCATTATTCTAGCTTACTAAGTACATCCTGCTGAATGAAGACCGTTTTCTGACCCACTGAACGATTGATACTCTGTCAGTCTGTGTCATCCTATTACGCCGTCCTGGCTTCCTCTACAAATCTGTAGTTATGGGTCAATCTATTTAGCTGCTATAATAAAATAAAATGGCTCAAGTGAAAGAAAAACTCGTTGCTATAGGTATCATGATAAACATGAGGCCCAGGATACCTTTACAAACTGTCAGAATGTCAATCGTAACCAAAATATCTACTCGGCACCCACCCCGGACACTGATCCCTGGATTGTACGGTACCCGTTGACCGAGTCTTTAATTACGGTTTCAATAACAGATAATGCATAAGATTACAAAAGATATATGTATTGAAGTCGCGCCATACCTACGGAGTAAGACCGGAAACATGACCATGCCTGTGTTGGATCTTGCTCAAACAAAGTGACCTCAATGGTCCACCTATTCAACTATAGAAAGTAGTCTTGCTATTCCCTTCCTCTTCCTGACCGGTTCCTCGGCCCCCAGGACCTCATCCAACCCCGTGATCATATCGATCTCCTCCGGTGACCGAGCCCACTTTTCGCGCCAGCTGACGACTCTGTGGCCAAAGTACAAAACAAGAAATATAGGAATCCCAACATAGGCAGTAAGGAAACTTGTGGCTGAGAACCTCCCAGGAAAGAAAACTGTGAACCCATTGATCAAACACAGTATCCCAAAAAGAGGGCCCGCGAAGTAGGCGCCGTAAGGTTGGAACATACTAGTGAAAGGTAATTGCACATTTTGAACTTCCACGGCTCGGCGGAATCGAATGTAAATGATCGAGCAACACACCCAGCTGATCATTCCAGATGTGTTTGTCAGGCTGACGAACCAGTTGAACACTTGCACGCCACTAGAAGCAACATTCAGATAGGCCAACCCGCAGAAGAGCGAGGAACACCCAACAGCCATGTACGGGACTCCCCAGCGATTGCATCGCTTGAACATGCCCGGTGCGGAGCCCTGAATGCTCAAGCTGTATAGTGAGCGGCTCGAAATGTAAAGGAAGGAGTTGCCAGATGACCAAGCTGAGATAAGGATTCCAGCGTTGACGATAGAGGGCAATGTTCGAATGCCAGCATTGACCATTGCAATCACAAATGGGGATGAGCCAGCACCAGCATGACCACTGAGAAGTCTGGGGTCATTACTAGGACATGTAACGCCTATTGCCAAGATTCCAAGCACAAAGAATATCATGAGTCGGTAGAAGTAACGCCTTGAAGCAATGGGAAGGTTCCGACGGGGTGATTGCATTTCACCGCCAGTGGTAACAAGAAGCTCCGGCGCGAAACTAAAAGGAAAGACTGAGTTCACGAAGGAGTAAAAAAATGATATGGTGCGTCCAGCATCTCCGGATTTGATGAATGGGTTTGCGGCACCAGGGTCTTGCCAGTATCGGAAGCCGAGTCGATCTCGAGTAGGGCCACCACCCCAGAACAGAATGAAAGACAGCACCAACAGGCCTATCATAAGAATCACCTTGGATCCGGCAAACCAAAATTCTGCCTCGCCATAGTGCTTCACTGGGAGAAAGTTCAACCCAACAATGACAACGATCATGATCGTGATCCAAACCGCAATGTTGATGTTGTTAGGCCAGTAGCCAATCACTAGACTCGCGGCAGTAATCTCGTATGGAACTAGAATCCCCAAGGCATACCAATAGAGATAGCCGAGAGCGAAACCCATGGACCGAGATACGTATCGGTGTCCATAGTATGACATTGTTCCGCCGTGAACAGGAAGATACGTAGCAATTTCAGTCACTGCCGTAACCACCCCACAGTAAACGAGTATAGCGACAACCGTGTATGAAGCAAGTGCAAAAGCAGGTCCACCTATGGCGAGAAGGGAGCCACTCGCTACAAACAACCTATTTTTGATAGGTTCAAAGGTTAGCACTGGCAAGGATTGATCGTTGAGATAGCATACCCAGTTCCGATGGAGCCACCGAGTGCAATCATCTGGGCATGTCTGTTTTTCAGGCCACGTTGAGTAGAGCCATTGTCCATTTCGTACATCTCAGCGTGATGTATAGACTCTGGGGCTCTCGGCTTCAGCTCCTCTGGCTTCTCTTTCTTTGTGGTTTCAGGTGAATCGGGAATTCTCGTCTCAGAGCCATGATCCACGGACCGGGCATCTTGTTCCAGATCGACGGTATCGTTGATCGGCGACATGACCAAACGGATAATGAGCACCTCGCCCGCCGTCAATAGCAAAACAGGCGGCTTTGATTCGATATGAGCTAAGATGTTGAGCGATGTACGAAAAGGAAGATATTCAAAAGCGACGAGGAGCCCTGAGTTGAGAAAATAGATTGACGAGCCCAGCTCGACTTACATGGACTAGGCGCTTTGGGAAACTGTTGTCATATATATACCTTTTTCACTGTTGCCCACGCCTCCAACATCACGGATTTATACTTTACCTGGCAATCTATAACATAAATTTTGTGCTACTGACGGTGAAATCATCGGTTTATTTCACAGCGAATGGAGGTCTTTCTACTCATCCAAGGGCCCCTCGATAAGAAAATCCGAGAAAATAGTGGCTTCAAGCCATTCCGAGAGGATCGGCCGAGCGGATCAGAGAAAAACGTGACGCGACCCAATCTGGGGTTGAGAAAGGTTGCAACGGAAAAATCACTGTTTCAATGTTGGTAGGCACTGATAGTTCCCACAGAGGTCGTCAATATCCTTACCTACCTACTCCGTAGGTAACACGGCATCATCAAACGCTATCACTGTAATCGTAGGGCTCTTAGTGGCCGCGTTCCAACGCGTAGATCACGTCTCTAATTGGGTACTTTTCAATACGCGATACAATACATAAGATGGGTATGCGTAATATTCAACTGGGGCAATACAAATTGGGCAGCCAACTCCCGATGGCTTTGGCAGCTCGGTTTCTAGCGCCGCTCGGTCTTTCCACTTCCATCTTTATCAGTGAAAGCGGCCCCCGGGGCCCGGGGCAACTGGATCGCCCCTGGGTCACCTGCGCACACCCCCTCAGTCGATGACGCGCCTGAAATCTGAAATTCAACCCCCGAGGTTGTTGACGCGTTGTACTTCGGACCCCCGCTGGCGAAATGACAATGAAGTTAGCCTCTTCTGTATCCGCTCGGTCTTACTCAAACTACAGCCATGTGGGTACTCAAGTCGGGGATACGGATGACTGAGAGCAACCTGCCAGATCAGGTGGCTCTCATAGCGAGAGTTGATTTTGGTGTTCATCGCCAGGGCTAAGTGCCAGAACAACATCGGCATAAATAGCAAAGCTTTGGCTCTTCAATTCAATCATCAACATCATTAACTAGCTCTCATCTCTGACGGTCTGACCAGAATCGTTACCACATTGCCAAACACGCAATCGACATTTCAAGATGTCTCGCTCAATCAAAGTCCACCCAATCAACAAGGTGCTCCAATTCTCGGAGGAGGAGTTCCAGGGCAGACGCGACCGTGCAATCCAGATCATGAAGCGAGAGAAACTCGATGGATTCTTGATCACGAAACAAGAGACCCTATACTATTTGACTGGATTTGACACTTTCGGCTATGTCTTCTTCCAAGCCATGTACTTCCACATCGATGGATCTATGCGATTGATCACCCGAACCGCCGACCTTCGTCAGGCTATCTACACTTCGACTTTGACGAAGAAGGAGATCGTCACACGCCCCGATGATGCAAATGCCAACCCCGTTGCCTGTGTGCCAGAGGTCCTCAAGTCGTTTGGTATCAACTCCCCTGCCAAGCGAATTGGCTACGAGCCAGACTCTGCCACTCTCAATATGCGTATCGGCAGACTCCTCGACGCGGCGCTCGATGGTGTTTGCACGCTGGTTGATCACAGTACACTTTTCGGGTTGGAACTTCGCATCGTGAAATCGGAGGCGGAAATGCGGAAAGTCCGTAAAGCGGCATATCTTGCTGACTTTGCTCTTGTCCGCGCCCTGAAGTTGGCTAAGCCTGGAGCCTATGAGGGTGATCTGTGGCGCGAAATCGTTGGAACTGTCTACGAGGGTGGCGGCGACGACCCTGCCAACGAGAACATTCTCAACTCCGGCAACAAAGCCGTCTTGCTACGTTACGCCACTGGCAAAGGGATCGTGGACAGACAGGTCGTTTTGGAGCATGCGGGTGTTTTCCGCCACTATCACGCTTGTCTGATGAGGACTATTCCCATTGGAGGAGTCAACAAGCTATTCCGCCAAATGCAGCGTGTGAATGTCTTGCAAATGCGAGCTGCCATGGAAGCCCTCAAGCCTGGACGTCCAATGAGCGACTTGTATGACGCTTATGTACGTGTTGGTACTGAAAATGGATTCAAGGACCAGCTTATTACCTCCTGTGGTTACAGCATGGGTGCGACATTTGCGCCGACCTGGATGGATTACCCAATGTTTGTCAAGGGACAGAGCGTGTTGGTCAGGGCTGGTATGGTGTTTTTCATTCATATCATCCTTTTGGACAACGTTACAGACACTTGCACTTCGGTAGGCCAGACCGTGGAAGTTACAAACCAAGGAACTGTTTCTTTGTCGAAATTGCCATTCTGCTTGACCAGAAAGCAGACAATTGCCGCGTGGAAGAAGCTGCGGAAGGAGGATTATGGGTTTACCGCAGAGGAAGAAGATGAAGGAGAGAACCTTCAAGACGTTGAGCTCTCCGATGGTGAAATTGACGCGGAAGACTTTGACGTGGAATATGATTACAGTCAGTACAAAGGAGTTCTGGCAGACAACTAAGGGACAATTTCAACGGTCAAAATATGTGGCTCATTGTTGACCTTGTAAATATCTCTGACTAGATAGTCACAATCTCTTTGTCATATTATCACTGGCAAATATATTGTTCAAAACGATACGTAGGCATTAAAATCTAATTTTGAGATAAGGTAAACGGACAACCATGCTCAGGTAGAAGATGTGTCAATGTCAAATTGCCAACATTCTGGAGGCCCAAAGCCCTACCGCGACCATGATCTTGAAATAATTGAATCAATGTTTTCATTTTCAATTCACCTCTTATCTCGGAAACCAAAGCGGGCTCAAACAGCCAGACTGCCGGATCCCCACTTTGCCTTCGGTTCTCCGCACCTCGCCCTTGGCCTTGGCCTTTTCCAGCCCTGGAGTTTGACATCGCTCAAGTCACCTGCCCCGACAACGCATTTCCTCTCACCACATCTTCGATCTGTTACTCATATCTCTCAACCACACAGCAGAAGATGTCGGCCTACTGTCGTCCAGGACATCTGTACGATTCCAGCAAAACGAGATCGCGATCATTATCATATGCCGGGTAAGATCCCTTGCCTGAACTTGAAGGGAGAGCTAGCTGATCAAGAATAAGTTGCTGGACGTGTCGAAAGAGGCGCATCAAATGCGATGAGCGGCCTATGTCTTGCAAAACGTGCGACCAGGCCGGCTTGGAGTGCGGTGGATACGGCATACGGCTCAACTGGGGCCTTGACACAGACAAAGTATCCGCAGAAGATGACAAGGGTCGGCGACGTGGGAGTCGAAGACGGATCAACCCAGGTAGGCTGAGGCCTTGAGCTAATCCTTGACACAGAGGCCTTACTCCGATCACAAATAGGACAAAACACTTGGCAGCCCATGACAGAGCAAGAGATTCTCCGCAAGCTTTCCGATGTAGATACACTTGTGGCTTGCGATAACGAGGATAGTCCTTTCTCGGTTTTTCGAGCGGAACTGACATCGGATATCCGGGAAGAGACAACCCCCCAAACTGAACAGATCACCAACACAGAGGCTCGACTGAGCGAAAATATCGATGATGTGGACGAATACTGTGGGGTATCAGACAAATTGGGATACAAACCGGGTGATTTGTCTATACGGAATTGGGATGCAGCTCATCTTGCAAGGACTCCAGAGGCTATAGAGAATGCTTCAACTTTGGATCCCGGTCTTGACTTCTGGACAAGCATTCCATATCAATTTGGAGATGCACTGAGTCTAGAAAAGAATGCCCCTGTCAGAGAAAATCAGGAAGATCTACCCCCGTCTGCCGCCCGCTTGCCAGAGAATGGAGCTAGATCCCTATTTCCCACTTCTCACAGCCTAAGTGTTTCTACTCTTTCGCGATCGGCATCACCGGAGATGATTGAAGAGACCCAATTATCTCATCCACTTGGAACCTTATCTCTGATCTCTGGTATATCATTTTGTGCAGAGAGCTCTTTGATTGAGCACTACGCTAGATGTGTCGTTCATTTGATGCAACCGGTATTGCACAGAGAGAACCCATTTCAAACGCTATACCTTCCGCTCGCTGTCAGGGGCCTATCCGAACTAAAGATTGTCCGTAATTCAGCATCCAAGCCATCTGCCAGGGTTTCAATCGCCCACAGTCTGCTATGTGCTGCGGCTATTTATATGGAGGGCCACGACAATGAGCAACAGGGTCTTCAGCAGCTCATACATCATCACAGGCATCAGGCCCTTGTTGCGCTTCGAACTGCTCTTACTGCGAGAACGGATGCGTATAAAGATGTCATGACAGCAATACTGTCCTTGGTCTCAGCCGACGTATGTCATCTCACTAATTTCGGATATGTTATGAAAACCAGAAGCTGACTTTTACAGATTCTCGATGGTGGCGATCATGACCATTGGCTCCATTTGAACGCAGCCACAAGATATCAAATCTCGCGGCATGGTGCGACTTTAGTTAGTCGAGAGACTCGTCGGCTGAACACCATCTGCACTATGCTTCGCTTGTTCTCTCTGACTACACTAGCAGATCCAACACCCGCTGAATGGACTGGAAGCAATGGGACATTGGAGATAGACAAACAGCAATATTCGGACTCTAGTATCGAATATCTTTACGGCATCACTTCCACGATCACGGCATCGATTGCAAAGATCTATCGCTTAACACAGCATCTAGCCTTTTATAAAGCCCAACCATATCCAGAAGCTCTACTCAGGGCCTGTGAGAGGTTAGGCGATGAACTATTCTCATACAGAATATCCTCCGAGACCTTCTCCGCCCTTAAGACCGATGGAGCAGATGCGTTGCGTCTTGGGCAAGCTCAAGCGAAAGCTTTCCATTACGCATCTCGCATTTATTACTTTCGGTCGATACAAAAGTGCCCGCGGGAGGCTCTTCAATTGGAGCAACAGGAAACACTGGCAGCTATGGAAGAAGCAGAGAATATCAAGGCTGTCTCTGTAAAGAGCAAATCGGCGCCTGCGCCAATCACCTGGCCAGCCTTTGTGGCCTCCTGCGAAGCCACGGGCGAATATCGCATGTTATGGGACAATTGGTGGAAGAGGGTGGAAAGATATCAAATGAAGAATTTTGCTAAGCAGCGAATGATTCTCCAATTGGTTTGGGCTGAACTTGACAAGAGCATGGTTGATGTTGATTGGAGGGAGACGCTTGCACTCGGGAATTTGAGGGTGATTCCTGTTTGACCTATCACTATATGTGCAACGAGGTAGAAACAACAAAACACAATTTTACTGATCTTGCCATTGACCATCGTACAAATGAACAGACTCCTTAATTTGTGAGAGATAATTGCTATGGTCACTGCCAGGTGGGCAGTGAGACGAACCCGTACTCCCTACCCCTCAAATTACATGCAAGGCTAAAAGGGTCAAATCAGCGTCGTTCCTTGTTCAGGCTCACTTTTCTCCTCAAGTTGCAGCATGCTAGAAGCGAATGGAATTCGGAAAGGTCAGAGCTTTCGAGTATGATTTCTCCTTTGGGAAAGCGGCGAGCTCGGCTTCGTTGGGCCCTTGCCATTGGACGATAACACATATGCATTACCCCGGCATTTCAAACGCTCTTTTGGGGTTAGATTTGGATCGACATCTTGATTTATGCCCAGCTGAGATCCGGATGAAGCGATGACCAGTTCTCGAGTGTCCGGGATGTGATAAGAGACATGTCAATTAGATTCGGGAAGAAGGCAACTACTAAACATTTGATTTTGAAACTCTACGGCTGATTCCGTCTTTGGAAACAGCCAGCTTGCAATGTCTCGTTCCATCGAGGGGACGGTTTTCCCAATAGAGAGCGCTCGTATTGTTCTAATTATGTCTTTAAGAGGATATCCGTACGACCGGGGCACTTGCACTATCGGCTATCTTCAAACTCTCTTGTCATAAAAATGTTGCCACCGTGCAGATATGTCATTTTGCGGAGAAAGGTTCTATGCTGGTAATCGGTATCGATAATTGGTCGACCTCCTCGTAGACGTGGCTTGCACGGATATCAGCCGGTTCTTGGTTTATAAATAATGGCGTTTCGATCCTTTCGAATTTTGGATAGATCATTGATCCTACATAAATCACCATGAACGAGACCCAAGCCAAATCCGAAATACAAAACAATGAAAAAGACCCTGAGAGCTTAGCGGATATTACTTTGGAAGCTGGCCAAATCAAGGAACATTCCGGAGTGGTTCACGACGCTGTCTTCGGTGAAATCACAGAGGATGGTCCCAATTTTCGTAATGTCAGTGGCGATTTTGCTGGGTTGTAGCTGCTCAGAGCTAACACTTCTTCTCCAGGTTGGGTGGGTGGGAACGGCGGTTCTGATGGCGAAGTGCCAACTTGGGTTGGGAGTGCTGTCTCTTCCGGCAGCTTTTGACACGCTGGGCATGGTTCCCGGTGTTCTCTGCATGCTATCAGTGGCATTCGTCGTGACGTGGGGGAGTTATGTCATTGGTGGCTTTAAGCTCAATCATCGTGAAATATATGGCATCGACGACGCAACAGGGGTCATGTTTGGATTTTGGGGTCGCGAGCTGATCGCTATCTGCTTCATTCTCTGTTAGTATTTATACTATCCTCGATGAAACCTACTAATTGATGCGTAGTCTTGATATTTTGTGCCGGATCAGGACTTTTGAGCATCTCAATTGGCCTCAATGCTGTCTCAAGCCACGGAGCTTGCACTGCAATTTTTGTCGCGGTTGCATGTGTTGCTGTAATGCTACTTGGTAGCATCCGAACGCTCAGTCGGCTGAGGATTCTTGCATGGATTGGATTGGTTTCCATTCTTAGCTCTAGTGAGTTCATCCCAACGTGGCATTTCAAATGCCTTTCACATACCTCTGGGCCTCCAAGCTTGCCTACAAAGCAAGATTATTAGCATAGCTAATCGATCATTCAGTCCTGATTGTGACCATCGCCGTGGGCGTAGAGGAAAAACCCGCTTCCGCGCCCCCAGGCAAATGGACCTCGGATTACAAAATTATCGGCAACCCAACCTTCGTTGAGGGGGTCACCGCAGTTTCCACTTTCATATTTGCCTACGCGGGTACGCCATTCTATTTTCCCATTGTTGCCGAGATGCGCGATCCACGAGACTATCCCAAGTCACTGGTCCTCTGTCAATCCTTGGTCACTGTTACCTATCTTGTGATCGGGATTGTCATGTACTACTACTCTGGCTCTTATATTGCATCCCCCGCGCTAGGATCTGCTGGCAAGCTCTTAAAACAAATCAGTTATGGGATTGCGCTTCCAGGATTGATAGTCAGCTCTACGATGAGCACTCATGTGAGTTGGCATTGATTCACATTTGTTTACGACGAGACATTCGCTAACCACCAAAAGCTTGCAAGCAAACATATCTTCCTTCGAATCCTGCGAGGATCCAGACATGTTACAGCAGACACAATGACCCATTGGGTGACATGGCTCGGTAGCGTCTTTACCGTCTCCATCGTCGCTTACTGCATCGCCAGTGGTATTCCTGTCTTTGACAATCTTGTCTCGCTCATCGGGGCATTTCTAGGCACACTGATGTGTTTCCAGCCCTTGGGATGCATGTGGCTCTATGATAACTGGGCAAAGGGAAAGACGCAGCGCACGGCTCGATGGGTCTTGATGGTATGTTGGAGCGCTTTCGTGGTTTTGGTCGGAATGTTCTTGATGGTTGCTGGCACCTATGGAGCGGTGATTGGAATCATTGACTCGTATCACGCAGAAGGCGGCTCGAGCGCTTGGTCCTGTGCCGACAACTCCAATTCTTCGTGAGATTGCACAACATCTGTGTACCTGCGTAGATTTTGAGGACAGATTATATTGAAATACATACCTGAGTGGCTGTACACGGACGCTCCAAAGAAAGCGGACTTCTTCTGAGTTACAAGAAACTTTCAAATCCAATCCCAAAAACAAGGTCATGTGTTTCAGGGGTCAAACGAGCCTCGAGATCTTTTAGTATTGATTGAACAAGACGAAAGGAGATAGAGAGCGGGGAGAAGGAGGTCATGGAGACTGAAAATCCCCCAGGTGGAATGACAGTCCCACAACGGGTGATTGAATGAGCCACTAGATCAGCCAACTGAACAGGGGTTCAGGGAAACTACATATGCCAAGGACGCCAAGCTAGTAATTGAACCAGTTTCGATCAGAAAATGGTTTACTCATGGTGATTGATCTGTTCGCTGAAGTCCATTGGATAAATTGACTAAGCCTCCAAATGACTCCCATGTACTAGTATGTACTCCGTAGCGAACTAGGACATTCTGTGTCATGGAGATAGGGTTCCAAGGTTCTGTGGTTCCGAGGTTTCGCGCCAACAAACATAACCTTGTTCCGAAAGGAGCTAGTGGTAATATTCGGGAAAGTTTGGTTACAGTATGAGTATTGTGTAACCATGCCCCGTACGGAGTACTACTGCCTGTCGGAACAGTTTTTACTAGTACTTTGCCCAGCCCCTGAGATTTTTGGATCGTGAGAATACATTTTGGATGACCTACGGCTCGGAGAAGCCACACAGAAACAGGGCTTGATTATATCATGCTCTTGAGTGGTAATTTACGGGGACCTTTTTCTGAATGTTTCATTTGTCGCTATGAGGACAGCAATCGATCTTGGATGAAGTGCGAATTCCGAAGGCCGGGGAAGGTTCGAGTCAATAATGTATGACTAAACCAGCCCGTTCCTCCAGCGTGTCGTTGAATATGCACGACGTCTGCATCATGTCAACGAGCCTTTTGGCAAGGTTCCACTGGCTGAATCTCCCAAGTAGTGTCTCAGCATCATGCCGCAAGTGCTGCACCGCTGAATGATTGTTGATGTCCACCGCAGAACCGATAGATGCAAACCCACCATCCTCAATCCAAGAGTCGAGAGCTGCTTTCTGGGACAGATTGTACTCGACTTGATCAAGTTTGACGACAGTATTGGCATATGGCAATAGACTGTCGAAGGTCCCGTATCGCACAAATGCAACGATGAAAGTATAGGCAACACACACTCGAAATATCTCGCTGGGGACCGCAACGCTATAGTCATTGACAATCGCAATGATCTGAGCTGCGTGCCAAACAAGTTCGCGAGCCATTCTGGGATCAGATCGAAAGATAGGGCGAAGTCTTTGCTCCACAAATCGCGTGTCATATGCAGAGGGATTTCGGATGCTGTGGATAATGACATCGCTTGCATCGCTCGATACATAAAGTTTGGAAACATGGAAGCTCAGAGCGACAATACTATTGATGATTAGCGACTTCGAAAACCAGGACAATTGGCAGGCCCCAAGGATCAATCATACTTGTGATGTATTAGTCCCGTCACTGTAGACGGACTGGAGAGCGATTTTCTCAAGCCGTCTAGGCCTCGCAATAATCTTGATTTTGTGCGAGAATGAGCATCGGACAGAAACTCCAGTCCCAGTTCGAATCCATGTGATCTTTCCACGGACTGAGATAGCTTGACATCCCACAGTAACCTTGAAATAAACTGTGCCGTCAGCTTCTTGCCGAATATTGACAGGTCATCTGGCGCGGCGTTTCCGGCTATTACCGAGCGAGCGCAGCATGAGAAGAGCGCCCCTTTCGCAAGATGGGGTCGAGTTTTGGAAAGGGATTTCCACGCGGCAGGCGTTGACGCTTCCCAAATTTCCTCTGAGCAAGGCATTCTCTTAGGTAGTTGAGAAAGTTCAACAATGCCGCGTCTTCCTGTAAGCGCAGTGAGAGTGCAATCACAGGCAAAGGAGGCCCAGGCAAGGCGTTTTACCTGCTCCTTCTTCTGCCACAAGAGCCAACTATAAGATTGGGTCTCGGGACTAGGTGAGTCTGTAGGATTTTCCCAAACTTCACCTGTATCACATATTGAATCGAGAACTCTGAAGTCTTGCAGATATGCGATTAGGTATTCGTGTGAGCTTGCCAGGGAATCATGGGATTGAGACCCCCCAGAGCCAAGTAAATAGAACTGGTGTAGACAGCGGGCGCTAGCGATCTCGATTAAATTCTCATCGGGATTCATGGGGTTGACCTTGAGATCGAGACGTGTCAGAGTCTTTCCAACAGTTTTAAGAGCAGGCACCTCTTTCAAGACCATTGCACACTCACCACTTCTTCAATGTATTGTTTGAACATGCGACTAAATGCTCCGGGGATCTGCTGAGCTGGATCGTCTCTTAGGTTCAAGGAACCTATCGATATCATAGCGCACAATAGTACGGGGGAACATCGCTTCTTGTCCCACGTGGGACGATGTATCAGAGGCATGACTGGATGAAAGTTTGCAAAATACAGTGACAGACATTCATCAATCAAAGATCGTGTAGACCATATGAAACAGCTGTCTGTCCCAGTGAACTCCCAGATAGAAGATGATGTCAATAGGTCTGGAAGTTGTTCGCCGAGTTGCTGCAAAGCGCCGTCTGTGGACCAGTTCCAAGCTCTAGTTGAGCTCTCGAAACGCATTGGCTCGCCCAGTCGGTCTCCCTCTAACATGGCTTGGTCACTGCTAGCCACAGACGAGCTTGTGATATCCCTTTCTGGCCCATGAGACTGCAAGTCCTCGACAGTCATTTGTAATTGACCAGGGTTGTCATTCTCATTCTGCCACAGACTATAGTTCTGGAAATGAGATGGTGAATTTGAGTCGCATTCGATGGATTCCAGAGGTAAATCTGACGCGGTGCCGAAACCATCCGCATCTATGTATGGTACCGTCCAGAATGGAGCAGAGATATGCGCCTCCAAGATGCTGCTATCAGCGATATCTTGGATTTGCAAAAAGGTCTCTACCTTCTGTCGCTCATATGCATTGCAAATCAAGTCACTTTGAGGTGGTTTCCCACTCCTCTGGTCTTTTTGTAGTGGCGCTACACCATTTCGTCGGTCGGACGCTGACTTGACTTCTTGTGTTTGGCGGTTGACCCCCTCAGCATCTGGGAGGGGAACATGAGATATTTTTTCTAACGAGCATGGCAATTCATACTTATTGCACGATGTGCAGGGCGCCTTCCGGTCACATTTGAGCTTTTTTTGCACACATCGCAAGCAAGACTTTTGACGGGGATTCTTGCGACGTGATTGATTTTCGTGAGCTGTTCGACGATGACGAAGCAATACATCTTTCCTGCAGAATGTTCGGCCACATTCCATGCAGATAATCCGGGATTGTCCTTCCTTGGTGGAATGTGTCTGCATGTGGTGAATGAGCAGAGTACCGTTTGCTATGATAATGCCACATCTTGGACACTCGACCGATTCTGAAAGATGGCTCTGAGACATATTGGCGAACTGGCTGATATCCGATGAAGTTGGAGACAGGGTACTCGCAGGTAAATGATCTTCCATATTGGAGCTTGCTAGGGCTCTTATCTTTGGTTGACTCAAATGACTTTGCATGAATAATGAAGCGAGAATTCCAGGGAAGCAGCTAGCGCCAAGTCTCGTTGATTGCATCGAATACCCCGCGTTAATCTTGATGTGCAGATAGCGATGTGCTTCGTTAGATCATAGCTGTCAATCATAGTTTGTTTAGTTTGTCTGGAAGAGGAAATGTCTGTCGAAAAAGTGGAGATGCGCCAGGGCGCAGTAAGCATGCGTAGGGCGTGGTGCCCCACACCGATGCTCCGGAGCGCGAGGTGCTGATTTGGTGTGGGGAGAAGCCCATCCCTTTCCACCCAAAACACCCCCGATGTTCTTTCTCATTGGTCTTTGTGGGAAAACGGCCCAATTGTGATTGGCGAGTTCAGCTAAAGGCTTCATGGCCCGAGTTATGCCACTCGAAGTGAACCACATCATTTTCCGTGATTGCAAGACCGATTCCGGCGCGGCTTTGATTGGCCATCTCCAGGGCTTCGGTGGCGCCTTACACCCTGAACAGCGCCCGTACGGGTTGTGATGCCCCTATCATTCACCGCATTAAAGTTGAAGTTTATAAAGAGTCAGTCTGACCATTTCGAAAAAGACAAGTGGCATCGAAATCAGCCCACATTTGCGTGTTTAGGACTCGGGCCGATCTCTTCCCATGGCAGACCAAATTCTCTCAATAGCAGACCTAGAGGAGGCTGCTTCGAAGAAGCTCCAGACTTCAGTGAAAGGTATAGTGACATATTCATAAATATCAGAATTGGACTAATTGTTCTTCAATCTGTGCCAGAGTTCTTCAATTCTGGCGCGACAAACCAAGTGACGCTCCATGAGAATTCAGCCGCTTATCGCAAATATCGCCTCTTGCCGCGAGTTCTCAAGGATGTTTCAAAAGTGAACACCGGTATCTCCTTGTTTGAGAAGGAAATTCCATTTCCACTCTGTGTTTCTCCGGCTGGAATCCAGGCAATGGCTCATCCCGATGGCGAATTGGCAACCAGTCGGGCATGCGCCAAAATGGGTGTGCACATGGGCGTCTCCTCCTTCGCCAATCACTCGGTAGAGGAAATAACGGAGGCTGCAAAAGACGTTGGATCTATCAACCACGTCATGCAGCTTTATGTCATGAACGATAAAGCCAAGCAGGAGCGTATCGTGAAACGCGCGGAAGCTGCTGGGTGTAAAGCCATCTTCCTGACTGCGGATAGCCCTGTCCTCGGTGTTCGCTACAATGAGTGGCGAAATGGCTTTAAACCTCCGTCCGGTATAGGATATCCTATGTATGAGAAGTCATCGGAGGAGATACATTCTGAATCACACGATGATGGGTTCAGCGCATCTAACTCCGACTCTCACTCATGGGCGACAGATATTCCATGGCTCCGTCGAGTGACTAAAATGGAAATTTGGGTTAAAGGCATCCTTACCCCCGAGGACGTCGAAACCGCCATAGAGTATGGTTGTGACGGTGTGGTTATCAGTAACCACGGAGGGCGACAGCTGGATGAGACCCCCGCCACAATCGATGCTCTCCCTGCCTGTGCGAAGGCTGCGCGGGGGCGAATCAGAATTCATGTTGATGGTGGTATTCGCTCGGGATCCGATATCTTCAAGGCGCTAGCACTTGGTGCGGAATGTTGCTGGGTTGGTCGCCCGATGCTCTGGGGATTGGCTGTGAGTAACCCAACATTCAGTGAGTGTCTGAGCTAACTAAAAGTCGCAGTACAACGGTCAGGAAGGAGTAGAGCTGATGTTGAAACTTCTTTTCAATGACTTCAAGCGTTGTATGCAACTGACAGGATGTAACTCTGTGTCTGACATCAGCCCTGTTAGTTTAGCGATCGCTCAGCCGTATGGACCTTTGGCAAGACTGTAATCCTTCCGACTTCATGCCATGCCTTCATTTGCGTAGCTGCGGGTGACCATCAAAACATAGATCGTGATAGATTCTTCTGTCTCTCAAAGTGTTGCCTTTTTCATGGACCTCATATCCCAATATGAAGGCCCTATTCTGATTGTTTGTGGTATACCACCTTTAGATAAAATTTTTCCAAGCTACAAATATGTGTATAGAAGGAAGTGAGAGGAGAAGTGAAGGAAATGACGAAAGAAGGTTCCATCATCTGTGGGCTCTCAATCTTCTTTCCAGCTTGCAACGCAATCTCAGATCTCTCAACTACCTAGACTCTCTGCTCAGATATTTTATCTTCCTAAGAGTATGGGCCAGCCCTGCTCTTGGGAACCTTGGAAATCACAAAGTGCGAGATAGCTATGCTACAATATGGCTGTTTCAGAAAAAGAATAATGTGCAAATTGTTTGAATTATGTGCACAAGTGACTGTGATATTTACGCCGTCCAAGATCTATTTCCATGCAAGGTCGCCGTTGACAAACTGTGCCCGCCCATGTGCCAGGCTCCAGTCCTCCGGGGTGTTGGCACAGACACTAATGACAAGGTCATCGCCAGCAAGGCCACAATTTTCCTCGAGAGCAGCAGCCAAAGAAGCAAAAATTTCTTGCTTCACTAGTCTCGATCTACCTTGCTGGAAGACCTGCACGATTATCAAATTTTCGGATCGCGTCAGCCCGAGGCCGTAGTCGTCTGCAATGATCTCCTCCGGGGCATGCTGACTAATAATTTGAAAACTGATATGTTGAAATGAATATTAGTATACCGAGAGGGCTTTTTGCTCAGCCTCGGGGCAATGGGAATCTTGTATATACCGGTCATTCGCGGGGGCATTAAACTTCTCCACCATCACCGACTGTATCACATCGGCCAGCTTGCGAAGCGAATCTGGGGCTCGCACACCCTTGATGGTATGAATTTTGACGAGTGGCATTATGATTTGAGGAATAGGTTCTCGAGAATGGTAAACAGGAAGTTCGGTTCAGGCCCCGGGGTGTTCCAAGGCTGTGAGCGTTAAATTGAGCTGTACGGAGTATGCTCTTTTTATCGCTATATATTCAGAGTGGAGTTCAATGGACGTAAAGAGAAATATTTGCCGACCAATGGAATTCAAGATGGAATTATCGAAGGTACCGCTCATATCAAATGACTCCCCTCCCAAGTCATTCCAACCTTGGAAGGTTTACACTCAAAACTCCGAACATGCAAGATTTAAATATAGCCGTAGGCATTATGGGCAGCTACAACTCGATTTTTACGGAGAACGCGTTCATTTGTCGCCGTTGGAGATTCCGAGAAAGATAATCGTTATTTTAAACCCCTAGACCAGTTTCTCAAAACAATAAACATCGCAGTGGGACCGGCAAAGTAGCAGGTCGTGATCTTCCATTTCCTTCCAAGGTTTTTTCTCTTTTTTTTCTCCTCTCTTTTTGTTTCCTTTATTTTCGTTTGTTTATTTATATAATGGTAGTAGAATTTGGCCTAGGTGGTCAGATATACTTACAGCGAAACTGAGGAGCGATTGAATCAAAGCCTTGTTCTCTCCGAAGGAAGCAAGACAATCGAAGATACTAGAGAGTCTCTGAGGGTCCCGGAGCTAGTTTGCGGCCCCGTCTTATCGTCAATTTGAATGATGTGTGATTCCGAGGGCTCAGATCAAGCCATATTTCCCCTTCTACTATATCTGTCATAGGAACATCCATGAAGAGAGTCACATATACCATCCTCCAATGCCAAGTCTTAGCCCAAAACTTCCTCAATTACACCAGCCGTTCGTTCAACAATCAGTTCCACGTCGGACTTGGTGATAATATATGGCGGGGACAAAATGATATGATCACCATTCTTACCATCAGCCCCGCCATTACCGGGCATCAAGGAGATATTGTGGGCAGACTTCAGTCCAGTCGTGTGAAGCAACCAAGCAAGCTGTTTCGAAGGTGGGAAACATTTTTTGGATTCTTTGTCTTCGACAAATTCCATCTGCGTCCTCGCTGTTAGATCCAAATACAACACCAAGATTCAGGGACAATTGAGTTTGACTTACAGCCCAGAACAATCCTCGCCCACGAATATCACCGACATTTGGATGTTGGGACAGACGGGACTTCAGCAGACTGCCTAGATATTCACCCATCTCACGGACATTAGCTAGAAGGCCATCAGACTGAATAATCTCTTGGACCTTCTCGGCCGCTGCGCATGCGATGGGATGGCCTTGGTAGGTCTGGCTATGAACAAATGCACCAGTTCCCTTAGACAGAGTGTCTACCACGCGCTGGTTCACGAGTAGAGCGCCAATAGGAGAATAACCAGCACCTAGTCCCTTTGCAATGGTCTGCAGATCAGGTACAACGTCTTCTTGCTCCCAGGCATGAAGTGTTCCTGTGCGTCCCATTCCGGACATGACTTCGTCAAGAATAAAGAGCGCCCCGTGACGATCGCAGACAGCTTTCATAGCCTTCAGATAGCCGGGAAGAGGTGGGACACACCCCAGAGTCTTCATAAAATGTACAGTCAGAGAGTGTGTTTAGAAGATAGCCCATTTTGGGACAACACATACCGATCCAGCCATCGTTTCAGCAGCAAAGGCACACACCGTGTCCGGGCCCAGCTCTTGGAACTTTTGCTCTAGCTCTTGTGCAAGACGATCGACGTAAGACTCGATGGATTCTCCCAATTTCATATCACGGTAAGGATAGCATTGAGAGACGAAATAGACGTTTGGAGCAAGAATACGCTCATAAGGTGCCCGGCGAGCCGCGTGGTGGCCCAATGCAAGTGCCCCCAGGGTGTTTCCGTGGTAGGAAGACTTTCTCGAGATAAAACGAGTCCTCTGAATCTCGGGTGTGGGCTTCTCACGGAAGAATTGCAAAGCCATTTTCATGGAAGCTTCAATGGCTTCAGTTCCTATTCAAAAAAAAAAAAAAGTGATTTAGCAAATATCCACATTTTCGTCGGATGTCATACATACCAGAGCTCACAATAAAAGCCCGGCTCATCTGTCCCCCTGTGGACTGAGAGAGATATGTGGAAAGCCTCTCCGCAGCATCGTTCGTGAAGTAAAGCGAATAGCAGTATGGGATCTTTTCCAACTGGGCCACAATTGCTTTTTTCACGCGCTCATCGCTGTGACCAATGCAAGAGACGGCAGCACCACTCGTGGCATCGAAGACTCTGGCACCTTCACTGGTGATCAGGTAGGTGCCTTCCCCTCCGACGACCGTTGGGGGCTTTTGCCGCAACTGCCGGTAGAGCACCGAACTCTCAACTTCTGAATCAACTGGAAGGAGTGGCATCACTGTCATTTTTGAGCTGAATGAGCCTTGTGGGGATATAGGTTTAAAGTATAGCTCAATGTGTACTTGAGCAGTGCTTTGTCAAAGAGCTCCGCTATTTGGCGCAAATGGGTGTCTTTATGTATTCCTCTATCAATTGTCTGTTCGCGAACAAACTCAGGTTAAAGCTGGCATCACCCTTCATCAGTTACACGTAATGTGATAATTCCATCGAATTTACCGTCGCTACAAAAGAGGAAAAATTACTCGGTTTTTCTTTCCCGTGGTCCGGGACATCGAATGAGAAGAGCTACTGATATCCTAGACCTCAACCTGGGCTCTCCACCCCCGCACGACTCTAGGTAGAATGTTTTTCTTCCGGAAAGTTGTTCATATCTTAAAACAGAATGATGGACGGTAGTGTACATGTTCTTCAAGAAAAGAAAAAAAAAAAATGAAGAAATATCTATACGCACTGTAGATGAACCTGGAATATTGGCAAAGAATGATAAAGACACACAACAGCTTCAACTTGCTTCTATCTTCTATCGATTGTCCGAAGATGGGGTGCTAGAGGCTGAAGATGCCTTCCCAAAGACCATGCTAACCTTGCATCTCATTTCGTTACCGGTGGGGCATGTGGGGCGAGCCAAGATCGAGTAAGATTTCCTCTTTCGGACGCCAATCTCGCCCCACTTTGGTACATCTCCGATCTCGCCGCCAACCTTGAATTTCAACCTTGGAATAATCATCGTGACACCGGAAGTCCATGCGGCTTGCATAATCCACCCCGAATTCCGGACCAATTCGCAGTCGCAGCACACATTGACTTCCAAGGCTGCTATCTCCAAACATAAAAACATTTTATTCGAATCAATCAGAATGCTGTACGAAGAAGAGCTTTGCGGGGAATAAAGCTGGCGCTTCTTAGTGAGCCTTTATTCGTTTGATGCTTGTACTGCGAGCTCAACCTGAAACCCCCCATTCCAATCAAACAGCAACATGAAAGAAATAATGGTCCTTGGAGGCGGTGGGGTTGGCACCATGGCCGCTGTGAACCTTCAATGCGGTCAGAAGGCAGCTGTGACGATGGTTCTACGTTCGAACTACAATCGCGCTGTGGAAGATGGCTATCACATTACATCGGTCGATCATGGGGAAATTGTTGGATGGCGCCCAACAACTGGTAAGAGTCTCTATATTCAACCAAATATGAAATCTTGTCCTCTGACGAAGAAAAGCTAGTCCTGAATCGCGTACCAGAGCATACCGGGAAACCCTTTGACTTTGTTGTGGTCACTACGAAGAACATCCCAGATGCCTATCCGACAGTTGTCCACTTGATAAGGCCAGCAATTGTTCCCGGCAAAACCGTTATCGTGCTGATACAAAACGGTTATAACATTGAAAAGCCCATTTTCGAGGCTTTTCCCCAAAACAAATGTCTTTCAGGCGTTAGCATGATCACCTGTCGCGAACTTGAACTCGGTGTCATTGATCAAGACGGAGAAGACCAACTTGCCATTGGAGCATTTTGTAATCCCAATCTCTCCTGGGAAGATCAAGTCCAAACAGCCCACGAATTTGTGGATATCTACAGCGCTGGCGGAAAGACCAATTGCAACTACGATGCAGATTTTAACTTCTCCCGATGGAGGAAGCTGGTGAATAACGCATGTCTGAACACCATCTGCGCGCTCACGGATCTGGATACAGGCCGGATCAGACTCGCCGGTGGTCTTGTCGACAACCTTATTCGGCCTGCAATGCAAGAGGTCCTGGCAGCTGCGAGGGCCTGTGGCGTTACCTTGCCAGATGATTTGATTGACTTCATGCTTGAGGCAGATCCACTGGATCTCTACATTGCTCCGAGTATGCTTGAGGATGCCAGAAAGGTATTTCTTCCACCGATTGAAATCAGTCGGTTTTCATTGAGTAACATTCGTTTTAGGGAAATTTGGTCGAAGTTGAGGTGATTTTGGGTGAGCCATTGCGAGAGGGACTTGCTAGAAATATCCCGATGCCCAACCTGACTGTAGTCTATCATCTACTGAAGGCACTTCAGTGGGGAAGATTGGAGAAACGGGGCGCTATCGAGATTCCACCAAAGCGGGTGTGCTAACCCCTACAGACCGCGGGCGAAAGAACAACAGACTTGTATCTAGTCACCGGTAAAGAATGGGAATCTATCACACGTTGAGGTGAAAGAAATCTACTTCAGTCTCTCTTTTGTAGAGCATTTTTCCGTTTTGATTCTTGTCCCCGGGTCGCATCCTCTGGTTTCGTAGCAATCATCTTCTCTCCCTTTCCCCCCCTTTTTTTTAAAAAAAAAAGGGCAGCCTTCAACGCCATTTGTTTTGTTTTGTTCTTTCTCTTTCCCAAGTAGTTCCGACCTCAAGTAGCCCTGGTCAGCATTGACATCTACCTAGGTAAGGTTTTAGCGCAGATAAATTTCCAAGGTGGGCGACTGGTGCTATGTGCTTCATTGATTTCGATACACGGGGACTGACATGATAACCAATAGTACACAATCAAAGGTTCGGAAGGATTGTTCATGTTGGGTTGTAGCTGCGGACGGCGAGTTTTCATTTATATACATTTTGCAACAACAAAATGAAGATCACTGAACAAGTAACTCAATCTTGCCGCAGAATTTGCTCAATCAAAGCCATATCTTCCAACAATCGACCCTCTTGTAAGCGCTTGCCAACAATCTGTAAACCAACAGGCATTCTCTGCGCAACGTCGGGATCATAATTCGCGTAGATGGCTTTCTCGGTCGGCGTTCGTGGCACGTAGTTCTCAGAGGCCAGATCAACCTCCCAGCCCTGGACCATGTCTGACGCAGGGAACGAGATAGCTGGGTAATCCAGCAAGTTCCAAATAGACGTATATCCCCAAGAGCGAGTAGTATTGAGAGGTGGGGCAACACTAGGAGTAACAGGGGCAATAACCGCATCAACCCCTGAAGCATTCCAATGATCGCAGTAGGCCTCTTGGAACTCATCCCTGGCGGCTTTACGACCCTGTAGTGTCTCCGCGACGAGCTTTTCATTTTGCGCGCACTCGTTAAGGATCCACTCAGATAGAGGACGCAGGGGCTCGCCGCTCGTCGCGCAAATCTTTCGAATAGTCGCCCCGCCGTCCTCGAAGTAATTGGCGGTGATGATTTCCCAAGCCTCTTGATGTTTGTATGGTTTGAAAGGAACGAGCTCAACTCGGTCACTTCGGAAGAGTTTGGCAGCGACGAGGTCCAGAACACGCTGAACTGGAGGGAGTGGAGAGACAACTTCGTCGTCGCGGATTATACCGATGCGAATCTTGCGTTGGGTTTCAACTCGGGGGCTCGAGTGGAATGGCGTTGGGATGAGTGACGAATCTAGTTCCCATCGAGCGGAGCGTGAGTACAGCCTGCAGAACAGCTCCAGGTCACGATAGCTGCGTGTGAAAGGTCCCAGTGTTCCCTTGATGGAGTCGCATCCTGGCACTGTTCCTGCTGCTCCAGTCTTGCTGATACGTCCGACGGAGGGCTTGAAGCCATACAACTGTTGAAAAATGTCAGATCCTGCGAGGCTTGGGGTTCAGACGCGGGTAACATACCCCGTTCAGAGCGGCTGGGCATCGAATAGAGCCGCCAATATCGCCTCCAATTCCCATGGGTGTACCACGGATTGCCATCAATGCCGCCTCTCCGCCAGTGCTTCCTCCGCAGGTCAGTTCTCTGTTTCGCGGGTTCGTGGTCGCGCCGAAAATATTGTTGGATGTCTCGAGGTGCATGAGGACCTGTGGCTGGCTGGTTCGTGCGAAGACTATGGCTCCCTGCTGAGTGAGCCACTTGACAATGTCAGCGTCTTCCTGAGAAACTCGGTCAGTCCACGCAACGAAGGCGACATTGTTTTTGTGACCGGCGATTCCGATCTGATCCTTGACTGAGACAGGAACTCCGTGTAGTGGACCAAGTGGCGTTCCAGTCTTGGCCAGGTGCTCGTCACATGCTTGGGCTTTGGGGATGGCTTCGTCGAGGAGCTCGGTGAGACAGTTTGTCTAGATTTCATCAGAGAGATTCTGCACAGCGTTGTCTCTGTGTGACTTACGAGCTGCTGAGCCAGTGTGGCCCGTTTTCGGAAAGCATGAAGCAAGTCAACTGCTTTCACTTTCTGGGTGACCAGCAAATCCACAAGAGCTGTTACATCGTATTGCTCAGTCCACTCGATTTCATCTGCAGAAAGGACGCCAGATGACCGGGGGACATGGGTCACATCTTCGGTGGACGAGAGATGACTCATATCGATCAAAGCCTCTGCAACAAGAGATCTCTCCCTGTTTGCATGAAGCTCTTGGATATTCTTCTGGTAGGATTGATCCATGATTACCGGCGCTGAGAGATGAAGTTCGCAAGATCTTACAACCAAGAAGAAATTTTATCATGGACATTACGGATTATACATATGGCCGATGAATGGGGGCATTCCACCAGACTTTTCCAGGTCTTTTCGAAATGGATACAGCCCCATAGCACAGTGAGTGGACCTTTCCCACCACAGTGAACTCCGACGGCTAGCTGCGGGTCCGGGTCCCGAAAGAGAAATGTTACTCGATGCTAGATGATGATTATCTCGGATTTCAAACCGCATCTTAGCTCAAAGATACTGCGCGCACCGGGCGATAAGGCTGATATGGCGGAATATCAATTGAATCCATGGATCTGCTCCGGACTTACGAACTTTGGTAGTGGTGAAGCACCCTTCGCAATAACAACGCGCCCCCGAGGCGCCCCCGAGGCGCCCCCGGGGCCGTGGACCCGCGGGCCCCTGGGCCACAGACAAGTGCCCTGGTGGGGCCCTGGATTTTGGCGACACCCGGGCACCCCGGGATGACATTGGCTTGCACCTGCTATTCCCGAGACACGAAGAGATACGAACTCGATGTTTGCGTTATTTGCACTGGTGAAATATGTGCATGACAACCCAAGACTCTCATTGATTTCAAGATTCGAAGCTTGGAGACTGAAGGAACCCTGAGAGGGTAAGTCAACACATAGTCCAACCTTCCAAGGTTGAAGTGTATCCTTTGACTGCACAATTTTGGACGGATGTAAAATCATAACTTGACATGAGAATTCTAAGGTTCTTCTCAGACCTATCCTAAAGTACATTGGTTGTTTCTTATTCATAGAGAAATCAAAATATAAATACGGCCGAGCTTCTATCAAGGCCTTTAATGCGAGCGTCCAGAGTCCCAAAATTCTTGGCCTGGTTTGGCTCCGCTAGGAACCCATCAACAGTCCGCCAAATATTCTCAATATGATCCATGGTTGCATTGCGCTGTTGCTCGCGGTAATAATAGCCCATCTCGACATGCCTTCTTCGCACCCAATCACGATCCGTGGGCGAGAGCGCTTCACGGGCTGTGAGATAGAAGGGCTGAGGAAGAGATGAGTCAACGCCACAGCCGGGTGACAGGTCCTTCATGAGGCCAAGGCTTGTCTGAACAATCTTTTGTATCATTGGTGATGTAGTTGGATATTTGAATACTCGACGCGCGAGCAAGAGTTCAGCAGCGTGGAAGTAGCATTCTGTAAGCAGGCTGAGAGGATCTCTGGGTGAAGTCGAGTTGGATTCTCCGTAGCCCAACCACCATGACTGGAGCTCACTTTGCAGAGCTGATGCCCTTGAAAGCCCCGAGGCTAGCCCTTGCTCTAGGCCTTCGTCGATATCGTTGTTCAGGTGTGATATCTGGACCAGGAAGCACATAAGTGGCTGTGGGCAGCCTGTCATCTTAAGCACGGAGGGCTCGGAAGCATCCCAGAATGGGGCAGGCTGGTAAAGAATAAAATCTCGAGGCGCGCATGGGCGACGCTGTCGCGATATCGAAACGGTGACATCCATGATCGCGAATCTTTGTAGTACCATCCGAATCAGGGGAGTGCGAGGAATGGTGTGAAGCAGTTGCGTTGGACGTAAAAGTGACAAGGCGTATACGATATGGGGCTCGGGTGCTTCATTGTGAGTCAGTGCAACCACAACGCCTTGGAGCACGATTGCTGCAAGAACTGTGTTAAACTCGGTATCCATATCCGAATAGGGAGTTTGATTTTGGGCGCGATCTTGTGCGTGGATTTGCTTGAGGCAACGGTCTATTGACTTTAACATTCGTAGTTTATGCACTGCGGCCGTGGAAACACTGACAAGCCCGGAATTGAGCATGTGCTCCGAGGCAATGCATATAATGGTATGCAGTAGAACTGGAGATGATAAAGCGATGATTGAAAGTTCCCGATACGGATTCTCCGGTCCATCAATGGCTGGGATATGGGGAGAGACAATGTGTACATCTAGAAGAGTGAGCCAGTGTCATATGCGAAGAGGGGTCTTTTCGTATTCACAGTACTTCCAGGCCGCTTTGTCGATTTCATTATCAAAGCTTCCCGTCTCAAGGAAGAGACATGCTTCGGGCATGCTATGATCCTTCAGTTCAGCGCAGGACCTCGGTTCTCGGGGTTTATGTCGCATCATAAGTGGCCCTGTGCTTTGAACAAACTTCCTCGTCGATGAGTACTCGCAATGTACTTGGCGTGAAGCACATAGTGAGCATTTTGGCTTTCGCTCATCGCATTTTTGATGTCTGCCACGGCATTGAAGGCACCCTGCACAGCGTTAGTGTTTGGTGATCTAGTGGCTGAGTTTTCGATGTACCATTTCGGGATCGAGAGTACCCCTTCTGCTTTTGAGCATTCATCTTGGGCATATCATTGCAAGGATGTGAGTTGAGAAAGCGCGACCAAAGCGGGGAAGGGTAATTTTGAATTGCGGGGCCTTCATTGGCCGATAAGATAGATAAGATAGAAGATAAGATTGGATCCATGGTAACGTGCAGAGGCATCCATGGATGTACACCGGAACATGAATGTGAGAACCTCGGGAGTTTATGTATGTACATATCAAGCATAGTTGCCCCAGACATTGTCCACCTTGCTTCTTCACTTCTCACACGAGGCTGTCTACAATTTATCTAAAACAATACTAGAATTATCTTTCCATGCCATCGAGGCTGTACAAGTTTACATGTATGTGGAGCCTTACACTGCTGGAAAGAACGTTCCCGATTGAGTCTTCAGTTCATTCCTGCGATTGTCCATGGGGTTGATACCCCATCAACATCCATGCAAATTTCACCATGCTGTGCAATCCCTGTAAGCTTCCATGTCCTCCAGATAAAGTCAATGCTTTGTGTACTGAAAGCAGATTGGTGAGCCCATTATCCAACGTATTGGACAGTGAGGCTGTCGTCGGTATGGGAAGAGGATGTCAGGATCTTCTGTTGTCTAATGTCGACGGTAATTGCGTCCCGAAGCCCAACAATTTTGCCGTCAGTTGTGGTAGCTTGCGCATTTGAGATAGTAACATCGTCGAATTTGACGAAGGGGACCAAGTAGGAACCAGTGATGAAGTCCTCCACGATCCATTCGGCATTCCATTCGCAAAGTTGACCGTTTCCCTCGTTGCCGGAGAATTCGTGGCGTACGGTTTCGCCATTTGAGAGGTTCTCAACCACGGCGGATCCAGTGTTGAGAGAAGTGGCTTCAACGGTCACTTTCACAATGTCATCGACCGCAAGTGAAATGTTGGTGAATTGGTGAGAGTAGTCGGGGAACCACTCATACCAGCTGCCGTAAGTGACTGAATTGTTGGTGATGCAGAAGTCGATGCCGGACTGCAAAATAGCGGAGGTGCACGTGGCACCGTCAATGCCAACCCAAATGGAGGCGCAGTAAGTGCCGCGGGGGTCAGCGTAGGGTGGAAGCTGGACCTTTGGAACTTTGAATTGGCCTGTGGCAGCCTTGTAACCAGTCCCATTGAGATAGACACCGGCCCAATTTGCGCTGTAATCCTCGTTGGGGTGGTCATCCAGTCGAATCAGAAGACCCTCAGAAAAGCGGGACTTGGAAGAAAGACCATCGAAACGGGAAGAGAAGGAGATTTCGCCAGAAGGTTGGCCGTTAGAGACAAATGGAGCGGCAATAGCAGATGCAATGAGCACCGCAGTGACGATAAGGTTCATTGTAAACTTCATTGTGAAAGGATGATGGAGACTGTTGATGTAGATGGAAGAGACGTAGGTTGATGGAGAAGGAGAGAGAGAGGAATTGGATGAGCGAGGAAAAGATAGAATTTATAGAGGGGGATAGAAACGAAGTGAGGTGAATCTGAGACTGCGATACAAAAATTTCGGAAGTTCGGCTTTACAAATTGAAGTGATCACCTTGCGATTTCTCACGTCTCAAGTCTGATCTTCACACTTTGACAGCAGTTACCAGGGCACTGTGACATTCAATTGATTCAATTTGTGTGTTTCTTCAAAAGGGACTATCAGACCGAGGGCTCGACAGCTTGTACTTGCTAACAACTCTGGGCATCTACAGATCACCCGAAGACCGACGAGGATACTAGCAGAGCCTTTCGTCATACTCCGTGCCCCTATGATCTTTTGATCTTTGGTATTCTATTCTCGAGAGCCTGCTTCGTCTGTGGAAACCAAACTTCTCGCATTGTTCAACACTCGATCTTCTTTTTGGTTGCGAGCCCCCCCCTGTTAACTCAAACGCTATGGATAGATGTTGGTTTCTGCCCTGTGATGAATCATGATACTGCAAATAAGCCCAGTAAAGCACATACATTCGTCAACGCACCACCATCGCGAGGTCGGATGGAATATTTTCTGACATCCATGGAAATCTGCAAGATAGAGATGCCATTTCGGGCTTAGCGCTGCTGCTTCCGACAGAATCTTGCCCCTGAAATCACCTGATCCTGGAGATGATTTCCGCGCCTTTTTTCAGGAGAGGGAGATCTTCATCTCGTTTCGATCCTTCCGAAGTTTGTCTAGTCATTGTGTCATCGCCCTAATATCTCGCCGTTGTACCGAGATTTCCAGGCCCTTGTGGAGTCTCCGGCAGATACTGATTGGATCACAGCGAAGACTAGGTGAGCATCTCCCGATGTCTCATCCCGAGTCACCTGACGGACGATCAGGTGATCGACCGTCTAGCTGTTGCCAAGCCCAACGACCCAATTATGGGGAAAGCGGGGAAATCGATCTCGTCCTGGTCGCGTTCATTCGACACTTTGCAACCATCACTACGCAACATTAGCGCATGCACGGCTTGAATACAATGGTGCCGAAGACCTGCAGCCAGTGCAGTGTAGAGCAACGCCCCGACAGCTTGGCCTGCACCCGATGTAGTCGTCTCAAAGCACTTTGTCCGACAGCGCGCCGCAATAAGCGCGTGAAGTACCGATCGGCCGCGCAGAACGCTCCAGCAGAAAGGGATTGGTGCAGCTATGGAATCGAACAGCGCCGAATCTCCGAAGCAAGCTTTAGCCATGCATCGTCTTCGTCAAGTCAAAGCTCGGTTTCGCGCTCGTCATCCAATGCGAGCGAGCAAACCTGGTCACCGGAAAGTACCGACCTCATAATACCATCGCCGGAGAAACTACTCGCCCCTTCTCCCACTTTCCAAACCACGTCGGATGCCTTGCGCACAGTTATGGATGCTGAGCAATTCTCAATGATTCATGAACCGTTTGCGTTTGGCACCAGCTTTGTCCCCGAATCCCAAAAGATTATCTATACCATTCTAAGTCTCTCCGCTGCAAACCTGACAGAGGGATACCTTGCTTTTCTGTCACTCATGACGACATATCAAAGGACTCTGGTCATGCGGAAAACGGAGCCAGACATGATCAAAGCTGCGAAAGGACTGCAGCGTCTGCGAGATATGACAATCCAAAGTGACTACGATTCAGGATGCGCTCTCTTCCTCGGTCAGACCATGTATGTCTTCAATCTGTTGACTACGCCATACTCAAAAAACGCCCACTCCATCGTGCGCAGCGCGCTCATGTCAACGAAGAAGTGGCTGCCCCGTTTGATCGAAGCCCCAATAATGGACACAATAACCATGACCCCAATAATTATCGACACCGTCGAATGTCTATTTCATCGTGAGATCCCTATAATACGCCTCGGTCGTTTGAATCGCATTGTCGTTGACCGATATGCGGGACTCTGTACCACTCTTCTTCCCCACCTCTATGATATTTGTGAGTGTGGTCATTCTTTAAAAACAATGGCATTCGAACCCGGATCTGAAGTGCTTGACGGAATTTGGGAACGACTCGATGATATCGAAGAAAGCATCCGGCGCTGGAGAGCCCCAACGCCGCCACAACTGTTCGAAAAATACGGCCAGAACGCGGTACTGGCGATGATCACACAGTCAAATGTATATCGTCTAGCAGGGTTGCTGGTAATTCACCGCTTGCGATATCCACTTGGTGTCGAGGATGAGCAGGCGCAAAAGTTTGCAAATAACATATTTGCCGAGCTGGCATTCTTTGCCAAATCCGCAGACAAGTCAGCAAGCAGCGCTTTGCCTGTGGTGTTTCCCTTGACAGTGGCTATGTTTGAGATCGAGGGACCCGGAGAAGACTTGCTGGATCGCTTGGCCGCTTTCACCGTTCAGAGTGTCAGTGCTTACCGACTCCGGGATTTTATTAAGATCGTCAGGCAATCCAGAGAGTCTGGGTTCAAGGGCGTTTGGTTCGATTTGGTGGACACGCATCTTCATGTTGCAGCGCCACCATAACAGTCGGCATACTCAGTATGGCCGGGGACTCAAAGTCTTTGTATTATATGAACCATTGACACATTGTAATTTAAACCAGGAGAACAATACATTCAACAGATGATTCCGAGGTATCCAACTTCACGCAAATTCATTCCAAGCCGACAAATCGGCGCGAACTAATAAATGAATGACCTGACCTAGACTCGGACGAAAAATTCCATGAAGACAAAGTATGAACGATCTGAAAGAAAAAGTCGACCCAGAATCTACCTAATCATAATATTTTGCGATCACTCCGCCGATGATGGGCTGGTCGCCTACTTCGCTTCGCGCCAATCCCTTATCCACACCCTTGGCGACACGAGCCTTCACCCATTCCCCAGCAGTGATGCCCACCGCGCTATTATCAGTGGTCTGATCATATCCCAACCGATGCAGCACATCACTTGCGATCGGTCGCAACTCGAGGTCATCTTCCGGACGAACGAAGTATAGAACACCGAGACGATCCACGTCTCTCTGATCCGGTGGTGGCGCAACCACGCGGTGTATGCTGCTTTTGAGGAACCCATTCGTGAGGAATTGAAGCGAATCCGCAAGATTCACTGTGATGCTACCGGGGTATGGCTTTACCCATTTCCAATCACCCTCTGGTGTACGAACCTGCAGAGCAGCAACTGGCTGTCGGAATAATAAGGTCAGACTGCCGAAATCGGTGTGGCCTTTTGACCAAATGCCGGTCGACTTCTCGTTTTCTTCGTCGCTGCGACGGTGATACTTCATGTATCGGAGATGGCAATCACTCTTCTCATCATATCGATGTACCTTGAGGAAATAGTCTTCGGGGAGTTCAAGAATAATTGCCAGGAGAACGAGAAGTTTGCGCACGATCTCATCATGGATATGACGGGCAAAACCTTCGATTATTGGACGGTGGTGGTTCACAATGTCGGGCTGGGGTCTTTCAAAAGCAGGGATGAATTTTGGAATGTTGTAGATTTCGGTTTTGTCGAAGACACCTGGACTGATTTCCTACATCAATTGTTAGAGGGAAGCGCTCCGAGCCTGGATAATATTTTCCATTGACGTACTCGGAGACCCATAGGCTTGTAGCCATTATAACCACCTTTCTCAAGTTCAGCACGATATTTGAGCTTCTCCTCTAGCGGTAGCTTGAAAAGCTCCTTGCCAATTGAGAATTGACGGTCGACATCTTCTTGTGATAAACCAAAGTTGACGATGTAAAAGAATCCTGCAGACGGTAAATACTTAATGACCCGAAATCATAGATCAATTGATACATACCTATTTTCTGGATAGCTTCGAATAGCTGCTTGGCCAGCACACTCTTGCCGCCAGGCTGGTCAAATTTGGAGAGATCCAATGTAGCCAGGTCGGCCCAGTCCACTAAAGAATCGTAATTTAGTTTCCAGGTCACCATTTATGAATCCTTCTTCGCAGATGAAGTCATTTTTACAACGAAAATTCATTGAATTTGATCAACTTACGATCAAACTTTGTCTCAGGGACCTGGTCGTATGTCGGGATTTCAGACCCTGTAGGGACAGAGGCTGGGATTGCTGTCGGGGCAACCATACTGCAAAATGAAGGTATAATTTATGTAAGTCCACTGGGCTCAAGAACTGGAAGAAAAGGGCCTGACTGGGTGTCAAAACAGTGGATCATCAGCTTCAGGATCGATGAAAGGTTTTAACGTATTTTGATATGGCTTGGCAGGCATTCCCGCTGACAGCCGATTGTGTTGAAGCTTTGATTCCAATCGGGTATTTTTATTGTTTGACTTTCAGGACTCCGAGTGAAATTGTGAGCCGGATCTCTTTGAGCATCAAAAGCTCGTGTGGATGTCGTGGATTCTGAGATCTCGCCATGATATCCTCCGTTTGCGTGATCGCCCCGCAAAATCAATAGGTATTTTGGAATCACCCCGAGCACAAAAGAGGAAAGATGTTTCCCGACAACTGTATTCTGTTGCATTTGAATCTAATAAGTAGACCCGACAGTGCGATGCAAATCCGTTTGTCTCGAAGCGAGATTGTACAGCTTCAATCATTCCTGGTCTACAAGACTTACCCAGGTAGCAATTCTTTAATACCGCAGGATGTGTTGCTAGACCAAAGCTTCTTCTACATTTGCCACAACACAAGGCAGTAAAGGCTAGGCTTTTGCATTTGCAATAAGCGGACAAGATGATACAATGCCAATTGAGGTAGTGTCTTGTAGTTGGCTCTAGCTTCTGTCATATCGTTTCGGGGGTTTTCCGAGCCGTCCATTCTCAAAAGAACCTTCATTTATCCAGAAAACACTGCTTGAGTCTACTTGATAATATCGAGATTTACAATTCGCTTCGTTCATTTCACCGCGATTCTTGAAGATGGCGGACCATGAGAGCGAAGGAAAGTCCAAAGACCTGGGGAGAACCACAGCAATCGATATCACATCGAATACCAATAGCGATGCAACCCATGAGCTTCATTTTGCCAGAAGAGGCGAAGCTCTGGCCGAGGCTTCATCAAGCCAGGAGAGCATAGACGGATATGACCCCGAATTGATGAATGGAAGAACGCTGCTCACGGCAGCGGAAGAAAAGAAGCTACTACGGAAGATTGACTGGAGATTGATGACTCTCTGCTCGCTGATCTTCATGTTCAAAAATTTGGATAGCAATAATGTGAGTGTTTCATTTAGCCAGTTGGCGGTTTCGTGGCTAACGCTTTGCAGGCATCGAATGCTCGGATCATGAACAAGGGCACCGATCAGAACATCATGACACAACTTGGAATTACTTCAAACGAATATAATTTGGTGACCGTACTTTACTATGTGAGTCGATTTCGGTTGGATGGTATTGTTTTGTGCCCGCTGATCATGAATCGACCAGATTCCGTATATTGTATTGGAAGCGCCGTCCAATTTGCTGCTGAAGAGGTTCTCTCCTTCAAAGTGGCAATCAAGAATCATGCTAAGCTGGGGAATTGCTCTTATGTGCAATGCAGCCGTCAAGAATAAGGGCGGTCTTTACACAACACGATTCCTTTTGGGTGTGGTAAGTTGAATCACCAGGCTTCCGGAGGCGGCGATATACCCCTGAGCAATCTTTTGCATGATCGGCTTTATTGATGCGATTATAGGCTGAAGCTGGGCAATTTCCCGGCGTCATCCTTCAGATGACTTATTGGTATCGTCCAGACGAGATGTCTTTGCGACTGCTGTACTTTTGTGAGTTGCGCCTCAATTTTGAAATCCGCAAGTCATACTAATGAACTCCTGTGAATAGACATTTGCGGGAACGTATCAGGCATTTTTGGCGGTCTTCTTGCCTATGCGTTTGACACCGTGTCTGGCGCAGCAGGTCTTTCCGGATGGCAATGGTATGGATTCTCCACCACATCACTCTCTCCATTACCTTGTGTTTAACCCCGGATAGGCTCTTTTTGACCGAAGGAATTGCAACTGTGCTTTTCAGTGTTGTTATCTGGTTTCTACTTCCAGATTGTAAGCTGAATCTTGTCCGCCCCTTTGGTTGCAGTCAGCAGCTAACGCTGAGCCCCCAAAACAGTCCCCGAGACAGCAAAATGGTTGACGGAAAAAGAGAAGAGATTCATACAAGCTCGGCTTCCTTCCAACGCTCCTCGTGCCAACGAAAAGAACTTCAAGTTCCGTGAAATCATCGACGCACTGAAAGACATCAGACTGTGGCTCTTTACACTGATTTGGGCCACTTTCACCGTTGGAACAGATGGAGTCACCTTCTATCAATCCACCGTCATCGCCGACCTCGGCTACACGTAAGTGATGCAACCACCCAAAGATCTTGTTTGGATAAGCAATCATTGTGTCGAGGGCAAAGTTGTTGATAAAAACCTCAGGAGCATTGCTGCTGCCCAACTTCTCAACATCCCCATCACGGTCTGTGGACTCCTTTTCATTGCCGTCACAGGAATCACGGCAGACCGCAGCCGGATACCCCGACCAGTGTATCCACTCTCATTCCTGGTCGTCATCTTGGTCTGCTACGGTATTTTCATCGCCTACCCGAGTCCCGGCGCGATCTTTGCAGTGACGCTTATTGGAAATGCCCTCAAAGCCGGCTGATACCCCGTCATGTGGTGAGTCTCGCTCTCCGGCCCTCGATGCAAGCCGTTAACATTATCATAGGCCATGGCGAGTCCAAACCACCTCTCGGGCTACAGGATCGGCCTTTTCCATCGGATTTGTCAATAGCTATGGTCAGATCGGAGGGGCTATTGGACCGCAAATGTTTAGGAGCGAGTATGCTCCTCGGTACACGGTTCCATTTGCTGCTGCTATGGGCCTTGTTGGCATGTGTGGCCTTTTGACCCTCATTACCTGGTGGATTACTCGAGAGACGGAGCGGGACACTAGGCGGTTGAAGCTTGCGAAGATTGCCGCAGAGAAGAGAGGCGAAACAATCTTGGAGGATGTGGTTGATCAAGACTTGAAGAAACATTGAGATTTGGGACGAGGAAGGCTACCCTCGAATTTTATCGCCTTTGCCAATAGTTTCTGCTACATTTAGACCTGAATAATTTTTCCCTGTTGGAAGCCTCATTGGCGTCTAGCACTCGTCTAAGGAAGATATGTTCATCTCTTCGCAGCGCAATTCAGCTGGTTCAAGGTTCATTATCTTCGGCAGTCACGGTATACCTCTATAGTCGTTTTCCTCGAGACCTAAGCAAGGGCCGGGGGATGTATGTTTTCTCTCTGTTTCTCACATTTTTTTGCTTGCCCCAGTCCGAAAAGATCACCTGTTTCTGTATGCGAGTCGTTCTTGGCAAGAGCAGTTTGGATTTGCCCTGGTCTGGTCACTTTGAAGATTCTACGGGCCTTTCTCGGAACATTCTTTCACCATCCTCATGAGAGTGGCTTCCGTGTTTTGATTCAAACCATTTATGACATTAAAGATAAACGGAAAGTGGGAATGTCCGCGGAGGTCGATCGCTGCAGATCCGATCCAAAAAGGTCCGAGGCAAAGGGCGCAACGATCCGACGCTAAGGAAACCCTCCGCACCGAGCGACCGGGGTAAATGAATCTGAGATAAACATTCTACACTCAGTGCTCTGCTTACTGCTTACATAGCTCAAAATGAATCAACCCTCTGCCAGAGCTACGAGCGACCCCTACTTTGACCTCGGAACATGGGGGCGCAAAGTCAGCACACATTCCCAGGAGGCGCAGACCTGGTTCAATCGAGCGCTGGTTTGGACATATTGCTTCAATCACGATGAAGCGATCACCTGTTACAAGCAAGCGATCGCGCACGACGAAAGCTGCGCCATGGCCTATTGGGGGATATCCTTCTGCTCTGGCTCCAACTACAACAAAACATGGGCGTTATTCGACGAACGAGACCGAATTAACGCAATCCGACAATGTTACATATACTCCCAGGAATCTTTGAAATGGGTGGACAACGCATCAGACTGGGAGCGGGCGATCATCAACGCCCATGCCGTGCGGTACCCTGACGATAACCCAGGGAGGGATCTAGGCGGGTGCAGCAGGGCCTACGCAGACGCCATGAGAGACGTATATACAAAATTCGGTCGCGACGACTTCGATATCATCACCCTCTTTGCAGACGCGTTAATGAACTGTGCCCCACGAAAGCTTTACGACGCATGTACCGGTCTCCCGATCGCCACATCACCGGTCTTTGAAGTGAAGGCGCTGTTGGAGGGGGCCTTGAAAATGCCAGGTGTCGATCGCCATCCCGGCCCTGCGCATATGTATATCCACCTGATGGAGATGTCGGCGACCCCCGAGGCAGCGCTGCCGGCGGCGGAAATGATTCGAGAAATATTCCCCGACACCGGGCACACCTTTCACATGCCAGCGCATATTGATGTCCTCGTGGGCGACTATCGACGGGCAGTGGAATATAATTATAAGGCGACTCTTGCGGACGACAAATACTTCCAACATAATGGCGGCTTGACCTTCTATAGCTATTATCGCCTACACGACTACCATTCCCTGATCTACGCTGCGATGCTGGGCGGAATGTCCAAGGCCGCACTCTCGGCCACGGAGCGAATGGAAGCAACGATAACCGAAGAGATTCTGCGAGTGGAAACGCCTGCGCTTGCGAACTGGATGGAATTCTTCAAGGCCGTGAGAGTCCATGTCCTCATCCGATTCGGAATGTGGGAAGACCTCAAGAAGCTGGATCCGCCCGAGGATAAAGAGCTTTACTGCGTCACCAACGTCATGAGGCACTATGGAAAGGCCATTGCATACGCAGCCACAGGTCAAATCGAAGAAGCGGACAAAGAGCGTGAACTCTTCAAGATTGCCTCGAGACTCGTCCCTCCCACTCGTCTGGACTTCCCCAATAAAATCACCGACATCCTCAAAGTCGCATCTGCAATGCTAGATGGCGAGATCGAGTACCGTCGTGCGAACTACGATGTCGCATTCAGGAGACTAGCAGATGCAGTGGCATTTGAAGACGAGTTACCCTTCGCAGAGCCGTGGGGATGGATGCTTCCGGCACGACATGCCTACGCTGCACTTTCTTTGGAACAGGGTCGCGTCGAGCAGGCGGCACAGGCGTATGCGGAGGATCTGGGGCTCTACCATACACCCAAACGCGCGCATCAACATCCCAACAACGTTTGGGCGCTTCATGGGTATCACGAGTGTCTGGAGCTCTTGGGTCGGCATGCGGAGGCGAATATTATCAAGAAGCAATTGTCTCTGGCTTTGGTTGGTGCAGATGTGGAGATCACATCTTCGTGCTTCTGCAGACTTGGTAATATTCCGTCGTGTTGTGGAAAGCCAGCCTTAAACGGCACATAGTGTGAAAGTGCAATTACATAGCTAGAATGAAGATTCAAATTCACACTTTCAATGCATATTCGTCGTTTACCTGGCCGTCGAGTTCTCCGAGTATCTTACTCCAGTGAAAGTTATGCTTCATATGCCCGATCGACTGCGGGTTTGCGAGCGAGTTCTTGAATGAAATCATGGCTAATTCAGCCAGATAAAATCATAAAGTAGCCTTGTTGGCTCTCGTTCATTTTTCATTGTAAAAAGAACCTCGGAAACAATCTAATAGAACAATTTGTATGGGTATCATGCAACAGCAGCAGCGACTTGGTCGACCATCTGCCGCACTTCATCAACAATACGAAAGCAGGGAATCAACTTTCGCGCAACAGAGTTTTGAGGACAGAGGTCCAGTGGATCATGATCAATACCATACTCCTTTCTGCGACAATTTCCTTCTGGATCCGGGCAAGTTTCATGTCCAACGATGTGGCGATTTCGCTGCCGCAGCGCAAAGCTCTTCCCCAACACCGATAGCCGCTCGGCATCAACCTGTAAGCCGTGTACGACGAGATCGCGGAACTTCTCGCCACTGATCTGCAGATTTAGCTCGGGCGCCATCCCTATCCCCGAATCGAGGTAGATGGTCCGACTCTCGTTTCTGGCATCAAGGGCAGTGCAGTGTTTGTTCAGCCATCGGAGATACTTCTGATAGCTGGATGTGATCTCGAACATGAGATGACCGATGAGAAGTACGTTCTGAACGGTCTGACGAGGCGGTTTTGACACGTCGTAGCAAATTGAACATGTGAGTAGTCTCTCGGTCAACGAAACTCCTCTCCGAAGCGTTGGGAGGATATCGTGCGACATATTCGCCCGACTCAAATTCCCGACAATGCTCGATACCTCCTCGTCGCAGTTGCATGACTGTGCAAATGAGAGAGGTGAAGCATATGCATCCAGTGCCATCTGAGGCACCTCGGTCTCTCGCTCCGACAAGGCATTCTGCTGCGGTAACTGCCATGTCTCAAGGGGCGCCGAGCAAATCTCGCCATTGCCAAGCATTTCCCAGTGCGAGGAGTCAAATCCACAATTTCCGGATATGCCACAGGGCACCGACTCAAAGTCGCCAGTCCCCATCAACAAATTGACAGTTTCCTGCGGACTCAAGGTAGCCTCGGGTAGAATGGGCGAGATGCGGGAGCCTGAAGAATCGGACCCTGTCCGCTCTTCGCGTCCACTCTCTTCTCGCGGTCGCTTTCTTGGTCGTCCTGGAGTTCCCTCGTCTTTGAATTTACAGGGCATGGATAAACCCCGACAGCGGGAGCATCCACTCTTTTCCCCTGAGCATCTAAGCTTCCGGGCTCCTGGGTGATGTTAGTGGTGTGTATTTCTGGGAGCTGAAGTCGCATACGGCAGGATTCACAGGACTTTCGTTTCTGGCGTATTGAATTCATACTGTGGTGGTTGGGATCGGGGACGGGCGAGGGACGAGAGTCGAGGATCCGTCATCGCTCCTGGAAATGGCGAGCTTGAAGCGGGGTACCCGGCCCTGGGAGCATCTCTCGCCATTTCATTGTGACTTCGGTCTTCGTTTCGGATGAGTTTTTGATGAATCAGAGTCACTGGCTAGGGTGCCTCTGAGGGTGGCTCTGTATTCGAGGAAGGACAATGGGACCAGGTTGTCGAGATGGATCATGATCATTCTCGCTTTGAACCGAGTTCCCGACTCGGATATATTGGGAGTTGCAATTGCGGGCCAAGTTGGAAAAGAGAAAACGAGAGACAAAAAACATCCGGGGTAAAACCCCCCGCAATGGTCGTGTTCTTGATTCTCTTGACTCTTTCATCCTCGCAAAATGGCCGAATTGATCACTGCACAAGAGTTGCGCAAGTATTGGGTAAACAAAGACGAGATTGCCCTCCTAGATGTCCGCGAAGAAGGTCCCTACTCTGAATCCCATCCTCTGTGGGCATTGAGTGTGCCAGTGTCTGAAATCGAAAGCAAATTACCTCCCTTAGTCCCCAGACTATCCGCCCCTATTGTCGTCTACGACGATGGAGAAAAATACGTCGATCGGGCCGCGGCAAAGGTCCTAGCTTTGGGATATCGCAAAGTCTTCATTCTGGAGGGAGGTCTATCCGCCTATGCCCTGGTTGGAGAGGTCTATCGCGATGTCAACGTTCCATCCAAGGCCTTCGGCGAGTTGGTCGAGTCAATCAATCACACTCCATCGTGGTCGGCACGAGAAGTCAAGAACGTCCTAGACGGCGAGGGCGATGTAGTCGTGCTGGACGCCAGACGATTCACCGAATACAACACGATGAGCATTCCCCGCGGTCGCAGCTGCCCGGGCGGAGAATTGGTGTATCGCGTCTTCCAGGCAGCGCCCTCTCCACAGACAACCGTCATCGTCAATTGCGCCGGTCGCACTCGCAGCATTGTCGGAACCCAATCCTTGATTAATTCCGGTATTCCCAACAAAGTCGTCGCGCTTCGCAATGGCACTATCGGTTGGACCTTGGAGGGGCTGGGTTTAGAGACCGAAAAGACGGAGCGGGTCCCACCACCGTCAGCGGAGGCAGCACGAAAAGCGAAACTGTGCGCGGAAGAATGGGCTTCGCATGCTGGCGTTTCTGTGATCGACGATGCCCAATTGGTTCAATTTGCCGCGGAGTCCGAAGATCGGTCGCTCTACCTGTTGGACGTGAGAGATCCGGATGAGTATGCTGCCGGTCATCCAGTTGGCTTCTCCAATGCTCCGGGTGGTCAGTTAGTCCAAGCCACTGATGAATGGGTCGGTGTCCGAGGCTCCCGGATAGTTCTTTACGATACGGATGGTGTGCGCGCGCGCATGACGGCTAGCTGGCTCTTGCAGCTTGGGTGGGAGGTGCACATCTTTGACACCCACTCCACGGTACCCGGTGATCTGCAATCGCCTGCGTTGCCATTGATTTCCACTCCTAAGACCGGGGCCATCACGGTTGAAGGTCTTCAAAATCTCAGAGAAGCTACTATCGTAGATCTCGCTCGCAGCCCTACTTATCGCAAAGGCCACATCCCCGGGTCGTGGTTTGCCTCTGGGCCTGAGATTGCTCGAGATCTGAAGACTATCGCGGGTGATGGCCCCATTGTTTTGACATCACCCGATGGCAATGTAGCCGCGTTCAATATTGCGAACGCCCGGGCCTCGGTTCAGCGAGAGGTTCTCTCGTTGGCGGGTGGAACTGCGGCGTGGAAGGCTGCCGGTCTTCCACTTGAGACTGAGGGCCGTCAACTTTCTGAGCCGATCGATGTGTATAAAAGGCCGTATGAGGGAACGAGCAACGCACGCAAGGATATGCAGGGTTATCTGGATTGGGAGTATGGACTTGTGGCCCAACTGGCCAATGATGGAGTATCTGGCTTTCACGTCATCCGAGCGAGAGGAACGACATCTACGAGATAGAGTACCTGATATGTGTGCACAAATACGTCAGTCGAGTATATACCCGTTGGAAAGACCACATTTGCCTTGAATTATAGACATGCGGAGCTCCGGACCTCTTCGCGAACCTTGGAATGCCTTTTGACTTATGTATTGAGGGGGAGTCCATCTTCGGGTATTTCACCGTATGAATATTAGATTTCTATCTGCAGAGTACCACCTGGGCAGTTAACGGATGCTGCTATCCGTTCGTGTGACATGACTATGCCCAACACGGCAATAGCCCTGCCGGGTTGACAATATTTGAACCGGCCCCCTGCATGATTGTCAGCTATCATCACCACCTTGGACTTTGCAATTCAGGCTTGCAATCAGCTTTACCTGCTGAAAACCCTTCTGACAGGGTCAACCGGGCTTTTTACGAGATCCGTCCTTGCCGTGCGATAAAGTTGACCATCGGTAGCAGTCCGTTTGTCAGCGTCTGTTGCAGAAGGAGACAACTCCGCGGCGCCGCGTGATGGGGCTTTGCGTGGACAGAGATCGGGGCGACTAGTCCGTTGCAGCATGGTTTCTTGACTGTTTTAGTGCGAAGGCTTAGCTGGAAGCCTTCGTAACCCGTCACATTCATGCCAATCAACAGTTTAGCTTTCAAATCGCTGACGAGGTGTGCCTTGATCGGCGAAAAGCGCTCCGAAGTGACATGTGGCGTCAGTGTCGAGAGAGGCGGATTGGAACAAACTCCAATTTTGAGCTCCGCCGGCCAGCATGGTTGTTGCGTTGAAAACGGCCACAAAGGGGATCCTAAAAGCGTACCTAGATGGGCGATAACTGGGCGTCCGGCAGGGCGACGTTGAGGTCGCACCTCCTCGTTTTGTCCGAAATCTTTCGCGTGAGATGCTCTCATATTGACACCTGCGCGGTGGAACATTTCGAAGAAGAAAGGAAGGTTTCCTTGAGAAGAATCCTCTATATACTCCCTGCATCCCAAGTAATTTGTCCCAACATCACTGGTTCGTCGCATCCATGAATCCCATCCTCTCATTTGAGGATTTACTTTACTTTACTCAGCCCCAAGAATATTGGCGAACGTCTCACACGCCTCTTTATCGTTCGGTTATCTTACTTAATTCTTACATGTCACTTACTTCTTACTTAGTGCCTTTCTTTTCTATCTCCGGACCTCATCAGCCGACTGCACACGCAATATCTACCTACTACAATGTCTACTACAACCCTACTCACATAGATGAGTGAGCTACTGGCACTACATGGCATATGCCGAAGCCAGCACGGATAGTAGAAAGTGAAACATTGCTCAAGTCAATGCAGGACTAGCGAATATTCTCAACTCCGGCAAACCCCCGTGTCAGAGAACACCGCAATCCATTGTCCTACAACTCGTGAAATTTACAGCCAGTGTCATTTCCAGCAAGTCCTGCTCCAACCAAACTGTCAGTCTTCCTCGGAAATGGCAAATCGTACATCTATGGCGTGCGTGATTCGCTTTATATCATCCAAGATATCCACCATTGGGGTCTAGACTGAGAGACCAGTGCGTTCCTGTCCGCCCAAAAGCATACCGATAACTTCCTTGTCCTGATCACTCACGAAACTTCCCGAGTCTCCAGGAAGCGCAAAGAACGATCCATACTTGGTGGCGATTTCGCATTCCCAGGTGATGATTTTAGTTCTTTCGGGGTGTCTCGGGTCACAATTTGGGTCATCGGCAATTTTAACAGCCTGGAGACAGGCCAACTACCCGCAGGTTTCTCCGCTGGTTTTACCGATTTTTTCGACGGCGCCTCCGTCAGGAAGTGACTTTGTGGTGGAAACCAATCTCCAGTGACCTGTAGGTCTCGACTGGTATTCGAATGGCTGTTATATGGTCTGGTTAATAATACCTTTGGAATAACGCATCGATGGGAACTCACTTTGTTAATCTTTTCCATATCTTCCCGCCGAGGCATGCGAGCAGGTAGCACTTCAATCAGGGCCCAGTCAAGTATCCGAAGTTTTCCGCTTGCGCCCTGTTTCAATCGGTTGAGCCCACTACCTGCGAATACGTGACCAAGTAGAGGGCCATTGGCAAGAGCGTTGGCAAATACTTCCTCCCGTCTCAGCAATTCCTTGACGACCTTCCATTGAGCTGCGTACCATCTCACATCGTGGGGAAGAATGAATCCATCTTCCACAAGCTGATCCTGAATGGCTCTGAACGTTTTAGTTCGCTGGTCTTCCCCTCGCTCTTCCTGTATTTTCTTGGAATAACGCAAATCCGATTCAGCCGGTTGGTCAATCCGAAGCAGCTGTCTTGCCCTTGGGTCATCGGGTAGAATGGGTCCTCACTGAAACCAATCAAGTACTGGGATTGCAAAGATTAGATAACCTAGGACACCTTTTAGAGATACCAGTAGGGAGGATTTCTTACCTTGCTTCGCCCGTTGGTTATGCTCAAGACTGCCCCGAGTACCTGGAGGTGGCCATGTGGAGTGGAAGCAGGTAAGTGCGAACGTTCGCCATTTCGGTGAATCCGCAAATTTGAGGTCGACAAGCCCTCCCAATGTAGAGGGGGGCGCCTTGCAGCCATGAATGCCGATACTAACACCAGGTTGGACGATATTACGACATGTTTTAGGCTCCAGGCCGTGACGATCAAATACGTCCTCATTTTCCATCCTCATTTCATTCCGGAGGAAAATCACATCAACATCATTGATCTTGGCGATTGAGAGCAGACTTCTGACGTGCTGTGCTGCTGATGTAAATGATCCCCTGGTGGACTCCTTCAGACTCACGATGACAGTCACTGGATTCTGTTCTGGATCGTCCTCGACACCCCATCTCCAGCAGGTAAGGCCAACCCAACTTCTTGTATCACAAGCAGCCAAAATCTTATGGCACAGCATTTCCCATTCTCTGATTATGGGATGTGAACCTGGAAGTGGGTAGCAGCGAGGACGTCTCGCCAGCTTTTCATGAACCAGCTCCACTGATAGATCGCGAAAGTCTGACCGAAACTTGGCGTGTATCATCTTCGCTGCAGTGCGCCATTGCGATGACTGAGTGCCTTCAGCTTCGCGGAAGACAACAAAAATGGTCGGTATCGGTTGTGGCTCGGGTCGTACGAGTGAGATCCGTCCGTGAATATCGAGGAATAAAGGTTCATCCGTGATATCTAAATCAAACAGAATGTCACAAACGGTGCCATGTAGAGTTTCCCAGAAATCCTTATCCTGGATGGTGGTCCCGCGCCAATACTCTGAGCCAATGATTTCTCTGGCCGCCGGAAGGGAGGTAAGACGAGGTCCACCGGCCCGATAAGGAGATTCGAAGAACCCGTCTTCATCGACATGGAACTGGCTGCTGAAGATTGATGTCGCCCCATTTGATGAGCTGAAGCCCATTGAGTGAGCGCTTGCCCGACTCAAATTGGAGGCCGCTTCGATGGGCGACATGATGAGAAAGAATGAAGGAAAGAAGGATCAATGTAGGGATTTGATGAAGAGAGATATTAGAAGAAGCGAGGTTGACTTCAAGTCGTGAGATAGAAGTGAAGTTAACTTCAAGTTGCAAGATTTCAAGCAAAGTCAGAAATTGCAAGCCGGTGAGTTCTGGGTGAAGGATGGAAGTATAGTTGGGGGTTTCACTTGGGAATGATCCTATACCCCGAGGCCTAATTGAGACAAAACCTTAATTTGGCGCATCAATCGGTGCCATGCTTACCTTGGAATAGACCCCGACATCTATACGAACTGCCAGGTTTGTCCAGGTCGTGTCTCCATTTCTTGATAATATTTCTCTATTCTCTGTAAATTTACAGGGTTCTGTATACTCAGGTCTACCTAGTCCGTCGCAATCCAAAACTGCCGATCTCGCCCGAAAGAAAGGAATATCCGTTGATTGAAAATAATGTACACAAAAAGACAAAAGATCTGGTGAGAGAGAGACAACATACCAAGTCAAATGGTCATCCCTGGATGCTCATACCGGATTGAGGGCGGCACTGAACCGCAGACTTGAGGTCATGTTGGATCCATGGATTCATCTAATCAAGATATTGATGCCTGCACATACCGACAGTCACTGATTCAAGGTTCCCGGGCATCCAGTGTCCACCCTGATTTGAGAATACGTAGTAATTCAAGGGAAGACCCAGGCTTCTTCCGATGTCCCTTCTACATCATATCCACCAAAAAAGCACTATGTTTGCATCCCCTCTAACACAGCTGCTCACGAACGCTCTAGCCCTCTCAGGGGCTACGTTGTTAATTAATTCACCTTCGTTCGGTGTTCCGAGTCTAGATCAATCAGAAAACCACATGCTATAACCAGTCATACCAAACGATAAAACACTACAAATTTCATCTCAAGGGTGTGTAAACTATACTACTGAATAATATTAGAAACATGGCTTTCCACCTTCAGCTCATCTTCATCTGGCAACCCGATGATAAAGTCCCTTGTAATCTTGACATCTTCCAACTCAGTAACGTGCTTCAGATCAAAGCGCCGAACCAATTTTGCAAACATATGATACAATTCACAATAGGCCAAACTTTTTGATCCAGTCGGTCAGTCTTGAAATTTACCAAGATTCATTAGCGAAAGAACTTACTTAGTCCCTAGACAGTTCATGGACCCTCCCGAGAACGAGACTAAAAATCTATCCAGCCGATTTCCGTCTTCTGGAGACTTCAGCCATCTTGTGGGATCAAATTTCTCGGGATTTGGGAAGACAGTGGGATTCATATGGACGAGGTGAATCGACTGGCTGACCGGAGTCTGTACAGGTTAGTCGGTGTTCGCTCAACATCTATCTATGCTCTTTTTTCACTCACTCCGGGTGGGATCGTATAATCCTCGTAGACGAGGGGCTTTGTTGGAAATATTCTTGGCTGTCGGATTGTAATACTCCCACTGAGACGAAGTGATTCCTTGACGACGGCGGACTGTAGGGTCATCAGTTTTGCGCATCCAATTTCGAGAATGGGGCTTCAAAAGATACCAGGTAAGGCAGTTTCTCAAGCTGAGTCCAAGAAAGCTTTGTGTCAGGGGTTGGCATTGCTCCAACTAGCTCCTCTCGTAGTGCTCGTAACACAACCTCGTCTCGGTATATGTAAAATGCACCCATGGTCAGCACCCGAGCTGTAGTCTCCGTTCCTGCAGCAAGCATTATCAAACCATCGTCCCGTAGTCGCTCCATTGTCTTTTCCTCGGGCGTGACAGACGCATCAGTCATGGCTTCGTATATAGTTCTTGGTGGATTGGTAGTCGGGGAGTGGATACTCTTGTGGATTGCCGCTTTGCTCTGTATTTCCACGTCTCTCTTCATGTCAAACAGACCTTTGGTGATTGGTTTGAGCAGTTGTATCACCGAGGGGATCGGGTCGAGCAGCTTTATGAGTATAGGAAAGAAACGAAGCAAATGGCAAAGAGATACGCCCCCCGTCAAAGCTGCACGCATGGGATTGCGAAGCTCTTTATCATCAAGGATATCAAGGCTTTTTCCGTAGACGTAGTCTGAAATAATGTCCGCGGTCAAGGCCGCGAACACATCGTCCAGGAACACAGCTGAAGAGTCTCGATGGGCGGTTTCAAGGAATCTGATCACTTTTTCAACCTTTTCATGCACGATATTCTCGACCTTGAAAACCGACTGTCTCGAGAAAAAGGGATTTAATATACCGCGGCGGGGTCTATGAAGCTTGTATTCCGCCGTCGAAAAGGTCGACTGAGGTGCTGTCGAAATGTTCACCATATATGGGTCTCTATTCTGCACTCCAGTGTGATAGATCTGATGGAAGAAGTAGGGGTCCATGATGTGGATTTCACGAGGGTTGATTCGCACGATGGGGCCTTTAATTCATTAGGCCTATTCCCGCTGCAACCTTCGTTTCAGGGCAACATACCGTACTTTTGGTGCATTCGAATGATTTCCCACATGAATTGTCCACCTTGGATGCCATCATAATAAAACTCATAAAGATGGGTGATCGCTGTCAGTTTTGGACCTGGAAATTTGCTAAGAGGATGGAAAAACAGTCGGTACACGCTTCTTGTCACAATCGAAATGGAGAGAATTGTCGCGACGGTCCATGCAACTCTCCATGGAGGAAATGCCTCCGAGCTTTCAATCAGCATGATCGGTTCAACTCTTCAGGGCCGTATGTTTGTTCAGAGTAATGATGGATTTATTTCCTTCAGATCGAGCGGGGTACGGAGTAGAGAAATACTAACGAGAGCAACAAGCCAAACAACAGCTTGCCAATAGTCATGCATAACGCTAGAGCCACTCTAGGGCAATCCACCGAGGATCTTGTCAAAAGTACCCAGAGTGAGAATGATTTCGATTGGATTCTTGCTTGAAGTTGGCCAGATATAATAGAAAATTCGATCATTTCTCTCGCTTTTCGTAGAATTTATTGCCAAAAGGTAGGACACCGACAATTATTCTTGATTGCGGACTCACTCTTCAAGCTATCACCCGGAAAGAGCTGGTCTGTTGGTGGTCAATATGGTTGATGAATACGTTGGTTATGATCAAAGGGTAAAAATAAGCTTATTGAATAATAAGGCGTCCAGCGATGACCAGGATACTTCAAGCATAAGACTGCATATCAAAAACCAGCCATCACCCCCTCTCAAGTTACTTCTTACCCTGGTAAGTGATCTTTCCATTCTTGTCTTGTACATAACCATTCTCTCGGGTAATCCCATTCGACCCGTAGGTCATCGAAGAAGCCTGTGCTTGCGGTGTCGAGTGCTCACGTTGATTCTGGCGCGCTCGATCTTCGTTCACCAGGGCTTGTTTCATGCCTTTCGATTGCTAACAAGAGTCTTAGTTTTTCACTGCTCAGTTTCCATGTCATCATTCCAACGTTCCAGACTTACGATTTTTCCGTACTGGTGCATGTGGTACGCCTTTTGGGCATTCTGAACTCCACCCATGGGGTTGGGGAAGCCTCCACTGGCACCCGCTGCCGCTCCTGCGATACCGGCGCCCTCGCTACCTTTCTCGTATGTCTTGTATGGGTTTGGCATATTGTTTGGTGGTTGATGGAGTTCGAGTTCAGGGAGACCTTCTTGCTTTTGTATGCTTTTGAGTATGACTGCGGTTGGGGCACCCGGGTGGTCCTCTATCGCGTGGCCCCCAATCATTCAACTGGAAGGGGTAAGTTGAGGCTGAGCACGGGAACGGCAGGTAGGTATCTTGCAACCGCGATTGGTGAACTTTTTATGGTTTTTCACGTCGCAGGCTAGAAGATGACTGCCAAGAACGCATGGCCCGTAGCTTTCGCGCGTGCTAGGGTCTATGGCGTCCAGATGCTGACGGGCTGGTAAGATGGCGTGCACCCAACGGGATCAGGTCATGGTCATGGGGTATCGGTGTCAAGTTCAGGGTAACAAGATGCATTTCCAAGGTTAATGATGATGGGCTATGGAATAAAAAAGAAAGGCAAAAAAGAAATCTCTCCCTCGGGGAATCGAACCCCGGTCTCCCGCGCTTATCGGTGTTAATGACAAGCGGAAATCATCACCACTAGACCAAGGAAGATGGGATGGCTGAGTTACTGCTCGGCCACTTGGCTGGTTGATGAAGTGTGCAGCAGTCTTTGGCTTTATATTCCAAAAACGTGTCAAGCTGAATGTATTCTCAAAAATCAGCCTCTTCGTCAACTTCGAGGTTCCAAGCTCGCTTGCGACCGGTACGAAGACCTGTTGCATATCATACTTGGGCATTTTATAACCTGAGCATGGTCCAGCATTATGGATGACTCTTACAGTAGGTAGAAACTGAAAAATATTGTTGTTTTTGAAACATTCAAGTTGCCCCACAGAATATATATTTCCTTGTACTACTAAGTAGCCAGGCTTGAGCGATTCAAGCTTCAAGGTTATGACAGAAAACCAACATTTCAGGTTAATACTAAGTACATTTGGCGTTTTCAACAATTCTTCTCCACGGTTTAATCAAAAATTCCGAGCTATTGCGTAAAAATGTATTGATTGTTGTGTTATACAGATATCTGACCAAAAAACCACCATTCGCGCACGCACAGAGGTCTGCATGCGTCTCCAACTCATTAGCTACCAGCGAGAATCGGAGCCCCTGAAGAATACAGAAAGCAATCAAAAAAATAGAAAAGGGAAAATCACTCCAGCACCGCGGGTTTCGCGGACACTTAGAGAAAGGCTTCGGTCGATGCTTTGCCATCAGTAGGCTCACCCATTCGGCGCCGCCGACTGTCCAAGAACAGATCCACCATGCGCTTACTGGAGATCGTGGAATGAATATCCTGAAGTTGGTGATAGCTCTCCATCATGTCATTGTACTCATCTTGTTGCCTTTGGTTCTCATCGTTGGCGTGGAAGTCACGTTGGGTGCGCATCGATCGGAACTGTTTCACTCTACCATCTTGCGAGATTGGTGCGCGTCTGGCAGAATAGCGACGTTGCTGCTCCTTCGTCAAAGAGCGCCTTGAGCCCACTCGTCTTGGGGTTGGGGATTCAGGAGGCTGCATGTTTCCAGACCTGAGTCGAATCGGCGACAAGCCTTGAAGTCGGACTGAAGGGATGAGCTTCGGTGATACATTCTCGCCTATGTGAACCACCCGATCCTTGATGGAATCACCGAAAAGAGTCTGCTTCGGGTCCTCCACCCTCTTTGTCTGTAAGGGTAAGATAGCATCAGTGTTGGAGAGATACCTGAAGGGGCGAGGGAAACTGTTTTGTGAAGGCAATCGGGCTTCAGCGATGGCGCCAGGCATGCTGTTCTGCTCGCTTCCGGACGTTTCTAAAAGGCAAGACACAGAAGCTGATGGAATGCGAGTTGTCCGTCGTGCCTGATTAACCAGGTCCTCGTCATCCTCTCGAAACTGCGCTTCTTCCCTGACGTGTTCTCTCAAGGGGCTTGCCGGCTCAATCTTGTCAACCTGTGAGCTAATCCATTGTTGCCAGTCTCCACTCGGGTTCACACAGAGCCTGGGAGATAATACCCTAGCAGCACGCTTGGGTGAAACATAAACGGTTCGCTGAGGAGCAAATATGGTCGCGGTTCCTGGTTCGACATGCATACCTATATCAAGTGTGTCGGCTGAGCCAAGTTTGACTGGTGTATTTTCACCGGTAGTTCGAGAGTAGATGCTCGGAGAAACAACGTCTCTTCTGGGATCACGAGAACGGTTGACGATGATGCTATCACTCTCACCATCCGAAGACTCACTTCCAATGAATGCAGACGGCGGGGGAAACCTGTGTGAGCTTGACTGATTCCCACAAAGTGCAGTCGCGAAAGACCCAGGTGAACTTGACATGCTTCGCACGGGACGAACCGTCTGTCTCTTTCCCTTTTGTGAGATGATAGAGTCAGATCGCTCTGGAATCACACGGTGCTTTGCAACACTGCCAAATACTACTTCATTGGGATCAGAAAGAGTATTGCGGCCCATCTGTTCCATCAAGGCATAGTATAAATCCTGGCTATCGACGACACCAACATGGTGAGGGCTCGGTCTGAGGGCGGGGGGTATCAAATCTTCGACATCGTTCTTCGAAGGTGTGCGCGGCAGGCGAGAATCGGAGGCTCCATCCCCCTCCTCCCTGACCACAGAGAGCGACTGCCGGTGTACAGGCTTCCGGGTTGCGACAGTGTTTGCAATGGTAGAGTCTGCCCAGCTAGTCACGCGTGATTGGGAAGTGCAGACACTGGCACTACTAGGAGGCCGTGGCAATTCTCGGAATGAGTTCGAGGTAGGGGGGCGCTCATCCTCTGGGCCATTGCGGTGATGACCATCAACGTCCAGATCTACCGCCGCAGCGGCATCCAGACAGTTCGAATCGTTGCGCAACGTCGACTGTGGCCCCATAGCCTTGGAGAACCCAAAGACCCGTTTCAACCTCGTTTTTATGGAGCTTGAGATAGACCGAGACTGAGAAGTGGAACTCTCACTCAGGGGCTCGCTTGCAGCACGGAATGACTTTCTGAAGGGCCTGTGATCTTTTTTTCGCCCGAGTAAGAAAGACGGTCGGCGATGTCGAGTACTTGTGTCGCACGGATCTTGTAAGAACTGACTCCGTCCCAGCTGGACAGCAGCATCATGAGTTCCAACGCTCGTACCGGCTTGCGATTTATTTCCCCGAATGAAGGACATCGAGGGTCTCAATGTCCTTGGGAGCTGGAAACCAGGACTGCGCTCGGGATCCAACGGATCTCCACAGGGGAGGGGAGGAACACCATAAGGAGTCTGAGAAGTCCGTGGTCTTGTCGCGAACATTGATTTGGCCTTGCGTAATCGGCGGTAGGAGGAGGGCACAGAGCTGTCTCGCCCATCGAGTCCTTTGGGCTCTGTGATTGGGGGAAGGACGGCTGGGTCATCATGTCGGTTGTTTGTTGCGGACGATCTCATGGTCTTCCTTGGATCACATGGTGTTGAGAAGGCAGGGGAATCTTGGCATCTCGAATTGTTATCTTCATATCGAAGGCTCGAACCAGGACGTCTCCGTGGGACGGCAATGTTAGCTGGCCCCCCTGGCCGATCGTAAAAGGCTGTGGACTCCCGAGAAGAACTTTCCTTTGACCGCATCGCCTTGGACGCGGCTGCTGCGGCATGCTGCATGGCGACTTCTGGAATCACATCGGTCTGCCGCTTCTGTATGGAGCGGGTGGACATGGAGCGCCTCAGGCGACTTCGGGTATTGGATGTAGAGGAAAACATGTTTGAAAAAGGCTGCCAAGTATATTCCTATACGTATAACTGCATGCAGAGAATAGATGCGGATGGCAAAATTGAGAAGCGCCAAGGTGCGTCTGTTTGACTACGGCAGGTGGCTCGATTCCTTCCTTCCTCAAACTCTTGACTCGCGATCTTCTGCATGTTAATTCTGCTCGGATATCACAGCCCTACGCTCTGGACTCTGTTGATTCAGGTGTAAGATCCAAGGCTAAGCTTTTTGGCGCTAGCGAGAATGTGAGTCACGCCAAGATGACACAGCCCCTGGGAGCCTCGTGTCATGACTCAAGAAGGACATCAAAATGAGGAGGCCTGGGAAGAAAACTGATTGTAAAGATCTCAGAAATTCAAGTTCAACTTCGAGTGGAAATGGCTGAAAATTCAAACCTCGAACCTGTCCTGTTAAATGGACGGACGTTGGAAGGAGGTGGACAGCTAGTTCGCATTGCCGTTGGTCTCTCTGCCCTAACCGGTCGCCCTGTCAGTATCGAAAATGTTCGCGCCAACCGACCGGGAAAAAAAGGGCTAAAGCGCTCTCATGCTGCAGCAGTGACCTTACTGGCCAGTATGAGTGGCAGCAAAGTAACCGGCGGCGAAGTTGGCTCTCAATTCTTGACTTTCTTCCCCCAATCAGCAAAATCGCCAAGTGGCCCACTGGTCGATTTGACACAAGTCAGCGTGAAACCAGAATACGATATCAACATTGCAACGGCTGGCGCCATTTGCCTTGTGTTCCAGGCCCTGTACCCATATATTCTGTATGTTGGATCGCAGGCACCCGCGCCCTTTGTCAAAGTCAAGATAACGGGTGGAACCAATCCTTCCAAGTCACCATCGTATGATTATCTTGCTCAGGTCATTGTGCCCAATTTTGCGAAGCTAGGGCTTCCGCCCCTTTCTGTCACGCTTCACAAGCGCGGATGGTCATCGGGACCAGTCGATCTTGGGGCAATGACTTTCCAGATTCATCCTTTGACATCCAAAGATGTCTCTAGGCCTAAATCTTCATCGAAGCTGTCGGATTCCGAAGCGCAAAGCTTCGATGCAGGCAGATTTCCAAAGATTGACATCATGGACCATGAGAGAGGGAAGATCACACAAATTGATATCACGGTCCTCGCACCGGATCATATCCGATTAGAGGCCGATAGTCTGAGCAAAGAGGTGTGTACCTTGCGGAAGCATATCGAGCAAACCGCGAGACAAGCACTGCGTAGTGCAACGAGGAAGATCCATCCGTCCACATTTGCACCACGACAAACCTTGTCCTCGCCCGAATCTTCCGATGATGACGGGGAACCGGAAATTGCAGTCCCCGTCCGGATGCATACATCGGAAGCTACATATCACCACTCTCATGTGTATCTCCTTCTGGTGGCTCATACGTCCACCGGGTTCCGTATTGGACACGATACCCTAGGCAGTTTGGGAAGTGGTCGGGCCAAAAAGCAGAAAAACAAAGGAAGAAACAAGCAGCGTTTGATCCACGATGATCGACACGCCTTTGAGAAGGATGTGTTTTCTGGAGCGACCGAAATGGTTAGGGGCTGCGTTGAAGGTTTCATCCGGGAGATCTCAAACGGGATCCCAGCCGCCGAGTCCGATTCGGTGATAACTCCCGAGAAGAAGGCCTGTCTAGACCAGCACATGAGAGACCAGATTGTGGTTTTCGAGGCTCTTGGCGAAGCGTGTCACGGGACAATCTCCGAAACAGCCAACGAGATACGAGAAGACGGTCGAGATTGGACGTTGCACACGAGGACGGCACAGTGGGTGTGTCGGCAAGTTTTGGGTGAAGGAAACGGTCTGTGATCAATGTGTGACACACTCGAAGCCGAGCTTATTCGCAATTTTGAGCTTCTTTTCCTAAATGGCATGATTGCTCCCGCCCATTACAGTATTGTAGTTGGGATCCTGACACTGCTTTCCGATATCAGAAGATGTAAATCCCATCAGTATGAAACCACAGCTTAGCATAAGATCGGCCCCACCGAATCCCAGTTGTACGGACATGCAAATGCAATCCGCGCGTCGCAGGAATTCTCCGTCAAGTACCGGCATCCCAACGTCCTCGGAGCCTCATAAAACCCGAGATTGCAGGATCTCTGCCCCAGACCCAGAGCGGCTGTTCGATCACAGCCCGGACTTGCCGCCCATACCGTTTCGCGCTTATAACCCACCCGCGGTCCAGACCGATCAATAAACGAGATACGAGCGCCATGGATCTGATCTGCTGCGTCTCCATTGTTTGACGTTTCTGTGTCAGATCGGGGGGACCATGGCTGTTGCACGGTCATAGGGCACCTGGGGATATTAAGTGTTCGCGTTTGAGATAGACAGGCCTGTGCGATCCACTTCGGGTATGGGATCCAGTTGGGCCGGGATATACGACAGTTCCCAGCTCTAATTTCGATATATGAATTGCACTGTTGTTTCGGATTCAATCTTTCAATGCAAGGGCTTCCCGTGCTACTGCATGACATATCGTCAGAGTGTTAGAATTAAGCGAGGTCGCCGACGGCATCTAATATACACGAGCCTTCAAAATACGAGGCCATCCAGAAACCTCCGATCTCCTTCCTACTTAGGTACCTATACCCAACATAGTTAAATCGACACTAAACTGTCACTTTGTACATGTATGGGCCTGTAATTATGATACGCGAAACCGGAAAAACGAATACGGATTGCCATGATTGTCGCGCAACGGCCAAGCGCCACACCGGCACCTCTGATCACCCGAAAAGAACAAATGGAAAACCTCGACGGGAAGCTAGAGGATCGTTCTCGAGGGCTCGAGACATTGGGTGGGTAGAGACCGTGCTAAATTCCCCACAGTTCTACCCTGAAACAGCGAACGAACGATCCGGTATGTGGCTGAGCGCATGAAAAAAAATACCCAAATACCGAGAAAACAGGGAAAAAAGGGGGTGAAGGGCTCGGACATGGGAAATTCGGTGCGAAAGGAGCAATAGTGCAGAAGCCCAATGGAATCGGCTAGAAACGCCATTGACACTAAGAATGCTTTAGCTTCCATTGGGCTTTGTTTTACATTCGCTGGATCCGATTTCTGACAGTCGAATCCCACGGTCTCTGTGGAGATGCTTAGGCTTGTCTAGTCCGTTTTTTCGTTCTCTTTACCTATTCCGTCTGTTTTTTATTTTGTCTCTGCTTATTTTCTGGGTTTCCCTGCTCAGGCAGCCATTATTCCCAATTCTTCAAGACAGACAACGCCCAGCCTATTGTAATCCGATAGTTTCAGATGTGGACAAAGCACAGATTTGAAGAGTGGATAGAAGCTATCTGTTAATGAGACAGGTGATCGACAGGTGGTCAAGTTTTTTTTTTCTGTTCTCTCATTCTGAAAACCCCCTTTTCCCCCTTCCCGCGCTCTCGGATAGTAGTCCGGAGTGGCATTTCACCCACGTTCCAAGGGTATGGGTATTTTACTATACGAGCAGTTAGGATCGTACTATGGCAGCCTCGTTAATTCTCCGAGGGCTAGGTCCGTCTAGATTCCATACCACATGACTTTCACAGCCTGCGACTGGAGACCTTAAAAAAAAGAAATGAGAATGCAATACGAAAAAAAGGCCACTGCCTAGTGTGATCTGAGGCCAACGGCAGTCGATCCGATCCCAATAGCAAATTTTGATGTATGTTTGTGTGCGCCCACCCGGGTTGCCCTGGTCTAGCATGGGCCGTGTCAGAAGCCGAAGAGCGATGGACGGTGTTACCGAGCCTCTCACAAGTGCCTTGGTTCAACCTGTGTGCTACATGCCGCGACCACTTAACGTCCAGCAGGCGATCATCTTACCATGTTTGCAAGGCAGATCCACCAAAACCAAGTCTGACAGGGATCTAGCTACAATGGACCCAAGAAGACGCAGGGAAGGTCGGATATGCGGCACGACCAGAGTGGATGAGCTGTGACCTGACTGTCAGGCTTGACGGATGAAGCAAATGGCTAGATATAGAAGGACGACAACGATCCCCGAGGCCGTTGCCGGTCTGGAATGGGCGGGGCTGTGTGCACGTTTGTTTCTAAAGTTGGGTTTCTTGGGTTTGGGGCCGGATACTGTTTCAGCTCAAGATCTTGCGGCTGAACTATGTCATAGAGAAAGAAGGGCCCAGCAGGGGGCCAAAAGTGTTCCCAGCCCCGCGCAGGATCTAGCGGTCTGGTTCCAAGAATAACAAGGTTTAGTAGTCAAACGGGTGTCTTGCCTTAGTGATCGGAGACTCGGCGACAAGGCTGAGGCGGATAGCTACTGGTCTAGAGAGGTGAAATCAGAGGATATGAGTAATGGCATAATAATTTCAATGCTGTGAATAAGGTATATAGCACTAGGGGATCATATGATAATAAACGCAAGAAGGGACAAAGGGGGTATGGCATCACAGAACAAAAGAAAAGAAGTCCACATGAGAGTCAACGAGCCACGTGAGAGATCAGGGCATAAAATCAGAACCAAATGAGAATAAAAGGGCAAAGCACACGTATGCGCAAGGAGAAGGGGTCGATCACCAATTGACCATAGCCAAAAGAGCCCAATCCACCAGCGCCACTGCCCTCCAGTGGCAGGTCCATGTCCGTAGGTATCCATGCAAAAGTAAATGCGATCTATCCTCCATGCAAAAACAAAGAACAGCTCCGACTCCCCAAGACGAAGCCCGGGGAGGCTCCGAGAGGGAACTGCGAGCGAAAACAAAAGGAGATGTCCACGGTCATGCCGAGGTTCATATTCTCAGCAGAAACAAGTCGCGCCGCACACGTCGGGCCAGCGAAACGTGGATAGTCCAGGTGAAGACCCAAGGGGCGAAAGTTCGCGAGAAATCAAGGCAGGCGAATGACCGCGGACGACAAAGAAACTCCTGGCGATGCATAAGAGAGAGTTTGAGCGGCAAAAAGAGGCGAAATTAAAAGGAAGTCGGAGTCATAGAACAAAGGAAGTAGCCGATGCGAGTCCCAGCCGGCGGGACGTTGAGCTAGCAATGAGCTGGGCGATTTCCCGGACCGTCCCGGATGATACGCCTTACAGCTGCTCCGGCTTGGTTATGGAATCACCAAAGAGCTCTGAAGGTAGCGCGCGTTTGTAGTCACGCGGTTGGGCAAATGGCGAGGCAAATGCTGGACGACGCAAGTTCAAGGACTGTGGTAGATTAGCATATTGTTGCGTTTCGCCGGAAGTATAAACCTACCACACAGTCCGAGCACTTGGCACCTTGTCTGTTGACACGGCCGCGGCATCCACGGGGGTAGTTTGCGCAAGAGTACATGTTGTGAAAGAGTATAGAGGCGAACTCGAGAAGAAAGAAAGGAAGTCAAGGCTTTAAATGTCACGGAGAATAAGGATCAAGGCCTAGATTCAGTACTACGTGATGACGTCGGAGTTGGGAATTCAGCCACAATGGAAAGTTGAAGAAAAAGAGGGGAGACACTGACGGTTTATATCAGAGGCTCAAAAAGATGGCTTAGACAGGTAAAACACTCCAACTGGCCCTTAAAAGCATGTAAAATAGGAGGATTAGAATTTTTAGGGTTCCATTCTTACCGTTTGCTGGGGTTGGTTTTGGGTATTTTTTTTTTCTTTTTTTTTCGCCCTTTTCTTTTCTGGCGTTTTGTCGTTTTATTTTGGTTATTTTGCATTATTTTATTATCATTATTATTTTTCCTGATTTTCCGATTTCCTGATTTTCGTGCCTTCTCTCATTGGGGCCCTTCTTGTAGCATAATATCGTGAGATTATAACACTATACGCTTTATTGGCTTAGATTACACTTTGTGTATTATTTTCTTTAATCTCTCTCTGACTCGCCCTTTGACCTTTCCCCTTTCTCCCCGTGTCTGGCGATGTAATCAAACTATGGTATTACCGGAATACCCTGACAGGCAATCCCCTTACGGTGGGATGTCATACTGCAGAGATCGGTCGATCCTCATCCCTTTGACCCGGAGATGCGGGTGTGGGATCGACTGAAATGCTGGTCTTCGATGCATACAGAGTGGGCCAATAAAGGGAAATCGTCCTTGCTACAGAGAAAGAGAACAACGGTATGATGCATCCGGATCGCATGGCTCGTTTCTTATATTGCAGGGCTGGGTGGAGCATCTGACCAGAGCTGGCGAAACCAACAAAGTCCCGTTAGGCTTCAGGTTGAGTGAGCATGAATTTGGTTGCAAAGCCCAAACGGCGCAAACGATCTGTGACCGTGTTTCAGTGTTTCAAATAGAGGCCCTCGACAGAGGTGGGCCCTCTAGGTTGTTCTGGTTTCGTTCTGGAAAACCCACCGTGCTCAGGGGATTTCCCTTTCCGGTTTCTCCTGATCAGCCTTGTTGACATGTTCTCCTTTTCCTGTCTACTCGCAACAGATCCCGTTCTAATAGAGCTGATCGTTATATCAATCTGGAGAAACTTTCGGTAATGCTCTGTAGCTGGAACGCCAATGCCCATATCAATCGGAAGTGGAGCTGCAAGGGTTAGATTTCCAGCAATGATCTGTTTCTCACTTTCTCTTCTCTCCCTTTACTCATCGTCTACTCCGTACTGGATTCTCTATTCTCCATTCCTCCATTGTCGACGGAGTATTCTTTAATCTCCCACTCCTTACTCCATACTCCGTACACTGCTGTAATTTTCTCACACCGCCTCCGACATCCGCCGTCCCGCTTTTCGCTTGGCAAATTGCGGGTTCGTCAGCATCTGTCGTACAGTGCTGGCGCGGTGAGAAACGCAGACGTGGCCTTGTTTGGGCATTAAGCTCTTTGCTAGTCACTTGACTCAGACAATTGGTGTGACAGACTCCCAGGAACCAAGTCTAGAAGACAATCGAAGGGCGTCCACGCTTAGATGCGTGAGGCGTTGCATATCAAAGAAAGCCCACGGGCAGTCTGGATAGCGACATCTGATTGTTCAAAAGGGATCTGCCTACGGTGCCTGGACATGGGAACCTAGCAAAGCGGTCATCGGAGTCGAAATGTGCGATGACTTCATCTGCGTTCCGCCATCTTTCTCACTTGCAGAATGCAGCCAGACGATTCCGGATCACCTCGGTTCATGTGACCCGGTGTTGCCTACCTAGTTTAGGTTGCTGCTAATCTGCACCGGTTATCTGATGCGAGCACAGCGTCACAGGGTCATGTATTCCAAACCATCGAAAATTATATGCAATATACGAGATAGGTAACAGCAGGACTTCGCTAAATGTCGCAAACATTGCAGGACAATCTTGCAAAAACACCCAAGCTATACAGGGTAAACATCAATGAATCCACCCTGTCAATACTCAAATCATCAGCATCGATCGAAGAATGAACCAGGCGCCGAGGATGCCCAACACCGAGACGAGCAACAGCCCGTTTCCTTCTCTAGTCAGCCCCAGATACGCAGCACCGCCAACGAAAATCTCCCGCCAACGTGCTGCATCTCGCTTGCTTCTCCAGTCCGGGTCAATGGGGAACGGAGCCACAGCTCGCAGGCCAGGCGCGGGGTCGTGGTCACCGGGCGTAAGCGGCACCGAAGCGAGCAGCGCAACCGGGCGATGATCTGACTGCGCAAAGAGAGGCAGTGCATCATATGCGAGCGGTTGGACCTTCCCGGCCTCACCAATCCACGGCGAATCCAGGAACAGGACTCTATCACACCAGCTGGGCCAACGGTGATTCGACCATTTCCAGTCCACGGACTCACCCCGAGCGGCGGCCTTGCGCGCCGCACTGGAGTACTTGTAGGTGGGAGGGAAGTCGATCGGCGCTTCGGAGAGACCGTGGAAAGTCCGCCCGTCGCGCATTTCGCGAATCAGCTGGTCGTGCTTGAAGAGGTGGGAATAGTGGGATGAATCTTCCAGGCTCACGTCGCGACGGGGGAATCGGGCAATTTCCGCGATGGTCGGTCCGATATTCGAGGTGCGATAATTCAGATCTCCCGCTAGGAAGATGTAGGTGTTTGGCGCAAAGAGCTCTGGACGACGCCTTTCCGAGGAAGCTGCTGCTTCGGCGAGGAGACGGGATTCTTCGTTCACTTCAGACTCGGGTGTTTCAGGCGTGAAAACGAGACGCTCGACAATGCTCTTCCAGTCCAAGTTCCGTTGCTCGTATGAATGCTCCATTGGGGCAAGATGTGCCGCGACAAAAGCCAAGTCGACAGACCGGGGAGGATCACTCCCCACAAGGTATCCCAATCGTGCTCCGACTGCACCTTTGTTCCCCATCTCAGCAGCTCCAACACCCACATGGGCTGTATCTTTCCAGGCGATCTTGGCGAGGGTGTCGTGGCGAGCAAACAGCATAAGGCCGGTCATGCCAGTATTATCGACGTGGAAGTTCACGTAGTCGTCGCCCCATTTCTGTGCACACGCCTTGCTTACAGTGCGGCGGAACTCTGCGAAGTAGGGTGAGAGATAGGATCCCCCGAGGAATGAGTAGGCAATCGGTGCGATCTCCTGTAGCGAGAGGGCAATCAGCTCGGGCGCGGAGCTCCCCGCGGGGAGGGCATCGAAGAAGTGCGCCGCAAAAGCATCGACATCGACAAAGTTCCTCGCACAATTGAAGGTCAGCACATAGATACTCAGGGCATCCATCCTGAGATACTGTAGAGGTGAAGAGGGGGAAAAGCTGAGAAAAAGCAGGTGACGTCACGCAGTGACCGCCTGCCGCAGATCACAACAACACAACACCGGGACACCTACTCCGTACAAGCTGTTATTTTGGCAGAAACATTCAATTGTTAATTAATTGCTTTGAGGCACGAATTGCTTCGTTCAGGTACAAAAAAAAACATTGGCAAAAAAGATAGTGCATCATCCGTGAATCGAACACGGGCCTCGTCGATGGCAACGACGAATTCTACCACTAGACCAATGATGCAGAGGAAACAGGTGTTGGCGAATGCCAATTGGCTGTTGATATGAGACGGGCTCAAAATTGGTTATCCAAGGGAACTCAAAAAATATCCCATTCCCCATATTGTGTAGGTATCTTCACAGCTTCCCTCGAAGCTCACCTCCCTCCAGTTCAACCAACAATATGCCCTCTGCAACATCTTCTTCCTCTTCCTCCATCTCATAAACCCATTTCACTTTTCCACTTCGAGGGCTGCGCACCTCGAGCTCCATCTTCATCTGCTTCACGAAGGCCAAGACTTGATCCTTGGCTACATCATCCCCATCGGATACCAGCATTTCAATTAATCTGCCGGAAATTGGGAGAACGATGTGCTGCGGATTTCTTGGGTCACCTCGTCGATGGGATGAGACCAATGCTGAGGCTGTGGTCGTGGTTGTGTCTAATTGCATCCGATAAGGAATAGCGGTCCGAGAGGTCGGTGTTGTGTATTCGATCTCTGCTGTAAGTGAATTGGGGAATTCGTTTCGGAGGACCCGTGAGAGGCTAAGATGATGTGTGAATTTCTCAAGTCTCTGGCTGTCGTTTGGCAATGGCTCCAGTGTTATTGACCAAGCGTCTCCTTTGCGGAATAGTAGATTTGATGTCGGGAGTGCGGCTTGGTGCGCTGGATTTGAGACCCCGAGATATCTATTTGGGATGGAAATCTTCTCCGTTATTTGCATGCCCTGCTGCAGGATTGTGTCAAGGTTGAGCCCAAGCCACTGCGTGTCGACCTGGCCAGACATGAAATCAGGATGGGCCACAATAGCTCTTAAGAGATTGATGTTTGTGGTCACGCCCTCGACCCGAGAATCTGCTAGGACACGTTGAGCCTTGCGGACGGTTGCTTCCCAGCTCGGTGCGGTAACGATGATCTTGGCCAGCAAGTTGTCGAAATTCGACCCAACCACTAGCGGAGATGCTCCAGATATATCGACATTGGTGTCTAATCGGATCCCGTGGCCACTCGGAACGTTGAAGCCAGTGACTTTGCCAATGCTCAAACTGAAATCATTGTCTGGGTCCTCGGCACATAGTCTGAGTTGAATCGAAAATGCATTTGGGGGTGGCCCGTCTGGTCGAACCTGGGACCCAATGCCCAATTCATTCAAAGTCCACCCTTGAGCCAAAAGAAGCTGAGTTTGAACCAGGTCTATCCCACTGATAGCCTCTGTGATCGTGTGCTCAACCTGGAGACGAGCATTCACCTCGAGGAAGTAGAACTCCCTCCGTTGCTCACTGACCAAGAATTCAAATGTTCCAAGGGATTCGTAGCGAACCTCCCCAGCCATCCTGAGGGCAGCCCCAATCACCTCACCGATCAAAGACCTGTCCATCAGAGCTGGCGCACATTCAACAACCTTTTGAAACCTCCGTTGAGCACTGCAATCTCTCTCCCAGAGATGGCGCACCTGGCCCGTCCGATCTCCGATGATTTGCACTTCAACATGGTGGAACCCATCCACAGCAGCCTTTTCCACAAAAACAGACCTAGAGGGCGACTCTCCAATCGCCCGCTGGATACTATTTTCCAGATCAGGCTCCTGTTGCACCAAACGAATGCCTCGACCACCCCCTCCATCAACAGCCTTGATCATCACCGGGAGGCCAATCTTCTTGGCGAAGGCACGCGCTTCATTCACATCACCGGTAGCTTCAACCATGAAATCCAAGGTTGGAACCCCGCATTTCTGGGCCAACTGCTTCGCTTGCAGCTTATCTCCTGTTCGAGCTAGATTCTCCCACCCTGGCCCAATTACAACTGAGCCGGCTTCGTGCCACATCCGATGCGCGAATTCGGCGCTCTCGCTTAGGAATCCATATCCCGGATGGACGGCATCAATGGAATGTTTCTTGACCAAATCGACCAGATAAGAGATATCCAGGTAGCTTGATGCCGAGGGGATTTCTATTGCATGTTGTGGTCGGCCCAGATCGCAGTGCGATTTGTCGCCTGATGTGTAGAGAGCGTAAAGCTCGATTGGATTAGGCAATTCTCTTGCCGATTGGAGAACACGAACAGCGATTTCTCCTCTTTTCATTCATTAGCTTCTGATAATTCCGCGAGTGGAATTTATTTACCTGTTGGCGACCAGCAGTCGCTTGATCGGTGAATGCGGGGATGATGACATGCTTAATGCCAGGGCCAGGGGTATTCCAATATGCGACCTGGGCGTGATGACTTTTGCAGTGTACTGTATTCAAGAGTTAAGACGATGTTGAATTCAAGGGTTTTTTTTATAAAAAAAACCTAGTTTCCTTCGACAATCCTTTGTACACTGGAGGAGGGAGTCGACCTCGGCCCTCGGAGGTTAACACACCCCCTCACCGCGCTCTTAAGCATCCCCAATTATCCAGAGCTGCGCGAACAGCAATTTTGCACATTCACCACAATTGAAGATGGGCAAAGATAACGAAAAGCAGGCCAAAGATCAGGCAAGAAGCCGTCTCAACCAGGTCTCCTCGCATATATCTCCCAAAGCCAAGTCCAAATCCAAATCCAAATCAACTCTCCCAGCCGACCACTCAGACGTGCTGGACCAAATAGCAACACTTCGTCGAATCGCTGCAACGCCTGATCCCAAGCAAAGAGGCTATATTCGGCAAAAGCAAGCCGGGAAACTCTGGGTGCGTGAGCGTATCGACCAGCTTCTCGATGCAGGAACCTTTCAAGAGATAGGTTCTGTTTCGGGAACAGTTGCCTGGCAGAAGACGGCACCCCGGCGCGAAAAGCCAGTTTCTTTCGTACCTAGCAACAATGTTCAAGGTGCTGGACTACTGGGTGGGAGGAAGGTTCTCCTGACCGCTGACGATTTCAGTATTCGATCTGGCCATGCCGATGGAGCAAGCACGGGGAAGACGGTGTATGTCGAGAAACTTGCTATTGCACTGCGCGTGCCGGTCATCAAGCTTGTTGACGGTAGCTCTGGGGGTGGGAGTGTGACGACGATCAAGAAAGAGGGGTGGAGCTATCTTCCCCATGTGGCATCGTTTCCATTTGTGATTCAGCAGTTGAATATGGGAATCCCTAACTTGGGTGCCGTGGTTGGACCAGCGGTATGTCTTCCTGATAGACGGATGAATGGAGCTGACGGATTAAAGATTGGGCTTGGAGCTGCTCGAGTTACATCCTGCCATTTCTCAGTCATGGCGGCTGATGTAGGGGCGTTATTCAATGCTGGTCCCAAGGTTGTTGAGGGTGCGACATTTGAAGAAGGCCTGGACTTTCAGGATCTGGGCGGTCCCATGGTCCATTGTACTAACGGCACGATTGATAACCTCGCGGCGAATGAGGCTGAGTGCTACGAGCAGCTACGCACGGTATTGAGTTATTTACCCAATAGTGGCAGCGAGGCGCCGCCGGTGATCCCATGTGCAGACCCAGAGAACCGCGAAGACATGGCCTTGCGGAGTATTATCCCGCGACGACAAGCGCGCATGTATAACGCACGTTCAATCATCTTGACAGTCGTTGATAAAGACTCTTGGTTCGAGATTGGTGCGCTCTGGGGTCGTACTGCCATTGGTGGTCTGGCAAGACTAGGTGGTCGACCTGTTGGGATTATCTCGCTGAATTGCGAAGTAAATGGAGGGGCGTTGGATGCAGCCGGGAGTCAGAAATTGACGAGGCTGCTGAAGCTGTGTGATGTTATGAACTTGCCTATTCTGCAATTCCTGGACGTCCGTGAGTAGAATCTGGCTTTCGCTTTCTTTTCGGAGAGACGCATACTGACATTGTGGAAGCGGGTTATGCAATTGGCACGGTGGCTGAACGCACAGCAACAATGCGCTGGGGAGTCGAGCTGGCCAAGGCCTACTTCAGCACCACTGTACCGGTCTTCAATGTGGTCACTCGGCGTGTGTTTGGTGTTGCTGGCGGTGTTATGTTGGGTTGTCGGGATCCGGTCATGCAGGTCGCTTGGCCTTCTGGGCAGTGGGGCTCGTTGCCACTGGATGGAGGTATCGAGGTGGGCCATCGACATGAGTTGCGCGAGGCCGAGAAGGTTGGAAAGAAAGAAGAACGATATCAGGAACTTGAAGAAGAATACCAGCGGTTGATGAATCCTGTTCGCACCGCGAATGCGTTTGGCATTGAGGAGATCATTGACCCCAAAGACACAAGAAGTGCTTGTTGTGCCTGGGCGTCCCATGTATATGAATTCCTGATGAAAGAGCGACTCGCTGATCGGGCCTGTGGGAAACTGCAGCCGTCTTTCGCATGATACCCGAATCCTATGTCACTTTGAAGGTCTTCGCATTTCAGCACCCAACCACCCCTAGACACTTCTCACCACAATATACCATGATGTGAATTCCCGACTTCACCACACTCATTTTCCTAGAATTTCTATACAGTTGAAACTCATCTCCACTTTTTCATCCTGAAATCCCACTGTTATGTAATCGCCCGCACCGGCCCCGGGGAGGGAGCTTCTATCAACTCAAAATCCCCCACTTCACACACACACAAAATGGCCACCGTCCAAATCCTCGATGGAGGCCTCGGCACTTCCCTAGGCGATCTGTACAATGTCAAATTCTCATCCTCCGCCACGCCCCTCTGGGCCTCCCACATGCTAGTCAGCGATCCCTCAACGCTAGAAGCATGCCAGTCCGACTTCGGACATGCAGGAGTGGACATCCTCCTCACAGCAACCTACCAGGTTTCGCAGGAGGGCTTTGCGCGCACCAAGACCGCAGAATACCCAGATGGGATTCCGCGATCTGCAATCGCGCCTTATCTGCGCACAGCAGTTGATGTCGCGTGCCGCGCGAAAGTGCGCGAGAGCGCCAGTGTGGCGCTTAGTCTGGGCCCGTATGGGGCTTGTATGATTCCCGGACAGGAATATAGTGGTGCGTATGATGCGGACCATGATTCGGAGGAGAGTTTGTATGTTTGGCATTTGAAGAGATTGAGGATGTTTGTGGAGGCGGGTGTGGTGGAGAAGTTGAAGTATGTGGCTTTTGAGACTTTGCCGCGACTTGATGAGGTGCGGGCTGTGAGGCGGGCGATGGGTGATTCGGGGATTCAGGTGCCGTTTTGGATTGCATGTGTCTTCCCTAGGGAGGATGAGTTGTTGCCGGATGGGAGTGAGGTGAAGGATGTTGTGCAGGCCATGGTTGGCGCTGAGGGGGGACCGATTCCCTGGGGCGTTGGAATCAATTGCACGAAAATGCACAAGCTTACTGGGCTTGTGGACGCCTTTGGCCGAGTTCTGAAGGAGACTGTAGGGGATGATGTGCCGAGTCTAGTGCTGTATCCCGATGGAACAAATGGGGAGGTTTACAACACTACGACGCAGGTTTGGGAGAAGCCGAACGAGTGGAACGACAATGTGAGTGACAAGGTGAGTACGAAGTGTTGCATGAGCCTAGAGACATTCACTAATGTGATGTTTAGCGACCTTGGGAGGTCCAGCTGGCCCAGGTTGTCAATGAATCATACGAGAAGGGCCATTTCAAGTCTTTCCTCGTTGGCGGATGCTGCAAGGCCTCGCACCATGATATTAAGAGGCTTGGAGAGCAGTTTACCGCCAATTAAAAGACAACTAAAAGTGATATCAAATGGAAGTGTAAAAAAAAGAAGTCTTGTTGAATATGGTACATCGCTCATGTTGAAAACTGTACAACGCTTGTGTTGAAAACTGTACATCGCTCATGTTGAAAGGCCCCATAGGGCATGCGGGTATTATAGATCATTAAATCATTTAGAAAAGCCAATCAGAAAACTTTTGAAGGACGCCAGTCCGGGGAGTCTCATCCCGTGTGATCTCCCCATCCTGGAGGCGACCTGACCATAAGTCAATATTGGCAGCACGCTCGAACTGTTGATTAAAATTAGCGCGTGAGCAAGGAGGAATTGGTTACCGAGACTAACCTTGGTGCGGTAAAAGAGTTTCCACAGAATGATGGGAACAATGAAGATAGGGATACCAATGTAAGAAGCGATAAAGTCCGAGGTACTCCAGTTACCCTTCAAGAAGACAGGGAAGCCGGCGACCAGGGTGATGATTACAGAACCGATGAAACCAAACCATGCGGCATAAGGTTGAAAGGGTGCCTTCCATGGTAGGGTGTCTCGGCTCACATTTTGCTTCTTCATGGCGGCGTAGAAACGGATGTAGCAGAAGCAGAGAGTCGCCCACGCAATCAATCCAGCGACAGTGCTCAAGTTCAAAAGCCATGTAAATGCCTGAGCAGCGCCACCAGATCCGAGACTGAGATACGCGAGAGGACCAAAGAGCCAGGAAGCGATCACAGCCACATACGGCACACCCTTCTTGTCCACGCGTCCGAAGAATTTAGGAAGCTGGCGGTCGGTGGTCATGGCGAGAATCATACGCGATCCGACCCAGCAGTATGAGTTACCGGCGGACCAGGCTGCAATGAGAATACACGCGTTCACAATGGAGGGAAGAGCCTTGATGCCAGCGTTGGCAATGGCAATGACGAAAGGCGAGCTCTTCGCATTGTCATCGCCGGAGACAAGGCCGGGGGCGCGCGGGTCAACGATGATACCGATGAGAAGCGCTCCGAGGATATAGAAAAAGGCAATGCGGTAGGTGACTCGGCGCGCGGCCTTGGGAATGGCGCGGTGGGGATCGACTGATTCGGAGGCGGTGATAACAACTGTCTCGACACCGATGAAACTGAAAGAAGCATTGACGAATGAGGACAGGAAGCCGAAAAAGTGGCCAGCGGGGCCTGTGACACCGTTGTAATTTGTCCACGGACCGGGATTGTTCCAATAGCGGAACCCGATCGCGTCGCCTGTCGGACCACCGCCTGCAGTGATCACCAAGGAGACAAAGACCAGGCCGATGAAACAGAGGACCTTGACGCCACCTCCGAACACCTCACTTTCACCATAGAACCTCACGCTCATCAAATTGATCCACAAAATCAGGACCAGGCCGACGGTGATGACCACCGCCGGCGTTATGTCCGTCCAATATGAAACAATGACCGCCGCTGCAGAAACCTCCGATGCGATCGCAATCGTATAACAGTATCCGTATGAAATTGCCAGTGAGAATCCGACGGCCGGATCGACGAATCGAGTCGCCCAGTGAGGGAAGGATCCCGCGGTAGGGAAAAGTGTCGCGAGCTCGGCGATACTTTGCATCACCGCCCACAAGATCATTCCGACGACGATGTAGGCGAGAAGCAAGCCAGCAGGACCGGCCTTCGCATAAGCAGAGCCAGTTCCCACGAAGAGACCGGTACCAATGCCACTGCAGAAACCAATCATGGTGACATGGTAATTGCGCAGGCGTCGCTGCAAAGGCGCGCGACCGCCGACGCCGAGCTCGAATTCGGACTTGGGATCGACATCGTAGGAGAGGTCTGCGTCGGTTGCCGGCTGGACCTTCTCGTCGTCGAAGCCAGGTTTCTCCGTGGTGGTCATGATCGATTCCCCAATGTGACCAGAAATGTAGAATGCAGATTGGGGGCGGCGTCTTTTTGTTTCAGAAATCTTAAATCAGATTTAAGCACGACATCGGCCATCCATCTTTCGCGCTTCCGTTTTCTGCTCCACCGCGGGGAGGCTCATTGGACTGTGTGTCTCCGGGACTCGGCCTCTCCACTCTTTTTTCGGGTCCCGGGGGGCGATTGACTAACTTTTTCTCTTCATATTCGCCATCGTCGCCTCTGAGTGCGAATTTAGTGTTTCACCTGGTTGCATGACAAGCGGGCATTCCTGGAATGTAGACGGATGTAGAAGGCGGCTAGACGCCTACAGAAGCCACGTGATGTGGGGGGACTGGATTTTTCGCTTTGGAAGCCTGGATTTCTAGGCAACATTCTGGCCTGAGGTGTCAAGCCATCTGGCCCGCCACGAACCGTTGCCGATCTCCAACACCTTAAATGTTGTCTGCTATTTTCTCCGATCTTGGCATTGGGCACAGCACTCATTTCGAGTATAAGTTGGGCTCTGTTTGCAGAAAGCGCGTCGAAGGTAAACACTGTTGTTCTACTAGTAGTGCACATATGTCGGTCCGGATGACTGTGCGCTTCAATACAATATATTGCGAATACCGAGAACCATCGGACCTCAACAGGGAAACATAAGCCCATGAGCTAGTCCCCACAGCCGAAAAATAGGCCGAGATAGCCGGGAACATGGAACAATGAACCGCCCCGGACCTGGAAGTCTTGGATTCCGGTCTAAGGGAGGCGCAGGCAAAATTAGTAAGATCATATCATTGGTCACCTGGGGGTCATTCGGAGCCCCATAAATTGGTCAAGCCCAGGTACTTCGTGACTTCGTCAAATATGTAAATCGACTGCATCCTGTACAGAGAGTTGTGCATAGAAGGGGACCTCAGATCAGATCTCCGTGGTATATCAGAGCGACTTGGCCTTTGCTACCCCGCACGTTAGACGGTAGGGAATATGTCCTGCCTATGGTGTTTTTCATTTCCACGACACAGATCAGTGAGCATAATCAGACTTCAGCAGAGATTCATTCACTGACAGCCATAGCAATCGCCCAAAACCATACCCATACCCGACAGCGAAGACTGTGGGTTCAAGGTACTCTATGAGGGCGCGGGATCAATTGGTGTGGAGTGAGTATGCGCCAAAGCCAGAGGGTGATTCCATCTAAGTGATGATATAGCATTATCGCCGTTCATGGATTGAATGGACATCGTGAAAGATCATGGACAGCAGCGAATGGAACGAACTGGCTTCGCGACCTGCTGCCGACGGACATGCCCGGAATCCGGGTTGCCTCATGGGGATGGAAATTATCCACCAAAGACGGTTCGCCCGAAGCGACATCACAGCAATCGGCATCTGAAAAACTGGTGCTCGATTTGTGGAAGTTGAGATCATCGACAAATGTATGGACGTGATGCCGAATAGCCATCGGCAAGAAGCTAACAGGCGATCGCCACGCAGACAAGCAACCGTCCGATCATTTTCATTGCACATAGTGCGGGAGGGCTGTTGGTAAAGAGTGTCAGTGCATAATTGCGCGGGGTGTCCAGGAAACCGCAGCTAATACGCCCCAGGCGCTCTTATATTCGCAGTCCACACCCCAAGATTCCCCCATGGATCTCCACAGTATTGCAAGCTCCACCAACGGGGCGATTTTCTTGGGCACAACGGAGCTAGATTCGAGACTCGAGGGTCTGCGAAGTTACTTGGCTAGTGCGCAAGGATCTGGCCAGGAGTCGAGTGAGGTATATCAGGAAGCACTCTGGCTGATTAACACCTTGCAGAACTTTCCGTTGGTTGGCGAGAACATCTGGACCCTTTCTGTCCACGAGCGACCTGGCTCTTCGAATGCGGAGACTAAATGGGATGAGGTTAGAATATGAGAGACTTCCTTCTTTCACGGTAGCTAACACCTTCGACAGGGTCGCTGCTCACATGTTCTTGTCCAGACTGGTCACGATGAGATGATCAAGTTTAGCAGGGTTTGCGAGGGATATTTACAGATCAAAGAGCATTTGATGTTTGTCGACCTGAAGGCTGAGATTGATGCCTGATACTTTCGGCAATACTATGCCTGAGGCACCAATAATGGTTATGCACGAAATGAAGAAACTTGACTTGCATAACTACGGAGTACATGCAGCAGAATATTCCACCGTAGAACCCGTTTGCCAAGATTCACGGAGATACAAAGTATTCCGTATACAATATTAGCTGAGTTTCAATAGAGGGGTTATTGGCCCCCTTTCCAACGTCGCATCCAGCCCTGGAGGGCCCCCATATCCCCAATCCGGCGTTGATTTCGATAGCGTCCCTGGAACCACAGTTTGCGACTGGGAACTCCTCTCCCAGCCAATAAATTTACCTAAGGGCATTTCCAGGGCTGGAAGAATCAGACCAGTTCTGCTTGGCAAATTGCCAAGCCCTCGGTGCCAACACTAGCATAAGGCCCGATTGTGCACGCTCTAATGTGCCGATCCCCAAAGCAATAGGCAAGCCCACTGGATGATCGCCTAACGGGTCAAGACATTCGTTTCCCAAGGACAAATTAAATAGTTGCATCACGCCGATCCTCTCTGCCCGTCAGAATCTTACCCGTCTCCCCTCATTCCGTTTCCGAGCTTGCGCCCTTTAAACTTTATCCGCTACCTCACTTCTCTCCTATGCACTGCACCTGCACTCACGATGGCTGACGAGACTCGGTCTGTCTCTCCTGCGGCTGCGCCCGCGAGGCCGAAAGGCAGGAAGCTGCCTGGATGGCTAGATCACTTCAATGCCCGAGATCTCAAAGTGTTCTTCCGCTGCTCGCTGGCGGCTTGGGTCGCGTCGCTGTTGATTTTCATCACACCGTCCCTGACTAAAATTGGAACGGCGACTTTCTTTGCAACGTGAGTAAAACCCCTGCTTTGGGTGTCGGAAGTTAACACTGGTATAGTCTGGTGTTGTTTATGGTTCCCCCGACCGGCATTGTCTTCATTTTCTTGCTGGGATCTTTTACTCTCATTCTGGGTATGGCACTCGGCTGGGCCTGGGGTGTCATTGCTATGAAAGCTGCTCAGGCTGCTAGGCCGGCATTGGAAACCCAGGCTCGGCTTCAGGCACTTGGCCAAACGGCTTATGCTACTGCCAATTCCACCGGACAGAGCTTGGCAGCTGTTCAGCAAGAGCTCGTGTACTCGGGCTGGATGCTTGATGCGCGTGTGACGGCGGTTTACTATTGCTTGATCTGCCTGTTCATCTATCTCCTGGTGAGTGCTTGTTACTTTCCTTGTATACTCTATGATCTAACGGCATTTCAGTCACGTCTTCGGGCTAAGAACCCGAAAATGATTTTCCTGCAGATTTTCGGTATAATCATTGTCGATGTCTCACTCACTGTCGGACCGTTGCTTCCATCATTTAATGGAACCATTGCCAAAGTTTTGGTTGAACCAGCTGCCATCGGAGTCGGTTTGGGATTGGTCTCTCACTTCATCTTCTTCCCCAGGTCTACTTCTCACGTTGTCATCGATGGAATGCAAGGCCTTGTCAGTCTTCTGAGAGGACCTATTGATGCCACGGAAACGAGTCTTCTCAAAGGTGACGATCTGGTCCTCGCAGAGCTGCACGCGATCAAAGTCAAATGCATCGGTGCTTACAAGGCTATGGAACCGGCGATGGGTTTCCTGCCATTGGACTTCTCAGTTGGCTATTGGGGAGCAGACGATGTGAAGAGTATGAAGCAACCAATTCGACAGGCTTTGATGAGTAGTCTGTCGCTACTGGAAATCCATATCGCTCGCATCGGCGGACACGCGAAATTGGAGAAGCTCCACCAACTTACCGTCGACCGTGATTCTGATACCGAGTCACAGGGACCGGATAAGGAGAAGGGCCGCCCGCGTGAGGTTGGCATGCGTCAATTGATCGAGAGCATTAACCTGGTTCAAGCACTTCGAAGTCCGGAGCATGAGTCTCTTCGATCGGAGACTGTCGATGCCCTACGGAAGTCTAGCAAAGATATTCTTCCAGCGTGTCAACAGGCCACGGAGTTGATTGCTGAGTGCCTTAGTACTGTTAACAAGAGATGGTTCGGTCGTGCTTCCAAAGAACAACTCAATGAATTATGCGAGCGTGCCCAGTCTACGCTGCAGAATTTACAATCGCTGCGCGAAGCCTTTGCCACGGAAACAACCGAACTTCTCATCTCCACCCATGCCGAAATCTTCGACGAAAAGGGCATGCTCAAGTCCCTGGAAGAGTCCTCGGTGCATAGAGTCCGAGGCATCACTATCGGTATGATCTTCGAGGAGCAGGTCTTGGGCGTCGCAGACGGATGGGAACGTGTCCTAGGTCAACTTGTCAATCTCCTGAAAGAACGACAGAAAATCCGGCTATGGATGCCAAAGGGACTACGGTATGCGGTCAACTGGGTTCGTCGAAAGAACGCCGTGGCGCCTGTTCCAGCAGCTTCGAGCCCGACCGTTGATCCCGATGTCGCCGAGGCTCAGTCCAAGGCTGCCCAGCAGCATCTTCGCATCAGTAGAGGATATCGAGCAAACCGACGCAGCGGACTGGGGAAAGCGATTATTGGTACTTATCATTGGTTCATCAATCCCGATGGCCTGTACGCTATGCGAATGGTCGTTGTCACCGTCGCGCTCGCTATTCCAGCAGCAATTCCTCATTCTGCCGGCTTCTATTACCGCGAGAAGGGGCTTTGGGCCTTGATCATGGGACAGACTACCCTGGTCATCTACATGGCTGACTTCACGTTCTCGCTCATTTGTCGAGCCATCGGCACAGTCGTCGGTGGCTTGCTGGGACTTGTTGCATGGTATATTGGCTCGGGACACGGAATCGGTAATCCTTATGGCCTCGCGGCCATCATGGCTGTTGTGATCCTCATTCTCATGTGGGCGCGTATTTTTGCTCCTCCGGCCTTGCTACAAGCCACGATAATGGCCGGTGCGACCTGCATCCTGGTCATCGGTTACAGCTACGAAGACACGTAAGTCAACCCAACGCTCGTTATGGCCCTAAGCTAACATCGAATCTTCTACAGACACATTCCGGCCTACGGAAACCCTGGCTGGGGTTATAGCGTTTTCTGGCGACGATTGGTCCTTGTTCTCATTGGATCTGCTGCGGCCCTAATTGTGCAACTATTCCCTCGCCCGCCTTCCGCCTCGCGCCACATCTGCAAGTCTCTTTCGAACGTCATTCGGTCCCTGTCTGACCATTACGCCCTGCTTCTCTCATGCTGGGGCCAGGGTCGCGAGGAAGGCCTGGCAGCCGAACAACTGGCTTTGGACCTTGCAGAAACCCTTACATCATTAGACGGACCAGTGGCACTTCTTCGATTCGAGTTCTCCAGCTCGCCCTTTGACAGCGAGCGTTTAGGCCAGGTCAAATCGCTCTGCCAAGAGCTGAACCAGAATCTCGGTCGTTTGCTTTATCTCTCGGCCTCACTGCCAGAACATCTCCAGACTCGACTCGCACGCCAGGCAGGTCTCCTGGATCACCGCAACATCGGCGATGTTATGGCTGTCCTGGGTATAGTGGAACAGTCACTCAAGACTGGCGACGCTCTCCCAGAAGTTCTCCCTACACCCCTACTGAAGCGCTGCCATGACTTCTGGCTTTCACGCCAGGTGGATATCGTGCTCAGCACCGACTTGATCCGTGACGAAGACTATCGCCGCTTCTGCGTGGCGGTCAGTGCGTACCTCAAGTTCCTCGCCGCCGTGGATGACTTGGTGCTTGTGATGAAGGGCACATTGGGCGAGTCGCACATCGTCAGTCGCGACCTGATGAATGAGCAGAGTGTATAAACAGAAATTCGTATATAAGCGAAACCGGACTATTTTAATACCGATGTGTCATAGAAACCTGAATCCCCTCACATTCTCCGCACGCCCCTTTTTTTCTCCAATTTCTGCTTTTTTTCTCCAATTTTTTGCCTGGTGAAAATGCAATATCTACTAGCATTTACCCTCCTTCGAACTACTAGTGTTTTATATGATCTTCTAGATCCCCAACCTTAATATACCCGCGTGGTCATGTCTTCGCGTCTTGCCCGCCTACCCCCATGGGTCAGCCACTGGCTTGGCTATCGATCCGAAGCCCCCAAACCACTCCCAGCATACCAAGTCGCTCTGTGGTCCTTCATAATCGCCTTCGGTGGGCTCTCAGTCCTCCAAGCAATCTTCAACTACTCAGACTATTTCAAAGAACGCCATGTGCCTGGAATAGTAGCATCTTACGTGAGTGGCAACGCAGGCAAAACCACCGAGAAAAATGACTCACAAGCAAACAGGGCGCATCGGCAGTCCTCGTATTCGGCGCAATTGAAAGCCCGCTGGCCCAACCACGTGCTCTCATCTTCGGCCACTTCTTCAGCGCTCTGATTGGCGTCTGCATCACCAAGCTGTTCAGCCTGATGCCGGAAGCTCGCTTCCAGTCCCTCCGCTGGCTCGCGGCTTCGCTTTCGACTGCCATTTCTATTGTTGTGATGCAGTTGACGGGCACGACGCACCCTCCTGCTGGTGCGACGGCTTTGCTGCCAGCTACTAACCAGGAGATTTGGGAACTTTCTTGGTATTACTTGCCTGTGATCCTATTATCTTCTACTATGCTTCTGGCTTGTGCGCTGCTGTTGAATAACTTGCACCGCCGCTACCCGGTATTCTGGATTGCCCCGGCACCGCCTAAACCCGCACCAGCCCCTATTGTGAAGGAGAAGGAAGCGGAGGAAGAGCAGACCAAGAGCCCTGTCTGATTGCCGGGAACTCTACTAATTTTGATGTCTCATACAAAAGTTGTCATAATCTGGGATTTATACATTCCCTCAAAAGATATCATACACTATTAATATTATACATGCAGTTAAGATGCCACGAGTTGTTCGTTTTGCGCGAGATACCCCCGTTGGAACACAGCGAAGGAATCCATGCAGGACAGCCCAAGCCAGCGATGTGCTAGACATGAATCCAACCATATCGATGGAGGATCTGCATCTCATCAATAATGCAGATTTGACCATCTTCTCGGTGCTTAGTATCCAAGGCCTCCCAGCGATCAATCCGCCTGCGAATCGTCTTTGCTTTCAACCACGATGTGTCACCCAACCGGCGGAGTCGATTGGTCCAGACACCCTGAAAGACCCTCCATGCAGAAAGCCAATCCATAATTGGATGAACTGCAGCATATGCAGCACCATTATACCCCACTCTCACGAGCGGGTTGAGAAAGACACCCTTCTCTGTCGATAACGGGTTGTCTGCGTGAATAAGACAGCACTCAGAGCCTTCGAGATGGCGTTGGGCTAGTGAGTCTGGGATACCCCGGAATCGCAGTGGCGGGTGATCAATGAACGGCTTCGCCGGCATGGCGACTGGAAGTAGGTCAGTGGAGGGTCATACGTGCGAGGGGGGTCTCATACCCATGCCATTCCAGCAACTTGTCACTGGCACCGGTGCCATGTGTTTCATGGCAGATCGAGATGCCTGGGAGCTGAAATATGGCCATGTCTGCATGATAGCTTCATGTCCTTTGCTATCCCGCAGAGCAAATGTGTCATAGTAATGAGGGGGCTTAGAAAAGTCCAACGAGCAAGCGGCCCCATAGTCGCCTTTGTTAGTATCCAAAAGTTCAAAGACATCACCCGGCTAATTCAAGTGCAATCAGCATCTCAACTCAAGCATATCACTACTCCAACTCACAGTAAACACAACATCATTGAGAAACAAGATCTTATCAAAAGTGATACCCTTCCTCGCAAGATCTTGCAGCGGCAACAAGCTCAAATTCCGTATCCTCGCAAGATACGGTATACGCCTAAGCTGTGTATTGCCCTTAGGCGTTGTAATCCAACCCTCCCCTTTCGCCGGCGCAGCAATCTCATCCTGATGCGTCACCGGCGAGAGCGTGATATTCCGCGGAATCCCCAGTTTATCCAATTGCCAATCCAGCTCTCTCAACGCCCCTTTTGTATTATCGTAGCTCCCACTCTCGTATATGCTGACGAAAACATTTTCCGCCCCGAGCTCCGAAACCAGAGTGTAGAGCGCCTTGTTCCAGTGGCTGCGCAGGACCTGCTCATTATTCCAATTCACACTTGCGATGTATATCCGCTCTTTTCGTGCTGGCTTATCGCGCTGGATGCTCCCTGCTTCGCGTATTCGTTGCTGAATGAAGTGGAGTTCTATCAGGCTCCAGCTGATGAAGATTAATGCAAGTGCTCGGGCGATGCGGTATCGTAGCGCTCTTCTGGCGGAGAGGAGGGTCATGTCGATGGTGGGGGATATCTCGGATTGGCGACCGTGTGCGGTGGGATGAACATGGCTTGAAGCATGGGACGTCTTCGACGATCACACATGGCCAGAAGGAAATGTGGGCAATCCAGGGATGGATAATCGAGTCCGGGGGCTGCGTCCATTGGGAGTCCGGACATTCCGATGAAGGGATGCGAGAGATGAGTGACTGCATTTGAGATGTCACTCTTTCGAATATGTAGAAAACAGATTCCACAGTAATTGAAAGGGGGAAAAAGCGCCCCCTAGACGTGATAAATGGCATATAAAGCTCCAAGCACGCAAAGTATTAGATTAGAGTGATATACAAGGGATGAGATACAAGGGATCAAGGAGAAAAACAATCCAACCGCCTTCAAACCAACAAATTCAAAACCGCCGTCACGGCAAAGACAGCGCCCATGATTCTCTTGAGTCCAGCATGACAATGATTTCCAGTTCCGGTCTCAGCAGGCCCCGAACTGGACGTTGTGCTCACTCCCTCCACCCAGGGCTGGCCAGGCAATGTATCTGAGCTCTCCTCAATCTCCGCAGCTGTAAGAAGCTTATTCTCGAGCAAATCGCAGTCGGCCCGATCGTCGCTCTTAGAAATACTGTTGGTGACCGAGATCGGGAGGTCAAAAACAGTGTAGTAATCGGTGTCATTCCACCGGAACGCTTGGTGCATGGAGATATTGTATGCACCACGAGCCGAATCCTTGGAGTCGGATCCATCGCCGACTAGGCACTCGGGCCAGATCCAGTTCACATGCTTGACGGTCGACGATGGCTCCAGGTCCAATACCGGGTAGGCGTAGCTTGAGTTTGAGGCTGGTTTTGTCCCGTTGGAGATGGTGAAATTGTGGGATTTGGACTCGGAAGTCAAGAACAGGGTTATACTGTGGAACTTGGTGGATGAGTCGCTCTGGCTTGGCCATGGTAGTTGGCCATTGCCGGAGACATCGATTGCGACTTGGAGGTTATCTGTTTGTGTCAGTTGATTGTTCCTGAAAGTCAACTGCTTGGCGCTTGGCCTACCTCCTCCCAGTGGCGTGTTGGGCTGTGGCGCATCGACGATTGCTAGCCCGGGGGTGTAAACCTGCCCATTGACGACGGTGAAGTTAACCATGATGGAATGTTTCTCAATCGAAGTGAGCGAACTTGGTCGTTTTTAATCCGCAACGCTAAGGGTCTCATTTCCGAAGGGTCCGCTGTTGTTCCTAGCGCCTTGGAATTAATTTATTTTTGATTTCTTCGACCCAATGAGTCTGCTCATTAGTCTTGTTTCGTTCAAGTGCAATGGTAGTTGAGGAACCCTTGATTTATGCCAAACAGTAACCCCTTTGAGATTGGACATATTCCCATGCACAAACATAACTTTGGTTACAATCCCAAAGGGGTATGCCTAGGTACGACCTCCATCAACACGAAAATAGAGCCTTTTGAAAACAATTACACTAGTATATCGATAATTGAGTAACTTCAAGTCAATGTTGCGAGACCAAGAAAGTGTCGTTCAATGCACCCCGCACTTCGGCAACACCCATTTTACCGACGTCGATCAGTCCGACCACCTACATATCATGAATGAATGGGGCTGTCAAGTGTGCCCGGCCACTTTCGGTCGACCAGAGCATCTCAAGAGGCATCTTCTCTCCCGTATGTCTCCCGCTCTCGCTTTAACCCATTGCATAACATCCGGTAGATGATAACCGACGGCCACACGTGTGCGCACCGTGCGGAAGCACATTCAATCGGAGGTACAAGTCACCTGGGCATGTGAATTACAACGATATTGACTGACGCATTTTAATCAAGTGACGCATTACGCCGCCATGAGCGGACTTGCAAATATCGTGATTCCATAGCCGAGAAGTGCGCCGGCGATGGTTTCTATAATGATGTTGAAATACCTAACGAGGCAAAGCGACCATGCTACCCGATAAAAAAAGAGGGTATGACCCAGTCCAGTGCTGGCCAAATACTCTTTTCCTCGAACTCAGCAACACTTCCCGTCGATTCGACGTCGGGGCAGGTAATTTCAACGGCAGAACACCAGATTGACTGTTCCAATCTCCCGAGCAAGAGTAACTCTGTACTGGACCAGCCCTCGAATGAGCTTTTTCCAGATCCATCATTTCAACCCGGACAAGATTTACTACAGGACATTCCGTCCCCACTCGACTTCTCGGCCCTGGACTTATTGTTCTCGTCGCACATTGATTCCGATCTCCTGAAAGCCGAAAGACTCGAACACCTGGCTTACTTTACGAGCTCGATGGGTATGTCTACCTTTGCCGACCAAGAAACATTTCGTTGGAGTCAAAAACTTGTCGCGGATGACTACCAAAAAGGGATGGAGGACGGAACCCGCGCAAGTCCCCAGAGTGAAGCCTGGTTGGCCAAAGCAAGGCAATTGACAGGAGACTTGCAAGAAATCGTCAAAAATAAGCGGAACAATGATGTGATTAAGTTCGCTTGGACGACGACGATACAAGTCCAGTGTCAGGACTTCTTCACCCCCGCTAACATCGAGCGTTTCCTGGAGTATTTCTGGTCACTCTGGTACCCGAACTGTCCGATAATTCACAAGCCTCTCTTCAATCCCTGTTCAGCTCCAACTGCATTGTTGTGTGTGATGACCATCATAGGCGCTTGTCTGTCCCCCAGCAAAAGCGATGTGCAAAGAGCTAGACAATGGCTGGATAGCGCCGAAGAGCTCATCTTCAGCCATGACTGCTTCCGGGATACGAAGTCGGACACAAGTGACCCGGCTTGGAGGAAGGCACGACTGCGAAGCGCCCAGGCGGGATATCTGATTTGCTCTCTGCAAAAGCGAGAAGGATCAGCGGAGACACAAGCAAGAGTGCGACGATATCGCCACGCTTCAATGGTGACGGTGAGTGTGGACCTTTCAAGAATTCCAACCTTTATGTAAGAAGTCTGACCTGTCGCTCCTAGCTTGTCCGCAATATTGGAATGGAAGCAGCGTCTCATCGAACTCTTAACTCCCACCAAGCCTCGCAGTCTTGGTGGAGGCAATTCGCAGAACAAGAAGAATTGATAAGGTACAGTTTTCACAGTTGAAATGACCGCAAAGCACTGTCTGATAATAGTAGGACTTTCACGTTTGTGTTCCTCATCGATGCCGCCCTTGTCATTTTCCACAATTCGCCTCCCCGATTAGTGGTCTCTGAACTGAAGATGGATGTCTCCTGTCCAGAGGCTTGCTTTCAAGCCGAGTCTGCAGCAGAGTGTCATCTGCACTTGCAAAAATGGTCAAATACTCGATTCTGGAAAAACAGACTATCAATAGTATCGCTGGTACGCCAGATATGTGCAAACAGACTGGACGACAACCTGGTCACTGAATTCTCACAAATTGGCACGTTGAATCTGTTCACAATGGTCCAAGGTAAGTGAGCTCTCTCCGTATTAAAGGAAATTTTTCGAAATGGTAACATCTTCCCCAGCAATCCATTCTCTGATGTTTCACCTCCAAAACTCACTTGTGTTCGAGGCCACACTAGCACCGGTACAGACAGGTCTTGAAAATTGGAGACGCATGTGGGACCAGCGTGTGCCAGAAGATGCAAATAACCCACAGACCCCGGCGACACTGTGGAAGCAAGTTGGATTCCTCCGCCAAGCTTTGGAATTCTGGCATTTGGCGAGTTTCAAAGCTGGCAAAATGATTACTTCGGCCGCAGACGAGGACGAGATACAATCGTCTCCGCGATATGATCATACTGATATGGGGGATGTCAATGATTTAATCATGGAATACCGAAGACTGAGTCTAGGCGTAGCTTGAGCTTGACAATAAAATGATATTCAAAGATATGCTGAGGATAAAGCCACAGAGTCTTCGTAAAATTTTTTCCCTGTCTAGTCAGCACTGAATGAAAATAGCGGAATCATTCGAAATTGAACAATGCTATTGAATCCGAATCCATCGCCATTTGTACTCATGTATGTTGATTGCGTCGTCGTACCCGGACTTCAAAATCGACAGGCTTGACAAACCAGTAATTCTCCGTGCGCCACGTCTTCCTCAAAGGAGTAAAGTCGAACTCCTGAATCAGACGAGGGATCACCTTCGACATCTCAAGAATAGAGATATGTTTTCCAAGACAAGTTCTCGAGCCGAGACCAAACTATCCAGACAATCAGTGACTGCTTGAAGATCGCTGATACTCCAACTTACCGGCATGTACATCTGGTTCATTTCCTTCAGTTTCTCAGGCTGATTCTCAGCCTCGATCCATCTCTCAGGTCTAAATGTTCTGGCATCAGGGAATATCGTCTCGTCATAATGCGCAACCCAAGTATTGATACCAATGACCGTTCCCTCCGGCATGAACCGACCGTGAATCTCGGCTCCACCTTCGGGAACGGTCCTCCACATAGGAAGACCAGTGGCTGCATGCATTCTCAAAGCCTCTTTCATGACCGCCTGGAAGTAGGGCATTTCCTGGGTTTCCTTGAAGCTGGGTGATGCGCCGCATCGGCCTTGAGCTGTGAACTCGTCCAGTTCCTCTCGTAGCTTCCGGAGGGTTTCTGGGTATTGTAACAGATGCCACATGATAGTAGAAAGGCTGATGGCCGTTGTATCGGAGCCCGCCATGACATTCGACTGGCCCATTATAAAGAGGTGATAATCAGTTACCTTCTCGGGGTCTTTGGCCCGGGCCATCATCATCTTTTCAACGAAGTCTTCAGTCTTTGTGTCAGCAGAACCAGCAGAGTCACCCCCGAATGTCGTTTCGCGGAGTTTGAGCTTCTCTTGCACGAATTTGATCAGGTATGCCCGCCCACCAGCACCGGATGATTTGAACTTGCTGAGTATTCCAAAGAGCCGCGGGTGCCATTCCGGGTATACGCCGATGAGGGTACTGTGCTTGATCACCCCGTGCAGGGCGGAAATAGCACCATTGATGTCGTGACCTTGATCCAGAAATCCTGCTCCCATTAGCCCTGTCCGGCGTTGACGATCACAAGGATAGACATACCGAAACGTTCTCCAAAAGTGATATTTCCTATCACGTCAAACGCATAGCATTGGAACCAATAGCCCAGATCGAGTATCTCTCCCTTCTCCGCAAAGTCGTTGAGTCGCCCGACGAACAGATCTGCACAGTGGTCGACGAATGGCTCATAGTGGACTAGTGAGGTCATGGAATACAGGCTGGTGAATCGTTTCCGGGTTTCGGCTGTGCTCGTCAGATTATCGCCAGGTCAGTATTTCAGAAAGAGGCACCAACAGTGTCGTTTGATATCCCGGTCGGAGAATACAGTCCACTGCGCAGGATGCTTCCATGAATCATACCAAGCCGACTTGGCGAACTTGGAGCCCGGGCCGTAGATCTTCTTCACCGACTCGGCATCACTAATGCTGTAGTGACTTGGACCAAGCCGAACGATGGGGCCATGCTTTCGATGCAGTGCGATATTCTCGTGTTCGAATTGGCCATTCCAGAGGCGGTTGAAGTACCAGAGGTTGCTGAAGCGGGCCCAGAAAGGACCTGGGATGGATTTCAAGGGAGAAAGCAGGGATTGCACAACCCGAGAGAGCAGGTATAGTGCACAGGGAACGAGGAGTAAAATAGCATGCATGATGAACGCTGTGTGCAGCTGGGATGTGTTCTTCAGCCATTTTATAAGTGCGAGTGTTACTCTGTACTCCGTATACTCCACCGATCCACCCCCACCCCCGCTTGACTGAAGAATCACTGGCATTTGATTGGCGTTCAATTATTGAAGTAGAGGTATCAGGCAAAGAAAAAACCGCAGTTTTGGAAACCAAGACAAAATCAGAAAATTCGCATATTCGCAGAATCGGAGAATCGCAGAATCAGCGCTTATCTCCCCAAAGCCCAACAATGCCAATAGACAGCGCAACGCCAGACAACCAAGCACGCACACAGTGCAAGTTGCGCTCCCGTCCCATCTCCCGCTGCACAGTCTCCCCATTGACATCATCCTCAGTCTCAACGACCACTAGGTCTTCATCCTTCTTCGCATCGGCCAGCGAGAAATGCGACACATCCCGGATGACCGCGGAGATCCATCCCTTCAGACCGAGGTGGCGGTTGAACCAGAAGTCTACGCCGTGCGCACTAATGGTGGAGAATGCCCACAGCCAGACCATGTAGGGGTGGCGGCGGCGCGGGGAAGAGAGACACCATGCGAAGCAGAAGCAGGAGTTTGTCAGGAAAGAGAGGCGGAGGGCGTAGCGGCGACTGAGGCGCTTGACTTCATTGAGGGAGCGCGCGGCGGTGGTCGCAGTCGGGAGGAGTTGGAGGGCGGGGATAGTAATTGCTGATGTAGAGAAGGAGAGGCCCTGTCAGATCTGGTCAGTATGGTCTTCAGCGAGTCGGGTGGGTATGGATGTACCGTAAGCAGACCGAGGGACACGGTGCCGACGAACTTGCTGACGCTGATGGGACACGCCATGGTGATGAGAGAGAGAAGAGTGAGATGTCTTATTCTTCGGAGACAAAGGCAGAGAGACAAGTGCAGACCAAGTCCGCGAGACGATTTTTGTTTTTCCGTGACGTCAGCCAATCAGCGTTTCTTGCGACCGCGCTGCTTCTGCATGAAATGCGATGCACTGTAGACACCCCACTTCAGAGCTGGGCAGAATGCCTCTTCATTCACAGTCTACTAGATTTTGAATAGCTACTGGATGGTCCTTTGACAATCATCTTCGGTTGGACATAGCCCTGGACTATTGCGTAGATTTCTCAAGCCAATGGATTTGCCTCCGCTGTTAGAGGAAACATGCGTTTCTGACTGTGCCAGAATGCAAACGCAGCTCAGCATCGAATTTGACGATCACCAATCTCAGTTGTGCACATTAAACGCCCATCGTGCCGAGGTCCAGATGTGGGGAAAAGCCGACGGAATGTCCAACCTCCTTAACTTCTCCAACTCCCCACTTACTGGTAGTATTATCATTCACGATGCCTCTTGCAAAGAACGAATATCTCAGCGACTCCTGGAAAGATGGCATCTTCGGTCAGTACCTGGAGCCTGAAGCCTGAAGCCCAGACCCCAACCCCAACCCCCCGGTCGAGCCGTTAAGCTAATGCAAAGAAGCAAACAAGGTGGTCTTCTGCACCGGGGGTGCCGGGACCATCTGCAGCGCCCAAGTCCGGGCCCTAGTTCACCTCGGAGCAAACGCCTGTATCATCGGTCGCAATGTCGAGAAGACTGAGCGCGTTGCGCAAGATATTGCGACTGCGCGACACGGCGCCAAGGTAATTGGAATTGGTTCGGTGGACGTGCGCAAGCTCGAGGCTTTACAGCAAGCCGTGGAGCGCTGTGTGAAGGAGCTCGGAGGGATCGATTTTGTCATGTATGAATGTTCTTTGACCTTGCTGTCGAGCGTGATGCTGATCTTGCAGTGCTGGTGCGGCGGGTAACTTCCTGGCTTCTATTGAGCAGCTCTCGGCCAATGCCTTCAAGTCAGTGATGGATATTGATGTGATCGGCTCTTATAATACCCTCAAAGCTACTCTGCCATACTTGAAAGAGTCCGGCAAAAAGCACCAGATGGATAACAAGTCTCGTAAGTCTCCCGGTGACTGCTCGCTCGGCGTAACTCACTGTCTGTCCAGTTCAGCCATCTCCCATCGGAACTGGTGGTAGAATCATCTTCGTCAGCGCAACTATTCACTACCGGGGTATGCCTTTCCAGACCCACGTGTCGGTCGCCAAGGCTGGTATCGATGCTTTGTCGCACAGTGTCGCGCTCGAGTATGGTCCTCGTGGCATGACCTCCAATATTATCGCACCGGGTCCTATTGCACAGACGGAGGTAAGTGTCAGATCCCATTCCAAAGCAGAAGATCAGCCAACTAACCGTACAGGGCTTTGAACGACTCCTACCATCTGACGCATTGGAGGCCTACATTAAGAGCCAGCCTCTCGGTCGCGTGGGCCACGTTCGGGACATTGCCGATGCCACTGTGTATCTGTTCTCAGACACCGGTAGCTATGTTACCGGTCAGACCCTTGTTGGTGAGTTCATCTGATCTGAGTCGTGGTACCCGGCCAGGGCTAACGGAGTATTAGTGGATGGTGCAAACTGGCGGATGTCAGCAGGCGGCGCTTCTAGCGGGAAACTGTCTTATCCCGACTTTTTGCTGTCTGGGGACGATGTCCCCAATGTCACTGGCAAGAAGAAGTCGAAGCTTTGAGCCGATGCCGTCGTGCGAGGATGGGACGATTGCCTGTTGTGTTGGTCAAGCGCGTCACTGCATTCGTCTTGAATGTCAATAGAATAAACAACCCATGACAGCTCACTGTGCCGTACTGTTTGCTCACCTGGACACGAGATAGTGTTAAAAGCAATCATCCAAATGTAGGCTGTAGTTGTAATCCCTGGAGTTGCAACGCCAGCTTCCTTGTCAAATATCCCATCCGGATCTCTGATTTGTAGCGACCGGCAGCTCATAGAAGCTTCAGAGCAAGATGATCCCCATGATCTCCATCCCTCTGCGGGCTCACAGAACCAGTAAATGTGTCCATATTCCCTCGTGTGTATTACCACCACTTGCCTCCCCGTCTCCTCCAAGCGATAGAGTATGATTGGCTTGAAGGCAAGGGCGATCGGACGTATTGCGCGGGAAGCGGTGCCATGCAAATTGGTAGACTGGATTCAACAAGCGAACAGACCACTGAGCATGAGGCTTCCCTGGGTCTGATTCTTGTGTCAGTCGCGCCTCGTGATAATAAAATAGAGTAGAACCCACCTGGGCATCGTCACGCAAAGCCTTGTCGGCCCTGACCCCGGCCCTGGCTACCAGCCTGGTCAGTAATCTGGTTCTCGTGAGAACACACCTGTGAATATAATGATCTCACCGCTGTAAGAATGTGTGCCCACTGTTGTAGAATCAACATTCTGCAAAAGCCGTGTGCATGAAATCGATTCTGAGCCAAGCGACTGGTTGAGATCACAGCAACGCAGACTGCGCCCATGCCAAACCCCCCAAAACAGAGCCATCCCGCACACAGTTTGATCGTAGTCTCAGTCTCAAGCAAAGTGTGGTATTGGATGTATTTGGGAGAGGCGATGGCTCGTTTCGATCGCCGTTGGATTTGGATGCTCCCCTCGACGGCATAGAATTGGCCCTCGGGCCCTGGAGTAAGCGCGGCATGGGCCCCTGAAAGTCAGTAGACTCCGTACAACGCATTCGCGTGTCTCATTCTGTTAACCAGGGACTGCAACACGACTCACCCCGTACCTGGCTCCCAGACAGCTTCGATCTCAGCGCGAATCCGGCTGCTTGGAGATTGCCAACACGTTCTCGTAGCCCATCACCGCGGAGCCCTGCATCTTCGATCGCGTTTTGAAGTGCGTAAAGTGGCCCACGGCACGTCCGCGCTTGTATTTGATGAGCCCGCTGCTCCAGGTCTCCTGATCTGCTTGTGTATATGCTCATTGCCAGATGGCAGGTCGCCGGATGTGTGAAGCTCTGTGCGAACGCAACACGACGCTTGAGATTCCTTCTCAAAACGCGTTCTCGGCCACGCCTCACGGGTCTCCACTGACCTAGGGGCTCGGGGAGGTTGGCGCTTGTAGTCTGCCTTCGAGGGAATCCAGTCGAGCCGATTTGAGGACATAGTTAGGTCGGCGTCTCTAGTCTAGATCTGCTACGAGTCTAACATTGGCATTCGGTGCGAATTATCGTTGATCCCACAGTTCTAAGATACTGGATATATATCTGATCCATCGATACTCAATAGAACACCCAAGTACTGGTAGCTAGTATCCACAAGGGACAAAATATCCATGGATCTATGGGTCAATCCTTGCAACTTTGTAAGACTGCCCACAATATATATTTTCAATGCTCCCGTTGCGAATTGCGCCAGATATTCACTGAATTTTGGCTAAAACTTCAAACAGCAACAGTATTGTATTTTTTTTTAAAGCAAAGACAGTCTACTAGGTATTCCTGCTATGACGGGATGCTGCTCATGATGTGTGCTCAACCCATACTCCAAGCCCCGTGGAACCCATAAAGCTTGTTCGCCCACAACCACGGATCAGTCAACTCGCGTGGAATTCGCGGTCCATGGGTGGGCATAGGGAATAGATTGCTGCTATCGTAGCGAGAGGGCTGATCGGTCGGGAATATGTATGCTCGGTCACCGTCAGATAGACTGTGTCAACCAGGTTAGCCAGATCGCTCGCTTGCACTGCATGGATACCAGTAGGCTGTACTCAACGAGGACATGACACAGGGATGGTTGATTCGGCGACGACAAAGAGCTGACCCCATCCAGAGTCAGAAAAGCGCGTAGAATCATCGGTGACCAGCGATCAGGATGAGCCTCATAGCTTCAATCTGAAGTCTGGACCAATGATGCCAGCTCCGTCCGATGCAAACGATCTCATCAGTCTGAAGCCGGTTGTTGATCCCGAGAAGAATGAGATGATCCGCCGGTGTTTGCGAAGCCCCATGCAGCCAGCTTCGGCCGCACCGCACCGCCATGTCTGTTCCCCCAATCCCATCCATGACCGCAGTTAGTATTGGATCCTCAAAAGCACGCTGGTAGTACTCATCTCATGTGCGCGTAGTCCCTGGCGCCCTGCAGAGATGCGACCGTGAGCTTGTGCTGATCGCTTCCCAAGCCCGTGCCAGTATCAGTCCCTCCCCCGCAGTGCTTCCCGTCGCAAATGGTCGCGATCTTTGTGCTGTTGCGCTTCCCGAGCCCCGAGCCTGTCAGTACGCCATCGTTGTAAGTGAGAGTAGGCAGTAGATTGGCCCAATGTGCTTACCGTGTCCGAACAGGATAAGCAACTGATGCTCTGAGAGCATGTATCAGTCACAGTCCCCAGGCTTTCCAGCGCTTCGCTCTTCGAGTCCACAAAGCGCAGTGGTAGAGGTTGTTGCGACCGGGAGACCGTGGCTGCTCACGCAGTCACCGTGGTTAGCGCGATTTTGCGACCATGAGAATACCACATACCCGAGTCTGTTGATACTCTCGTAGAATAGCATCCGTCGAAGCTCATCTTCGTCGAGGCCTTCGCTGGCGCGCTCGAGCCGGTCGTGCCCAGGGCGCCCGGATCTGCGTCCATCGTGGTGCTGGGTTGTGCGGTCACCGAGCCCTCTCCCACGGCCGGAGGACTCGCACCAAGGTCCCCAGTAGCATGTAGAGGCTGGTGTTGTTCTATCCCTCAGTCGGAAGCCCGAAATGTCATTTTGACAAGTAAAAATGTCTGTCAGGAGGTTCGCAGTCCGGTCGGGCCAGCAAAACCGGCCTCCCTCGACGCCCACGGGCCATCATGACTTCGATTAACGCATATTCTGAGCTACTGACTCTACTGTGATACGATTCTAGGACCTAGAAGGCCTTGACGGCACGGTCGCACGGGCCATCAGCTCGCGCATTCAGCGGGTGGACGCACAGGCCGTTGCGGCTCGGCTGCGGGCCGTCTCCAGACCCACCCGAAGCTTGTTTTGTATGACATCCGTGATCCCTGCATTTCAACTACAATTATGGAATTCATTCAGGGTCAATATGGGTAATTCGATAGCCTAGATTACGCAGAGCAGCTTTATTTTAAGAAAAAGTATCAAGGGCGACCAGGATCAGAGAATTCATGGTGGTGAAAGTGGTGATCCTGGCTGTACCAGACAAAATGCTCATTGTACTGTGATCCTGAGACTCATTGGGAACAAAGAAGGAAGGAGCGCGCTGGGTGCTCTCAGCCAATGAGAGCTCTCCATTTGCTGACCTTTTCGTGATTCTTGCCCTCCCCCAGGGTATAAATACTCTCTTCCTCCCCCATCTCTTTCTTCCTTTCCTTTCTCCCCTGTAACTTCTCAAGTTTCTAGCTTCGCACGTCTGAGTATGTCTAGTCTGCCTTCCCACTAGTGTCAACTTGTAGCACCGTCACATGATGCATCTTCTTCAGCTCCGGGACTGAAGCTCTTCAACTCCGGGACTGAAACTCTTCAACTCCGGGACTGAAACTCTTCAACTCGGGACTGAAACTCTTCTTGAACTTGACTGACTTTCTTCCGAACAGCTGCCTCCCCCGCTTTTCACACGTTGCCAAGCTTTGCTTTCTCCCTCTCTGTGTGAGTCCATCCATCCATACATGCACTTCACCTCATCCTACTTGACCTCATCCTCATCCTGCCTGACCTCACCCTGCCTGACCTCACCTCACCTCACTGCACCGTGAGTCACCTCACTCTGCCTGCCCTCACTCTGCCTGCCCTCACTCTGTCTGCCCTCACCCTGCCTGCCCTCATCCCATCTCATCCCACCTCATCCCATCCCACCTCACCTCTTTTCATACATTCATCCTATGTTTCGTCAACTACCTTCTGTCTGAGCATCTTGACTGACTTGTGTTCACATAGCTTGCTTGTTATCCCCAACAACAAGACCACTCTTCAACCCGTGACCTTTAAACCTCTTGTGAGTTGACCCCATTCTAAGCTGGTCTCTGTTCTGAAACTGACGCATCTTTGAAGGACTTTGTTCGCCGCCGTGGGGATGTCTTCTGACCCTCGCCGCCGCAACTCTGTCATCCCTTTCCAGATGGCGGGCGCCAACCCCATCTCCGAAAGCCAGGGATCCCCGCACGGAACTTCCCCCCTGGAGGGCCCTGTCACAGCCCAACCACCCGTCGAACGAGCCCCAGGCCGCGACACACAAGTCCTCTCAGAGGCAATGGAGGTCGAGACCACGACCGTTGAGCCAACTGAGCGCATGGATTCCCAGGTCCAGGCTCAGTCGGAGCAGAGTGAGCAGGAGGCGACGGTGCGTCAAATCAGAAACCGCCTCGCCCGGGATCGCGCCTCTCTCAGCGGGTTCAAGACCGCCTTTCGAGAAGGCCGGCTTCTTCAATTCGAAGCCATCAAAAATATCGGGTTAATTCAATCCCGGAATGATGAGATCCTCCCGTTCGTGCTGGGATTAGGTTTCAGAATTCCCCGGGATCTGGATGATCAGATTCGCGAGGTGAAGTCGGAGATCGCGCATTGGTCCCGCCAAGCATATGCCATGCGTGACCCAACACCGAGCGAGTATGACGAGGAGCAGCTGTCCCCCCCTGAGGACTTCACGGATAGCAGCGACGAGGAGGATGAATCGCGGATGATCAGCCAAAAGGCAATTGCCACAACGACCGATCGTCCCCACCTCTTCGACGTTCCAAACTTTGGGGCTCCGAAGACTCAACTGGGATCCACCGATGTCGGAGATGCGTCCAGTTCGGCGAGCAGAAAGGCACCCACTCGGAAGGAGGAGACTGAAGGGGGGATGATCAGCAGGGCTGCACTTGCTTCGGCGAGTCGGAGCCCCCATCCCTTCGACGTCAAGCCCAACCTTGGGGGGGTCAGCAGCCAACGGGCGTCGGCCAAAGACCGGGGGATGTTGGTTCTCAACAAGCCCCCTTCGAAGAACTTCCGGTGCTTCGAACCCATCTCGTTGGAACACCGTGACCTTGGGGATTCCGCCGTCCCTCAAAGTCCCACCATGGAGGAGGCCAGCTCGGTTCATACCTGTCAGCAGGTCCATGGATCGTCCTCAACCCCGCACGATGTGGACCTTGATGTGGACATGGAAGACCGTATCGAGGAAATGGTGGACGCCAACCTTATGGGCCCCACCCCAGCTACCCCAACACAGGATGAAAGCAGTACCTCATTTGAGTGGATGTACTGGGGGTCAAACCTCAGTGATCAACAAAGATGGGGCAACTTCTTCAGACTGTGGATGAATTACCCAGAGCGTGAAAGTCTCCAATGGATGTTCGATCCGAGGATGGGTCCTGCGGTGCCTCAGGTGGAATCGGTGCCCCAACAGGTGCCTATTCCCTTGCAGGTGTTGCAGCCCGAGGTGGAGATGCCGGCGGAGATGGAGGGCCTTGAGTTTTCATCGGGGCAGTATTTCGATCTAACGATCACCCAGGTGCAGGAATCAACTACCTCACCGATCCCGTTGGAAATGGACGTTGCTGGACGGAAAAGACGACGAGACGACTCATTGGAAGATTCAATGGAGGGAGGTCGTGTGAAGCGTGGGAATCATGGGACTGTGGGTGAAACTGCAGTTCCGGAGACTCCGTGGACCGCACCCCTTCAGTACTCCGATGCGGCCGCCGAGAGTTCAACTGTGAGCCCGCCCACTCCGAGTGAGCAGGCTCCAGTTGTTCATGACGCGGAGGGGGAACAATCAGGGGGGGTCGAGGAGGTCGCGAGTGTGGGAGACGGCCCCGCTCACGCCTCCGAAGGCCCAGCTGGGGATGAGCCAGTTGCGGGTGTGGAAACCAATACTGAGCTCCCACTCAATGGGGAGGCTGATTCCGAAGCAGGAGAGGTTCAGCCTGCGCAAGCGGAGCAGATCCCTACTGCGGAGGATGAGGTTGAACCAGAGGAGGCTGATTCTGAAACAGGAGAGGTTCGGCCTGCGGAAGCTGGGCAGAACCATACTGTGGAGGATGAGGCTGAGCCTGGGGAGGCTGATTCTGAAGCAGGAGAGGTTCCGCCTGCGCAAGCTGGGCAGATCCCTCCTGTGGACGATGAGGTCGAACCTGCGGTGGCTCCAGCACCCGTGGTGAACCCACTGCCCGAAGAAGTGCCTGCTGCGATGATGCCACCTACAATGGGTGAGACGTCTCAAAGCTCCGCACCTCCCATCGAGGAGGAAATCGAGGATGAGGTGGTCGAGGATTCCGCTCCTCCCGAGGAGTCGGTACTTGACCTCTCTTCCGACATGGAATCTGAGGTGGCTTCGGACGTGGTAACCCCAACTGACACAGAGGATGAACGCAGTACCAAGGACCTTATGCGTCGTTGCAGTGCTCGTCAGAAGTCTGCTGATCAGTTTGTGTCGGAGTATGTGCCCAAGGCCTTGGAGGAAACTCGTGCTTTCATGAAGAGAGTACACGAGCAATTCGGGGTTGAGGGAGGTCTTCCCGTGGGACCTGAGCCACAGACTGGGGAGGCCGAGGGACCTGCTCCTAGCGAGCCTGTCCCGGCCGAGGATCTAGCTGGGGAGGACACACAGACCGGGGAGGTCGAGGCATCAGCTCCTAGCGAGCCTGCTCCGGCCGTGGATCCGGCTGTGGAAAGCCCCCAGATTGGGGAGGTCGAGGGGTTATCAGCTCCAAGTGAGCCTGCTCTGGCCGTGGAACCAACTGTGGGAAGCCCCCTGACTGGGGAGGTTGAGGCACCAGCTCCTAGTGAGCCTGTCTCTACCGAAGATCCAGTTACTGGGGATCAGGAAGAAGGCTCCGAAGTCTTAGAGGAGTCAATCGATCAGATCGTGGGGGAGATCATGGAGACGATGCTTGTCGCCGTCGAGACGAGCATTTCCCCTCCTCCCATCCCTACTGCCACACCCCCTCCTCCTTCGGTCCCCCCTACTCCTCTTGAGATATCAACTCTTGATGAGATGGGTGTGGACCACTGTGAGTACATTGTTGCTTCACAGTGGAGCGAAAGGAAGCGGTTGCAGGGATCGCATCTGAGTCGGCTGTTGGCTAATTGTCCCCCGTGTGACTACGGTTCGGATGAGGTGCCAATTGAGGATTCGGGCTCCTCTCAGTGGGAAGAGCAAGAGCAGGAGGGCAATGAAGAAGCCACCTGCTCCAAGTCCAACTCGTCTGGGATATCCTGTGCGGAGGAGACGACAGGCGAGGAAGCTGAAAGTGCCCAGGCTGACCAAAGAGACGCTGAAGAGGAGTGGGCATTAATGGAGGCGAGATTGGCGTTGTTGATTCCTGGCTTCGGCTGGACGCAGTCCAACTCCCGTCCCTCCAGTCCTTCTGACGCTGCGTTCTCGGAGGAAGAAGACCTCGGAAGCACGGAGGCTTTTTCCGATGAAACAGAGGGACCTGATCCCGCCGAGCACCCAGACCAGCAGTTTGCAGAAGAACAGCGGGGAATCGAGGGTTTGTGTGAGTCTTCTGCTACTGACTCCGGTCAGTCGCAGATTGATTCCCCCCTCGCCTCCAATGTGAATGCATCTGTTGCGGCTGGCGTGCGAAGCGTAGGTTCGGCGCTTTGTTATGGATTGGGGGCACTTGTTCGGGTATTTGCATTCGTTATCTGGGCACTGGCAATCTGTTCGGTGATCTTCGTATTGCTCGGAGGTCATTTAGATATGGGCGCCTTTGCCCACGTTTGCTTTGGCCCAACTCGTGTCTTGGAGGAGCTGCGTGCAGGCCATGGGACCCAAAGTTCGCTCATGGACTGGGTTTTCTATATGGTAGTGCGTTGGCTAGCCGGTGACCGGATGACGCCTGGTTGACGGCTTGGTTGTAGCACCCCATCGAGGAGGTCTTCGGACAGCTTTGATGGTCAGTCATGGCAAGGTGGAGGGACGAATGGGCCACCCTTTGCTGTGGTTGTTGGGCATTGTAGTATGTGCCGAGGGAGGGACGAATGAGCCGCCCCAAGACGCATTTACTTCGAGCGTGGGACGTATGGGCCGCCTCGATAGATTGACGGCAAGGCTAAGGTCTTGTTGGGGGTGAGGGCCGGGATGGTGGGTCAACCGGTAACTGAGGCCACGAGCGTGGGACGTATGGGCCGCCTCGCTGGTCAGCCATGGCAAGGTGAAGGGACGTATGGGCCGCCCCTTGAGCATGGCGAGTGCTTGTATTTGCCGAGGGTGGGACGAATGGGCCGCCCCAAGACGCATTTACTTTGTCGATGGAGGGACGAATGGGCCACCTCGAAGCACTCACAAATTGACGACACAGTGGAGTATTTGTCGAGGGTGGGACACATGGGCTGCCCGAAGACGCATTTACGACCTGCCTGCTAGACGACAGCAGCACGGAAACCGAAGACCCGTCGCTGCAAAAACACAAAAAAATTCAAAAAAACACAAAAACCAAAAAAACACAAAAATCACAAAAGCCCCGAAAAAAAAAAGAAATTGGTGCTGAAACTTGTCTGTTTCGTTGTGAGATCATTGTTTGATTACTTGTGTGATTACTTGTGTGTTTATTTGTTTGAGTCTTGTTGTCGAATTCTGTCAATTTTCCGCCTTCTGTGGTGTGTGTTTGAGTATGAGTCTGTTGTACAAATCAGCTGGTATATACGTTCGATGTTGATACCTGTTCGCTGCTGATTTGAGACTCCGATGTCCTCGCAAGAGGGATGCGTCAACAAAAGCAAATTCAACAAAAGCAACTTCGACGCTGACGCCCGGGTATTGGGATGAGGAGCAGGGGATTTGGTGGGCTGGCCAGGCTTCCAAAAAATCATCAAAAATCATCAATCTTGCGTCCTTCTTCTTTGACGCTTGCCTGCCAGCCTGCCAGCCTTGTCTTGGGATCCCGGCGACATCAATGTGAATATGATCAATGTGCAACTTCATGCTGGGTGCTGAGGTGGGAGTTACGACTTTTTTGCGGACTGGCTAGGCTCTGGGGAAGTCATCAATCTTTCGTTTTTCAACTTGATGCTTGCCTGCCAGTCTGCTTCTCCCATCTCACCACCATGCATGCATACGATCAATTTTCGACTTCACGCTGGGTGCTGGGATGGAATTTACAACTTTTTTTGCGGACTGGCCAGGCTCTGGGGGAAATCATCATGTTTGCGTTACTCAAATCGACGCTTGCCTGCCAGTCTGCTCCTCCCATCTCGGCATCCCAGCCCCACAATGATCGGAAAACCAACTCTGGATGAAGATGAATTCCAACAATTCGGGGCTGGCCAGGCTGTATGATGCAGCCAGCTTCAGTAATTTCAATCTGTCCTTCACTGGTCAGTCCCGGATCATCTCGTCCAAACAATCATGCGAACACGCTGGGTGCTGGAGCAAAACAACAATCAGGGGATCTTTGACGGGCTGGTCAGCCAATTTACAGCAAAAACGAGTTAACTCAACTTCATCTGACCAGTCTGCTCATCTTGCTCCAGCACCCTGCACTTTACGGACACTGTCCGTGGGACCACAGAGAGCTTGGTTGAATTCATTCATCAGCCAATGCACGCTCTCTTGTTGGATACTGGGATGACAACGACAACGACGAACAAAACGACAACTTCACAGGCTGGCCCGGCGTTTGAGTTTTCAAATGTCTTCAATCTTTGCAATTTTCGGCCGGCCAACCAGTTCGTCTCATCCCAGCACCTGGCAATTCAACAAAACGGTCAATTTCAGAGAAAGTTCTTGTTGATCCATTCATCAACTATGGAGCTATCTCGTGTTGGGTGCTGGGATGATCACAATCATCATTTGACGGGCTGGCTGGGCATCAACTTTACAAGTTTACGCCTTCAATTTCTCGATCTTCGGCTAGCCAGCCTGCTCATCCCAGCACCTGGCAACTTCCACCCGGGTGTGGCACATCATCATCATCATCATCATCATCATCATCATGATCGGTCGACAAATTCATTGACCAGACTCCATTCATCAAAAGGAGCTCTCATGTTGGGTGCTACAATCATCTCTTGACAGGCTGGCCCGGCGTCGACTTCTCAAGTCCATGCCTTCAATTCTTCACGATCTTCGGCTGGCCGGCCTGCTCATCTCAGCATCTGGCAATTTCCCACCCGGGTGTGCATCAGTTATAAAACCACCGGCTACAACCAACTGAACAGCCTTGTTGGGTGTCGGGACACAAATTCACTGACAACAATTGACAGGCTGGCTTGCCCTTTTTCTCATCAAAAGGAAAACCTGCATCAGCTCGACAAAACCACTGTCACCTGGCCAGCCAGCCTGTTCAATTTGTCTCGACACCCAGCCATCTCCCAGTCGGAAGGGACAATCAGAACGACAAAACTGCCAGCTGTCTTCCCCTGAGCAGCAAGGCGATCCCGCCGTTGGGTGCCAGGACACAACTTCAAACACGCGACATTTGACAGGCTGGCTTGCCTTTTCTTTCTCATCAAAAGGAAGAAGCTGCATCAATTCGACAACACCACCGTCGTCTGGCCAGCCAGCCTGCTCATTCCGTCCTGGCCCCAATAACCGACTTGGGAGAATTTCGACAATTCGACTTGGAAGCATTTGCTTCCCCCTTGCGACGACAATTCTTGGCTGCACTCTTGTCAGCCCGGGCGATGCCCACATTAGGTGCCGGGGCACCAACTTCACTCGACACTTAACAGGCTGGCCAGCCAACTCCACAAAAAAAAAAAAAAAAACAAAAAAACAACAACAACAACAAAAAAACAAAATAAAACACAGTCGACAAAAAAAAAAACGACTTTGGCCAGTCCTGTCCCCGGCACCTGGCCACCGCGGTGTGCTCAGCATATCCAGCGCAGAGACATCATTCCAAGGTTTCTCATGCCGCGGTGGTCGGCAGTTCACTGCCATCGAGGCAATCCTCGAAGTATCCGTTGTGTGGAGTCAATCCACTTTCAAGGCTGTTTTTCCCGTTTTACGACCTCCAACGCCTTGTCTCCACACAACGGATACCATTGGAGCCAGCTGCACCTGCAGCTGCTCCAGATCAACAACAACAACAGCAACAAAAAAAAAAAAAAAAAAAAAAAAAGAATAAGAAAAAGACAGCAACAACTTCAAGGTTCTCAACTTCTTCTTCTTCGGCAATTTTTTACGACAATTCTTCTTCAGCGACTGCTCTTCTTCGGCGACAACTCTTCTTCACGACAACTTTTCTACAACGACAACTTTTCTACAACGACAACTTTTCTACAACGACAACTTTTCTACAACGACAACTTTTCTACAATGACAACTTTTCTACAACGACAAAATTCATTCCCAATCAGCACTCTGATTGGGTGTCCCAGCTGGAAAATGGGGATCGCAGCTCATTTCACATTCACAGGCTGACGTCCTTCGTCTGTTCCAAGGTTCCATGCCTATGTCAACTCTGCTTTTCATGTTGACTTGATCCATTTCCAGCTGGGGACAAGCTTCTTCTTTCGAGACGAGATTCATTCACATTCAGCAATCCAATTTCCTTCCACCTGGTCATTGGGGGTCTATTCCGTCTTCACAGGCTGACGTCCATCGTCTCTTCCAAGCCTATGTCAACTCTGCTTCTCAAGTTGACTTGACCCCCAGCTGAAGACGGCCACATTTTCATACATGACGACCCACATCAAAGCAAACAGTCGTCCGCATCGTGGAAATTATCCGATGCCGATGTATACGAGCCGTGATACACAGTCAGCAGGTTGACCCGTCCACCAATCAGCATCCGAGCCGCGCAGGAGCTGGCGTCACCCACTCCACTTGCCGCCGAAAGAAGGTTAGACTTATCTCACTGCCTCGCCCCTCAAGATCATTGTTCATCTTGCATCTCGGGGGTTTTTTCCTTTCACTTCGAGGCATCCCTTCTATCATGTTTTTACGCTCGATTCTGCTGGGCGGCTCTGCGCTCGCCAGCGCCATGCTGGTTGATCCGGTGACGGAATCCGCGGATGGCTTTGAAATCATCAACCCAACGCAACTGGATGAATACACTCATGCGACTTTCGCCCTACCATGCGCTGAATGCCCATTCCGTGAGACCAACGAAGAAGGCCAAGTTGACTACACACAGGGCTCACCATCATCCCTGGTAAGGCTGACATCCTCTCGGTGCACGCTCATGGCTAATCAACAATAGACCTTGGATTTCCTTGTCGAAAACGATCGCCTGCTGGCCAACGGCCGGCAGATCTTCCCACCGGCTCCTCCTACTCCCATCCTTGCCGTTCAACAAAACGAAGATGGCAAGCACTCCGACCCTGTGCCCGTCGGCTATGCGCTGGAAATCATGCCAGTGCCACACAGCCCTCACGACGAACCTGGCTACGACCTGATCGACCTTCGCTTCACCGTCCTTGACGTCGAGGATCACCCTGTTCCAATTGACACTGTGGCCATCAGCTTCATCCAAACACCCAGCGGCGAAATCTTCATTGGCCGCGCTGAAATCGAAAAGACCACTCCGGTCGACAACCACACTTCCTGGAAAGACTGTCAAGGCAACACCAAATGCCTCCAGGAACTTCTGATGGTCCGCATCCGCGGCCTCCTGGCTTCTGCGAAGAACCGTGTCATGGGAATGACCAAATCCGGTCGCAAAGGTTGCCACGGCAAGCACAAGGGCGACAAAGCAATTCACCCTGGCCCCCATGGCCACGAAGGAGTCGACATGCCATTCCCCCCTCCGCCTCCATTTGGGGAAGATGGCTTCGGGCTGGAGGAACACGGCCGCCCTCATGGCTTCTCTGGCCACGGTCGTCCTCGCCCTCATCACCACCATCACGGACATCACGGTGCTTTCGCTCGCACATTCTCTCGAGTTGTGCATTTCATCGTTGTTCCCGCCATCCTCGGCGTTCTTGCCGGTCTCACTGCAAGTGCCGTTGGCATGCTCGTCGGCCAGGCTGTCGTCTTCATCTGGCAGCGCTACCGCGGCACTCAACCCATTGAACACAAGGCCGCCTGGGAACAAGGCGAGGCCTGCGAAAAACAAGGTCTCATGACTGACTCGCGCTACTCCGAGGAGGTCCTTCCTGAATACAATTCTACAGATCCCTCTGAGCCCACGGATTCCCTGGACAAGAACTAACAACAACTACGACAAACATCGACAAAGAAGAATAAATACGGAGAAGAGCATCGACGAAGAAGAAGCATTGCGACGACCACCAGCACCAAGAAGAAGAAGAACTTTGAAGGAACCAACAACAAAAAAATAACAAAAAAAAAAAAAAAAAAAAAAACAACAACAAAAAAAAGGCCGATTTTCACAAGCATCTTTCCTGGCAACATCTCTTGAGGTTGCGTTCATGCCTCCATTGCCGCCAGACTGGTCGACGATTCTTTTCACTCGGCACGGACTTGGAAACTGGATATGCCCAGTCCCTCTGCCATCAGTCGACCTGGAAGAAAAAATAAAGCAAAGACAAAAAAAAAGTACTTGTGCTATCTTCCGCATGCCAGTCTGGCGTGGAAAAATTCTGTGAAATCGGTCAAACCCCACCAAAAAAAGAACAGAAAAGACAAGAAAAGAAGAGAAAAAAAAATAAAGGAGATGAGGAGATGAGGAGACGAGGAGACATGGAGACAAGGAGACATGGAGATGAGGAGACAAGGAGATGAGGAGACGACAACAGAAGAAGAGCTACCGACAATGATCAATGTTTCCAGAGGTCATCTTTCCCGCTTGGGTCTTTTGTTTTCTTGACAATTGATCTATGCCTCCATCATCGTCAGACTGGTCGACTGCCCTTAACACCAGCATTGGCAATGGGCATCCTTCTAAGTCCTCTGCTTGCAGTCATTCAGGAGAAAGAATAAAGCAAAAGCAAAAAAAAAAAAAAGAAAAAAAAAAACGCTTGTGCTGTCTTCTGGAGACCAGTCTGACGTGGAAAGATTCTGTGAAACAGGCATTGGACATTCAATTCCTCTGCTACAAATGTCCCAGGAGAAAAAAAGAAGGCACAAGAACAAAGAAAACAAAAAAAAAAAAAAAAAAAAAGATAATCTGTGTCATCTCCTGGAGACCACATGGGACTCATTCTGTCGAATGGCCTCATGAATACATTCATTTCATCTATGGCCAATATCCTTTAAAGGAATTGGACCATTTGTTTCAAGTGCAATTTGACCACGGTTTCCGTTGATTTTCGCCTCATTGGCATCATTCTTCATGTTGTTCTTACATCCTGTTTTTGGCCAATATCCTTCAAAGGAATTGGCTTGAGAACGACTTTTAGGCTCAACAAGCATGTCCTGGAGACCTTTTCTGACACTCGCCTACTGGGCCTTTTTTTTTTTTTTTTTTTTGAATCTTGTTGTCTCTTCCATCTGTTCTAACACTGTCTTCTGATTCTGTGGGTCGTGAATCCTGTTTTCTTCCTTGTTGAGCTTGTTGAGCGTTCTCCGTTTTACTACTGAATACCATCAATTCATCATCAAAACTCTCAGTTGTAGATTGTAGATGTAGATGTAGATGCAGATGTAGGCCGTAGACTAGATTCGAGGCTAGAGGCTAGAGACGGAAATGTAGATCCAACTTTAGAATCTATGGATATAGTAGTGTATTCTGAATCAAATAGCCTTCCAAGGTTTCAATCCCCTGAACTTCCAAATCGTAGAAGTAGACAGACTGGTGCTCGACATTGGATGCCAAGCCGCAATTAAGGCTGACGATGGTCACGTGTATCCGGAACGCCGTGAAGATGCCCCCTCTTATCGATACAACAACACGAATCCCAGGTTCTCTTGCGCAGGCCTAGTCCTTGGCCACTGATCTGGCTTGTACGATGCTCCTGAGACTCGAACATCAACTACACTCGGGCTTCCTTTCATATTCCTAGCCCGGAACCGCCGCAAACAAGTTCCAGTTTGCTAGCTCCGATACATCATCGGTTATCAGCTCCAGGAACACTCACCCCGAATCCCCATACACCTCGACACCATGATACCGTGGTCATCCTTCGTCCAAAAGGCCCAGAGCCTGATTGACCCGGCCAACTTCAATATCCCCACTCTCTCCTCATCCGACGATAATCCCTCCAAAGCGTCGCTGTTTCGCCAACAATTCCGCCTCCCTGATTCTCAGAATCCACTTCAGGAGATCACCGCAGACCTCGTCCTCCCACTCCCCAATTCTCCCGGAAGCCAGGCAGATGGGTCACGCAAGACAGATCGCGCGGGGAATACATACACCGGACGTCTTCATCTAAGTGAGCGTTTCATCTGTTTTTCAACGCAGCCGACCAGTTTCATTCCCTCCGCCACAGCAAGTGCGTCGACGACTTGGACCGGTCAGACTCATGGAACTGGCCCGTCGGGTAATGGGTTCATTCTTCCGCTATCCAGCATCCGGCGCGTCGAGCGTCTTCATAGCGCTAGTCATGTATTCTCATTGGCGCTCACAACGTGGAACGGGTTGCTAAACAAGCAGCAAGAGGCCAACTTGGCTCCTCAGCGCCTCATTCTGCAGCTTGTCGGTAGCAGGCAAGCTTGCGAGCGATTCTGCGATACACTCAAGAAGGGCCTGCGGGAAGGCATGAAGGAAGTCGAAAACCTGCGCACTGTCGTCGCTGATTGTTATTCTGAATACTTGCTGTCAGGTGCGAAAGGCAAGGGACTGGATGGGGCTGAAGGCGACGGACGTCAGCCCCCCGATGCTGGTCTGGGTCTCATATTCCGCTACCCCGGTGATGCGCGTAAACTTCGCGATCGCAGCAAGATGAGACTTTGGGGGGAATACTTCAGAGGTAAATACCCGCACAACTCCGGAAATCGCAGAGAATTGGCGACTAATATTCCTTAGAAAACGGCCGCAATGCCACGCTGGTTCGCCAGCCAACCTTCCATAAGCTGATCAGAGTTGGTCTGCCTAATCGACTCCGAGGAGAAATCTGGGAACTTACCTCCGGCTCCCTGTTCCTTCGTCTGAGAGCTCCCCAGCTCTACCAACAGACCTTGGCAAAATTCGAGGGACAAGAGTCTCTAGCCATTGATGAGATTGAAAAAGACTTGAATCGTAGTCTGCCAGAATATCCAGGGTTCCAGAGCGAAGAAGGAATTGGGCGTCTGCGGCGAGTTCTCACGGCCTACAGTTGGATTGACCCTGAGATTGGGTACTGCCAGGCTATGAACATCGTAGTTGCTGCATTGTTGATGTATGTATGCCCAAAATGCCCCTGCTTATGCATGAATGCTAACTTTACCAGATATATGTCGGAGGCCCAGGCCTTCTCCATTCTCTCTGTATTATGTGATCGGCTCTTGCCCGGGTACTATTCGACCACGATGTATGGCACCCTTCTCGATCAAAAAGTCTTCGAGTCTTTGGTTGAGAAGACAATGCCCGTTCTTTGGGATCACCTCACCAAATCGGATGTCCAGCTTTCTGTGGTGTCTTTGCCGTGGTTCCTTTCCCTCTACATCAACTCTATGCCACTGGTGTTCGCATTCCGTGTGCTAGATGTGTTCTTCTTGGAAGGCCCCAAAGTGCTTTTCCAGGTCGGCCTTGCGATTCTTCGCGTCAATGGCGAGGAACTTCTGGAGACACAAGACGATGGATCGTTCATCTCTGTTCTGAAATCATACTTCTCACGATTGGATGAATCTGCACACCCAAGATCAGAGAATCCCAAATTGCGAGCTATCACCAGATTCCAGGAGTTGATGGTTGTAGCCTTCAAGGAATTCTCGGGTATCACCCACAGTACAATCACAGAGACACGCGAGAAGCACAAGGGTGCCGTGTTGGAGAACATCGAAACTTTTGCAAAGCGTACTTCTATCCGCAATCTCGGCCCCGAAAGCAAGCGTTTGAGCGTGGATGACCTCGGGACTATTTACGATCGATTCTACGAAACGTTATATCAATGGCAGCAGCACCAGAGAGTCCTCGAGGAAGAAAAGAGACTCCAAGAAAGGAAAAAGTCCCAGAGGCTTTCTATCCTGGCTCCTCCTGCAGACAGGCAAGTTGGCCGCGTGGGTCTTGGACCAAGCCCCACGCATATGGATTATGACGCCTTCAGGGAGTTTTTGGCTGCCACATCCAAATGGGCAGTTGCAGACTCGCCTGGGCCATCCAGGAAAGGATCTGGAGGCCAGTCGGCCCTGTGGGCAAATCGCCGCCAACCGGCTGATCACGAGTTCATGCAACGTCTCTATCGCAAATGGGCTACAAACCCTGAAGAGGGACTCAATCTCCAATGCGTGGTAAATGGTCTTGCGCGGCTCAAGGGCTCACCCGACATCATGAATAACATTAATTACTTCTTTGATCTATATGATGACAGTGGGAATGGCCAGGTTGACCGCGAAGGAATTCTCAAAATTTCCGAGGCTCTCCTCTTCCTCTCCAGACGAGGATTCGAAGGGACAATCACAGCCACTCCATCGGTGGAGAATCTGAATACCCCCGCTGATCGTGACAATGGGGAGAACTCACTTACCACCGACGAGAAGTTCCTAGGCAGTGTCAGCGCATTCATTCGTCGGTGCTTTGAATATGCCGACCCCAGCCACCCTGAGAATCAGAAGTCGGCTCCTAAGGATGCCACCGAGGAAGCAACCGCACAACTGGACGCATTCGCCATCGGTGACGATGACGAAGAAGATCTCATCGACATTGAGGGTGATTCCAATGCCAAGGACTCAACAGCGAGCCCGACACCTCAGCCTGAATCAGACACCAAAGATCATAACCCCTCGACATCCGAGTCTGCAAACCCGGCCTTGGATCCCAACAACCCTCTCCATATCACACTTCCTACCTTCCGAATGGTCGTCCTGGCCGACGAGCTTCTCGAACAATTCTTCGAATCTTATTTCCCACAATCCTTCCATCTCTCCGATCATCCACACCCAGCAGCTCTAGCCGCCTCATCGACAATGTCATCCAACCTCACAACATTCTCCAACATTGGCAGCATCCGCTCCAGCTCAAACGCCTCGGCCCCAGTAGCCGGCGCATCAGGAGGCATCGTCCCGCCCGGCAAAGGACTCCGCGGTGTCCTCGACAACATCGTCACCGACGGAATCCGCATGGCCGCCGAAGTCAAGAAGCGAATGGACGAGGCACAGCGTGATCTTGAGCGTAACGCTCTTGGCAACAACCATCGTGATGAAGATGACGAAGAAGACGACGAAGACGATTACCCTCGTCGTGAATCCAACGTCATGGCAGGCGGTATCTCCAGCTGGGGCGCTGGCGCCTACAGTGCCGATACCGAGCGTCGGAGTGTTGTCCGTGATGCTGATCGGGATCTTCTTGAAGGCGCCGAGGTCCTTGATGGTGGCAAGGAAGAGAGGACCTCGTTGCTGGATGGAAAGGATGTTTCTCAGAACCCTTCGAAGCCTACAGCTTCACAGGCTCCTGCTCATCGTGATGGTGAGGTCATCAGTGAGGTTGTTGAATTTGAATCATGAACCCTACGAACATGCCTCTGTCATATATGGTCTGTCATCTTTGTTTTTTCTAAAGTGATCCTATATGGATCGCCGTGCACCTTTTTGTATTACAAACGGCTGGATGTCTCATTTGATTGTTCTGCATAGCTGTGTGATACGACACAGCTTTTAGAAGTTTTAGAGAACCTGCGTTCATCTGACTTTTGCATCAATTCACACACATGCTCCTTGAGCCATTGGAATCGTAGGAAACTCGTATATTGGCATATATATGCCTCAAACTAAAAGAAAATCGTAATGACAAAACCATTGAACAGGGAAAGTGATGGATTCGCCGAATCTTCAATCTCTGACGCAATGTTTTTTATGTACAGCATCGTGATCAAGCAGGGCCAACCTGCACAACATGATGAATTACCACCAAAGAACTTCAACTAGAAGCAGAAGGACACGACTTGGCGATAAAGCAGAAGAGGGAAAAGGGTATAAAACAAACAGATGTGATAGATGCATTAAATGGAAGATTCCATAAATGTTCCAAGAAGAAGGGAAGAAAAGAGCCAAAAGCAAGATAAACATGCTCGATTGATGAGGAGAGAAGGGTGAAGGACACTGAAAGGACACCTGAAGTTCCAGTGCCTTAGTCTTTCTGACCCTCATTCTCAACCAATTCCAAAACAAGCTGGCTGCGCTCATGCTCTGGGTGCTGCATGCAGATCTTGACGGTATTGCCCGTGGGACCAGAGAACCCATTCCCAGTGCCCGAGAAGCCACTAGCGAGGCCAGAGCCACCTGTGTTCGCTTGGGCGTTGCCGTACAACGAACCAGGCATTTTGCTCCCGTCATCAATGCAAACAACATTATGACCGGGGATCACCTGGCGCAGACGGCCGTTCATGGCATTGCGCACCTCGACGAAGTCGTCATTGAAGAGAATTAGGAACTTGCCATACAGACAAGCCGTGTGCGCACTACCCACGAACTCCATGACGACGCTGCGGGAGACATCACCATGTTTGTTAACGTAGACCGCACACTGCTGGTACGCGACCAGGAATTCGCCTTCGGAAATGCGGAACATTCCCAGGGGTTTGAGGCCGGTGATACGGTTGGCGATGCTTTGCAGGGTATCTTGGGCGTCTGATTCGTTTGCGCTGAAGTCTGGGACCGACCAGGAATGTTTCTTGTCGAGGGTGAGGACTTCGATTCCTTTTTGGGTCGAGATTGCGAGGGATGAATGGAACATGTTGATGCGATAGGTTTCTGCTGGGATGTAGAAATCATCATATTCGCGGAAGAATTCTGTCTGAGAGCGGCGGAAGAGGCGGGTCTTGTTGGATGATGACTTTTGGAGAACGGGTTCGAGTACCTGTATTTGTTAGACATTTGGTCCATCAAGCTTGGTGGACGAATTACCTTGAATGTGGAAGAGAGCCCATCGCGCTTCTTGTACAATACCAGATACCTGTCCTTCAGGCGTCCAGCAGCGAAGAAGCCCACTTCACGGTTTCCAGACAATTTCTGGGGAGCGCGCCGGGAGGAATCTTGAGAAGATTGAGAGGCACCGCTGGCGGGGCAGACAACGTCAAGGTGATATGCGATCAGCGATCGATCAGCAATCAACAGAAGAAGATTGAAATCCTCAAACACCGCAAGCTGGGTAACTCGCATGATGGGGATGGCTCTGTACCATCCCCGAGGATTGCTCAGTTCAGACATGTACACTCCGTACTCTGTTCCAATGGCACACATCATGCGGCCAGCAGGCTGCTGAAACACCGTGGCGCAATTGACACCCGTTCTACAAACGGGGGGCGGTCGAGAGCCAGAGTCCTCGTATTGTTTTTCGACTTCTTTGATTGCACGATGCAGGGGTGTACCCTTGATAGTGACACTCTTGGAACCAGGCGTGTGATCAGAGTATGCGAATGCAGTATCTGCGAGAACGCGAAGTCGGAAGGGCTCGGCGTTCTGTGAGAAAAGAGCCGCCGCATGCTTCGTCTTTGCTTCGATGATCTTCTGACACCATTCCATGCGGTTTTGAGCGGAGAAAGCGTAGAGTGTGTAAGTCCCTGTCTTGCCCAGATGTTTGATCCTGAAGGGGTAAAGGATTTTGTCGTCTCGTGAGTTGTCAATAACTGCATTTCCAGCCGATGCACCAGAGCCAGTGTGTGTCAAAGGGCTAACAGCGCCTTGCGAGGGCGTCACGGTTGAGACACCCCTGACAGATGACTTGACCACAGGGTCATCATCGGTGCTTTCCAGTCCTAGTAGATCCATCGGAATAGGCAGTTTCGACACATCATATCTCTCATATTTGACAGCCCGGTCGCGCATTGTGAATGTTTTGGCGAGGACGAGGTAATGATCGAACAGAATGGCATGCGTTTCAACGAGGAATCGGGTTCGTGTGCCAGGGCGTTGCAGCTCGCCGCGGTGGATGATTTGTCGACCCAAGTGCTCTAGATTGAGTTCAACCTCTTTCTTCATGTCAGGTCTTAATTGCAGCTTAGCGGCCAATTCCATCAAGTCAGCCTTCTTGTTCATCTCTCCAACCTTGTTGTCACACTCCAACGCAACAAGCTTGATCTCTTCAATGGCTTGGGCCGCATTGGTCTTCTCTTCCGAGTCCTTGACCATGTTCTTGTGGACAGTCGCCAACAGAAGGGTGTAGCGTTGAATTCTCGTGATTGGTGCCTTGAGGAAAGTGTCCCAACTCAGTCGACTCGACATCTTATGCTCCCGAGCCTGGTTCAAGAATTGCTTGAAATGGGGGTTACGTTCAGCCTCTTTCCGCACAAGGTAGTTGGCGGTAGGGAAAGTTGCAGCGTAATCGATGTACACGTTCTTCGCTTTCCGAATCCATTCTCTGAAGATGTCACTGAAGCCCACGATGAATGGACCCTGCTCCTTTTGGCGATACTTGAGTTGTGCCAGTAGGAAGTCTTCGTTCACCTTTTTCACGGCATCAACTTTGCCGAAAACATCGGCCAAGAATTTGGGCAGTCGTTTCGCGGGGATGATCGGAGGATTCATTCCGGCCAATTGGTCACGATAAAGCTCCCTAAGGACATCCAATTGCCCAATGTAAGAATCCTCAGTCGTGACAATCTCGTGCAGGTTGTTCTGTCGATCTATCTCTTTCTTCGGGTGAGATTCCCACAACTCCTTAGGCACCTTGTAGAAGGTAACCCAGTCCTCGACCTTCTTCTGCGGGGCCATCATCTGCGCCTTGAGGTTGACCTTTTTCAGGGTACGCATGCAATGGTGGGAGTAGCATCGACCAAAGCTATCGGTGTCTTCAATATGCATCTCTTGCAAGTGTAGCTTGGCCGAGTAGCATCCAGTTCCGGTGATCTGGAACAAAACACCCGAGAGTGTCCCGGAGCCAAATTTGACCCATTCTTCTTCCTTGACCAGTGCCCCTTCTTCAAGCATACCGCTGACCACACGAGCTGCCAGCGTTTCGGCATCAGCAATATTCATAGTCGGGACTTTGTGGGTGAACAGAGCAACTATGGCGTCGGCTATTGCTTGCTCCCTGAGGTCCGTTTCGTCCTCGCTTAGGTCCCGAATCCAGGACAGAAGGGAACTCAAAGCCCACGGCTCGCTGCATTTCTTGAATTGCTCGGAAGATAACTTCGCAGGATGGAACTTCTTCCGTCGACTAGCCGGGATACTTGGCAAATCCAAGGTAACGGCCGCCGCCGCCGCCGGGTCTATATGAGGAAGATCCTTCTGTCTCAGCTTCAAAAGAAGCTCTTGCTGCTGCTGTCTGTATCTCAGACGGTCCGCGTCGGTCTTCGACCTGATAGGCGCATCAGCACGAGGCCCAATAGGGGTCGACAGAGATGACGACCGCGGGACTTGGGAGGGGCTCAGCAAAACATCCCCATAGGGATCAGCATTGGCTTGCAAGGAGGGGCTGTGATACTGTGAATATGAATCCTGTTCATCCTCCGGGTGGTGAGTGTATGTGCCCGCAGGCATTAAGTGAGATACCAGATCGACATTGCCGGCCGGGTCAACAGGTGCTGGTGGCAAAGGGCGCATTCCTGGATGGAAGAAAAGGTCTTCGTGCGCGGCTCGATGAGGACTTTCGTCGTCGGATTGATCTCCCGAATGGGGCTGGCCATATGGTGTTTCGCCCTCATCGCCGTAGTCAAAGCTCATCCGCCGAGAGTAGGCGTCCGGTGCTGAGAGTCCACCGGTGCCACCAGCATCAACCCGGGCATCAGGTGGCAGGTGGTGAAGTCGATTTGCATATTCGTATGCAATGGCCGGGTGTTCGTACTCGTCGTAATAATCTCCACGTTCATCCGGCGATACATTGGAGCTTCTGAATGACCCGGATGTAGCTGTAAGCCTACTTCCCGCCGGAGTATCCATATAATCGTCACGGCCGTATGATGGTTCATCGCCATAGTGAAGGTTTGCTTGGTAGCCTCCTTCGTACAGTGCTAAGTCGTGACCAATAAAGTCATTATCGGCGTGCGGGTCGGGGCTAGGCGAGTGGCCTCTAGGCGAAATGTTGGATCCGCGAGAGCTGAGTACCGAGGCGTTGGTCTCACTTCGCATCCGGCCTTCATTGCGCTGCCGTTGAAGTTCCTGCTCGCGAGCGTCCCTGGCTTCTTCCTCCTGCAGCATCGCCAGCCCGAACGCAATTTCAGCATCATTGTCATCGCCGTGAGCGCCGTAGTTCACATAGTGCCCTGTGCCTGTGTCCATGCTTCCATTGGTATGGGTGTGCTGTTCATCGGGCGACAGGCGCTGGCGGGAGGAGCTAGCGCGAGAGGCCCTGGAACTATGGCGCCGAGCAAAACTCTGAGATTCCAGAGCTGCAGTCTCATCCTGTCTCATGACATCTTCGTATGCCATGGGCGCCTCAACCGGTAGACTATGACCGTTTGTCGCCAATTCTTCGGCCGGTGGGCCAGGTAAAGGTCGGGATTGAGGGTGTCGAGTCAGTGTATCTGTTCGCCTTGGTGGCATAATGGGCAAATCCGACTGTACTGGGGGAGTTGGTAGGGATCGCCCTGGCCCTGAATGAGATATACTCGGTTGCCGAGCATAGAGACCATTCGTCTGAGTCTGATGAACCGGTGGTGTTGGAGGCTGTTCGTCGTAAGAGCTACTGGAGACTCCGGAGTTGTACTGAGGAGAAGGTAGATCATATGCAGCTCCTTGGGGATCGGTGTAGTACGGGCGCGACGAAGGCGGAGGCATGTGGACCGTGCCGGGGGAGTTCGACGGGATGTAAGAGGGTGAAGGGTTCGGCGACATGGGCTGATACCCAGCCGGGCGCACCCCGTACGGATGATCAGGACCCCGCGGGGGTGGGAGTGGTGGTTGGTGGGAGAAGCCATAAGACTGTGGGGTTGGCGGTGTCTGGCCGTAATACGAGGTAGCGCTCTGCCTTCGAGCTAGAACGGGCGAGCTCATGCTGGTGACCGTTGTCGATTGATAAGCTGCAGGGTTGTACGGCTGATGGCCGGAGGTTGGGGCTGCGTAGGCACCCTGGTTAGAACCGTTCTGTGAGGGATTGTAGGCTAATATCGGTTGCGACTGCGTGTGCGGAAGTCCGTACTGCTGCGGGTTATAGGCGGAATGGGTTGTTGTTCCCCCAGCATACTGTTGGTACGACACGGCGGAAGCGTGTGAAGAGGCTCGAGTTGGCGACATGCGCGACATTGCGTCGGAGTGTGAATATCTCGAATCTCGGCCCTCCTCATAACCCCCATGCGCAACGCTATAATCCCCTGTTCCAGTGCCCCCAAATCCACCACCTTGTGCTGAATATTGTCCTGGGTACTGTGCGTTTCCTGCGGTCGCTCGCTGATTCTGGGTTTGGGGAGGGTTGAAGAATCCGGAATCATCCCCAGCATTGTAGCTTGGCATCCTGCGAGGTAAATGCTGATCAGGCGCAGTGTTTGGGGTCGAGTAAGCCTCGTAGCGGCCAGCAGACGGTTGCCCAGAGGCCTGGGGGTTCGCGTGTTGGGCATAGTCGTAGTATGCCTGGCCGTTGGGGTATTGTGCCATAATTGTGGAATGCCACCGAACGTGGACTTCGATGCGCGCAGGATTGGGCAGAGAGTTTATTTGCGAGACCGGGGAATCAAGACCCAAATCGGGGGGAGGGGAGGTCGAAGGTCAGAAGCGATTCGAAGGAGGGGCCACGCGGGCCGGTGACACGCTGCCGGAGAGTCTGCGTATGAGACCCTAAGGCATTCCCGTCCTTGAACAGAGCGCAAAATCAGGGAGCCGAATGGAGTGGTAGAAAGGAGAAGTTGGAGATGAAGTTGGGATCAGCTACACCCACGCTAGTCGAGGTACCAGGGACTTGTTTCCCGCGTATTCCCCACCGCCAAGGCAAGGTATCGCTACTTGCGCAACGTGTCTACCTGATCGTTGAATGCTTATTCTCACTGCTGTATCCCTCCTTCTCTGGCTATTTCATGATTCACTATATCTTCCATTCTATCATTACCCATGGTATGGGCCTATACTCTGCACCAAGGCTAGAACGAGGACCCCTCCGTAGTCCGCGCCTGAGACCGATTACCCGATCTGTAGGAGGCTGAGGCTGAGGCTGAGAGGTGGGGCTTATTATTTCATCGATTTTTAAACGTTCGAGGACATCAACTTTTTTATTTGGTTGTATATATAGAGAAGAATTCTATAGGTCTATAAGTGGGGACATCTATCCTAGGGCGCTTTGCCCCGTATATATCTGCAGTGCTAATCCATCCATAGGTAATATACCTAATTTTAAGACTGAAAATTCAGGCCCAGACTTTGTTTATAAAGTAGATTAGAATTAATATCTCCCTTGACTACTACCCCCCGATAGCCAAAATTCAACAAAAGTAGTATAATAATATCTCACAAGAATAATAATAGAAATAGAGGAAAGATATGAAATCTAGAGAGAAGAAGGGAGAAAGAGAAAGCAGACATAGGAAAGAGAAGAGAGAAGAGGGAGGGAGAGAAGAGAGAGAAGAGAGGTAGGAGAGATAGGAGAGTAGGGGGAGCGCAGAAAGAACAGAAGAGAGCAGAGAGCGCAGAGAGAGCAGAAAAGAGCAGAAAAGAGCAGAAAAGAGCAGAGAGAGCAGAGAGAGCAGAGCAGAGGGAGGAGGGAGAGAAATAGGAGAGCAGAAGAGAGCAGAGAGAGCAGGAGAGAGAGAGAAAGAGAAATCTTAGAAATAGCATACAGATAGGAATTTATACAGCTTCCTATATCGCAGAATCGCACTAATGAAAACACCCCCGGGCCCTGAGACTTGTGAACAGCCTGTGGCCTTAGGTCTTATGATAATATTTCGAAGCCATCCAATTCTACATCCGAGCGAGAGTCTCCTCTCGCCATCCCCAACTAAGTGCAAATGCTGCTCCAGGGCCAACCGTCACAGTAGCTCCCAACATAGCACAGGTCGACTTCCACCATGAAACACGGGCCCCTGATTGCTTCAATTCTCGCAATCTCAGACCCAGCCAGACGAACCCAGATGCCATAGAAATGACCTGGTCGTATTGAAGGAAACGCGCGATTCCCTCAGAAAACGACCCAACAGCCTCGGTATGCCCATGCAAATTAGGCAAAAAGATATCGGCCAGAGATGTGCCCGCCGGAGCCGAGAATCGGGCATAGAGGAAGCTCAAGCCCGAAATCATTGCGAGTGCGCCGTATGTACAGCGGATGACGAACATATTCTTTTGGCGCTGCTGCTTCGATTCCTCGAGGACTGTAGGGGATTGAGGTTTGGCCATGATACGGAACGGCAGCTGTAGTAGGGGAACAACTACCGGGAACAATTGCCATGCTGCGTTCCATGATCGACGTGATTCGAGAGTTGAAGCGAAGAAATTGGCGAATGTTGGAAGGTAATATCCAGCCAGGGTAGCAGGCAAAAGAGATGCCAGAGCAGTCATCTTCATGTCGCGATTGTCGGCGTGAAGCATGCTCGAAAGAGGCTTGCGGATATACTCAATTGCATAGTATAACGGGGCAAATTTACCGATTCCTTTCAATTGGAACGCGGTCCCTGCAAGTATCGGTCTGAAGGTTCAAATGTTAGCTTCGTGACCAGCGAAGCAATGAGTGTATTTATACGGAGCCTCCACTTACAGCAAGGCGTCAAAGCCAGAACTCCCCTTGCGATAACTCTCGAGTAGCCAGATTCCATACACAGGCCCAATGTCAGCCATGAAAGAGAACATTTGCGCATATGATCGTGGATCAGACCCGCTGATCGAAGGCAGGAAGCAGGTAATGAGACGACCAAATGTGTTGTCTAGAAGAGGGATGTGGTATATAGGCCTGGTCAAACTAACAGTTTCTCCATTGCTGGCCGTCCAGGTACCCTGTCTCAAGATAGACCCCAGGAAGGGAATCGTCTTCCCGAGTACACCACCCATGGTGATGTTTGCTGCAACATAGCACCCAAGAAGCGGCGCGGTCCAAAGAGCACGGCCAGAGTATTTAGTGTCATCACTCACCGTCGACCGAAGGTGGAGGGGCATAGGACATTGGGATGCTCTGGTTGGGAGCGGAATCGAGTCTAGCTTTTCAGCACCCATCAGCGAGTCAGACATTTTGTCAATGAGATACTGGCTCATATAGGGTAAGAGGTGCTGCGCAATGATTCTGTCTTTGAGGGTTGCACCACTTTCCAGCCGAGTGAGACCATTTGCCGCCGCAGAGACTGTTTGAGCTCTTGGTCGACGAGAGTCTTGCCATTTCATAAGACAGTTCTTGATGTCCGATAGCCCAATCGATGATTTTTCAGTCAAATTTGTAAGATAGTTCGCAAGTGAAGCGGCGCTTTCGATAGCGCTATTGCCTCCTTGTCCCATGTTCGGGGTCATCTGCGTTGGCAGGGTGTCAGTAAAATGTAAAAGAGACCTGTGTATGATAAATTCGCACCTTGTGGATGGAATCGCCGATGCAAACAAATCGATCGTTGCACCAATTTGCATAAAAGGCCTCTTCGAGCGCCAAAAAGTTCTTGCTCACTTGATTCTTATACACGGCCGAAAGAGGCACGGTATCAGTGATGGGTACATCCAGGTATTTCTCCATGTGTTTCTCCATGTCTTCATTTTTGAATCTCGGGATATCAGAGGCAGAGCAGGTTTTGTCCATCTTGGTGAAAAGAAACCAAAACACTCGGCCCTCTTTCCCTACGATCGTCAATGTAGAGTAATCAGTCGCAAATGTGCGGTGACTCTGCCCAGGAATAAGCCCCGGCGTTGCGGTGGAAATTCCGAACACGCATGCATACTCGGAGGACATAACTATGTGACAATTAGTGCTGCAGAACGAATAGGTCGAAGTGAAACCATACGAGCACGATCTTCCCTCGCCTGTCCAGGGATGATGGAGTCCATGTGCCGCCACATCTCCTGTCGAATTGTGCTTCTGACACCGTCGGCTCCCACAACTATATCACCTTCAAATACAGACTGGTCCGTGCAGTGAACACGGACTTTTTCAGGCAGATGCTCTACCTTTGTCACTCTCTTGTTTGTCTGAATTTGATCTCCGAGTTTCAAGTCCTTGGAAAGTATTTCCAACAATGTCTGGCGGTCCAGGAAGGAGACAGCAAAACCATGCCTAGTCAGATTTCAGCATAATCGGTTACATCAAGAGACATAGCCATCCCCATACCTTTCATGTATGACCTGAGGAGAGTCAGTTTTGCATATGAGCTTACCAGCACCGGACCAGGAATAGGACGTTTGCATGGGCTCCGTTGCGTCAAGAATGGCATCGAATAAACCGAGTTGGTCGAGAATGCGGGCTCCATTGGGAAGAATTCCTATAGAAGCGCCAACTGGTGGTGCAATATCGCAATTCGATTCCAGAACCACAAAGTCGATATTGCTCTTCAACAAACAGTGCGCAAGGGTCAGACCGGCAACTGATCCGCCAACTATAATGACACGGAGTTGCTTTTGGTCACTCGACATGATGACAGTCAAGATTTGAGACTCGAGATTGAAGGGTTTCTCAGGGGCAAAGAGGTATACACTTCGAAGTGGCCCATGGCTCGACTTTATATTGTACGTCTGTTTCAAACACCCTTTTGCTGCTATTCGGATCGGTAAAGATGCCGGTGCAATTATGCACAAAAATAAACACCCTAGACTCCTGTCATTTCTACAAGCTGCGAATCATATTTCCTCCGGTCTTGTGGACCAGCAGTCATCTGCAGCACTACTGTTCTTTACATCTGCAGAAATTACAGTGAGCGATACGGCTCCACCTTGAATACGTACAGCCCCGTCCTCCGTCTTTGCCATTGGCTGCTAGCGGAGGAAAAGCAGACAAGACCCACTAGCAAGATACAAACGAGAAACCCGAGAAATCCGAGAAACCAAAAGATCGGCAATGGATTCAAGTTTGTGCACGAGTCGGACGATTTTGTGTCTGGATGGTTTTGACAGATAGTGAAGCATCTGAAACTTGACGCCTGACACGCAAATCTTGTCTATCGGGGATGTTGTCCACAGAGCAACAGATCGGAAGAATCCTTGGTGATCGAAAACGAAGAAATCAAAAGCCAAGAGTGTTGCAATCGTGTATCGCATGTCGTAAGAGAAAGTAGGTACACCTCTTCAATTTGATCATTTCCGCCTCATTGAAGTAAGGTGTTGATCTTACTCATATAGACTCAGGTGTGACCGAAAACTGCCTTGTGATAAGTGTTCACAAGGGAGGCCTGCTTTGCCCTGTCATTATGCCCCTGAACGTTCCATCGAATCTGTTGAGCATGTAAAACCCGCCACAAACGAGACTACTAGACATGCAGATGTGGATCACCATAGTACTCCCAACTCTACCACGAGGAGAGCAAAGCAAACCGGACTTATGCTATCCGGGCCTACCGGGACAAGATACATGACTTCTGGCCATTGGCAGGCTATTATGAATGCTGTAGGTTTCTTATCTTAATTCATCAATCTGATAGGGTCCCATGTGCCCTTTTGTACATTCCAGTCACCAAATGCTGACCCAAGAAATAGACAAGGCAGCTCAAACAGGGAAGCCATCACGAATTCGACGAACAGACCTCAGCAGACTCCGAGAGAACCTCGCAGGGGCCTTACCTACTGCTAGGTCCAATTACAGAAACGGATATCAATAGCCTTCTTGCGGCATTGCCAGATCGTGCAAACACCGAAAGGCTAGTTTCATGCTATTTTAACTCTCGAGAGCCCTCATTAAGTAAGAAGCCTTCCTTGTCCGTCATGATAGAAAAAGACAAAACATGGAACTGATTCAAAGTACCAGTCTTTATTCACGGCCCTACTTTCAAAAACGAGGTAACTCAAACAAATCTCCCTAGCCTGACGAGGTTTTTCAACTTACAAACAAAACCAGTGCAAAGAGTTTTGGGAAGCTCCTACGAAAGTCTCCTTTGCCTGGCTGGGAGTCTTATATGGCATCATTTCATGTGCCCAGTGGATTGGCCACAGCACCAACGTGGACTCGTCAACCACCGAATCTGACGAAGCAAAATCATTTGAGCTATTCGATGTATATCGAAAACATTGTGCTCTCTGCCTTGCTGGCTCAAACTATACTCTACCAGGGAGACATAAAGTTGAAGCTCTAGGCTTATACATAGGCCTCGAATACCTGCCCAGCAACAACATGAAAACAAGTGTCTCGGTTCTTCTGGCAATTTGCATTCGCCTGGCGACGCTAATGGGCTACCATCGTGATGCAAAATCCTATTCAGAGATCACAACTTTCGAGGCCGAGATGCGTCGCCGGGTATGGCTATTCCTACAAGTGACCGACTCCATCGTCGCATGGCAAACCGGCGTCCCGCGTATCATTTCACAGAAGATAGGCGATACTGCCTTTCCAACCAACCTTCTTGACGAGGATTTCGGACCATCAGATACAATATTGCCACCTCCCCGCCCAGACAATCATTTGGCGAGCGGAGTCATCTACCTCTTAGCAGCAGAGCGAGTCTTGTCTGTCAGCAGCGAGATCACAGATGCAATATCCGTTAAGACGCTTTCACACGAGGAAACATCTCTTCTCAATCAAAAGCTTGAGGAGGCAATGGATAAAGTCCCGTCCATTCTGAGGGTCCCCTCGAACCCCGATCCGACGAACCAAAATCTCAATCTTCATGGCTATATTCTAGAAATTACATTCCAGCGCGCCCGTTGTATCCTCCACCGCCAATACCTCGTGGCACATCGGAATGAGCAGAAGTTTGAGAATCTACGCCAGATCTGCGTTGATTCAGCCCAGCAAATCCTTCAGCACCAAACAACCCTTTTCCAAGGAATAGTTCATCAGGCTCGACTGCATTCTAGAACTTGTTTCAGTGCGTCCATTTCGATAAGCAATTGTCTGACCGCTGCGATGGTTCTCTGTTTCGAGATCATCTACCTATCGCGGGAAAATCTGGCACCGGATGTCGAATATCGTGCTGATCTTGTTCGGCTTTTGAAGAACTCATATGAGACATGGAGATGCTTTCCAAAGGCTTCATTTGAGACTTCCAAGGCGGCAGATACCATTGCTTCTATGCTTGCGTTAGTGCACTCCGATGACCATGATGGTTCATTAGTGCCGGCTCAAGAGGATAGCGAAATCGAGGCGCCATCTTCGTTCTCTGTCAGCGAAGACGAAAATACAGAAACGGGAGCGTTCTGGGGTGTGCTAAATGGTGATTCTACATTTGAAATGTTTGATTGGGTAAGAGCGCCTCCATGTCGCGTGAGAGAATTCGAATGTTGGGACGCAAGCTAATTTCCCCTTTAGGGTCTTTGGGATCGCGAGATGATGGAAATGAACTGCATCATTGCGAACCATGTTCCGTTTTAAATAATATTTCTTTTCATCACGTCGTCAAGAGATATGAAGCCTAAAGATATTCCTATAGATAAAAAGAAGCCGACTCGAACCACTCCAAGGAGAGCTGGCTATTGAACAATTGCCACATCATCTCATCATCCCGGTAACTTCCATCGGGGGTTTGTAACTGCTGCGGATACGAATTCGTTGGATCCGTGAAAGGCTCGGTCGGATACGGCTGTTGATCAGACATAGCTTGCTGGTCTCCTCGCATCGTCATTGCAGGGTATAAAGAAGCCACTTTAGCCTGAGGGCCCATGCGTTCTTTGGCTTCTATCAAGGGTATGCAGAGATTTTGTAACGTTTCAAGCAATTTGAGAAGCTTGGCGATGTAAGGGCTGGCGGTAAATTGGGACAGACTGCGTGTGATATCTTGGATCAGGTTGAAGTCGTCCATGTCCAGCTCGCCAATGATGTTGCAAAAAAGAACGAAGAATGGGCTCAAGGGGTATAAGAGAACAGTCCTAGAAGAAAATGTCAGGTGAGCGCAGCAAGAATGTGGAGTGATTTGACTGACCATGTCAAGAATGTTGGGTATGGATCAATGAAACCCGGAGTGTCTGCCAGGTTCTGTTGGAGGTGATGCAGGGCCTTAAGTGATTTGCGGGAATAGGATAAACACTCTTTGTGTGTCAGTGGCGAGAAGGCGTATCTCAAGCGAGATCGCAGAATATCAACTAAGATGGCGTAGTAGCAGAAATCCCCGGCGATCCAATCAGATGAAATAACCTCGGGCGCCGAGGTTCGAGTCTTCAACGGTCAGCCAAATGAAATCCCAGCAAGAAGCCAGGTCTCAACTTACAGATTCAAGTTTTGGGCGAATGATCTCCATCCTTTCCTGAAGCCTGGAGTGTCTTTCGATTATATCACGAGTATTTCCCGTCTTCCCGCAGTCCAAAAGCTCGCCTTGGATTTGGGCCAGGTCCAACAAAATGCGTATCAGCGGAATATGCGGTAGGGATCTATCGCCAGTAATGAGATTTGTTGGAGAAATTCGAGGCTCGGGTAGTGATAGAGGTCGGTAAAGAAGCGTGCTGAGGGTTCGGTCCAGGTAGAAGCACCAATATACCACGCTGTGTATCTCTTCATCCAAATCGGACTCTCCCAGTGGGTTGCGGATCTCGTGATAATCCAAAGCGACAATAAGACGAGCGGCGTATGAGTTGAGAATCCAGCTTTGGCTCATGTTGCCAAGATACTGCATGAAAAATGCCTGTACGGTTATTAGCGAGGTCCACAGGGCGGGTAAGGTTGCAGATTCAGGCGTACCGCGGAAATAAGAGATTGAATGAAAGGTAAAGTCGGTGCATTGAGGAAGTTGAGACTGTTGAGAGCCCGAAAGGCGGAAGCTTCGTATGATTTCTTTGACCTGAGAAATTGCTCATGCATGCGCGGATCCTTGTAAGCCCTTGGCTTTTGAAACAGATGGAATATGGCTTTCACATAAACACAGATGCAGTATTGATAGAACACCTGTCCATGGTCATTACCATGATCGCCCAAGATGGTCGATGCCATCTTCTCAAGCGATTTGTCCGAAATGTGATCTGGCCATTCTAACGACTGGGATCGCCCCCCTGAAGACGTGGGTTCTAGTTTCCAATTAGTCCATTCTCTCGGTACATGTCTTTATTTCAGTACCTTGAAGCAGCATGTAGAGCAGTTCTGGTGAAGGGGTGATGGACTGATTCCCATCTTGTAAATCTTCACTGCAGACATCCAAGGATGGAGAATTCTTGTCTGAGGCACCTCTTCCTTGTGCCATTACATCCACAAACTGCAATGCAGACTTGAGAATCGACTGTCGCTCGAGGTCCATTCGCTCATTCCCGATGAGCTCGCCCTGGATAACTGCTCGGGCTTGTTCAGCATGGTGTGTGGTTGACCCGATATCGCAGACATTGTGGGGCGATTGGGGCGATGTCTTCGTTGAGGAGAGCTGGTCGAGTCTTCGTTTCTTAGAATAATTTTCTCCCCGACCGGTTGAATTGGTTGAGGGGCTTGGATGTTCATATCCCCTAAATATCGTGTTACTAAAAAGAGCATCAATCGTTGAAGATGGCAGATCGTACTCCGACACTGTTCTCTCCAGAGTCAAAACACGCTCTCCCAGCGCGGATATCCTGTCATATCCAATCAGAAGAATCCGCACAATCCATGTCAAACACATACATCGAGGAAGCCTGAGGGCGGCATCGTTGGACCCTGATCCGACGGCATTCTGCGCCTGCATCGGCACAGTTCGCACAGTTAAGCTGCCTATCACAGCGAACCTATTTCAAGGGATGAGCCCCTATAATCCATCGTCGATCAACAAAAGTACCTTTCTCGAGTGGCAGAGGTCACACTAAATTTCCAGTCAACCTCTATACAAGTGCAAATCATGTAAGTGCCGAGAGTCCCGAGGTCATCACTTACAGCTCGTAGCGCGTCGTCACTCATTTGTATCACAGACTAAAATATTTGCAGAATAGTTCATCCCTATCAGATCTTAGTACGTTCTCCAAGAAAAAAAACTAATAAAGGAAGACCATTGTAGATCTCGGTGCTTGCGGAGACTGCGGCGTCTGTGATGTCAAGCGCCGACAGCCGCTTAGTGAGCGGCTTTTGGCCCACCATTTGCCTCTTTTGGTCGGCACCGACCGAATTGAGATCAATTTGTGAGTAATTCGATGCAAAGAACTGTATGTAGATTAGAAATCAGGTAGTTCTGGACACTCAAACTTTGTAAGTACGTGGAAGTCGAATTGTACCATATCAGACGCTATTGCTTTCAAAAGGGTGGGGGATTATTTGCGATCATGCTACTATACCACAGTACTATCCATCCATAGATGGGGCAGATTGAGACAGATGGGCTCTCTTTGGGACATCTGATCTTCAACCCTCTCAAATCTTGATTTCACATATGTCGAATCCCAAAGGCAATCTCACCGTTTGTTACTTGCCCAGGTGCATATGCAAAGGGTCCCAATCTCGTAGATAGGATCCATACTCCAAACTCCGACACAAAAGCCGAGCTCCGGCCGATGCGTGGGTTTCTCGAATCGAGGGTGCAGATGAGCCCTGCGGGGTGTGAGATTAGGATCAAAGCCTTCCCCTTTCAAAGTCCTCTCAGACTTGATCGGCGTCTTATTTCCTGCTTCATCATGGATCTTGATCTTGAAAATATAGGAAGGCTTTGCAGAAAGTCGGTTGTAGAACATATTTCGGGATTTCTCGAGGTTAGGGTTGGACAAGAGATGATATACTACATTTCATTTGCTCATCGAGGTTGTTGTGTTTTAGGCCGTGGGCTCAACTATACAAGGGACCTCGGAGCTTACAATATGTCATGCTACGAGAGTTTTGGTACTGCCGTTCAAACGTAATACTAGGTAGACCTCCAGTGTTCGGGATCCCTATGCACGTTCCTGAGAGGCTTGTTACTAAAGTAATGAAACATTTATTTCATGACAGGTGCAGCAACTAGCCAGCTACCTAGTAGTGGCGTGGTAATCATAACATCGTCGACTTCCATTGGCTCATGTAATCATACAAGGTAGAGATATTCGGACATAATAATACAAGGGTCCATCACCGGGTAAAAATAGTTAAAATAAATAGCTCCTCATTTTCCGTCGTAAATTTGGTCGGGCGTAAGTGAGACCAGACCCTTCTGGATCTCCTCCTTACTGAGATGGTCAGGCTTCACGAATCTCGCGGTCAAGGCAAAGCGCATCTTGTTCTCGGGGGCGACGGAATGCTATTTCAGTCAGTCCTGCTGTTCATTACTGATGCATAGGGGCAAACTGACCTCATAATACTTCTGCAGATTCTCTCCGTGCATAACCACCATATCACCGTGATGAAGCTCCATCTTGACTGAAATGGGGGCCTCTTTTCCCCTTCTGCCTTTGAAAAGGTCTTGCCGAGCCGTGTTGTAACCCTCACTTGAGATCTCGCCGGCATCGAATTTCTCTTTGAGCGCACGCCGCTCGTTTTCGAGATCGCAGTTCTTCAGAACTGGATCGTCCTGCAAGAGGGTCCCTGCGGCAGTCGCGTCGACCTTTCGTGTGGTGCCGTTGAAATACTTATACTTCATGCGAACAGACATGGTGGCTTTCGCTCCGAGAGAGAAGGTGGCGATGGTGGGGCCTAGTGAGGATTCACCGTCATCGTGGAACTAGGAACGTTAGCTAGGAGCACTGATAATACATGGTGTCAAGGTGTTGCAACTTACCCCGATCTTCATTCCTTCGAAATATCCCAGGATGAGTAACTCGTTTGGGGGCAGATATGACCCCCCGCATGACAACACCGCCTTTTCAGTCGCCCATGACAAACGACCAAGAACTCGAGAGATGGCCTCTGGAGCTTCATCAAAGCTTTTGGAGTCAACAGACACCACATATTTGTAAGGCATTCCGTAATTCACGGCGAAATGAGACGTCAGGGTACCAGCAACCAGGCTGGATTTAATTCGGAACCGCTTCAGACCTAAATCTTCGCGTTGAATACCGACGAAGAGATCATCAGGTCCATTGTCACGTGTGTTGATCTCTCGGTTGGATACGAAGTGGGTGATCGAGCCGACACCCTCGAGGTGGTAGGTCAACTTCTGGTAAGGGAGACAAGACATGTCTTCTTGCGCAATGCTATATTTCGGGTCGTTCGGAATCGGACGCTTGATAGGAGATAGCTCGAAATCGTCAAGAACGGCACGGAGTGAAAGCTCTTCCATCTTCATGAACATCTGAAACGGACAGCTCTCTTGGCCAAGGTCCGAGTCATCATCGCATTTCCAGCCCCGCCAGAATGTCCGTCGAATGCATTTGTGGCACTTGGGACAAACTATGCCTTTCCAGGCAAAACGAGACGTGCTGACAGATGCGCTTCCATCCAGGGTGGACAAGAGATCTGGAACGAGGCTGTGAGCTGACCGGATTTGCGGGTCTGGGGGACTTCGGACGTTTAAAAAGCCAGGATGAAAGGTGAGTTCGGTTGGAGGCGGAGCGTTTTCGATTTTCCAGAAATCGGAACATTCGGGCTGAAGACACATCCACCCTTGTTCATATATGCGCGGGCTTTCCGTGGAGCAGCCCTGGCACCTGATGAACTCCACTTTGGTTTCGAAGTCTCGCTTTTCAATGGGCAAAGGAAGAGGGGAATCCTTTGCGGCCCACCAACTCTTCTTTGTAAGTCCCAGTTTCTCAAACCGAACCTTCGCGCCATATTTCTCGCCGACTTTTTCGAACCACACATTGGTAATTCGGAACCAGTCCATGACATTGTATCGATGGGGAACTTGTCGAGCAAGAACATCGTTGTTGCGTCCTATCACGACATTAGAAATCATGCCTCGCAAATCCCACGAAAACTTACCAAGGACGAGACCGACAGCGAGCTTCGAGTTCTGGCTGGTGATGATGCTCTTCACAAGTGTATCGCCAAGGTTTTGATTCTTCTCAAGTTTCAGATTTCCTCCGGAATCCTTGGTGCAACATCCACCGCTGATGAGGGTTAGAATTGGGGGATCAACCTTGAAAGTGTGGGGCAACAGATCATCTGCCTGGGCAGTACTCACATTCGAGTTATGATTACCTCTTCGTCCAAATAGGAACGAGTTCCACCGTCGGCGTCAATGAGAAAACCATAGCAGAAGCCACCGTTATGGTACATTCCGCCTTGAGTGCATTGAAACCAAGGGAGTGCATCACACAGTTGTTGGCGACCCTATGAGGTGACTCAGGTGAGCATGATTTCAATCGACTCAAAGGCACGGATACATACCTCAGACCAGGCTGGGGGTTCGCCATACACCTCCTCAAGTGGCTGGTCGGGGAACACAAGCTCTAGTCCTTCAGATGAAACTACATAATGTCAGTTTCCAGGCAAGAATCTGCGCCGTGGTCTGGTCTGCTTGTACCCTTGATGGTCGTCTGCTCTTTCTTTGGTTTGAGGATGCGGCCTGCCTTCACGGGACCTTCAGCCGTCTTGCGGCGGGTGGCTGCAGTGCTTGGGGCCATTCTTGTTCACCAGGTGCACGAGCAAACTATGGTCATCGTTAGCCAATACTACTAGGTTAAGGGCATATTCCCAGCCCAATCTGGTTGCAGATGCGCCCGTGAATCTGAGTAGCCCACCGGGGGAGCTAGGGAGTCACTTACAGCCCGTACACAGTGGGTAGCACCTTGCCCTAAGACAAGACCGGTTGATGATTGTGGGTAGCGGGGTCTCAAGAGGGGGTTAAGAAACGAATGCGACAACGGAGGCAGCTTGAAACGATCGAGTAACGAGTGACTGGGAATGGAGTCGAGTCAACTTGTGATGGTTCCGAAGTCCAATCGAATCTACATATCGCCAAGGCGGCGTGGCGACGTGTCACGGGCTTGTGGTTCCATGGTTCGGTACCCCGGGGTACCTGGGCAGTATACCCCAAGGTAACGTGATCTCAGGTTTCAATCCATGGATCTCCGACCGTCGGCATCTACGGAGTACCGGGCTATGTGATCTGTACGGAGTACGGAGTAAAGCAACCTGCAAGGATGTATCACTTCAGGGCTGAATGTGGGTTCGACTGATCTCGAGGTTCAGCATTAAACAGTGCTGAACTAGTACGGAGTAGCACAGAATCGAGTCAATGGCGAGGTATGAGGATTGTATCCCATGATACTCGTGGACTTCTACTAGTATGTATAGATGAAGACTGCAATACTTTGTCGAGTACTCTGTACGGAGTAGATGTATGAGATTGAGCATTGTCCAATGAGGCTGTAGACATGCCGTGTCCCGAGGCTATCCGGGAATGATCGGCGTGCCAAGACCACTTTAAATTTGGATGAGCAATGGTGTCCATTTCATTAGCCTCTGCCTCGATCGGCTTAAGCGAGGTAAGATGGAAACCAATACTCCGTACGGAGTACTCTGTGTGCTCATGCGCAACTGCAAAATATTTAGAGATGAAGGGCAATTGCGATGAAAATGGGGAACATTGGACGATCGGAGAATTATGCCACTTAGACTGTCAGCTCCATGACACGTATATGTATTTAACACCTCGGCCATGCAAGCACCGCCGACAATATACTGTGAATACTGGTACTGGGCTCGGTATGATTTTATAGATACCGCACTCCTCTGGAGACGACCGTTGAGGTACGGAATAGTCAGAACTCAATATTCAGTGTTGCGTCGGTATCCTCACCCTCGGATATCCAGCGGCCGAGGTATCTTCTCCCCGCGGTATAAGCTCCGCCACTCCATGGCACCCCGATTACCCGCCTATTCGGATGATTCGCGGCCGTCGGAGACCCCATTTCGGTTCGAACCGAAAGGGCATATATTAGTGGGAGATGTGAAAGGCGAACAGGGGCAGTTCGCAAGGTTTGCCGAGATCCCCGCACGTCTCCACGCATCATTTTAAACTCCTCACCCGCGCTCTTTTTCTGTCATTTTCTGTCTTCACTTCTTCTGTTCTCATTCCCTTGTGGTTTTCTCATAGGTGAGTCATGTCGCAACCCCAAGGTGTTAGTAGCAGCAGCTCATTTGTTCCTACCAGTCCATATACCCCCTACCCCTGTACATCAGTTACTTTTGGAGAAATCCCCCGTGACGTCAAGTCGCGAAAGTCTTCCAAATGGTCTTCCTCCCTGCCAAATCCGCCGGCGAATTGCCGCCCATTCCAGACAACATTCCGATCAGCGAGTTCATGCTCAATGAGAAGTACGGACGACTGGCACACGACAGCTCCCGGGATCCATACACATGCGGTTTCACGGGCAAGTCATACTCCTCGCGCGAGGTGGTGAGCCGAGTGGATAACATTGCACGCGGTCTTTCGAAAGAGTTCGGTTGGGCGCCGAACCAAGGCTCGGAATGGGATAAGACGCTGGCAGTCTTCACTTTGAACACTGTAAGTGCAAATGAACCCGCGAATTGAACCCAAGCTGACCTCCTCAGATCGATTCTCTCCCCTTATTTTGGGCTGTTCACAGACTAGGCGGTGTCTTGTCTCCCGCAAATGCATCCTATTCGGCCGCCGAGCTGACGCATCAGATTTTGGATTCCAAGGCGAAGGCCTTGGTCACTTGTCTGCCACTGCTGTCAATCTCATTGGAAGCAGCCGCCAAGGCTGGGCTTCCAAAGAGCAAGATCTATCTGCTCGACGTGCCCGAGCAGATTCTCGGCGGCGCGAAGGCCCCAGCCGAGTACAAGACGGTTGACCAGATCCACGATGCTGGAAAGTCTCTTCCCCCGCTCGAGGAGCTGCGATGGAGCGCGGGCGAAGGAGCCCGCCGAACGGCATTTTTGTGTTACTCCAGTGGAACTTCGGGCTTGCCGGTGAGTACCGTTTCAGGCTGCACAGCAGCAAACGCTGACAACACCACAGAAAGGAGTCATGATTTCCCACCGCAATGTCATCGCCAATACTCTGCAGATCACCGCATTTGAGCATGGCTACCGTACCAATTCGGGGACGAGACCCCCTCAGACCGATGTCTCCCTGGGTCTTCTTCCCCAGAGTCACATCTACGCTCTGGTAGTCATTTGTCATTCCGGGGCATACCGCGGCGACCAAACGATCGTCCTCCCCAAGTTTGAATTGCAATCATACCTGAAGTCCATTGAGCACTTCAAGATCACCTCTCTTTTCTTGGTAAGGCGTCCCCAGTGTCGGACATGGGTGGAAGCTGACGAATGCAGGTGCCTCCAATCATTATCCACATGCTGAGCAGTCAGCAAGTCTGCTCGAAGTTCGACCTCAGCTCCGTGCGAACACTTTTCACCGGAGCTGCACCCTTGGGGGTTGAGACAGCGACCGATTTCCAGAAGATTTATCCTAATGTCCTGATCAGACAAGGATACGGTACGTATCTCCCTATCACCAAAACAAAAGGAGGGACTGACCATCTCCAGGTCTCACGGAAACATGCACCGTCGTCAGCTCAACACACCCAGAAGATATCTTCCTTGGTTCTTCCGGAGCCCTGGTACCGGGCTTCGAAGCCCGGATCATGACCCCCGAGAACGAAGAGATCACCAAATACGACACCCCCGGCGAGCTGGTCGTCCGTGGCCCCAGTGTCGTTCTGGGCTACCTGAACAACGAAAAAGCAACCAAGGAGACCTTCGAGGACGGTTGGATGCGAACTGGTGACGAGGCCGTGGTCCGTCTGAGCCCCAAGGGCATCGAGCATGTCTTCATCGTCGACCGGATAAAGGAGTTGATCAAGGTCAAGGTACGTGTGACGTCACTCTTGGTTGTTATTTCCGCACTAACACGTCCCAGGGTCTGCAGGTCGCTCCCGCCGAGCTGGAGGCTCACCTCCTGGCCCATCCTGCCGTCTCAGATGTTGCTGTCATTGCCATTCCCGACGACCGCGCTGGAGAAGTTCCCAAGGCTATTGTTGTGAAGGCTCCTGGTGCGGGATCTGATGAGGAATTGGCCAAGACTCTGACAAAGCACGTTGAAGACCACAAGGCTCGCCATAAGTTCTTGAAGGGTGGCATTCGATTTGTGGATGCCATCCCCAAGAGCCCTAGTGGTAAGATTCTCCGTCGGTTGATCCGGGACCAGGAGAAGGAGGCACGCCGCAAGGCCGGTGCTAAGCTCTAGATTGGTGATGCAATACACATTTCAACTTTGAAACAAAGTCTGTACAATATATCCAGATTCCGCATGAACATTTCTCATTTTGAGCTTCATTTTCTTTCATTCTTTATATATGTAGATCAGAAGATTGGCCAGTGATGGACCAGTGCTGCTCTAGGTAGATCCACATCCACTCATATGTGGATTTTGCAAGGTTTGGACAGCAGAATGGTATAAAGCAGAGGCTGGACTGGAAGGGTCTAGAAAAAACATTTCAAAGCCAAATTCCCCTGCGCATCATTCTCATGCGTCCCAGCAGGCGCATCAAAAGCGGTCAGCTAGGCGGTCAGAAAGATGGCTCAATCTGCCGCGGGGAGTGGATTTCTAAGCGGGGATGGGTCAGAAAAAAGATTCCGAGTAGCAAGTGTCGCCTCTCCGTAATTTTCTTGAGAACTATCTCTTGTTTTGATCCTGCTTGCAAGATCACCCAAAGAGACACTCTCAATATATTTGGATAAGCACTCCATTTCGTCCAATTCCTCCCGAGACCATTCTTGCTAGACCCTAAAAATGTCTTCGAACGACCCCCACCACGAGAACCAGGATGAGTATCTCCAGGCTGATGACGCCGAGGAGATCTTCGACCGTGATGAGGACCAGGACATGGATGTGGATGGAGAATATGACGACCAAAACATGACCATCGAGGATGAGATCACTTTCCAAAACGATTCGGCGGCACACTTCGACTCTCACACAGACTCTGTGTTCTGTGTTGCTCAGCACCCCGTTCACAACCACATTGTTATCACTGGCTCCGGCGATGACTCCGCATACATCTTTGATTCCACTCCCGCGCCCCGCCCCGTTCTCCCATCAAGCTTTGAGACCACTCCTCAGCCACGCGAGCGTGAAGCTCTCACTCCTCTGGCTAAGCTTGACGGCCACACTGATACCGTCAATGCTGTCACTTTCACTGAGCCCACTGGAGAATATGCTATCACGGCTGGTCTGGATGGCAAGCTGCGCGCTTACCGGGATACCACCCCCCAGAAGACTGGACTCGCGTGGGAGTTCTTCGGTGAGGCCCAGGAAGTGGAGGAAATCAACTGGATGGCAGTTTGTCCTTACCAGAAGGGCAGCGATGAAAAGAAGAATGTTATTGCCATCGGTGCCAATGACGGCAGTGCGTGGGTCTTCCGCATTGATCACACCGACGCCGCCAACCCCATCTCCATCATTCAAACCTTCTTCTCGCACACCGAGTCCTGCACCGCAGGTGCCTGGACGCCCGATGGAAACCTTCTCGCCACTGTCTCCGAGGACGGAAGCTTCTTCGTGTACGATGTCTTCGGAGCCGCTGCCGCTGCCGGCATTGAGTACTCCCCGGGTACCAATGCCGTTCTTGGTCTGAACGCGGAGGATCAGCGTTTCGCCGTCATTGGTGGTCTTTACACCATCGCCATCTCTCCCAGTGGAGGTATTGCCGCAGTCGGTGGTGCCGAAGGCAACATCCGTGTTGTTGGTCTTCCTCGCATTACTGCATCTGGCCCATCGGCCAAGGGCAAGGGCGCAGCCCCCAAGTCCGCCGGTGCCACTGCTGCAGGCACAATCATGGCCTCTCTGCAAACTCAGACTGACAACGTGGAGTCTCTGTCTTTCTCCCAGGCTCCCTTCACTCTTCTGGCTGCCAGCTCAGTTGATGGATCAATTGTGATGTACGATGCTGCTCATCGCTTCGCGGTCCGCAGACACATCCAGGAGGCCCACGACGGAGCACCCGTTGTTAAGGTTGAGTTCCTTCCCAGTAACCGCCAGGCCGGTGCTCCGGTTTCCGGACCCCTTGCTTCCGCCTCTGCGGCTCAGAACAACCGTTCCTGGATGCTTACGTCTGTTGGTCTCGACGGTGTCGTTCGACGCTGGGACGCTCGTGGTGGTACCACCGCCGCTGCTCAGGGATTGATGCAGGAGTGGAAGGGACACATGGGCCTGACCGAGAACGAGGATGGTGAACAATCTGGCGGTATCATGGGCTTTGTGCAGAACTTCGACGGAAAGCGCATTGTCACTGCTGGTGACGACGGCATCTCCTTGGTGTTCGAGGAGTAATTTTATTTGGAAATAAATAGAGAGATGCCCGCAGTTTAGTGGGGCTTCATGTCGATAATGATATTACGTGTGTATAGATGTTCAAGTCAAACCAATGCTGCAGTACCCGAAACCACCACTCCTTTCGAAATTTGATAGTAGCACAAATGCCCGGGCAAATGCCCGGGCAAATGCGTACATTGCATTATTCCAATACGTATTCTTAAACTTCGAATCGGCCTCAGCGTCAAGTCTGTGCTTCCAACGAGCAACGGAATCCCTATACCCAGCAACAGCCAGGCTAGCCATGGTTAAGTGATCAATTCAACCGAACAGTAAAGAGATATTTCGTTGTGATAGTGGAACAAAAGCTATGTACATTCGACAAATCAAACCCAAAGCGCCATCTGGAAGCCACACTCCTCATAGACCACGAGAAGCTGGATCTCCACCTGGACGCAACGACAACACCTGGTATCAACAGATCAGGTGGTTTCATCCAGAACCTAACGGCGGTTTGCGCGGAGGCGAGTCGACTCTTGGTCGCCTGGGGTATACGTCCTCCACTCGATAATCGGCCAGTCCGCGGCATTCTCAATTGGTCTCCAGGGACTACCTTAGTGGTGTCCATCGCCGTGGTGAGCGTCACCGTGGTGGTCATCCTTCAGGAAGAAGTGCTCGTATGTGCAGTAGCCGGCGAAAGCGACAGTCGCGATACCGAACCCGGGGAAGAGGCCCTTGAAGCGGTTGAAGCGGCTGAAGGGGCCATAGTAGCGCCAGGCCTCACTGTTTACAGTTAGAATCCATTGAATGCAGCCCAGATATCCGATCGGTTGACATACTTGCGAGCCCAAGGGTCCCGCTTAGCCCAGCTGGAAGATGGGGAGGCCGCGGCCTTGAATTGGGCGATATCGAAGCCGGTGGGGTTGCGGGCGGGCATTGTGAGGGATATGTTTGTGGAAGTGACCGGAAGACAGAGATAGAGAGAAATCAAGGGCAGTAGCTGAGGTCCCTTAGTCCGCAATCGTCCAAGTGACTATGAGAGGAGCCGAAGATGAGGAAAAGAGGTGTGCTTGGCAATCTACCCGCGCTAACCACATACGGCAGCCCTTTAGCTCTCCCGCCTTGGACTTCGAAGGACGAAACTGTCACTTCATCAATGCGCATCGAGACACAATGCCACCTCCCGTCGGCAGATATGGGCCATCTGGTCTAGGTGCCCCCTACAACATACAACAATCTCACATTCAATCCCATCCCCACGCACAGTCTGCCAACACACTCCCTCCCCCTTCGCTTGGTCATCCCGGCTTCGCGGGCAACCCAAATACCAACATCAACCCATTTACACTCTCCGGCGCCGGCATTGCGAATGGTATGTCCGTCGCTGGGTTTCCGGGGGCGGGTGCGGATGGTGGTGGTACTGGACTGGCTAGCCATGCGGCACAGATGGGATTCGCGCGCGGTGCGCAAATGCAACAGGCACAACTACACCAAGGTCATGACGGTCGCTTAGCACTCGAAGCCAAGGGAGGTGCGGTGAAGTCCAGGATCAGAGATGTCTGGAAGCACAACCTGGCCCATGAGATGGCGGTGCTGCGTCAGTTGGTCGACAAATACCCGTATATCAGCATGGTGAGGATCATCTGTGTGGGGTCTTCGTGTGCAACGGACTCCTTTAAGTCCGAAGTAAGTGAGGGCTAACCAAAAGCTAGGACACCGAGTTCCCTGGAATTGTCGCACGACCGATCGGATCATTCTCAAACAAAGCGGATTACCATTACCAAACCTTACGGTGTAATGTCGACCTTCTGAAGATGATCCAACTGGGAATTACCCTATTCAACGACGACGGAGAAGTTCCCCCAGCTTCAGGTGGAGATGGAAACGGGCAAGCATACGGCGTTCCTGCTCCTTGTACATGGCAATTCAACTTCCGATTCTCGCTGGAAGGTGACATGTACGCCCAAGAGTCAACAGCGATGCTGGCCAAATCCGGAATCGATTTTGCCAACCATGAAAAGAATGGTATCGATCCCTTTGAATTTGGTGCACTCCTAATCAGCTCTGGATTGGTGTTGCTCGACGACGTCCACTGGGTCTCATTCCACTCTGGATACGACTTTGGCTATCTGATGAAGATCATGCTTTGCTCCCAACTTCCCGAGAACGAAGAGGAGTTCCACAAGCTTCTCACAATCTTCTTCCCATCACTCTATGATATCAAATACCTCATGAAACACGCTGGGCGCAATCAGGCCGTCAATGGATCGCCCCTCACCCCCGCAGCCGCACAAATCCTCACCAACCTGGGACAAAAGTCCGGTCTGCAAGATATTGCCGATGAACTTGGTGTCAAGCGCCTTGGAATCGCCCACCAGGCTGGATCCGACTCTCTGGTCACCGGTGAGATCTACTGGAAGACCCGACAGCTTATCTTCGGCGGTGTGATTGACGAGAGCAAATACTCTGGACAAATCTGGGGCCTCAATGGACAGATGCCTGCAATGGCCTACAACATGGCCCAACAGACGCCAAACCTCAACGGTGCCACCATCTACCCCGGCACTCCAAGCACCCCCAACACTGGGTCTCACGGAGCTGGCGCCCACACACCGCAACACCACGGAGCGGGCTACCAGGCCGTGACCCCGGGGGCCTATCAAATGGGTCGCGCATAAGCTCAAGCCCTTAGAGTCGGGGCTGATACGATATGATGTATGTACATAGGCACGATAACATCGTGTGCTTTTTCCTTCAAACTTCGGCATTGTCTTCACGCCGGGCTGAGCATGGATATTGCCTGTGCTGCAGTTCCCGCGTCTGGACGACGGTGTTGGGCAGGAAGGTGCCTGGCGTTTGACATGGTTGGTTTCGAATCCATTTCTGAGGCGTTGACAGGTTCTATCATTGGCCTTGTGCCTTTCGTTCTTGTCATCTAGGTCGTTTTATTTCATTTACGCTGTAGCTAGATCGACCTGTATCCTACTCAAAGGAAATCTGGTTTCTTCTCATATTTACTTGACATTAATCAATACGTAAAAGTAGACATCTTGCCAGCCCTTGTTCACCCTGTTACTATTGGACGGGAGTAACACAATTCCAAGGTCCAGGGGTTAGCTGCGAAAAAAACAACCTCGATCAATTGCAGACCGCCCAAGCCGAGTTCTCGCATTCTATGACCCCGCGATGTGACAAACGTGAATTATCCCACCGGCAAGATCCAAAGCCATATGCAGGCAAGCATCTGATTACCGTATTTGGACTAAACTGGTCACACTAACCCTAATCAGGGTATAGGATCCGGCCTCCGCAAAACCGCCGTCTATCTAATCGGAGCGAAGTATATCCTGGGGGTCGAGCTCATTGCTACAAATACCCTGCAGGCCCAGGCCTCATATCCACTATTCTATACAGATCACTTGCTTCGGAATCGCTTCGGCTTGATCAACTTAACCATGGTTCTTGATCGTCTCCAGCAATTGACCCATCAGGTCAGCGCAACAGCACCACCGCCTCATCCATTGGATCCTCTGTCTACATCGGAGATTGACAATGCCGTGAGCATCATCCGTAAAGAGCATGGATCACTCAACTTCAATGCCGTCACTTTGTACGAGCCTCGCAAGGCCCAGATGATGGCCTGGGTAGCAGACCCTGAACATGCTCCTCGCCCTGTCCGAGCTGCCGATGTCGTGGCTATATCATCAGATGGAAAGGTCTACGATGGTGTTGTAGACCTGGACAAGAAGAACATCACCAAATGGCAGCACACACCTGGTGTCCAGCCTCTCATTACCATGGAGGACTTGCAAGAGGTCGAGCATGTCGTGCGCAAAGATCCCAAGGTTATTGAGCAGTGTGGAATTATTGGAATTCCCAAGGAGGACATGCATAAAGTCTACTGTGACCGTGGGTAAACACCCTCCATGACTCCCCGAACGGTGCTAATTCGCTCTCTAGCATGGACTATTGGATATGACGAGCGCTTTGGAACTGGTGTCCGCCTCCAGCAAGCTCTCATGTACTACCGTCCTCATCCAGATGACTCTCAGTACACCTTTCCACTAGACTTTTGCCCTATCTTCAACGCCGAGACCAAGCAGATCATTCACATTGACGTTCCACCTGTGAGGAGACAAGTGAACAAAGCCGCTCCCAACAACTATCACCCTGCCGCAATTGAGCAAGAGGGTGGATTCCGCACCGATATCAAGCCCATTCATATCACCCAGCCCGAGGGTGTCTCCTTTGAGGTCAAGGGTAGAACGATCGAGTGGCAGAATTGGAGCATCCACGTGGGCTTCAACTACAAGGAAGGAATCGTTCTCAACAACATCACATTCAACGACAAAGGCAATGTCCGGCCAGTATTCTGGCGTCTTTCTTTGGCAGAAATGGTTGTTCCCTACGGAAACCCCGAGCACCCCCATCAGCGCAAGCACGCTTTCGACCTGGGTGAATATGGTGGCGGATACATGACCAACAGTCTGGCACTGGGCTGTGACTGCAAGGGTGCAATTCACTATATGGATGCTGCTTTCGTCAACCGAGCCGGTGCAAGCACTATCATCAAGAACGCTATCTGCATCCACGAAGAGGACGCCGGAATCCTTTTCAAACACACCGATTTCCGTGACGAGTCGATGGTTGTCACTCGTGGACGCAAGCTCATCATCTCACACATCTTCACTGCTGCAAACTATGAGTACTGCGTATACTGGATCTTCCACCAGGATGGTACCGTCCAGCTTGAGATCAAGTTGACCGGTATTCTCAACACCTACTCTCTGAACCCAGGCGAGGACACCAAGGGCTGGGGAACTGAAGTATACCCCGGTGTGAACGCGCACAACCATCAACATCTATTCTGTCTGCGCGTGGATCCCAACATCGACGGACCAAACAACACAGTCTTCCAGGTCGATGCCGTCCAGGGACCTGGCGAGGTTGGCAGTGCCGAGAACAAATACGGCAATGCCTTCTACGCCAAAAAGACCAAGTTCTCCACTCCCCTCGAGGCCATGTCCGACTACGATGGATCTACCAGCCGAACATGGGAAATGGCAAACACCAACAAGCTGAACCCATACAGCAAGAAGCCCGTGTGCTACAAGCTCGTCAGCCGAGAAGTCCCTCCCCTCCTGCCCAAGGAGGGCGGACTGGTTTGGAAGCGAGCAGGATTCGCCCGCCACGCCGTGCACGTTACAAAGTGTGAGTACTTTCATCCAACAGTCTCTGAATATACCGCTAACATACACAGACGATGACGACCAAATTCACCCCGCTGGCCGCCACGTCCCACAGACATCTGGCGAGCCATCTGCAGGTCTCCCGGCGTGGATCGAGGCCGCCGGCCCTAACAGCTCTATCGACAACACAGACGTTGTCCTCTGGCATACATTCGGTCTTACTCACTTCCCTGCGCCGGAGGATTACCCCATCATGCCTGCTGAGCCGATGACGCTTCTGCTCCGTCCTCGACACTTCTTTGAGAGAAACCCTGTTCTTGATGTTCCGCCTAGCTTCGCGCGTACACCGACGCAGGTGGCTGCTGGTGCTGGGGCGTGTGGCTGCAAGAAGAGTGATGGATCGAGTGTTTTGGTATAATCCTTGGCCGGTGTGATTGATCCTGAGGGCTTCCAATGTTTGTTTTATTGCATACAAGGCGTTGGTAACATCCAATTTAACATCCAAAGTTTGATTTTGATTTTGCCATTCATTAAATTCTTCTTCGTATAGAATAGTAGTCTCTGGTCTTACTCGAGGTTCACAATTAAAAATACCTAGTAAGGGAAATGTCGGAGGTGTGCTTCGAAACGGTGCAAGAAAAAGACCTCCACGGGACGATATATAGTTCGGCACTCGGGCAGTTCCAAGTTACACAATTCTCTCCACCTGGGCAGGCCTTTTTCTTGGATATTGATTACTCTACCTTAAGAGAAATGTACTTGTATCCCGATTATGAATCTCGATTCATTCATGCTTCCAAGCTTGGAACGCTCTAATCCCAGGTAAGCATCCATTGGAAAGGACCTCGGGAGAGGGGAGAAAAGGTCACGTTTACACCAAGCTTGGAAGAAAAAGACGCTCAGGGCTGAGGGCAATTCCAAGGTTGTATATTTAGCGGACAGGCTGTATAAATGCCACCATACCTAATGCCGACCTCGGGATCACATCTTGATTGTAACATAAGAGAACACAAGGACTCTCGAAGGAAATCCAACAATATGCATATCGTAACAAACCCATTGAACACCAACGCCCGAAGAACTCAAGAGAGAGGGAATCATAATAGAACCAACTCAGCAACAAAACAATACAAAATCAAGTTCAAGCCTTCAACCCTCTCAGCAAAGCCCTGTCCACCTCCTCCAACAACGCAAACAACTCCTTCCCACCCTCACTCTCCTTCCCCTCAATATCCAACCCCTTATGCAAAAACTTCCTACTCTCCTCATACCTCCCCATCTCCGCCAAACTCTTCGCAATCCTCCACCAAGCCTTCACATTCCCCACCGGCTTCGAATCCACACTCGCCTTCGCATCCACCAACCCCTCCGGCCAAGCCTGCTGAGCCATCCACGCCTGCGCCCGATTCCCATAAAGCCCCGCCAACTCTTCGCGCGCCACGCCCACAGGCTCCCACCCAGGCCGGGCAAGACCCATATCAATAGCGTATGTGTACAGCTTGATGGCCTCGTCGTAGTTGGACTTGCGGTAGGCGGTATTGGCGCTGTCGCGCAGCTTGCTGATTTGCGCGCTGCGCTTGGGGTTCAGTGGCAATGGGGCTGGGGGGATGTTGGGGGGGTCGAGGGAGATGAGGGAGCGGTGGAGTGTGTTTAGCTCTTCGAGCTCGGTGGTGAGCAGGGCTTTTTGGGCAGGGGTTGTGCTGCTTAGGAGTGAGAGGGCCTTGGAGGCTGGATCCATGTGGATCGGATATTGGTTGTAGATGTCGATTTCGCTGGCCATTTTGATGCGTCTTGGTTGGATGGGTTCGAGTTGGGACTGGAGGGTTGGGTTAGTATGTTGCTTCGGTATGCGGGGGGTTGGAGCTGGGATGGTTGTCTCAATGGGATTTTCTTCTTACCAGATAGTCAGTCTCTTCTGGAGAACTATTCAGTGCGAATCGTGATGTGTCAAGTAAGGCAAGCTGTCCATAAATCCGATAGGATGAGCGGTGGCAGAAAACGGTCTTATCGACAACTGGGCGCCAGGGCCTCCAAGAGTAAACATCGAGTCAACTTATTGAATATGACCTTTTACTCAACAATGGGAATGAAAATAATTTGACACTTTTACATACAGGTATCTATGATTTCCTACATTCAAACCAAACGGACATACAGTCGTAAACCTGGGACCCGTGGGCCCCAAGAAACATGGAGAAGCCCCGAAGCACTGAAGCGCCCAACACCGCTCCATGGTCAATTCCACGCAAAACGAGAACAAGAAAACAAGAGGCGAAGAAAGAAGAAGTCAAGAGCTCGCCTCCCGTGCTAAGATACTAGGCCACACCCTTAGCTAGGCCGCCTTCCATATCCACCTGCAACAGACGAGCCGCCGAACCCAGAAGGCGCAGTGTACTCGGAAGGAGTGTATTCCACATTCGCAAACTGATCGGACGGGCCGGAGTTGTAGTGTTGACCGTGCGCACCACCGTATCCAGTGTTGTTGTAGTCGTGGAGAACGCCGCCAGGCGCAGGGGCAGTGGGGTCGTAGGAGCCTTGCAGAGCGGACCGGCCGTGCGCATTGCTCATGTCATCGACTTCACTCTGTTGGAGGAGAGCGTAGTCCTCATCCTGGTCACCGCGCGAGGATGCGCCCATGCCAGCGCGGCCGGAGCGGAAGTCATCCTCGTCGTCTTCGAAGTCGTGTGCTGGGTTAGATGAGAAGGCGGCTTTGCTTTGCGCAGCGAACGTGGGGTCTGAGACGGCGTCTGGGAGGGTTCCCGTGCGACGGAAGTGCGCGACGTTGCGGAAGGACATGAATGTCGTGACCGCGAAGAGAATGCTGGGACCTGGTTAGTTTGGAATCATGGGTTTGGGGGCTATTTGTCGTACAAGATGAAGACACCGATGATGGTGGTCGCCTCGCTCAGCTTGCACTTGGTTGCGCCTCCATAGCGCCAGTTATCACAACCAGTCTTGGTGCTGTCGCTGTCGCTGTCTGTTGCTCGCTTGGTGCTGGACTTGGAGTCTGAGTCTGAGTCGGACTTGGTCTCGGCGCCTAGTGATTTACCCTGGGCGACGTAGGATGCGAGGCAGATCCAGGCGCTGGCCCAGAGGATCGTGTAGAGAGCGTCGACACTGGCGAAGGCGTAGACATTACCGAAGCGACGGGCTCGTGGCCACATCGGAACTGCGACCAGGTAAACTAGGCCGGGGATACTCAACCAGCACTTGGGTGGGTCAGCACGGCTCTCAGCGGGTTCAGTCACGGAATTCTCACCAGTCCCCAGTACCATCCTGTTCGGCCATCAATGCCGCCCTTTTTCGTCCAGATCGCGATGGTCAAAGCCCATGCGATGAAGATGATGAAGGCTTGTACGAAGTGTATGATGTTTTTCGTCCGCCCGAGGCCACCTGACGGCCGTGGCATCTGGAACTTCATGTTTGCTGCAAGGGTGTCGCAACCCTAGTGTCGCCCGGAGGGGTTGCAGGTGTGATAGGATAAAGAGCTGACTTATGAAGTCATACGAGAAGTGAAGAAGTCGACTCTGATCGGGGAGAAGTGCCGTGTTTTGTTTTGATCGGTACTTTCGCGGTCGACTGTGGAGAGAGTGGAACAGGCGGAACGGGTGAAACAAGGACGAGAAGAGGGAGTGAGAAGATGAGGATATGTTGGAGAAGTCAATCTCAGATGTAATTCACTTATTATTTCTCCGTCGACGATCGCCCAGGCGACAGCGCTATTTCGGGAACTCCGCCACAGCTGAAATCTTGGCATTTCCGAATTGATCATCTCTACAGTACGTATACTCCCGGATTACGGAGTGTGGTGGACTCTGCCGAAAAGTTTCAGGTTAATGCGATCGATCCGCTTTTTGTCGGGCATTCCTAGGGCTTCATCTTAGGCACACTGTCCCTGGTGGATCTTGAATGACGACGCCCTGATTTAGGCGAACATGGAGATGCGCCGATCTTGTCTGCCTTGGGCTATTCATAAGTCTCATCGTTCACTTCCATATGCTCATAATCATTACCAGTCCTTCGCAATCAGTATCCTTTCAGACCGGCCTCCCGGGTCTGTTTCACCATCATCCAGACCTCTCGCAAAGGTCGATAAACATGCACCTCCCACCACCATGGAAGAGGATCGAGAAGCGCGAACTGTGGATCTTTCCAGAACAACAAGCGGACCAGCTCGGATCCTGCCACTTCTACAAGGGTGAGCACAAAGTGCAGGAAGGAAAACTGCAGGAATGCAGCGGGGAGAATGGCAGCTCCCGCGAATGTTTTGGGAGGTGTCGAGGTCAATGTGGCGGTGATGGCACCGGTATCGACAGGATTAGAGGGGAACACAGAGAGATAGCCCGCGACAGGGCATGGGACGTCGCTTAACAGGTTCTCCATCACTTTCGCGCCAGATGAACATCCAGCGATGTAGATGGAGTGTCGGACCGAATGCGCATCGAACTCCTCGTCGATCAGTAGCCTAACGGTCAAATGACCAGTCGAACGCACACCACATTTCGTCGCCAAACTCTGCATCAGCGTCTGAACAGCAGCACTTAGAGCCTGGTCCAAGCGGGAAGATCCCCACGAGGGATCGGCATCCGACAAACGGACTTTGATGGCCTGGATCTGCCCACGAACAATCAAGAGATCAGCGAACAACTCGCCAAGCCTGGACTGCTGCTGTAGGATCCATGGTCTCTCTTGTGTGATTTGGATCTCACTGATGCAGGTGTAAGTTTTGCTGAGTGTTCGTCGCGGCAAGAGCAAGGCGCGATCATTCGCAGTAGGGGTCGCGCGCGAGATCCGATACGACTTGGAGGGTGAGCGATGCAAGATCTTATGCACCGAGTCGCGGGAGTTGACCCTGTGATATTCCAGCACGGGAAGGCCTCTGTCCGTCACGAACTTCATGAAAGACTCCGAGCTCGCAAAGCAAATGGCCAGGTTTTCGTCGAAGGTGATGCATTTACAACTCGTGCGGCTTTCCACCATCTGTCGGGCTGTGGCATCTTCAATCGAGGTCACCTTGGGTGAGCAAGGGATCCACATATCGACTTTCTCGCGGTGGATAACATCCAGTAAGCGCGAGATGTAGTGATCCTTCGGGATGCGGTAGAATGCCACCAGCGTTTTCGACATGCTTCCCCCCGACCGAATGGGTAAGTCGAGATCTGTAACATCTGCCCCGATCACGCAGTGGCCTTCCGCCGCCCACGCTCTCGCGAGCTTTAGGCCATGAGTGGTGCCGATGCCCGTGATGAGGATGGTTTTGGGGTAGAAGCGCACATTGCGCTTTGGTCTGCGGGGATTGAGTCGAAGATAAGCGAGCGATGCAGCGAGGATGAGAATCGTATTGTCCAAAAAGATGAGTGAGAATGAGAGAGCTATGCGGAGGAGATGCCAACAGGCATGTGACCATGGGAGTGTGGCCTTGGCTTGGGCCATGGCCTCTTAACGTTGGAAGTAAGGGACCGCAGCTACGGCCTGTGATATAACCAAGGCATATAGTGAAAGAGCAGTGAAGAAAACAGAATATTGAGGCCTGAGAATGTGAGGTGGCTGGTCAATGAGGGGGGGCTTGGCCTGCAGGGTTAGTGTGTAACCCACCCCGTTCAAGTGTTCGAGTCTGCATAGATCTGAGCTTATTCGGATCTCCAGTTGAGATCTCTTGAGTACAGATACATTGCTCGAGTCAGTAGATCGATGGAAATTTCCTAATCTGTGTTAATTCCGAGATCAGATCTCCCAACGCTCTCGGTAATAATTGCCTGAAGCAATACCTCCGAGCTGTTCTCCGAACAATATCTCCATGGAAATCCGAGTGAAATTCCATCTATGGGATGATACATCATCTCCGGAGGCAATTGGCGATGCTCTCTTAAGTAGCTATTCCCGAAAGTATAAAGCCGACCTCGGGATCTTGGGATATAAGGGCGCCTGCCTGACATCCTGAACTATATCCAGACAAATCCCAAGTTTCTTTCTCCAAACTACTTCCATACCAGTCACAGTACTCATATTCACCATGTCTGCCGAAGATCACTCAGTATGTACTTGACCACTTTCTCCGCAGTCCAGGATCCAACTGACAGCGATGCAGCGCGCACCAGGCCGAGAGCTTAAGCTCCTGCACTTCATCTATGAACAACCAAATCTCGAGGAGATCCGAGGCCACCCTCAGAAAGTCCTGGGTCTCATCCACGAGTTCGAGAAAACCTACCACTTCATGAACGTAGGTGCAGAGAAAGGCAAGATCGTCACCGACCTGATCGACGAGGTCAAACCAAAGACCATGATCGAGCTCGGCTGCTACGTGGGCTACTCAGCCATCCTGTTTGGAGACGCCGTGCGCCGAAATGGAGGCGAACGCTACCTCAGTCTCGAGCTGAACCCGGAGTTTGCAGCCATTGCCAATATGCTCGTTGAGTTGGCCGGATTGCGTGATTTCGTTCGCATCATTGTCGGCCGAAGTGACGTCTCTCTTCACAAACTGCTCACGTCCGGTGATTTGACTAAGGTGGGAATTCTTTTCCTCGACCATTACAAACCTGCGTACACGACCGACCTCAAGTTATGTGAGCACTTTGGAGCCATCGGGCCTGGCTCGGTCCTTGCGGCGGATAACGTGCTGTACCCGGGGAACCCACCATATCTGGAATATGTGCGCAGTTCCGTGGCGCGCAAACGAGAGGTTGCTCAGGCTGGACCTTCCACGGGGTATGATACCACTGGGATCCTTGAGCGGGCGGTACACTCTTTTGTGGGGAAAGACGATGCGCCCACCTTCCAATTTGTCGGGAACCCGAATTTGGTATACGAGAGTCGGCTGTGTCAACCTGCGGGATTGAAGGTACGTTCGGGATTCTTTTTCCGGTATTTTGCTAACCATTCGTAGGATGCTGTTGAAGTGACGAGATGCGTGGGGGTCGAATAGATGGCGGCACCAGCCGACGGCCATGAGCCCATATGATTTATAATATCCAGAATGAAGATTTGAAGCTTGAAAGTCCAGGCACACAGTGCTCCGGGTAAACATAGAGTGGCACGTTGCCACTTCGGGAACCCGACCCCACCTGTGACGGTTCCGGAGACGGTTCCGGAGACCTGCCGTCGCCAGGACCTTCCTCTGCCCCGCCATGTGAACCTCCGGGGTTATATAAGGTATACAATTGCCCATCAAAAACAGATCAACAGTTTCTATCTTCACCATGGCTTCCAAGACTTATAACGTTGGCGTTGTTGGCTACGGCTTCAGCGCAAAGATCTTCCACATTCCTTTCGTGAATGAGGTCCCCGAGCTCAAGCTCTATGCTGTCGTCCAGCGTACTCCCAAGGCCGATGATGATGCTGAGAAGGATCACCCCGGCGTGAAGTCCTTCCGCACGACAGAGGAGATGGTCCAGGACTCTGCCATCGACGTTGTGATCATCACCACTGCTCCGGATTCCCATTTCGCTCTCACCAAGCTGGCACTGGAGGCCGGCAAGCACGGTATGCGCCCCCAGCCGCCTTCGACGGATCAATTGTCCACTAACACGCGCCAGTCGTCTGCGAGAAGCCCTTTACCCCCACTACCCAAGAAGCCGATGAGCTCGTCGCCATCGCCAAGAAGCACAACAAGCAGCTCGCCGTGTTCCAGAGTATGTCACCAATTCCACAGCCACCCTCCGTGTACTAACTCTTTCTAACAGACCGCCGCTGGGACGCCGATTTCGTCACCCTCTCTAAATTGATTAAGAACGGTTCCCTCGGCCGTATTTCCGAGTTCGAAACACACTTCGACCGCCACCGCCCCGAGGAGCCCGCCGCTGACGCGCACGCCTGGAAGAACAAGGTCATCCCCGGTGGTTCCGCCATCTATGATCTCGGTGCTCACCTCCTCGACCAAGCCGTGCATGTCTTCGGCCTGCCCGCACGCGTGACGGGCTTCATCGGCTCTGCCCGCGCCGTCAACTCCTCCTCCTACGAAGACGCCTTCACCGTGCTGCTCCACTATGCCAATGGCACCATGGTTACCGCCAAGGCGACAGTGGTCAGCCCTGAGGACGAGCAGCTGCGCTTCTGGGTGCGCGGTGAGAAGGGTAGCTTCAAGAAGTTCCACCTCGATATCCAGGAAGATCAGCTCAAGGCTGGTATCATGCCTCAGGATAAGGGATATGGCCGCGAGCCTAGCGAGCGCTACGGTACCCTGACTACCATTCAGGATGGTAAGCCTGTGAAGGAGGTTGTTCCTACGGTCGAGCCTCCCACTTACACTGAGTACTACCGCAAGTTGGTGCGTGCTCTTGGCGGTGAGGGCGAGCTTCCTGCTAGCGGTGCGGAGGCCCGTGAGGTCATTCGACTGATTGAATTGGCTCGCGAGAGCTCCCGCACTGGCCAGACTTTGAATGTTTAAGTGGGGACACGATGTTATGAGTACTGAGACGAACAATTGCACATATATCATTATCAAGAGAATCAAAAATAGCATTCTAGTACAGCACATACATGATACACTTGGATATTCCTAGACGGGCATATAGTACTCGCCGCTCGGCAAAATATAAGGTATGACGACACCAATGCCAAGCCACTAAACCCCAATAAGAATTTCTGTTACCAAATGCAAACCCTCCGTGAGCCAGTGAGACTTCGCGCAGCTCTGAACTCCAATGGCGCAGGGAAAAGCGCCAGGACGGAGTATGTGCCGTGTGAGACCCGCGGAGAAGCAATCTTGCGTGTACAGGCGCCCCGATGAGTGATCTACCTGTTCCATGGCAGGGCTGAAAGGTCCTCGCGGATAAAACCCAACATGGCCTACGGCTGTAAGGAGCACCAAGCAATGGCACTCTCCCAACCCTCGACCTGGCACATCGACATCGACTACTACCTCGATCGAATAGTCCCCACACCACGATGGCATCTCATCCCCAAACCCATTGCCCATATGCTCGGGCACCGGGAGAGCCCACCCAAACCGCTCGGGAACATCCTCATCGCATGCTGGTCATTAGTAGGAGCATTCTGCGGGGTTGCGCTAGTGGCCTCAGTATCGAAAAGAGTACCGTCATTTGAAGCGCGAGATGCGCCTGCCATCATCGGCAGTTTTGTAAGTCTGCCCATGAATCGGATCGAAAAGATGCTTTTCAAGACAACGAACTAACCCACATAGGGTGCAGCAGCCGTTATAGAATTCTGTGCGATTGACTCACCATTTGCGCAGCCACGCAACGCACTCCTCAGCCAGATGATTGCGTGTGGGATTGGCGTTGGAATCGCGAAACTGTTTGCCCTCAATCCGGCCGCAGAGGCGTATACCGAGCTCGGCGGCGCGCTGGCATGTGCGCTGACAACGGCGGTCATGTTGTTGACGAATACCGTGCACCCGCCGGCGGGTGCGACTGCGCTGCTGGCTGTGACGAATGCGCAGACCGCGGCATTGGGCTGGTTCCTTTTCCCGATCATGTTGCTTGGGGTGGTGCTCATGCTTGCTGCGGCGGTGGTGATTAATAATGTTCAACGGAGGTATCCGTTGTATTGGTGGACTTCGACACCGCTATCTCTGCATCGGGGGGATTTGGAAAAGAGGCAGAAGGAGGAAATGAGTGTGCCCAGTCACTATGAGGATAGTTTGACAGATGTGCCGAGGCGGTTGGTCCTTGAGCGGGGAGATATTCTGGTCCCTGATGGGGTTTTCCTCTCTGCTGAGGAGAAGGAGGTCTTGGAGAAGATCAGTGAGAGGATCTGATGGTCACACTGCGTCTTGTACATGACATAATGTCCGGCCTGACTCTTTCTGGTCATTCGGTCGAATCCCAGTGACAACAGACCTTGTCCTGGAAATGAAATGAAGTTCTCTTCTAATGTTGATATCGTTGATATCGACAGGTCTGGTTCTTGCCTCGAAGAGGAGTTTGCAATAGTCCTAGACGTATCCATAGTACTGTCCAGATGGCCCCATGAACTACCATGAGCGTTTGCATTTCTCCGGAGTCACCATGGCTGCACGCGAAAAATGCGAGACAGACGTGATAGTTTCGAGACGTCCATGGATACGACCTCAAGACTCGAGGTTATCAGCATAAAACTGTTCTCATGCAGCTGTCGGTTGTGGTTCTTTGCTGTGGAAGCCAAGGTAGCGTATATCGTGTCAGTCGGCATGGGATGTTCAGAAATCAGAAACAAGTCGAAGAGTGAGGCGAGCAGATATTGCATTCGAATCCGTCCACCGCAGCTTGGACTGTTATCTCTCCCAGCCCCAACATCTGATTTGTACATAAAATACCATGAAAAGTGAGGTATTTGTTTTGAAATTTATGAACTACATAGTGCGTTGAGTCGTATTAATCATGTATACATTCGTTATGACTCGTTCATCCTGTACCTTTGTTCTTTACCGATGAACCGAGCCCTTTAGCCCGGGAAATCAATCTTACTGCATTTCAAGAAGTACGCTGCATCCAACCAGTAATGCTGACATCCATAGCAGATGCCAAAGTCCCCCAATTGAGCTGTAAAACCCTTAAAGTGGCGAAATTCGACGCCGCAGGGCATTACTAATTCTGCAAACAGTGCAAACATGACATGGGCATAGGTGCGGTGACGTCTGTCCCAATCAGCGTTCACTTAACAAACCCACTGCGTTTGATTTTTTTTTTCTCTCCTCGCGGTCTTAAATATCTATTGTCTGAACGAAATTCCACGAGCAAAAGACACTTCGTCTGACTCTGCAATTTGGACTGTCTCACTCTGACGTCGACAGGATTCTATCGATAAGGGCACAACACTCCACTGCATTCGCGCCCCTCCATTTTTCCGCCCCGCCAGGCGATCCACTCAGCCTTTTTGCATTTCTCTTCAATCTCTTTTCGCTGCCTCACTTTTTTTCCCTCTTCCCCTCCTTTCACCACTCCCTTTTTTTCTAGTTTTTCCTTTTTTCTTTATACCCTCATATCGCAACCATGGTTTCCGCCTCGAAGGCTGCCCGCATGGCCAAGCGTGCCGAGGAGAAGAACGGCAAGAAGGACAACAAGGTCGAACTCGATGCCCACGGAAAGCCCATCGTCGAGGATGCCCCTGCCACCAAGGATCAGGGTGCCGTCGACAAGCTCACTGCCCAGATGGATAAGCACGGTCTGTCTGACCGTGTCACCACTGGTGTGCTGTCTTCTCTGCCCGCCTCTCGCGACGTTAAGATCACATCCACCTCCCTCGTGTTCCACGGAAAGGTTCTCGTCACCGATTCCACCCTCGAGTTGACTTTCGGTCGCCGCTACGGTCTCCTCGGTGAGAACGGTTGCGGAAAGTCCACTATCCTCAAGTCCATTGCTGCCCGCGAATTCCCCGTTCCCGAGCACGTTGATATCTACCTTCTCAACGAGGGTGCTCCCCCCACTGACTTCGGTGCCCTTGACTGGGTTGTCCGTGAGGCCGAGCGCCAGTTGGAGAACATGGAGAAGAAGGCTGAGGAGGTTCTCGAGGAGGAGGGACCTGACTCCCCTATCCTCGAAGACTTGTATGACGTACGTGTTTGATTTTTCTCCGTCTCTTCTCTTTCCTTTTTCGATTCAAGATGCTAACTACTCGACAGCGTATGGACAAGATGGATCCCTCCACTTTCCACGTTCGTGCTTCTCTCATTCTGACCGGTCTCGGTTTCAACAAGACTACCATCAACAAGAAGACCAAGGACATGTCCGGTGGATGGCGTATGCGTGTTGCCCTTGCCAAGGCTCTCTTCGTCAAGCCCTCTTTGCTCCTGCTTGATGACCCCACTGCTCACTTGGATCTCGAGGCCTGTGTGTGGCTCGAGGAGTACCTCAAGAAGTGGGACCGTACCCTGATCCTGGTCTCTCACTCCATGGATTTCCTCAACGGTGTCTGTACCAACATGCTGGACATGCGTGGCCAGAAGCTCCTCTACTACGGTGGTAACTACGACTCTTACCACAAGACCCGTAGCGAGCAGGAAACCAACCAGATGAAGGCCTACACCAAGCAACAAGAAGAAATCCAGCACATCAAGAAGTTCATTGCTTCCGCTGGTACCTACGCCAACTTGGTGCGTCAAGCCAAGTCTCGCCAGAAGATTCTCGACAAGATGGAGGCCGATGGCTTCATCCAGCCCGTCCTTGCCGACCGCGTCTTCACCTTCCGTTTCGCCGATGTCGAGAAGCTTCCTCCTCCCGTCCTGTCCTTCGACGACGTCTCCTTCTCCTACTCCGGTGAATGGGCCGATACCCTGTACGAGCACCTCGACCTCGGTGTCGACATGGACTCCCGTACCGCCCTTGTCGGCCCCAACGGTGTCGGCAAGTCCACCCTGCTCCGTCTCATGACCGGCAAGCTGAGCCCCATCGGCGGTCGTGTCTCCCGTCACACTCACTTGAAGCTCGGTGTCTACTCTCAGCACTCCGCTGAGCAGCTTGACCTCACCAAGTCTTCTCTCGAGTTCGTCCGTGACCGCTTCCCCGAGAAGTCCCAGGACTACCAGTACTGGCGCCAACAGCTCGGCCGTTACGGTCTTTCCGGTGAGGGCCAGACCGCCCTCATGGGTACCCTCTCCGAGGGTCAGAAGTCCCGTATCGTCTTCGCCCTGCTCGCCATCGAGTCCCCCAACATGATTCTGCTTGACGAGCCTACCAACGGTCTCGATATCCCCACCATCGACTCTCTGGCCGATGCCATCAACGCCTACTCTGGTGGTGTTGTTGTCGTGTCTCACGATTTCCGTCTCCTCGACAAGATCGCCAAGGACATCATGGTGTGCGAAGACAAGACCATCCGCCGCTGGGACGGCTCCATCGGAGACTACAAGAACTACCTCCGTAACAAGATGGTGTCTGCCGGCGCTGTCTAAGTTCTTTCTTCTTTGCACACTTTTTTCTTGTTTCTTTTTTACATGACGACGAAATGCTAGACGAGAACTGAAGGAATACAAATGCCCATCGAGGCACAAAAGTTTGGTTCCCGAATGGGACGTTCCAAAAGTTCCTTGGGTTGGGATGGGGTTCATTTTTTTCATTTTCTTAGATCGTTTGTCCTGTCACCTAGATGCGTCCGGGGGGCCTTGGACTTTTGCGCGTTGCTGTCATGATCATTCCCCTCGATTGGAGCAGACTCGATCAGTCTGCTCTTTGCTTTTTGTTTCTATCTTATCACGCATTCTAGATAGAGTATTTAGTCTCGCGATAAATATATGGGATGCCAATACTCACGTTTCAACCATGACCTTCTCACTATTTTGCAAACCTTTGATGGAATCGAGCAACAAAGACCTAGTATCTAGGTATTCCTTGTAAAGCGTCTTTGTCACGTCAACGCGCATCTCGAACAATCCATTGATTCTTTGGACAGCATCCTGTGCCTAATCACTCTTTGTCGAACCCTCGATAGTGCATTCGGTTATTATCTAAATATCAAGCCGTTACCTACCTTGAAAGCCATTGTTCCTCGAGTTAAACAAAGACACAGTCCCTACCTAGGTATCGAGCACCTTTGATACCTCTGGAAAAAGCCATTGTATATCTAGTACATCTTTATCCGACATCCGAACCCTCGATAGTATAACTAGCTCACCAACCTCCAGCCACGAGTCTTCAATCCCACCAACGAGTAACAAACCAAGCAACAGAACAACCAGCAGAACAACCAACAGAACAACCAACAGAACAAGCAGCAAATCCACAACCGACAAAATGATGATGGACAAGATGAACGGCCACCGCAGCATCCCCCCGTCCTTTGAGGAAACCTTCACCGACGTCTGTGAGACATTCAAGCATAAGCTCCAATGCCAAATTTACACCCTACAGAGCCCCTCGCCAAGCCAAGACCGCAAGACTATAGGCGAGCGTCTCGATGAACTGACTGAGAGAATCCACAGTATTGGAAGTTTGGCTCAAGCGGGCGAGATTCCTCCTCGGGATTGCCCAGCTGTCGTGACGCAATATGGTATGCGTTCTGTTTTGGAGATCAGTAAGTTCATTGAGCGTGATTTACAGTGGATCAAAGGCTTGATTGGAAAAGCTGACAAGGATGTGATTATACAGCATCTGGAGAGAGTCATGAGGACTATGCCGTTTTAGGGGGTATAGGATCACTTCCAAGTTTGGCTTCACCTGGGCATTATGCCCAGGTGGAAGAACAGGTCGATTTGGAAAGAGAGAGTAGTACTAGTTAGTAGCGAGTACGTACCCACACAGGGAATATAAGAATGTTTCAAGCAAGATTTATTAGAATAAAGCTTTTAGAGATTCTTCATAGAAGCTGAATTGATTTTAAGACCCGGGAAGATTGTTCAACAAACATATGACTGGCAACTGATCACCTGGGCATGTATGAGCATGTAGGCTCGGTCTATACCATTCGAGTTGCACATATTTTGCATAGATCGAGCGAAGCAGGCTGGAACAATCGGTGCATGGTTGATCACTTTCAGCTCTTCGCAACAGCGCTTCGATTTTCAACAGGCCAACAATAAGGGATCATGTTTATGTGATCGAATAGAAAATCATGGCTTGGTGCGTTGTGTGACCAGATCAGGGCCGAACACATCATTGCCCTGACGAGCCATTTGCTCCTGTTCTAACTTTCGCTTCTTGGCCAGGCGCTCCGATTCACTTTCCGACGTGACAACCCCAGAGTCGGGCTGAGAAACTGGCACTTGAGCAGATTCGCGCTTGAGGTTGACTTTCTCGGGGTTCTGGCAGTGATACAACTTCTTGGCAATGCGCTTTAGGTTCTTCATCTGCACGGGGTCAGAAGACAAAGGTGTGTATGACTGAAGCAAAGCTGAGCACTCGGTCAAGACGCGGTGCAGTTTCAAGCGGATTTCATATAGAGGATTCACAAGACCATTTTCGTCGGTTTCGGGGGCGGGAATGGTGGCTGTAACGGGACCGCCTAGCTTGACATCAAGGAGGAACTCTGCCAATGGACGATCGGCTACTAAGAAAGCAGAAAGCCAGATCTGAGAAGGGGTGTACAAGAAGTAGGCGTCTGTCATCTGTGCGGCAGTTTTGAGCAGGTCGCGGGTTTTGCCATGGGCTACAGCAATCCGATCTGACATTGACTTTGATGGAGTGGGAGGAGGCGCAATGGATAACAGTCCTTGTTGGAGATCTTCGGCCGTCTCATGCGGCAAATGAGGAGCTGGTTGACCCTGGCCATTGGCAATTGCTTGAAGTTCCATTACGCCGCCTTCGAGTCCACGGAATGGATGTCGTATGTCGAAGGTGAAGCGGAGGCCTTGCATGAGTAGAAATTCTGGTGCAATGACGTCTTCAGGTGATGTATCGCCCGGGATTCCCTCTGCAAATTGCCGGAGGGACATGTAATAGTTCTCGGTTTTGGTTGCGACAAAGAGGGCGCATGCCATGATCGACTTCGGGTGGTAGGTCATGGGAGAATTAGTTATATAAAAGCGTCGGAGGTATTGGATTGCTGTTGCCTGTGTGCAGAGAGCGCAAAAGTGTCAGCTCAGAGCTATGTTATTATCCGACCCGTATCTCAAGTCGATAAATATGAATGTTGACGTACCCGGGCCATCGTAGGCATCGGTGGTTTGTATGTCTCGCCCAGTTCTAGTGTCTTCTCGCAGTAATATTGGACAAGAACTAGTTCTTCCGCGGGCGTTAGACATTCGATTTCTTTTTCATCCTTGCTTTTGTTGTCCATATCACTCCCTGGCTGTGGTGTTCCAGTGGCGGATGAGGCTGCCGATGCTTGAGTCTCGCGGGATCTGCGCAAGGCGGCGCGCACGCGCTCGGTGGCTACGGCATTTGTTGTAGCTCGAAGAGATTGTAGTGAGGATTCAGTGTAAGACCATAGTCGATACTGAGACGAAGAGCGATAGATGTCGTCTTCAATCATTGTGCCGGTACTTGTGAAGAATGAAAGGCACGAGCCTTGTCTGGTCTAAGCAAGGACACCTCTGGAAATGAGTTTCTTGTCAGAGTCCAATACCGGCTCTAGTAGGTCGGCGGTATGTTTCTGGTGTTAGTATTCGAATGGTGAGTTAGAGAGCAGGTAGTGCGAGTGTTCCCCGGGGCCGTTGGTTCACGAGAAGTTCCAAGGTTGAAGCTCAAGAGTTCTTATCGATAAGCACACATCGCCTCGTGGATTTACCCGTGGACATCTGAACTGCGCATACTGCCCAGGTGGCTTTGGTAGAACCTCGGGAGCTTCAGAAAGATGAAAGAGAAGAAATAAATCATTGTTATGCATGTCCCGCCCAATGCAATGCAGTCATATTCCAAATAACTATGTACTCATCTCGTTTCGTCATAGGTTTGCAGACCATCACTCCCCAAGCAGTCGGGCAGTAATATCACCCATCTTTCCTTCATCTAGCTGGTAATCCTGACCTCCCATCCGGTCGGCACCAACGAACCGGAAAGCCGCGACAACACGTTCGACATCGAAACCCATGCTGCCGAAACGGTCAACCAAATCCTTGTTGTACCCGTCATATCTGATGTGTGTCAGCGAATGTTGAATGGGATATTATAGAGACATAAACTGACTTTGCTAAGTTGTCTTCATCGCCGATGTGGACGTCGTCTACGCTGTATCCTCCGGCATTATCATCACTCATGGGAGCACCAGCGTAAATGACAGCCCAATCGCGTGCAACTCGCTCAAACTCCTTGGGGGTCTTGAGGAGCATGTTAGCCACTTCAGCATCTTGCGGATCCTTGGGTTCAGGGGTGCTGAGCAAAGACTGCAATGAAAGCAGAGCCGACTTGATCGTCAAAACTGGCGACCAAGCGCTCGAAAGCGTGTCAAGACAAATCGCACCCTATGTCGATGGTTAGCAGTCTTCCTCGGCATAGAGAACCGATAGAGTGTAAGGCACTTACCGTTTGGCTGCTGACATTCGGATGCCATACTTTGGTCTCGAACTTCATGGTAGGTGGACGGAAAGGATAGTCGGTAGGGATCTTGATTTCGATATTGTATGTACCACCTTCATAAGGAGTGCCGGGAGGTCCAGGGAAAGACCCTCTCAGATGTGTCACGTCGTCATTATTGTAGAATGGCTCGGCTTTGATCTGAGAATGCAAGTCGGCATGGATGTCGGCAATCTCTTTGCCGATGCGGCGAGTGCGGTTGCTAGCCATGATGAATTGAACCTTGCACACAGCAATTGCCTTGGTCGAGGCAAGTACTTGGAGAATAGAATAGTATATCTATTCCTCTTCGGTCAAAGTCTGTATAAGAGCGTTAATGCTAGAACAAAATAGGCCTGCGAGGGTTGAGAAGCTGGCTCGGACTGATGGCAATTGATTTTGTTCGAGCCCGGTCTCGCAAATAATCTCGAGGTATCATGAGCAAAATGCGCATGGCTCCTCGAGTCCAGAGTAACTCAAACTAGACATTTCTCTTACCTATGGAGGGGAACTATGAGGGCAATCAGCGTAGACGGTGAGCCAATGTTCAACTTGTGGATTCGTCCGAGAAAATCCAAGTAAAGGCGACGGGTTCAAACCACGGCCGGCACGGTGTCTACTCCAAGATTGAAGTAAGGCTGTAGTATAAGAGCACTTTGGTGTTTCCCGCGAGATTCGAGGTGCCGAGCCAGGCGCCAAGGTATCCGGCATGACGCAGTTGGCGCCTGAGGCCCCAGAGTCACGTGAGTGAACAACAGCTTCCAGCTCGAGCATCCGACCCCAGGCGATACCACTACATCTGCATTGACAATCCATCCTCTTCCCGCCGTGTCGACCATCATTTCCCGCTCTTTAAAGCTCGGGATCTATCTCACTACGACTTGCACTTGAAGCCTGATATTTTGATTGTCTCCCTCTGGGTGGCTGACAAACATGGTGAGTACCTCAACCTTCGTCCCTTCGACCATCTCGAATCGGCCAAGCTGACAGTCAATGTAGGGTCAACAGCAGTCTAATATGGGCGGCGGCCCTGGTGGCGATGGACGTGATGACAAGGATAAGAAGGTACGTCTTGATTTTCTTTGTCCTAATTCGCAGTCAGCGCTGACTTCCAGCAGAAGGACAAGCCTAGATACGAGCCTCCTCCTCCCCCTACCACCCGCATTGGAAAGAAGAAGCGCAAGGCTGCCGGCCCTAGCACTGCCTCCAAGCTCCCGGACATCTACCCTACGTCACGATGCAAGCTACGATACCTTCGTATGCAACGGGTGCACGACCACCTGTTGTTGGAGGAGGAATACGTCGAGAACATGGAGCGCATGCGCAAGGCTAAGGCTCAGGCCACTCAAGATCCTGCCAGCCGAACAGGTGACCTGGATGTGATGGATCGTAACGCCGACGAGCGGAGTCGAGTCGACGACATGCGCGGCAGCCCGATGGGGGTCGGAAACCTCGAAGAGTTGATCGATGATGACCACGCCATTGTCTCCAGTGCGACTGGGCCTGAGTACTACGTCTCAATCATGTCATTCGTCGATAAAGATCTCCTTGAGCCGGGTGCCAGCATTCTTTTGCATCACAAGTCAGTATCGGTCGTCGGTGTATTGACCGAGGAGTCTGACCCCCTTGTCTCTGTCATGAAACTGGACAAGGCGCCAACTGAATCATATGCCGATATTGGTGGTCTGGAGCAACAGATTCAGGAAGTACGAGAATCCGTGGAACTTCCTTTGCTTCACCCCGAGCTCTACGAGGAGATGGGTATCAAGCCTCCCAAGGGTGTCATTCTTTATGGTGCCCCCGGTACAGGAAAGACGCTGCTTGCCAAGGCGGTCGCCAACCAAACCAGTGCCACTTTCCTGCGCATTGTTGGTAGTGAACTGATCCAGAAGTACCTCGGTGATGGTCCCCGTCTCGTTCGCCAGATCTTCTCTGTCGCTGCTGAGCACGCCCCGTCCATTGTCTTCATCGATGAAATCGATGCCATTGGTACCAAGCGTTACGAATCACAATCAGGTGGTGAGCGAGAAATCCAGAGAACCATGCTGGAGCTTCTCAACCAGCTCGATGGATTCGATGACCGTGGTGATGTCAAGGTCATTATGGCCACTAACAAGATCGAGACCCTGGATCCGGCTCTGATCCGACCTGGTCGTATTGATCGTAAGATTCTCTTCGAGAACCCAGACCGTAAGTGATCCTGCTACAACCGTGGACCCGGAGTGATTAGCTAACTGTTCTCCAGAAAACACTAAGAAGAAGATCTTCACTCTGCACACCTCGAAGATGTCTCTCGGTGACGATGTTGATCTGGAGGAGTTCATTAATCAAAAGGACGATCTCTCTGGTGCTGATATTCGCGCTATCTGTACTGAGGCTGGTCTTATGGCTCTCAGAGAGCGTCGTATGCGGGTCCAGATGGATGACTTCCGGGCTGCTCGTGAGCGTATCATGAAGACCAAGCAAGACGGAGGCCCTGTCGAGGGTCTGTACTTGTAAGCGCTGGGAATTGTCCAACGGTGGCGACGTCCAAGACTGCTTGCGGTGACAACCTATAGATATGTCCTTTTGTACTGTAATAATTGAGTGACGAGTGATATTTCAAGCGCTCTTCACCCAGCAATTCGTGCCATTTCTATTTGTATAGCTGTAGCAAACCCACATTGAAAACTGTAGTTGACATGATCGTATACGAGTGACGCCGAGAGGAATGATTGATGCCATAAACGACAGGCAACAATGGCTTATCGTACTGCAAACATTCCAAACAAGCTTATTATCAGGTCGATGGCATCCCGAGGTCTGTCGCAAACTTCCTTCCACACTTCACCATGGACGGCTTTGATGAAGAAACATTTAATAAGTTCTTTCCATCCAGCTTTGGAAAGCAAGCCAAATCAGTCGATGTTGATGCCCAGATCGACCGCTCTAAGCGTGTCGAGGTCTCGGCACCAAAGCCAGATGAAAAACCACTAAGCACATCCGCAGCTCCTGCGCAATCCAAAGCGAGCGATGACGAGAAAAAGAACAGTGATTCAGACAGTGATGATGATTCCGATGACTCGGACGATGACGAGGACGAATTTCCCGTATCACACGAGCTTGTTCTCAAAAGTCATGAGCGTGCCGTGACCACCATGACCGTGGACCCGTCGGGCGCACGACTAATAACAGGTTCCAGTGACTGCACGTTGAAGTTGCATGACTTCGCCTCCATGACACCTTCTACCCTTCGCGCATTCAAGACTGTCGATCCCTCGGCCAAGCAGACGTCCGCATCACAGGATACCCACCCCGTCAACTTCGTCGCATTCAACCCAATCTCGCCGAGCTACGTTCTAGCTGTGCCTGCTTCATCTCAGCCTCGAGTTCTTAGCCGTGATGGTGAAACGCTCGTGGAGTTTGCCAAAGGTGATCCGTACTTGCGTGATCTACACCTCACCAAAGGACATATCTCTGAGGTTACATGTGGTGCCTGGAGTCCCTCCGATGAGAACTTGTGCACAACCGGTGGTTCTGACGGCACAATTCGCATCTGGGATGCTAACGTCGGCCGCAAGCAGAAGGAGGTGATAGTTCATAAGTCGCGAGCGGCCGGGTCTGCAGGTCGGACGAAAATCACCGCTCTCGCATGGAGCTCGCCCAAACAAGGAGGAGCTGATATTCTGGTCGGCGCAGGTCTAGATGGTAGTCTGGCTATGTGGAGCGGCAACGGACCTTACACCAGACCTAGCGGAGAAATCCGAGATGCTCATGCCAAAGACACCTGGACTAGCGGACTGGATATCAGTTCCGACGGAAGGCTTGTCGTGAGCCGAGGTGGCGATGATACAATCAAGTTGTGGGACACTCGGAAATTTAAGTCTCCTATCACGACCGTCACACATCCTTCGACATCTTCTCGCTACCCAACATCCAATATTCAATTCTCTCCAACATCCGCCAACGTGATCACTGGTTCAGCAACTGGTCATTTGCACATCCTCAATCCTGCAACATTGAGACCAGAGCACGTCACTCCGGTGACACCTGGATCTCCTTTGATTACTGTCTTGTGGCATGAAAAGCTTAATCAAATCTTGACGGGCTCTGCAAACGCCGAAACCCATGTCCTCTACAACCCGACCATGTCCACGAAAGGCGCAGCGACGGTCATGTCCAAGGCCCCTAAGGCTCGCCATGTTGATGAGATTGCCACTCCCAACATTGGTGAGGGCTTGTCTGGCGACTCAATCGTTGTCGGCTCCAACGGAGTTCCACACTATAGTTCCTCTACCTGGTCTGCTCGTCATCCGACGGTTGGTCTGACAGCATCGGGTCGCTCTCGAGACCCACGACGCCCTCACCAGCCGTTGGCCACGCCCTTTTCCAAAACTAATCCAGATGAGAAGCACATTCGCGAAAGTATGCCTCTCAGCTCCAGCCTACATGAGGATCCCCGTGAGGCACTTTTGAAGTATGCGGAGCAAGCGGAGAAGAACCCCATATACACCAACGCATACAAGGAAACCCAGCCAACTGCTATCTATGCGGAGCTGAGTGACGAGGAAGAGGCTGGGCCTGAAAAGAAGAAAGCTAGGCGATGATCGGACATGCTCCGGTGTTTCCCATGTGCATGTATAGTAGTGGCCATTTTCAAGATCACACCTAAGGTCGGTTACGCGATCATGGGTTCTCATCCCCCGACTTAGTATGCCTTCTAAAATAAAACATCGATTTATCCCGTTGCCTGTCGTTCTCGTCTTAAAAGGTGAGACATTAGCGCCTTGTTTCTAGAATGTCCCCTCTTTTGCTGCTCCATGACGTCCTTAGGAGCCCGACGATCCCTCGCAGCCGGAGCCAATGACAACAATACGCGCAACTGTACGAGCTTTGACCTTGCGCAATGCTCTTTGTATTCGTAAATGATGCGGTGACGGTTTAAATCAGAGCCTAGGAGCCCCGGACATCTGGAGTGTTTGGTGCTGACATATCAAATCTCTCCGCGCCTCAAGTGCTCCGAGCATTGCCGCCCAAACCTTTTGACCTTCACTCACTTCCGCGGTCAGATCGGTTGCGCCTCGGGAGATTCAGATCAGAATGAAGCTTGCCATTTAGGATCAAATGCTTCACGTCATCATTGCGGGCGCGTTCTAGTCGGCCGAAACAGCCGGAGAGCTGGGTTGTATAGGGGCTTACAGAGCTTCTTTGGAAGCGCATCCACAGCATTTGGAGATTCGCGCATCATTCAGAAGAAATGGATTCACCACAATCAAGGCTGGCAGCCAACTTCCTGCCATATCTGTTAACCACGGCCGCCTCCCCATCGAACGCCGCCACATCAATCCATCAACTCTTTGCCAGTCCCTCGAACTCTACTCTTCACATACCCGACGGAAAAAACGAGGAGGACATGCACCAGTGGTCTTCCCTGATCGGTATTATCACTGCACTGTGTGGTAACGTGCTAATCTCCCTGGCACTCAACATCCAACGCTACGCGCATATCCGAATCGCAAGAGAGTTCGAGCAGGACAAAGGCCGAATTGCGGAAAATGGAAACAACGATGCGGATAACCAGCGGAGAGGAAGATCCCCTGGACAGTACCGAGACTCAGAGGACGAGTTCGAGCCTTATCGTGACGACGACCACGCCGGCGGTCGAAACAGTGCCTCAAGCTCGCGCGGAAGCGAATACAGCTTCGAGGGCAAGGATGGGACTGATGGACGCAAGTCTTATCTCAGATCTCCGTACTGGTGGGTCGGGATCGTACTCATGGTTGTGGGGGAACTGGGCAACTTTCTGGCCTACGGCTTTGCTCCCGCCTCGATCGTCTCACCATTGGGCGTTGTTGCTTTAATATCGAACTGTATTATCGCGCCCTGTCTGCTCAAGGAACAGTTCCGCAAGCGCGACCTCTGGGGCGTGCTTGTTTCTGTCGCGGGGGCTGTCGTCGTGGTTCTCAGCGCCAAGTCATCCGAAGAGCAAATAGGACCCCATGAGATTTGGGTCATGATCACACGCTGGGAGTTCGAGCTTTATCTCGGTTTGACGATCTCATTGATTGTCGGTCTCATGTGGGCGAGTCATCAGTACGGCTCACGATCAATCTTGATCGACGTCGGACTTGTGGCCTTGTTTGGTGAGTGCAAAAGGACCTGGGATTTAAATTAGATCTTGCTAACTGAAAATATAGGCGGCTATACGGCACTTTCCACGAAGGGGGTCTCGTCTCTCTTGTCCGGCACTCTCTGGCATGTAATCACCTTTCCGGTGACATACTTGCTTGTTTTTGTCCTTGTCTTCAGTGCTCTGATGCAGATTCGGTACATTAATCGGGCCCTGCAACGCTTCGATTCAACCCAGGTGATCCCAACGCAGTTTGTACTCTTCACTCTTGCTGTGATCATTGGAAGTGCGGTGCTATACCGTGACTTTGAATCAATAACGGCTGAGCGTGCCACGAAGTTTATCGGCGGGTGTCTCTTGACCTTTTCCGGGGTCTACTTCATCACAAGTGGCAGAGTCCGAGGCGATGATGAGTCTTCATTCTCTTCGGATGACGAAGAAGGATTGATTGGATTGTCAAACGGTGAAAGGTACCGTGATAGGATTGACCTATCGCCGCCTGGTCCTCAAATACCGAAAGGTTCACACATCTCCCCGGACGCCCATGTCGATACAGCTCGATCTCCACCGGGCTCTTTATTGAGCCAAGGCATTGAAGGCGTGGATGAGGATCATTCAACTCCCCGAGGTGTACTTTCCGTCGCCCATTCTTCGCCTCGTGGATCTTTGACCGCCGAGTCTCATGCATCTGGTCCTTCGTTTGACTTTACTTCTCCATTGCGGCCTCCGTCTCGCATGTCAAACCCGTGGGCAGAAATTCATCCACAGGATGGTCCGCCTCCCCAATTTAACGATCAAATCTTCCGCCCTTCCACCCCAACAGAGCACAGTGACACCACCCAGTCAACTGTTCTTTTACGCTTCCCGCCTCCCCCTGGCATCGACCAAACGCCAGGATCTAACGGCGACGCCGGGAATGTGCGACGAGCTTCAACTCCCACATTATTGACACAAGCCAATCAGAACGGGCTGGCGGATGTTGTCCTCGAAACGCCATCGCGACGGGCACTTCGCAACTCCATCTCACATCGTTTCTCTCCGGGTCCTCTTCTCCCCACGCTATCCGGTGGTTTCACTGCCGTGGTAGCCGAGTCTATCCGTCGCGGTGAAGGCAGTCCTTTAAAAGACCGCTCTCGGCGCAGACTAGGACGTCGCCGTCAAGTCGATGGCGTCTTTGTTGAGCCTAACCCTGCAGACGGCAATAACCCTGAAACGCCGCTCTCACTCGCTACCGCTCGTCTCCAGTCTGCCACCGACTCGTCCGATGTTCATGCGGAAGCTGGTCGCTCGACACCGGGTCTAGCCACTGAAGTTTACACATCACCAGGTAGTCAAGCGAACGAAGATGTGACCCGTCTTCGTAGCTTCAGTGACTCTTGGAGTGGTGGTTTTGCATGGTTGGGTGGTGCTCTCCGCAAATCGCAGAACCAACCCGAGAGTGCCGCTGTAACAGCAACACCGACACCAGAACACGAGACACCACCTGGTCCAAGTGACTCTCCACTTGGCCCATCGGACACCGGGCGATAATTACCCCACCCAGTCGGGCTTCCAAGGCTGATTACCCGCGGTACATCCATTGATGCAAGTGGCTGGGTCACTTGCATGTCTCCTTTATTCCCTTTTTTAACCTCTCGGTACACTATATTCTTGTAATTGGCATTGCATTCGCTGGTACAGGGAGCATTCGATGTATTCTTTTTACTTGTGGTTCTACCTTGTATACAAGCGTTGTCTAGTAACTCACATTACTTTCATGGTTGAAAACACATGAAGCTGGCCCCAAGTCTGGTTTTCTAGTAGAATATTCTTTGATCCTTTCGCTCATTTCGTGTCAGCTTTGTACTAGGTAGCAATTCTGTCGAAGGAGTTCCATGTGCCTTTACCCTGCACTGGCCTTGGAATATGATCAAGATGCGACCTCGGGAGTAGGTGGCTACCGTCCTGTGACTGTCCCCCTTGATGATGCTCCAAACACACATAACCTAAGGGCGACTTATGCATATTGATGATTATGAGACTTCGCTATCAAATAATTAGCTATCCATGGGTATTGATATCCTGTCGCTACGCTGCGTGGGCTGTGTACATCCCAGCTTTGTTGCCTAGGTACCTAGGTACCTACCTAGGTAGTGAGGTATGGTTGAGTTCTTCGATATTACGAGGTCAACCAAACTACCCAATACAGTACAGTACACCTTCAAGGTATGAACCCGAGCATAATTTCGTATGCGCCATAAAATATGATTGATTCAAAGTAAATGTATCTTTGAGAAGAGAGACTTCTCTCACTGGTCAATGACACCAAAGTTTATCTAAGTATCTTCATCGGTATTCAAATCTTCTGCATGGTTGACTAGCAGATGACTCAAAGCTTAGTTAGCTAGTCAACCTAGCACAGCTGAGTGGCAGGGAAATCGCCTTGCATGGCAGAGAGACCCAGGTGTCCGCGCCATGTGCCACCACCGTGGCGCATGGTCATGCAGAGAGCAGAGATGCGGCCGAGATCCTCCCAGGCGTTGTCAAGAGCGGTCACCATTGTCTTGATCTCAGCAGTGGTATCGCAGTTACGTCCAGAGGCCTCGTAATAGTAGGTGTAGCTCTGTCCGTCCAAGTCCTGGAGGGTACCGGAGACGCCAGCACAGCTTCCGGCACTGCTTTGCGAGAACATCTTGCCTGCGATTTCGTTGATGACAGAGGCAACTCGGTTTGGTTTGTTGAAGGTAGTGGCTCCCTGCTTGATGTTGGTTTCGGAGACAGAGATGGAAGTTCTCTTCACGATCTGAACTTCGTTTCTCTTGCCGGGGGCACCATCGATCTGAGCTGGAGCGTCGGTTCCTTCGATTTGGGCGTTCTCTCTCTTAGCACCTGCATGGTGACCGTCGCACACGGTTTGGGGGTCTTTGCCGGAAGCCTTGGTAACGAGACCAAGCACTCCGTGCCAGGTACCATGGTGGTCAAAGTCAATGCAAGTGGCAGAGGCGCCGTCGGCGTTCAGCTGGTCGAATGCATCGGAAAGCTTCTTAATGATGGTCTTGGAGCGCTGGGTAGTGTCACAGTTGTCGCCCGTAGTGTAGGTGTACACGTAGTATTCATAATCGACACCGTCAATGGTTTGGTCGGCGACAGTTGATTTTCCACAGATCTTGTTTGGGTCCGGCTTGTTCTGGTTGTAGCTCAGAATGGCGGCACCGACTGCCGTAATCAAAAGGCCGCATGTCAAGGCGTTTCCGATAGCAGGACCGATATGCCATTCGTGCACAATAGTCATGCGATCAGACGTCCGCGTAGCTAATTCCTGCGTCTCAGCCTGATGGGCCTTTTCGAGCAGCGGGGTCTTCTCAAGTGCAAGCGCCGAGGCAACACTCTGAATCGAGAGCAGAGAAACGAGGAAGGATCCAAAGTGATCCGTAATGCCCTTGAACATGTTTGCGATGTTGAGAACACTTCCGTGTTCCTGAAATGGGAGTGGTAGCTATCCCGTGTTAGCAACATCCTTAACCCTGGAGCAGGCACACAGATGGTAAGGTACATACTGGTAAGAATATGAGTGAAGGAACAGGAATGGAAGAAAATCAAAGGGATGATTGACTTCTCAAGTGTCTCTGTGATGATTCTCAGAAGACTTGAAGGCCAATGCCTTTATATATGTCTAGGACGAATTGGCTCAAGAAGCGCCTGAGATAACTATCTACCTAGGTATGGATCTCATGAGGTCCCCGAGATGCGACTTGGGGTCCAAATTCGGGATTCACGGGGAACACTCACCATCTACAGAGTACATTCTATGGTGGTTGGGTCTCTAGCCGCTCGATTTGGCATGAGGACCCGAAACCAAGCTGGTAATTCACACCAGAAATCCGGTTAACTGGCGGAATTGAAGCAGAAAAGCCAAGCCTTTTAGATTGCCAATTGGGGGCTGCGATTAGCTGCCCCCACAGTCAAGCCTTGGAAATGATCGACGGAGGTGTTTGGTTTGGATGTGAAACCACAAGGGCCAACCTTGGAAACAGCCAAGAATTACTACCGCATACCATCCCAGTACTCCCTACATCTATGAACACTTTGAAGATGCTACATGTATAGTACTTTACAGTACGGAGTAGTGCGAATGGGGATGACTTGTGTTCTCGATTATCGTACATGACCAACTCCAACGCAGCAGTCTAAATGTACAGTACAGTACCATATTGATATTAAGACCGGTCGCTGTTTCCATGTCCTATTGGGTATCCATTTAGTTTCTGTAGATATGTTCAGTCTCCTCACGCTATCTACCATAGTAAGAATAGGTCTGTTCTAGGTCAATTCCACAAATAAATGGATCCTTCTTCGGCCGAAAAATGGACCCCAAGGAAGACGAAACTTGCTATCACTGCGCCATACAATATGTATAGTGCCCTGGATTGGGGGCTAGGGAGGAGCAACGTAAGGGGCATTTTCCAGAGCCCTTGAGAGGATTGAATTGAGTCATTTTCCATGTTAGATGTGCACGCTGTCGAGGCGATACTCTGTACACATGATAGCCTATGGGGCTGTTTCTTCAAGGTACTACATCTTATGCAATGCATGCATAGTGTACCTCGGCAAGAATAGAAGCTCCGCGACTGCTCTAACGCCCCACTTAATGATTTCTGAGGCGCAAGGCACAGTGGGGCTGGCAAGGGTTCTGCAGGCAATTTGGGGGCTAATTCCCAGCGTTGATAACAATCGGTGTTGTTCATTCTTTGACAAACACCCACGAATCTTGAAATGGATCCGGAGAGTGGGCTTCACTGGTTTCTATTAATTGGTCACTAGATCCCCTTGGAGGGCTTTTACTATTTCGTAGTGATACCCTATTATGCTGTATAGTAGTATGCAAAGTTTGGTCCTCAGGGTCCTTTCGCCAGGAACCCGAGAGACAAAAGGAAACAGTAGAGTACTGTACTACAGTAGGTAACTGACTAGTGTAGTGTAATACTGGTACTGTAGAACAGCCCACGTTCTTCAAATCTGATATCTCATTTTTGTTCATATTCGATTCGTTGTCCCTACGCCCCACATGATCAGCCTACAAGGCTTTGTGCGCTATCACACGCTGAGCGCGCCGGATGGACCGGGAAATCCACACTGTTCAAGCCCCGTACGTCGATCTTGGAATTGCATGTTCGAGGGGTCCCACTAGTACTATCTCTTCGGGTTTCTTCAGCCCCCACGTTGCACTTTTTTCTTTCACCCAAGCCCCATTTTGGGGCCAAAAAGCGTTGGTACTATACCGTCATCATGCGGAGCTTGGCGTAGCTTATATTGGGGGCCAAGAATCTTCGTTCATGTTTGAGCAAGTCACTATTAGACACAAAGAACCTTCAAAGACACGATGGTGTAGATTTCTTTTTGTAAATTCTATTTGCTGGAATATCAGGTTCATGCTTGAGCAATGGTCCCAGAGCAAATATCAATACTACTAGTAGCAGACTGGGGCCTTTTTATTGCTTCGGTTGTTTTCCGGGCTTCCACTTGCTAGTGCGCTCAGAGATCTATCGTTTCAATTGCGCAATTTGTAAGTCTCGCAACAACCTCGTCACGGCCTTGAAGTCCGATAATGCATCCATTGAGATAGCACTAAACCAGCAACGAGTAGATCCGGTCTTCGGCTAGGGCTATTGCACGACAGGCGGCAGCTCCGAGGTTCTCGATTGTCGCTTTAGTGTCGTACGGAGCCTTGGAACTATTGCTATTCAACCTTTGAATTCGACCGATATTTTCTGTGCTACCCACGAAAGCCACAGGAGTGTGCTTGGATGTGAATCAATTGATGTTACCTATTGCCCAGTGGTGGTAAAATGCTAAAAAATTTCAAGCATATCAGGGAAGATATTGCCCACACACCAAATGGATTCAGTGTCTGGTGCCCTGGAGCTGCTTCCCCGCTGAATTTCAGATAGACACTTAGAAGTTAGTACCTACCTACCTAGGTGTAAGTAGATGTTTAGTGCCGAAGCGTCACCATGAACTGTACAGTGTTGGAGGGGAATTCCTGGGTAGCCAAAATCAGCGAACAGAATCCACTATATTCCCTTCCGAGTGCAAGGTAGGATATTGAGAGATCGTGTCTTGCCCATAAAGCCATGAACAGGAAACAGCCACTGGGCAGGTGTTTATATACCTAGGTAGCCATACTACATAGGTAGGTACCCAGGTAGATCTACAAATCCTGCCAAAATATATTTTGCAACATCATGTACTAGGTACTTTTAGAATTCAATACGTATCAACCTTGAAGGCGTTAGCAGTAGCAACACAATATGAAAGCTACCTAGACATTTGTTTTGACATTAACACGTACTCTAGGGTGAACTAGACAAGCCTTGGAAACCTTGAAAGATGTTGATGTCGATCTTGAGGCGCTCCGTGGGGGACCATGCAATTGACACGTGACCAAGGAATAAACAGATGCAAACAAAACAAACAAAACAAAGCCCGAATCGGCTTATCCGGGACCGGGAACTGTCTGTAAAGCGTCCCCCATTCGAAGGCCAAAAGTCCAACGCCAAAAGCCTAATTGGAGATGCAATATAAAATATGGCGATTCAAAATCTGCCAGACACCCTTTGCACCCTGCTTCTCTAGAGGCATTGTTGTCTTTCTCTGTTGATAGTCTCTCGTTGGTCGTCAGCGCCGCCGTTTGCTATCCGAGTCACTTTCTGTTGCTAGTACTGTAAACACCTTTTGTAACGAAAAAGAATAAATCGAATCGAGCAAATCGATACAAAAAGGCCCACCATCTGGAAGCCGTGCTTTTCAACTGGCCCTGGATACGAAAAGATCACTGTTACATAATACATTTGGAACTTGAAGTGAGGTTGTAACAAGACCAAGTAGACTTCCGCAGCGGCCCACAAAGCCCAGAGCCCAACCCAGCCCAGCCCACTAATGGGTTGGGTTTTGGGCCGGGACCTCGGGCCCATTAATGGGCTCTGGGCTCAGGGGCAAAGCCCACTCCGGTTTTATGGGGGCCCATTGGGCCCCAAACATTACAAACATGCCAAGAATCAGTCTTTTCATAAATAATGCAGATCTTGGCAGTATCCTCAGGTATGAAAGTACTACCCTTTTGGATTAATGGCCTTAATATATCTTGAAAAAAAAGTATTTATAGAAGTAATGATAATAGTAAAGAAAGAAAGAAAGAAAGAGATAGATATAAATTTAAAAGCTTTAGATCACAGTAATGCCAAAGTAGATGAGTTCGCGAGGCTCTTCTGATTATAGTGCGAATATATATATTTGCACTATAGTCGATTGTAAGATTACAAGGTGGAACAATCGTACATAAAACCTATTAATCAGCAGAATTATGTATGCCAAGACCATATTTATGCATAGAAATGGGTTTTTTTGGGCTTTTCTGGGGGCCCATTGGGGGCCCATTACTGGGCTCTGGGCTGGGTTGGGCTCTGGGCCGGGCCCAATCCGGCCCATTGCGGAAGTCTAAGACCAAGTAACATCAAAAGCAGGGCCATTCTAACCAATCAGATTCAGCAGGGGAAGAGAGAAGTAGAAAAAAAAAGGTCCTCTGAGACCTTTCCTAGTTCCAAGCCCTGGAGCTCTTCGTCAGTTTGTCACCTCCCCTGGGACCGAAGCACCTTCCTGCTCATGTTGTCTTTTCTTTCCTTTCCTCTGTCATCTACATCACGCGGCGACTCGTTAGTCGATTCGAGCGTCTCTCGTCCTTACTCATGACCCATCAGATAAAGAGCCCCGACATCTGGATATCGCTTTTCCAAGCTACTTTCAAATTCCAACATCTCGGTCACTCATTATTGAAACCGAGCAAGGGGGAAAGTCGCGACTGGCAAGTGTGGGGATGGATGAAGGGAGACGGGTGGCGTGGACATTGTGCCAGCCACTCTGAAAAGAAGCGAAGGACAATATATTGCCATTAATTCGGGAAAGCAGAGTATGAGCTGGACAGGCTACTCCAGAGCCGGATGATATGCTTCACTGACATGACTTTCTGCTTTGCTATCAACGACCACATCGCGAGTCCGTGACAAACCGGAGGTTGGCCACAGGAAGCCAAGCACTCAATTTATCCCCGGACATCCTACTTTGCAGAGTCTTGGTTTTATTACTATCGTTTAGGCAGACACTGCCACAGATAGTCTAGGAGACGGCAGACCTGAGCTTCTTGAAGATTGTTCAGTCATATGACATGAATAGTCGGTGCACAAACTAGATATCGTTACCATTAACTATTTGCCAGCTATAGCAGGAGCTCAGTCTTAACTAAACGGACCTTGAAGACCATCTTTCATCTACCCCCCAAGTGTGTTGGCATGATGTATCCCCGCCGGATGATGCGGAAAGCCCTAATAGGTGGAAAAAGCTGCCAGCAAACATAGCAAGGCGCAGCTTTTAGCCCCTCAATTCTTGATTGCTCGTCCCCGACCAAGTCAATTTAGCCGGTATTCCCTTATGTACCCCTCCCCCATCTATGACTAGTGTGGAGGCGGGGAAGTCCCTCCGTCTCACGATGGTGTTAGCTCGGCTTTAACGGCGCCAAGCAGTGCGCTACTGCACCCCCTTGTACTAATCCGATCTGTCTAGTACAGAAGACGGCTTCAATTCCGACACTTTCTTATGCCAACAAAGAGCTCTTGCCAATCGAATTTATCTAGCTTCAATTAATGAGGTTTGTGTCTCATGCCACACGACGTGTGATCCCGCTTGGCTCCGCCAAGTAAGGGACCAGGATTGCATGGTTATATGCAACAAAACTCCGCAGGAAAGACCTTTTTTTTTAATTTCCTCACAGCCCCAGAGCTCGATCAAAAGGTTGCTGTCCTGGCTCAGAGTGAATTATCGGGCCAACATGGTGGCCAATATGATCTCCAATGGGCTGTTGCTCGTGCAGCTCTTCGCAGCTCTGGCTTTGGGAAAGCCCTCGTCTACTCCTCTCTACAAAGATGCCAGTGCCCCGGTTGAAAAAAGAGTGAAGGATTTGCTGGGCCGGATGACGATTGAAGACAAAATGGGTCAATTGATTCAAGGTACTTTTGACCCGATGACCTGAAATCTGCCTGTCAAGATTCACTAATGATTCATTTTTTGTGCTCAGGCGATGTCACAAATTGGATGAATTCGACCACCGGAGCCTTCAACTACACCGGTCTGGTAACCAACATGGAGATGAAGGCGGGAATGTTCTATGGTATCAGAACCCTAGGAACAATTACTGAGCCTGCGAAACATTCTAACGTCCTTTCGACTCTTAGTTGGATATCCTGTCGCATGGGATTGGATTGCGGACAATATCAAAAGAGGCCAAGACTATTTGCTCCAAAACACAACCTTGGGAATTCCTGCTATTGTGCAGACTGAAGGTAAGCATACCAGGAAAGAGCCTATACCCTTGAAGTATGAACTCACAACCGGACTGCATTAAAGGAATCCACGGCTTTCTGATTGGAAATGCTACCATCTTCAACTCACCCATTGCATACGGATGCTCCTGGAACTTAGATGTAAGTCTGATAAGAAATGCTGGAGCGCGGGACCCATGTTTCTGACATTGTACTTCACAGCTCATTGAAAAGATGGCTGAGATCATCGCACAAGAAGCCAAGGCTCTCGGTGTCAACCAACTATTTGCTCCTGTTGTTGATCTCGCCCGTGAGCCTCGATTTGGTCGTGTGAGTTTTACAATTTTGGATGACACCCGGGGAATCGATTAAGCTGACATGATGATGCCACTAGGTCGAAGAAACATACACCGAGGACCCTTATCTCGCTGGCGAAATCGGCTACCACTACGTCAAGGGAGTGCAAAGCAAGAATGTCTCCTCTATGGTTAAGCATTTTGCCGGCTTCAGTGTCCCCGAACAGGGAATCAACACCGGTCCGGTTCACGGTGGCGAGCGAGAGCTTCGCACGACGTATGTGCCTCATTCAAACATATTGGATGACTAGCTGACTTGTGAAATAGCTGGCTTCCTCCATTCAAGCGGTCTATCATTGATGCAGGCGCTTGGTCTATCATGGCTGCGTATAACTCGTAAGTAAGCCTGGCCCATGTTTCTTTCAGTTTATAATGATATTTTCTAGATATGATGGCATTCCCGCCGTTTCCGATTACCACACACTCACGGAGATCTTAAGAGAAGAGTGGGGCTATGAATATTTCGTTATGACAGATGCTGGTGGCAGTGACCGAATCTGCAGCTACTTCCACCTGTGTGAGAGTGATCCAATTGACATGGAATCTGTCACTACCCAGATTCTGACCGCTGGAACCGATGTGGAGATGGGAGGTGGCTCATTGTAAGCCGAACAGTACACCTGGAGACCTATCTTGGGTCAATGATTCTAATGATTGGATAGCAATTTCCAGAAGATCCCCGACCTTGTCGAGTCCGGCAAGCTTGATATCGCGGTCGTCGACACTGCTGTCTCCAGATTGCTTCGGGCTAAGTTCGAGATGGGTCTCTTTGAAAACCCATACCCTGCTGCACCGGAGAACCAATGGAAGAAGCTTATTCACAGCGATAAAGCCGTGAAGCTTGCGAGAGAGTTGGACAAGGAGTCCATCGTCTTGCTGGAGAACCACAATGAGACTCTACCCTTGAAGAAGTCTGGCAACATCGCCGTCATTGGCCCCATGGCTCATGGCTACATGAATGTAAGCCAAAAAAATCGGACTCCCTCTTGGATAATTGGGATCATATCTCTGACAAAATACAGTACGGCGACTATGTCGTGTACAAAAGCCAGTTTAGAGGAGTCACACCCCTCGACGGCATCAAAGCAGCAGTAGGCGACAAAGCCCAGATCCACTACGCACAGGGATGTTAGCGATGGAGCAACGACCAGTCCGGATTTGACGAGGCAATCGAAGCTGCTAAGAAATCCGACGTCGCTGTGGTAGTTGTCGGAACCTGGTCTCGAGACCAGGGCGAACTCTGGCAAGGCCTGAATGCAACGTGAGATACCCTGGCAGTCTGAATCCCAAATTCAACTAACGAGATCAAGTACGGGCGAGCATGTCGACGTGAACGATCTGTCTCTCGTTGGTGCCCAAGCGCCTCTCATCAAAGCAATTGCAGACACTGGCGTCCCGACAGTCGTTGTCTTCTCCAGCGGTAAACCAATCACTGAGACCTGGGTTTCAAACTCGACCTCAGCCCTAGTTCAACAATTCTATCCTTCCGAGCAAGGTGGAAACTCCCTCGCTGATGTCCTTTTCGGCGACTACAACCCCTCTGGCAAATTGTCTGTCAGTTTCCCCCGATACGTGGGCGACCTGCCTATCTTCTATGATTACCTGAACTCCGGGCGCTCGATCGGAGACTCGGGCAAAGAATATGACAACGGCACTCTTGTTTTCGGGCACCAGTATGTTCTTGGAGACCCGACCCCGTGGTACCCCTTCGGATATGGCAAGAGTTACTCGACATTCAAGTACGGAACCGTGAAGGTGGACAAAAAGGCCATTTCTGCATCCGACAAGACAATCACTGTTTCTGTCGATGTGACCAATACCCACAAGACCCGTGATGGAACAGAGGTCGTGCAGGTTTATATTCAGGATGATATCGCTTCGGTCGTTGTACCGAATCGGCAGCTGAAGGGCTTTAACAAGGTGGTCATCCCGGCAGGGAAGACGAAGACCGTGAAGATTCCAGTGAAGGTCGACGAACTGGGTGTTTGGAACACCAGGATGAAGTATGTTGTCGAGCCGGGCAACTTTACCGTTCTTGTGGGCAGTAGCTCCGAAGACATTCGTGGAAACTCGACTTTCACAGTGAAATAGGAAATGCATTGGACAGAGATGCATGTGTGGACTGACATTGAGCCTTTCCTTCAACTTTGAAGCATGTATGTAATGTGGTTTCTGGGAGTAGTGCCCGGCAATAGCAGTGATATGAATGATTGAAACGAACATAAGAGAGACAATTTCGCTATCTGATAACCGTCACAACAATCTGACCTCGGGAACCTGTAAGCCGAATTGTAAAATAAGATATTCAAGAAAGAGACCTCGGGAATACGCCGCCCCAGCCCCTACGCACTTTCTACGCATGCTCAACCTGTGATTATGTCGTGCTCTCACCAGGTCGAGGGGCCGGTTGACTCAAAGAAGGACTTGGTGGAACCGGAGAGCTTGGAGTTCCTGGCTGGGTACTGGCTCCAGGTTGATTATTCTGATTGTCGCGACCTTCTGCTCTTCGAGTCTTGGCCCCTTCCTTCAGTTTTTCCCAACGATCACGATACCGCCCGAGAATGTTTTTGAGCTTTTCGTTCTCATGAGAAGCGCTGTCAAGTCTCTGCTCGCTGCGCCGGATCTGTTCCTCGAGCTCCTTGACTCGGGCATCATGATCAACCACTGGAGGCGCAGTCATCGTAGCCACCGGTGATGTATTAAGCGAGACACCCTGCATATAGTCTGGTGCCGGAGACCCAGGGTTTTGATTATGCATCATTCGTATAGACTGTTGCAAGGCCATTGATGAGGATTGGGCATTGACCTCAAACATGTGGAGTCGCGTCGAGAGCTTATCCGTCAAGCTTCTCAGGGCTTCGTTCTCCATTTGCATTTCTTCAACTGTCTTCGGATTCTGGATGGTGGTAAGCTTATCGGAATTAGCGCGGCGACCTGCCCAGATGCGTGAGCCACTCGCGCTGTGGCGCATTTCAGGTGACGAGGGTGTTTCCCTCGCATCCACAAAGTCCTCATCTCCTTCCTCGAGACTGTTTCTGCGGGCCTGCTTCTCGGCTCGCGAGAGGATCCCAGCATATGACATGGTTCCGCCCGTGGTTGGGACGACATAGAATGACTCTGCTGGGTTCCCGGGGCCTGCGCCAGAGCCGTTCTGAACGGACCGCAACGCGGCACGAGAGAAAAGCTTGTTCACATCCGGCTCGCCTGAAGTTGTAGATCGGTCCAGGGTAGCATGGTCGCGGTCCACTTTTACTTCTGCCGAGGATTTGTGGTTCTGTGTGGGATCGATCATACCCACTTGGATACCCGCGAAAGCAAGAGGGCCCGAGACTTTGGAGACAAGCCCACCAAATGCTGAATAGAATCGGTTGAATGCATCATCCGAGGCTGCGCTGTCTTTGAATGTTTCCGACTCAGCGGCGCTAGGCGCAACTTGTCGGTTTGTGACTTCCGGGGAGCCAGGGATGGGAGGGGACCATGGTTGTCTGGCTGTAGACACGCGGCTCTGACGACTTTTCCTTGAGCCGTCGCTCATCCTGTTATCGCCGCTCTTTGTCCTTGGATTGTCGGTCATCTTTGCCGACGCATGGTGCGACGATACCGTGGGTGACACCGGAGACCCACGACGATTGTGGGCTGGAATTCCACGCGCGGAGGCGAGATTACTGGCGATTGAAGAAGGATCACGGCCCGATATCCGGGCATTCCCTGTCAATCTGGGTGGTAGGTGAGCATCTTGGGCCGATGCCGCGTTCTTCGTGCTTCCCAAATCGCCAGCAGCCGGCTGATTCGCCGGATTCAGGGATGAAGCTTCACTAGCAGTAGGTGCAGGGTGTTCATGTTGGAATCTGAGTATCTCGGCTAACTTCTTGTGGTGTGTCTCGAGTAGGCGTAACGTACGTAGGGCCTGTGGTGCGGAGCATACGTCAGCACGTCAAGGTGGGGGACGTGAGATAGAGATCGTCTAGGCTCACCTCCTGGTCAGAGCTCTGCTGGGCTGCTGTGGCAAACTCACCGGCTGCTAAGTCGTGTTCCTCACTGGCCGCGACTGGATTCGCCTTTCGAGTTTCGAGAACGGCATTCCGCGCGTGGGTGTGGGCCTAGTGACGCGGTCAGATCATTTCAACGGAGGGCAGAGAGCTGACTTACCAAAGACAGTGGCGCTACCTCCATGGCGAAACCAAAACCGATCAGACTGGAATAGGGGAAGAGGTAGCATACATTCCAAGGTTGACCAAGGCGGAGATGGGGAGGGGAAGTGCAGGCAGTACGTGGGACAGAGTAAGAATGGGGGAGACAGCCAAAGGACCTTTCAAGGCCCCCTTTCTGCATTCACTGTAGACAGCACAGCACCTTGAGAGCCTAAGGTTACACTCCAAGTAGCAGATGTCTGTGGAGGTGCGGATACGACAGACAGTCCCAGTCCGGAGCATATAGTACACGATGTTCTCAGCCAGTACGGAGTATGAACAGTCACCAATATCTACTCCTTACTCCTTACTTCTACTCCGTACTCGTGAATGTAATGTATCAGCATAGATTAAAATATTTAAAAATAGTTTTGTTTAAAAAAAAAAGAAGCAGATCGTCACTTGGCAGTTTCCTGACTAAGTACGGAGTAGGGGATCACTGTGTTCTGGAACGTCTCCGTACTCTACACCTACTCCCTCGCAATTCCTTGTATTTCCTCGATGTCTGCCAGTCTTGTCTGAGACTATTCTGCCCATGTTTGGGGAGCTTGTCTTGGCAGTCCTTCCAGCCATTCCAGCCATTCCATCACTTCCAGCCATCCCCGATACTACATCGCAACCATGGCCGACTCCTCTTCCTCAAGCCTGAAAGAGAACAGGTCACGGCGCTCTTGGACAATCTCAGCCGAGTCGAGCGCAATGGAGAGCAACGGTCGATCGTCCCCCGATTCCACCGAACGACCGAAAACCCAAGGTGGAGAAGCAGATTCCAGGGCTGGTCCCAGTGGATTCTCAAAGCTCCTCGAGGCGCGTCGGAGGCGCAAGAAGAACAAGAAGAACCAGAAGCAGACCGACGAACCTGCAGTGCCAAGTGTGGTCTTGGAGCAGGATCTCCATGAAAGCAGATCCAACGAGTCCCGGGATGGGATCTCGGCAGCCACGTCGTCTGTCGCGGGGAGCTCTGGGCAAGCGGAGGGTGAGGTCATTAATTTATTGACGGATGATTCCGAGCCAGACAGGTAATGGAAATTGCCCCGAGGCCTGGAACTGCAACTAATCTGATCGTATACGTGAACAGGACCCCGCCGCTCACATCGCATAACTCCCACACCGGATTCTACACCACCTCCTCGCCGTTGATCAAGACGACCTCAGTCGACGCCGCGAAAATGGATGACGCGCATGGTGATACCGAGTCAGCGGTCAGCGGTCCAAGTGTCACTGGCTTCGAGTCAAACCCAAGTGAACGGAAGCCTAGGCGTCCAACTCAAACGAGCTTGGCATTGGATGTGCCCGACGACTCATCGAGTAGAAAACGCAGTTCGTCCCCTGGACGACGGTTCAAGGACGCGTTCACCTCCGACAAAAAAGCACCGAATGAGGATCCGGAGACTGCATCCACCAAATCCGGGGCGAACAAGAGCCGCAGTCTGTTCGGAGGCAGTCGACGGAGCAGTCTCTCCTCCAAGCGAGCCCAAGCCGGTGCCGAGGAAATTCCTCCTCTGCCAGCGCCAATTCGTACCGATCTAATGGACACCAAAACTCGTTCGCTCCAAGCGAGCCCCATGCCGAACACCCCGCCCCATACCGCCATTCCTGCACCAGCAACAACCGTCACACCCCCTACCCCAACGGAGTTCAACCCCCTGAACCCGCAAATCCTCTCCAACAATGTAACCGACTCGCCGGAGTCCATTCAATCGAGGAATTCCATATCTGACGGTGTGACTACCGTGAGTCCCTCGGGGAATATGATCTCCCACCGGCGGGTACGGTCGGCCTCTGCGGCTCACGGCCCCAGCAAACTGTCAAATTCAGTTTCCGCATTAACACCCCTCGATGAAAAGGGCAGCGCGGCTAAAACCCCGAGCCTCAACCAACAGAATGGTTTCTTCTCGTCGGTTTTCTCCGTGGCCCAAAATGCGGCCTCCTCCTTAAGCAACAGCCTCAATGCCCAGCAAAAGAACCGCCCCGCAGTCCAATCCATTTCTGCAGAGGCTGAGAAATCCGCTTTTGATTCGACGGAAGACAATGAACAATCGTCGGAGAATGGCAGCAAGAGCGAAGAGGGCAAGCAATCAGCGGTAGAAACGCTAGGGGCAGGAAATTTGAATTTCAGCCATTTGGACATGGACGTCCGGCCTGGGGAGTCAATCACCACCGCCGATGGTGTCGTCATCACAAAACCGGGAAGCCCGATTGACAAGCGCAAAAATACGAATGTCTCTCGCCGAGATGAGGAAGCTTCCAAGCTTGAAGACCAGCGCGCGCAGCGCGCCGTACAAGCAGCTTACCAAAGGACCGACAAGTCAGGAAGACCCTCGGAGCTGTCTCTGGTTGGCGCTCCTGCGGATGACGTTTTGGAGGTTCAATCCACTACTTCGCTTCCCAAAGATGGCCCGATCTTGGGTGATCAAACCCCGCCGACTGGGAGTGTCATCGATGGTGACCTGAGTGGGGGTATCAATCGCAGTGGCAGCGTGCGTAGCAGGCTTGCGAGGCGTCATCGTGGCTCTTCTGGAGCCACAAACTCGACCATCGGCGCGATTGGTATCAATGCCATCGGACTTGGGGCTCCTGGCGTCAATGCGAGTGCCCCTCGATTGACTGGTTTCGCTGTTGCGAGCAAAAAGCGCAACAGAGACTTCCACCAGCTGTTCCGGAGTGTACCCGAGGATGACTATCTGATTGAAGACTACAGTTGTGCTTTGCAACGTGAGATCATCCTGGCTGGTCGGATTTACATCTCAGAGGGGCATGTCTGTTTTTCAAGCAATATTCTCGGTTGGGTGACAACCCTTGTCATTAGTTTTGATGAGGTCGTTGCTGTTGAAAAGGAAAACACTGCTATGGTATTTCCCAACGCCATCGCCATCCAAACTCTTCATGCCCGTCATACTTTCCGAAGCTTGCTAAGCCGCGAGTCTACGTACGACCTCATGGTCAATATTTGGAAGATCAACCACCCCACTATCAAAAGCTCGGTAAACGGCACCCGCGTGGCCGAAGGAACGGGCGATAAGACGGAGAAGGTTGGAGATGGAGAGGAAAGCGAATCAGAGAGTGACCCATCTGACGAGGATGAGATATACGACGAGGATGAAGAAGAGGACCATGCCGAGAGCTTTTTCGAGGGTAACGCCAGCGCCAATGCTAGCGCGACCTCATTGCCAATAAGAGCAGGCTTAAGCCGCAAAACATCGAGTCTTTCTGCAAATGCAGCAACACCCGCAGCCGGCACGAACGGCAATGGCGACAAGAAGAACGGCGACAAAGGTGCTTCCAAAGATGCACCCCCTGATTTCCCTGGTCCCACCACCCATGCACCTACTGAATATGTCGATCCCAACGGTCAATACGAGAAGGTCATCAAGGACGAGGTTATTTCGGCTCCCCTTGGGAAGGTCTACTCCCTGGTCTTCGGACCTGCATCTGGCGAATTCATGACAAAGTTTCTGGTTGACAACCAAAAGTCTGGCGAGCTACAGTTCGAGGGAACAGCCAAGGGCTTGACAACGGAAAGCCCGACGCGAAAATACTCGTACATCAAACCTCTGTACGGCTCCATTGGTCCTAAACAGACCAAGTGTATCAGTACCGAGAACCTGGACTTCCTGGACCTTGAAAAAGCAGTCCTTGTCACGTTGAGCACGCAAACACCTGATGTACCCAGTGGAAACGTGTTTGCTTGTAAGACTAAATATCTCTTTACCTGGGCCCCCAATAACCAAACTCGTTTTCTCATGACTTGCACCATTGAATGGACTGGAAAGAGTTGGCTGAAGGGTCCTATTGAGAAAGGTGCAATCGACGGACAAGGAACATTTGGTAACGAGCTCGTCAAAGCTCTCCAAGCGGGCGTTGTCCCTCGCGGGCGTGCCCCCGGTGGCAAAGGGAAAGGCCGACGCAAGAAGGGTGATCCCGCAGGACGGGAGTCTACTGCTGCAGCGTCAATGAAGGTAGCCACTGATTCGAACACTGGGAAGGGAGAGTCCTGGGGATTATTCGAACCTGTTCGCCCCCTCCTTGAACCTGTCACCGGTATCCTCAGTCCGCTATGGAGTGGCAATGTCGCGATTGTCCTGATTCTTATACTCCTCTACATGGCCTTCTTCCGATCCCCCTCATCTTCGTCTCTTGCGCACCAAGGCGGTTGCATTGGCCACGGTCTGCCGCAGAGACTGGCCGCGTACGAGGAGATGTGGCGGCGCGAAGAGACCGAGCTGTGGAACTGGCTCGAAGATCGCGTCGGTATGGACGGAATGGTTTTCCCGAATGCCTATCGTGCCCCAGAGCCTCACCCTAGTCGCAGATCGTCAGGTGGGAGTGCGACCAATGAGCGCGAACTTGCTTCTCGGCTCCGCGATGAAAAGGTCTCGGATCGCGAAATGGACCATGCCATTCGCACCACTCGTCAACGCCTCGACGTTCTCGAAGAAATGATGAGCAAACGCAAGGTTCAGTGGGATGCCGATGAGCCGGCCGAGGTCAAATCCGAGTTATAATACGCCTCCCTCACCACCAACCTTGAAGTGCCCTTTTACCCGACAGCAGTGAAATCTCACCCTAAAATTCATTTCTCTCTCTACATATTTTTGCACAATATTTTGGGCCCCGAAAAAGCAGTGCTTTGGTGCCCTCCGACACTCATTCAGATTCAGACTCTCACACTCCTTGCCTGTTCCCACACAGCTAGCTTTCTTTGCATGTACATGAGCGCCAACTATCTTGTCTATACCGATCTCTGTCGGTTTTGATATTTCATTATCTATCTTTCTTTGCTGAACCTGAGCGTGCAGGTCAACTGTATGGAGTACAGATGATTTAGATCATCCTGCGAAACATGAGGATTATGCTTTCCATCCACATGTACGGAGTAATTCCGATGTATATATAGGGTCTATGCTAAAGAATGCAAAGACTCCCACTCTTACCGGATTGTTCATTCATTCCGAGCTAGTAATTCTTGCGTTTGACCTACTGTGGACCTATATAGCCTTGGATGAGAGATCTAAATGAGTTGCCTACCTAGGTAGGTGCCCAAGTGGCGACCCCGGTGAAAGCTACCTAGTAGTACCTAGTTTCTCCCGAGGTCTTCGTGCTGGTTGACATCGTTGACAAAGCCTCTTAGTAGTTTCCCATGTCTGTCGCTTTTAAACATCACGCCAACCCTGAAGGCGCACCATACTGCTTTCAAGTTCCAAGGCTCGTTTACTAGTTACCAAGGACCTCGGGAGTAAAAGCCAAACGACCATAATGTGCACATCACTAGCGCTGTATTCATCTTTCTGGTATGTGATGTCAAGCTATCCCATGTTTGATTGATCAGGAAACTTGAATTGATCACTCTTGGAAGCTCTCAACGGGGCTGTCTCACGTCGCCTCTTCTCCAGTTACGGTATGAGACGTCTCCGCCCAAGGAACCAGAGTCGCTCCCCCTGCCTCCATCCCCAGATCCACCTCCCCCAGTCCCACGTCCACGCCCACGCCCACGCCCACGCCCACGCCCAGCGTCAAATCCACCACCTGCATCGGTATCACGGAACTCGCGGGTCTCGCTGATCAAAAGCCGACAGTAGTAGTTGAACATCCGGTAGTCAACCTCTCGACCCATCCCATTAACCTCCGACCGAATGAAACTGGCTCGCAGGAACTCGCCCTCCAGCTCGTTCAAGAGCCGACACAGAGCCATACCGCAGGGATCTTCTTCTCCTTCGATCTTCAGGCGATTAAACTGATTCTGGTAGGCCATGATGAAGTCCGTAGCGGTATCAAAGTTATCACGACTCAGATTTTGCCATTTCTCCAGCTCCCGCTCAATGAACAAGCGGTGATGTCCCAAGTTCACGGTTCTGATTGTTCTGAAAACTTCGTCGGCGAAAGTGAGGTGGGTGGTGTGGGATTGGACTTGTTGCTGAATTGGCTCTTCCACTTGGTCCAGTAACCATCTTGCCACGACCGGTGTCCAGAATCTCCATCTGGCGAACTTCTGATCGGTTTCACGAGGTCTTGGAAGGTCGTAATCAAGGAGTGCGTCTAGTTCAAATGGACGGAGGACATTCAGAATTTCGTTGGTCCAGACGGTGGTGCTGGATCGGGAAGTGAGCTTCTTGATATTCAGTAAATAGGAATTGACTTCATTCGGCAGGTGGGTGGCTTGATTCTCGAGGCCGAAGAACGGCGAGGATCTGTTGAGCTGATATCCTTGAGGAATCATATTGGGACACATGAAGGGCCGATGCCGATTGGAAAACTGGGTTGTTGTTTCGCTCGGACGCTGCTTCCTGCTCCGCTCCAAATTAGATCGTCAGATTTTGATGTCACTGTATGTAACTCCATCTCTTACCGATCAAGGATTCAGAAGGAGGACCCGGAAGAGCGATAAGTCTCAGTATCCAGAGTAGGTTGTGAGAGAAGAAATGACTAAAGGCGGCGAGGTAATTGGATCAACCGTGAGGGTTTCAAATGGCACTGTGCTGATTATGTCGTCAAGTCTTGACACCTGGGTACCTGGGCACTCGGGGAGCTCTCTCTGCTTGCAAGCTGGAACCTGAAACTACTTGCCGACTAGCAAGTGTCTCAACCACTGCAGACCGTGATAACACTTCGGCCCTACTTAATCCTCCCCAATGCCTCAAACCTCCCGTAATCTGATAGACATCACTCAATCATGGACATGAAATTCATCTATTGAAAAGCTTACGGGGCACCGAATGGGTGAAGTTAGCTGTGTCATATCACTTGATTGGAATGGAACTAGTTAGTGAGAGGCGAATGCGTTTGACGATGAAGCATCGCATCAATCAGACTTTGGAGGCATGCTTCCCTATGATCGTGGCTGATATTGTCACGTAGCATGAGCCTGCATATTAAGAAGTGGACAGAGAAAGATGGGGTTGCCTGATTTTCACTTTAGGGTAACATGGCTCACGTGCACCATGCTCGGGGACAACCTACCCTAGGGTACACGAATCCCTGGACCCTTCAAGGCTCATGGGACCACCTGGGCATTATATAAGGCTGAGGTGATGCTAAGTGTAGGTCATCCCGAGGTCTGTTACTAGATACAAATGTTCAGTCAAGTGTCTATGACCCACCTAGGCAGTAGGATGTGATCTGAAAATGGCTTCATGAGATCACATTAGGACTGAATGTCGGCGTCCTCCAAGGTGAGGTACCGAAGTCCACTTGATACCTGGAGGCAAACACTCTCCGTTCAATATGTACTGTATGTTTTGTTTATTTACTAGGCCAGAATGATTATTTACAGAAATTCAAACACTAGTGCTCTCGTCGGTAGGATCTCCCTTCCTGAGCAAAGTGGCCGGTTTGTTTCTGGAAGCAGAGGTCCTCCATGCCATGATCCCCGAGTTGAACAGCTCATCAATCTGCTCAAGTGTCAACCGTGCAGTCTCTGGCACAAGCAAGAAAACCAAAACTGTCACCACCACGGTGACGCCAGCATAGAAATAGCCGACATTGGTGCCCATGTCTCCATGGTTCGGACTGAGCATGTATGGTGTCCAAAACGTTGCCGCAAAGGAGAATATTCCATACAGAACGGTCGTGTTTGCTTGCCCAAAAGTTCGAAGCGAGACACTGTGCATTTCAACAGAAGCCAGACCTGCACTTGGAGCAATGGTAGCCCCAAACACGAAAGCCCACACACAGAGAAGAACCACAGTCGCGATCTGTGTACTGTTATAGTTTCCAACAATAGTGTTCACAGAAGAAAGGATCAACATGCACATGGCCATGATAGTGTAGCCCGATAGAATAGCCGTTCTTCTTCCGCCGTACTCGACAATGAACGGGCCGAGAAACGACCCTGCCAGAATGCATAGGCCAATAATGACATTGATGAGATAGGGGTCACTCATTCCAACTCCTTTTAAGAACAGCGCAGTGTATGGCACCACAAACTGAATGCCAGTAATGGCCATTCCGACCATGACCAGCGCGGAAGTCATCGTGCGTCGAATATGTTTCTTGCGATAAATATCGAAAGCCGAGACTGATTTCTTGCCGGCTCGCTCAGCCTGGAGATGAGATCTGATATCGTCGATTTGGGCAGTGACAGCAGGCGAATGAGGATACTGGCAGTACAGAACACTGAACGACTGCCTAGCCTCCTCTTCTCGGCCATGACCCATGAACCATCGAGGAGACTCTGGTAGCATCAGGATACCAGCGCCAAGGATGAGCCCCAGTGGGATCTGGCACAAGATTGGTGTTTTCCACTGCCAGTTGTTGGCCGCCTCTAGACGTGCAGATCCAGCGCACACCGCCGAGGAAGCAACATTTCCCATAGCAAGTCCAACGTTGTACACGCCCAACGACAGGCCACGCTTGCTGGGCACAATGCATTCAGATCCATATGTTACACCAGCTGTTAACAAATGGCCAATCCCCACGGCGCTAATGCAGCGACACACCATGTAGTAGAGGAAACTACCGCCGGTGCCAAGCATGCCAGCTGCACCGACGATAGCCAACAAGCATCCAACCTGAATTGAGCCTCTGCGTCCCCAGTATTGGCCAGTCAGACCTGAGATACCGCCACCAAGGGCTATGAACAGGTAGTTCAAGCTGATGAGAGACTCTTGCAGAGGCGTGAGCGTGCAATGTTCGATATTGGCGTATGTGTCCGGGTCGAGGACTTGTTCACAACTTCCGAATGTTCGCTTGTATGAAGGCATGATAAGGACGGTGCCCGAATAGCCGTTGTCGAAATTTGCGATCCACGCGGCAAAGGAAACCCATAATGAGAGCCGCAGCATCGATCCGGTTGTACTAGGGGCATCTTGTTTCGAGCTGACTCTGGACATGGATTGCACTTCTTGGGAGCTGGCCTCGAGCCTCGCTTCGGGCTTTGAGTCACGACCCATTGTTTCTTGGATTGAGGGTATGTAAGGAAGTGCGTGTGTGCTTCTAGCAGTACATGGCGGCCGTCAAAGATAGCGGCCGATATGAGGGGTATATATGCTGCATGGAGGGACTTTTCGGATAAATGTCGATATATCCGACCCTGCATTCTTCAGCTGCGCAACACGTACGTAACCTTGGAAGTCATCAAGAAGAATGTCGTAAAAGAGCCGACCAATAAGGGACAGAGTTCAGTTGTCGCATCGGCAAGGGGCAACTTTTTGACACCAAGGGCTCGTTTCAGGTGAGAACTGCTCTTTCACATGGAAATGGCTTCGTCTCAGGCAATTGATTGATGGATTGACCCGGGGGCTACCTTTGCCCAAAACCAGCCCTGGAAGACAATAAATAGACTTGGTCCTCACCATGTCTCCCATTCTCGGGTAATGTTGGAAGAATACCTGCTCAAAAGTCGTGGACACGATTGTTCCAAGCCATGACAGTCATGTATAGACTGCGCCTAGTGCGCACATGGTGCAAAAGAAGCTCGTTGATCCTCGGTGGGTCTGAGCTTAAAGTCCAGGATTGGGTTGCTCCCGGTTCCACTTAAGCATAAATGCTTCTGCCCGAGAACAGCCTTGATCTCCCTCGTTCATCATTGTTCGCTTTGTTGCTCAGAGTCTCGTGGACCAACAATCGTGCAGGATCAGACATTCTGGAATCGTGGGTAACCTATAGGGCTTCAGCTCCCATGGACCGAGTCAAGTTCCTGGCCTCGAGAGGCAGATCTGCCACTGACTCATGATAACCTGCAGTGGCATACTTGAATGAGCCCTGACGCGTCAATCCCTAGCTGTTATCAAGATACCCTGGCATGTCAGTTCGGGCCCACTTTTTGTATCTTGAATATGCCAACCTTAGTCTTGTTTTCAGTCCAAAGCAGGAAGCTCGAGCATAGCTAGGCCCGCTGCAAGGCCAGTCAATCTGACTTGTGAAATGGCAGTTTCCAGCAGGATTCCGTATAAAGGTTTGCTCCATAGCTGGGGCCTTTGTCCACCGTCAATGCAGTAGCTGCTCTACTGTACATTGAACGGTGCAGGGCTCTTCCATCTTCACCCTGAAGTGCTTTGCTGCAGAGATCTGAGGGACTAAGCCTCATATGATCGAAAAGACTGATCATTTGAAAGATCAAATGCTGTGATCGAGTTGGTGTGAGGCCTAAAATCACGTGCTCGTTCCACCAGAACGGGCGGCCGATCCACAATCTCCGAATCGCCAACCAACATGGAGCTCACGACCATTATCCTCGTCATCGCGGTCTACCTTGGTAAGTAGCACTGGATCTGTGCCCATCGAAACCTCACAGCAGGCAAGCAGAGCCCTGAACTGACCACACCAGCTGCTCGTCTCTTCTTGAAGTCGCGACAATCAAACACACCCATCATGTCTCACGGAAAGGTCACCGAGATTGACAAGTAAGCAAATCTCAGACATCGGTTAAATGGGTCAAATTCTGATAATATCGAATAGCCAAGTCATCTTCAAGGCCCTTGTCTCGTCTGGCCCCGTCGTCGTCGACTTCTTCGCGACCTGGTGTGGACCCTGCAAGACTGTCGCTCCCATCGTCGGCAAGCTCAGCGAGCAGCACGAGAATGTCCGTTTCCTGCAGGTGGACGTGGACAAAATGCAAGCTGTTGCGAAGGAACTTAGCGTCAATGCGATGCCCACCTTTGTGCTGTTCAAGGATGGCCAGGAAGCCGGTCGGGTTGTCGGCGGTGATATGAAGAAACTGGAGGCTGAGATCAAGAAGATTTCAGCATGATTCGTCAAAGCAATGTGATTCCATCTATCTGATGCGTTCTTTGCATTGCGCACAATTCGCATATTCGGAGATTACTTTGCGGTTTCGCGTTAAGCATCACTTACGAATTATGAATGAGATTTGAATCAAATCATTTCGCAGCTTGTCTCCTCACTATGAGACGCAGCTGTTGCTTGAGCTTGCCGGTCTATATTGCCAGATCTAGTACTTCGTATGCCCGTGGATTGGGCGCGGGCATTTTCGAATCCCGCGGAGTAGATTGTGCATCCCGACGTACATGTATGCTGCACAAGGCATGGCAGTCCGTGATTGGCGCCCCCTGCCCAAACGGTATGCAAGGAGGGCGTCTGTGCTACTCCGTGGTCAGTCTGCAATTGATGTCAATTGTGATATGAGATTGGTGTCTCGTCCATGAATGTCTACTGTATGACAAATGTTTCTATGGGGAAACCAGACCAAACACGTGCGACGAAGCCGAATATCACTGCGTGCTCCAGGTAAAATTTAGAGCATATTTGTCTGCGCATAAAGAGTATGGAGTACGAGGGCGTAAAACGGTTCCCGAAGATTTACCGAGGCTAACCCCATCAATGCGGGCTCAATGGCTTGAAGGACCCATTTTGCTGCTGGTCTGGGCCACGTTAAACGAGACAAACCGTGAATTCTCACCCTATTTGGATTAAGGCTTTGAGATCTTGAAGTGGTGCCTAAAACGCCGTTGGACTAGCATATCCCCTAGTGCATTCTTTGGGCAGGGATTCTTTCCAAGCTAACCAGGTGCTTTGGCCATTCAACTACTCCGTACGGAGTATACCACAGGGTACTCCGTATTCTACAACACTCCGTAGATATTATCAACCAGGTTCATGGCACTTCTCGATATCATCAGAGCATATTGTATTCTTTGCCGCCAGTATATCCCCGCTGCGGATAACACGGCTATGGACGATTCTCACCATCGGTCTTCACGAAGTCACCGTTTCATGGTCAATCCCTGTCAAATACGGAAGCACCTGTGTAGGTCGAGAATTGGTGCGTGGACGACTCCATAATGCGGACCGAGAGCACTAACTAATTGGTTCTCCACACCTCCAGATTGATAACCCCAACCCCCGTGCACGCATAATCCTGCTCTAGAACGATCTCTGCGAGTGAAAATTTCCCATCAGATATGCAGAAGAGTCATCACGAGTCATGTTGATGCTTTAACTCCTTCGGGAGTCCGCCTCCTTGGCAAAGTGTCGAATTCGGCCATTCCACCGCGGAATAGCCCGTCCCTTGCCCCCATCCCCACCCTAGTTTGGTCGGGGCTTGGTCAGTTCCTTTGATTCCTCCGCTGATCCTGGAAACTCTGCGTCTGCAGCGGAGATATCGGTGTTCCGATTGTATCACCTTAACACCGCCATTCGATACTGAATTGCATGGCATGCAACTAGAAAAATTAGCGAAAACCCATAGCTCGGGGTGTCCTGTGTGGCGATAGTCAGGGTAGTGTACTCCGTACAGTCGGACTGTAAAGCGAAATTAGCGGACTTTAACTATGTGGAGCCGAGTGGGCAGTACTGTATGTTCACTTCACGGTTTAACCTGACTTAAGCCAAGGATCCTCTTGGCTCTTTTTTGTAAGAAAAATCTTTTTTCTTTCTCTCCAGCAGATTCTACTTTCCTTCACAACCGTATCTCAGGGGCTTTGTTTGAAGAGTCCATCGCTTGATAACTTCCACACTCGCGGGAGTATAAAACCGCATTGCATCAGATCACTTGGCGACGGAGCCCACCCCCAATTCAGATCTTCGCAGAGATCAAATATGGACAATTCAGGGAAGCCGACTACGGCGGTATCTAGCACCAAGTCCCTGGATACGCTCGATTCTTTGAGCTATGGCAGACAGCTAGAAGAGGTCCGCATCTCCAACACGCAGCACAACACACCCATACAAACGGGCGTGAATGTCACCACGGCGGAAAAAGACTTTTCGGAATTAAGTCGACAATTTTCGAATATTTCGCACCAAGCCCATAGGCTGTCTACCCAAGCTTCTCGAGTATCCAAGTCTGGAGCCACCGCCCATGATGTTGAGAAAGCAGAGGGGTCGACGCAGTCGGACGAATCGTGGGATCTGGAAACCTCGCTGCGTGGTGATCGCGTTGCCGCGGAGGAAGCTGGAATCAAAGACAAGCATATCGGTGAGTCGCACCTCACATCATGACGGATCGCCCCTAATGCGATATACAGGCGTGATTTGGGACAATCTCACAGTTCGGGGCATGGGAGGCGTGAAGACCTTCATCAAAACCTTCCCGGATGCGATTATCGATTTCCTTAACGTTCCCGGGACAATCATGGACATTTTTGGGTGGGGGAAGAAGGGACAAGAATTCAATATTCTGGAAGGCTTCCGAGGCCTCACTCGCCCAGGTGAGATGGTGCTAGTCCTTGGACGTCCGGGATCAGGCTGCACGAGCTTCCTTAAGGTGATTGCAAACCAAAGATTTGGATACACCAGCGTGGATGGCGAGGTTCTTTACGGACCTTTCCAGTCGGACACATTTGCGAAACGGTTCCGCGGTGAGGCTGTATACAACCAGGAAGATGATATCCATCAGCCTACGCTCACCGTGAGACAAACTCTCGGATTTGCCCTTGACACAAAGACCCCCCGCAAGCGACCACTTGGGGTTTCGAAATCCGAATTCAAGGAGAAAGTGATCGACTTGCTTTTGAAGATGTTCAACATCGAACACACTGCCAACACCGTAATTGGTAACCAGTTTGTTCGTGGTGTCTCGGGAGGTAAGCCGGTCTCATGCCATAGTGGCTTCTACGCGGGAAGAGGCTGACAGAATAGGTGAACGACGTCGAGTCTCAATCGCCGAAATGATGATCACCTCTGCGACGGTTTTGGCCTGGGACAACAGTACGCGTGGTCTGGATGCTTCCACTGCTCTCGATTTTGCCAAGTCGCTTCGCATCCTGACAAACATCTACAAAACAACCACATTTGTCTCTCTATACCAGGCGTCTGAAAACATCTACAAACAATTTGACAAAGTCCTTGTCATTGACCAAGGCCGTCAAGTGTTTTTCGGTCCCGTTTCCGAGGCACGCGGCTACTTCGAAGGTCTGGGATTCCGCGAGAAGCCTCGTCAAACCACTCCCGACTATCTGACTGGTTGCACCGATCCCTTTGAGAGGGAATTCCAGGACGGGAGGAGCGCTGAAAATGTCCCCTCCACGCCACAGGCATTGGTCGAAGCCTTCAATAAATCCACTTTCAGCGAGAAATTGGACCAGGAGATGAAGGCTTACCGTGCCCAGATCCAGGAGGAGAAACAGATCCACGATGACTTTGAGTTGGCCAACAAAGAAGCAAAGCGGAAGTTTACTTCCGAATCTTCTGTGTATTCCATTCCATTCCACTTGCAGATTTGGGCCTTGATGCAACGCCAGTTCCTCCTCAAATGGCAGGATAAGTTTGCTTTGACTGTTTCTTGGGTTACCTCCGTTGGTATTGCCATCATCTTGGGTACTGTTTGGCTCAATCAGCCCAAGACTAGTGCCGGTGCCTTTACTCGAGGAGGTCTTCTTTTCATTAGTCTGTTGTTCAATGGATTCCAGGCATTTTCCGAGCTCGCGTCTACCATGTTGGGACGTTCTATTGTCAACAAACACCGGTCTTTTACATTCTACAGACCGAGTGCGCTTTTCATCGCCCAGATCATCATTGATACTGCATTTGCGATTGCGCGAATTTTGGTATTCGCTATCATCGTGTATTTCATGTGCGGACTGGTTCTCGATGCCGGAGCATTCTTCATCTTTGTTCTCATTATTCTTGAAGGATACGTGACCATGACAGTCTTCTTCCGAACGGTAGGATGTCTCTGTCCTGACTTTGACTATGCGATAAAGTTCGCCTCGGTCATCATCACATTCTTTGTGTTGACTTCAGGATATCTGATCCAATGGTCTGGGGCCCAGGTCTGGCTGCGTTGGATCTTTTACATCAATCCATTCGGTCTTGGCTTTGCCTCGCTGATGGTAAATGAGTTTAGGCATTTGACCTTGACGTGCGAAAAAGACTCGCTTGTGCCAGCTGGCCCTGGATATGGAGATATCGCAAACCAGGCATGTACTTTGGCGGGTGGTGAGCCGGGCTCTGCTATCATTCCGGGCTCGAGCTACCTTGCTGACACCTTCAACTACTACAATGCTGATCTTTGGCGAAACTTTGGAATCATGATTGCCCTCATTGTTGGATTCCTCGGTTCGAACTTGTACTTTGGCGAAACTCTTCAGTTTGGTGCAGGCGGCAAGACCATCACCTTTTTCCAGAAGGAAAACGATGAGCGGAAAAAGTTGAATGACGCATTGATGGAAAAGAAGGCACGCCGACAGACAAAGACTCTTAATTCTGAAGAAGGGTCAAAATTGGAAATCACTTCCAAGTCCGTGTTCACATGGGAAGATGTTTCCTACGAAGTACCAGTCCCTTCTGGCACTCGGCGTCTCTTGAACTCGGTTTACGGCTATGTTCAGCCTGGCAAACTCACTGCGCTGATGGGAGCATCTGGCGCAGGTAAGACGACACTCTTGGATGTCCTCGCTGCGAGAAAGAACATCGGTGTTGTGACTGGAGATATTCTGGTGGACGGAAAGCCGCCGGGTACTTCATTCCAACGAGGAACATCCTATGCCGAGCAACTTGATGTCCACGAGGACATGCAGACTGTACGAGAAGCCCTGCGCTTCTCAGCCGATCTCCGTCAACCAATCGACACACCCCAGTCCGAAAAGTACGCCTATGTGGAGGAGATCCTGAGTCTTCTGGAGTTGGAAAACCTCGCCGATGCAATCATTGGCACTCCTGAAACCGGTCTCTCGGTTGAAGAGAGGAAGCGTGTGACAATTGGAGTTGAACTTGCAGCAAAGCCTGAGCTTCTCCTCTTCTTAGATGAACCCACCTCTGGTTTAGACAGTCAATCTGCCTGGAACATTGTCCGTTTCCTTCGGAAGTTGGCAGCTTCAGGCCAAGCTATCCTTTGCACGATCCACCAGCCGAACTCTGCCCTTTTCGAAAACTTCGATCGTCTTCTCCTTCTTCAAAGAGGTGGCGAGTGCATTTACTGTGGTGATATCGGATCCGACTCTGAGATTTTGCTCGATTATTTCCGACGCAATGGAGCCGACTGTCCCCCGGATGCCAACCCCGCTGAATGGATGCTCGATGCTATTGGCGCTGGTCAAACACGTCGCATTGGAGACCGTGACTGGGGTGACATCTGGCGCACCTCTCCTGAACTGGAACAGGTCAAGCAAGAAATCATCCAAATCAAGGCAAGCCGAGTTCAGGCCGTTGAAGATAACACCGATGAAGACAAAGTGGAGAGAGAATACGCTTCGCCTCTGTGGCATCAGATCAAGGTTGTTGGCCGCCGGACTAACTTATCGTTCTGGCGCTCGAGAAACTATGGTTTCACCAGACTCTATACCCACGTTGTCATCGCCATTATTACAGGTCTTGTTTTCCTGAATCTCGATGATTCCCGCTCTTCGCTGCAGTACCGCATTTTCGTCATTTTCAATGTCACCGTCCTCCCCGCTATTATTCTTCAGATGGTCCAGCCACGCTACGACATGGCCCGGCTTATCTTTTACCGCGAATCAGCTTCAAAAACATACAGCCAGTTTGCTTTCGCGCTGTCAATGGTCATTGCCGAGGCCCCGTACAGTCTGCTGTGTGCAGTCTGCTTCTTCCTTCCACTGTATTACATCCCGGGCTTCCAGAGCGAATCTAGCCGAGCAGGATATCAGTTCCTCATCATCCTCATCACTGAGATGTTCTCTGTCACGCTAGGTCAAATGATCTCAGCACTGACACCCAACAGCTTCATTGCGTCCCAGCTCAATCCTCCAATTGTGATTATTTTCTCACTTTTCTGCGGTGTTGCGATTCCGAAGCCGCAGATGCCGGGCTTCTGGCGTGCATGGCTATACCAGCTTGATCCGTTCACTCGTCTGATTGGTGGTATGGTTGTGACAGAGCTCGAGGGTCGGGATGTGGTCTGCAACGAGGCTGAGTTGAATCTTTTCAATGCACCTTCCAACCTCACCTGCGGCGAATACATGAAGCCATTCTTTGAGAGTGGAGGGAATGGATACATCGTCGATGATGCAGAACAGGCTTGCAAATATTGTGCTTATAAGGTCGGAGAGCAGTTCTATGCCGCATTTAGCATGTCCTTCGACAACCGGTGGCGTGACTTGGGTATCTTTGCTGCTTTCATTGGATCTAATTTGATCCTCCTTTTCTTGGCCGTAAGTCATGCCCTGCAGCCTCTTCTGCTACATTTTTGATGCTGACCAGTCTCCAGTCGCGATATCTCAACTTCAACCGACGTTAATCTTTCTTTCGGCCTTTTTACTTCCTTCTAAAAGCAAGCAATGGTGGTATATCTCAAAAATAGCATGGTGCCCATTTCGGAGGCTCTGTCAGATCACCTCTAGCGTGATTGATCAGTTAATAGTCTAGTACCTTAATGAATTAGGATGCATCGTTTCTAATGTTTTTTTGCCTGATTTACTATGATCTCTTAAAACCAATGAGGTGCGAAAGAACCAAGCCAAAAAGGGCCAGATTATCCAAAGTTCCTCGGTCTGTTAGTGATATTTGATTTTTCGGCTAATGGAAGAATATCTCTACGAATCGCATGCTCTATAGACATGGTCTCAACGGCATACTCCCCGAGTCCTCGGACTTCTGCCGACCTCAGCAAAGAGACAGACACGTACCGGCAGAGTTTAAACTCTAGACTTGGACCTCTTGAAATATATCCATGACGGGGTAAATCCGACTACACCGTCAGCCAAGCGCTTCCCCATGTCGAAGGAGATCAGCACTACGACCCGCTTCAGCGTGGGGTACCCGTACTGGGTCTTCCCCGCAAATTTCTCTCTGACTCCTCTCGGTCTTTAAACTTCAGGTATCGCGGGGAGAGAGGCTGGTAGAGTTTGGAGATGCGAATGGGGGTGCATTCCAGTGCTTTGTTATACATGTTCTATCCCATTGCCCGGGATTTCGAACCCAATTCCCCTTTCATCTAGCTCCTCCATATTTCTTTCTATCAGTATATCTTGAACTCAAATCCCACTTTCTTTTTGACCTGCGTACTTTGTTTCTGAGCTCCTCTCCCAACTTCATTATGAACGTCCCGGGGCCAAGGTCTGACTCCAAGACCAACATCGATGTTCCTACCATTAGCCACGAGAGTAATCATGAACATGTGGATTTCAAACATGCCAAAAATGCCAACGGCGACACTGCTATGGCGCTGTTCGATGACCCGGACGAGTTGCACGAAGAAGTCGATCCGGTCGAAGCAAGGAAGCTATTGTGGAAGATTGACTTCATGATTCTTCCCTACCTCGCCGTTTGCTATGCTTTCTTTTACATTGACAAGGTCAGATTGTCATAATGGTGATTATTGTAATTTTTTGAGAGCTAATATCTCGCACTTTGGAACAGACAACTCTAAGCTATGCTGCTATCTTTGGTATTCGCGAAGACCTCAACCTACATGGTACACAGTATAGCTGGCTGAGTAGTATTTTCTACTTTGGATTTTTGGTATGGGCATTTCCAACCAACTTTTTGATGCAGCGTCTTCCGATTGGTAAGTCTTTCTTGTCGGATATGAACCTTCAACGTTGACAAATAACCTAGGGAAATACTTGGGTGTCAACATCTTCATGTGGTGTGTATGATCCAACCGCAAATATCGGGTTACTATGTCACTAACTTATTGCACAAGGGGTGTCTTCCTGATGATACAAGCTGCCTGCAACAATTTCACGACCCTCGCCGTGCTCCGAGCCCTGGGCGGTGCAGCCGAAGCCTGTGCTGATCCTGCTTTCATGCTCATTACAAGCATGTGGTACACACGCCGCGAGCAACCTGTCCGCCTTGGACTATGGTATACGGCAAATGGTCTTGGTATCGCTTTGGGTGGTCTTTTGGGCTATGGAATCGGTCAAATTCGTGGCGCACTCCCATCCTGGAAGTACGAGTTCATTGTGATGTATGTTTGGGTATCAATTCTCTCCCAATAACTGATTGAATGCTAAACAACCACAGTGGTGCTCTGTGTGCAGCCTGGGGCATTGTCATGTTCGTTTTTCTTCCCGATTCACCCGTCACGGCAAAGGGACTTAGCAAGAGGGAGCGTCGAATGGCCGTTGAACGTCTTCGAGAGAATCAAACTGGCGTGGAGAACAAGAATCTCAAGCCTTATCAAATCCTCGAGGCTCTCATGGACTACAAGCTCTACATGTTCTTTCTCCTGGGAGTTGTTTGTATGTACTCCTTCAAGGCTCTATAACTTCCACATCAACTCACTCACCTTCAGGCAACGTTCCAAACGGTGGTATCTCGAACTTCGGAACTATTATCATACAAGGATTTGGATATTCAACACTGGTGACTACTCTCATGCAGGTAAGGAACAATGAAAATGTACGAAATTATAGCACTGAGTCTAATTACCCTTACCAGATCCCCTACGGCTTCATCATCGCCATTTCGATCTTATCGTGTGTCTTCTTGAATGACCGTTTCGAGAACCGACGCTGCGTCTTTATTTTGATCTACCTGATTCCCAACCTTGCTGGCGCCTTTGGCCTCCGCTTTGTTCCAACTCAACATAGCGTCGGCCGATTGATCTGCTATTATTTGACAGGACCTTACAACGCCGCTTTCGTGCTTGTACTGAGTATGCAAATCGCAAATACAGCCGGTTAGTGGAACACGAGCTCCCTGGTCGCCGTGACTATAGCATTGGTCATATGGATTGCTAACGCTGTACCAGGGCATACCAAGAAAGTCGTCACCAACGCAGTTCTGTTCTTAGGCTACTGTACTGGCAATATCGCTGGGCCGTTTTTCTATAAATCCGATCAATCGTGGGTCCAGTCAAGAATGAATCAGATCCAACCTAGAATGGAATGGCTAACTCAGTGTACAGTCCCACATACGAACTAGGCATTTGGTCCATGATCGTTTCGCACTTGATCGAGGTTGTTCTCATTAGCTCTCTCGGTCTTTTGTTGCGCTGGGAGAACAAGAAGCGTGATCGCATTCAGTCCCAAATGGAAGGAGGTCTCGAGGGAAGGGACTTGGATTCCACTGCATTCTTGGACCTGACAGACCGAGAAAATCTCAAGTATGTTCCCGGCTTGTTCCTTATTGTGGCTTCCACAGATTTTGCTATTGGAGAAAGGGTACTGACACTATTCACTAGCTTCCGGTATATTTACTAAGGTCTCAGTCGTTACTATCTACAGTCGAGTAGAAGTTACTATACAACTGATAGACAATCTACCTAGGTACATATCCAAAGGATTGAAAGCTCCAGTCCCTCAATAATACTATAGGTAGTGGCCACGACATTCTTTTTAAGGGACAACCGAGCATTGGGGGTCCAAGATTCTCGTTCTGCGAATGGGACAGAGACTCACAGATACATTTCCCAGTTGTAATACTGACCTTGTCTGATTCGATAGAATGATATTCTCTTTGACATGGTAGGCCAGGCCATAAATACACTGTCTCGGTATCGCTACCTGGGAATGGTCCTATTTTAGGGGTAGGACCGGTGCAGATTTCAATACAACATCAGCTCGGTCGTACATCGTATACCTAGTATGGAACTGTCAACAGTGAATCTATACGAGCAAATGTGACTCAGATGTCGGTTGGACAAAATATCAAAGAGCAAATGGCTTCCAAGGTTTGTGAGATGGCCAGGCGTCACGGGATAACTCAGACAGTCGCACGAGGCATGCCTGATTTTACCGTGATGGACCTGTTTTCATCAGATCTCCTTTGAGTCTGAGCGTGAGGTAAATACCCCGAGAGATACCAGACACCTTACTGGTCTCACACAACCGATCATCAGGTGTGGTTCCTCGGCGAAGATAAATCCTCGATCCTGAAACAGATCCGACAGACGAGTCCTCAAAGATTATGGATACACCGAATGGAGAGGTATTTCGACGCGCCTATGCACATGATGATACTGGCCTTGAGAATGAGGCTGAGTCTATACTTCTTGTGAGTGGAGAACTGCCATGACATCGAGTACCTGTTGACCTTTTGGCAGGACGGGCGGCAACTGTTCCTTGAGAAAGATTACTATTTCAGCAATCACATGGATTCGGATACTGCACCGGCGGTTTTGATATACGCAGACGAGGGGAGAGGGTTTCTTGATTCGCGAGATGCGAATGGAAACATTGACACCCTGGAAGTTGGCCCGGATAGTGGGAATGGGACGAGAATTCTCATTCTGGACGAAGGGCGTGATATCTTTGTCCATCAGGACGTTCAAATGAGGCGCTTCCTGGAGGTTTGGAAAGACAGGCCGCAGACTTTATCCTGACATAGGAAACATATCCTGGAAGCGCAGCAGTCGAAACTCAGAATCTGGCGAGCCAGAAAAGATGAGAGCGAGAATCACGATATTAAGAAACTCTTTGCATACTTACCTAGGCATCAATGTGATTGGCATTTGAGCAGTTGAGCAATTGAGCACCGATTACACACTGACACGCCCAAGCTCCGTCGCGCTTGGATATGAGTGGTCCGGTGATAGCCCTCGTGTACGATACCCAGTAGGATCTCTCCGCTGCCCACCCACCGTAGAGAGCGGTGCTTGCTCGGGAATGCTAAAGACATTGCGCAACGTTGTCGCGGGTGCTAGGTGTTTGGGCACCAATGCCGAACAGAGCCCCGGACTCAGAAGGCTCAATGGGTTTGGAACAGCACACAGTATAGGAGGTGAAACTGAACGAACGCCCGAAGCGCACTAGGCAAGCAATGTTGCAAAAGATGCAAAGAGTTGAGGTTCTAGACAGGAAGATCCAAGGTGTATTTAGTGTCGCAGGTTATAAACACAGATGAGGTACAGAATGATAGATAGTAATACAGCCACACGTATGCAAACGGGTGTCGCGCCAGACGCCCTCTTAACTTAATCAACGTCGTCGGTTGCCACCGCCCAAGAAGGCCTTCTTCTGGCGAACATAGTTGGCCACAATGTTCTCCACGCTGCGGCGATCGTGCTTGCGGTCTCTCATGAAGTACAATCTCGCCCTTCTGCGCTTCTTCTCGGAGCGCTGGACGATCTCCACGCTGTTGACGTTGGGGCTGAAGACCTTAACGGACATTTCGACGGCGACACGGGTGAGCTCGTTTCGCAGAAGGAAGGAGGTTTCAATTCCGCGCAGCTTGATGCTCAGCACAACTCCGTTGAATGGATCGCCGTTCTTGAAGGTCACTCGGACGATGTCGCCGGGCTTGACACTGCGCGGGTTGCGTCGGTAGTCGAACATGGCTTTGCGCTCGCCCTTGGGATCGAGGACTGCTAATTGGGATTCGGTGACCGCTCCGATGGGATCTTTGCATGCTTTGCGGGCGGAAGGAGGAGCAGGATAGATTTTGAGGGGCTGGCGGTCTACCGGACATAGGCAATTAGTGAATGCAAGTCATTTCAAGTATGCTAGGGATACGAACCAGGGTCAGGACGGAAGCGAAGAGGGATCTGGGAGAGGAATTGGGGAGGCATGTCCTCGGGAAGAGGCAGCTTTTCGGGCCTCTTGGAATAGGCCGTCGAGATGAACCGACGGTTGATCATAGGGAGAGGCTCATAGGCCCTCATCAGAGACCGTAAGCAGCCCAGCGGGCGCATTGCTGGTAGAGCCATGATGGTGATGAGGATGTCAAGAGACGGAGTCGAGTTTTGGCTACCGGCAGAATTTCCGCCAAGACATTCGGGTCTCCAGACAACGCGATTATTTTTTCCCCGACGATAGTCTTCTTACGATTCCACTGGACCTCTGGGGAATTATCGCACTCGTTTTCATCGGTCATTTCTCTACGTGCTTGTTGCCTACATAATATTTAATCCGATACAATGGCTCAAACCGCTATGAGCAGGCTCTTCCAGAGCTCGGTGCGCCAATCTATCCTGAGACCCGCGCAGGTCCGCAACTATGGTTCGAATGCAGGTATGTATTGGCCATTGTCATCGCATATCGCACTTGCTAATCAGATACTGATGTAGTCATCCCAACCTTCACCCCCACACCTTCTACCGAGCTCAATGAGGCTCTCCAACGCTTCCGCGAGGAGGTCTTCATTCCCAACGGTCTTCCTGTGCGCCAACAAAAGAGCGTGTTCAAGCCTAAATATGCCAAGCAGTTGCTCAACGAGCCCATCGTTGTCAAGATCAGTGAAACGGAAGAATACACCCTCACCCCTAAGAAGCGCCACGAAATGCCCTCAAAGAAGGCGGCCATGGACGTTCTCCACATGATGGTCACCACCGGTGACTTCTCCAACCTTGTGGCCTATCTGAGTGGACTCAAGATGTCCGGCTACGCCATCAGCACCAACCGGTGGGAGTACATCATCCGCAAAGCCAGCATGGCGGGTAAGCTCAGTGTCATCTACGAGTGCGCCAGACAGGGCAACCGCACTGGCCTCTCACTCGCCGACCAGAACATCGCTCGCGTACTTTTCTTCGAGCTTCACCAGACCGCGTCCCGCAACAAGCTCCAGGGCAAGGAGACTGTCCAGGCCTTGGGCCTGGCGCAAAGTTTCTCTACCCTGATGCAACAGGATTTCCACTCCGACTGGAACATCGAGAAGGACCCCAAGTACCAACCTTTCGTTATCGGAACTCTCCTGGAGCTTGCCGCCGCTCAAGTTCTGGACAAGACCGCGAAGAACCAGGAAGTGTCACAATCCGCCCAGAATACCTCCCTTATCTCCGAATATGCCCAGAAGCTTGATGCAAGCTGGGACCGTATCAACCTCACGAAGCCCCCTAACTCCTCCGAGCTGGTCCACCGGGTCCGAGAGAACATTCCCGTATACAATGGCATGCGCCTGAGCCTGAGGTGGTCGAAGACCTCGGAGGATACCCAGCCCTTCAAAGCCCGCCTTGGAGAACTCGAGCCCATTCTGATCCAGCAATTAAAGGAAGTGAAGAACGGCCAGCTTACCGATGACCTGGTGTCCAAGCGGTTGTTGAAGATTGCTGCTGAGGCCGAGGCCGAGCCCAAGGCTTAAGTCTCCGTGGGTTTCTTTGTTCGGAGTCTTGGCTGAGCCATTTTGGCGTGTATATTACAATATTCTTGCTTAGATATTTTGGTGCTGGCCAATGTGTCAGAAAATGGTCATTTTTTCACTGCTATGTCTGAATCGCTAGGTGATGATATAGTATGTATCATGGGGCCAGCTTTTTCCCATGATGACATGCCGAAAGATAAAATCCGCTGTGTTGTCGTGACCGTATATCACGAAGGGCACCTTGAAAGACTACCTGTCCTATGAGCACAGCTCCAAGGTGTTATCCTTGCTGACGCGGGCTCGCCCAGGAAGGGAAGTCGAACCGCCGACAACAGCGGGACCGGAAACGGTGAGCTAGAAAAACGGATGTCAGTCCAAATTCGACGAGAGTAATATGAAACTTAGGGTGAAGTACCTGTCCCTCCTCTGTGCCGTCAGGGGAACCTTCAGGAACATTGATCAAGGTGTACTGGGTGCTGCTCAATGGGGCACCGAAGTGGCTAGGGCCAGTAAGGGTTCTGTAATCGAAGGCATTTGTCTGCGCAATCGCGCCAGCGACACCAGGACCAGTCAAAGCATACACCACACGGGCTCCGGTAAAGATTCTTAGTTCGGTCAGTTGCTCAGAGGTCAGGCGAGCGGTCGAGTCACCGTCAATACGATGAGAGATGCACAACAAACGCAGATTGTCCAACGAAAGCTCGGCGGTAGGCCCGATGCGAGCCAACTGGCTCAAGAAGTTGCGTGTCGGCATGTTACCTGCCTCTAGAGTTCGTGCTTGAACCCATCTTCCGAGCGATGAAATGAAACCAGTGTGGGGGCGCATGATCTGGTCGTGGTACGCGGAGATGGTTTGCGACGAGGCAACAATCACAGTGGGGGATACACCAGCTGTAGCCAGCGCGAAGTCCACATTCTCTCCGGCGACAGAGTTAAGAGCGACGGATGAGTTAGAGAACAATGCTGCCATAGTAGTGCAGAGAGGGTACGATCGGGAGAGAGAGTCGATTGAGAGCACAAGGTCAGACGGGCCAAAACGTTGAGTGCGAGGAAGCGTGGAGATAATGGCTCCGATGGCAGACGCAAAGTTCTGCAGAATCATTAGCATATATGGTGGAAATGGGGCTTGGTAGCTCTTACCTCCGGCTTGAAGTCGATGAATTGACCGGACTGGGAGGAGGATGGCCAAACGGTGTTGACAGCAGGAGTCTCTGTCTTTGGATCATACTCGGGGACTTCATAGCCAGCGAGATCTTTGAACTCTTCAACCAGCTCATGCCAGACTGCAACCTTTAAGCTACCCTCGACGTTCTCGGGGACACCATTCCAATCCATGTGGCGGTTGCCATACTTGGCGACCCAGAGAACGAGAGAGAGCTGCTTGTTCTCATTGGTGACAACAGAGAGGTCCAGAGATCCAGCTTCGGCGATAAGTACGTCTGCTTCTGCGTGCTTCAAGTGTGCTGATAGAACTTCTGCCGGGAGATTGTGTGGAACGATGACGGTCTTGTATCCATAGAAAGCACCAGCTGAATGCTCAGTTAGCTTGTGCGATTCCTAGGCGCAACCATGAAAACATACCAAAGATAGCAGCCAGCAGCTCAATAGAGTCAGTCAGACAGACAGCCACAGTCTTGACACCAGCTTTTTGGAGATGGTGGCCGATGACATTGATTTCTTGGGTAACTTGACCCAACGAGTGTTCAATGGCCTTTCTCCCCAGAACAGTGTAAATCTTGCCTTGCTTTCCAGAGATTGTACCATCCTCATTCAAAGCGCCACGAACTGCCGTCTTCCAAATATCCCGCAGGTCTCCACGTCGGCCACCGGTCCATTTCGGAGCACCGGGGTCTTTGACATTCAATCCAAATCGAAGTGGTAGGCCATGGGGGGTTTCCAGGCACCTGTAGGTGGCCGATTCACCCTCCTGACGAATCGGGGCTGGGGTTGATTGGCGAGCAAGCAGAAACGGGTGGACATCGGGGTCCCGAGATGAGGCAACCGAATATATAGCAAATGCTAGGACAGCTCCGGCGAACACAGTTGTGTATATGTTCCAGTCGGCCAGAATGTCGGCCACTAGATTATCCAGCTTCGCGACTATGGAAGAGTCAGCCATTTTGACGCTGGACTGAAGATGAAGAAGTGTCAACAATCAGCTTCACTATGACGTTGAGGGGTAGGCCGATAAACTCGACTGCTGATTGGCTGGCGGTCCGCTGGCTGGGCTTGGGTCACGTGCCTCGATATACCGAGAAGATTAGCTGGGCCCCTGCCTTCGCTTCCCTCGAGCTTCAGATGGAAAGCCGCTAGAACTTCGCTATGCGAACCAGTTACTAACCTACTAACAAAGCAGCAGACCAGACAGCTTCTCTCGTGCGAATCGATAAACCATTACAATCCAGTAAGTCGAGTCCCAAGAAAACATGCCACCAATATCTGATTTCGCGAATTCTAGTCAGGTTCTCGTCTCGTTCACACCTAGCCTATTGTACCACTTCAAGTCGACTACAAATTACAACAATGTCCCTCCCATCAACCCCCAAAGCTACTCCTCCCATGGCGCCCTCCTCCGAGGGCCCTCAGACCCCTGGCAGATGGAGACACCCCCAACTGGATGAGATCGTCAAACGCCAGAATGCGTCCACTTTCGATGAAAAGAACGTGAAGAAGCTTGTCTGGAATGGATCAGCTTTGGTCATGACTTGGATTTTCGGAACTGCCCTCAAGTCATAGTGAGTGGGCCAGCGCGTCGGATGCGCACTCGCGTACTAACCGTCAATGTAGCTCACGCCAAATCTTTGACAACGACCACGTCTACCATGATGTCTCTTTGTTCCTGTTCCAGGTCTTCTTCCTACTTAACGTCGGTACCGCGCTTTACCCCCTCTTCCGGGCCAAAGACGACCTGTCCGACATCCCTCTCACTCCGACACAACGCTCCCTTCTGGGTCTGGATCCAGCTGCAACCCAACCCGCCACGCCGGGAACAACATTCGTTACTCCACCCAGATACCGCCTGTCTACCTCGCGCAAAGCCAGCCCGGCTAGCCGACAGGGTTCGCCTATGTCTACCTCTGCGAACGCCAGCTTCTCGGAACGACGCTCATCCATCGGTACACCTTTCTCGCCTGTTTCGAGCCCTCTGCTTTACAAGGCAGTCTCCAATGGAGGCAATGCAAACCGAGAATCAGCCCAGCGCCAGAGCTTTGGGTCCCAAAGCTTCGGTTCGCAAAGCTTTAGTTCGACATCCCCCCTTGGCCGGAGCAACTCGTTCGGAGAGTCGACGCTAAGTATGGGCAGCCTTGGCCCAGCGACACCTTCTCCTCTTGCAGGCAAGCGCGCAGGTCTGGGTGTCAAGAACAAATGGCTGTACGAAAGGAGCCGCCGATTGTCGGCAAGTGGAGGTGCCATGTGAACATTTTTGTAAGAAGCATGCAGTATGTCAAAGGTCAATTTGAGCAGGCGCAGGGGGTTTGGTCATGGTTTGGGTGTATTAGCGATTCATTCATCTTCAGTGTAGTACAATTATACCAATTCAAAGCTTATGGGTTTCATCTTTTTTCGGCCTCTTTGTATACAAGGCTGTATACAAGACTGTCGCAGGATGTTGAGGCGGGTGTACAGAGTACCGCACAATCAATAATATAACCAAAGGACAGAATTCCCATGGCAAGAACTAGGCCGAGATCCCTAGGTATATTACGCAAGAAAGGGCCAAGTGAGAGGGCCTTATAAATGGTGAAGTCGGCAGACAACAGTCCCCGTGTTCAGGCCAAGATCCCGCCGCCCGCTCGATTAACCGCCTCCAGACCCCAAACATACAAGCAGCAAGTCCTAACTCAACACATTGTTGGGGTGAACCTCTTGCCTGAAGCTCGCAGTGGCGTGATTCGCTCTTAATATCAGCCATGGGGGCTTCAGAGTCCAAGCTTGTCTTTAAACAGGGCATCTTCCGCCTCTCGGAACAGGAGATCCCCGCAGACGACCCCTACTGGACCAGAGTACGTGTGATTTACGACAATACTAACTGGCAATTCTTGTTCCGGTGAACCGCAAGCTAATTATGGCATCAGTTTTGGGAGCTCCCCGAATCCACAGAGGATGTCTTCAGCCTGTTTACCCCGGCTGACATCCGACGAACTCGCGATCAGGCCCTACCCAATTTCCAAACCCTCATACTCGCAGTGACCTCGCGGCTGACGGTGCTGAAAAACCACCCTTCGTTCCCCGATCCGGATCTTGCCCCCGAAAGCCATGTCCTCAACTGCATTCGCATCCTAACCCGCCTACTCCCCTATGTCTATGAAGCGGAGCATTTGGAGGGATGGGAGGAGAACTTCTTCTGGGCGCGGCGGCGGAGGCTGGCTCGAAGAGCGCAGATCTCCGGGGAAGTTCTCTTTGATGAAGCACAACCCGAAGACCAGGAAGAAGGGACATCCCCGCGGACTGACGATTATGAGGATGTCAAGCCTTTGGCCGAGGAGCTGATAGACACGTTGATCGACCTGCTTTTCTTCGCCGACTTCACAATCCCTCGCCTCCCGACTGCGAAGAGCAAAGTCTCATACTCGATTTGGCAGAGTGGTGTTGGTTGCAATACGGCCATGGGAAGCAGCAAGGCCTACGAGAACAACCGTTGCGAAATTCTGCGGCTGATGCTTACTCTCACCGGAAAGGCTATGTACTTGCCATCAAGTGAGTGCCCACCACTATATTATTTGTCGCTATGGCATGTACTGACCAGAATAGACACATTGCCTGTTCAGGGCGTCCAGGCTATCACCTACATCACAACGTGTCAAGATAAGCAAGTTGTCTTGACTGTTCTCTGCTCCCTGCTCAACACGGTACGTTTTGCTCGATTGAGAAGTCGAAGTTGTACTTATGCATGAACAGGCGATGAAGTACAACCCAGCTTCATGGAGGGTTCCATACGACCATGTTGTTTGGAAGGATCCGAAGCAAATCCTGGTCATCTATTGTGTGCAACTTCTACTTGTCCTCTTGATGTACCCTATACCGGAAGATGGCCGTGGAGCCCCGCCGAAGAATTATTATCGACACTATTTTGGTCGGTTACATAGACCCCAAGACTTCCAATTCATCGTGGATGGCATGACAAGGATCTTGAACCAACCGGTAATTTCTGCCCCCGAAGATATGACCTACTCATCCTAACTTCTTGAAACAGATGCAAGCTACGAACTCCTATCTTCCTGGGAGTCAAAGATCGGTGAAATGGGCACCTGAGATGCTGATGCTCTTCTGGGAGACCCTGCAATGCAACAAACGCTTCCGTTCTTTCATCATAGACTCTAACAGATCGCATGATTTCCTTGTGCTTTGTCTCTTCTATGCGACAGAGTACAAATCGGATGCCTCTAAACAAGGCATTGTTCGGATGTGCATCTTCATTCTTCAAACTATGAGTGCGGAACCTACTTTCAGCAAGAGTTTGAACAATCCATTCGAGGCCCAGGAGACTCTCCCGCAGTCAATCCGATTACTCAAGTTCCGAGGCTCCTATGGTGACTTCTTCATCATGGTTCGTCTTCACGTGTGCCCCGAGGCTCGAATATGGAATACTGACCAGAGCAGTCTATTCACACTTTGATTACGACCAGCAAAGGAAACCTGGATACAGTCTATCCTGCTCTGTTGATCATTCTGAGCAACATCGCTCCCTACATCGAGCGCACATCCCCTAGCGCGTGTTCAAAGATCATCCAACTCTTTTCGTCCATGTCCGCGCCCAGCTTCCTCTTGGCTAATGAAACAAATCACACCCTCCTCGCCTCATTGCTCGACTTTATCAACCTCGTTGTTGAGCATAAATTCATCGGTAAGCGTCTTGACTTTCCCCTTTTCGCGACCCAATCTCACTTTATGCAGAAAATCCATACCTTGTCTATGCTTTGTTAAAGTACAGGCAACGTTTCGAAGCTGTCCGGGCTTTCACCCTCGAAAGTGGTCAGCAAGAAATCGAGCGCCAGAATGAGAAGAAGAAAGCCGGAAGTGTTTCTGAATCAGCAACCAGCCCGACCCTTTCACACTCAGAGGATGATCTGCACACTCCTTCAGGCGCTCGATCGCCATTGGGCCGAATTCCCGAAGAGAACAGCCCATTCGCAATTGGCGATGATGATTCTGATGATGAGCGAGATATTGATGGGCCCCGGACGCCATCTCAATCATCACCATCGGCTCAGACTTCCCGAAGGCCGTCCATGGCCTCCACCATCGACGAGGATGGCGTGTCGATGGTCCGCGGAATGTCAGAAAAGGCCCGCGGGAAGAAACCGGCCGGCCACCCTCCCTTCTCCCGGCAGAACAGCATGACAAGTCAAACAAGCGTCACTGCCTTCTTCGCCCCCTCCGCAAGTGGCTTCACGCCAACCGTTCCCTGGGTAAGTTCCTCCATCCAATCTAATTCATGTCCTGAATCAATGTTAATTAAATCCGCAGCTCGAATCCTGGTTGCCCGAGCTTCCACTTCATTCCATTCTCACCATCATCTCCGCCATCGCACCTCACATCCCCGGCACAGCTCTCCAAAGCACAACGAGCCCAGAGGCCCGCACGCTCATCCACAACCTCCCTTCTTTCGCCGACGAGCCCGAAGTGAAAAGTATCATATCCGAGCCAACCCCCGTCCGCGCCCAGTCATTTGAATGGTCCGCCCTCTCCATGGGCTGGTACGAGTCCCTGCTGTGGGGCTTCATCTTCTCTAGCGAGATGGTAGTCGGGTCCGCCGCCGGTGCGACACCGGGAACAGTCGGTGTCTGGAACGGTACAGCCATCAAGCTCTTCCGAGTCCAGGAGGCGGCTGCCTTGGGGCCAACATTACTTGCCCCGAAGGGTGCAGTTGATGCAGTTGGTAGCAATCTGGTTCAGCGAATTGGAAACCTCAGTCTGAGAGGTCGGGACTCAACCTCGCAGGAGGCTGCTTCGCCGAGTGTCCGGGAGGTTTAGAGTCATAATTGACGTACATAGCATTCTTTTCGACGACCCTTCTTTTTCTTCCCTCAAACCACTTTGCTCATTGCCATCTGGTTGCCTGAGCCGTGATTGTTATGTTTTTCTAGTAGCTTCTAGCCGTTTATCACAATACCATACACGATCACATATCCTACTTTGATTCATGTTATAGAATTGTAGTCAATGGGCTGGTGTTCGCCTACACAACATCGAAATGATCGGTGGCGTATACAATTGCCTCCCTAGAACACGTGCACGAAGATCCGCTCGGCAGGAATATCAACGCGACCACCTCCATGGCATCTCGTTCAATTGAATCAACACTCTTGAAATCTTCCAATTGCACTTGATGTTTTTCTTCGGGATTGTCGCCCTCCTCGCGGTGCCGACCCCTGCTTTCGGGGTCACCTCCAGTCTGCAGAGCATTCTCAGGAATACCCACGGCAGCAAGGATTATGGGTATCCAACTGATTTGACAAGGGATTTGTTGCCTGTAAGTCTCTGCATGATATTTTATCTTGAGTCCCTCGAGAGTACCCAGACGCGAACGTTGTTAACACTGGAATCGCGGGTGTAGATCCCCGTTCATTCGCATAAGTAAGACCGGCATAGCTACTCCCTGCCTAGCCTTGGAGGTCCACCGGGTGGATATGGACCGATCACTGACTTTGATACAGCGATTATTGGCGAGATGAGCCTTTCTATACTGGTCAGTGAGATCATCATGGGAACTCAATCCCCCCTAACGCATTTTTAAGGCCTCTCGCACGGCTGCACATCTACCGAAGCAGATGTCTGGCTTTATAACGGTACTCTTTATGTGTGTTGACTCCGTTGATTAACAGTTTCCCTTGGCATGGGCTCTCCTGCTAATTTGATCAGGTTGGACATGATCAATCCGCTCTCACAGCCTCGAGGACACTTGAATCCTTGTATATCAATCCAATTCTAGATGTTTTGGAGCGGCAGAACCCGGAAAGTCCGTTTGTGTCGAAGCCAACGAAGAAGTAAGCATAGGCAAGTACATCGGCGTGGTTCATTTGCTGATAGGTCGATGCAGCGGTGTCTGGGATACCGACACTGAACAAACGTTGTATTTCTTCATCGACGTAAAAACATCAGGGGTCGAAACCTTCAAAGCCGTCATTGCCGCTTTGGAGCCTCTTCGGGAGAAGGGCTATCTGACCACCGTGAAGGATGGCAAAACTATCACCAACGGACCTGTCACTGTCATCGGCACCGGGGAAACCCCACTGGATCTGGTCGCACCAGTCAAAGACCGCGACTACTTTTTCGATGCACCCCTCGCAGAGCTCACCGATGCCAAGTATGCGGACATCACGGGGATCGTTTCGCCAGTCGCATCGACCGATTTCCAAAAGGCCGTTGGCAAGATCACAAGAGACACAGACCCGATCCTCGGAGATGCTCAACTTCAGACTCTGCGCGACCAAATCTCGACAGCGAATGAGCGGGGCATTGGGGCTAGATATTGGAATACCCCGTACTTCCCGATTCGAGCCCGAAACCTAGTCTGGAGGACTCTCCTACGGGAAGGTGTCATCCTGCTTAACGCCGATGACCTAGATGCTGTCACTGCACTCTTCTAAACAGGTTAATGTCACACAATTGGTTGCATTGTTCTAGAGCATGCTCTTGGCACGTCCACATCGGTGCACAGCTTCACACTCCAATCCATTGCTAAAAAGTACTTTGCTAAGTCTGCTCAGTCAATGTGACTTTCCACTTTTCCACTTCTTCATCGTCGCTTCCTTGGCCCTCCGTGGATTCTTCTTATGGATATATCGCCGTATTGGGTGGGAGTGTATCACATGGGTTCGTGCCCGGATATTATTATCCGCTCCGTAGACAGGCCCGACACTTGTGGGAAGAGATCCTGCCATCGATGTGCCTAATACTCTTGCTGGAGCAGCGTTCGTCTTCAGTTCGCAGATGCTGGGGGCATTTGAAGAACTCGCCGCCGCTGGAGTGGCCACACAGGTACCTGATCTGGACCTGGGTGCAAAACTCCAGAGCACTGGGGTCAGGCACTTGAGAACGTTAGTGAAGGTCTCTGTCCAGTCCTCATTCCCCATCTCTGTAAGCTTACATGGCAGATCCGTAGAAGGAGGAGGTGTGGTGCTTGGCAGTTTGGACGCCATTTTGAGTCTGGCTGTAACCTTCAAAGTTGATAGATCTATGTATTTCGTCAGTGGCTGCCATGTCCTCTCGACGGGCTTGAGCTTACCTAGGTACTGTCTGGACTACCGATTGTGATCGTGTATGCAAGTGGGAAGAAGCATCGAAGGCGAAGACCAAAAGGCCATCCAGGTGAATGGAAAGAGCATCAGTTGCACCTGCCCAATTGGACTGTTCCCTCAGACGCAAAGGTAAACACCTGGGCAATCGTGGTCTTTTCACTTTACACTCCGCAATGTGCGATCTGGTCGACTGTGCCATGCCCGCACATGTGCCTTGCTTTTTACACCTGGAAGGAAAACAGGTTATTTGGAGTTGGAAGTCATTCTAGATCTATAGTTCTGGACAACATCAGACCACAAAGGCTTCTGGGGTTCTTTGTGCCAGGTAACTCTGGAAAAGATATAAAGCCCAGCTCACTACTACTTTGTAAATACTGACGCCAGAGTAAATCCTAGACTGAGCCATCAATATAGCTGCAACTGACCACCTCGTTTGCGGAGTTCTTTCATGGGTATATCACGTGACCCGCGGTGTTCCTGCGACGCTCCGCAGGAGGTTGGGCTCCTCTCCTCCCCAATTCCACGGCTCTCATTGGGTGAACGAGAAATGGAGGATCTAGCAGATCTCTTGGCTAAGGTGCTCCCCACTGGGGTTGAGGTTACCGTTCGTCATGTCTCCTCAACACCTACGCCGTCTGACGCTCTCTTTGCAGCTGCTCCGGGTCAGCCCTCGGAGCCGACGTTCTGTGAAAACCACTTTCTCTCGGCATCGATTGATTGCAACGATGAAGAGACTATCATTTTCGGAATGGAGGTCATGGTCTACAACACGGCCCACTTGACCACCATTTTCATTTCCAAGGCCGACTCAACCGGACTCGTGCATCTACTCAAATTGCCGTGCAAGGTCTCGGTCCTCAGACTGATCTCAAACACCTTCCTCTCATTTCTCGCTCGGTCTCGGCAACGACCCGGCGTGCGGCTCGTGATTTCATTGTTTGCCCGGGCTCAGAACCAGTACTTGTTCCCGGGTAGCATTGAAAATCCCGAAAAACACGTTCTAGATGACAGGGGCCTCATAAAATGGTGGTGCCGCGCCGTTGACCCCATACTCCGTGAACACGAGCCTGAAACTGCGCTCCAGGGGACCAAGGCGCTCGATCAGACCGTCGAAGCTGCGCAAGCTTCAGCCACCGCGTACCTGATCGTTCCGAGCTGTGATCGCTTCGAAACTCGCAATTTCTTCCCTCCAACCGCAAAGGCAGATCCGCAGGATCGCCCACGATGGCTAAACAGCTATCCCCTCAAACAATTATATCACGATCCCTCAGCTCCCCCTCGGTGTCTTGTGCCCCGTTTTCCGGATGATCCCAAGACTCGCTTCCTCATTGATCTTGATGATGAGCTTCCCGAAGAGGATCATGATCTACCAGATGCTGGACGCTGGCGCAGCGTTAAATCCCTGGATCAGTTCTGGGAAATGATGTCTTTCCGCCAAGAGTGTTCCGCCGGCCGTCTGGTTGGGTTCTTGTGGCTAGTCATCAATCCTCCTGGGTTGATGAACTCAACATCGATGGAAAGCCAAACACAGTCTTCGGAGATTGGCCAGCCCAAGGAGCCAATCTCGGTTACCACAGAACAATTGACACAGGCCAATGACCCGCCCAAGGCGCAGGAGACATCGGCACAGGCAGCAGCGAATGCCCCAGTACCGCCAATATCCGAAGTTCCCCTGAGTGCAGAACCGATCAATCCATTTGACTGGCCAGAAGTTGGACGTGGGGATGTTGTTCTCAGCGAAGCCGACTATAAGAAAATGATGGACACTGTCCTCGACAACTTCTATGATGAAAAAGAGATCGGCGCCAGCACCAAAGCCTACATTGATCAAGTCGCGGTTCTCGCAGACCAACTGACATGGGGTAGGAAGGTCATTGGCACCAGCGCCGAGACCGACGCTCCCAATTCAATAAACACCGGTGCGGCCGTTCACGATCTCGGTTTGATCCGCAAAAGAAAGAAGTCGCTGGGTGACCCCAAGGAAGGCCAAGCGTCCGGCGGTCCAGATACCCCAGTGTCCACTTCGGCACCAGCCCCTGCCCCTGCTCCAGAGTCGGGATCGGCTGTCAATGTTCTCAACGCCAGTTTGGTTCGAAAGAAGAAGAAAACATAGCCCTGGCGTATTTCTGGTGGGCCTTGGGCTTGGAGTTTAGGAATGGTCTTTTCTTTCAATATGGAGATTCAAAAATAAACGGATACGAGCAACACTTACTGCATGTGGACTGCTTGCGTAGCCCTTGTGTCTGCGGTCTACAGAGTCCACACTCAAGCTCTGTAATTGTGACCGTAAAGTCTGATGTATATTGTGCTAGTGGCGTATTCGTATAGAGAGAAACAGAAGCAATTAATTGACACTAAATATAGCGCCTGAGCAGCAATGGGAAGTACAGCAGTGGCTGCCAAGACCGAAGTATAGGACACCGTGCGGGTGGGCCACCGCCAAAATGAATCCCGCAGCATCCGACTACTTCCCAGCGTTTTCTCTTCTTTAGAATGTTCCTATGTCGTCTCTCTCTCAAGTCCCATGCTGAACCCTACGCCCCTTCTCTCCGGGCTCAGTGATGGCACTCTCCCTGTCACAGCAGGGTGGATTGCTCTGATCTGGTACGCATTCATCCTGGGAGTTTGCGCCTTGGGCTATTTCCAGATGTAGGACACCTACCATGCACACCGAATTGAAGCTAATCTCCGCCCAGATGGAGGTATTTCCTCGTCCAACCGACAAAATCCCGACTAGGGAACGCCTCCGACGCACCACACGTCACCGCCATCCGTCCCGTCAAAGGCCTCGAGCCACACCTCTACGACTGTCTCGCCGCAACCTTCACACAAGATTACCCACGCGACAAACTCACCATCTGTCTCTGTGTCTCAACGCGCAATGACCCAGCCTACCCCGTCCTCCGCAAGCTAGTCGCCGATTTCCCAGATGTCGACGCGCGCGTTCTCATCGAAGAAGAGGATCCCCTCTTGCACGATGACAGTGCGTACAGCCTTGGCCCGAACCCCAAGATCCGAAATATGAGTCGTGCCTATCGTGAGGCGAAGGGCGATATCGTCTGGATCATCGATTGCAATGTCTGGGTGGGGAAGGGCGTGTGTGCCCGCATGGTGGACAGGCTGTGTGGGACCGGCGCAACACCAGGCAAAAAGTACAAATTTGTCCATCACTTGCCTGTTGCCGTTGATGTGACGGGGGAGAACAATCTTCGGGAAGAGCGACAGGCTTTATTAGACGCTAGTCCGCAGACTGCGGGTGATGCGGCTATACCTTCTGTTCGTCCAGAGGACGGACCTGCAGCCATGATCTCAGCCGGAGGCGGTCGCCTCGAAGAGCTCTTCCTGTCCTCCGCCCATGCGAAGATGTATACAGCCATCAATACGGTTCTCGTGGCCCCATGTATCGTGGGCAAGTCCAATATGTTCCGGCGGTCACATCTGGACTACCTCACTAGTTCTCCTGCGGGGAACGAGGCTCGGTATCCCGGTATTGATTTCTTCTCGGATAATATCTGCGAGGACCATCTGATCGGAGATTTGCTTTGGAAAAAGCAGGTTCGAGAAGAGAAAGAGCTTCGAGAGCGGTGGGGGAAACACGCCATGGTTTTCGGCGATCTGGCTATTCAGCCTGTCGCTAACATGAGTGTGCCGGCGTATATCGCCCGTCGGGTTCGGTGGCTGCGCGTCCGCAAATTCACTGTCCTACTCGCTACCCTCGTCGAACCGGGTACCGAGTCCCTTTTGTGCACTGTTTACGGTGCATTTGGCATCACTACTGCATTGGCGCCACACTTAGAGAGGAAAGGCGTCCAATTCGCCCCGTGGCTTGGATCATGGGCCGCTTTCTTCATGCTGTTTGCTTTTGGCATGATTTCTTGGATCTTAGTGGACTGGACCTTGTACATCAAGCTACATTCCGCAAGGTGTATTGAAGTTGATGAAGACACGCCATCATTCGCGCGTCCTCAGCGGTACCGGTCTCAAACTACGCGGCGCCCATTCAGGCAGTGGTTTGCCGCGTGGCTGGGTCGCGAACTGCTCGCTCTACCCATCTGGGTGATGGCCGTGTATGGCGGCGTGACGGTTGTCTGGCGAGACCGACGTTTCAAAGTTGGTTTCGATGCCAAAGTGCGTGAGATTGACCCCGCCGCCGCGCCTGTGGAAGGCCCTTCGATGGGAAGTACGGGCAAGGTCCGTAGTGATTGATGTACAGATGTGAACCACGAATTCGATGTATACTAGATCAGCATTTGAGCCATAAGCCAATGCGACAATGTAAAAGATATCAAAATGCATTACTATTGACAAGAACCAGAACATCTGCAAGAAAAAAAAAGAAGTCTTCACATCTATGCATATCAAACTTTTGCTCGGCAGGTCTAAGCAGATCCAGCCTCGCCCTCGGTAGCTCCCTTCTCCAGACTCGAAGCAACGTCCGAGTTCAACAGCCACTCAACGACCTGTCTGCCTGCAGACATCTCCCCAGCACCCTCGGTCTTCTCGCCTTCACCCTCGCCAACAGTCATCTCAATCTCTTGGGTCTGGTTCTGGTCCTGGTTCTCCTCTTCGCCCTCGCCGTTATCCTCGACAGCAGCCCAAGCAGTACGCTCAGCAAGGAAGACAGCATCGTGACCAGCATCATTCTTGACGTCGAGGTCTGCACCAGCTTCGACAAGCGCCTTCACACATTCCAGGTGCGTGTTCAGAGCAGCCCAGTGCAAAGGTGTGTTACCAGAGTTGTTGCGGTGGTTGATAAAAGCAGAGCGCTGGGATGCCTCGGCGGAAGAGAGTTTTTGAAGAAGAGTAGTGAGGATTTCTGCGCATGTCAGCATTTTGTCAGGAACGAAAAGACAATTGAGTGATATCGATGAGCTCAGTACTGCCATATCTGATATCCTCGTCTTGAGTCAACATACCGGCATTTCCGTTAGCAGCGGGGAAGTGCAAGACACATGATCCGGAGCCACCTTCGCTCTCATCGGCGAGGTCGATGGCGGACGCCACGATCTGGGACTCGTTGCAGTTGTGTTGGCTGGCGAGAGCGGCAATGTCGGCGTTCAGAGCCTCAAGATCGCCTGCTCGGGCGTCATAGATCAGATCATCGACAGCGTCGGCGGATAGTGCAATTGGCACTGAGGGCTTAGATGTGGACATGATGTATGTGTTGATATATTTTTCTGGTGGGGTTGGTTTTGATATCCCACTTTATTTGCCTGACGCGGGGTGTTAGCGATAGCCATGCTAGGAAATTAAGCCAAACGAGGCGAGAGGAAATTTGATCTCGTGCATGATTTCACCGAGCCCAGCTCGATTGGAAATTCGATGCTGCCAATACTTTTGAGGTATATCGGTTGATCTTGCGGTTGATAAGAGCGTGGTCTCGTGAGATCAAGTCCACGGGGGTATTTGGGGGCTCGGAGTATTCCTTCGTAAGGGATAATACAGACAAGGAGACTGCAGTCGATCTTACCTTTGGATTCTTAGTTTATTGCTTTCAAGTGAGAATTGTCACAACCGGAAGACGAGGCGGTTCGCCGCAAAAAAAAAGTAAGTCATGTGACGATAGTGCTATCAGTAAATTTATACGAAGTGCCTCGTTGCAGTTTTTTGCTACGAGTTACAATGGGATTACAGCAGAAAGGAAATTCGTTTTAGATCATTCTTGTTGGTACATGATATTCATACAAATGACTCTGGCCAGAAGCAAGGGCCAGCAGATAAAGACGGTGTTCATCCACATGGCAAAATGCGCAAAGTCAAGAAACCTAGAAACAGAGATGAAAAAGCTAGAACGCCTCAAAGTCCACTAGCCGTGGGATGGTATCACAAAGCTCGAAAACACAAATGCGAGGGGCAACAACCCGCAGCCCCAGAATGCCACCCAGTAGACGCCCTAGTCACGCAACCAAGCACGACGCTTCTCCTCCTTCTTCTCCCGTCGCTTCTCCTTGAACTGCTTCAGCTCGGCCTTGGTAAGCTTGCGAGAGCTGCGCTCGGCACGCAAGCTCCTGCCATCGTGGCTGTTTGCCGCAGCATCAACGTCGAAGTAAGCGTTCATCTGTCGCCGGGACTTGTTCTCATCATTGTGGTTCTCGGGGTTGATATCCGCTGCCTGCCATCTACCAGTAAAGCGATTGAAGGCTCCAGTGGCAGCGTAGCCTTCAGCGGGGTCACCGGCTGCGTTCTGGGTCTGCTCGGACTGGTCTTCATATTGGCGCGCATATTCCGCATTGGGGTCATAGTCGCCATGAATTGCTGGGTTGTAGCCACCGATCACAGGCTCTTTCTTTGGTGCGGGCGCGGGCTGAGGTTCGGTGCCTGGGGCGGCGGGTTGGTCGGGGACGCGAGGGTTCTCCCACTGCGAGGCGCCGGTCAAACGATTGTAGAAATAATAAGCTTGGTGGTTTGGCTCCCAGATAGGTTCCCATCCATCATCATCATCAGGCTTTGTCGCTGGGGGGGCTTCTTCGGGGAGAGGAGGAGGGACCTCGTCAGGCAATGGTGGCGCGGATGATTGATCATCGACGTCAGGTTCGCCTGGCTCGGATGCCTTGTCATCGGCCTCAGGCTTGTCAGACAAGTCGGATTTATTCTCTTTTTCTCCGACCTCTTCACCCTCTTGCTTTTCGTTGATGTCATGTTGCTTCTCAGTCTCGTTCTGCGCGGGGACGGGTGCGAGAGTATCCTCAGCCGGCTCGGACTGGGCTGGTTTGGGGCGATCTGGTGAGTCGGACATTGTGTTCCGATTCACAGGGTGTGAGGTGGTTATGGGGATAAGGATGGTTGGAAGAGTCGCAATTGTCGCGCCATTTTGCCAATTGGATTAGATGGCCCGCGCGAATTCCCATGCCACCGCCTGCTTGATCAGGGCTGTATGCGCTGATTGGCGGTTGGTTGACGCTATTCCCAACCTGCACTAGCGTGAATTTGTATACTTCATTTGTTCACTTCATAGCATTCACCTTCCTTTTTTTTTTTTTTTTTGCCTCTGTGGCCGAGCGGTATAATACTTGTTTGATAAATCTTTCAGTCGTATGTTCGATCCTGGCTCTGGGGGTATTTAAAGTAATTTAGTATTAGTACTTTATTCTTTTTGTGACTGGGACGGTAGAGGCTCTGGGCTGATAGTGGGGATTGGGGTTAGGTGACAGCGAAGATCTATTGTAGGGTATGAAGAACTCAGAGGACATATTGTCACTAGACTGAGCCCCTCAGTAGGACCCTACTTTGGGTGGAGCTATACTAGGTAGGTACAGGAAGTAGGCGTATTTTTCGAGTCCCGAGAGAGTGTTTGGATAGAGTGATGCATAAGTCTACGTAGTTTTGCTGATGAGTACAGTCCATTTGTTGGCATCATTTACTGAAAATCTGAAACTTGACGACGTACTCGCCCAAACTGTCCAGTGCATGCGGGATCATTTCATCGACTCTGAGCAGTGGTCGTACTAGTTTCCAGCTCCAGGGTATTTCGCTCAAATCAAAATGTGATCTCGTGCGGGTGTCAGAGTAATTTGCCAAGCAAGGGTTAAGACTGGAATTCAGAGCCTTGGCCCCGGTTGGCTCTCGGGGCCAGCCGAACCACTAGCCTCCTACCAGCGCCCTGGATTGTATAAGGCTAGATTTCTTCGCTCTAACTCGGAGGTGACCCAAGGGGAATTTAAGAATTCTAGAGTCCAAATAGCTTGTATCCTGCTTCCAATGAGAAGTAGTTAAGCTGAATCTAGCAAAAAGGCCTCATATTCTCATCGTCGGGGTTATTATGGATGTTACAGAAGCTGACATATAATGGCACCAAACTAAACTTGTTGATTCGGAGGCTCAATTAGAAATATCGGCTCGAATGTCCTTGCCACATTCCGAGCTGGTATGAGTTGGCGCAACATCCCTTTTCGACTTATGTATATCAGCTTGTAGTCTGATCGATCGATTTCATGAATGTAATACTGAAGTTGGTGCTCGGCTGATTCTTCCGGGCCTAATCGGCCTGTAATTCACCATGCTAGAAGTTCCACATTCTTAAATTCTTCGCATTCGCTCTGTCGGCAAGATAGGCCTGCCTTTCCGACAGTAACCTTGTGTATTTGTCTACATTCTGTGCACCATGAGGGTAGTGAAGAGTACCGTTATTAAAAGGCCAAGACCCCATGGCTCCGTTTCTGTATTCGCCAACCAATTCAGTCGACAACCTTCGCCATTTGATTTCTCGTCGCTCTTTCGACCAGCTTTAACTAACATAGCCATTTTTAATTCGAACGCTTCCCATTTTCTGTCGGGCTGTCGTTACAAACGCTCATTATTCTATTTTGTTTATTACCAAGATAAATCACAGGTGTTGTGATCCCATAATGAAGGGGGTATCTTTGCTTTCGCTATTTGGTGCAGCTGTGATAGCTCATCCAACAGGACTGGTGAGTATTTCTTGCTAACAAATGACAAACGGTTCTAACTAACGCATGTTACAGTGGTGGGGCACTGATGTCTGTTATACCAGTCCCGAAAAGGCTGATAACCAGTGTTCCCCAGCACAGCAAGTTGGATTCGACTGGTCCCAGCTTGGAAACGGTGATAACTGGAGCTATGATGGGTTCAACTTTGTTGGCTTCACTGCTAAAGATGGTTGTCGTGATTCTGAATCCGTAAGTGAATTCGACGCCCATCTGAAGTATACCCTTGCCTAATTGACGTCTAGGGAACATGCATCGGGGGAACTCTCAGCCGTAATGATGGCTATAGTCTCGAGGTCAACACTGCCGACACTCCATTCTCTATTCGCACTTTCCACCTCTCGACTTCTCGGCAGACCAACGTCCTCATCACATATGAGATGCCCGAGGGTCGCCCCTGTCACCAGGTGGCTTTCAGTTCTCGTCAGGGAATCGACGTGCACAATGATCAGTGTGGTGGTGCAACCGCGGTCAAGTTCCAGCTTCCTGAAGAAAGCAAGTTTGGTGATTGCACACTGAATATCCACGCTATCAACTTCGATTGCTCGTCCGGAGAAAAGCACACTGGCCACCCTTCCAGCATCCCGCCTCCATCTGAACCGGAGCCAACCCTGAGTCTACCAACTCACAGTCTACCGACTTACAGCCCACCTGCTGAAACTCTGTCTACGCTTCCTACTCCCGTGCCGGAGCATCATCACACATCAGTGTGGGAAGTTACCTCGCCCTCTCCTTCAGCACCTGAACATCATCAAACAACTATGGTGCCACTTCCTCCAGTTTCCAGTCTCACCAAGCCTACGACTACAGTGTGGGAAACTACCCAAATCACTGTCACCAAATGCGAAGCCACCGTTACCGATTGTCCCGCTCATTCTACCGTGGTCATTCATTCTACTTACGCGCTGTCAACTACTGTCTGTCCTTCCCCGTCCACCAAGCCCAACTCAGATCATTCGCTTCCCACAATCCTCCCCTCAAGCTCCTCGAGCACTATTACCAGCAGCAAAGTCACTCCCGAAATCAGTGTTTCACACACCCCTGCACCTGTCCCATGCCCGGAATTGGTACCCAAGTGCATGAACACCTGGCTTTCAATCCCCAAATGCGACTCCAACAGCGATGCAGCCTGCTTCTGTCCTTCTCCAGAATTCACAAACAAGGTCCAATCCTGCATACACGCCTGGGGAACCTCCAAGCACGAAATCGACTCTGCGCTCTCTTATTTTACTGGCATTTGTGCGCCCTATGTTCCCAAGAACCCGACTATCATTGACATTGTGCCTCCCCCTGGTCCCCATGAGGCCCATACAGCTGTTACTGCGCCCAAGCCTGCAGGAACTCCCTGTACAACCATCACATGGGCATCGCACACGGTCACCGTCCCCCAGGTCGGATTCAACACTGTCACTGGTAGCTCTATGACCTCTGTGGATCTGGTCGTTGGTACTCCCGCAAGTGCGAAGGTTACTTCTCCGTCGGAGACCGGACAGCACAAGCACTCGTGGAAAACATCTGCGACAACTACTCCCTGCTCTACTCGAACTTCTACTCTCTTGACGACTATCACCCGAGGTCCCACTGTATCGAACCCTGTCCCTGAGCCCACCGAGAGTGTTGTGTATGCCAACTCTGGGGAGAAGCCGCACATCAGTTATATTCACGCCGCTGGTCTGGTTGCTTTGGTTTTGGCTTTGATCTAAGTGCAATGGGTTGCTTCGTTTTTTATACTTCTCGGTGTATTATTATTATTATCTTCTTGGTGAAAAGCCCAGCATCAAATCAACACATGGGCTTGGGCGAATTTGAGCGAGATTTTGGTTTTGTTCGTAGTTTTCCCAGATTCATGATCAACATCTGGGCACAGCTCATGTCTGATTGAACGTGGGTATTTCTTCACTGGCAGACTAGAACCTTGGAATGCATCTATTCATTTCCCAGGAGTGTATAAGGACTGTTTCCGAGATCAAACCCACAACCCAACGGTACAGTGGTATGTAGTCGACGAATGTTTTGGCTCGGTCGGAAAAGCATCTTGTAACCAGCAATATGGTCCACTTGGTAGTGACCAGAGTCCTTCATCCCATGTATGGCCAGTATCGATATTGGGATACATGCTAACAATTACATTTTACTTTCTTTATTTGTAGCAATTTTAATGTTTGGAATTTGGTGGGAAATGAGCCTTGGATGTTTTCTGGGTGCATACGGGCTCTTAAGCTCGGGAACTGCACCTGCATGAAGCCTAGGGGCTGATGGGCTCGTGGGACCCCTTACCGCAAGACTACTAAAAAGTAGAGCTCATAAATGTTTTCCAGGGGCACATAATCTGGCTGGGGTGCAAACAAGCCCAACACAAAAGTTGAACTTCCGTTTTGGGTGTGTCGGCTGCCCAGATGCCAAGCCCAGATAGAACAGCACCTTGGAAGTCATGGGGCCTATTAAGCTTGAAAATGGAAAGATATTTTTTTAATCAAATATCTTATGAAAGACATTGCCTCATATGATGATTCCAAGTTGCATCTGATACGCAAATTGTGGGGATTTTGGTTTTGTTGAAATGCATTTGTTCGCTCTGTGTTGAATATATATTCTCAAGGGTTGGGCATTTCGATTTGAATGAGACCACTTCAAGGAAACCCCCGCTAGATTAGCTCGAAACTCGACATTAACCAAAAGAATTACGAAAACAAATTTACAAGCTTGAGTTTCTAGGTCAAGATAACCATACCAATCAACTTAGAAGTGAGCTGGTACTCCGCATATGGAGTAGTTACGGCCAAAACAGTCCTAGGTACCTAGATCGAGAGCCAGACCCGAAGACATTATCTGGTAAAATTCAAGGTGTTTTTTCTCCCTCTCTACCTAGGTATCCATGATCTTCATAGTACTTTAAAATTTTCCTGCTACTAGGTACCTAGGTAATGCTTAAGCATTAACATACGAACACTTGACGAGGTAGCATCCATGGATGCCACCAAGATTTCGTTCGTGATCCAATCCCAAGACCACAACACCAGACAATTACGTGAGAGCTATCAAGGTCTAGCTGCATCAGATATGACCATGCAGAGGCAACGCGGTCGGACTCATGCTGTACAACCTGCTCAAATGACGATCTAAGGAATTCCTGGTGCCTGAATGACCTGCGGACACAATATTAAATTGCGATTTACCAAGAAAGAATCACAAGAGATTGTGCTCATTCCCAATTTCTTGGAAATTGATCTAACAATGTGAATAGGCCTTTGTACGAGTACAGAATAGTCCAGGCAGACTATGTATAGAACATCGAAGGGGGTTTGGATTGTGCTAATATGCTTTCGGAATCTGAAATCAGGGCAGAGACATGGATTTCAAGGTTGAGATTAAGATATAGAGACACTACGAAGAGGTGCAATGCACACGAATACTCAGGGGACCTATCGAGACTGTACCAGACCGCGACGCCTTGGCTCTTTGTTCAAATTCCTAGCCATAGTAACAAAACAAGCTCACCGTTATGTTGATTTCGTTTATTATGGCTACCGTTAGGGAGTCTATTTCCTCGCGGTGAAAAACAAAGCAATGAAGGGTGTGACTTCCTCCCCCCTACGTTCGGGCTCGGCTAGTGGCCGGGGTATAGGCGCCCTTGCAGATCGCGGGATTAGGAGTAATCCACCATTAATGGAAAACCCTGAGCACCCCCTTACTATGATCAAGTGTTAGTCATTGTAGCATGCCTCGAGCCTCACGATGAGTCCAAGAAGCAACACAAGGGGAACACAAGCCCCTGTGTGGCTGGGAATTAGGGCCCGAAAGGACCCACTTGGCGACGAGCTTAAGCTTACTTTTGTTATGATGAGTTCACGGGTGTTTGGTATTCTACAACGTCGTAGTGGTAGTGCTATGTTTAGACTGTACAGTATGTAGGATTGAGTGCTGTGACTATGCTCTCCGGAAATGGATCAACAGACGTAAAATGCATCAAATGTGGACACGAGGGCCCGGGCCATCGAAGGTCAGCGCAGGGCGGAGGAATGCCAGGGCAACTGTTTCGCGTGAAGCTAGAGTGGGATGAAGCAGATCCATACCAGGAGCCTCCGCAAGGATCACTGGTTGGTCCACAAGTCCTACAGAGTGGAGTGTTCTCCTTCCCCGTTCCCTACCAAGTGGCATTCCTGATACGGTGAGACCAGCATCCAGGAACAATCTTGCCCTGGATTGTATAGAGGCTGGAAGACTCACAGACCGCTAGGAAAAATCTATAAAGATGAGGTCCTTTACCGTCGTTATTCTTCTTTCTCATCCTCATCAAACACTCTCTTTCAAACCTTCCTTCTCCAGTCTTCTTCAAAGTTTACTCCGAGTCTTCTCTCGTTCAAATCCAAATCCACACAATGCAGTTCACTCTCTCCGCTGTTGTCCTCGGCCTCGCCGCCACTGTCGCTGCTCTCCCTCCCTCCGCTGGTGCTGGAAACGGTATCGGCAACAAGGGCAACACCAACGTCAAGTTCCCTGTCCCCGATGACCTCACCGTCAAGCAGGCTCAGGCCAAGTGTGGTGACCAGGCTCAGCTCTCCTGCTGCAACAAGGCCACCTACGCTGGTGACACCACCGATGTCAACTCTGGCATCCTCGGCGGCACCCTCAGCAACCTGATCGGCTCCGGCTCCGGTGCTGACGGTCTCGGTCTCTTCGACCAGTGCTCCAAGCTCGATCTCCAGATCCCCATCATCGGTATCCCCATCCAGGACATCGTCAACCAGAAGTGCAAGCAGAACATTGCCTGCTGCCAGAACTCTCCTTCCAGCGCCGTGAGTATTCCACTACATCCATACATCAAGCATCTAGCTAACCAATCACTAGAACTCCGACCTCATTGGTCTTGGCCTCCCCTGTGTCGCCCTCGGCTCCATCATCTAAGTGCTTTCGCATGCTCTCTCGCACCATGCAAGAAGCTCTGGTCATCATTCCGGCCCTGGTGGGCTCACGCCCGCCGGGCTGGCTTTGACGCGAAGATGTGGACTGTTACCGATCCTGGGAAGGAATGATTGGTTTTTTGGCTCTTGATCTTGTTTTGAGTAGTTAGATCCCTGTCCATCACTCTTTTCCTGTATCTTAACTGTGCTGTGTGGCACCTCGGAGAAAGAAGACTGATGTTATTGTTTTGATTCAATCCTGGCTCACGCCCTTTGCTTTTAATCGTGCACTTTATTTGGCTGTTCATAGCAATCGGGTTCCTTCACATCCATAGCTTTAATAGACTTATTTGCACACAATGTCCTATTGATACAACAACCCCTCCCTTGTAGATCGCCTTGACCCCTCAGGTAAACTACGCACCGCCCTTTCGCTGCAAAATTCTAAAAAAGACCTCCCTGAATAACATGGGCTATTTTCGCACTTACAACTTTACCGACGTCAGCGTCCCATACCTGGTTGGCTCTTGGGAACAATTTGAGATAATATTACTGTCATACCACTTAAAGTACAGGGCAACCCTAAGTTCCACTTCTCTTTCAAAACCTCAGTCATTTCAAAATTCGTGTATTCGATTATTCTATAATAGAGCTAAATAACAATCCACCTCCAGCTTCCTCCTATCCACAAAGGCCGTATGAGCATTTAAACCCACGAACAAAAAGAACTAGGCAGCCGTTCACCAATCCCTCAAGCCCCGGCCCTTATTCCCTTTCTTCTGATGCTGCAAATGTGCATCTAAAAGCTTCTCTCTTTTCATATCAACCAGTGCCTCATCGTCCCCCACACCTGCAGAGTCCAACCACTTGGGTGAGGAAGAGCTCGTCTTGAGTGAAAGTGACGAGCGCGGAATATTCAGCCCGTAATGTCTTTTCAACAACGTCTTCATAGATCGTTTATTCTTCTTTGGCTCTTCCACTGCCGTGATAGAAGAGCAATCGGAGCTCTTATAATACCCATTCTTGATACTGGTGCCTTGATTTTGCCACTCATTGGTCTCTTTGGGACCACGCTGGGAATATGGTGCTTCGAATCGTGACTGGCACAGATCCAGTTTGAAGATTGGATACTCCGATGGTGACTTTTCGTGGTTCTTCGGTGATATGGGTGTTTGGTCGAATAGCGTGCGCATATTCATGTTCATGTTTGTTTGGAGTTGGGGCCTGTTCTGTGACCCTGATGGTAGGGTTTCATTGAAAGAATGGCGGACGATTGTCATGGTAGATTCGACGCTGGGGCGAGCCAAAGAGGCCGTCTCAGGTGTTGGCTTGATGAGGTCGTTTGAGTCTTCATCTTGGTGTTTGGAACTTGAGTTTGAAAGCCTTTTGGAGATGGTGTTGTTGCGCATCCGGTGCGTTATGTTCGATACGATGCCCATTTTGGTGGTTTGGGTGGGATGAGTACGTGTAGAGAGATGAGGGAGCTCGAAAGCTTGAAATTGAGATTGATGTAAATTATTAGGAGGCTGGATGTCTTCAGATAATCTGAGATGCGTTCAATACGATAAGAACTAGATCGGGCCGCATTCGAATATGGGTTGCGTATACTAGGTCCAGGTATGTTGCGCTTCACCTCTTTTGTGTGACGGAAACTGCTAGTTTAGGTCTACTTTTAACCCCACTGTGGGATTCTGTTCTCCCACCGTCATAGCGGTGAACTGTACTGTCGAACGCATTGAAGTATAAGTTGGTCGTAAGGGTGAAACTGAGACCCAATGGGAAGGCGTGGGTAATCTGCGAAAGTAGCTGTAGCACGGGGGTACGCCATCACTGAATATCACTCAAGGTCGCAGATGAAACAGGCCAATCGTTTAGACAGGAAGGGAGCTTGTGTGGAAATGATGCCCTGTTCACCTACGCAAGGATCTGCATCCCTTCGGCCAAGCTTCACAGTCAAGAACATCTACATACAGGCGTATATTTTAAATCTTTTTCTCCTTGTGCTAAAGCTCGGTGGCTTTCAGCTCAGCTCTGGGCGAGGATCATGATTGATGGAGCTTTGGAGGCCGGAATTTGAAGATCTGCGTGCTTTGTTGATCTCTCTCACAGGCCCCGTTCAGGAATGCTGCAAGTCGACTCGGCCCCTTCGGCGAGAACGGTTCTGGCCTTACGGTGGCAGGGAGTAGGCAAAAGTAAGTCACTCTCACAGAGTTGCATACAGTATTAATCTTATGCATGAGAAATCCACATATTGGTCGTGTGAAGCTACATACATACATAGAGTTCCGGTGTTGGACGCAGATCAATCAAACCACAATGTATTCGTCATCTAGAACATCTTATCAAATCACAAGGGCATCTTATTCCCGGAACTATACATGCTATAAAAACCTTGGAATGAAACCACTCAAAGTTTGCTGGCAGGGGCATCGGTGTAAAGAGACTTGGTCCGGCCCATGGCCTCCACAGCCTCCCGCTCGATGCGAGTGAGCAAATCGGCGCAAGTGGGGATGTCATGAATCAGGCCAATGACTTGGCCAGCAGTCCACACCTGTACACGACGTCGTTAGTAAAGGATCCCAGTACTAGGCGTGGAGGAGCATTGTCAACTTACCCCGAAATCAGGATCGCCGTTGATGAAGACCTGACGGCCCCGCTGGCCGCTAACATAGGGACCGATCTCACTGAACTCTCCAGTCTTGCTCTCTCTCTCAACCTTCAGGGCATCTTGAGTGACCTTGTTACCAAACAGACGGGTAGTATTCTTCCAGCGACGTAGCACCAGAGCAGTGTCCGTTTCTTGCGCTTTGACAATAGTTTCCTTAATGTTGTGGTGAATGGGGGCCTCGACAGTGCTCATAAATCTAGTACCCATGTTGATACCCTCGGCGCCAAGTGCCAGGGCAGCAGCAAGGCCCTGGCCATCGGCAAATCCACCAGAGGCGATGAACGGCACGCCGAGCTCCTGGCGAGCACGGCTGAGCAGAATAAAGTTCGTGATATCGTGCTCACCGACGTGACCGGCACACTCGAACCCATCGATGGAGAGGAAGTCCACACCCAGCTTAACGGCGGACTTGGCATGGCGAATCGTCGTGCACTTGTGCAGGATGATGGTACCGGCCTTCTTCAACTGCGTAATCACGGGACCCGGGTTGTTTCCGGCTGTTTCGACGATCTTGATGCCCTCATCGATGATCACCTGGGCATAGGCGGCGTAGTCGGGAGGGACCAAGGCCGGCAGGAGGGTCAGGTTCACACCGAAGGGGTATTTGGTCATGGTGCGGCATCTCCGAATTTCTTTGCGGAGGTCTTCGGGGGTCGGTTGGGTGAGGGCTGTGAGCTGAAGGATGTTAGACCTGTAGGTGGAAAAGAGTTAGGAGAGATTTACCAATCCAAGTCCACCTGCGTTACTGACAGCCGAGGCCAGCTCGGCGTATCCCACCCATTGCATACCACCCTGGACGACAGGGACTGTAGGTTCCGTTAGTCACTGTACTGGATATAAGGGGAGGGTGGTATTCGCGCACCCCGAATCCCCAGCTTTCGTGTCAAAGCTGTGTTGAAAGGCATCTTGTGAGTCGGTGAATAACAGCCTGGGTTTCTGACGAAACTTATTAGCAATGCATGAACTTTCACAGCACGTAAGGGTAACTCACATATCTATTCCTGTTCAGACGTAGAATGAAGAAGCAGGTGAAGGCCAAGTATTAAACTGATGTCTATGCCGCGGACTTGTGGGGAAAGGCCCGAGATGCCGAGGCACAGTTGGATTCGACCGATGCTAACCTTATGATTTGTGCAATGAATAATCAGTTTATTCCACCTTGGGCCTTTGAGTATTTGAAACACTATGAGATAGAATAATCTTCGCATCTTCAAGTCTGCCTCGATCTACCAGTGCGTTGTAGGATCATGTGCACATACTTCCAAGGTTGATATCGCATGTGACAAAACACCGGTGACTCGGAAATGACTTGCGCAGGTGCCCAGTTGGACATTTCAGGTACCGTTTACAGGGGCCTGTCCACGGGTATGAAGTAGGATGACTACGGAGTATACGTGATATAGAAGATTGAAATGAACGTGATGTTTGTATATGCATGTAACCCTGAATATGAAACTCATCCCCCTCATTGAAAGAGTGAAACGAGCGATTAACGACGGGAGTCTCTCTAAGAGCCTCAATATCCCTCGGCGTCCACGACAGAAAGCCGCAGTCAGTGAGGAACAGCTGAGCACGACGGCATCATCCCAATAAGGTAGACGACGTGAGCGGAGACTCTTGGAGAAGAAAGAAGAGAGGGCGACCCGCGGCCGCAGAAGTGGGAAAAAGCATTAGGCGAGCCAGTCACATGACCCTAGCGTCTGCGGGAAGAATGATACTCCGGCTGCTAATAGATGTCCTGTGATTGGTCGACTGCACGACCACTTGCCGGGTGTCGAGCATGACTAAGGAGGGTACCCGAGGTCGTCCGTGATCCCGGTCATTCGCGAAGACTTGGGATTTATCCTGACCAGACACTCTCAACTCACCTCAAGATGAACTCCCAGAAGATTGCCCAGCAGTCGCTGCGACGGCGTAGGTTCTACCATTTCCGCTGCCATCGAAATTGCCCTCTAACCGATCCCCGGATATAGTCGCCGTCCAGCAGCCGTTCGCCATGCGGTCCACCATGATGCGCTCCCCTATTGCAGTTGGTCTCGGCCAGAACATCCAGAAGAGGTCAGTGTTTCGAGAATGCTATCTCGCTCGCAATTGCGTTGTTTCGGTCGCCAAACCCCGCGAAAATCGACGTCATTCAACATTACCGAACCTGAGCCGTATTAACGAATGAATTCCGATACAGACAAGTGACTTCATCCCCCAACACCGAGGACCCCAAGCAGATCCTCGTCCAGCAGCGTCTCCGCCGCCCTGTCGCTCCTCACCTGTCCATCTACAAGCCCCAGATCACCTGGATCGGTAGTTCCCTGCACCGTATCACCGGCTGCGCCCTCTCCGGCTCTCTCTACCTCTGGGCTACCGCCTACCTCGCATCCCCCGCCTTCGGATGGCACCTCGAGTCGGCCACCATGGTCGCCTCCTTCGGTGCTCTCCCTGTCGCAGCCAAGGTCCTCCTCAAGTCCACCCTCGCCCTTCCTTTCACCTACCACTCCATCAACGGTATCCGCCACTTGGTCTGGGACACTGGCCGTGCCCTGACCAACCCTGCCATTATCAAGACCGGTTGGGCTGTCGTTGGCCTCAGCGTGGCTAGCGCCGTCGGTCTTGCTTTGATTTAAATGTTTCCATACCTCATACCTCCGAGTTTCTTTATGTGTTATTAAAGTGATTTTTTTTTTTTCTTCCAAATATACGAATCTGGTCTATTGGCGCAAGCTTCAAAAGGCGTCGGTTCCTTCTTTGATTTGAATCATATATCCCCAGGCCCGTTTGGATCCATGAATTACCTCGGAAGTTCGACTTGATTGCGACGGGAGATGTACAAATTCGTTGCCTGGGCTCGATGGTAGTATGATCGAAGCTATAAGACTCGCTCTGCATCTACCGAGTGCACGATTTCGGGAATCGGATATAGTTCAAACATGTGGTAAATCAGTGGGTTTCCATTGCATCTTCAAACTACCATTATACCAAGCTGGTGATTATATGAGAAGGGGGCCACTCGTGCATTGCTTTTCCCTCTCCAATCAAGGTCAACCCTAGTATTATATCCGTCCGAGGTCTCGGTCTCCCGTTGACATCCAGCCATATTGTGGATACCCAAGGAGCACTCATTGCCGTGTCTTTTCGCCGAACTTATCAATATCGTCATGATGAGCGGCACATCACATTATGATCTTTCGAGATCCCATCAACCCAAAAGCTCGTTGAGAAGACTGTGTTTGAGCTGCCTTGGAGTTTGGTCTACAATCAGTCAGTAGATGTTTCTTCGGGCATCGGTTCATGGCTCATAGAGCAAGTCCTATAGTCTGAACCTTGGGATGCAAGCTTCGACACACCTATTATCGTATTTTCCATCAACGCCAAATCGAAAACAAATGATTCCGTCGTCATCTAAGCAGGACTTGGAGGAGGGTTGGGTGGAAAAGGTCGAGGTGAAGGAGGATCTTGTACGGAGTGGTCACTGGCCGGGATGCCTCCGGCGAAAGTGTACGTCCGAACTGGCGGTAATAGAATAGCTTGAGAGGTAGGAATGGTGAGGTTTTTGGGAGACATTGCGACGGTCTTAATTAACCAAAGACGATTATAGTGGGCGAAGCACTGTTGGCAGTAAAGGGTCACGGAGTATAGGTATCGAACAAGACACCGCCAGATTATGAGGAGCTTTCTGATCTGAGTGAAAATGACTATTCAGACAGGCTCGACTGATCTATTTAAGTTCCCCAGGCCCCGAGTAGCTGGCAAAGGCCGCGCCATCAACAAGTTGTACACCGCCACCTGTCGAACATCCCAATCAAGGATTCAGACAGGAGGCCATTTGGCGAAGACTGTAAGCCGTTGCTATCCATCGACCTTGGGGACGGCTATCCGTGAGGATCTGGCAATATCTCGGCTGGTCTGCAAGGGCCCGCCGAAAGACTTGATGTATAAACCGTTAGACGTACCAATCCGCTGCCGTATTACTTATTTATTTCGTTGCCGGCAACGAGCGTCGGCCGGGAAATAAAAGAAGAATCCACTTCGTAAATATCCGCTAGGAAAGACTAGGTCCACGGGTATAATGTCCCGTGAACCCGTGGACGGGTGTAGATCAGTTTCTCTTTCAACCACTCCCGGCGAAGGTAGATTACGGTGAAGTTTCACCAGCGGTCTGAGCCTTCGGAGCCATGCAGTTTGAATACATCGGTTTCATGGGATTTGTTCTAGACGGATTATCGTTTCGTTTCAAGGTTCCCGTCGATGTCTTGTTTTTGTTGGACAAACTTGGAGCCCAATGTTGCTCGAGATATATACATCCCCATGTTGGATATTCCCCGGCGTCCTTATTTCATGTCGTCCAACCTTCCTCGGGATCATCCAAACCCCAGGAGAGCTTCCAAGGTTGGAGCTTGCTAGCCAAGTATAAAACCACTACAATGACTATTGTAAGCGGCAAAGCTGCAGGCTGTAAGTACATGCAAGCCGTCGAAGTTTCCAACGGCCGGAAGAGGCAATATGAGGAAACAGGAACCTAATGTAGAGCACAAGCAAATAAGCCCAAATACCAACACACGTGGATGACGTTATGACTCTGGTTATAAGACAGTCTCTTGCCTAATCCAGGGGACGAGCTTGGGGTACTCTGATACAGCTAGTCCCGTATCGAAGTATTCTGTCAAACACGAAGCTAAAGGGAGCTCAAGTCGACCACTCATGCCTCAGCCGAGCCTTGCCGCTGCATATGTCCACACTGAACAGTCACAAAGTACCATGCCGTGCTACTAGCCACCGACTTCTGGCTAATCGTAGCTCTTCTGCATATGCGGGCCTTGCGGAACGACTGTGTTCCGAGAAGATTACCGAATCTTCTCTTGAACGAGTCTTGAGCACCTGGAAACCGTTTTTTGCGTTTCTCTGCAGCGGATAGAGAGCTATGTCCCTGGTGGTTGGGCCGTGCTCAGGGTCTGTTGCGCCGTTCACTACATGGGGTGTCATCCAGCCCCAAGGCTGTATCATGTTACGTGACAGGATTCCTGGCCTATAAGGTAGCCAGTGAAAGAGTACAAAGTTCCCGTTGGCTCAAGCATTGACATTTTTTTCCAGAGAAGGATGTTGCTGGATGGGGTGGGAGGGTCGGAACTGGCGGTTTTGCATTCCTCATATATCGAAGTAAATCCCCGAGTTTTGGTGGGAGCATGCAGGTGGGATCAGTCAAAGCAACTTTCTTTTCGTTTGAGCTGGGGTAAAACATCCTGGAATTGGGCCAATGCGTGTCATAATATCATAGTGGACCCGATTGTCATTTTCAACGGGAATCTAGAGGCCTGGATCCGGGCCCCCCAGTCAGCGGATGCAATTGCTGAAAGAATGACAGTCAATACATCATGATCAGTCTCGAGCAACTCATATCGAAGAGCTCCTGAATTGTCTGTTAAGCTGTGTCAGTTTTACTTTTGATGTATACATCAAGCCATGGCAAAGTCGGGAGTTTGTGCGTGTCCCGCTTCCAATCACCACAACGCTGCCTAACTGTGGCATGCTTCCACTGCAGATAGCTGCAGTAGTCACTTCGGATCCGATGCATCGAACTCAAGCATTCAGACCAGCAAAATACGCAGCAGCGGTGAAAGTCCCGGTTGCTCCCGGTCCAGTGGTGGTTTATTTGTGTGTCAGACCACCGAGACTGAGATGAGAGTCTCAAAGATCCAGACCGTGGGCGAAATGAACAGACTAAACTTGTTGAAATCTACCAATGAAGTGTGGAATATCTGTAAGAAGGAAGTGATGGACAGTCAACACCTGTGGACTGGGATAGCGCTGAGGCCGATGTTGGCAGAATCACACCGCCAAGGCCGAATTCTTTGCTTTCCCGTTCGATCACCTCCGGATGGACTTGTAGACCCCCGACACAATGGCTTTGAATCTTTCTTCCCGAGCGGCCAGATCCGCCCGCGCTGCCTCCAAGCTTACTGCTCGCCCAATTGCGACAGTCCTCCCATCCCGCACCTACGCAACCTCGCCGGAGGAAAACAACCAAGACAAGCCCCGATGGTCCTACACTCCGGCACAGGCAAAGGCACCATTCAGTCTCCACCTCCACTCCAAGCGCCCTGCCTTCCACGTTAACTCCGACCCAGCGCTATTGGACCGATTCTACATTCGCTTGTTCGGCAATGGCGGCGACCAAATCCTCTCTGATGAGACCAAGTGGCTGGCCGTGACGCATAAGAGCTTCGACCAGGGACGCCGAGGATTCAACGATCGCTTGGCCTTCTTGGGAAAGCGAATTGTCCAGCTGCAGGCCTCTTTGGCCCTCGCGCAGTCTGTTCCTGCCGCGAGCGGAGCGCCTGAGGCGAAGAAGGACGAATTTGGTCGCGTGCCTTTCACCCACGCTGCTCTGGATGGATTGAGCAACCTCTCTGCCGAGAACAAGAATGTTCTCACCGAGCGTTCCAAGCTTGCTGAGCTCGGACAGAAGTACGACTTGCACAAGGTCGTTAGATGGAGCCCCAGAAAGGTATGTCCCGTCAAAGGTCTCGTGTATTCCAACCCTAATTCTCTCTCTAGCCCGACGACCTCCGCGCATCCGGCATTGACCTCGTCCTCTCGCATACCCTCTACGCTATTATCGGTGCCGTGTCTCTGGAGAAGGGAGGCGTGGTTGCTGCTCAGATCGCCCGTGAGCGGATACTGGACCCCCTGGGACTCAAGTCCCTGCAGTAGGGACTGTGACTCGAGGCCAGAGATCTCGGAGCATTTGCAGGGCGTTTTAATGTTTGATATTTCCATCTGTGGCAGGTTGGCCTGGACTTCGGGAACCTCTACGATTGTACATGTATTTTTAAACCGACTTGTCTTTCTACATTTTACAGATTCTGCTTATACAGCCAAATACCACTCGAAATTTGAAAGATCAGGAAGATAGGTGTCTGAAATGGTTTCTCATTGATGCTAAGGTGCTAAAGATGTATGTACGGTCCCTCTGACACCGCCTAAGTAACAGTGAAAGTACTCAGCCAGTTCTTATGGGACCCTCTCGAAAGATCGTAGTCTCCGCGCCACTGTATCGCAAGGTAGTAATCAAAACACCACAGAACCCTGACAGAATGCCAGGGTAGCTGTAGAAAATCACAAGGACTTTGTACTGCCTTGAACTGTCTATTGGGAGCGTTGGAGAAAAGAAAAAAAAAGGACCCGAGAAAAATTCCGCCGCGCTTTTATGGGCCATTTTATACGCTAGTCTCCTTTGGGATTGGTGCCTATCTCCGGCCTTGGACATGCGGGCATCACCAACAATCATCTGGGCGCCTTCTTGGGATCTTTCATCGGTGTCTTTGTTCTGATCACTTCCTGTTCAAGAATATGCTGCAGTAAGCGCACAAGCTGGCTCTGTCGTTCCTTTTCTTTTTTCGCCCCCCCACCTGAGACCAGATCACCAATATCGCTCCGTGCACCTATTTACCCCCATTGACACGTCATGGCGTCTGCACTCTTCTTCCTCGACCTGAAGGGCAAGGTGAGCTTGTGAACACCTGGGCAGTGATGGCAACAAGCACATTATGCTGGATCAATCGCCAATGCGTCGAGGGACAAACCTCCGCTAACCATCTATAGACCCTCTTGGCTCGCAACTATCGCGGAGACATTCCCATGTCCGCAGTCGAGAAATTCCCCATCCTCCTAAGTGACGCTGAAGAAGAAAGCTCTGCAGTCCCTCCCTGCTTCTCCCACGAGGGAATCAACGTGTGTCCCACCGAACCAGGCCCACCTGCTCCTGAGTCCCTCCTTTTGTGCGCAACTGCTGACACCAGGGGTGTCTGCGTCTAGTACCTTTATATCCGCCACAGCAACCTCTATATTCTCGCATTGACCAAACGAAACACAAATGCCACCGAAATTCTACTGTTCCTCCACAAGTTGGTGGAGGTCTTCACCGAGTATTTCAAGGTGCTGGAGGAGGAGAGTATCCGGGATAACTTCGTCGTGATCTACGAATTGCTCGACGAGATGATGGATTTCGGATACCCGCAGACAACAGAGAGCAAGATTCTCCAAGAGTGCGCATTGTTTGATTTTTCGGAGAGTGAAAATTGGCTGACGCGCTTGGACCAGATACATCACCCAAGAATCACACAAGCTGGACGTTCAAGCACGACCACCCATCGCCGTCACAAACGCCGTCTCCTGGCGTAGCGAGGGGATACGCTATCGCAAGAATGAAGTCTTCCTGGATGTGGTCGAGTCTCTTAACTTGCTGGTTTCGGCAAATGGAAATGTCCTCCGTTCTGAGATTCTAGGCGCCGTTAAGATGAAGTGTTACCTCAGTGGAATGCCGGAATTGCGATTGGGTTTGAACGACAAGGCTATGTTCGAGACCACTGGCCGTGCCACACGAGGCAAGTCGGTCGAGATGGAGGATGTCAAGTTCCACCAGTGTGTGCGACTGTCCCGCTTTGAGAACGACCGGACCATCAGTTTCATTCCCCCGGATGGAGAGTTTGAGCTCATGAGTTACCGGTTGAACACACAAGTCAAGCCCTTGATCTGGGTAGAGTGTGTGGTTGAATCACACTCCGGATCCCGAGTCGAATATATGCTCAAGGCAAGACTCTGAGTGACCCCTTAACGAACAGAGCATCTTTTGACCCCCTTCTAGGCCAAAGCCCAATTCAAGCGCCGCAGCACAGCCAACAACGTCGAGATTCTCGTCCCCGTCCCTGAAGACGCAGACTCCCCGCGTTTCCGTACTAACATCGGCACTGTGCACTACGCTCCTGAGAAGTCAGCTATTATTTGGAAGATCAAGCAATTCGGCGGTGGCAAGGAGTTCCTCATGCGCGCAGAGCTGGGTCTGCCCTCAGTCAAGGGCGATGATGAGCGCGGCGGTGGTATGACCGGTGGATTCGGAGGTAGCATGGGTGGTGCTGGAAGCATTGGAAAATCGAAGCGGCCCATCAACGTCAAGTTCGAAATCCCCTATTTCACAACCAGTGGTATTCAAGTGCGGTACCTGAAGATCACTGAGCCGAAGGTATGTCATCTTTCCCAATTACCCTTGGACTCTCACTAACCCTTTCCAGTTGCAATACCCATCCCTCCCCTGGGTGAGATACATCACACAGTCCGGTGACATTGCCATGCGTATGCCGGATGTTCAATGAAAACCCTCGCCCGATTGATTCTGTACAGCCCTTTTTTATCTCTTGTTCCCCTTTCATGCTTCCTTGAGGCCGGCCGGTCCGATAGATAATCAATTTCTTCGTTGTTTTTATCTTTGCCTTGCATCGATGGGGTATAGACAGGTTGGATCAACTGCGTTGGTAGTGTACTTCTTGAAGTCAACCTTGGAAACGACATATACCGAAGCATTAAGTGCGTTATCACTTGACAGTATTCACTACCAAAGCTAGAGCACGGGATCGTACTAGATTCAAAACAGACAAAAGCCGGGGTTCCCTTCCCATGAGGCATCGTGTGCCCAGGTGGGCGCTGCAGCTGATGCATCCACCTAGGCAAACACATGCCCTAGGTTGTATCTAGGAACCTGGCCCCTCCACCTGCAGGGCTGAGAGCTGTCATGTCACCCCGCTCTTGGCTTCGAAACCTCACAACTTAGCACTCTGAACACATCCGACTGCCAAAGTTATTACGAAACGACGAGCCACGCCAAGAGATTATCCACAATGCGTCTGTTGAGCACGAGCATCTCTCATGAGGACACTTTTGAAATCGAATACTTCAACGATGAGGAAATCCCACCCTACGCTATCCTGTCGCACACCTGGGGCAGAGAGGAAGTTACCCTGCAGGAACTGAACAGTCCCGAGGCGAAAAGCAAGAAGGGATACGATAAGATCAGGAAGTGCTGCTCGAAGGCAAAGTCTGAAGGCTTGGATTTTGTCTGGATAGACACTTGCTGCATCGACAAGACAAGTAGCGCAGAGCTATCCGAAGCAATCAACTCCATGTACCGTTGGTACCAAGATTCCGAGATCTGCTACGCATATCTTGAGGATGTACCGTCAGAGCAACATTTCACCGAGAGCAGGTGGTTCACGAGAGGTTGGACCCTTCAGGAGTTAATCGCTCTGTCAAAAGTGGTGTTCTTGAATGATTCTTGGAACGAGTTGGGTGACAAGACAAATCTCTGCCAAATTTTGTCAGACTGTACGGGCGTTCCCATCGGAATTCTTGCAGGGACCGAGAATCTTGGAGACTTCAGCATCGCACAGAGAATGTCTTGGGCAGCGGGGAGGAAAACATCGAGGATCGAAGACCGCGCGTATTCTCTCCTGGGGATTTTTGGCATCAACATGCCACTGATATATGGAGAGAAAGAAAATGCCTTCATCAGACTGCAAGAAGAAATCCTGCGGGTTTCAGACGACCTAAGTCTCTTTGCATGGAAACATGAGACTGGCAATGGAATTCTTGCTCGCTCTCCAGCTGCGTTTATTGATGCCGGTAACATCATCAGATGCTTCCAATTCAACAGCTTGAGCCCTCCGACCATGAGTAGTAGAGGGATTCAACTTGAAGTTCACTTTATGGGTGTGGGCTCTCATGGTATAGGTATCGCAGTTCTTGATTGTCAAGAGCAAGGCCGTGATCAAACATTGATTGCTATCTACGTGCGAGACATATTCCTGTCTATGCAAACTTTTGCGAGAGTCTCGACGACAGAGCTCGGAGAGCTCGATCTAAGAAGCTTCAGGCAATTGAAATTTCCTATGAGGAAGATATGCGTCGAAGTTCGTCGCCCAGGAAATGTGCAGAAGCTACCATCTGGGGACAGGAGCACTGTTCCTGAAGATTTCTTTCCCCAGGACATGTTGCAAACTTGGACAGATACCGACCTTGAATTTGCATATGGGCTCGCGGTACACTTAGCATGGCAAGGAGATGATCACCTTCTGTGGATTTTGATGACTCGTTCTGACGTGGAGGCAGCCATAAAAAGTCCGACATTCTTTTTGGACTGCTCCAAAGACCACGAATTTTGGTTCCCGGGCTCAGATCCATTTGATTATACCATAACACCGCTATCAATAGCTACTGAAAAGGGACACGCTTCTGTTGTGAAGATGCTTCTCGACCGAGGGGCCACAGCTGGCGCGCTGGAGGACTCGGAGGCCACACTGCTGAAGTTAGCTGTCAGGAGTGGGAGGGGGTCGATTGTCTGCCTCATTTATCACAAGAGTATGATGACGAATATTCCGTGTTCACAGCTTGCAGAAATCCTGATGGAAGCTCACCAACAAGGGAAAGAATCTGTCGCCAACACCTTGATTAATCTATGCGTGACTATGGATGTGGCTATCAAACATGGTCTAGTATCCACTGTCAAATTGCTGCTTGATCGAGGTGAGCGAATAAATGAGAGAGATTCATGGGGTCAGACACCTCTTATACGAGCTGTTATATCTGCAAACGAGCCTATGGTGGAACTCTTGCTTGAAAGGGGGGCGGCAATGGGCATCGCGGATACGGAAGGCAAAACGGCGCTCTGCTGGGCCATTGAGGGCAAGGAAGAAGCTATTATTGAGCTGCTGCAGAGAGTTTGATCAATTGAATGAGAAGTCCCGCTGTGGTACTTTGTGGAAGACATCCAGAATGGCTTGCATGGCATATGAAATTTGCTGGTGGTCTCGAATTGAGGACAGTGTCGAACTCACTCGCTAGAAAGAGGATATAGATTTTGTCGTTGACGCAAAGTAGCCGCTTGTCTCGTGTAGAAAATACAATCTCGGCCTCTTGGACGTTGCAGATACTGTTAGGCAAGCTGGGAGCAATGGATGTAGATACATGGGCGACATTATTTATCCATTACACTGCGGCGCTGTATATTCCAAAGTCTAGAAAGATGATTGGAGCTCGTCTTACGGCTTTACCGTATATTGAATCTGATAGTGCCAGTGTTTGCTGTAATATGGATTGGACGAAAACATCTGTGTGAAGTTGACACCTTCCTTTGGAACTTTGATGTAACTAGCCCAAAAATCACATTGTACGGAGATCCTGCTTCTCGAGGTACTCTGAAAATGGGGTCAAGCGCAGCGGATACTTCGACAGTCTCTCAAAATCAACTTGGTATCCGACATCGTTTGCCCACAGTTGAGCATCGATCCTTGGGTCCTTCAGGGCGAGATCTGCGGCTTCCCGCTCGCTATAGAATTGAAGAGCAATGTCAGTCCCACTCGCGCGGGAAAGCTCATTCACGATCTCGGCTGGCCTAAGCGACTCGACTCCTAAGTCGATTTCGTGTCTGTTGAAGGCCGAAGGGTCAACGATCGCTGCTACTGCAAATTTCCCAACATCGCCCGGGTCCACTAATGTCATGGCAGTACTGGGCTTGTATGCTGTCAGAAATGTTCGTTTTTGAACCAAGTCGGGGAACATATGGGAAGCAGTCGGTCCGTGATAGTTGTTCATAAGGAATGCAGGTCGGAGAATAGTCCAGTATTTGGCATCTGATGCCCGCACCATGGACTCAATGCGAGCTTTGTTTTGCCAATACCACGCTGATGGGTAGTCAGGGCTCCAGTTCGGGAACGACTCGTGCTTTCCCGTCATTGTCACGCTAGAATACACAATCGTAGTGACTGTGCCTGATGAAGAGGCAGCCCGTAGGATATTCTTGGCCTGGATCACCTCGCGCTCATGGTCGGAAGGTATGGGCGAGACATTCAAGAAGATTGCAGTCACATCTTTCATTGCGGCATTCAGGGAGGCTTTGTCGTCGAAATCGCCAGGGAACAATTGGACTCCCAGGCGTTGAAGCTCAACGGCCGAGTCGGAAAGTGGGTTTCGGACCAGGGCATGAACTTTGAGTCCGGACTTGAGAACCTCACGCGCAGTAGCACCGCCTTGCTGGCCCGTCGCTCCAGTCACCAGTGCAACTGCTTGGGACATGGTTTTGGAAGATGAAGAAGATGAGAGGAAATGAAAGCCAGGAGTAATACCCAGTGAGACGGTTCAGTCAAGCCTGTCAATTCCGTGATAAGTTCAGGCGAGGGTGGGAGCATCTTAAGTAGTATTTACCAGGCCATGATGACATCGCATTGGCCCATTTCTCCCACAGCCATCTTTCCGAAATTGGCATGCAGCTCGAGGATGAGGAAAAATCAAGCCCACATACTACCCACTTGGGGCGTACTCCGAGGAAGAACAAGAGCTTGGAGTCAGAGTGTAGATGGTCGATTTGGCTATTCCCCATTTGGCATGCAGCTCGACAGGTGGGGCCCGGAGATTGACCAGTTGGCACTCGACGGAACCCTGGATCTGTACGGAGTCACCTTCTCATGCCGAAATCTCTTCTAAATCTACCCCCAGGGCTAGGTAATCCTGCACCGGCGCTTCCGAATCGACATGGTATTTTGCGGCAAGCCCAGTAAGGCGTGTCTGGAGTGTCGAGTTAAGAGAAGAAAGGTATTATAAATCCAAACATCCGGTTGCTTCCAAGTTCCAAGGGAAGTTCGAAGTTGACACAACTAACTAATTTGACACGCAAAGTGCGATAAATTGAAACCCGCATGCCGTCAATGTGTCCGAGCCGGCGCCCGGTGCGATGGATACCGCGATCAGAGTTCTGTTGCCTTTCGACATCAGACTGCGGAGTCAATGAGGCAATCTCATCTCAACTTACCCAACAGCGGGTCTATTGGCTCGAATCCAGGAAATCAAGCTGGATGCAAGATATCTGCATGCCAACTAGCCACCGCCGATGGTTTTAAAGATGGGCTTGACAATGAGCTCAGGATGGGCATGTTACCACAGCATCTGGCCTTGGAGTTTTTCTCTCACCATTATCTCATGAACGGATCCAAGCAACCCATCAGTCACCCTGACTGTATGTCTATCATGTACACGAGAGCTGCGGAGTGCAGATACCTGGCTGATCTCATCAGTGCTGTCGGGGTGATCAGCCTAGCACACGTGAGGAACCTACCGTCGTTGGCTCTGGTAGGGGGTCGGCTGTATTCCGCAGCCCTCCGTCATATGCATGTGGCGCTTGCAGACCCGGCAGAAGCAATATCAGACCAGATGCTAGTTGCTGTGATGCTTCTGGCGCTCTATGAGGTAAGCGTCTTTTCGACAACGGGACAGACTGATAATAATACCCACCAGACGGTGAATTGCGACCCAGACGATCGTCTCAGTGCGTGGGACAGACATGTGGCCAGTGCTTTGGCAATTGTAGAACTCCGAGGAATTGGTCAGCTACGTAACAGGGTCGGTCGAAGCATTTTCTTCAAACTGCGCAATAAAATCGTGAGTTGTACCCGAAAGTACAAATCTTGCATCATTTTCTGACATCCCGGAAGCTTGTTAGTTGCCTGCAACGCAGGCTCGATGTACCGGTATCACTGACGAGATGGATGAGTGAGGCTCAGAGTTTCGAGTCCGCAAAGGAGGCTCCGATTGGCCGCTTGGCAGGTATAGTTGTCAGCGCGTGCGCCTTGCTCGCGTCTATAAAGGAGAGCGGCGTGGCCAGGCCGAACATATCTGGTTGCGTGTCCGCTCTCTTGTCTATGGATGGAGCTCTAGAACGCTGGGCCGAAAATCTCGAAGCTGAATATGGATATACGACGTCAGAAACTCCAACAAACCACGAAGACCCTTTTATGCAACGATATGACTTATATCCTGGGATTGAAATTGCCAACACCTGGAATTTGCAACGATGTGCACGCATTACGCTTCGCCAAGCTATCATTGAAATATTCTCTCTAAACATCGACTTATCGTGTTCTCATTCGGCATTGTCGTCTTCATGTTACCAAGGACTTCTTCACACCTCAGACATGATCATACAGCAAAACACAAACGACATATGCTACAGCGTCCCGTATATCTTCAACTTCCACGAAAAAACAGGCGGATCAGGTGATATGAGAGCTACTTGTGCTATATCTCTGTTATGGCCCCTTTACGTTGCAGGAAAAGCACATCCTCCCTTCAGCACTACGCGCGAATGGGTTCTAGCACAGTTGAAAAAGATCGAGGAGGTCACTGGAATCCAAAGAGCAAAGTCAATGGCCCTAGACATTCAAAAGGGCTGATTCTGAGGTTTACATGGTATTTCGACCTATATACCAGCGGTATAAGTATCATTCCAAGGCTTGTTCCTCTTCAAAAGCTACTGCCATATTGTCCTCTTTTGCCGAAGTGTTATGATGGAAGGCCTACCCGTGGGCGATAATACTCGGGCAGGTGCTCCCAAGGTCCATAACACGCTGGAATCGGCCTCGAAACCAGCCATCCTCGACACTCGATTTACAGTCAGGCGTTGTGACGCAAATTATAAAGCACATATTCACAAACTCTGAACCTGGGCATAGTCCAGAAGTACTAGCATGTTGGAAGCTTAAAGAATGAATACTGGGCCGTTTCACAAGGGGTCCTCAGTACTCCGTATAGGACTACATTTCTGATGGCGACCTCAGGCACCCGTGCAATGTAACCAACTTTGGAAGCAATATATAACCTTGGAACCTGCAAGACTCCGTTCTCCACGAATAATTAAAAGTGACTTTATCAGTCAAAACGGATTCATCAATGGCACCCGGGGCGTTTCAGACTATCCCGTAAAGATATTTCAAATTCCTCACATCTACATATAAGTACGTACTTTGGGGCCTACAGGAACACTACGGGTCCAAGTCACACCGTCGGCATCGATCCCATTCGCTCGTCGGCTCGAGTCGTTGATATCCGCAGTGTGAAACAAACCTATCGGATTCCATGCCCTGTGTATTGGCTGTCTCCACTGGACTGGTCATAACACACCGCATACTCCGGAGAAGGGACGGTGCTCCATACACAGACCCGCACAGTAGAACTCGGGCGAATCGAGCACAGATCGGAGACCCGCAATGAGCTGTCAAAGATACTTTGGGTCGGGAAGTACGAATCTGATTTCAGAATGATCAGCGATCAGTGATTTTCCTACGGACTCCACTTGTCGGCCCAGGGAAGTTGGGTGTTGATTTGGGGATCGTACGGAGTACTAGTACAGTAGTAGTCGCAGTACAGTACGAACATATGGAGTGGGCTGGATTATTACAAGGTTGGGAGTCACGGCTACAGCAATGCCTACGGAGTGGAAAGAATACAATAATCGAGTGTGTTCAGTTAGAAATCAAATTTACTGACCCTGCCACATGACCAAAAAAGAAAAGAAAATTCCACAAAACAGGGTATCTCAATTCTCAGAAAAAGGATTCGGAAAAAAGGAAAAAAAACAAGAAAATGCATTACACACGCCTCGGCGCCATTTGTCATAGAGCAAAAAATCATGAACGGGGGCTCTCAACGCCCCTATACATATCAACCTTACCCGGTGCCATTCGCCCCGTTGGAATCATCCAATGACTCTGGCGGAGGAAGAGGGAACCCGTCACCGCCGCCGCCGCCACCCGCCGCTGCTTTGGCGAAGCCCTCGCGGGCGAGCATGGTATTCAACACGGCACAGTTGTATGACGCTTCGCCCGGAGGCACGACAAGGAAGATATAAGTATTATCCGTGAAGCGGCCGAGGAAGATATTGAATTGCGGGGTTTTGGTATGCATGACAACGAATCCAGCAGAGGCAGGCGTGGTGAGGGTATTCCGAGCAGCGCAGTGCTTGAAAGCCTTCATGATGTTCGAGAGACGTTCATGACGATCATAGATGGGATTTAATTCGCCGACCTCGGAAGTCACGGAAGTGACTGTGAGGAAAGTCGAGCGCTCAAAGAGAATGACTTCCTCTGCATTAACCTTCTTGGCGAACGCGGTGAGGAAGCGTTCAATGACCACCAGATTGGGAATGAGCTTGTGGACAATGCCAGCCCAGGCCTTGTACAGCGATTGGTCCCAGATGCTGGAGGCGAAGGTGTCGACGTAGAAGCCGGCTGAGCGGCTGCGGATGACGGCGGAGCGCTCTTCGTAGATGCGTTGGCGGTGCTCGGCTTGGATGAGATCCATCTTGTGGACGAGACAGAAGACGTAGGCGTTTGGGCTGAATTCTCGGAGCGCTTCGATGATCGCGTGGTATGTGTCGAGGTCGCGGTCGACTTCGCGGGATTCGATGTCGAAGACGTAGATTAGGACCGCGACGTCTGAGAAGATATTACCTCTTTGGGAAGCCAGGTACGTTTCCATGAATGCATCTTGTCTGCCCGGAATCGATCAGTAATGTTTCAGGAGCCACGTGATTAGTTGATGTCTCACCCTCCGCAATCCCACAGGTTCAATGTGAGGTTTCCCATGAACTTGACATGGCTGTGCTCTACGTCAATGGTAGCGCCGAGACGCCGTACATCCTTGGCGACATAGTTGCTGAAGATGATTGAGCGCATGGACGACTTCCCCGATCCACTTTTGCCCATCAGGAGCACCTTTCTCTTCTTCTTGCGAGCATCCATCATGTTGATGCTTGCTTGGAGTTGCCGTTAAGCTCGGATGCCCCGCTCTTGCGGGGACAACTCGGGTCGATCTGTGAGAGGCAATTCAATGCGTTGACTGAGCTCGAGGAGTAGAGGGATATCAATTGCAGGTTAGGAGGACCACGGGGACATTCTCCTGTCTCGACAATGGGATTGAAGATGGTGGAGATAAGAAGGAAGAAGCTCCAGCCTCTAATTGCGGAGAAAGCAACACGTGATAGGCGTCACGTGATTATAAGTCCGCCGGGATCCATTAACCATTCGACGCTTGAGGGATTCAAAGTTACCAATTGCGAGTGATCATAGTAATGAGGCAGAGATACAGATACAGATATGATTGACACCCCAACCAACAGGGGTACTATACAGTATAAAGTACAGTAGACCGATACGTGAATCTCCCAAAAGTGAGAGCTTTCCAAGGTTAACGGGATGACGTGGGTCTCCATAATATGCGAACATCAGGAAGATCATAAACATTTTGAGATATGTACAGCCCGGAAGCTCAAATCATTCATTCATCCGAAAACAAGAACCGAATGGTATACGGGGTAACAATTAAAAAAAAAATAAGAGGGTATTAGAAGACAGTGCCGTCAGATCGTATCATGATGGGAGGTTCCTTGGTGTTGGGTCTTGAGACTTCTGCAATTTCGCGTCCACCCTAATAATCGTTAGACTTTCTCTTTGGTTCACTCTCACGCCATTTGCTTACCTTCCAAGTTCCAGCCTCAAGCATTTGTGCCAGAGAAAGTTGTTCTTCGGATCCATTGAGCCCCAGCTGAGAGTTGACCTCTTCTAGGAGTTCGTCCAAGAATCCAACGGTAACAGCGCGCCATTCGACAATGACGTCGTCGTCGACGGAGAACAGGGGGGCAACTTCCACATTGGGTTGACCCTTGATCCGCGCGTTCTCCTTATATGCATCAATTCCGCGCTGCATATCGTTTGGTTTGAGACTCAAGAGTCCCAGATCGACCAAAAGGCCTCCGTTTCGGTATTCCGGCAGTCCGGTCAGCAGTTCGCTGCCGGCGAAGTGGATGTGCATCAATTTGGACATGGGGACCATGATCGAGTAGCAGAGCCATTGGGTGATCTTGTGGAATGGGACGATGCTTTCCCACTGCTGTGCGGGTGGCGATTTGGGAAGATCTGTGCATTTCCAGGCATCTCCAATAGGTACGCCGTCAATTTGGGTTCGTGAGAGGGGCCAGATAGGAGAGAATCCATCCATCAGCACAGACCACAGTGTCGTGATTGGCACAATTGGAACGGACGAAGCTAGCGTTGACGGATGACCGAGAAGATAATCTAGCGTCTGTTAGCAGTTTTCCCACACCATGTTGCGCATTCCCTCTCTCACCCAGCATATTTCCCGGTCTGGCATCCACGCCGAAGAAATCCTGATTGTTCAGCGCTTCGGAAAGCTGCACCAACAAGCCCGCGCGCCCGTCGATGCCCGCCAACGGATTCTGCTCGGAATGCTGCATCCCCTTGGCCAGGACGTCGGTCGTAATCTTCTTCAACCCCGCCCCATCCACCTGACACGGTTCCGTCGGATCGCTACTGAACAGACCGGACTTGAACATTTCCAGACTCGCCACAGCCAACCCCTCACTCCGTGAAAAGACCTTGCCGGACTCCTTCGATCGATAGGACCACTTATTCCCGGCGCCCGCATCGAGCAGCACCGAGACCACAAATAAGTCGATGAGTCGGCGTGTGCGTTCCTGCGCATCCACCCGGCTGGGCCAGGACTGCAGCAGCTGATTTATGCGGGGTCTCCCGCCGATATCGAAATGTTGCCAGCGGCCATGGGGTGGGATGTCCCCGTAATCCGGGGCGTAGTCTCTCTACACACGAGTCAGTGGGCGAATTCTTCCCTCTGGCATGGATGCGCGCACCTTAATGATTGACACGACGTAGGAGGCGGTGGCCTCGAACTTGGTCATGTCGACATCGAAGTGGTTGAGGGCGTTGGCTTTCGCTTTGTTTAGAATTATGGTGGAGCGTTCGCGCACGGCATGGATGCTGCGTAGATATGCGGCGGGGTCTAGTGCCGGGTCTGGGGGCCTTGCGATGGGTAGTTCAGGAATTGAGGCTGGTGGACCACTGCCTTTGTATCCTGGTGATCGGAGGGATGTATTTGAGTTTCGCGCGCTATTGACGGAGACGAAGGATTCATTCTCATCCCGTTCGGAGGTTTTCGAATTGCGCTTGAAGAGCCCCATGGCGTGTCAGGGGAAGAGAAGAACAGAGGAACTTCACCTTCCATACAGATGGTTTTATTTTTTTTTAAGGCGGGGCTGGACCTAAACTGTTTTGATTTTTAATCTCTTAACATTGAGCAGTCCTGTTTTTTGTTTTTTCTCTCTTTCATTTTACTTTCAGTATTTATTTTTTTATTTTTTTTAGTTTAGATCGAAGGCAAAAAGGCCGAAAGGTACGGAGGATACCCACTTCGAGTACTTTTAAGGGAGTTGGAAAGGGTTCGCATATATCCGACAATACATTGTATTACCCTACGTACGGAGTCCTACGAATCACAATGGAAACGACAAATAATCTCAAATAGGGGCACACGAAAAAGCCGGAAAAAACCCCCAGGGGCCGCAGGGTGGTACGTGTATAGATCGCTAGCTCGGATATCGATCAGCCTTTCCCCTATTTGGTCCCCAGAAGGCCATTTACGCACATAATTCAGTTCTGGCCAGGAGCACGGACTGGCGTACCGTTCAAGAAAATGCCCCCGAATCCACTTTTTAGCGACGTCAATCTTTCCCGAGTCCTTTTCGCAAATCTTCGGTGAGCATCCGTGTTCATTGTTTGGGTCGAAGCAAAGCTATTGTTTAGCCTGGAGCTATGTGTAATAGTATAGATACTACTCCAGGGCTACTCACATACTCTACCGTACAGTAGAGTACTGTAGAATACCGAGTACATCAAGCTCACAGTCCGTGGTTTCAGGTCTGAAGTTCCGGAACCTCCGTTCTAGACTCAATGCGGATTCACGACGGATCCCCTGGTGAACAGTGCGTTTAAACCTCCGAAAGGATCCATGACGTTTTCCTCTTTCATATGCTTGTCTCATCTCCGGCCCGTTGATGCACACGGCCCCGTCGTTTCACATTCAGTACGGCTCTTTGCGACCTCACGGAATACACTGCTCACGGTATTCCGGAATACACGCTGCGGGAGTAACACTCGGCTCGATTCCCACTCGACGGAGTACCCGCTCCTCTGCTCCGCTGAGTTGTCAGAAAGCGGAGATCTGAATTTTCTGGGTCGATTGGTCGTTTCCCGACGCTGTTGGAATTGACTTTACGTGGAGCCGGCCTGGACACTGGTGCACTGGGGCCTTCAGCGGTTAGTGTCTAGGCGTGCAGATGGAGTAGGGGATATGCACTGTGACAGCGTATTTGCAAGAACTACTGCACCGTACCCATCGACTGACATCGTGCGGAGTACCTGATGAGTTTGTTTGCTCGGATCGCCATCGTCAGTTCCAGGGGCCATGGACACGTCAGAACTACCTACCTAGGTAGGTATCCATGTAAGCTACCCCGGTAGCCTGGAGCCAGGTACGGACTCCACTGATCGAGGTCGTGTAGCTGGGCTCATTGAGGTAATCCTGGATCTTGAACTACTTGAGTCTGGCCGCTCCACCAAAACCATTGTGTTCCAACGGGATTAAGATTACCCTTGACAGTTGAGGACACGGCAGGTATCGCCTTGTCATATCCATGGATCCCATCCGCATTCGGGGCAAGATGGACGTCTCCGTACCAATCCCAGGGCAGAAGACTAATAACCGCCTGAGACTGCCGTACCGCGCTCCAATCCTGCGGTAGATCCTCGGATCTTTCTGTCTCTCATAGGTAGGAAGCATTTTGGCTTCCACCTCTGCAGACCCCATAGGTCAGGTCTTAGCCGATTAGGGCCAGGGACCGATGATCCCTTCGGCTACTGAGCCGCGCACATACATTCGATCTAGCTTTGTGTGCCGCACTGAGGGGCTGTGGTGTGGGGGTGGCTCAATGTCGAGTGCAGACAGCGGGAGATAAGATGGATTTGAACGACTTGATATCTCGTGTCTCCAACCGTGGGACCTTGGAAGGTTGTACTATATTGAACTACTAGTACTACCTACCTACCTAGGTAGGTAGTAGACAGATTAGCACAGAGTAAACAAGCCCACATACCTACAGCACTAGTACTACTGGGTAGTAGTATATCTTTCACTACTTCATCAGTACAGAACTTTGATTCATGAATTGCACCGAGGATTCAATGCAGAATGAATCAGAAGTGACAGTGATACTGAAGAAGACGAAGCATCTCCAACTTCCAACCATCAACATTTGAACCTCAGGCCGGCGAAACGCCGATGACATAATCACCCCGGCCAACTGGTCTGGATCCCCCACATGCAGGGGGCAACGTTCTGCACCTTATTACAGCCATTGTCCGTTGTGACTTCGGGTGTCTGAAACCCAGCTGGTGAGGTTATGGAACTATCAATTCAAGTCCCCCGTCCTAATCCTCAACTCCGCCAGACGCCACGTCGCCTTGCGCAACACTCACCATGGAGGACCTCAACGGCCTGAGCTGGTCAGACTCCAAGTCAAGTAAACCGCCACCCATGAGCTCGGGATATCTATTCCCGACTATGCCATCAAACGGCGGCTCCGGCAGGTCCACTCCGCTATCTAGCACCTCGAACCGCTCCAACTCGCCCGCAAAGCCCGCCACCTCGACCGGGGATAGCTTCGCAAACTTAGTCTCGTTCAACTCGTCCACCGGGAATAAGAACCTGTCGCTGATGGAACAGCAAAAGCGCATGGAGGAAAATAAGGCCAAGAAGGAAGCTGAAAACCGCAATCGCTTTGAATCGCAATACGGTGGCCAGAACAACCAGTTCTGGGACAACTTCGAACAAGGTCGCACGCAGAGCCCAGCCATACCTGCGCCTCGGTCTGCCCCACCCGCGGATGACGATGACGATATCCTGGGTGCATTTAGTGCTGATGCGCCTGTGGATGCCTCGACCCATTTCCCCGTCCCCAGCTCGGCGAGAGCCTCGCCCGCAGTCACCACCAACAATCGCCCGGAGCCTCCCAGGGGAGGAATATCGATGGAGGACAACACAGGGGGGCTTGGTGCATTCGAAGATGACGATCCATTCGGACTGAACCAATTGAAGCCGAAGTCCGCACCCGCTCCAGCTCCGCAACAAGTTGACGATGATGATTTCCTTGGTCTGCTAGGCAAGCCGGTGTCGGAGATTCCTCGCCAACAACCGAGTCCTGCGCCCGTCTCTGCTGTCTCGTCTGATCGCGAACGAGAGCAAGATGCTTCACCAATGCCTTCCAATGAGGTCGATCGAGCTATTGCGGAATTGGTGGACATGGGATTCCCTGCGGACAAGTCGCGCATGGCTCTGAAAACGACGCAGTCAGGGACTGATGTCCAGGGTGCTGTTGGCTGGCTTCTTACCCAGGCTCATGCCGAAGCTCGACAGAAGACCGAGGGACGGGGCAATGCTCACCCCACGGATCGCACCGAGAGAAGTGGCAGTCGTAATCGCGATAGGCCCTCTTGGATGAGGGAAGAAAGAAACGGCTCCCGTTCGCGCGAGGACGGACGGAGTCCAGCAGATAAAGACCCGGCTCAAATGGCTGCGCAATTCGGCAATAGCTTCTTGAAACAAGCCGGTTCACTTTGGAAGACTGGTAGCAAGAAATTCCAACAAGCGGTGAATGAGTTCAACACTGAGCATGACCCCAGCCAACCCAAATGGATGAGAGAGGGAGCTCCTCAGCATGACGATCCTCCCCCACAGCCCCAACGCCAGCGTCGCGAGCAGCCGACCCAGTCCCAAGCGCAGCAAGACTTCACAAATGAAGCTCTTCTTCTCGAATCTGGTGACGGCCGCCCTCGCAAGCCTACTCGGCCCCGGGAAAGCCAGCCGTCGGACCGTAGAGGCCAGCCAAGGGACCGACAGTCCCCTGGTCCTGTTCAACCAAAGCAACAGGGCAACTTCCTCGAGCGTCCCTCTCGCCCAAGCTCCCAAGATCCTAGATCTCGGGTCTCTCGGTTCGCTGCAGAGGAAGAACAGGCGCAGGCCTATGTTAGCCCGGCGAGGCGCAAGCGGCCCCAAGCCCCAGCTGCAGCTCCTGCCCCTGAGCCTGCAGTTGACCTGTTCGATTCCCCCGCCCCTGTAGCCAGCCGACCCAAACCATCGGCTCCTGCACAGACCGCGACTCCCCCGGCGCGATCAACTCCTATCCCAGTGCGCCCTAAGGCTCCAACTCGATCCATCCCACCTCTATCCCAACAAGCTCTTCAATCCACACATCGCCACCGCGGGAAGGCGGCAGATTCATACAAGCGAGGTGACTATGCTGAAGCACACCAGAGCTTCTCCACAGCTCTCAGCATGCTCCCAGATACACACCCCATCACCATCATCATCCGCAGCAACCGTGCCATGACAGCTCTCAAGATCGGCGAGCCCAAGTCTGCCGTCGAAGACGCCAATACAATCCTCACCTTCATCGGTCCTTCCAAAGGCGAGTCGGAAGTAATCGACCTCGGCAACGGCGAATCGCCCAAACCAATGAAAGACTTCTACGGCAAAGCCCTCATGCGCAAAGCCGAAGCACTGGAACAGCTTGAGCGCTGGACCGACGCTGCGCAAGCATGGAAAGATGCCGTCGAGTCCGGCCACGGCGGAAGTACCAGTATTCAAGGTCGAAACCGATGCGAGAAGGCCGCTGGCACTAGCAAGCCCCAACAAGCTGCTCCTCGCAAGAGACCCACGCCTGCTCCTAAGCCCAAGGCATCTGCCCTATCGGATCTTGCTCCAACTTCAGCATCAGGCTCAGACTTTGAGTCTGTGAGTCGTCTACGACAGGCCAATGAAGCCGCCGAACGCGCCGACGAGGAGAAGTTCGCCCTGTCAGAAAGTGTGGACGCCAGAATCGCAGCCTGGCGCAATGGAAAACAGGATAACCTCCGCGCCCTTCTCGGTAGCTTAGATTCCGTTCTCTGGCCCGAGGCTGGCTGGAAGAAGATTGGCTTGTCGGAATTGGTGTTGCCGAATAAAGTCAAGATTCAGTACATGAAGGGGATTGGCAAGGTGCATCCTGATAAGGTATGTTTTAATTCTTCTAAGTATTCGGAAGTTCCTTCCAGCTAATCAATTCAGATCTCCACGACTGCCACTACTGAACAGCGCATGATTGCTGGTTCGGTGTTCGGAACCCTGAACGAAGCCTGGGACAAGTTCAGGATTGAGAACAATCTTTGACTGCCATGTTCTTGTCGATACCATCATTGTGTTTTTATCCTTTTTAGCTTGCATAACATTACACTGGTTAGAAGATCATCGCGCCTCGCATTAAGAGCGGCCACTGCTTTTATAATAATTGCATGCCGTCTGGCCTCATGTTGCTTTTTCCATTCTGGTACCCTTAACCCCGTAAAACGCGTCAGCCTGCGTTCAATGGAGCATCCATGGGCCTCAGAGATGCCATGGTCTTTCTATCATGCATCAGTTCTACCAGGGCTCTAGACATTCTTAGGTGCTCGATCTCCTAGTGCATGACAACATGTACTCCGTCAAAGTGGGCTGTTTAATTTTCATCGTTATACTCTGGAGCACTTTTGAAAACCATTGATCCAAAGTGAAGGACGTGGCATAATATTGGTTTCATAAACTACTTGTAGTAGTCTGCTGCACGAAAATACTCGGTTATAAAATCTTCGAGTGCTGCACACTGGCTGGGGGGGATACTTCTATTAAAACAACGTGATGGCTAACAACCACCTGGGCAGCCTCATGCCTCGGCATTTACCTCGGAAGCATCTTCAGTCTTATCTGTAGGTTCAGCCTGAGTCTCCTGCTCTTGTTTCGCTTTCTCTTCGCGCTTTCTTGCCCGCTCCATGCCGGCTTCTCGCTTCAGTTGCTTTTTGCTCACTTTCTTCTCTTGACTAGGTTGAGTCACCTTTGCAGATGGCCACTGCTCCCTGCACTTCTTCTCATCTTCCTCGCTCCAGTCCCTAGGCAAGATCGCAAAGACCAGGTATGAAGTGTGAGTTCTGAGATCTATCTCAGACCGATGCACCAAGCGACCTTGGGCGTACTTTGGTAAATCGGCATCTCTATCTTTGTATGTCGATTCAGCCTTCTCGATAGGCTCATAATCCGGAAGACCAATATTTGAACGATTCTCACGAACAAGCTTGGCGTGTTGTTCATCGCTGCGAAGCTTGCTGACCGCTTGCTCAACTGTCTGGGGAAACAGAGTTGCTCCGCGTTCGCCTTCAGCGTCCAGGCCCACGCGTTCACGCTTCACATCGATGCGTCGCTGGGCGACTTCCACCATGGAGATATTGAGCCACCCCATCTGGCGCATTGTGCGGATCGTACGCTCGGCCTGCTCCAAGCATGGAGAGAACGTGCATAGATACGCAGGCGATTCGGGGTCAAGAGCTGATTCTTGGCCGGCAGGTGGGTGGCGCACTAGATGCTTCAGCGCAAGCCAGGGAGCAGGCAGATCGAGGAAAATCGCATTGGCCTTGGGCGATTTGCCCGTATGAGGCTCGCCCAAGAGGAAACCATCCTCGTAAACATCACGATGAGTGACCTCGACTAGACCTTCAAGGCCATGGTCTTTAATCTCTTCCTTCACTTTCTCAACGCGCTGTTCGTGGAATTCAAAACTGCACACCTTTCCAAGCCGACGCTTCTTCGTCGCCTGCTCGGTCTCGGGGTACCCGCTGAACACGGCGCGAGCTGATGCGTGTGTAAATGAGCCACTGCCAGCTCCGGCTTCAATTACGGTGCATCCTGGTCGTGCGCGCAGTCGGTGGAGAATGTAGCTGTAATCCGGGGTGTACACGACCTGCGTGCGGTGCGGAAGAGAGATGGTCCACGCTTCGGGTGTCGGGGCAAGAACGTGCAGGAATCCACTGTCGGCGGCAACGGGGGCTCTCAGTGCCGGCTTTGATGTCTCCTCCTCTGTACCAGTCGGTGTCGCAGACGCTTCGATATCCTCGGCCTTGCGCTTGTTGGTTGAGCGACGGCCGCGAGAGCCAGTGTCGACTTTTGAGGCAACGACTTGGGAGCCCCATGGCTTTCCGATCAAAGTGCTATGCGGGAATGAACCAAAGCGGGTGTTGGTGACCTTGCCTTCGAAGTAGCCTTGGTTCTCATCGTCATGGTCGCGGAGGATTGTCGGGACGATCTGGTCGCGACGCAGCTGCAGCAGGGCGAGACTGTCGGGGTCCGCTGTGGGATTCGGATTTAGAAACGGAGACGGCATTGTGAACAAGGCAATGATCGTAACTATCTTGAAGCGCCCGGGGAAAAATCGCTGGATGCTGATTGCCAGATTGGGCCATAAGTTAGGGCACAGGGCTTAGTGTCATCCGCAGCTCTGCCACCAATCAACAGCGAGTCCGCTGTTGATGGATGACTCGATACCAGAGCCCCTCCCCCTCCATTGCGCTTTGTTTCTTTCTTTATGCTCTCGTCCCGGTTCCTCCCCTTTGCTGCTTCTCCGCCCAAACGATTTCTCTTGTCGGTCGCTCCCTTTAGGTCCATGTCTTCTCGCCAGCAGCCGCCCTGGCGGCAACCACCCACCAGTGCGGATGCGCAACTGCCTGCATTGAAGGTGTGGAACTCCTTGACCAAGTCCAAGACACCGTTCGTCCCGATCGACCCTGCAGGAAAGAAGGTGGTGTGGTACGCTTGCGGACCGACTGTCTACGACGACGCGCATTTGGGACACGCCCGCAACTATGTTAGCACCGATATCATTCGCCGAATTATGCGCGACTACTTCAAGTTCGATGTCAACTTTGTGATGAACATTACCGATGTTGACGACAAGGTATGGAATGGACATGGTGTCCCCTGCATGGGAATAATTGGCCGTGAAAACAGTGACTAAACTCTGCATAGATCATCCTTCGCGCCAGACAACAACACCTGTTCAACGAGTTTGTCGCCACAAGCCCTACGGTTACCCCCGAAGTCCTCGATACCGTGAAGCTCGCTTTCGCCGCGTACATTAAGAAGAACCTGCCCTTGCTCGATGCCGCGCTTGCGCCATCCCAGTACCAGAAAGAAGTTGAGAAGACGTACGCGGCTATTTTGAACGGCGGTGCTCTGCCCGGAAATGAGAAGGCCGGCGACGATGAGGCCAAGGTCAAGATGCATATCAAGACCGCCGCCTCGGCCGCCAAGGTCATTGCGCAGGCTGAAGCTCGCAACGAAAAGAGTGCCGACCCTGCTGCTTTCGCCGAAACATTCTACACCGATGCGCAAGATCTTATTCTTCCATACTTGGACGCCCTGAAGGGCGCATCTGTCGACGCAGACGACCACAGTATCTTCACTAAACTTACAAAGAGATACGAGGAGCGCTTCCTCAATGACATGCGGGATCTGAACGTTCTCGACCCCACCGAGTTGACCCGCGTGACGGAGTACGGTGACGAGATTGCGGCTTTCGTTGAGCGCATTGTGAAAAACAACTTTGGATACGCCACGAAAGATGGATCTGTCTACTTCGACATTAATGCTTTCGAGGCCGCAGGCCACCCCTACGCTCGCCTGGAGCCGTGGAGTCGGTCTGACAACAAGTTGGCCGCTGAGGGAGAAGGATCTCTGGCTAGCAAGACTACTGAGAAGCGCGGTAACTCTGACTTTGCTCTTTGGAAGTCTTCGAAGCCAGGTGAGCCCAGCTGGTCTAGCTCCTGGGGCAGGGGTCGCCCTGGATGGCACATTGAGTGCTCGGCGATGGCATCAGCCCGCCTGGGTAAGCAGATGGATATTCACTCCGGTGGTATTGACCTTGCTTTCCCTCACCACGATAATGAGCTGGCTCAAAGTGAGGCATACTGGCACGATGGTCACAAGCATGACTCCCACGAGCAGTGGGTGAACTACTTCCTTCACATGGGCCACCTGTCTATCCAAGGATCCAAGATGTCCAAGTCTCTGAAGAACTTCACCACCATTCGGGAGGCACTTGATCGCAAGGATTGGACCCCAAGAAGCTTGCGTATTGTTTTCCTTCTTGGTGGTTGGAAGGAAGGCGTTGAGATCACCGATGATCTCGTGGCCTTTGGCAGCTCCTGGGAGGAGAAGGTGAACAACTTCTTCCTCAAGGCTAAGGACCCGGCCGCTTTCCAATCTTCAGGTACAGACACCACCTTCGCCGCCGATCTGGAGGCCACCAAGAAGGCTGTCAATGAGCAACTCTGCGATTCGTTCAACACCCCTGCTGTTATGCAGTCTATCTCGGAGCTCATCTCCAAGTTCAACATTGTCGACAAGGCCAGCGTGCCCGGTAAGGACCTCCAGGCTGCTGCCCAGTGGGTCACCTCGATGGTGAACATCTTTGGTCTGAATGGTGTTGCTTCGGCCGACAGCTCTGAAATCGGCTGGTCGGGCATCGATGTGCCCGTCGAGGCCAAGCCTTACCTCTACCCTCTCGCAGCTATGCGTGACACTCTGCGTGAGGCCGCACGCTCCAAGGATGGTATCTCTGCAAAGGATCTCGAGGAGGCAGTCGCTCGTACATCCGCACCACAGGAAGCTTCCGACTCCGCGAAGCCATACGCCGATATCTATGAGAACTTCCGCAACAAGGTTGCATCACTAGAGTCCTCTCAGTCCATTAGCAAGGACATTCTCTCCCTGTGCGACCGTGTCCGTGACATCGACCTCTTCGGCGTTGGCGTCTACCTTGAGGATCGGGAAAACCAGCCCGCTCTTGTTCGCCCCGTCACCCAGGAGATGATCAAGGCCCGGGCCGAGAAGGAAGCCAAGGCCAGCCAGAAGCAGGCGGAAAAGAAGAAGCAGGAGCAGGAGGCCCTGAAGCGGGCCGAGAAGGGCAAGTTAAGCCACCTGGAGATGTTCCGCACCAATGAATACAGCGCCTGGGACGAGGATGGCATCCCACTTCGCGATGCTGCCGGCGAGGAGATCACCAAGAGCCGGGGCAAGAAGCTGCGCAAGGACTGGACGAGCCAGAAGAAGGCCCACGAGGCCTGGTTGGCTACTCAAGCCAAATGAACCCCCAAAAGAGCATTTTGATTTCATACAATATTTCCTTTCGGTATCTTGGTTTTACTCGTGCCTCGAGTCGGTTTTCAGTTTGCATCGCGGGGCGTTTCTTGGCATATCAATATACCATCTCAATGTGAACATTTCCTAATCGGGATAATCTAAGCACTACCCCTCCTGCATTGCTTCACAGCTAGCACTCGTTTGTTACTGTCGTGGAGGGGGAAACGTTTCGCCTGATCTTCAAATCCCCGTAGGACAATGCAGCTTCACGGAAAGGAGCATCCAACGTAGAGCAAAAGGATGTATCAAAATAGTGTCGTGCAAGGGCACATATGTACCTAGGTAGTCACAATGGCGATCTAGATCAAATGACTCGGAGGAGCCAGCCCCGGAAAGTCGACCCCACTCATGTTGATCTGGAGAAAGTGGGATGCTCTCCATTCCTGATACACCAACTTCCATCTTTTCCATCTTGTTCAATCATCCACAAACACCATGGCAGTCCAATCAGGCCTTGACTATATGCGTGCGCGCTCGGTGGTGGACTGCGATACAATGGACGAAGAAGGTACAAGTCCCCCGCCCTGACGTTTCCCCAGACCTCCAGGCTAAAAAGTACTTAGTTGCCAAAACATTGGGCCCATTCCAAGATTCGACCTCCAACCAGGTAGGTATGCCCAGATATTGTGGAATCACGCTGCTAATGATGTCAGGCCATTGCTTTCGGGGAGCTATCGAAGCCAGCACGAGCTGAATTGATTGCGGCCTCTCTCGCAGATGCCAAGGCGCTCCATCCGAAGTATTCGTCCATTCCTATGGAAGAGTTGGCTGTTGAGATTGCGGTCTGATCCCTCGTCGACTCACATTAAAAATCCAATGCTTACCATCCCATTAGATGGTGCGGATGGCTGTTGGAATGGCGCAGCATATCCGCGGGCTCGTACATGTGCAAACCAACCCTTACTACTCTTATTCTGCGGAGAAGACTGTTGTCAATGCTCTCCGTATGTCCAGGAATTTCTATATCAGGATCCAGGGTTTAAACAGGCATTGACTTTCTAATCGAATAGGTATCATACAGCTATTCCAGCACATCCAGCCCGGGTTCGATGTGGCTCGGATTTCCATCAAGATCCCAAGCACATGGGAGGGAATGATGGCCTGTCGAACCCTCGAGCTAGCCGGTGTGCGCACCCTGGCAACGACTCTATTCACAATGGCGCAGGCGGTACTTGCCACTGAAGTCGGCTGCACGTACATTGCACCATACGTGAACGAGCTGAGGGTGCACTTCGACGCAGAGTACGTATCCACAAGAAGAACGACTCGCATTTGGACATACTTATTTGAAAATTTAGGTTTGAGGATAAGGCAAAATTGCTACCTCTCTGCGCCGCCATCCAGAAATACTACCAGTCTATCCAGTCCCCTACCAAGGTTCTTCCTGCCAGCTTGACTTCCGTGGAAGAGATATTCTTCCTTGCGGGAGTTGACCATATTACTATCTCGCCGGGACTGCTGACACAGTTGACTCAACCTTATGTTGGAAACGTCCAGTCTTTGTTCGATACAGCGCCCACACTCCCCATCCCTGCAAAGGATGTCTCTTTCATCAACGATCCTGGAAGCTTCCAGATTACCTTTGCCCGAGATCAGGGAGGTGCCAGCCAGAGGAAGCTGACTGAGGTATGTATCATAAACGTTCGGGTGGTGATGGTTTCTGACTGTTGATAGGCCATCAATACCTTCTGTGATTTCCAAGACAAATTGGAGTTACTCATGAAGACTGCAGCCTAGGTACGATATATCCTAGATACTAGCGACACTAGAATACACATCCATTTCCTTTTGATATATTACAGACACAAAAGTAGTCGAAAGAGTAAAGAAATGAATGCATGTTCGGGGCCAGTATATAGTAGCACGTGACCCGACGTCATTCGCCCTTGAACCCGCGGAATGGGAGTTCTCCAATTCTCTTCCTTCAATTGTGGGGGACTTTTTGAGATATCGACCCTGTGGACTCTCAATAATAACTGAGCATTGCTTCTAGATCCCCTGTCCATTTGCGCCGCTTGACCACCGAGCACTGAAAATTTGCATCTGGATCATACGGCTTCACTTCGTCCCCATGTTCCCCTCCCAGGCGGCCAATTTGAACATTGAGGCCTTAAGCGGCATCTGTGGGTAAGTCAAATGAGCTGGAGATCTTTGTTGATTTAAATGTTGCAAGGAATCTTCCCCTGTATCGCGCTTTTGCTCCGGCGCGTGATGCATGCTTGTGCGACAAGCTACCCGTCGACATAGCTCCTCAGGCCGATCATTTTCTATTTTAAGCGGCATTTTGATGAACAAGCTAACCAAGCCAGATCTATTTCCATTGCCTGCTGGGTCGTTGTATTCTCCCCTCAAATCATTGAAAACTTCCGCCGTGGATCTGCCGATGGCCTTTCACTACTCTTCCTCGTCGTCTGGTTGGCCGGCGATGTATTCAACATCCTAGGTGCCGTCATGCAGGGTGTGCTACCGACCATGATTATTCTGGCGGTCTACTACACACTGGCAGACATCGTATTGCTCGGACAGTGTTTCTACTACCGAGGCTTCAACCTCAAGGACGAACTTTCTACATCGCCCTCACCCGAGCTACCAAGCTCCGATGCCGAACAGAACGGTGCTGAAAGTCAGCCACCCCCAACAGAGCGATCAAGCTTGCTTCCAAAGTCCAATGGGCATGGCAACGGCCATGTTCAGATAGTAGACCAGGGAAGCACATCTGGACAGGACGCTCGAGGCCACCCCGTCTCCGACGGAAGACGACACTCTACACACTCATACCAAGACATCTTCCACTCATCCGCCAATCTGTCCCCGGCAACCCCCTTCATCGAGCCCACCTCCGACTCAGCCCGCCGCCGTGCTCAGCTTGCTCGCCGCCGCCGCATCTCCGCCCTCCAGTCCGTCCTGTTCAACCTCAGCGCAGTGGCAATGGTATGCGCCGCAGGTGTGCTAGGCTGGTACGTCAGCCCGGGTGCGAAGTCATCCCCGGACCCGGAACCTCTCACCATGGATCTATTCGGTCAGGTGTTCGGTTACTTCTGCGCCGTGCTATATCTAGGGTCCCGTCTCCCACAACTCCTGTTGAACTACCGTCGCAAGTCAACAGATGGAGTTTCGTTGCTTTTCTTCCTCTTCGCCTGCATTGGAAACTTGACATATGTGTTGTCGATTCTGGCATACTCGCCTGTCTGCTCTGGTGGGTCTCCTGAGGAGATCATGGGTCACCATCATCACGCCAAGTGTCGTCCGGGTGAAGCTGCTTCGCTGTATGGTCGCTACGTGCTGGTAAACCTGTCGTGGCTTGTTGGTAGTGCCGGAACACTCCTGCTTGATATGGCTATCTTTACGCAATTCTTCCTTTACCGCGACCCAAAGGTTGCCGAAGATGAAGAATAAATGCCCATGGGGAAGCCTTCTTGTCCAATCATCTCCATTGGAGGGGAGGCCCCATGTGTGCATTGTTCTTTGAATTGCCTCATATCTCCAGTGCTCTGAATGATGTATGTACACATAAAATAACGATACAACGGCTTCTTGCATGATATTGAATGAGACCCCTGTCTGCTCGGATCTTACATGAGAGCAGGAAGCTTGGGATTGGGTGTCAAATCGGGGTCCTTCCTAGTCAAGTGCTTTACAGACGCAACAGTCGTCTACTGATACGTATCCTTCCTCCCGAAGTCGTAGTTGTGATCGTGGTCCTATCAAACCCCGTATACGTCGTGGTTTCGGGTCAAAGATGCCCTCATCTATGTCGATAGATCATTCTCCGACTTAGTTCAGCTAGTATTACCAAGAACCACCAAAAGAAAGCATGATCAGAATGCTCGAGCCCCGTTGGGCACGACAGACGATAGGCCTTGAGCTCATACCCATCTGATCCAAGCCGAACAAGATGATCCAGCAGGGATTGCATAGGCGAAGTCAACGCGATGATGAAGTCGACAAAGAGCGATCGCCTAAGGCAGCAAACTCTCAATCTCCGACTCGCCAAGTGGGTCGAGCACCACATAGCCTCGTTCCTTGCATGGGAAATAGAGGCCTAATTTGACTGACGGAAACACAACTTTGCCCCTGAGCCAACCAGCCGGTCAAAGCTCACGAACTAATGCAAACCACTCACGGGCCAACATACGGTGAACAGGCAAAAAAGCCGAATGTGACGGATGGGGCCGGCGGCAACATACTTCACGAACGAATAGGATCGCCCTGTAACCCTGAGCCCTAGCCGCCGACAGCCTATCATTTGGCCCTTTGAGTTTTGCTATTGATTCTCACGGCCTTATACTGACTTTTGCTTCTTAGTCTCATTCCTGACCTCGGGGACGATCTATGGCATCCCCGGTCTATAGGATCCGTGGTTGCATCTTAGCCAACTATGTATGCGAACCGAAGTTTGCCTCTGACTTGGGTGTCTTTTTTTGCAGCCCTGATTCCAGCCCAACTATATACACTCCGTCGCCATGAACAGGTTCATACCATGGCGTGGAAAGTGTATATATACCCTCCGCCGTCGAGGTGATGGCCAGCACGAACCGCGAAACCGACAACGCAAGCATAATCCGAACCACAACTCCCAGATCAAATCCTACAATTCACAATGTCCGTCTCAGAACTTACAGTGGAAATTGATAACACTGTATCGGGTAAATGGGCCAACGTCAGTCAAGTGACAGCCCGCAATCTGGGCGCCTGCTCCGTGGCAGCGATATACAACAAGCACGGTTTTGTGATTTCTAGCATTTCCGCGGGTGAGAACAGAGAGAAGCCAGCAGCTGCAAATCTATGCAGTGAATACAACAGGCTCAAGTCATCCGTGTTTGGAAACGAGGCTGCCATGCTCTGGATTCTCTACGAGGAGATAAATGCCGTTGCGGGACCGACTATCAAACCTGCCATGATGGCCATCCAGCCTGTGAAGACCTCTGTACAGATCTATGATGGGGAGTCATTCATGGAGAAGACCAATGAGGCTGGGGCTAGATTTTCGCTTGCCTTTTCGGCTGGTGTTGCTCGGGCTTCATTGCATATACACGATGGAAAGGGTGGTGCTATTGCATTGTTGGGGACGGGCACGATTGTCAGATGTCCCTAGGTTGACGTTTGCTGGTGGGCTGTGTATTGGGAAGTTGAGACCTCGGGATCTATGGAAGAAGTGAGGGTTAGGGACCCGGAGAAGTAATTACTGGGAGTTAGAATGTGAAATTCGATCCGCGCATTATGACCAGTCCCGAGTCTGCCGCATTAACTTCCGAAGATGCCTCGAGTGTGCTGATGACGGCTGAACATAGATGCGGCCTCTACAGAGTAGTCAAGGAATACGTAGGCCCGAAAGCTGGGAGCTAACGATCTACTGTCTACTGCTGTGAAAATGGTGCAGCCCAATGGCCCCCGTGTTGATTTTGAAATTTTGAATAACTCAAGTCTTACTAGATAAAACTATGCTTGGAAAGATTCTGCCGGCCATTTCTCGAATCATCACTCGCTCCATTCGAATTTCAACTCAGAAAGGAGATGAGAACCAGATAAAGATAAAGATAATGCAAAGCTCGCTCCCGAGGTCCATTCAAATTTCAACTCAGAGAGGAGACGAGAACCAGAGAAAGATAAAGAAAATGCAAAGGTCGCTCCCGAGGTCCATTCGAATTTCAACTCAGAATGGAGACGAGAACCAGATAAAGATAAAAATAATGCAAAGCTCGCTCCATTCGAATTTCAACTCAGAATGGAGACGAGAACCAGATAAAGATAAAGATAATGCAAAGCTCGCTCCCGAGGTCCATTCAAATTTCAACTCAGAGAGGAGACGAGAACCAGATAAAGATAAAGATAATGCAAAGCTCGCTCCCGAGGTCCATTCAAATTTCAACTCGGAGAGGAGACGAGAACCGGATGAAGATAAAGAAAATGCAAATTCGTAAGTCGTGAAAAATCATGCGGAAATGACGAAAACACCTCCCAAATGCGCATTGAGAATAGCGATAAGAAACTGTAGCTGAAAGAGCCTACTCGTGGGGCTGCACAGTATCCTTGCTGACATCAGTCCAGTTAGTGCTCAGCGATGTGCCCTGACTTTCCGTGTAGCTCTTGATCATGGCGCGACGGGTGTCTGCATCCGCACCACGGTAGAGCTTCTTGAAAAAGCTGTCGACATCATCACCCTCGGAATCCGAATCGTCAAGCTTGGCATCCTTCGACTTTCCGGAAGCCTTGTTTGCCTCAGTTGCCTCCGCCTCCTTGATATCGGCGATGACTTTATCCCAGTCCTTGGCTGGGGCACTGGGCTTGGAATCCTGGTCGGGCTTGGAATCCTGGTCGGGCTTTCCCAGGATATCCTTTGGGTCCGAAAATTTGCGAAGGCCGGTGAACTCGCGGTTAAGACCGCTCCAGTGGTAAGACGCCGTCTTCCGCAGCTTGAGTTCGAGCTTATGGTTTTTTGCGGACCAGCTGGATCTCTCCGGGATAATCTCGTTTAGCAACGGGATTGTGACCTTGTAAGGCTCATCGAGGAGATCCGGAAATCCGTACTCGACCTGTGATGGTGGTTAGCTTCCAGATCGGCGATTCAAATCAGATAGTGTACTTACGTCCATCTCCGTGAACTTGACCTCAATCTTGGTGCCGTCAAATTTCATGGGTTGCACGAACAGGTTTACAACAACCTCAAATCTGGTCTGGTACCACTCTTCCCGGATGGAGAATTTGTCGCTTTCCTTTTCTGGGGCCTTTCCGGGCTCCTCGGAGCAGTCGGTGTAGGTGTAGAGAGGGGCGCTATAAGTCTTATCTGGGGTAACGACATTTTGCGCGGGAGAAAGAGCAGCCTTGGCGGACTCAAGCTGAGCTTTCAAGACTTCGACGGAAGGCATGTAAACAGATCGGTTCACCTCGGGGACGGTCACATCCCACTTTGGGTCACCCTCGGTCTTCTTCGCCCCCAGAACTTTGAGTTTGACGGCCCATAAGGAGATTGGACGACGGAAATTGAATTTCGCGGAGGGACTTGGAGACGATTCCTCTTTCTTGATGGAGTCGTCCAGTCTCTGTAGGAGCCAAGCGGCATCGCCCAGGCGACCGAATTGGTAGAGACAAATCGCACGACGAAACTGTGAAGCGAGATAATATTCTCGGCGGCCGCGGTCAGAGGCAAGCACCAGAGCTACCTCGGCATCTTCCATGGCAGCCTGGTACTTTGGACCGCCATGCTCGGGCTTCAGGCGAGTGTAGGCAATGGAGCGTAAGATATAGGCCGCCGGAGCACTGGGCTCATGGTTTAGAGCAAGGGTGTACCAATAGATGGATTGTAACACTTCTCCTTTTTCCAATGCCTTGTCACCGGCAACCATAGCCTTGTCGGCCATATCAGAAGGGGCTGGGTGGAAAATCCCAAGCTTGATGTTGTGGAAAAAATCGAACTTGGAGCCAGGAGGAGCCTCCAGATGGATGCGATTGAGACGCTCGTTGAATTCCGCAAAGGGGTCAATATCCTCAAAGGGGTCACTACGCTCAAAGACGTCAAAACCCGTAGAGATGTCCATAGTGTCCGAAGGCGGTGATAGTAACGAATACGAGAGCGAAAGCGAGGGCGGTGGCGAGATCAAAAGAAAGAAAAGTGGGGCGGTGAATAGGCTAAAAGCAAGTGAAAGTGAGGCGGTGAATCAGTTGAAAGCAACCTTGGAAGTGAAAGTGAGGCGGTGAATGAGAAGGAAGTGAGAATTGGCGGTGACGGGAATGAGCTCAGACGCAAAGCGGTGAAGATGGAAAACAGCAGAAAAAAAGAAAAAGAATCGCCATCCATGGAGAAGACTATTCCACCTATAGATGCCCAGTCTTCCAAGGTTCCAAGGTTAAGTCGAGTTCCACTGATACTACAGTTGGATGCAGACAGCATGGACATGGTATATCTACAGCTGAGTGTTAATATCAATCATTGTGACTGTCCGCTCACTACGAGTCACAGGACAGATGTTCAAAATCCATTTCTACCTATCCTTACATGCCCAAGATTGTGACAAGCCCCTAGGCCAGGTACACCTGGGTGGCAGCAGATCGCATTATGTGCAGGTTGCATAGGGAATGCCGCTAATCATGTGCTATTCCTGCTGCCGGGGGCAGTAGGAGGCTTTGAACTGCCAAGGTGCTGGTAATGATGCACCCAAGCGCTGATTATCCACACTCATAACCACGAACGAACCACCAAATAATGATCAACGAAGGACAGACCCGGCTTTTCAGATTCGATATTATTGCGGCGCAAAGCGTAGCAATATTGGCTCATAGAATCTTGCTTTCCTGCGCACACCACACGACTAGATATTATCTGTGGTCAGCTCAAGAGTCGAAATCCAACCCATCCATACCTGCAGGGTACCTATGTAGGTAGTCCTAGAGCTACCTACCTAGGTAGGTATGATCACTGGAAGTCGCAGAATACTGCCGGCAGAATTATACTGCCGGTTGTATTATTCTGCTGACAGAATAACCACGCTAGACCCAATCGGGCCATGTCTATCACATGACTTGAGAAAACGATTGTATCACATGATGAATACATCACGTGAGCTAACCAAGTGCCCCGGGGCCGCGTTGCGCATCTGTCCACGGGTACGGTGGCCATGCATACTGGCAGGAATGGATGCAAGTGTGCCAGTACACCGAGGCCGGGGTGATCAAAATGCCGACGCGAGCTCGATGGCGACCACGCCACAATAGCTGTTGGCGATTCTCCTGCACATCAAATTCAACATCAACGCTGTTCTAGAATTTGGACCAGCTGAGCTACAAAATCTACCAATTTCTCTCTTGGACGCAACGAAATGTGAATATTGAGACTCAGTGTTTCTGGGCTCTGAGCGGATTAAAGCCGACCCAACCTGCAGATTTGGCTCGAGATTTGCGAATTTCGCACGAGAATTGCCCCAGAATCACTAATCTTGCATTTCATTGCTAAAAATGGCATTGACATACATCAAGGCTGGATCATTGAACTTGATCATGAAGCTTCATGTCGTGATCATAGGGAACAGCCCGGTTCTGCTCAACCCAAAGCTGCTCCTGCTCACTCTTCCAGGGCGGCGGGATAAGACCGTTGATCTTCCACAGTCGACGATCTGTCTCTGCAACGTGGTACTCCCAGTCGTATCCTCTCTCGGCGATATGAGGCTGGAGGACTTTATCCACGGAAGAGGTGAACCGGGCATAAACCTCGTCAATCTCGGGCATTTTGATGGCGATGTTTGTGATCACGATGCGGATGAAGGGATTTTCCTCCAAGAACTCGCCCCCTACCAGCAGGTCTTCCTTTTGCAAGGGGATGAAGTTGACGACAACGTAGAATGCTGGGAGGCCAACGTCGGTGTAAATTTTGGTGATGTCTTTGGCAAAGGAGGCTTTGGAGGCGGGGTCCTTGTAGGTGCCGACCGGGTGATAAATTTGCCAAAGAGGCATTCTTGTGATGGAAGTGTAGAGCGGATGAAGGTGAATCGAATACTGTCTTGATGGCTATAGCATAAAAGATAGTTCGAAAACTAGAGCTGCCTGACTCGCCTTTCACATCTTACTTATAGATCCGATCTTGTCCACCGTTCGGAGATGTTCATCGTACGAAGGAGAGTACACAAGATGTTTACTCAACATTCTTTCGCTTTTTGGGTGCATAACTGAGTCTGGGGTAACTCGATGATTTGATCAAAGCACCGGAGCAATAACAAATACTTAATTATCATCGTTGGAACTAGGACCTCCAGAGTCCATAGTGCATATTACGCTGAGTGGACGGGGGCGAGAGATGAGAAATCCAGGCTGCAGGATCTCCCAGCTTACACTTTGCACTTCAAGTGAAGTTGTTTCTTACGTTTTCTTGTCGCCTTAAGATGTATGTATAGGTAGGAGTGCAGACGAACGGCCGTCGGGCCAACGCCGCGGCCGATTTTCCGATTACTCAACACCCCGGGCCGATGAAATAATCTGATTTTCTCATCAATTGATCTCGCGTCTTTCATCTCGTTACATCATTCTCAGCCCTGGAGATAATCAGAGGACATGGCAAATGCAGCACCCAAACCAAGTGGTCGTAAACGCGGTCGCCCCCGTACTGTGACCGACGACCAAGAAGTCCCAGAGGTGGGTCAGGCAACGCAGCTCTCCGGGGCCATGCTCACAGTGCTCTATAAAACAGAGACGCCGGCAACAGCTCCGCCTCGCACAGCAAGCATATCGCAAGCGCAAAGAGACCACAATCGGTAACCTCCAAAGCCGCGTACATGAATTGGAGAGTGGCGTCGAGGATCTCAGCAATGCTTTCCTATCGTTTAGTAATCTTCTACTGGAACAACAACTGCTATCCCAATACCCGCATATTGCATCGGCCTTACAAGACATAACACAGCAGTGTGTGACGCTTGCGAAAGCTGCAACTGACGATCCAAGCGGAGCCCTCGTTCATGTCAAAGAACCATCTGCCAAACCCGCCGCCACTTTGGAAAATAGCCCGCCCTCAAGCTCGCTAGATCAAGCGAACTCAGAAAGCTCGACAGACGTGGAAGATATAGTTCGCTCTGCACCCAAGTGGCCCGACACCGCCGCCTATGGAGATCAATCATTTCTTCCCTTCGGAGTCGTCATGACATCACCAAGCACACAGTTCCCCTACTTGACACCGCCGTCGTCGAGTCCCCCGACGCAAAGTTTGCTGTTAGACAGTACAGCGGAAGAAGAGCGATGGAATATTTCTCAACGAATAGTCAGGACATGTTGCCGACTCGGATACCGCCTTCTCATGGAATCTCCAAATCACCCTAGAGTTCACCAGATCTTTGGATCTACCCTGAATACATCGGAACGCAACAATTTGATCGCGGCATTCTATGCTACCAAGCACGACAAATTCGGCGACTTGGTCGATGCCAAAGCTAACGTACTTAGTCCTCTTCGAGCGAAGTTGAGCACGCTCACCGCGGATCAACCACAGCTCCCGTCTAGAGCATGGCAAATCGCCTATGAATCCGGCTCTGGTGACTGGATGGACGCCATAGGCGTCCGAAAATATTTGCACGAAAAACGAATTGTATATGAAAACTTCCCTGATTCGTCGGGTCGCTTGCATCATGATGTCTCCTCATCGCTCGACATATCCAAATTCATAAGATGTGAGATGTCCCCTGCTTACTGGTAGTGCATTCACTTACGTCTCTAAGTGCTGGCCAATGAGCCCATTTGTGTTGGCAATGGTCCAGCATTCCGGCGCCAAAGCGTCGAAAACGCCATTCGTCTGGCAACGATCAACTCATCTTGGGACTTCGACAATTTCCGCTAAAGATTGCACATATCTATATATACCCGTAATTTATTAATGAAGCTATGAATGCATGATCTCTTGGAGGCTGTGTGCACTTTTCGACCAGAACATCCCGAATGCGCTTATCTGGACAACGTTTTCCGATCATTTACAACTTCAAAGAGAGGGTCACTGGCAAATTTCGAGAAAGCTTGTTTTCCTTTGAGCAGAGCTTCGAGACCATCGGCTGCGTCCTTATCCAAGAGAACTGCCAATTAGCTGCGATCACAATAGCCCTGGAGCCACTAGTGCTGGGACCCGGCGCCATACCTCGGACCTCCGACGGGCTTGAAGCTATCTGTCGCGAGATATGCAAGCAATATTCGCTTGCAGCGGAAGTTCACAAATTGTCCCATCGGAGCAATCACAGTCAACATCACAATCGCTGCCACTATTTCTTCTCAATGATCGGCTTGGTGTAGACTGTTCATCCGGGGGTGCGCCTACACCGTGCCCAGAGCGGGCACCGGAAGCGCGAAAATCCACAATACCTCCCTTAGCCCAGTATGCTTTTTACCAACTCGCAGGGATGCCTCTGGTTGAAGGGATGGAAGAAAAGCATCCGACGGCCTCCGTTAGAGGGCCCCGGACCTTCACTTTAACATAACTCGGTCGTCCGAACGGTCTCCATCAACCAATGTGGCATTAACCCCCGGATAGCCCCGAAGTTGGTGGGCTATCCAAGTTAGCGTGGCGATAATGGAAGCTTAGCGTTGCGCGGTGGGTTCAGCCCTGAGGATTAGCGCGAAATCCAGCCAATGGCTCGCACCAGCAGCCAAGCATGGGATAAAGTGCTTATACGCACACGCAATGAGTTTGGAACGTTGGAATATGCCCCAATCACACTATAAATGCGATATCTTGATCAGCTCTCATTGGCGATGGCTCACTATTCGCCTTATCTATCGCAAGAGCAGCCATTGAAGCAAGCAAGGGTCAATCGATTGGGCTATCAACTCTTACCAGGGTGTATATGCGAGGTATTTAGGGAAACACGTTCCTTCTATCTGCACACCATGAACTACTATATCTGGTTTTATCAAAGACTCAAAGGCAGCTGCAAGCCTCACTCGTTGGGATTGACCGAAATCCATCCATCTGAGCGATGGAAGTTCACACAAAAAATGAATGGTCCCTCGGGGCCGAAGGTCTGAATCTACATGATGTGGAAAAGCGGCAAGCCGTTATCGCGGTCAGTGATGAAGACCTATCAGAGCTGATGGAAACACTTCGCGAAACAATCAGGGAACATGAATTGGATCCCAACTTCCCACCTGAGATCCTCAACTCGGCCCGGGCAGCTCTGCGTGAATCTCCCGAGAAGCTCGAAGCAAGTCACCTTCAAGTCCTTGTGGCTCAAATCCAAGCCGAGCGCGATCTTCTGCTCAATGACTCGCCATACGCCGAGGTTCGTGCCGTCGTCGACAATACAGATGACCCCTCTACACCAGTCAACACTTTCCGTGCTTGGTTCCTTGGAATCCTATTCACGATCCTGGGTACTGGAATTGACCAGTTCTTTTCTCTGCGCTACCCTGGAATATACCTCTATACCGTGGTTGCCCAATTGCTTTCATACCCATGTGGTGTATTGCTCGCACGAGTTCTACCCACTACCTCGTTCACCATCCTGGGGAAGAATTGCAGTCTCAACCCGGGTCCCTTCAACCAGAAAGAGCACATGCTCATTACAATCATGTCAAATGTTGCATACGGAGGGCTCAATGGCACTGCATACGTCACCTCCATCTTTCAAGTCTTGAAGCTTGACATCTTCTATGGCATGACAGAGTTGGCTGACAGCGCAGGATTCCAGATCCTACTCACGCTCTCAACCCAACTAATCGGCTACGGATGTGCTGGGATTGCTCGACGTTTCTTGGTATACCCTCCTGCCATGATGTGGCCCAAGAATCTTGCCCAGATTGCCCTGAACCGAGCCTTGCACAACGATGGCAGCTCAAGTTCAGTGAGCGGGTGGTCGATCTCCCGCTATCGGTTCTTCCTCTATTGCTTCGGTGGGATGTTCTTCTACTTTTGGTTCCCGGACTACATTTTCCAGGCCATGTCATATTTCAACTGGATGACTTGGATTGCACCACAGAACGTCAAATTGGCTATAATAACTGGATCAATAGGTGGGATGGGTTTCAATCCTCTGCCTACCTTTGATTGGAATGTCGTGTCTTACGTCTTTGATCCCATTGTCACTCCATTCTTCTCGTTGTTGAACAACGTCATTGGCATGGCATTTGTTGGCATCGTGATCATTCTACCCGTTTACTTCTGCAATGCCTGGAACACCGCTTATCTACCAATCAACAGCAACGATATCTTCGACAACACTGGCAATGACTACAACGTCAGTCGAATCCTTACACCGGAATTTACTCTTGACGTCGAGGCCTATAAGGCATACAGCCCGGCATACCTTGGAGCCGCCAACGCAGTTCTCTACTCGGCCTTCTTTGCCATTTACCTGGCAACAATTGTGTATGCAGCACTCTATCACAAAAACGATATCATCGGCGGCTTCCACGCCGTTCTCAAGTGGAAGAATGCCAGGGATCAATACAATGACGTTCATAACCGTCTTATGCGACAGTACAAAGAGGCCCCCGAGTGGTGGTACCTGGCTATTCTAGCCATTGCTTTCATCATGGGCTGTGTATGCTGTAGCATTTACGATACCGGCATGCCTATCTGGGGAATTGTCGTTGGATTGCTGCTCTGCGTCTTCCTGCAGGTTCCCATTGGTATTATCATGGCTGTGACTAACATTGAGGTCACCAACAATGTTATCGCCGAGTTCATTGGCGGTTATGCCGTGCCGAACAACCCAGTTGCCAACATGATCTTCAAGTCATATGGCTACATTGCTGCGGCTCAATCGGTGCAATTTGTGGCTGACCTCAAACTGGGCCATTACATGAAGATCCCTCCACGAACGATGTTCGTTGCACAGACAATCGCCACTATTGTTGCTGGATTTGTATCCATCGGAGTCAATGCTTGGCAGCTATCCAACATTCGGGATGTTTGCACTGCCAATCAGTCCGCGAGCTTCACATGCCCTGGTCAGCTTCTGCCGTATCTCCTAACTCATTGACACCCCCGCTGATCCCACTAGATACACACACCTTCTTCACTGCATCGGTCATCTGGGGAGTAATTGGCCCAGCCCGCATCTACGGCGATAGCGGAATCTATCATCCACTGGAATGGGGCTTCCTCGTCGGTGCCTTGCTTCCCATCCCATTCTATTTCCTCGCCAAGCGCTACCCCAATTCCTGGATCCGTTATATCCATATCCCGATTATGCTGAACGGCGCTCTGAACTGGGCTCCCTACAACTTCACATACGCGTGGCCGGCACTGGTCGTCGGATTCTGTGTGAACTACTATGTGAGACGTCACTACGAAGAATGGTGGCAGAAGTATGCCTATGTTTTGACCTCCTCTCTCTCCTGCGGAATTGGAATTGCGGGATTGGTCGTTTTCTTTGCTGTTCAATTTAAGGCTGTCGATATCAACTGGTGGGGGAATACGGTTCCGTTCAATGGGTGTGACAATGATGGCTGTGCCTTGCTGCCAATTCCTGAGGTTGGACATTTTTGAAGCTGGAAATATATAGTAGCCTAGGTGCCCTGTGCTATCCGAAATATATCACCGCAATATTAATTCCAATGCCTCATACTGGCGTCTAGTTGATCTACAAGGGTATTATCACTGATATGACATTTCCACCGACCTTGAAGTTAAATGCAACGTTCCAAGTTGTTCCTGAAGAGGTTCAGATTCCCGAGTCCACGCCCTACAGTCCACGCCCTTCGAGCGGCATGTGGACCTGCGGACAACGCCAAAGCCGTCATTGGCTCGTGAGTCACCCCTCAACTTGATATTCAACTGAGTCACTTATCTGATCGCGTGGTTTAAAAGGAGGGCGCTGTTCGTGAAGAAAACACATAATTTTGCGATATCCGTACTTAGCCGTCACCATGAGCGCAACATCTCAAACACCGTTCGGCAAGCCAATGCTCAAGCATTGGATGTTTGATCCGGACTACAAGAACCTCAATCACGGATCTTTCGGGGCTCATCCAATCCCCGTCAAAGATGCACAGCGGGCCTTTATGGATCTCGCTGACCAGCAGCCTGATCCTTACATCCGTCGTCATAATTCCGAGCACCTGATCAAGGCCCGCGACGCTGTCGCAAAGCTCATCAATGCCCCGCGCAGCGAGTGTGTCTTTGTCAAGAATGCAACAACCGGTGTGGCGACGGTGCTTTACAACCTGGCGTTCCAGCCCGAAGAAGCCCTGATCTACTTCGAGCCTGTGTATGGCGCTGTGGAAAAAGGTGTGGTCTCCTTGCAGGAACATCGTTCCTTGAAGGCGCGGAAGGTCTCTTTCCAATTCCCCATCGCAGAAGATGAGCTCGAGCGCCGATTCCGCGAGGTGATCCAACAGACCCGCAACGAGGGCCTGAAGGTCCGAGCTAGCGTCTTTGATGGCATCGTCAGCAACCCAGGTGTTCGATTCCCTTTTGAGCGAATTACTGCGATCTGTCGCGAAGAAGGTATTCTGAGCGTCATTGATGCCGCACACGGCATTGGCCAGATTCCCCTCGACATGGAGAAGTTGCAGCCCGACTTTTTCGTCTCAAACTGTCATAAGTATGGATCTCCCTTTGCCCTCTAACACATTCTGGCCCGGTGCGAATTTGTTTACTGACTTTCTATAAAGATGGCTTTACACTCCCCGTAGCTGTGCAGTCCTCTACACCCCCCACCGTAACCAACATCTACTCCGCACCACGTTGCCAACATCCTGGGGATTCATCCCAAACCCAGACTCCCCGGACACTATCGCTTCCGTGCTATCTGATCCAAATGCCCCGGTAACCAAAACACCCTACGAGACCCTGTTCGAATTTGTCGCCACCAGCGATGACTCCGCCTATCTCTGCGTCCCTGCAGCGCTAGAATTCCGCGAGAAAGTCTGCGGTGGCGAAGAAGCCATCATGTCGTACTGCCAGCGCGTCGTCAATGAAGGCGCGGATGCTATCGCCGCTATCCTCGGCACAGAGGTTATGCAAGAGCCTGATCTGAAGCCCGGAGAAGAGAGCAAGATGCGTCAGTGTGCTATGACGACTGTTCGATTGCCTATTGGCGTTGCTTCTGGCAAGGAGAATGAGTCTTTTGATGACTCTACGTTAGCTGTGTTGAGCCAGACGGAGGCTCCTAATGCGTTTTCTTGGATTCAGACGAAACTCATGGATGAGTATAATACTTTCTTGCCGGTGTTTCAACATGGTGCGTGGCTTTGGACCCGTCTAAGTGGCCAGACATACTTGGAGACAAGTGATTTCGAGGCTGTTGGTGGTGTCCTGCGTGGGCTGTGTGAGCGGGTTGCCAAGAAAGAGTTCCAGGCATAATTGTATGTCGAGTCCAATGTTTGCCAGGTATATATGAATCCATGAATATAGTCAATGTCGATAAAATGCCCAAAAACGCGTGAGATAATGAGACGACGGCTCCCATAGGTGAACTATGCTGAGCACGTCATTAGGGCTAGCAATAACTGCATACCCAGAAGCGGGGGGTCTGAGATATATGAATAACTCTGCATCCTGACCTAATTTATTCGAAACACCTCCAGTCATCATGTCTGTCGCACAGGAGTTTGAAGCAGCCAATGCGAAGTATGCGGCATCCTTCACGAAAGGTGATCTGCAACTTCCCCCACAGCGGTACGTTTTAGTCTCCCCACCGCGACAGAATTGGAATGGGTCTGATTCTACCATTATAGCAAGGTAGCCGTCGTGGCCTGCATGGACGCCCGTCTTGGTAAGTGAAGCCCTCGGATACATGATCCAGTGTTGATCGGAGTAGATCCCGCACGTGCACTTGGCCTCGAAGAAGGCGATGCCCATGTCATTCGCAATGCGGGAGGCAGAGTCCACGATGCCTTGCGCAGCATTATCATCTCCCAGCAGCTTCTCGGTACTCGGGAAATTGTCATCGTTCACCATGTCAGTATACCTGTTTTGGCGAATGTTGTCTCGGCTAAGACTTTCCAGACGAACTGTGGCATGCTCACATTCACTGACGATGTGATTCGAGGGAAAATCCAGCAAGATTTGCACCAGAAAGCTGATCACATTGCGTTTTTGCCGTTCGGGGATCTTCGGCAGAGTGTAAGAGATGATATCAAGTTGCTGAAGGACAGTCCCCTTGTTTTGGATGTTCCCGTCACGGGATATGTTTACGAAGTTGAGAATGGTAGAATCGTCAACATTGAATGATGCTTACTTAAATGGACTTACAGAGGACAGTGTGGTCCACGGGTGTTTTGGGCGCTAGTATGTTGAATGAAGCGAAGTGATAGCATTAAACCCGATTGAAATTATTGCATGATTCAAGCATGTGGAGTTGCCATGCACAGGACATGTATGAGTTTGTAGTTACCTAATTGATTCTATGGCATGTTGTCAGGGTGTGAAGTAGGAGGCATGTGAGAACAAAGTGCATCAAGAATGATCTGGCTCATGTTCGACCTTTTCAGGTGATGAATTCTCCCAATCCCAGTGCCAGGTCCGAAAATTTCATGGAAGGTGCTATACATGACTATGAAAGTCTCATGATCAGAAGCCCATTCAATTCAGTGTTGGACTGAACAGCTTCGAATGGTGAAGGTCTCAAATCATGGAGAAAAGGGGGTATGTGGAAGGAAGAAAAGAAGAAATCATCAGAGAGAGCAAGCATCAACTCCACTTCATCGCTAAACCAGACAAATCAAATAAACTGTACGGGAACGTGTTGGGGTGAGGGGGGAAGAAGGACTCGCTGCGTGCATATCGTGGTCAAATGTCGTAGTGTTCAAGCGCTGTTACTGCCAAATCGGTTGCTGAGCCAGCTGCTGATAGACCCACTGCCCTCACCTCGACTGGCTCGGCGAGTATTCGTCTCTCTGGCCTCGGGCTCTGGAGAACGGCGGGGTGACATGCGGGGTGAAAGGCGGTTTTGTATAGAAGAAAAAGACGCTCGACCGCTACGTGTGGCATTGGTAGAACTGCGGCGACGACGGGATGACTCAGGGCTATCTTGAATCACGACTGGGTTCTCACATGTACCATCTCCGCCTCTAGATACCATGTTGTCAGCGGATCATTCAAAGCTTGGGCATGATACGTATCAGCTGGTCTCTACTCACCCGGTGTTTGCACTGACACTGCGTCGACAGTGAGGGCAGGTATCGTGCTGTTTCAGCCATGCTTCGATGCATTCAAAATGGAACCAATGAGTACAAGGCAGGACGGCGACTTTCGTCCCGAGTGTAACGCTCTCCATACAGATCGAACATTCGGCATTACCTTCAGCCCCAATCATGTCTTTATCCACCGGCTTTTGCGGCAAAGCTAGAATCGCGGATTGAGGCGCAGGCGGTGCTGCAGTGCCAGGACCCCCATGGTTCTCCATGAGTTGGGTTACGAGGCGGTCGAATTCTTGCTGAGAATAAGCAGCATCCCCACTCCGGGGAAATGGCATGTTGAGAAGGGCCGATAGCAATGAAAATGGACTGGTAGGCCCGCCCGGGTTATGCATGCCTCCCATCTCTGCCTGTGCAGCGTTCATGATGCTAGAAGACGTTAAGTTGCTTGCCCAAGGGTACAATGGATCCGTTACGTACTTGTGCATGTGCATGGGGTGATTAATGCCTGGAGGGAAATCACCCCTGCGGGGTGACATGTTTCCCGGATGGTGACCGGTCAAGTGGTCATCATGAAGCCAGTCAGGATCAGTCGAGGATAGGAAAGGGTTCTCTCCCATTCCCCGCACTCCACCTGGCCGTCGCTCGTGAGGCTCCGCGAGGGTTTCCAAGATTGAACTGATGTTATGTATTAGCATCGACCCAACAGGATCAGGCATAGCGCGCTGCTGATCATTCGAACGTGGGTTAAATGTTGCACTGCTGAATTGGAACCGGCCGTCGGGAGATCGATATGTGCGGAAGGCGTTGTAGTGAGGGGAGCCCCCAAGGAACCCTGCCGGTCGATTGTCTTCCTCTTCCCATGGACTGTTGTCTCCCCACGGGTTTGGGCTTACTGATTCTTGGGAGCGTGATCGCTGAGGTTCCGGAGTCTCTGGTGGGATCTCAACCTGTACAAGATACGGTCAGGACGATAACGGATAAGGGACGAGTGCTCGTACAATCTCTGTGAAGTCGGAATGACAGATGGGACATAATAAGTCATCGCCCTTGGGCGACACGGCGTCACAGGCATAGCAGTGAATGCGATCGCCATCCATAACGGTGGTGCAGCGACTGTTGTACAGGGCAAATGTGAAAGCTGCCTGGATCAACTCGATAAGCAGTCACGCTTATCTGCGGGGACAACCTTTGAAACGGCTCTAGCTTCAACACCTCAGCAAAGTGAATTCAGAAGTTTGAGACTCGGGAGAAAGGAGAGGAAATGGGAGCTCAAATGCGAGGGAAGGCGGTTCCAGCTCGTATGACGTGGATCGGTAATCGCCTCAGTCGCCCCGAGGCGCTGCACGGCGGGACTTCCACGTTTCCCGTTCAAAGTAGAGACTTTGTACTCCGCAAATGCGCCAGGCTGTATGACAGTGCTCGTTTTAAATCGGAGAATTAGGTGCTAAACCTTGAAATTGAAGCAAGGAGGCGCGGAGGGAAAGGAAAGTACATGAGGGTTAGGTGCTGGGTAGATAGCTCACTTGATATGATACAGCTCTTGGTGATAGCGAACTAATGTGAATAAAATAGTGATATATTTATCAGCCCTGCGGCTGAGAGAAGAGAGAGAGACAAAGAAAACGCCCTAGGATGCTAGAATGAGAAAGAAATCGCCAATGGCCAATAAAACATCCCGAACATTATACACAGTTGGTTATACCCCAGATGCAAGGACATACGGCCGTGCCACAGCCCCTGCAGGCGCCAATCCGAAGCGTATATTTACCGTCTCCGGGCGCCCTTGAAAACCAGGCTACCAACCACACCCGCGGCCACGGCCAAACCGCCCACGATAGCGATGCCCATCAGGCCTTCCTTGGCAACCTTGTCATCAATGAGGGACCCAAGGCTGGCGGCCTGCAGGTTGGCAGGTTCTTTCTCAAGCAGTAGATCGTTGTAGCGCCGGGCCTCACCGTAGTTGCCTAGCTTGAAGTTGCCAAGGCCCAGGTAGTAGAGGCACTCGCGTCGGCGCTCTGGCGCATCGCGGAAGATTTCTGAAAGTAAACGGACACCTTCTTGTTGTTCGGGTCGGAGGTTGGATTTGATCAGACCCTGTCATCACACATCCCCCGCAGAGGCGGAGAGTACGGATTAGCCCCGGGCACCCTGGGACAAGGCTGAGGGATTCTTACCCATGCGTAGTTGAACTTTGTTTGGATCCCTACGTAGTCACCCTCCTTCTCGTATTGCGATCGCAAGACTTGAAGCTCGGCGGGTTTCAAGGGACTGTGTCAATACCCATGTCAGTGTTTGTGGCGGAGGATATGGTCAGAGCGAACGACAGACCTTTCCGCATCAGCGGCATCTGGAGAAGCACAGCGAGTCAGTTTTCGGGTATCGGGCACCACTCGAAACAAGCCACTTACAGGGAAGATTGGACATGGCGGGAAGGGTGAATGTTGGTCTTATCGAGGCCCAGTATTAACCAGGGCAAAAGGCAAGGCGACTTGAATTCACCTTGAGTGTGAGGGGCAGTGTTGAGGCGAAGATTAAAGTCGTTGGAGAAATCGACGCAACGTCACTTTGCGGAGGAGCACCGCGTGTGGCGGTGCATGTGGCTGTTGCTGCCGCAACAAACAAAAACATCCGACGGTTCTTGACACCAACCAACACCATGTTGCTCGACGAAGACCCCGGGACGGTATGCATTGCGCTTTGAATACTGCAGTTATCTAGTTTACTAACTTCTCCAGCTCATCCACCACACGATCGGTAATTTCAATATCCATCCGGATAAACAAGCCGTCACACGCATCAATGACTCGCTCTCAACCCTCCAGCAGTCGCGCGACCTGCGCATTCGCGAGGCTGAATCGGCCATGCGAAAACTATCGCGTAATCTGAACTCCTTGTCAACCCAACATGAGGAAGCTGTCTCAGTGCACGATTCAGGAAAACACGCGGCGGAGATTGTCGAGCTGGACACCAAGAAGTTCCGCATTGCCAAGGCCGCTTCGGAACTGGAGATTGAAAGTGAGAGATTGGAGAGCGAACTCGAAATGCTCAAGGAAAGACTGGCCGATCTCGAGTCCCAGGGCTTAGAGGGCGATGAGACAACTCGGCGCGAACGTGAGGCGGATGATGCAACAATGTATGTCGCTGTGTTTCTGTGTCACCTCCTTGCAGTTTCTAACATATATTCAGCCTGCGTCTCAAGATCTTCCGCTCGTTGGGTGTTGACATTGAGCCCGATGATGCGGGCAACTTCAACCGGGCTGTTATTCGGAACAGCCGCAAGGGTGATGTTCATGTCGTTAATATCGACCCCAAGTTCTCGCGCTTCTTCTATGCGAACTATTTCTGGTCAACGATGCAGGGATAATCATCCTGGTGGACGATTATTTGGGGTGGTATCTGGCGTTTGGAGGCACAAGCCTTGTTTGTTCGATTATTGGTGTTTCTATACCCTTGGATTACGTTCATTTATCATACAGTTCTTACTCTTACATGTGATTCCATACGACTGTTCGGCCACTGGCCCTCGATTTCAGCCGCTTTCATTGGGGCTCAGGCTGCCGTTGCTGTTCTCGTAGAGCTTCGATAACCTTTGCGCGGTCCGCATCCGACAATAGTTCATGGGACAGTCGGGAAAAGGTATCGTGCGGGAGCACTCTCTCGGCTGTATCGAGCAATCGCTCTTTGTCGTCCAGCGAATCCAGGCCCCAAGATTCGACCCATTGCTCCTCAAACTCAGCTAACCCATGCTCCACCTGGTCCATGCCGGGAATGTCAGCACCATCCCAGGTGAGAGCAATCTGCTTGGCAACCGAGCCGGACTCGTCGCCTCCAGTCCCATATCGGGTTTCCACGCCGAGAGGACCAATGCCAAGCTCCTCCGCACGCGAGTTCCACAACGCCTGTTTCAAGCTTCCATCTCGCTCGATCATCATCCAGAAAATCGGATATGCAGATCGCGCCAGCGTATCTCGGACGCCTTTCGTTGCCTCCCGCGGGCTTACCAACACACCAACCGTTTGGCCTGTACGCCACCCAACAGGTGCCTGGCGAAGGGTTCCCTCTAGCTCGCGGACGATGTTGGGGCCGACCTTTGTCTTGAGCGCTTTGCACTGCACGATTACGCGGAGAGCGCGCTCCCGCTCCCGCTCTGGTAGGTGCCAAGTGCCGACGAGATCGATGCCCGCATCGTCACGCCCGCCAACACGATTGAGGCTCAGCGCATAGCGTCGGAGGTTTTCCCGAACGGTGTATTCGTAGTGTGTGCCAACATATACGGTACTTGTCTCTGGAAGAGCAATGTGCTTTGCATAAGAGAGGAACGTCGCCAAATCATTGTGCTGTAGCGAGGGCGGAGACGGAGGAGAAGGTAGCTGGAAGAGCCGACGTGTGAAGGGAGTCAATTCATTATAGATCCTAGAGCTGGAGAAGAAACGAGCATTCAATTTAAATGCAGATCCGGCGACAAGGCCATGTCGTAGAGGCAAGCGCATTGAGCTGGAGGTATGAAAAGAGGAAAAGGCCTCACCGCACTGGAGCTCTCCGCATTTGCTCCGCTCTCTTTCAACACTCAGCCACAGATCCCTCAATCAACACTTGGGTATCTAGCGAAGTCGCCATCATGGCTGACATCCTGACACAGCTCCAAACCTGCCTGGATCAAGTATAGCTTCCCCCTCATGAGGCATGCGAACAACCCGCTAACCTAGACCAGCTGGCAACGCAATTCTACGCAACACTCGGCTACCTCACAACATACCACGACAATGCGCCTACAACTCCACCACCCAATGTCCCAGATGCGGCGCCTGCGCTAGCAAAAATAACCAAGAACTCTTCCTCGCCTCCCGTTCCAGCTGCTATCGCAAACAAGGCCGGCGGCGCCGCAGCCATAGCAGGGAATGCATCACCACCGCCTGCCCCTCCCCAACAACCCGGTGCAGCACCTGTTTTAGAAGGCGAAGATCCCAATCTTCCACCTGCGCCAGACTCGCCGCGCACATTCGCCAGTCGACAGCGAGAGCTTGCGCGCGACCTGATCATCAAGGAACAGCAGATCGAATACCTCATCTCTGTACTTCCGGGAATCAGTACTTCCGAAGCTGAGCAAGAGGGGAGGATTCGGGAATTGGAAGTTGAGCTTAGAGGGGTGGAAGTCGAGCGTGTGGAGAAGGTGCGTGAGCTCAAGAGGCTGAGAGCGCGACTGGAAAATGTCCTCGGTGCGGTTTCTACAGGGCTCCATGGAGATGGACACTCTCAAAACTAATCTTGCATGTCTTGTGAGGGTTGGATCTGGCGCGCGGTTTCTTGGATTCCATTTAATCTCATCTAGGCGTTGTGGGACGGTCTGTTTTTGCTGCATATACCTCATGAATGCCATATGATATCGTTTTTCTTCCTATCTCGTTCGTTTCGTTCAAATCAAGGCTGAAATACTCTATGGGCCCATCCCATCATGGGCGTCATAGTTCCGGATCTTATTGACTAACAGTATGGATGAGTGCGCAGATGTTCATGGTATTTTTTCCAGCATACTATATCCCCAAAACTCGTTTTCATTTGGTGCAATCTGAAATTCGCCATGGAATTTGACCATTTCGACCAGTTATCACTCGCCCGGAAGACACAAACCCAGCCCCAGTTCCCTTCTCTTTGAACGTCTGAGATCATCCAGGAAAGCCCTGACTGACCCCTCCCACAGCATATGGAAATATGTGAATAGAGACCATCCGGCCTATATGTTTGATTGCAGATGTTAGAACATCATTCATTCGAAGACGTGGAAGCGAAGCCAAACATACAACAGCATCCCACTATTCTCAGTCACCCTCAGATTGGGAAGCCTCAGTTTGATTTGCATTCCATTGACTCTCGCCCTGATCATCACACCGTGGCAGTGCAGGAGAGGACGGCTTAGGTGTTGGAGGTGCGCCAGGCCATGTTCGACACCAAAGACGCTTATACCCAGTCACGCAGCCATGGCCGAACTGAGGACAGCAACTGCCCATATAGGGAAACGCAGCTTGCTCCAGGCCACATAGTCGCTTGCAGATATTGTCTCCCAGGGACCACCACATCAAGTAACCCATTTTCGGATGATGTCCGTGGAGAGCGAAGGCTGTGGTGTTGCGGATATCGTCGTCGACTCCACCACAGCTAGGGCCGTCTCCGTGCCAGGTACAGGCGCCTGCGACGTTGAAGAAGGTGCAACCCAATGCGTTTCCGAGGAGAGCTGCAAGGGTGATGAGTTCAAGCCGCATCTTGGGTCTGCGCTTTGAGGTTGGGGGGGATTGGGAAAGATGAGAATATACAAGTGCGACTGCTTGTTTGTTTTTTGCACGGTGCCAATCTGCATCTTCAAGGTTTTAGACTTATATATCGTCTCCAGGTAAATATGGGATGCCGTTGCAATAGACTTTGTTGATATGTTCCGTTGTTACCAACCTTGGAACCTATGAGCTGGCGACGAAACAACGAGAGCGGGGGATCACAAAAGGACACAGTCCGGTGAAGTCCGAATGCTGCTCGATCGCTTCCAAGTTCATGAATTCTTTTCATACGACTTGGAAGGTTTGATCAGCGGGATCCAAATCAATCCCTCCGTAATCTAGGCATCCCCGGTTGGACGCTGAACATAGGGTTGTCGAAACGTGTTACAGATCATTGAACAAGACGGCTTTTGTGGACGAATGCGGATGGAGTAAAGACAGTTTTCAAAGGGACAAATCCAGACGCCCGAAGGCAATATTAGCCGATACGCATTCATGTAAGATTCGAGGCTGCCAAGATGATACTCATGCCCTCCAGGGCTGAGATGCCTCACGTGTGCAGGGTAGTAGGTAAGGTTGAGGCACTGTAGGGTTGCGGAATGGGTAATATACTCTAATTTACCTTGCAGAAGACATCCGAATGGCCAGGGAGACACCTGTGATCTAGATCAGCTACCTGTGATGGTTCGAAATCCATATAGTCCAGGATCTCATGATACCAATTGACTTTGTGATATAACATCTTAATCAGCGGTGTAGACAAGCCTAGTATTCAAAATGTAGTTTCTAGTATTATATTTTAGGGCGAAACATGCAAAAAGTGGACGCAAACTTGAGATCTAGAGAATCGTGTATAAGCAACGTAGCTATGATGTGAATGTTTTTTTGCACGCAGGTGTCTGGGGAAAAAAAGAAAAAAAAAGCAGAGAGTCATTACCCGGTGTAGCATCCTATGAGGATCATGAAAGATGTAAAAATAGAATTTGAACGCCATCTCCTTTTCCGGGTATCACGAGGTAAAAGCGGCGAGCAGCAGGGCAGGCGGGGATATCAATAAAGGGCGCGAAATAAAATGGGCCCATATAACAATAGACAATAGTGCGATAGGGAACAGACGAAATAGGAAAAGATACCAAAGCATTCACTTGAAAAGGGTCCGGTATTCGCGCATACGAGCTTCCTGGATTTCTTTCTTGCCCAGTTTCTGGCGGTTCATGGTCATGTCCGCCTCCCGCTGCTTCTTTTGGGCAAGATCCAAGATTTTCTCTTCAATGCTCTCCTTCATGACCAATTGGAAGATCCGAACTGGACGAGTCTGACCCAGTCGGTGAACTCGATCAACTGCCTGAGCAACGGCGGCCGGGTTGTACTGCGGTTCCATGATGAAGACTTGTGACGCAGAAGTCAAATTCAATCCCACACCGCCGGCACCGATAGTTGCCAGCAGGATCGTGGTGGAGTCATCGCTTGCAAATTTTTCGAGGGCCTGGGTGCGAGCTGCAAGAGTCATTGTTCCGTCAAGGCGAGTGAATCCGCCGAGATTGTTGTTCGTTAAAGCAATTTCAATGAGATCTAGATGGGATGTCCATGCAGAAAAGACAACGCTTTTGATTGGTGGCTCGCCCACAAGCTCCTTGCTTTTTTCAGCCGTTTCCTGTAAGTAGTGGACTAATGCGGTGGTCTTGGTGTGCGGGCCCTCGTAGTCGCCGAAATTCTTGCCCACCTTGCGGGTTTGGCGTTCGCGATTCTCTTCAGCCTCGTGATTTGCCAGGCCAGAAGGTGTGATGGCGGAATAGTTCATAGCAATCCAGCCATCACAGCTCGGGCACCGAATCTCTGTTTGAGTACCAGAGTCAAACGCCGGTTTCCAGCCGGAAAAGCAAGACGGGCAAAACACATCCCAGCAGGGCAAGAAGTAAGCCATTGGAACATTGGCGGCAACATCTCCCGATGAGGTAAGTGTTTCTTGCAGCACTTCGTTGCATTGGCTGCACCTGGGAAGCGACGCAGCAAGCATCAACTGAAACATCTTGTACGCCTGCTTGTCGATAGCGCCAGTAGTGTCTTCAGTCTCTCCCTCCTCTAGATCAATAGCATCATTGAGCGAAAGTCCCTTGGCTCTTTCGCGATCTGAGGTGTCGAGAAGCTCTTTCCCGTGGGCACTGACTTGTCGGAGAATCATCATGGCTTTCAACACGTGGTGATACATCCGGCCACCCATTTTGGTCTTGTCCTCGCCAGCGATGACGCGCATCATAACCTGTGACTCACTGCGGAAGAAGTCATGCAACTGTTTCTCCTGCTCAGAGAACTTCAGCATGATGATGTTTTCTTCGCGGGGAGGCAAGTTGATCTTGTCCTTGACTCGGCGCAGGGTGAAGGAGTCCACAATCACACGTAAATTTGTCAGAACGGGGGTGCCACTCTTCACAGGACCTGAGATATGCTGACTGAACCAAGCTCGTTCGCTATAAGGGTATATCTGCAGGAAGTTGGTCACCGAGAACAGGTCATCCATGCGGTTCTGGATGGGCGTTCCGGTGACCGACCAACGGCGCTCAGCATGGAGACTGATGATAGCCCTGGTCTGTGCAGCATTTCTCTCACGAATCGTATGTGCCTCGTCGAGAACGATTCTGAACATGTTCATCTTCGTGAGAGGGCTGACTCTCCCGGTCTTAGCGCCACGTCCGAGGATTTCACTGTGGATGGTGCTGTACGTGGTTATGACAATGTCATGATCGGCAAGCTCATCCAAGTCAGTGGTGCGAGATGGACCGTGGAAAACACAGACGGAGACGGAGCGCTCTTTTAGATGGTCTTTTATCTGTGCCGTCCAGTTGCTCACAGCACTCAAAGGAGCGACGATGAGTGTTGTGCGTGTATTTCGAATGCCTGGAACATCACGAACGAGTTGTGGAGAGGGAGCAATATCCGTCCACTCGTTAGCCTGGTCCAATGAAGAAGTAATCAGCGCGAGGATGCTCAAGGTCTTTCCCAAACCCATCATGTCTGCCAGCAGACCACCCAAGGCCTCCTTGGGCTTTTGATCCATGACAATGCCACTGATGATTTCTTTGTATTGTTTCTTGCCATCAGATCGGGCCACCTCTCGCCACAGAGAATTATTGTCCTTTTCCCGGGGTCCAAATTTGCGCGGTTGCTCCTTGTCTGTCATGAACCAAAGCGCTTGTTTCTGATGATGAAGCAGTGGTGTCAATATAAGAGGACTCGGCTCCATCGTTGGAATGTCCGATTTGATGAGTTGATCGAACATCTTGGTCACTGCATCATTCACTTCTTCAACTGTTCGAGACTCATATCTGATTGTTGGGACTGCCCGTTCACGACTCACGCTGGCGGCGGCGGCAGCAGCGGCGGCGTTTTGGCGTCGCAGCTCTGCGTGGGGATTGAATGTTGGAGTTCCATTTTCAACCGAGTTCGGTGTCCCCAGCCAGACATTGCGATGGGAAAGGAACTTCCCGATGGCGTCTGCCCTCTGTCGTTGCCCATAAACATTTATGGTTGTATGCCAGAAGCCTGACGTCGGAGCCCACACGACCTCGCCTGGGAGCTTTCTCCGAGTGTTCAACCTAGCGGTGACATCCACGGTGCTCACTTCATAACCGTCAAGAAGCGGACACAGTCCCTGTGCGGTCTTGGGGTCGATTTTGCCAAAAATGAAGCCGTGAGGATCAGTGACATTGATCTGAGTGTCACCCTGCCTGGAATTCGGGGGCCGGCTCAATTCAATTTTCATGGATGGCCAAGAATTCTGATCAACGAAGATTGAGGAATCTGCTGGTTTGGGGACGAAGGAGGATTGAATCAAAGCACCGTCTATTTTGCCATAGCAAACACGCTGGGTGCTGAGATCGGTTGATCCCGTGCATTGAATTTCATCGTCGTCATCGTCGTCTTTGGGGGTGTCTGCTAAGTCTAATACACAAAGACTTGTTAGATACTGCCATACCCCGAAGAAAGAGGCCTTACCGTTCGTGAGATCGACGGTGTCAAATACAGCACTTGAACTTGGAGTTTTCTCCCCCTCCTTCATCCATTTCCCGAGGCCATTAGACCCGGACATAGAGATCTGTGCATTAGCTGCGTCTGACTGCTCATTCGCTGTCTTAACTCGTTTCACATTCTGCCTTTTGCGTTCTTCCGCGCCGTACACATCGGCAATCAAATTGCGCCTGTCGGGGGTATCTTCGTCGTCACTTAGCTCGTGGTAGCTGCGCTTGGCGTCGCTCTCGTTTTCTTCATCTTGAGTAGTGGAAAATTGTACTTCCAGGCTGTCTGATGTCTGTGCGGGCGGACTCAAAGGTCCCGAATCAACGGTGATCGGCGTCCGGGGTGCTGGCCCATGACGCCGTGTAACAGTTGCAGTACCCGCGGGTGCCATTGATTGTTTTCCTGTGTGATCGAAAAGTAAGCCCTGGAACGCTGATTCTTCTGAAGAAATGTTGGCCATCGCTGGGAGGATTTGCGGGCCAAATGACATCTGCCGAGGAGACTCCGAGGCTGGACATGTCGACTCTGCGAGCATATTGACCACATCACCCTGTGAGTCGGGAAGAATACGAGTCAAGCCTGAGTAAAGAGAATCTGCAGGTATGCCCTCGGATCCAATGTTGATAACAGGATTGCTTGCAGAGTCGACAGGAACAGAAAGTGGTTCAACCAGTGCCTGGGAATCCATCTGGGAGATCGCAGGCGTATCCTTTTCGGCGATGTCGGGTACATTTGCTAGTATGCTCTCCAAGTCTTGCTGGGACATAACAGGCGTGCAAGTCTCAGCCTCGGCCCCACCTGGGGCATGGACCATGTCCGGGGGATCCATTGCAGGCAAAGAAAAAGCAGAAGAGAAAATCTCGGATGAGCCAGGAGAAAGAGGCAAAGCGGGGTCAGAAGAGCGGTTCAAGGGGCTAGGAGAATCCTTGGGTGGCTCGCCGGCCTCATTGGGAGAAGAATCCACGGAGGGGAAGGCATACGAAGGGGAGTAGGAATTGGAGTGATTACCATTGGCTTGGGCTTGTCTCTTGGCACCTTTCGGGTCCAGTAACATGGCGGGATGGGATGCCATGATGTCTTAGTTGTGATTGAGAATGCGTGCGGATGCCTGTACAACTTTGGTAGAGGCCCTACTGAAGGTGAAGTGATTCCAAGTCAGTTGACAAGATATGCAACGGATTCGATTGTTTGCTTGACTCACCGAGATGTTCGCGCACACTTTCGGTTCTTCTGTAACTGGTGATCTTTGAAGTCGTCGCCAAGCAGTAGAGTATGCGATGCACCCGCGAGTGTGTCAGGTGGTCGCAGATGAGGAATGGTTGTTTGAGATTCGGGGATTTGCCCGCCTGACTTGGTGAAAGTTTGCCTCGTGCTTCCAGGTCGAATGAGATAGATCCCTTTCAGATCGAGGTCAAGTAGGGTAAGTTAACGGTGAGTCAAAGAAGCTGCGCTGATAGGTTGATTAATGATTCGAGCGTCTTCCAGACGCGAGAGTCGCAAAGTCTCCAGCGGCATTGAAAGTGAAGGATCGAGAGAGTCACGCGTAGACGATGGCTGCAACTCCCGTCTCACCGATTCACCATGTACTGGACGAAATGTCACGCCGGGCTTCTGGTCGCGATCCAGTCGGCGCCTCGCGGTTTGCCTTGTCGAGGGATGGAGGCTAGGTCAATATCGAGATCGCGTCGAGTGGGAATATCGAGTACTAATAGATCTCCGCGATCGTTCGGTGCTAGGATCGATCCGAATACATCTAGGCAAGTAGTTGCGGAGGGTTGCGATGATCTGAAGTCGGGCACCTCGGAGGATCTCGCCGATAAGTCCTTATCAGAGCGCGTATCAGCCTTCTATCACGCCGCTTATACGAAAGAGTCGAGGCAGCTCTAGGGGTATAAATAGGAAAAGCAAGATAGGGTTGATTAAAGCGAATCAGTGATATGGCCAGAGGGCAAATCTATATGTCCCGCGACACGCGTGACATATACCCCCGCTGCGCTTATTCGCCATCTTCAGGCTAGCCTTGGAGATCAACGGAAACTATCAGTAGTAGGCCACAGCCCGTGATTTTCATTTTGCCTGCCTACTTGCTATTCAAGAATTTTCAAACGTCTAGACCTAGGCATAAATCTCAACTCATCGAGCAAATTGAGCAGGTTCTAAGGTTGCTTTATGTAGCATGGGGGTAGTGTCCAGGTGTCTCACATGATGTATCAACTCTCCCCACCTCCAGGGTTGGGTTTGGTCTCATAGATGGCAGGGCTATGCAGGTCCAGTGGACCCAACTTCTAGCCAATGTTCGTCCTGATTGAGGGTCCCGAGGTCAGATCAGCCAAGCACATATACAGGGAGTCACATCTTCCTGCAAAAGACAAAAGAGTAGACGATGAAGGTATCATAGAATTAAGTCTCATCAATATGCTACATGAGGCAGGTCGCTCAATCAATGCGCCTAGAACCAAGGCAATCCAACAGCCAAAGAAGATCTATATACACGGGAATCTCCCAAATCATGAGCATGTCCAGAACAGGACTCGTGGGAAATATCACAGGAGGGACGAAGTGAAATGGCGATGATCAACCAGTTGGAAACCGACCATCGAAGGACAGTGGGCCAACACAGCCATGATATCGCTTGAGATAGTCGCAAATTAAACGAGACGGAAAAAACGTGATAAGGTGGAAAGTAGGAAAAGTTGATACAAACGGCAGGCCTCAGCACCAGGTGAAGACGGGGTTCTTGCTTTTGACGGCCTCCAGGCGCTCGACAATGACCTTGCGCTGGTTACCTTCCATGCCCTCGGCAACGGCATAGCCGAGATCGCCCTCGAGGTCATCGCTGCCGAATGTATTGACTCGAGGAGTACGGTAGGACAGAGAGCCGCCGTTCTTGCGGTGCTTTTGCTGGCGTGGAGGAAGTGAGGGCCATCCATCGAGAGAGCCCCCGGCAGCATCCGGGTTTCGACGGCCGAGTTCAGCATCGTTGAGAGTTGCCGGGCTACCAATTGAACCATCAGCAACGCTATCAACCTCCGCTCGACCACGGGTGAGTTCGAACCGGTTTGGGTTGGGAAGATCGCTTGGAGATGAGTTTAATCCTAAAAGATCGTGCTCGGGGAGTGGTTGGGAAGAGGCGGATGCGCCAATGTCCATCTCTTCTTCATCAGGGTCGTAATTCATATATCGGTTTCTTGTTCGGTCGGTGGAGGGGGCGCGCATGGGGATGGCGACGGGCACATCAACCAGGTCGTCCCATACACAAACTCGCGTTCGGCGGGTAAGTTCGAGCGGGCCATGATCTGGCTGTTTCAGGGTTTCCACAACGTTCCAAGCTTGACCTTTCATGACCGCGATCTGTCGCGCGAACATGCTTTCCTTGAAATCGTCATCTTGCGCGAAGACACTACGCAAAGCCATCTGGGTTCCGCTCCACCAAGCGGTGGAAGTGAGAAGCGGGAGGAAGTGGTCACGGGTTTTCTGCGAGAAAGGCTGGCCGATCAAGGAGACGGGTAGGAAAAGCCAGCCGAAGGGGAAGCTGCGCCACTGTGTAATCAATTAGCATTGGGTCTTCACCAAATGCATATAAGGACACGAGAGAGACTTACGGCATCTGGGTGCTTCCATGGCCAGGATAAACTGTTGTCAATGGCACCAAGTTGGACAGAAGCTGACTGTTCCGATGAGGCCAGTGGAGTGCCCGTACGACTGATGGCCATCATAGTCTCATGGCGCCTGTATGGATGAGTGGAGGGTTTGGGTGTGCCGTTCGAGTTGACGGAAACCGGGCGGGCCGGAGGCATAAGCTCATCCTCGTCGTGTTTTGGTTGCGGCTCGTTAGCCTTGGGAGGCTCCGCTACAATCGAGACTTGTTCGGTGCCCCAGTCGATCTTGACCATCCAGTTGTCCAGGCCTCGGTCGGTATTCCGCATGATGTAGTCCAAGATGACAAGCTTCTCCAGTTCCTCGCGGAAAGATTGCTTGAGATTCTCAGTCCAGTAGAACCGACGTTCGGAGCTTTCGTCGCGCGAGCCTGGTGGTGAGGGTACGTAGCCGGGATCTTCGTCGTCTTCATCATCCGACTGCGCTCCCGAAGGCCGGCAAGCTTCGTTCCATGGTCGTTTCTTGCGCTTTGGTGCATCCTCGGCGCGGAATCCGGTGTTAGTCTGGTCAGGCCAAGGGTGTTCGCGCAGGAAAATGTTGGCATCCTTGAAACCCTTCAAGAAAACCTGGAAACTGCCTGCTTTATGGGGTAGGGACTTCTTTCCCTTCCACGCCTTTCTGCGATCCCAGAAATCATAGAAGAACGATTTCGAGGACAATCGCACAATACCTGTGTAAGGCACGAGATTCGTTCGTAAACGAGCGTCTAGAACGTAAGCGGCGGCTTCGGAGACGTATGAGAGGTTGGGAATGAGACAGGCGCGGCCGAAGAAGCAGGGGAACAAGTTGCGATGAATCCACTTAGTCCATTTGGGGTTTCGAGAAGCGTAGGGTTCCTCATCCTTCGGCTTGAAGACACCAACCACCTTTCCTTCTGTGTTTCGAGCAAAGTAGCTGCCGGAGCTACCCTGTGAGATCATTCGGGGGTGTACTCCCATTTCAATGGCGACACGAACGCTTTCGATGATTTCCTCGTATTCGGCGCGGGCCTGCCTTTGCTGGCCTTCAAATTCATCGGATTCGAGAGCTTCGGCGGTGATAGGTTCGACTCCGGGAGGTGCTTGGAAGACTGAGTGGTAGATTTCTAGCTTTTCCTCCTCGTAGCTCTTGCCCTTGACGCGGTTGATCTTGAATTTGGAGGCAATCTCCTCTGCCCATTTTTCGAGACGCGCATTGATCGCTTTGATGTCCACGCCGGAGTTTCGACGACCGCGAGGATATTGGAAGCCACTGTGTCTGCGTTGATGGCCTGGGGGTGTGTGGAGACCGGACGCCTGCATCTGGGCTCGGGAGGAGATGGGAGCGTATCGAGGCGCGGAGGTGGACGCCGTTGAAACTGCGGCGATCTCATCATCATCGGAATCATCATGTAGATAGCCGCGTTCTTCTTCGGCCTGGGCGAGACGAGCGTAGCCCGAGGTGGCAGGACGGTTTTTCGGCATTGTGAGAGTAGTTGGAAGTATGGCCAACGCGAGGCCAGATAGGCGGTGCAAAGGAAGGCAAAGCTGGCAAATGAACGGACAAGAAAGGATATCAATCCATTACAGAGAAGAGAAGGGGGAGAAAAGACCGCGGGTGTAATGTGTTGTCGACCGAGTCAAGGCAGTGAAATATGTCACCCATGTCCAGACACAGGGCAAGGGGCGTTTCGGGGGTCTGTACGAATACGACTAATTTACACAGGCGGTAGATCGCACTCCGGGCAGAACATCGTGGGATACCGCCAAATGTGGGCGGCTGGCAGGTCCACCGGGTAAAGTACCGTAATACGCTGACGCACCGCCACAGACGGGCTCCACCCCCTAATCGAAAGGGGCCTTCAATGCACCGTTTACATCATTTACATGTGTTTGAAGATGGGGATTGCCCGTTGATACAGCGCCTGGTGGTTATCGAGGACCAATTGGAGGCTCACTTGTCTTCATTGCGGACAGTCAATGTCAGTATGGAATATAAGACGCCACGCTGTCCAGGATCCATTTCTATGCAGGAAGTTTCATACAGAGTCACGGGAACGTCGTATGCATCTCTGAATCGATCAAGGATTGAGCATCGTTGCTGTGCATGTCGATAGTAGCAATGCCTTGGAAGAGCTGCCGCGTAGTGCAATATGACATTCCACTCCTCGTTCCCCGATGGGGCAATCGTTATCCCGATTGTTATTATCGTCTTATCGTAGATCTCAATTCTGCATCTTCTTCTTACCCCTACCCTCGCCGTTCCGCCATAATGTCTTTAATTTGAATGACGCTCACTATTTTCTGTATTCGTCCTCGTTGAGCCCTCGTTTCACTTCGCGACCGTCCTTCCGCTGTCGTCGGCGACCATTGCGCGGAACCTCCTCTCGCAGGTACCGTGAGGATTTGTTTCGATACCGATCGAGATCGACTGCTCCCCAGAAGTGTGCCCCAGTTGTCTACGATCGCACTAGTCGCGCAATTGGGATCTCATACGTTTTCACTCCTCCAATTCGGTCCAGGGCCGGATTTCAATCGACACCAGCCCTCTCCCCTCCACGGTGGCTTCCACCTTATATAGGGCGTCGCCCATCGACCCGGCTCTCAAACCCGGCTCATCCCCGGACGGTGACTTCCCTTACGATTTGCCCGAGACTTCTACGCGTCAACCGTCTAGTGGATCCGTTTCCTTCGCCGCAGCCCTGCCTGATCTCAAGAGCGTGACCAAGTTTGGTTCGATAGATAGCGACGGATATCCAGGGTCGTCTGTGAGCACATCGCTGCCAGGATTAGCCGCTCTTGCCTCGGTTGCCTCCGCACCTACTTCTAATCTTCGGTTCGTCGAACTCCCGTTACAATCCACCTTCATCTCCAAGCCATCGGCGAAGGATGCGATTGCGTAAACCCCAAGCCAGACTTGGAGCAGTACTTCCCCTCTCGGCTGCATTGAGGTGGGAAATCCGACGTTGACTAATCCGGGGTTTCAGATCATCGAGTGATGCCAGTATGAGTATGGCCAATATGACCTACGCTACTTCATCACCCGCCGCGACTACGGGCGGACAGAATGGACCTGTAAGTGTTAAGTCAAATCCCTGTTATCGGCTCTTATCTCTGGGGGAGAGTTATCGAGAAGTCTTGGCACCACTCGAACCGTGCACCCGCTTTTTCCCATTTCCTTATCGACTCAAATCTCTCACAATCTTATCATCTCTCCCATCTCTGCTCTCTACCTTTATTCCTCACAATGGCGACTACATTGGCTGACGACAAGCGAACACAATTACAGCCCGTCTGTCAAAATTGCGGCACCTCCACCACCCCCCTGTGGCGCCGGGACGAACAAGGCTCTGTCCTCTGTAACGCCTGTGGCCTGTTTCTGAAGCTGCACGGCCGAGCTCGGCCGATAAGCCTGAAAACAGACGTGATCAAGAGTCGCAATCGCGTAAAGACTGGTCAAGGTCCCAAGCGCAAGGTGAGTGTGCAATCGAATTTTTTTTCACTTGTCCTCCTAGGACCTGCCCGTCCTAGATAAGGCTTTTGCTGACCGAGATCGTGCTACCCTAGTCCGGTGGGCCTGTTGATACCAATGGCCTCCCATCGCGATCCGAAGCCGAGTCTCCTCCTTTAGGATCACATGGGTACCGTCGCGCGTCGCGCAAAATGTCCCCGGGTCATTCGGATCGCTCCAACTCCCCCGTCTCCCGCACCGAGACACCTGGCTTCGGTTCGTCGATGCACGCGCACAACTCGAACATCGCGCCCCAGCACATGTTCGACAGCGTCACCCTGGGAGACGGCATGAGCTCCTCCACTGGGCTGCCCTCCCGCCAGATGCGCCAACCCTCCCCCTCGGCCGTCGAACGCCAACTCGAATCCCCTCACACATACGAAAGTCTCGTGGCCCTAAACACATCCCTGAAGACTCGTGTCAGTGAACTGGAATTCGTTAACGAGCTCTTCCGCGGCCGTGTGACAGAACTCGAGCAGAGTGACGCTAGCGCGCGCCGATCGGAGATGATCGTCCGCGACTCCGAAGTACGTCTACGACGCTCCCTCGAAGACTCCCAGCGTCGCGAGGAGGAACTCAAGACTCGCATCAGTGATCTCGAACGCCAGGTCGGATCCAGCAGTGGTGACGCCGACTCAGGCGAGCCCCTTGCCAAAAAGATCCGGCTGTCTGACGTTGTGGAAACTGATGAGGTGCCGGCCAAATCCCCGAAGAGCGTTTAACGCAAGCTGTTGCCGCTGCCGATTCTCTCAATTTTGCTCACTCGTTGGTTTCACTTGCCTGCATGCTCTTCTCAGCTTGCTGGCCTCGTCTGATCTTCCTGATACCCTTCACGGCTCCGTCATTACTGGCTGGATCTTCACCCCCACAAAAGCTGACTCTTGAACGGTTTCAATTCTTTATATTTCCCTATGTCTGGACGTTTCATGGAACGCCCTATAATTGTTCTTCTTGCCGTGTGTTGTACGAACTCTTCTGCTATGCTTCTAATACTACATTGATTCCTATCCTTCGCTTCTTTCGCCCCCATAAGACTTTGAAGATAGAGGTATCAGTAGGGTAATTGGCGTGTTTGATCATATTATGATGCCACACGTATTTCAAATTTAGTGACTGAATGAATTCATAAAGTGACAATTTGCGCATGAAGTGATCCCGGCGGCCACTGCACCGGTAACACACAGCGGAAAGATTCCTCTTCCCTCACTGCAATACCGGCAAGGCCCAGCTCGCCCCACCTCCCCCATGATGTATATCAGGACGGCCTCAGCTCGGTGTCGGGCCAAGGATATGGCGTAATTAAGTGAACCCCCGTCGAAATTTTCAGTCGTTCGGATTGTCACGTCTCGCTTGACTTCGAGGCTCGCGAGGGTGGCCAAAAGGCCGCCCTGAATGTAATTATCCCTCTTAGCACACGCCCAAGGGAGGTCGTAGGCCCCTGCTGCTCATTCACCAGGAGGTTCTGCAATGTCGCTCTTTCTCAGCAGCGGCACCGTTGTCGGTTGATTCCTTGGGAAGAGATTAGTAAAAGTTCCACGACGACGGAGTATGCACCTACGAGCTCATTTTGGCCATAGAATGATGGCAATTCAAGGAGGGTTTGTGATTTGACGAGGAGATTTAAACGAGCTCAAGCTGCGTTCTTTCTCGTGAGGCCGGACTGCCCTCTAAAGGTTAGTTCAGTGGACTTCCACAAAAGCCGGGCGTTCAAGTGAGACCCACAGTGTAGATTTTAGTCGAGGGTTGATGCTGAACCTGGTAGGTTGTATTAGGTGTTACAGAAGAGATGAGGATGAGGATGAGAAGAGATGAGAAGGGAGAGCAGCAGTATTTATACCCAGGAGACCCCCTCCCAAAAGGCGCACTGAGTGCCTTTTGAATCTGCCCATAATCACTTTCACTCAACTTTGTTCTCTCATTGTGCCATTGTGATGAGTTAATGAGTGATCTTCACCTGAAGTGCTAGCTAAGTCACTGGAAGGGGAAGACGCACTCTCCAAGCAATATGATACTGAACTACAAGCGGAGCGCGTACGAAAGACTACGCCGTACGGGGTAGGCCAGAAGTAAGATATGGTAGCAATGGTATTCATTGTCACGAACGGTAGCTAGCTTTAAACGGTGCTTATGCCCATGTAACACTTATTTCAACACTTCTTCCACCTGGGTCATGATTGACGATGAAGGGATTGAGGTAGCCTATTCTGTCGAGCAGGGGGCGCAGGACGGATTGGCAACAAAGAGGATTGTCGAGAGATCTGCGTGAGCTGAGAGCTACTGTGTGTGATGAAAGTGTAAGTGCTGTCTTTGCGAGGGAGTATTGTCCAGACTTTAACAGGCACATTGAAAATCAGAATGTATAATCCCCTGACCACTGACTCAACTATCACTCCGGCTTCCACCACATCAGCTGGGATGTTCTGGATCAGCTATGCCTTCCACGAAGTGTGATCGTCTGGCATATCTGACCTGACTCTTAGAGTCTTGCTCTCATCACAATGACCGCCTCTGAAAATTTGCTTGTACTTCCACCAAGTACTCCCTTGGTGCCACCTGGCAAGACGGCCTATGCTCACATGCGGCTTGTTGCGACGTAGAACATGAATAGGACACGATTCAACTTGGTTCCGCTGCGCCACTGGAAATACGATTGCGTAAATCTGTGCCAGTGTTGCCGGGGTACCGTTGAGATCCCAGAGCGTGTCAATGAAAGCTTGCGTGAAGGACCACGAGAAAGATGAGGAAGGAGTTTCGTCCCAATCCGACACCGCCATCATCTCATCACCATTGAAGTCACCTGCCCAGGAGCGACCGGAATAACAGTCAAAAATGAAAGAAGTATCGCCCTCGAACCCTCGAAGCCAACCGTGAACTTCCCACCAATTCAACGACGGCCCTTGGCAGTGCCTCCACTTTCCAAGGTTTCATCTTGACCACTAGGATATATTGGTTAGCATATATCTTTGAGGAGGTGACTTAAAGACTAACAACACTCAAAACTGAACAATGGTCATTAGTCAAACCCAGTAATAATTCGAGTAGGACGTTAATCACAGTTCATCCAGATCTGACACCCAGCATTTCAGTACACATCGCATTCCCTTCATTTCCGCCAACTAAACTGACTTTGTCTGATTATCGCGAGGTGAAATTATGTCTATGCAGTTGAGAATCACCGGTGTTGTTGTGCCACAATCAACAACCACGCTGTTCGATGTGATAGTCTGTGATGTGGCTGGGGGCGGTAGGTCTTGCAGAGAAGAACTGTTTTCTTGGCTGCTTCCGCCTCTCGAGGCATTCCAATGATGCGGAGTGCTTCGTAGTCCCGTTCGTTTAGGAAAACCCCGAATGGAGAAGGAATCTGGGACAGCAGGATGTTTCGCTGATCGAACCCACCATTTTTCATAGAGCCACATCCTTGGTGTCGACTCTGGTGGTGGTGGCGGATGGTGATGTCGTCTACTGCTGGTATCTGCGAGATTCGTCCAAATACTCCCGCCGCTCTGTTGTACGAACAGCTGTAGTATAGGTATGGGGCCAGCGTCGGATGCGGCATTGCCGTCATTGCCGCCCAGCTCTGATCAAACTCGGGAAGTCGAATCCGAGTCACGGCTTGGATCAGAATATTCCTCTTCTTTAGGCCCATGAAATACTCCAGGGCGCTTCTCTGTGAGCCAGAGAATAATCCTGGCATCGCGGATTCTGGGAGATCGAAACCGATCGCTGCTTCAGGCAGGGTTTACCGTTTGAGAAACCCATTCCACGAGATACTCCTCGTTGCCAACCTGTTCATCACAAACCGAGGCTGTGGCCTGTCCCAGCACGACCGTCTGGACTTGGACATTGGTGACAGATGCTGAAAATGTGAATTTGTCTTGTCCGTTCGGGGCAGCCGTCGGGATCCGAGGGGTCTGAAAACCTTTAGGATTCCACAGTGTCCAAATGAAGATGCAGTCGTGAGTTGGAAACTCTAGATCTTTCGTTTTTTTAAACGAAAGTTGAAGAGGAAAGAACAAGAAGGAAGAGGTGGAAGGAAGAGAGACCATTTTATAGAAGACAGGTGCAGTCCTTCAACTTCCAATACCCAATACCCACTATTTCCCTATTCCATTCATCTATTGATCACTTTGATCTTATTTATCTTCACAATACCCCAATTGAGATTCTTTTGAATATACCTAGGTAGTTTACTTCAACAGTGAAGTAAATATCTTTAGTACTAGTATTCAAATAAACTAAACTGATGACCAGAAGATATCCTATATATGCCGGTGGGCCATTCTTTCTATTTCCAAGCTTCCAAGGTTATCCAGTCATCACTTCCATCTTAACCCTCTTTCTGATTTGTTTCTCATTCCTGTTCTTCCTTGTCTCTCTATATATCTTACTGCTGAGATCAGTTTCTTCTTCAAATACAGTTACAGTCAGCTTTTGAACACCTTTTCATCACCTTTTCATCCCTGTTAATATATACTTTCTTACTGTCCACAAATAGCATACGTTTCATACCGGCCTCCATATCGGTCACGCTTATTACGTCTCCTACCCTATAGCAGCCCTATCATTATGTCGTCGCATCCGACGACAGCATATCAGGCTATTCCGCCAGCTGAAAGCCTTCGGCAGTTTGCTACCGAGCTGTCAATATCAGTAAATAAAGAAATAAAGCCATCAATCAAAGGAAATTCACTAAAGTGTTCATCATTACCCTTCATTAGGAGAATGACACTATGGATGCGACACGCCGCGGCTGGAGACCGAGTTGCTGAATGCCTTCAGACACATCTACCTATTTCAAGTTAAGAATTACGCTATCCTGCTGGCCACCTCCCAGTTGGACTTGGTATTGTATCTTGTAAACTGGTTCATGAATCACCAAGGGGAACATACCTTGAGGATCATCGTTTATCTCGGACACACAAGTGATGCAGAAACAACCGCCCCGCGCTAGTACTTGGTTACTGTTAATCTCCTACTCGAATTATTGCTAGATTTGACTACTGACTATTGTTCAGTTTTGAGACCGATGCCGTAGTATATAAGCGCCTGGTGTCATCGGAAACCTCTTCCCGCCACTTTTTCGCTAACTGTATCGCATGGGGGCGTGTAATGTGCTCAAGTCTGTTTCCGGCTGGGTGGATGATCATCTTGGAATTCCGTGAGGGAAATCAACTCTCAGACATATAGTCGGTTCTCAGTACGGCTGAGCGAGGACATATCAAGGAGGAATACCTGAAGGGCATCCACGCGCTTCGCGCGATTTCGATTCGTCTCGATTACTCTGGTTCGCACAATGTTCTGTTTTCAAGAGAGACTCGGCTCGTCACTCTTCTTGAATTCGAAGTTCCTGTGCCGATTGCCCCAAGCTCCTTCATCCCGACATCGTACGAAATGAGAAACATCTTCGCGTCAAGTTTGATCACGGGCGGAGAAGGCGGATAGTTTCGGTTCGATTACGTTCCTGTCCTCTGTTTATTTAGAGTGGCACTGAATCCCTCCTTTGTATTAACAGATTTTATGCCCTACAGCTTCTACAAATGAGATGTACTCAGTCATCCTGCGAGAAGTCATCCTCCTTCATAAAACCCCACCAGATATATTGGGTAGCTCTTAGGTAGCGATTGGCCTATCGTATCTACTTTGTGACTGTATACTATCATTCTGATTTATACTATTCATCACAGGGCCCACCGGAAGCAGGTTCTACCTAACATTAGAGCTTTCCGGCGCCGATTCTGCACTTGAGCCTTGCTGATTTCAGAATTGGCCGGTAGCCGTTCCGAACATGTAATTTCAGCCAGTAGTTGTACACAGCGCCCACTTTCACCGAATCAAACTCATGTGTGCAATTATGTTCCTCTTATTTAAGACGACTTGGCGTAGAGTGTCAGAAGCTGTTTGCTCAACAATTGTGTGTCATAGTCATCCAAAAATTGTAGATCCCCCGGAAGGGCAACTGATGGTTGTGGGTAGCATGTTGGACTGGCGGCGCGACTCCTCGAACGTTTTGGACAGACAGCCCATGAGAGAAGTCAGATGTGCCTGCAACTTGCCGACAATGGTTGCCAAAAGACAAACGAAGAATCTTGAAGAAGAAGCTTGTACTCATTTTCAAAAAAAGTCAACAGGGTTTTTGAGCGTTCTGGTTCTATTTTCTAGCGACGCGTATTCGTCCATTTGAAGCTCACCTCGATACTAGGTAGGAAGTCGCACCGGCAGATCTACGTATTGGGAAGTCACCAACAACCATCATATATAAAAAAGCCCACATAGAGACCCCGGGAGCTAATATTCCTCGCAAAGAGACTATTTTTTGGGTGTTCTAAATTAGCGAAAGCATCAGGACAGCGAGACATCGGGAGTAGGTAATTAGCTAGTAAGAAACCCCCGATCCCATATACCTCTTGGAAAATTCAGCTCAGTAACCTGATACTAGGTAAGCATGGGATTCCAATGTTCCCTAAGTTCTCGCATTTTCTCCTCTCTGTTTGCCCCAAGGTTTGAGTCTAGTCAGAATAGACCTTCCGGGATTCACATGTTCAGATTCCTGGCTCTGATATGGGGGCGGCCTTTCATTTTTTGGAGTAGGGGCCCTTGGGGGCGCTTTCGGAAAATAGGTATCGGCAACGCGCGCAAGAAGCGCTGGATTGGTACTCTCAAGGGCGCTCCGGTACTCAGAGTCGATGGATTCGATCCTATTGCGATCGAAGGTATATCCTTTGGCCTTGTCACAGCACGCACATGCTAAAGAGCAATGACCACTCATCCCTCTCTTAAACAGATCAGATAGTCGATTTTCACAGCAACCACAACTTCGAGCACAACAGCCACCCATGGCCGCACATTCGGCCATAGGCAGTGGTCTAAGATACCACCGATCGTCTTCTCGGATGCGATGGTAAACGTTTGCGATAGCCGCCGGCAACGCTCGTTCTTTGAGATAAAGTTTCCTTTCTTGCTCACCGCAAATTCGACTTATTCTTTCCAGTTCAATCTGGCGACCGTCGTCCGAGCCTTGAGTTGATTTTCTCATACTCTCCACAAGTTGAACCTGGTAACGGAATTGATATTCGGCGAAGACAAGATCTCTCAAAATATTGCCAGGGCACTCGCAGTCTTCTTGGCCATATTTGAAGCTGAATCTTTTCCAAACTATATTATTATACAAGTCCCTGCAATATATGGGGGAAAAGAAGCGAGAATCCTTATCGTGTGTATTTGGGATATCCATAGTAAAGAGAAAGAATGGTCGTTCGTGAGATAACGGGTGGTGTATATTGGAGTCCGAAAACGCAGAACAGAGCGCCTGGAAGAGGCAAGCCAAGCGAATTGAGAAGGTCAACGTCCAGGACTTCCCAAAATGCGGGCGGGACGCTGGAAACACCAACACTGGAATGGATTCCGCTATAAAACTTGGAGGATATCGCTTTGTCGAACCGTGGGAAGCATCCGACCCGCATTCGGTCCCGAAGCTCGATCCGAGACGGTAATTTACCTTCGGGTTGTTAGCACCGGAGTGGTGATTAAATTAGTAATGACTTCCTATTCCCTAGGGGAGTTCGATAGGAGGAGCATGGCCGTTACGGCAGCGGTGGGCGGCGTCTATGACCTACAGATCCGTAAGAGGAAAAAGAGAAAGTGAAGAGAAATGTTATTTTCCACAGCAACCTTGTATTTCCTTCTGCATCCCATCCATGTTTGCCTCGGGGTTATTTCCTTCTCATCGAAGACTCGAAATTCGTGTGATTACCCTCACCGTGGCATGCTTTGGTTTTGTTGGGCCAGATGAAAGATGGTGCCGTATATCTGGGCGAGGGTTTCAGGGACACCGTTATAATCCCGGAGCGTGTCAATGAAAGCCTGCGTGAAGGACCAAGGGCTAGCAGCGGTAGCCCTTGCGTTCCAGCCGGACGCTGCCACCAACTCGCCGCCATTAGGGTCATCCAGGACTAGAGATCCACCGGAGCAACAGTCGAAGATGAAACATGTACTATCGCCTGCGAACTCTCTGAGACAAGTGCGAACACTCCACCAATCTAACATCGGCCCTTGAGGCCGCCCGTTGATGTCCACTCTGCCACTAGAATATATTGGTTAGCATATATCTTTGTGAGGGTGGATTGACGACTAACAACAAGTTCCAGCGAGTCGCGATTGTTGTTGTGAACACCCGGTTAGGTGACCATGTATTCCCAGCCCTGGAGGTCTATAGCTCGCTCTCTCCCTCTCTTTGCTTTTCCCTTCACCATCTATCTGAGATTTGCATCACTTCCAAGTTCTCTCTGGCCTTTCATCAGTAGATGTCTTATCAATTGTCCCTGCGTTACTCACGTGCCCGGAATAAACGAAGATTCTCAAGATGTCTTCCCCTTGATGATTCCCGCACCATCTCCTAAGATGCGTGATCACCGCAGTGTTTGTGTGGTGACCAGTGGGATAACATATCTCTCGACTTCAAACAAGTAGATGTTTTTGAAGACATTCAGCGTCTTATTCTCCAGATGTGCCACATTCATAGTGTCATTAGCCCAATGAAAGGCCAAAACGAAGAAGTTGGCGTATTTTCTGTACATGATGGCTTTGTTAACCGAGGTGGACAGCTCGGCAGCAAACTCCGAGAGGCTTTCGACATGTTGATAGGGCTTGTCATAAGACTGGGGATGTATCGATTGCGATACGTTTGGAAGCCGGCATCAAATGTATGGCGTTTGTAGAGGGTAAAGTATTCGATAGGAATATTGAAAGGTAGTTTGAGCCGGCACTAAATGTACCGCGTTGGAAGACGGTTTGGTGGTTGAAAGTCGAAGGGTGAAGAACAAAAGAATACCACCGGATCAGACTTTGGAAGTGTTAATACCTGGGCAGGTGCGCGGTCCACGGGAAACCACGGTATATGGAAGGAACTAAGGGTTGATGACCGTATTGTCTTCAGGCTCAATAGATGGCATTATAGACACTTGCTTCAATGGTGAATAAAGTGACCTGTTTTCTAAAGACTCTTCATGCAGGCTATTGTATAGGCAGATGGGATCAAAAAATAATCAATAAATGAATAGGGTAGTATGATAATGAGTTTTCGGAACTGATTGCGCTGGCCTGCGATAAAATGATCTCTCTTCCACCAACCTGTTCTCTCTTCTTCTTTCCTCTCCACCCTTCCTCTTTGCACCTAGAATCATCAATTCTCAACCTCTCCAGTTGTCGACCCTCGGCCCTGCACCTAGTGCAGGCATCCACCTCCTACCACCCTCTCGAGATCATATAAGAGGGCCCCGGGGTGAAATCCGTGTTTGATCTATCAACAGACAAATACGAATCCACTGCCCTCGCTCAGTGTGTAGTCCCTCTGTGTTCATTTCTCAAGGACGGACCTTTCGTTTCTTGGACTATGTTTCTTTCACAGAAAGTGAGAACCAATCCGACCTGGTATGAATTTATCCTATCCTCGAATAGTTCTAACTGTCGCGTCTGAAGCTGACTGAGAGTCCTGTTGAATAGATTCAAATAAGACGAACCCCCAAACCTCCTTCATCCATTTGCTGTGATCATGGCTACCCCGGGAAAGGGAGGCTAGCCCTCGCCTATCATTGATTTTTCAGACCGCATGAGTCCACAAAGTGAAGAGACCGAGTGGTACAATGCTACACCGTGGTACAGGTGTTGAGGCTACTAGACCAAAGAGAAAGAGAGCAAAGACTTGATTCGACTAAGCTGGGGAAGGAAAGAAAGAAGCAAGACTACTAAGGGGCAACTGAGGGCTAGAAAACACCGGGGTCATGTGCCCATTCCTAAGGCCATGACTCACGACAACAGGTTTGACGCGCTTGATGGGATCATTGCGAGAGACCTGAGAAACCTCCAACCCGGTACCCCAACTGTGAAACTTTTCCAACGTTTCACCAACCACGTTGTGCGTGGCGTAAGATGGCGCGAGCACAATGGAGATACACCAACAATCATCAAGTCAAAGCAAGGTGCGAGGGTCACAATTTCCATCGGAGGAGGAGCCGAGATTCCCCATTTCGGCCTAGGCCTACGCTTGGAAACGAGAAATCCAGAGTATCCAACGCACGACTGCATCTTTATTTGGACACTGTGGAATCCCAAAGCTTTCCAGGCCCCTCGGATCCCGATAGCTACTCCGAACGGACAAGAGAAATTCACATTCTCAGCATCTGTCTCCAATGCCCAAGTTCAGAAGGTTGTACTGGGACAAGCGACAGCCTCGGTTGATGATGGACAGGTTGGCAACGAGAGATATCTCGTGGAATGGGTTTCTCAAACCCAGCCTGAAGCAGCGATCAGTTTAGATCTCCCGGAATCCGCGATGCCAAGATTATTCTCGGACTCACAGAGAAGGGCCTTGGATTCCTTACATTGTTAGCTGCAGGTGGACTCGAGGGACCGCAATTGATGGTTTCAGCCTGGCTTTCTGGTCCACATCGGATACATATAGTCTGAACTATCGTGGAAGTTGATGAAATGGTGCTCGGCTCAAGTATTGCTCGAGCCAAAATCCGGGGTTGTTGGCAGAGAGGATGTTAACATTTTATCCTATTTGTTCCAAGTCTATGAGGTGCGGAAAAGAATGCAGAGATATCGGTGGAGCAAGCGAGGTCCTGACTTGCCCCATGCTGGAATTGAAACTTCCACTCTGTATATCTACAGTGCGGCTCAGGGGCTAATAGACAAAAAGGCCGCCCCACCGATAAAGCCAGCGACGAAAAGCACCGTCAGGATTCCAGCTCCTGCTTTATCTGCCGTTGTGATAGGAGGCAATTCTTCCCGCTTCGAGCTTTCCTCAGAACCAGCATTCGGGTCACTTGATCCATTTCCTCCTGTTGCTGTCGACACCGGGGCCGAAGATGAGTCGAGGAATTTCACCATGATAGCACTCATCATCTGGCTTCCACTCATTGCGTTCTCCATGGAATTTTGCCCGTCGTATTTGCCGCCCCACCACCGGTTCCCACAGAGGTTCTCGCCATTGCCGGTGCATGCCTTCGCGGCGCCCTCGGCAGAGACTTCGAGTTTGGGTACGATCTTCTCTTTAAGGGAAGGAATGATCAATGCGATATCTGCGAGCCATGACACCGTCAGGCCTTTGAAGATCGGTCGGTTCGCGTCTTCGTCACATTGGGCCGAAGGCTCGCATCGGTCTGAAATCACGCCTCCGTATTTCGGTAGGAAGAAGGTCTCAAACAAGGCATCCATTAGGCCATTTGTGACGTCTAACCATTTGCTGTCATTCGTCTTCGCAGTGCGATGTTAGCATTTCAGAACATAGCTTGTAGCTTCAGACTGCCGGGGGACACAAGACAGAAGATCAATACATACATGGGCATACATGTAGGCAGCGCCAGACAAGAAGGTCCCATAATTGTAGGTCCACCGGGTATGGTCAGGCAGTGTACAGCCATCAGGACCTCCTTTCCCTTCTCTGACACTGTCTGCCACCTCCCAGGTTTGGTTGTTGACTAACTTCACAGAGGTAGACCAGTCCCAAACTTTCTCGGCCCATGTCGCATACTCTTTATCTTGAGTAAACCAAGCGAGCCGCGCTGCAAGCATGAAGAATCCACCGTTCGACACTGAATTCTTCATGGTATATCCACCTTGCCACACATCCTTCTGCCAACGAAGGCCACCTCCGCAAATTGTCGTGTCCCATCCCCCTCCCTGGGCACTCTTTTGATTATAGAAGACTCGCTCAGCAAGAGTGAGCCAGGTATCGCCACTTGGGCGATTGGGCAGCTTGTATTCTGCGGCAGTGATCGCCGCGAGGCCCCAGAACATTTGATCATCGTTTCCCTGTCGGATGGTGAGCGCCATGAGTATACACATTGGAAAAAGACACTTACCACACCCATTGCCCATGATGGCAGGTAGTTTCCGTCCGCGCCGCCTTGATGTTGCAGTGCGACACTGACTTCTTCGTTGTAGGTTGTGTCATTTGTGGCATGCCAGTAGTTGAGACACGCTAGGAAAAGAGCTGCGCCCTCCCACCACGACCTTGAGATGAATCCCGGATTGTCAGTTCCATTACCTTTGTACCATTTCATCATGTTGTAGGTGGCAGTTTTTCCGGCATCTTTGATCGATTCTATCCATTTCGCAACGTCATTAGCAATTTCGCTTTAGATACAACAGGATATACATCGTGAAGTCCAACCTCGTACCTTGATTGTCAACATCTAGATCAAGCGCGTAGACATGGCTAGTAATTGATAGAATGTGCAAAACCAACACGGTCATATGCTTGGCGCTTCGAAGAATCATGGTGCTATATGATTGCAGTCGCCAAGAGAGACTGATGGACAAGATTTCTTGCCAATGCTGCCGGGTGTGTCAAGACCAAGGAATCTCATTCCAAGAAAGATAGACAAGGAGACTGGTTAGCTTGGAAGCGGCTAAGGCGCAGTCGCCAAGCATCGAGTCAATCTCATTGGAGTAGGAGGGATGTTGGGCCAACAACCTTGGAAATAAGGAAAGCTTACTTATTGTGCGGTCGCACCTGGGCAGCAAAATACAATTAGGATAGATAGCGTATATCATGCGAGACGAAAAGGGGAAGAGAGAGAAGCCCTCAGACCTAACATTTGAAAGCTATGTGGGGAGTAAGACCAGCAGGCACCTGGGCACTCAGCAACTACCCCACTTAGGAAATACATTCGTGGGCTGTGCTGGGTATAAGATCGCCGACTGGTCATGTAATTACACGTCACTGGGAGGCTGTTACAATACACCCGCTGTGGATCTTCCGCTCTCTGTTTGTTGCCTGGAGACTCAAAACAACAACAATTTCAACAATAAACGTACATATTATGGATTTGAACAATTCAGCAGAGCTAGTTTTCGAGACATTAAGCGAGCAAGGAAACCGTCGCCAAAATCTATGCGCCACCCGTGTTCGAATTTGGTTTAGAGGCTGCACCCTTAGCTGGAGTCGGGCAAGATATCCCAGGTCGCCACCGAGCACAAGCAGTAGATGTCATGGCCGCCAACATACCTGACGCGGCTGATGAGTTGATCTTGACGTTACAAGGACTCATAGTCTGCGGAAGAGTAGTGCACGGGTAGGACTAGAACCTTGGAAATACTACTGACTTGATCTCATTACGACTGGCTCCTAAGACATAGAAGTAAAGAGTTTAATTAGAAAAATTCAGCTAGACAAATCATGAAATCATTCAAGTACCATGAGGGCCAACCACCAACAGATATCTATTCACCGTGAGCAACTCATCGAATAGCTTGTCAAAAGGGGCAACGACGAAGCCGAAATTCCACTTACCCGAGCCTAACCAGTGATACAGTTACCACCGGCCGAGTGCTGGAAGCAGTATCCGGAGCAGCAGTCACTAGAATTATGGCACAGCTTGTGGACTTATGTTCCGTCAGCTTGAAATCCTGGCCGTACATTCACCAGATCAAGAGGAATACACACGAGGAGTACAGCGTTTTTCGAGGCCTTCAACAGGCATAGGGATAGCAGCAGCGTTGGCTAGAGCAGCAATGGTGCCGACAAGAAAGAGGACTGAGAACTTCATATTGTGTTTGATTTGAGGTTATTTGCGATTGAATTGGAGCAGAAGAAATAGGAAGAACGGCTTATTTATACCCTTTACTTCACTGTCAACTTCAGCTGATCACTGAGTTCTGCTTAGACCTCAGAGCTGTCTCCAGGGCCTTGACATCATGCTGGCTGTTCCCTATGATGTGTTGCCCGAGTCGAATGATGTGTTCATCTATGCCTAAATCAGTATATATCCCCCTCAATCAATGTAGCATTGCATGAATTCTAAGCCTAGGACACCCAGGTTAGCGTGAGGCTCATTGCTGCAAGTGGATATCAAATGCGTACGATGGTGGTTTCATTGGGCCAGATACTCGAGCACAGCCTTGTGTAGAAGCAACTATGCTTTTCGAATACACATAGAGATTACGACGTAGATCTTCTTGGTTGATATGAGCATTCCTTCCACAGACCTTTGGAATATTTGGTGGGCTCGGCTCAGGTGCTCTCCAAACCAGCCCCGTAAGCATATTGAGCCCCATGACTTATGAGATGAAATGCCTCGACGAATTCTTATACTGGAAGATGAATATAGAACCTTGTAGTTTGTTGATAAGAATTTCTAAATGGTAGCAAAGACTTCACACTCGTGCGGGGCCTGGCGTCTAGCCCGGAAGGCAGTGCAGATGGAAGGATTATCTTGAAAGTGGTCTAGCTAGGTGCCCGGGTGCTCCAAGCACCAGACTGTATGTAGGAGCTCGAGGGATCTGATCACGAGAGGAAGCAATCACAATCCTGTATCTATTGTATTACAATTGCTATGTACAGTTGTCTGCAGGTGTAAAAGGGGGCCGGAGAATGTTAACCCGCTCTAAAGGCCAACTGTTCCACACCCTCTTATGCAGGTAAAGTCAGAGGTAGAATTTTATCATTGCTAAGAGCCTTTGGTGCAGGGGAAGGCCGGTTCTGGATCCCTGAAGAGCACTTTTCGCCCAACCTTGGAAGAAGATCGCCAAGCATCGGAACTAAGATACTGTATGTAGGGTCCGTGTTGATATTCACTGGCTACTTTTCCTATGCCTCTTATCTAGTTGACTGAGAATCTGGTGTATAAGAGTATTCAACCTCCAAATTGAATCCGTGATGTTCGTACATCTCTTCCTATAATGGAACACATGATAATAACTCTACTTCATTTAGCTTGCCCATTTTTTGACCGAGGTGATGGAGTACCATGGATTTCGTGCTGTAAGGAGAGTACCGGGAGTCGTCTTTTCTGTACTAAGCTTTTAGATTCGTCGCTGCACGAGCGTGCCCAGGTGCCTCGGGTAGGCCTCGTGTTGAAATGGCCCTTGGCATACCGCCCCGTCAGTTGCTAGTTTCAACTGAGTTGTACAGAGCCCCAAAGAGCTATTTTAGCACGCCCAAGAGAAAGATGATCAGCCTTCGCATCTAGTCAGTGGGGCCAAGAATGCGGCTCTGTACCAAACAAGACCTCCCAGCTAGGCAATTGGCGATATGCATGATGTCATAACGAGTGTCCTAGGCACACAAGAGGCATATGCTCGAGACTCTGTATCACTTCCCCGCCCCATTCCAGGCACACGCACCGTGCGACCATCCAATTCACGGTGGGCTTAGTTTGTTGGCATCGAAGGCAGGGTACTAATACATGTGGTAAGTCGCAGTCGGACTCGATCAAGAGGGGATTGAGGAACCATATTATCGCATATCAGTGCTCAGCGGGATCCGTTTCCCCGTATTGAAGCGTGCACCCGGGGCCTGGTGCCCAGGTGAGTGAGGTGCAGCCAACCGCCTTGGCAGGAGACATCAACGGGCCAATGTATCGTAACGCATGATACATACATGCATTTATACCGTAAGATTGCTTACTTTCGCGTAACGGGAAACCTTGGAAATCCAACAAAGAGCTCGAGTCCGACTTTCGATTTCATTGGTCCTTCTTCAAACTTCTCCTTTCTGACCTGTCTCATTTAGAGGCACCTGCGTCATAGCGCGTCGCCAGTACTAACTTTTGCATAGGTTTCCGAAAGGCGTCTACCGAGGGGTGCCCACTAGGAGCGCAGGGTTCAAGCCACTAAACCAAGCATTTTTCTACATTGCTTTTTCATTGCGGTTCCTCTTTTTTGACTGCTCCCTCAATCTGTGACAAAACGTGTTCAACCGGGCTATACGGAGTACTCCGTACTGAGTGAGCCGTGGACCCTGCCCAGGTGCCCGGGTGTGATTTTCGCGTAAGCGCCAGATTTGGACCCACTTGTTCGCTCCCTGTTTGTGAGATTACCATGTGAAAGTTATTTACTTCCTATCCTCTAGATTCAACACAAACATATTCACTAATTCCATTGCTTTGGCTTATCCAAGAATTCCCTTCCAGTTGTAAAAAGGATTGTAATTAGAGTGTAATGTTTTGACTTTAACCGCGGAAATGAAAGCGGGAGCTAACCCCGGACCGAAGATGGACCCACCCCGAGCCTCAAATCCGTGGACCCTTCCAGAGTTATGTACGAAGTGGTACATCATGCCAACTGTACCAGTGCGGGCGGGGAACTTGGAATTGCCCAAAGTGATCAACCTATTCTTAGGGCACATATCTGGATTTCATCCTGTATCATGCCCCGATCGCAGCCTTGTTCGTACCCGCTTTTCAGCTGTGTTAGGTGTTTCACGTTGGACCCTGTCATCTCGCAGAGTGGGGGCCGCTTGGGCAAGCCGCTGGTATTACTAGTTCCATCTTGCTTTCACGCCTCTACTATATTCCTGCACCTTACCTTCATCTCTCAATTTACATTTGTTGTGAACACCCAGTCAGGTGATCTTGGCTCTTCCCTACAGGGCTAGGTAGATAGCTCGCTCTCTCCTCTCTTCAATTTCTCTCCTTCGCCTCTCTCTCTCACCCTCTCTCTCGGTGCAAGCATTCCTGGTATGAAAGTAGCATGGAGTGCTATCGATTTTTCGTTGTGTTTATTCCGTTGTATACAAAACGTCCGTCCTCACAGTATACTTCACGCCTCGAAACACATCATCTCCGCAGTGAAACAGGTTCCTCTGCTGAAATATCAGCACAGACCCCGTTTTAGGAAATATGCGCACCGCCTCCTTCGACGTCATCCCATCACTGAATGAAGTAGCTCCACCGAGAAGCGTGTCATTCTCATCATGAGCTTCCAAAGCCGAACTATCTCCGGGCTCCTCAGAGCCAACCTCACTCAAATCAATCTCCCCGTTCTTCTGAAACAGCCAATTCTGCTTCTCCGCCCGCTCAATATGCGGCCTCAGCTCGTCCATATCCTGCTCACCCTCCCCATTCAAATACAAATGGATCGTGAAAAGTGACTTCTCCTTCCCATCAGGAGTAACATAGCATCCATCCCAATGCGGACGAAATTAATCACCACCCTCATATCGCAAGAACCGAAGTCGCTCATTCAAGCGACTCACACGAAGCTCCTCGCCTCGCTTGGCAGGCCCCAGGCCTGTGACTAGCGGTCGCTTCTTGATAACCTCAATATCGCACTCGCGCAGAAATGGCAGGATTCGATCAAAGAGTCGCGCAGCGACTTCTGCCGAGTCGAAAATCACGCGCCCGCTCTTGCGTGAGTCCACGGACATGATTTGTCGGTTGTTGCCTGCGTTGATTGTCGCACGCTCCCATTTTGGAGGTGAGAGGGTTGAGTCTGGAAGTTCAGTTCGTGTTGAATCCTCTCCTAGTCGAAGGAGTTCTTTGCATTCGGACTCTGTCAGCAGGTCTTCCACGACTGCGGCGAAATGATTTTTGAAGGCGGGGATGGGTGGGGTTGTTTGCTCGAAGTCGAGTTTGTGAAGCGTCGCATGCGGTGCTGGACCTCTGAGGAAGTCTGCTGGGATATTTGGGACCATTTTGTCAATGGCGGATGTTCGGACAGGTCAGATGGATGTGGTTTTATACGTCCCCACTGTTTGAGGCTCAACTCACTAGCGCTTACCCGTGACTGTGAGTCACCAGTTGGCGGGCCCGGGGCTGTGCAGTCAAGCCGCAATAGTTTTCGCGCGTTTTGCAAAAATCAAGTGCAGAATCCCTCTATGGCCTATTAAGTCCGATGTTTGTATTTAGTTATTTCCATATTCACGTTAGTCTACGTTGATCTGAGCGACTTCCAGTATATGAGAACCAACTTCTGATTCATGTCCCTTGGGTGTATATTGTGTTTATGGAAAAAGTGCCCTCATACCCTCTCTACTCCAACACTGCTAGCGACTTTCTCCTCGCCCTGCTCAAGCTGAAGATGCCCATAGGCTTTGATCTCCGCAGCCATTCTTCTCGCCTGCTCAACTGGATTCCCACCTCGAGCAAAGATCAAATCAATTTCCTCCAGACGCAGATTGCTGGTCTCGGGATAATAGAAATAGATGATCGGGATGAAAAGGAAGTTGGTGATCATGAAGATCAAATACGCTTTCCACTGAATGCGATTGATAATGACCGGCGTGATCATAACAACGGTGAAATTCCACAGCCAATTCGAGCTGACACCAATCGCCGTTCCTTTGGTTCGCGCTTCCAGGGGAAGAATCTCAGGCACATACACCCAGGGAACGGAGTTGATGGACATGCCGTGGATAAGCATGTAGAGGAAGAAGAACGAGACGGAGGCTGATGCATAAGCTGTTCCGTTTGGCTGATGGACTTGAGAAAGTAGTGCAGCTACCATCATCATGCATACGCCGAGACCGAAGGAGCCGATCATCATGGTCTTGCGGCGACCCATGCTGTCTAATTTGAATGCCGGCAATAGCGAGCCGAGCATGAACATGATCTGGATGCATCCGCCCAGGATCTGGGAAAGTTGGCTCGACATGCCAACGTTACGTTTGAGCACAGCTGGAATTCGTTAGCGAGGTCTCTTGGGATGTGGGTAAGGTACATACTAGGAACGAAGTAAACGACCAAATTGATTCCGCCGACCTGGTTCATGAGCTGGATACCCCAGGCAAGAAGGACTCGCTGTCCAGTCTTCACTTCGTCGTTGCGGAAGATCTTCCAGAAGGACTGCTTGCTAACGGAATCTTCAAGTTCAATGGCCGACAGGATACCTCGACGCTCGTTGACAATGAACTCATCGTCTGGCTCACGGTCGTACACGGCACACAGAACATCGATTGCTTCTTGTTCTTTGCCATGGTTCATGAGCCATCTAGGAGACTCGGGGAGGCCGAAGACCAGGACGATGACGAAGATGGCGAAGACAATTTGCATGGCGATGGGTAGTCGCCAGGCGATCGGTCCGCCCACGAATGACATACCAAAATCGAACCAGTATGCGACAACAATTCCAACGGCGGTAAAGAGGACTTCGGATGAGATCAAACGACCTCTGGTCTTTCCTTCGCACATCTCTGTTGGGAAGGGTCAGTATGAACTGGGTATGGTCATCCACAACACTCAATCTTACCGGCCTGGTACATTGGGACTGTGCTAGTCTTCAAACCGGTGCCTGCACCAGTTACTACTCGCCCGATGATCAAATGAGACACGTTGAATGCGGTAGTCTGCAAAATTGCGCCAACGATGACCACGCCCATGGCGAGCCACATAGTTTTTCGGCGGCCAAGCTTCTCGCCAATGCAGAAGTTGACTATCCATGTCAGTCATTGTCTCAATCATTCCGGGCCGTTGAAGATTATTGGTCTCACTTACTCAAACACCCTAGAAGACAACCCAGGTTATAACAGCTGACAATGATACCCTCCTCCGAGTCATCGGGATATCCAAACTGCTTCCTCCAGTCTTCGTTGCCAACAATACCACTGAAAACACCTTGATCATAACCAAACAAAATGAAGGCCACAAGACAACAAGAAGTGATGGCCACTTGGAGGGGACGACCCCTTCCATACCAAGAGCGCATGATGAAAATATCCGGGAATCAAAAGTCGAAACCACCGAAATATCTGACTTTGAAGCCCGTGAAAAACTCTTTCTTTCAATCCCGGGACCCTTGCGACGTTTATAGTCCACGGGACTAGGCACCGTGCCCAGCCGAACCAGCACTTGCTGTCATAAACGTAACATGGCCCACCAAAGGCAGTATTGAGCTGGTTTCCAACCAATTAGGACAGGCTCGCGACGATGCAAGATCTGGGGTATCTGGAGTCTGCCATTTAGGCGGGGTTGCCACACTGCGCGCTGAATGGGGCAAGCCAACCATGCTTTTCCCGATGCCCGGAGGTCTTCAGTGGCTCGGCAAGAGCCGACGTGCCGGTGCTTCCGACTGCCTCTTTGGGTTGAGCGACTGACAATTTTACAGATCATTGCCGTTCTGGGATGATCCGACAGGCGGCTGACTGTTTTAGGAAATTAGTTTCATTCGGGTAGTTTTTACCACTGTAGTACTCATCTTCCAGGTAAATAAACGAATTTGGTATGTATATTCACGATGTAGTATCTCATCCAAAGGTTACAACATCTGTTCCAAGGTTCACTAGTAGCCAGCATACAAAGCTCCCTTCTCGGGTTTCTCTACCTCAAGGGAAGTCAGACAACAATGGCCTGGTTTGCCATTTTCCTCGTGCGACACGGCACCCCAAAGCAGCGGCTTGACAGCGCCAGACTTATCAGACTCGGGAGGATGGCAAGCAGCACTGATAGCAAGACTGCAACTACCCACCACAAGCATGCCAGGCTTTAGCCTTCGCGAGCTCACAAGAATCAAAGCGATGAACAACACCATCGCCACTCCAAGCGCACATGCGATTGCAAGTGGACTATATCCACATGCTGTCGTCATGCCCGTATCGCTCACTCCGGGGAAATGAGAAGTCGGCGTCAAGAGAATTTCACTGTTAGGTTGGTAGATGACGATGTTGATCAAAAAGATGGATTGCGACACCAGCCAGTGGAACACGGTACAGCATATTAAAAAGGGTAATGAGTATCGCCACGGAAGTCCGAGCCAATATGTCTCCCGTTGCGCGCCTGCTGGAAGGGTCACGCGGAGAGTGGATCGTTTGTGGGCGAACATGCTCCATTCATGAGTGGCAGTCATGCTGGTAAGGACTGCGTTATACATGAAGTAAAGTCCGGAGAGGAGAAGTTGAGGAAAGTTGGCAAGAAGTGAAGTGGTGAGGATCGATTTAGAGCTCCCGCCTTCATAATCGGATGTGACGGCGATGGCGTTGAGACTAAGAGCCCCGAATCCTAAGGTGAAAGCGTTCTTTATACCAAGAATGGTAATCCCTTGCACCATGAATACAATACCCACGATAACACATGCTAGCCATCTGTGACAGGGTCTTTTAGTCAGTTATATGAGTCGGTAGATTAGATCAAGGAGTTCACGTACAAGAACATGCAGCCTGCCCAACGACGGGCAGTCCCATGTCTTCCGAACCAAAGCTCCCCTTCAACCCAGGGCTGTGGGGGATGAGACGAGAGTGGGATGTACTGGCCAGTCTCGTCGATCCCGGGAAATATGGAGTCTCCAACTTCGACATCAGACATCGGCCTTTCGAAGCTTGGTCTGGACGTCGGAGGAAGGAATCCACAGCATCGCCAATCGTTGCGAATATTGGCTCTCGAGACATGAGAAGACACCCCAGAATTGAAGTTAGCTTAATCACGTTGCAGACTATTGCAATGTACAGAATCATTGGACTGTACTTCAGCTGGCATTCGTGCTCTGCGTCCGTTGTCAAACAGTAGTCGATCTCATATTTTTCAGGCAAAATGGTCCAGCTGCTCGAGTTCTTCTGCGCTTCTGCGCTGTTGCATTGGTCGTAGAGTATTGCGTCTAGGCCACACATCCAATATGTAACCTGTGGGATTGGGTCTGGACTCCAAGCTGTCCCGTTTACCATGTGTTCCATGCAAGAAAATGGAGTGGATGACTGGTCCCAATTTTTATCTTTGCAATATTCATCACTCTCGTTATCATTGCTCCACCGGTCACATTTGTCTGAGCACCAACTCTGTATTTTCTTCGGATAATCCAAAGGATGGAAGTAAGCGAGGACAGATGCGGCGGCATTTAGCGGTGGTGCAAACTCAACAGATTGGTTATGACTGCTGCCATCCTTGGTGACAGCGAGAAGATTGAATGCACCTCCCTCAAGACCACCTTCATACGCGGACATGCAATCCTTGGGGTCCATTCGGCTCATGTTTCTCGGTGTTTGTAGGGCTCTGTCCCGCAGCCAGCAAGTCACGTAGGTCGGCTGGTTAGAAGTCTTGGATTCTGTCATCGCATCGTGTCCGCAGTCAAGGCCGATCGAGGTACTCTCGTTGAGGAAATTAGGCGTTACTACCAAGCCACTGTAGTCGTTGAATGTGGTGGTCATGAAAACAGCTGAGTTCCACAAGAGATGAAGAGGAAGTGAGCTTAGTGCGAGCACGAGCCAGAACACCGCTTTGAGTCGCGGGATATGCGACAAGTTTCGTACTGAATGAATCCCGATATCAAGCCACTTTCTCCGCGTATGAGCTTTGTCGACTTCCTTTCGCGTCGGTGCGGTAAGACATTGCATGTTGTAATTGCTTGCGCTGACGAGCACAGTCGCAATCACGTTGATGGCATAATGGAAGCGACTGTCAATGCTGCGTATCTTGCCACAATTTTGTTGCAGAATGATGCCTAGTCCGTCTTCATTGGGTGGATACGTGTTGCGGAGGTATGCAGTGGCCGCGATGTTAAGACACATACAAACTGTGACGAATATTCCCGAGACAAGGGCACCCAATCTCCATCCGTGAAAGATTTTGTGGCCGGGCGGTTGCTCCTGTAATTGAGTATACTGCGTGCCCGACCGAAGGACAGTTCGAGAATACCAACTCTTCGTTGATTCCCAGGTCGTGTGCTTGATGATTTTGACTGAGGGCGTTTGGGAGAGTTCGACGTTCTCATACTTAGTTGGTTCCATATTCGGTGCTTTCATTCATTTCTTTCATTCAAGCTGTTAATAGACGATATTTGACAAAAGTCTGCAGTAACAAGACGACTTCAGCTGAGCTCGCTGGCCCCCGATCTTCTTCTTGGCGCCAGACGGTCAGGGCATGTTTTTTGCTTTTTGGGGGCCGCTGTCGATCCCCACAGTGATCGAGCCCTGAAAATAGCGTGAATACCATTTTGTACTGATGGTTATGCTCCGTAAATCAACGAGCTCGACACGCACTCGGCAAACAGGCTAATACCGGTGACTTGTAATAACTGGACCTTCTGCTGAAGAGAGTCTCACAAAGCTCCTATCTCCATGTCCAGGTGTCTAACCGAGCTGAATCGCCTAGGTGCGACCCTGAGGTCGATCAATCTCAAGAGTCAAAAGCACCCGGGTGAAGGTTGACGTCTTCGGTGGGGCAGGTGCATTTGCCCAGTGAAAGCGATCTGATGCAAGGTGACTCATCCAATTCCAAGGCCCCAGGGTTGCATCCATTCCAACCTTGGAAGGTTAGGTATATATCCAAACTGTGTCCTTCATACTAGAGTTAAAATCAATTGACAGGAGCTCAATTGCAAGTACCAACTAAAAAAATGTACCTAGGTACCTAGGACCTCGGAGATCCACTTCCCAAAGTGTTTCAAGATTTTATTGTATATTTTCAGAGCTTCAGATCCCACATTGATCCCGGGGTATGCATACCTAGTACAAAGGAACATTGCATCTTCTTCCACATCTACCTAGGTATCCACTAATGGATCTCTCAACCTTAGAAATCATCTTTTTTTCAATAAATTCATTGGCGACTGCGAACTCTAAAGATCATATGAAATCAAACGCCGGTCTATAAAAGTCAATCGATCTTGGTCAAAGAGCAAAAATCACAAGTAAACAAAACAGGTGCAAAACATAAAATAGACAGCTCATCTTCAAGCTCACCCACAGGCTATTCAATTGCCCAATGGTCGAATGCCTTGGTTAATCCGACGACTGCGCATGCGAATGCGCTGCAGAACACCAGCAATTGCTCTCCTTTGAGAATCTCCTCTCATTGCAAGAGCTTCACGAACCAGGTCGTCAAATTCCTGGGGGACCTTCACAAAGTCAGCATCTCTGGCAGAGAGAATTATGCAGGGGACCTGAACCATACCTGATGGCAAGTCTTTTTCATTTTCGTACACCATCCGCAACCTTTCCGGTTGGGTGCCCTTAAGCAGACATGGCTGGGATTTCTTTGCTTGCGGAGGAAGCACCGTTGGCATGGGGCCCTCCGTCGAGGTGCCGAAAGACCGGGTGCTGAGGGACCGGCGGGTGAGGGGCTGGCAGCTGAAGGGCTAGCGACCGAAGAAGCGGTGCCCGAAAGATCAGGAGCTGAAGAGCCGGACTCAGTTGTAACGGGCTCAGATCCATTCTGAGCTAGTGCTGCGAGCATGGCAGCTGCTCGAGTGACTGGAGGAACATAGGACGAGTGGACGAGATCCGGAGACTGGGGTTCGGACGAACTCTCTTCGTTATTGGCCTCCCAGTCGCGATCCTGGGCGTCGTATCTCGACTCCTCCGCGTTGTTATCCTCGATGGGACTGTTGGTGATCTGGTTGTTGGCGCACATTGTGAAGTGATGGGATATGATGTTTTGCTGCTTTCTTCGGTGTTGATGAATGCTTGTGGTTTCTATTTGATCTACGCTGCTTTCCAGGCACTACTTATAGCCTCTCTTCCATCGTGATATCTTTCAATGCCTTTCGATCGTGAAAGAGTCTTTGCAGAGCTAAACCACAGGAGTGACTTGGAACATTTGACTCCTGTCGTCTCATTGAGCAACAAAGATTCATAGAATAGAGTAGATGGCAGATATGAAAGTATTACAAACTGTACTGATCTCCTAACGGTTATTTTTCTTAGACTTTCAAAGTTCGGGGTTCTGAATCACGCTGTGTCTCAACTTGGACAGAGACATTTGGTCAAGGACTGAGCCGTAGGAGTATGAAGCTTCTATTAGACCCTCACTTTTGGTCAAAGATTCTATCTGATCAAAATAGTCTCTCTTCTATCAAATGAAGATATCATGAGAACAAAGGCGATTAGTATTCACCATTTCATCGAAACTATCAATTGATGGCCGGGGTATAGATATGTTTACGTAAGGATGAGCCACTGTGGCGCATCAAATGTGGCTGGAGACTGCCTGATTGGTCCCGCGCCGCTTTCACATCCTCGCATTCTCACTTTCAGGTCAATACATCTCGATTCATTACTATTCGGACTCGCCACTATCTTATTCTTAATATTGTATGCGCAGACTTCATTCTATCTCCCGCAGCAAACCATTCCACATCTTATACAGGGGCTGGGTCCACCCAAAAATCACTGATCAAGTCATTGTCTTCCACCTTACTGGGATTACTGAAGGCCGAGAGCACAGCTTTGTATCTTGACACGATACAAGCTCGCCGTATCACTCAAAGGGGCTTATATATCCCTATCGCCAAGTCCTTAACCCACCACCTCTACGGCCTTGTCCATGGCTACCAATAAAAATTCCCCCCAAGGATCAGCAACCGGGAAAGGCGAGGCTTTGAACCTGAACTCGGAGCTACACCTTGTCTCATCATTAGCAAAACTGCAAGAACTAGATAAAAAGGTATTTATGAAAGATGCCCCAAAGTCCACCATGCGGATCACACTGACAAGAACCTCAGATCCATGAACTACGTCAGTTCATGCCCGACGGGTTGTTGGAGCCACTGGTCCCCATTGCAAATCCAGACAAAGCCACTTTAAACAATCCTGTTGCTGAAACGCCCCGAATTCTCCGGGCGAGTCTCGGCGAGACTGCACGTGCTCGCGTCTCGGATGTTCAGCAATTTCAGTCCTTGTGGCGGGACCCGGAACTGAAGGCTGTCTGGGACAGTGTCGAGCAGCGCATCAAGGACTCTGATGGCCAGATTGTGCAGCCGAGCGGGAAATGGGACCGAGATTATGATGTCTTGCTGAAGGAATTGGCGGAAGCAGAAAAGTCCCAGACGGACGAGCGCCAGCGTGAGGAGGAAGAGGCCGAGCGGGCTAAGGTGCAGTCTGGGGAAGGTGGGTGGCAGAAGGTTCTGGAACAATATGGTCAGCGCAATGTACCCGGTGTACGAGTTGCTGAAGAACAGGACGGGATGTCCTTGGCTGTCGCCCTGATCAGAGCAGGCGCTGTCTTCTTGGTCAAGGGGGTCTCTGAATCTGGGGGACCAATTTCCACATGGGAAGTCTCAAGCAAGACTGAGGGTCGCGCGCTGACGAAGCTGGAAATCGCTATATTGGACTGTCTGGCGAACCGGCCGAGAAAATGGGACCTTGCTTTCTTGCTGGTATGTTCGCCTACTCGTTTGGAAGATTTTCGCTAACTCAGATAGGATATGATTTCATCCTATGGCGATATCAAGCACACCCCGTGTGCCAAGTGCAATCGTCTTACCGACAATGGTGCCCAACTTCCAACGCTTCGGCGACTCTCTCAGAATCAACCGTCCGCAGCCACAGAGCCACGGATATACTCATTCGACGCCCTCCACTTGGGCTGTGCTTGAGTCGCGATATCTTATTTATACACGGCAGCATTTTTCAAAGCTTAATTAGATTTGGGGTCTGGCGGAAGAAATCTTCCGAAAAGTCTTCTGCACAATGATTCAAACATCCAAGCGATCTATTCAAAGGGAACATTCAATATAATCTCAGGATCAATTCCCAGTTAAACCCCAACTCTACCAGCTCCCGTCACCTCAATCAGTATGCCAGCCATACAAACTATCGTGCCACATCTCCGCCGGATACACCCTCCCATTACGATCTCTAAACAATCTCGGAATACAATGCACTTCCCCCTTCCGACTCCGTCTGTCTCCCTCAAACTCAGCCCCATTACAATACTCCACCCCACTCCAAGTTCCCCGATCTGGTATCTGGTACGTTCTCGTGCGGTAATCATACCGCTCTCGCGGATCGCGCCGAGCCCACGGGAACGGAAGGTATTCGGGTTCTGCGCCTTCCTCTTCGTAGCTCCATCGCGACCATTTACCTTCCGTAGGCCCGGGCTTGGGCTCTTTGGATGGTCCGACGTTTCCTCTGGACTTGATCCTGCCCACATAGATGTCTGGTCCTTTGTTTGTGAGGACGTCGAAGATGCGCCAGCGTCGTGGCCAGTGGTTTGGGTTGCCCGGTCGAGGGTCTTTGGGCCAGATCCACCCCATTCGGGCTTGGGAGGGCATTTTTGGTAGAGGTTTTCCAAGGTTCAGGACTGCTGAGTTGCTGTAGTGGGCTCGACGCTGTAGGTTCGGGTGGGAGTCGTGGCAGGATTGTGGACTGGTGGTCTTATACTTCCAGGGTTGGACACATCTTGTCGGAGATCAGGTTAATGAATCGCTTACAGGCTACAAACTGTCGACTTCTTTGATTGTGCTCCTAAGTCCTGTTGAGACACTGTCTTATTTTCAATTGCAATATCTACAAAGATCATGTCGAGACCTGATAGGCTGTTGGTGTGCTTGTCTTGGTTGGCGCCAATTGCATGATCAGTGCGAATCAATATCTCAGCCTTTGTTCTGGAAGTGGTAAACGCCCATATCTGCAAAACCTATGCATATGTTTGGGAAGTTTTCAAAAACAAAACGCTTTGTGGCACCTCTGCGGGTTGTCTTTCGTTTTCTAGTGTGTTTGGAGGTCCACAGGTGAGGGTATCACAACCTTTCTCAGCCTCAACGGCCATTTCATTCCCACCATGGGTGGAACCTCTATGAATGGAATTTGACAGCTGGTAGCCTGCTCAACTAATTATCAGTATTTTGGCCACAGACCTCGGGATAAATTACAACAATGAGGTACATGGCTCTATACATTTTCTAGTCTATGGGCATATGTGGAATGTTTGATCAACCCTCCATCCAATTGATAATCTTGTAGAACTACCTAGGTAGTCTGTCAAGGCTGTACTCATGATGTGAAAGTAGACCAAAATACCTAGGTATACCCCCCGTCATCCATGACAGACAAACTCCGCAGTTTCCTCCATGAATCTTCCATCATTCATGACACAAACAAACAACCTTGGAACCTAGCCCTCCTCGCACATAATCAACTTGACATACGTCTTCCAAGTTCCATCCCCAACCACGCCCACGGGGCAAATTCCACCTCAGAGTGACCTACAGATACCAACGTCAGAAATCCACGCATATCAGATACCTTGACGTACACATTCATTCCAAATCCTATCCATGAGGCACCTCTGGCTCCATCGTTGCAAACGTGAGTTGGCAAGCCCGCAATCCTCGCACCCTGCGCACTCAAGACACCGAACCAGTCAAATCAAAAGGTCTTGCCAAAAATCAAAAAGGAAGCCAACGCCAGACACCAACGGGAGGCCTCAACCCCTGGGGCTATACTCTTACGAAACACTGAGCGGATCGAGTCAAGGGACTTAGATCCCAGGCAGAGGGAGGCTAGCACCAGTCCCTTCGGGTTCCTGGAAAAGTGGCAACAGGCTCTGGAAGTATATGCCCAGAAGACACCCATTAGGCCGAGTTAACAGATTTGGACAACAAAGAAGAGGCCAGCGATGGTCCACTTACAGCCAACGCGAGATGGAAACCTGTCCAAAGACCCGGTAAGAAAGAGAACAGGTGTGGTTTACTGGCGCCGCTGGGACTTCCTCATGCAAGTTCTGCTACAGGTCCTGTCCATTTGGAGAATCCGAGGAACAGCAAAGATTTCCTCGTGACGAAATAGTCAAATAACAGCTTTTGTGCATCAGCTTCATTCAATCGTGCCACGGAATGGAGACAGCTCGATGCTGCAATCGGACCCATATCAACTTGGAAAGCCTACTGGCCGGTCTTCCAAGCTTGTCTCGTCGAGGAACAGCATGTGACCGTGGGGGATATCGGCAGTGTGGAAACAGCGTGGAGGACATTACGGGAATGCACCGGAAGAAGTGTCGCTCCTAGACCTATGAGAGCGCGACCAAAGCAGTGGTCATCGTTTTGGCAGTTCTTTGTATCTGACGACCTTTTCGCCTAGGCAATGGTTATCAACCTTGAATATTGTATGGCTGTAGTGATCGGAACAAGTCAACATCGTATATTAGTATCTGCATTACAATGAGCTCCGATGAATCAACATGATATTGATGCAAAACCGAAACCAAAAACTGAAATGAGATACCCTGGTTTTGAAATAGTATAATGACAGGTGGGATTTCCAAAATCCCTCGCGAAAACGCCAATTTCTTGCTATTATCGTAATCAAATCGCTCGAATGCAACGCCTCCAAATTCGAAAAAGTATGTTCATAAGATGTGAATAGATGTCGATCGGTGTCAGGTAGCGAAGACACCGGCACTACCTGCGAACCAGGTAAAGGAGGCAAAGGTGATCACTGCCATACCGAAGGTGAACTTGAGGGCTTGGCGACTTGTGGCAGATAGGGCGCCGTTGCAAGTGACACATTCGAAAGCTGTATGAATTAGCTTGGTGACCTCGGGTGTGAAAACTGAAGGGGAAAGAACTTACAGCCAAGCGAAGTGTAAGGCTGAGGCGAATACATGCCGAAGGAGTAGCCAATCTGCGAGCTCAGGTAACCTGCACTCGCGGTATCGCCGAGTTCCTTGCTAGTGTCGTAGATGAACAGAGTGTAGGAAGCAGTGAGCAGCGGGATGGTGGCGGTCTTCTGGTACTTTCCAGTATCCCAGACGACGGATCCGGTCTGCTCAACACTCATGTTCGAGGTCAGAGTGTAGGCCTGCGAGTTCAGACTGCACGAGGCAACGACATTGACGGCAGATGGAGTGACCGAGAGGGATGTGTAGTTCCACACAAAGGTCACATCTTGTCCGATCTTGTAGTAGGTGGTCGACGAAGAGGCGGGGGTGATCATCGACACACCACCAGCTGCCGCAGCAGGGTCAATGGAGATCGAGGTGGTGGCTGTGGTCTTGCCGGTTCCTGTCTTGGTGTTGGTGCCGGTGCCGGTCGCGGTGGTCTTTCCTGTGGCGGTCTCCTCGTCGGTCGCTGTGCCGGTGTTGGTGCCGGTGCTCTTGTCCGCCGTGCCGGTCGCGGTCTCAGATGCAGTCTCGGCGGCGGTTTCCGAGGCAGTGGATGCTGCGGTGGTCTGTTCGGAGGTTTCGGCGGCGGTCGTGTCGGTGGTGTCTAAAGTCCGTCAGCATTGATAGCAGCACGCTCGGATCTGCTTGTCGTACCTGCTCGCTTGTCCAGAGAGTCTCCGAGGAAAAGCCCGTTGGGGCGCCATGGCCACGCAGAGGATAGTGTTCCCAGCAAGAGGAGAGTGCAGATCACACTCAGGAAGAGGAAACGCATGTTGAAGGTGAGGATGACCGGGTGCACGGTGAGACGCTTTTCTCCGGGCTGGCAGTAGGCTGATGGTACACGGCCTGTGACCTGTCGACAGAGGTCTAGGATGGGGTCAGGTATGAATTTGATGTTCAGGCCAAGCAATTTGGTTCTCAGGGCGATCAAAAGGATGTGGACCTCGGGGGTGCAGCGTCTGGGCGTCGAGATGTCGATCGCAGGATCAGTAATTTCGCCAATGCAAAACGAATGTCGATACGGAGTAATCCGAGAAGTGCGAGGAGAGAAAAGAAGTCGTGGAGAATGAGAATGTTTGAGATGAGTTGCGGGGCTAAGCCCAAACAGGCCGGGCATGTGAGACATCACCTAAAAATAGTGGCTGCGCTATCAACTGGTTTATTGCCTCGCTGCATATATCACATCTACTCTACAGTACAGAATAAGCAGTAATGAGTACGGAGTACGAACTGTACTTCAGATGGTGTCAATTGGAACACGATTGAGAAGCGATGGTCCCGAACTATATACTTGAGACGTGTTTACGGAACACGGATCAGGCAACCCTTGCCAATTTGGACAGAATTCTGGTCAAATGGGAACTCAATGTAACATATTCGTACCTGAATGAGATACCTAGATAGTTATCTACCAAGACTTGGAACCTTGGAAGCAAAAGCCTTCGGGTCTAGGGAAGCAAAACAAGGACATCCAGGTAAAACATCCATGGATTGGAAGCCCTATAAGAACTTGGAAACACACTAACCTTTGGACCTTCGATGTGAGACTTGGATAAAATGAAGGGTATGTCATACAGTTTCACTTCATCGCCTACCATGACCCCGATCATGGATAAAGTGATCTTGGAAAATCTCCAGGGTTGAACTTTATATAGTTCCCACATACAGTCTGAAGGTCTGTGATACATACTTACCTAGGTAGCCAACTATACTCCGCAGTCTACAATAATGTAAGGAGTAACGAGTGGAAACATGTTAGATAGCATACCTAGGTAATCGATTCGAGATAAACCCCCATAGTTATCATTGCCGGTCTTCGAACTTTGTACAGTAAACTCAACCAAATTAGCTTCGTACCATAGCCACAGGCTGCACCAGCACCAGTCAATAGATTCACCAGCAACGAGTGTGGAGCACAACCGCCAGACGTGGGGGTGGCGAGGCGCAAATGATGCATAGAACCTTATCTCAGAGCCAAGTAAAAGCTGAGGGTGCCAAGATACGTCGATCTATGTGGAGCTCAAGGCTTTTCCACCAAATACCCAAACATGGACAAGACACTACGGATGAATCATACAATTTGACAGAGCAGCAATCAATACTGCCAGAGAATGAAATTGGGGTTGTACCAGTGAGTGTGTGCTTTATACGCCAAATCGAAAAAAACGAATGTACAAGAAGTTTCCCAAATTATGATACCCGAGCTGGAGCCTCATGCTCCAGATCTCGCGCGGCCTCAACCTGGAATCTAGGACCTGGGCACGGCCTGCAGGTTGATCTTGTCACAACCAGCGGGCACGGCAGGCTCCTGGACGTTCTTGTTGAGGAAGTGCAGGTTGGGGAAGAATTGGCCAGCCTCGGCGTCGACGGGGCACCCTAAAATATCATATTAGCTTGGTTCTGCGTAGAATATTTTGTAGAAGAGACTCGACTTACACAACCATCCTTCCCAGGTCTCGCTGGGTCCCTTCACGCCCTCTGGGGTGATAGAGAAGCCCTTGGAGCCGTGGGTGGGGTCGACGCTAATCTGAGCGCGCTCCTTGCGGACACCTGTGTCTGTTAGTTTGTGTTTTGGGTCGGGATCCGGGTCCGGCTTACCGTCGACGTTGATGAGGTCCAGGGCGTAGGGAGCCGAGGAGTGAGCGTTCCAGTAGATGGTGCTGTTGGCGAAGTAGAAGGTTGCGGCGCGGTTGGCGGCGACACCGGAGAAGACGGCTTCGCTGTTGAGGGGGTCTGGGACGACGCCGCGGCCGACAGTGAGGTAGAGATCGTTGTGGGTGCTGTTGGAGGCACCGGAGGTCTTCAGGTTGAAGAGCTTGTCGGATGGAGCGGCGACAGCCGCGGTGGCCAAGAGAGCGACGGAGGTGAGGAACTTCATGATTGTGGTGGATAAAGGTAATGAGTGGAAAGTGTTTGGATTGCGGTTTTAAGGGCGGAGTGGCGGATTTATACTGAGTGTGGTTCCGGATGGGGTGGGATCAAAATAGAAGTTGTGGATGTCGAGGCATTTAGTTCAACCTTAGACTGTACTCTGCGAGTAGACTGCTATGTCAATGGTTCTTGTTTTTGTTGGACAAACCTGGCTGATTTCAAGGCTTGTCTTTCGCCTCCCTGTCATTGTTCTACTATGCAAGGTACTATTGTGTTACGAGTACTCGTCCTCTTTCATCTACCCTGTACCCTGTCCTCGTTCACAGGTTTAGACCCAAGTATGGGGTAAATGAAGGGCAATGGAACCCAGTGATTGCAATCGACATGCTGAACGTCTCAAGTGGGTCTCCTAGGTAGCGAACGGTGCAGATCATATCCACCGAGGATTGAAGAAGTTGCAGGGCTGGGACTCCTACAGACAGAACAAGAGCAGCCACTGACTCCAGCAAGCAAAGGTACCGTACTACTACTAGTACACCATGAGACTCTCTATTCCAAACCCTCCATCCAGTACTGTAGCACTGGTAGTAAATGCTGTTAATGAATCTACAAAACGACGCCAAGGACAGTGGAGCTCTCCCCTGAGTTTAGTGTCCCGTGAAGTGTGTCATTGTCGCGACAATCTTTAACCTGTTTGACTTCGCTTAGCTGCATCTGAAGCAGCTGTTTTAGCCCCTTTCTTCCAAGGGGACTTGGCATTCCTCACATTCGGTCCAAAGTGGCGCATTAGGCGTCTGCCGGACATGTGCTTGGCCTAACAGCCCTATTATTGTGCTGTTTACTATGACGCCGTATGGGATCGCATATTAGTGTAGTCATTGCTCATCACTCGTAAAACTCCACTATCGTACACACCGAGTAAAAAAAGAAAAATGTCTCAACGCCCCATCGCGGTCACTCCCGGGCAGTGCTATCTTTAGCGAACTCAGGCTTGAGCGTCCATCGGCCCCGTCCATCCCGCCCATGCTTCAGCGTAGCAACCTTCTTCAACATCTCCTGGAACTCTGCAACCCGCTGCTGGTTAGTACAGTAGTGGTTGAAGTGGTCCACGATCATCTGCGTGACGGTGGGCCCGCGGCGCGCAGCCAGGTAATCCCGGATCAGGGGCATGAAGTCTTTACCGCGGGGCATGCGAGTCGAGGAATAGCCCGCGTCGGCGGGCGCCGCGGCGGGGTTCAGTCTCGCCAGCAGACTGCTGGAGGAGGGTCCGCCGGCGGGTCGGGCGCTGCTGCCGCCGGTGGAAGGGCGTCCGCCCATACCGAATTGCCCAGTCCAGGTGGGGAGCCCGATGGGAAGGGTGCGGGCGGTTTGTTCGGCCTTGCGCAGCTCTTCGGCGGCTTCGTTGGCGACGCGTCGGGCTTCAGCCTCGATCAGTTTGGGATCGGCGCGAACTACTCGCTTGCCGTTGACGATTTGGTCGTGTTGGAGGGCTGAGTGGACGCCTGAACGGGCGAAGATTCCGTGCATGATGCGGTCTTCGGAGGACTTCGCGTTTTTGTCCTCTTCTTCCGAATTCTTGAACTCCTCCACATTGACAATCCCCTTGACATCGTTGAGCTCCTCCTCCTCCTTCTTCACGGGGGATTTGCCCTTGGGCGGTTCTTTGCCCTTGGGCGGTTCTTTGCCCTCTTCTTGATAGGTGACCTCGGCATTCTTGAACAGTTTGGTCGTCTCCAAGTCCTTGTCGTCCTCTTCTTCAAGACTAAACAGATCGTAGAGATCGCTGAGTTGGAAGCCCTCCCGCTGGTGGGGGTCACGGGTAATTTTGTTGGTCAAGAATTGCTTGAATATCTGACGATGGTAAATCTTCTCTTCAATGGTGCCCTTGGTCATTAAGCGGAAGATTGTGACATCTCGCTTCTGACCCAGCCGCCATGCACGCTCGCGCGCCTGCAGGTCCGTCGATGGGTTCCAATCCGGGTCGTAAATAATAACACGGTCAGCACCTGTTAAATTCACTCCGATTCCACCCACACGCGTGGTAAGCAGAAAGACATGGATATCAGGGTCATTGTTGAATGTATCGACCATGGTCTGGCGTTCCTTAATCGGTGTAGTGCCGTCCATCCGGCGGTAGTTGAATCCACCCAGCCCCTGGACGAACTTCTCGATAATGTCCAGCGTGAGACGACCTTGGGAGAAAAGCAGGGTTTTGTGGCCGGTATCTCTCCAGACCTCAAGCAATTCTTTCAGCACCTGCATCTTGCCAGATCGTTCGCTACTGCCATAGTCTGCATCGTGAGACCGCAAGGTGTGGTCTGTCAAGTCTGGATGATTGCAGATCTTGCGCAGAATGTCGATTCCAAACAAAGAGTTCCTCTTACCTCGGACGATGGAAGCCATATCATCAGAGCCGAGGAACCTTTTGTAGATGGTTCGCTGAAGTTTGCTCAGCTTGCAGAAGATAACCTGCTCACTCTTCTGCGGTAAGTCAGATGTCACATCAGCTTTGAACCGCTGGAGCAGGTATGGGCTGATGGCGTCCTTGAGCGTTTCCGCACACTTCGCGGCTGTCTGCACTTGAAGGTTAGATGCAGATGCATACCCACCCTGGCGGATGGGATTTTCGAACTGATTTTTGAAGTTCACTAGGTTACCCAGGCGCATCGGGAAGACGAAATCGAACAAAGACCAGAGGTCTACCAGGCTGTTCTGCATTGGTGTTCCAGACAAAATAATCCGATGAGGAGTGCGAAGCTCTTTGCAACTGAATGTGATACCAGCGTCGGGATTCCGAATTTTGTGGCCCTCGTCGAGGATAGCACAGTCCCAATCGACATCGACTAAAGCGTCTGCATATGATTGAAGTCCGGAGTAGGTAGTCACAAGGATGTGTCCTTCCTCGGTGACTCGCTTGATGATCCTTTTGGCCGCTTTCTGGCCAGCAGAGAGATGCCGCGAGCCCTGGCTGCCCATCATTTCCGATGTGAGCGCATTCTCTCGACTGCTTTCTTTGCCGAGATTCATCATTCCACTCCCAGACGAGTGGAGGATAGACACGCGGAAAGCTGGCCACCAGCGGTGAAACTCATTGACCCACTGTTTCATGAGGGTCGCTGGGCAAACAATGATGGCCGGTTTTGTGAGCTTGTCGCTGTGGTGGAGTGAGGCAAGATAAGCGATTGCTTGGATCGTCTTCCCTAGCCCCATCTCATCGCCAATGATTCCACCCACAGATTGCTGATGCAGCTCCCAAAGCCACTGAACGCCGATCCGTTGGTAAGGGAAGAGAAAGCGACTGATATCTCCGGGGACCCGCAGACCGTTTTCAAGTTCCATTGCTGGTTCGGCAGGGTGAGGCTTGAGCCATTCTTCCTTTTCAGGCGAATCAGCGTCGGCTGAGTCTTCGGCTGCGGCGTGTTGTCGAGCAGTGCTTCGCCGAGAAATCCATTCCTGGAGCCGAGCCTGATAAATTTTCTCGTTGCCATCGTCTACTCCGCTTAAATCTTCAAGCTGGTTGTCCGACTTGCCATTGACCGGTTTGCGCTTGCGACTTGGCTTTTCAGGTACAGTATCAGGCATGTACTCTTCCCCTTCCGATGTAGCTCCGGCTTCGTCAGTGGCAACGTAGCTCGCCGACGAGTCCTCTGCTGGGGAGCTTTGAGGATCCACCTTGCGGCGCTTCCTGGCCGCGGGTGCGGATGCGGGGACGGGTGGGGGCGCCTCAAAGTCGAAGTCCGGGCGTGCTAGATCCCGGTGGGACGCGGCAGGCAGATGCTTGGCTTGTTCCCTCTCTTCCGCTTCATTCTGCTGATCTTCTGTGTCGATAAGCGCATCTTGCAGGTTGGCGAGGGGACCATCACGCGAGCCCTCGTTCATCAACGCAAATGGTGTGATCTTTCCGGTGCGCAGTAGATAGTCGCGGCGAGATTCATTCGGTAGTCGACCGGATCCATGTGGCGCTTTCCCCGATTCTTGCGACTGTCGACGCGCATCGATCCGATCTTGGATGTCCTTGAGATCCTTCCCTAGGTCTGCCTTCCGCATCTCCAGCCTTTTCAACTCGGTCTCTTGTCTATGACGGGCGGTGGCTCCCGCGGGTTGAGTGAGTCGTCGCCGGGCCGTGCTAATCTCTGCATTGACCCGTCTGAAGGCCCAGTCAGTAGTGCTTGACTTGGATCGGAGCATAGGGATTCTCACTCCCGATCCACCAAGGCTTTTTCAAGCCTCTTGATATCATTCTCCTCTGCTTTTTCGGCCAGAGCCTTATCAGCCTGAGGTATATATTAGCATGTCATCAGTCATGTCCCAGAGCGCAGTTCATACCTGACGAGTGATGTCTCGTTCCAGGTCATCCTGGTTCCGCACATCGGCCTGAAGGCCACGCAGGCGACTCGCTTCGTCCGTAGCCATGGTGGAGGCAGGATTGTATGCAGTGGGAAGAAGTGAGTGACTAGGATTATTTGTGTTGCGCAAATGCACACATTGTGCGCAAACTACTATACAGAGCGTCCAGAGGATGAATCGGGCGACTGAATAGGCCTAGTCCGATCTTTTTATCAAACGTCACGGCACTATTGTTCACCGCCTGTGCCACCGCCATTGATGACTTATTGTGTTACATAATGGGAGAAGCGAACAGTCACGTGTCACAAGGGTCCATCGGGCCCCGAGGCCATCAGTGCTGTCCGGAGTATAGAGGGATGGGGTATTCGAGTATTGTCGTGTTTGAACATCTCAATGTGGCTGAAATAGCTCAATATACATATGAATGGAGCTGACCAAGGCCAAGACGGCATAAGCCACCGTACTCCATGCTCAGCAACACGGCTGTATTGGGCTTGACAGTTGGGTATGCAACAGATCGTCGATCATAAGACGTCGCCAAGGGGACCACAATCCGAGGCAAAGTCAGTCATAAAGCAGAGGTCTATGACCAGGTAGCTAGCCGCCTAGATTAGAACTCGAGGGGATAGGGAGGAAGTTTCCGAGTACCACGAAGTCGTCACGTTGTAGAATGCAAGTAGATTTGAGTTACGAGTGCATCGCCCAACCTTTCCCCTCTTCTTTCTCTCTTCTGTGCGCTCCAACTTCCTCCGATTTCTGCCTGTTGATGTTCAACTTGTTGGATTCCCGGTGATATCGGGTGCCAACTCAGTCCTTCCAAGGCCGAGAACTTTCCCCAGCCGCCTACGTCTACTGCGTCGCAACGAAATTGCGACCGCCCCCCCTCCCCTGCGAACTTGTCTTCATCAACAATTCCTTAAACGATGAAGCGCGGTCTTGTTCACTAAACGTCAATTCCTTCCCTTCTTGATCTCATTGTTCCGAATTGCGTGAATACCCATTCACCCGTCGCCTGACGTTGTTCCCCGCGAGCAGCCCACGCACCCTGGCCGCGGTGTTTGAGCTAGCATTTCGGTATTTGTGCGCACCGACAGGGTTTCATGATGGACTCTGGCTGGCAGCCTTACCAAGACCCTCATCTGGGTCATCCCGCGCAGTTTAGTGCGGCGTTGGCCTCGCATCCTCAGCAAGTACCCTCGAAATACGGTCAGCCACCAGCACAGCCGCCCGTCGGATATACCTACGAGACCTTCCAAACACCTGGCACGGCCTCGAAAGCACCCTCGGCCGGGACAAATTCGAAAACCGTCTCCATGGCTTCGTCGCCAGCCGCCACGCCACGTACCCGGGATTATGTCACCGACGCGGATACCACCATGGAGGACGCCGACCCGTACAACCGGGCAAAGTACCCCTCGAGGCCAAACCACAGTCGCGCTTCCTCGCAGTTCTTGAATCAAGCAGAGGAGTCTTCGGCTGCCCGCAGGTATTCACCGGGGAACGTGATTTCGCCGCCGATGTCATATCCCACCAGTCCTGGTAAGTCTCAGGGCTCGTATGGATTCCCATCCGCGCCCCAGAGTGGCTCTCGACGATCGCCTTCCAAGCCAGAATACGCTTCACCACCCCAGGGATTCCAGTCGCCGCCATGTGAGCTTGCCCTCGGCCCCCCGCGATTTCCGCTTGATTTTGCTAACACGTCGCTAGCCAATCGCGCCCCTAGACTCCCTCCCCTGCAATCCGGTGACCTGAGCCCCGACCAGTACTATCCTCCCTCGGCTTCTTCGCACATGAGTCCCGGATTCGGTGGATCGCGATCACCGCGATCCGGCTCCCTGCCATCACAGCCTCCCCTGGTCGCAGGCCGTGGCCCTGTCCCGAAGTTCCGGAAGATCCAGTCCGTCCAAGAGCTCCAGCCCCGTACGAACGTGCAGCCCGCATATCGACGCGCCAACCCAGAAGGTGGATTCATCAGCGTTAGTTTTGAGCACACCCCCCTTCATCGAACTCTTCACTAACTTAATGGATATCTTAGCCGCTTCAATCGCTTACAACCCACCTTCCGGCCACCTATCGCATATGTAACCCCGGATTCAATTACGAGTCTTCGAGGAACCCCAGGCGCGTTTTGACCAAACCCAGCAAGGGTTGCAAAAACGATGGGTATGATAACGAGGACAGCGATTACATCCTCTACGTGAACGACATCCTCGGGAGCGAGGAAGCTGGTCATAAGTATGTCTCGCCCTACCGCGAAAGCTTTATCACAAGACTTACAAGTTCCCTTTTGGGAAATCTAGAAACCGATACCTCATTCTCGATGTCCTCGGTCAGGGTACCTTCGGTCAAGTCGTGAAATGTCAGAATCTGAAGACTGGAGAAGTTGTGGCCGTCAAAGTCATCAAGAACAAGACTGCATATTTCAATCAGAGTATGATGGAAGTTTCGGTCTTGGATCTGGTTTGTTTACCCTCATTTGTCGCTTGACCGGGCTAATACTGGTGATACTTTACAGCTGAACAGCAAGTATGACAAGAACGACGACCATCACCTGCTTCGCCTGAAGGATACTTTTATTCACCGACAGCACCTGTGTCTTGCATTTGAGTTGCTCAGTGTCAACCTTTACGAGCTTATCAAGCAGAACCAATTCCGTGGACTCAGCACCACCTTGGTCCGGGTGTTTGCCCAACAATTGCTGAACGCTTTGAGCTTGCTGAACAAAGCGCATCTAATCCACTGTGATTTGAAGCCTGAGAATATTCTTCTGAAAAAGCAAGTTCTCCCTTTCGGTTGCCAAAACTCTTTCTAACCTCCAATCAGCCTTGAGAGCCCTATCATCAAGGTGATCGATTTCGGTTCTGCTTGCGACGAACGGCAGACAGTGTACACTTATATTCAGTCTCGATTCTATCGATCGCCCGAGGTACTATTGGGCTTGCCGTATGTGTTCTATCGCTATTTCCGACTTACCTTTGATTGACCATTTTTTCAGCTACTCTTCCGCGATTGATATGTGGTCCCTGGGCTGTATTGTTGTGGAGCTCTTCCTGGGCCTGCCTTTGTTCCCTGGATCCTCCGAGTATAACCAAGTTTGCCGAATTGTTGAGATGCTCGGCATTCCACCCACATGGATGCTGGAGATGGGCAAGCAATCCGGCGAATTCTTTGAAAAAACACAAGATGAATTTGGCAGGAAGACCTACCGCCTCAAGACTCTAGAGCAGTACTCAAGGGAACACAACACCAAGGAACAGCCCAGCAAGAAGTACTTCTCCGCATCGACTCTGGAAGAGATCATCCGAAGCTACCCAATGCCACGCAAGAACATGAAGCAAGCAGAGGTTGAGCGAGGTATGTCCAGACGGCAAATTTCCTACAACACAACTAACAAACCCTAGAACTTAACAACCGCGTCGCTTTTATTGACTTTGTCCGCGGGCTGCTGTCAATCAACCCCCTGGAGCGTTGGTCACCCCAGCAAGCCAAGTTACACCCATTCATCACCCAGCAGAAGTTCACTGGGCCTTTCATGCCACCCATGAACCTCAAGTATTCCACCGCCAACAAACCTGCCCCTGGTGTTCAACAGCAACAGCAGGCTGAGACCGCCAGCAAGCAAAGAGCAGCCCAGGCGGCTCATGCGCAAAATGCCTATGCTGCCCAGATGAGCCAATTCCACACCCCGCCCCAGCAGCAAGCTCCACCCATGTACAACGGCATGTACCAGCAAGGCGCCCCGCCTCCTCCATATCCCACTCAGCCTCCAGGGTATGGCCATCAAATGGGCATGGTTCCCGGCAGCCAAATGCCTCCACAGAGCCTATACGCACAAGCCACAACACGCGCAGGTCGTCAACGGGCTTCCACCATGGACCCCAACGGTGGAATCCCAACTACCATCCAACGCGTCGCGAGCCACCTGGATCCCAACGCGCCTATTCGGCTGCAACCAAGCCCTGCATACTATCCTCCTCCTCCCGATGGATACGTAGATGCTAACGCTAACCAGCGGCGTCGCGGCAGTCGCGCAGGCGGTGGAAATCAACGCAACCGTGACTTCATCCGCACCCTTGAGGATGGTGTGTTGAGCGAAGGATACATGAGTCAGAACCAATGGCACTAGAAGACTCAGCTGCGGATCTATTTTATGCCTTCTTTTTCGTTCCCCCTCCCTCAAGAACTGGCAACTTCTGACCCGTGTCCCCCCATGCCATCCGGGGCATGGGCCCCGGCTAGTACCCCTCGGTCCCTTGGCCCGCCCCTTGCCAGCCAATTTGTTTTCACCTGGCCGGCCCATGTAGGTATGGGACCAAGAAAAGGGCCCTCGAGTGGGTTCCCGCGGTCTCTGATGGTCTTGGGCCGCTGATACACGATCTACATCACTAGCTGGATCGATCCGCACCTCGCATCCCGAGACATGCCTATCAGCGGCCCCCTGCTCTGCACTTTCAGACCACTTACCGCATCATCATTTGTTTTATTGTTCCATTGCGTTTCTTGCTCTGTTACGATTCCAATTATGTCGTGCTATCTTCTTCCGTTAGGCATGTTGCTCTCTTCGGTCCATCTGATTGCCTTTTGTCGTTTTCTGTTCTCTTGGCATAGCCTGGGTGTATGAAAGAACGATCATATTCATTCGCCTGCCTCCCCCGTAATCTGCGCCTCACTTAAGCTGAGATGTGGGAGATGTTGACCTTGGGCCTGAAAGGGAAATGGTCTTCAAAATGTCTTTTTGCCTCGCGTGGTATGCGAGGTCCTCGGTTTTCGGGAGGAACTTTTGATTGATTTGTACACGAGAGTAGATATGAGTTCAATGATAAAATAGAGATATACTTCCAAGATTGTGACTGACATTCTATCTGGACATTGTAGAATAGTGGCGATGATCCTGGATATACTCCGTTGTACTTTCCGCCAATTGATGATTTGGGCTGTGTTATGCTCACCGAGTTGGCTTTCTCAAACCAGTGCTGAGCAAAATGCCACCTGGCGGGCAGTAGAGTATATTACCCCAGAAAAAAACAGTATCAAAAGAGTATCAAGAGCATAACAGAGAAGTCCAGAACACAAAGTCCGTTCTTTGTGAATATATCGCGCTATACCCGATTTGGTTTAGTCAGCCCCTCGCTTAAATTTCGTGTGTGGCTCTGCACTGCGGGAACTTCAACTTTGTGTCGCCGACGACCTGACTTTACAGCTTAAGGATCGCCATTTCCTATTTCCCGAAACCGCAATCCGCAATCATGGCGTCGCGTTTCTTCTACGGCTCCGGCAGCGACAGCGACAGCTCGTCTGACGAGGAGGAGGAGGTCTACCGCTCCGGCTCTGGCAGCGATGAGTCTTCCGACGAGGAATCTGACTCCGGCTCTGACTCCGGCTCCGACAGCGATGACGCCCAGGATACCCGCACCGGTGCCTCGAAGTTCTTGCACGACGATTCCGACAGCGATGAGAGCGAGGAGGAGGAGAAGGTCACAGTTGTCAAGTCCGCCAAGGACAAGCGTCTCGAGGGTATCGAGAGCACCATCCGCCTGATTGACAATGCCGAGAAGATCAACGACTGGGCTGTTATTGCCACTGGTGAGTTTTCACGATCTGCTGGGTGACCGGGGAGACCAGCAAAATCCGGGGATACAGGAACACTTTGGACTGACAGGGTCTTCACACAGAGTTCGACAACCTCAACCGCCAGATGCTCAAGGTTACCGGCCCTACCCCCAAGATCTACATCGAGGCTGTTGCCGAACTTGAGGATTTCACCAACGAGACCATCACCAAGCAGAAGGCCTCGAACAAGAAGATGAACGCTAGCAACAGCAAGGGTTTCAACGCCGTCAAGCAGAAGATCAAGAAGAACAACAAGGAATACGCTACTCTGATCGAGAAGTACCGCGCCAACAAGGATGCCTTCATGGCCGACGAAGTTGAGGAGAAGCCCGCTCCCGCTCCCGCCCCCAAGCCCACCAAGGTTGAGAAGATTGCCAACTTCGCCGCTGCCGCCGCCGCCAGTGCCGAAGACGATGGATTCGCTACCGTTGGACGTGGCGGAAAGACCCTGCAGTACACCCCCGAGAGCATCCTCAAGCACCTCCGCATCATCGTCGAGTCCCGCGGAAAGAAGAACACCGACCGTGCCGACCAGATCCGCACCATGCAGAAGCTCCTCGAGGTTGCCAACACTCCCTACCAACGCATCCGCACCTACATGACCCTCATCTCCACCCGCTTCGATTTGACCTCCACAACCAACCAGAGCTACATGAGCGCCGAACAATGGAAGGCCGCCTCAGAGGAGTACTCTGAGCTCCTGTCAGTGCTGGAGGACAACCGCCAGTTCGTTGTTAGCGAAGGTGCCGACGAGTGGGAGGATGACGAGAAGCAGCCCACCGTTGCTGAGGGCGAGATCTTCTTCATTCCCGGAAGCTGCATCTCTCTCGTTGAGCGTCTCGACGATGACCTGAACCGCAGCCTCCGTGAGATCGACCCCCACACACAAGAGTACATCGATGTGCTCAAGACTGAGCAGAACCTTTACGACAACCTGGTTCGCTCCCAGCTCTACGTCGAGAGCCTCAAGGGTGCCGACAAGAACGGTCAGGACTCCATGAACAGAGTGGTCCTCCGACGATTGGAGCACATCTACTTCAAGCCCGAGGTGGTCATCAGCATTGCCGAGGAAGCCAAGGACAAGGCCGTTCCCACAACATTCAAGTCCGCCGTCACCCTTGGTTCCAAGGCTGGCGATATCCAGAGCCTGATTGCTTCCATCTGCAACTACCTGTTCCAGCACAGCGATGGCATCCACCGTGCCCGCGCCATGCTTTGCCAGATCTACTTCCTCGCCCTGCACGACCAATACTACAAGTCTCGCGACTTGATGCTCATGTCCCACCTGACTGAGAACATCTCCACCTTCGACGTCAGCACCCAGATCCTCTTCAACCGCACTCTGGTTCAGATCGGTCTCTGTGCTTTCCGTGCCGGCCTCATCTACGAGGCCCAGAACACTCTCGGTGAGATCTGCGGCAGCGGCCGTCAGAAGGAGCTCCTCGCCCAGGGTATCATCATGCAGCGTTACTCTACCGTCTCCCCCGAACAGGAGCGCCTGGAGCGCCAGCGCCAGCTGCCCTTCCACATGCACATTAACCTCGAGCTTCTCGAGTGTGTCTACCTCACCTCCAGCGCTCTGCTCGAGGTCCCCCTGATGGCCCAGACCTCTTCTTCCCCCGAGCTGCGCCGCCGCATGATCTCCAAGACCTTCCGCCGCATGCTCGACTACAACGAGCGTCAAGTCTTCACCGGACCCCCCGAGAACACCCGTGATGGTGTGATCGCCGGTGCCAAGGCCCTCGCCGCCGGTGACTGGAAGCTCTCTGCCTCTACCTTCGCCGCGATCAAGATCTGGGACCTCATGCCCCAGCCCGAGAAGATCAAGGCCATGCTGTCCCAGCAGACCCAAGAGGAGGGTCTGCGCACCTACCTCTTCACCTACGCCCCCTACTACGACAGCCTCTCCATCACCTCCCTGGCCTCGATGTTCGAGCTCGAGTCCAAGAAGATCGTCTCCATCATCTCCCGCATGATCTCGCACGAAGAGCTCGCCGCCGCTCTCGACCAGGTCAACGACGCCATCATCTTCCGCAAGGGCGTCGAGCTCTCCCGTCTCCAGTCCCAGATCGTCACCCTGGCCGACAAGTCCACCAGCCTTCTCGAGGCCAACGAGAAGACCCTCGAGCAGCGCACCCAGGGCATGGCCAATGCCTTCCAGCGCGAACACGGTCCCGGTGCCCGTGGCGGCCGCGGCCGCGGCGGTGGTCGTGGCGGTGGCCGTGGAGGTGCTCGTCTTCCCCAAGGCGATCGCCGCCCTGGTGGCCAACAGTTCGGTGGTGGTGCATTGGGCGCAGCGATCAAGGCTTAGATTCTGATTTAATGGCATGTTTCTCTTTACTCTTCATGGTTTCTTTTTTATTGTCCATCCCCTCCCATGTTAGTACGACCGTTCCTTGTTTTTGAGGTCGGAAAAATTGCCCCGTTCTTTCTGCGCGCGTTTTTGGTGATTGATCCACATGATATCACGTATGGAAATGATCGAGAAAGAATTAAGGTGCATCCTGGTTAGAAATTGACGGCTTATGGAATAGATTTCTCTTCTCCTAGGTGTCTAGTGTAGTGTAGACCCTCGATTGCATTGGAGAATCGAGATGCTGAGGCCTTACCTACTAGGTAGTACTTTCCAAGGTTACCTCCACGGTCGCTATTCTGTTTACCTTATGCCCTCATACCAAGTATGGTCTTTTGGTCTTTCGAACTACCCGTGGACAGTGCCAGGTGGACTGTCCAGGTGTGATATCGTTCAACTTGAGCCCCTATATACATCTAAGATTCGCATCTCAAATACATCGTGTCAACATCCATGGATAAGTCCCAAACTCCCAAGGTTCCAAGCATTCAGCCCATCAATACATAAAATCCACGACAATTGCATCCCCACATCCAATCCCCAAGATCTATATAACAAATGGTTGCCCAACAACCCACTCCAAAGCTCACGCTCTCCCTCTTGCAATGCCCCTGCCCCTGCCCCTGGCTCTCTTCACTCGCTTGACAGGCTGTTTAGTAGACACTTGAGGAAGCTGTGTATTTGTATCTTGCCATGCTTGCTTAACCGGGGCCCTCGGTGGTCCACCACCCGGCGAAGGTGGCAGGACATACCCAATTGGCGGCATATCAGTCTGATACCCACTTGGTAGATTCGGAAGGTATTCTGTCAACTCCTCTTTGAACCATGACATATAAAAAAGCCCAAGTCCATCCGGGCAAGTCGCAGTATAGAACTGGAAACGAGGGAAAGGGCCCGAGAGCACTCTCTGATTTGAACTTGAATTGCCCCCGGACTGGTCCTCGATCACAGCAGCTGGAACCTTCAACCATGGGCTGAGGGTTAATTCGTCTGTCAATGGTATCACTGGGCTAACTTCAAGTTCAACGATCTTGGAATAGAAAAGCGTTCCCCCCACCACTTCCATAACGGAATACCCATACAGCACGGCTTTCGTGCCCATGGCCTCGATCTGCTCGAATTTGGGGGCGGGAATTGCCATCATATCCGCACCGGTATCATGAAGGGCTTCGAAATCGACGGACTGCACTTGATGCGGGAAGAGATAATCAGTGCTCGTTGTCACCTTGATCGGGATCTAGTAATGTCAGCGATGCGCATGGAATACGGAAGTCCTCAGCTCACGCACCTGTACTGCGCGTGCATCGTTGTAACACAGATAGGCAGCTATGTGGCCGAGATGCTGGGGTGTTTGTTGCAGGATCTAGATATCACATCTTGAATTAGATGAGAGCTGTGTTCGTGAAGGAATGCGGATAACTTACGCCCTCAACCCAGAATGACCTGGTGGCATCATTCTCTCGTATCATCTTCTCATGCAGCTCTCGATTGAACATCTCAGGCTTATTGAGTTGCACACCTTCAGACCAGTAGGTGACCATTCCCCTTGAGACCTTCAAGTCACCTCCCCTATAAGCCTTAAGAAGAGCACGAACATTAGGAAGTTGGTCATCCGGATCGCCTCGCGTTTGAAGCTGATTCTGAATCGCACTCAGATGGTGCAAGCGCTGAACGACCTCAGGATCAAGTCCCTTTGGCTGGGAATCTGCAATCTCCTTCCGCGCCTTTCTCATACGCAAATATTGCTCCAGTCGAATCTCGAAGAAATTTGGCATGATGTTGTCGTCGATTCTTTCGAAACACCGGTCGATTTGAGCATCGACATCATCAGGGTCAAGATCAGGCTCATTGGGGTTCCAGCCATCCGGGGTATCGGAAGCTTTGGTGATGGGTTCCTTGTTGGGATTCTTCCATCGCTGCTGACGCGGTGGACGCTGTCGCTTTTGTATGGCAGGAGCAACACCTGCACTATGGTATAGCATATTGTAGGATACGTAGTTTGCAAATTGGTCCGGGTTAACGGGCCCTGGGCCTTCTGTCACTCTGGTTCGAGTGGTCTGTTCGACATCTTCGATTTCAGTATCGTCATCCGACCCAAGACCGGGAGGCTGCTTTTTCTTGACCGTGGATCCTTCAAGATCCTCTAAGGACAATGGGGGTATAGATTCGGCTCTGAATCCGAGGCCTTTGGGCTTCTTGGGAGGGGGGTCAGAAGCGACGGAGGAGACCTCAGAGGGCTCAGGCTCTTTGGGAGGGTCGGCCTTGCGCTTGCGTGTTCCCTTCTTTGGTGGCATTTTCACGATATGGTCAGATTGAAGCTATGTAGTAGAGCGAGGAGGTTTGAGGATGTTTAAGGGTGGGTTTCAGATTGAGGCAGGATGGCGATATATGTAGTACCTAGGTAGACGGAGCCCATGAAGCTGCTTAGCCCAGACAAAGAAAGTATAGCCAGACGATGCTCCATAGCAAGACAAAGGACTCATGATTGATGTCTCGTGCTGGCAAGAACCTCTCACCGTTTCTGGAAACGAGAAGCCGACAAAGCGATCCTTGGGCTAGCGGGGATGCCATAAGTTGGCTTTGTTCGTATCCCTAATTTAGTGGTAGCTAACTATTTTTTTCCTATGTTCTGTCCAGTAACAACCACCTGGCAAGGAATTGGCTCATGTTTGCTCTAGCAATAGAGAGCTTTTCTTTGTTCCCTCTTTCAACGACTTTGCCATCAAAGATCGCTTCCTTTCAGTAGCTTTCCAGCAGTGCCTGCATAGACTCCTTGGAGATTCAACATGGGATATGCAATTGCTCTGGGCCTCCAACTTTCATATGTTGATCGTCTGGAAGTCGTAGATAAGTGTGTCGTATCTCAAATTGCAAGGTTGACCTTACGAGTAGACCAAGATAAAAGACCTCATAGTACAAACCCAGAATATCCATGGGTTCGTGAAGTTCTCTTTGTCTGAATCAGCGGCAACGAGAGCCTCGGGGTGGCATCAACCAGTTTTCTGGGGATGTATATCGCAAGAAGTCTTTGGGCTTCTTTGTTTACATCAGTGACTCGTTTCTACCTAGGTACTATTGAGCAGACACCAGGCAAGTTGAGCGTTGCCCATTTCAACTGTTCTTCAACCCTCAGCCTTTTTACATTTGTGCACATTTCACAGAGAAAATATACTCGCTGCAATTTCTTTGAATCTTGGCTCTCAAGTCAACTGACACTTTGATGATACATCACTTCACGATCCTCCGAGTACTTGAAACATGCCACTCCCACGCCCCTCCAACTCCTAACAAATCACACACCCATGCAGTCAGTTGGGCAGGGCGCCCTTCGGAGGGTACTTCTTGCCATCCTTCTCGACTTGAGGAGTGCAGGCACACCATTCGCCCTCGGGGACTGAGTCCATCACGGAGGGGATATGCAGGCCGCAGCCGAACCAGGTGGCCTTGTCTGCGCGGGTCAGTTGTGCCTAAGTGCATATTCCAGAGCACACTTACTGCAGGTAGAACAGGTAGCTTTCATACACATAGTGGTGGAGATGTGAGAGACAAAACGTCTGGATTTGGCGCTTTTATCGACGGCCTATTAGTCATGACCCGCGAAGAACTTCGGTCGCCGACAATCGAGTGAAGCCCGATTCCCCGAGTGTTTGACTGCGCACATATTTAGGAATTGGACCTGTCCAGCAATTTTGTCTGGCTTATCGCGGGATCCATCTTCAACTTCCCCGAACATGGTGGTTATTGCAGTCGCCGGGAATGGTGGCGTTGGGCAAACCATCGTCGAGAAACTAGTAGATGCGCACTTCGACATTGTCATTCTGTCCCGCTCGGTATGTTCGGGATCCTGGTCGTCGAGCGCATACTCATCTTCGCCAGGTGCAGAAACACAATTCGAGCAAGGTTCGCAATGTACAAATTAAGTACGACGATATTGCTTCAATGACACAGGAGCTGGAGCGACACAACATCCACACCATAATCTCCGCCATTGGCCTTGTTTCGGACGAGACCTGTCGGTCTCAGCTGAACTTGATCGAAGCCGCGGAGAGGTCGACGTCGACGAAGCGGTTCATTCCCAGCGAATACTCATTTGTCCAAACAGCCAAGTAGGTAACCCTCAAGGCTACCTAAGACCATGCGTTTTCGGTACTAATTGTGCTGTAGTCTACTTTCCATTGACCCCAGTATCCAATGGTGGCTCGATGCGGCCGATCGTCTCAAGGCGAGCAGTCTGCAATATACAAGGGTGATCCCTGGCTTTTTTATGGACTATTGGGGAATGCCGCATGTTCAAACTCATCTGCAACCATTCACCTTCGGGATTGACATCTCGAGCGGCACGGCCGCTATCCCGGGGGATGGCAACAACGTGATCTGCATGACATATACATACGATCTGGCCACGTATCTAGTCAAAGCCCTGGGTCTTGACGAATGGCCGGAGTTTAGCGTCATCGTCGGCGATGAGGTTACCTACAACCAAATCCTTGGCATGGCTGAGGAGTTTACTGGTAAGTGAAGGTACATCGAATATTTGATCACCGGAATATCTAACCCTTTTTTGCGCAGGGAAAAAATTTACAGTCACATACGACAGCTTGGAGCAAATCCAAGCGGGGGATGTCACTGTACCTACGCAGCCAGAGGGCGTGGATTCCTCTTCAGATGAACTCAAGGAGGTCACTGCGCTAGTGAGTAGACTGACGGTCAACAATGTGTTCGACCTGCCGAAAGATCGTCTAAACGATCGATTTCCAGAGGTGAAGCCGCTCACCGTGAGAGAGTTCCTACACAATGCCTGGAACCAAAAGAATGTATGAGTTTACTCAACAGATAAGAACGCTGAGCTCAGAAAGAAATGTGATTGCAACGAGAACTGAGAGAAAAACATTACTACAAATCTGACATAGCGAACAAACTTCCTGGCAATAACACATTGAATCTCATCTCATGATAATTTCCTCCAAACAACCTGAAAGACCACAGATCAAGGGGAGTGATGGTGTTACTGGATATATCATCGGTCACTCTCGCCTTCAGTCGAAAAAGCATCTAGCAATTCAGAGCTCCGGGCTGGCGGACTGCAACACAGACTTGTCGACCGGGGATGAGATTGGAACAAGCGGGGTTGATCTCTGAGTTCCAGCACAGTAGCTGTGACATGGTGAAAACATTTCCATGTCGGGCTATGATGTCCCAGCAGGTATCACCCTGGGCGATGACATCGTATCGAATGCCTGCTCTTGTCTTAGCCTAATCCGAAATAGCGAGTCTCAACAACTTACAATCGTTCGTGGCAGCTGGCGCGGGAGTGTCAACCACATCCTTTCGCTGGATGGCACTGGAGGCTCCCAGGGATGCAAGGCCCAGAATGCAGAGGGATCGGATGCAGACCATTTTGGCAAGGGGAATCGTTGGATCTCGGGTTCTAAGGGTTGAAATGAGCTGGGCTGACAATGTTCAAGGTTGGCGATGAACAAGGACATTGCTAGGAGGATCTTCCGCCACTTTTATATTCATTTTGCTGCCCGCTCCATGATAAGCTGATCTCCAGTATTTTCCGTTGATCTTTGCTTTTTCAGCCCAATGCATACGGGTGGGAAACACCGTGGCTGCGAAGTGGCCGTTTGCACGCCACTGGTTGCATTTGTCTTCGCCGACTAGGATTGTAACCATGTATGCTTCTTGGAGGTGATGGGTCTGAAACAAGCTGGACTGGATCATCGCGAAATCTCTCTATCCAATAGATTGCACGAGTTTGTCCACATCATGGCTATATGTTCTTGGATTGCTCGATATATCTCGGTCTCTGTGAAGAAAGTCCTCTTTTGTTCTACGGTTACATCGCTCCTCGATATTGTCGAATGACGCAAAGTAACCTTGTCCAAGGGGCTATGGTCTGTCATGCAGAGATCAGTGTGACCGCGATCTGAATCACCACCATTCATTTGAGGGGGAGTTGAGGTAGCGCAGACGGGTGGTCACAGCAGATCTCAGTCTTTGAGACCAATAATATAACAATCGTTGTCGGCCCAGGACTATCGTCTATCAGCCAGCGAGATAATTAGGGTTCATAGTTCATGGCTGGCTGAGCTATTCTGAGATTGGGTTACGAAGTTTCATTGCCGTTGCATCGTGGCCGGCTCAGATAACTAGCTGTCTTACCGATCAGGCTTCTGCATCTTTTCCAGAGGCTATGCACACCTCTGGCGGACGTATGGAAGCATCTAGGTACCCTTTTAGACTCGTACTTATTCCGACTCACCAGACAAAGTACACGGGCCGTTGATAACGGGAGTACGGAGTACAGGGATCGGTCGATAACTTCACCTCACGAGCAACGCGATTGATACCGGAGCTAAACTTTAAGCCACTACAGAACTGAAGTCCTGAGTCTAGATTCTCAGCTCAACGTGGACGAAGGGCCGGAAGTATACTGTATGAGCCTTCCAGAATGGCCTCGGAAGTTGAACTGTTCTTGATTCCGATGACCTCCCCGACGGACTCACACGGGTAGTATACAGACCTCCGAGCACGGCATCTAGTACGATCCGGTGTAGTGTCTCCTCGATATTGTCCTAATGGTGAAGTATTCGAAGGTTGCTGTCCTAATTGGGCCGTGACTCAGCATTCCTGCCTTGGTGCCTGAGTCCATCCGTCGGGAGCTGGCCTCAGCTTTCGATTTGGACGTCGGAGATTGGGTGGTCGAGTACAAAATCCCCAGATTCAGCGCGTTTGCAGAGACGCTGTGTATCATGAGTGAGGATACCGGCAATGTTGTACGCCTGGCCAAGGTATGGACGCCTATGGCTTCACACGAAATCCCGTTGCTAACTCGGCCGTCTCTGCGTGAAGGCATGCAGCATCTGCAGAAAAAAGAAGGTAAAATGTGATGGAACTCGGCCGGTCTGTGTCCCCTGCAGGACCTTTGAATTTCCCTGCAAGTACGAGGACACCGTGCGACGCAAGAAGCCAAATCGGTATCGGACCCACGTTTGACCTAGGCAATTCGCAAAGCTGACTTGTTTGATAGCGAAGAGCATATTATTGAGCTGGAAAAGCGCATCCGATCTCTACAGGAAGAGCTGGATGATGTGCACACGTCTAAAAGAAGACGGCTCCCCAGTGCCGAGGAATCGGCCGCGGAACACGGTCAGCCTTTGGAAGTATCGGAGTCAGAGTTACCGTCTCCAGGGGATGACACCATTCGGGCTTCCTTCGAGGCCGAGGCCGAGGCCAATCGAGGTGACGGTGATGGAGGGTCATATACACTGAAAACCCCGAAGGGCGCAATGCGCTTTTTTGGTAGGTGTTTGCTCCCCGGCTGCCGTTTCAGTGGTCGTACGAAGGGCGGAGCTGACTCTGTTCAGGGGCATCCTCTCAGTTCTCAATTGCTTCTCCTGAGGGGGCAAGTTGGCTGGAAAGCAAGACGGGGAACAATGTGTGGCGTCATGTCGCCCAGAGGAACGGTAGCCGATGGAGGCTGGCCGACTGGTACCCTCGAGTTCTCAAAGATGACTACCAAGCCAAATGTTCCTATCCACTACCATCGAAGAGTGTCATACTACAGCTAGTGAGGGAATACTTTGCTACGTTCAACAAGGCCCTGCCTCTCTTTGACCCCGAAAGTTTCATGGGGAAAGTGGATCGGCATTTCTCATGGAATCCCAGCGAAAGCCCCTCGTGGTGGGCTGCACTCAACATTGTGCTCGCTCTGGGATATAGGCAAAGAGCAGAGAATGCAGGTTCTGATGGCGATGACTGGCAACAGTGCCTGGGTCACGTCAAGAACGCAATGAATGTTCTCACGGAGCTGTACATGCGGACCTCAGATCTTCTTGCAGTCCAGGCTCTGCTTGGCTTGGCTCTCTTCTTTCAAGGCACGCCGAACCCGCAACCTCTTTTCATGTTCTCTGCTTCGGCCATTCGTTTGGCGCAGTCAATTGGGTTGCACAAGTCCAGCTCCTTTGGTCTCCCCGTCTCACAGATCGAGGAACGGCGGCGGGTATTCTGGATTGCATTCATATTGGATGCTGACATCTGTCAGCGTACCGGTCGACCTGCGGCTCAGGATACTCGTGATTTCAGTACTCCTCTTCCTCGGGAGAATCCACCTGATGGGCTTGGCGTGATGGAAATCGAAAACACCAAGTTCAATTTTCTCTCGGCTTTGGCTCGATTTTCGCTTATTCAACGACGCGTCTGCGATGATCTGTATAGCACCGATGCTTTTCGAAAAACGGAGCAACAGCTGATGATAGACGTGAGGTCCTGCCTCAGGGAGATTGAAGCATGGAAGCAAAGTATTCCACTGGTACTTCGACCACAGAGAAACTTTTCTATCCACCAGCATGTCTTCCTTCCCCACGTACTCCGGCTCCATTTCGTATACCATTGTTGTTACGTCAATATCCACCGAGTGTGTCTACTTCCTCGACGCTGGCCAGCCCGCCCAGAAAGTGAGACTACCACCCCACCGGGGCTGTTCTTGGATCGGGAAAGTTCCATGCAGCAATCTTCAGAAGCAGCAAGGGCTGCGATCAATTTGATAAGCCAAGTGCGGGATGACTTTGGGCAATCTTTTGAATGGTAATGTTGTCATTTATAGCAAACCCCACTACGGTAATGCTGACAACCAATGCAGGGGCATGGTCTACTTTCCAGGAGCTGCGTCAGTAGCACTTTTTTCAAAGATCCTCATGGATCCACTACGACCCGATTCGCAAACGGATGTCGACCTGCTTCACCGGGTTGTGACTTTCCTGTCAAAGGTTGCATCTCAAGAGCAGGACACATATCTGGATTATGTCTTGGCATTGTGCTCTGATTTTGAAATCGCTGCCAGAAAGGAAATACTACGAGCAAAGACATCAGGTCCAGATCCTACGGTCATCACTCAGTCGGATCTCATTCACTCTCATAGACACACGTCCCAGAGTGACTATCCTCAATCCAACTACAGAGCTGACTTTGATTTTCCGCAGCCGGCTCACATTGGTGCCACCCAGACTGCATATTGGAATATGCCCGCTCCGGAGCAGACACCGAATGCTTCAGGCCAGCCCTCCTTGCCTGGTTACCTCTCTTGGAATTGGCAGGATATGATAGCTGGTATTCCTCCGGCATATGATTTTGGTGGATATGAATTTGGCCCACCTCTGGAAGATCTATGAATGAACTTTACGTGACCGGCTTTTGCAAGATGGAGCGCTACCATACGTTGTAAAAATTTGGCATTCTGTATTTCAAGGGCAGCATCACTTCCAGATGAGGCTTTGATCATGATGACAATTTGGTACAGGGGATTCAGTCCAAGTGGGACTGGCATCCTCATCATCTAGCCTAGCCACAGGCTTCAAGATGTCCATTGGGCCCCAAGGGGTATCTTCAAATCTCATCATGAACGGTGAATCCTTCGCAAGGTATTCCGGGAAGACCCGCTTCCACCCATCAAGAATCTGGATCATAATCTCCGCAACGAACTGATCGGGGGTGGAGGGCGCAAATCTGAAAGTATCGGCCGTCTTCTGAACCACATCGGCAGGGTAAAGACCAATCTCAGCATCTACCAGAATCGTATCTGCCGCCACCAGCGAGCTAACACTATGATATGAACCTCCCTTCTGAGCCCGGTCCCTGAGAGCTAGCATGGTCGCCAGAGCACCAACCACGCCCGTCGTCATATCCGAGATCGGTAATGGGGGAAGAACACTGGTTCCTTCGTCGAAGCCCAACGACCGACCCATCACATATGAGACGCCTGATGCTGCGTCTCCGATTTGCTGCCAGCCAGGTCTTTCGGCGAATGGGCCCGATGGACCGTAACAGTTTTCGTCGACGTAGACAATACCCTTGTTCCTTTTAGCTGCCATGTCGAGCATGCTCTGAAGACCAAGACCCTTCCGGTCCAGTGAGCCGTAGCGGAAACCTTGTATAAAGACGTCCGCTTCCCCCACAAGCTCCTTAAGTCGAGTCATATCCTGTTCGTTTGCGATATCGAGATCGATGGTTCGCTTTCCCGCATTGAGGGTTAATTGAAGAACCTATGGCCGAGCGTCAATGTTGGGACTTTGGAGATCAAGACAGTCCTTACATTCAAATCAGCCAGTCGGCTGCAATTCACACGGATCACGTCGGCGCCGAAAGATGCCAAGGTCACACCGACGGTAGGACCGGCAATGATTCGTACCATCTCCATGACCTTAATTCCAGCCAGAGGACGCCGATCAGACAATTGGGTCAGAGGAATCGGAGGTGTTGGTCGAGCATACGACTCATGCGTATAGTTGACGAGAGGATACTCGGCGAGACGCTTCCCCATCTCCGTCTTCCTCCACCCATCAGGCGAGTAGCAAATGCTACCACATAGTCCGTTTTTGACATTATGCATCTCCAGCTCGTCGGGACTCCACTTCTGCACATGCTCGCGGATATAGTCGTATCCCTCCGCGAATGACTTCAATGGAACATCCATATCAATACCCATGGAGCAGAGAGTCTTGCTTGCATCCAGCGATCCATGAAGCTGGTACCATATACCTGCATCCTTTGTTGGATATAGAGCCGTTGCCCGACCTGCCAATGGGCCAACGCCGAATCCCTTCTCGAAGTCTCTATCAAAGATGCCAGCTAGTTCTTTGGTCCGAGCAAGTTCGGAAATATCTTTGCCGTTGACGAATGCCGTGAATGTTGATGCGAGCCAGAGACCCGCGTGGTCTGTGTTTACGGTCACTGTTGATTCCTTCGCTGATTTGCCATCTCGAAGCTCCAGAAGCTCGTTTGCAACCACTCCGCACATGGCGTGCAGGGCTGCTGCTACCACTGGAGACTTCATTGGGCCGGGGACCATGGGGTCAGGCCGACCTTCGAATTTGACGGTATTCCATAGCGCAGGATCTTGAGTGAAGCCGGGGGTTCTGGATGCGAGGATCTCGAAGACACGGCGGGTATCTTCCGGTACGGGGAGGACGGTCTGGTCGATGTAGGTTCCGGGCCCGTAGACGTCATCTCCGGGGATAGTCTGGTGCATGATGCAACGTGAAGAAAGAACAAACTCTGGGATAAATGGTAAGATCAGAAATTCGGAATCATAGAATCTCTTTGAGATCCGAAGTGAAGGAAATTGAAGGAAAGAGAGACACTGTACTATCAACTAACTATAAAGCCAACAGGGAACCGCCCAACACAACCCTAATAGAGACCAATTGCCCGCCATCACCAGCCAATGCGACCCAGCACCGTGAAAAATCCCCATCTGCACCCATCTAGCCCAAATTCTGAACCGATCTGGCGGCTCGCAACCAGCTAGCATCGGCCTTGGACCACACCTATCCCAATGGGGACTGTCAAATGTAGATCCCACGGCGCTTTTTGACGCCTCGGGTAAACTGCCTGCCGCAACTCCGAGACAAATGGGGTCTCCTGCTCAGCGCGGCCTTCTTACTCGCTCAATTTGCATAGACACATTCGAAGATGCGTTAAATTGGCGGCCCACGGGATTTCAAGTCGCCAATTTGCGGCTCAACAGCAATGCTATGTCAACCTTGGCTCCGCCGTGTTTCTGTTTGCATATCCTTATTGATCCTTGGCTTTTCAGCCCAAGTCGGATTCTCGATCTTTCGTAAACATCCATACAGTACTTTCAGTCAATGATGTTCAAAGCACAGGTCTATGGATATGGATGACCCATGGACTATTGGGCTGAACGTGCTAATCCCAGCCTCTTACTCAATTCAGAGATCAAACAACGCACAGGACATCTAACAGGAAATAATCCTGGCTCAGAAAAAAGAAAAGAAACACAGTAGGACGGCTTCCAGCATAAATCAGTCAGAATCGACCAGGGCTCCAAAATTACCAAAAATGAGCTCCCAACCCCAAGGCTCTGGCACTCAATATGAGGCTAGCAATGCCCCCGCAGTGATACATAACGCATGCACCTGGATGCACCTGGATGCACCTGAATGCACCTAGATGCCAACGCACATGTGCACCTGGGCAGTTCCGGAACGTATCGCGCATGGTCAACTTTCTAAGCGATGCATTAAGTACCGGGGCCGAGGTTCAGGCCCCGTCTATTCCAAGTTTATCATAGACTAGCACCATACCACTGCAACGCTGTGAATCGATTGCCGAGTCTCGGCCCCCTATGTGCGCTTATAGATTCCGTAGGTGTGTGCGCTGCCGACTTCTGTGTGCCTTGCTGTGTGGAACTTGAGACGGGCTTCGCCGCGGAGCGGATCTCGTTATCTACTGCTTTGCGGGTGGGGGTTGTGATTGTCCGGTGGATTCGCGTATTGTGGGCCGTTGGCTTGGGTTTAATTTGTTGAAAGTTGATTGATTGACACTTGGGGTCTGGCTCGACAAGATCATATTTAGAGGTTGTCTCGGCGGAGGTAAAGAGGGACAAAAACTCGGCATTAAGTACAAATGGTCGTCAAGAGACGGCCAAAACAGCGATGGCCCAGGGCTCCATTTGGATCGAGTAATTACCCTGCGGATTGAAAACGCTGGTGGTGACAGTCTGAATTTGTGCATGGTATGGTGTATCGCCTTGGTATCGAGGACCAGCGAGAATCTCCAGCCTCCCGGACTTTGTGCCTGGGATGCTCACTTTCACGCTTTGATGATCGGTGCCATAGTTTGCCAGTTTTAAATAATATTTCGAGTCTGTCTTCGAGGCAACCCAATACAATGGTCCGAAGTCGGCCGATGATTCGACAGGGAGAATGGTGTCACCTTTATTGGTCATGAACATCTTCTGGACGAAATATGATGTCGAGGGCGTGATGGAGTCGGGGGTGTTGTTAAATCCGTAAAGAGTGGGCTATTGGAATTATCAGCTGTGGGACTTTAACTTTTGTTAGATGCAGGCAGACATACCGACCAAGACACAAAGTCGAAGTGTTGCAGCATGGGTGCGTAAGACGCCATCTTGACGATGTCGCTGTTGCGCTCCATTCCAATCATGTAAACGGCTTCGCTGCAGCTTCCTTGCATGTAGGGCCAATATTCGCCTTCGGCACTGGAGCTATTGCGACATCCAAATTCACCGATCATCACGGATTGGTTTCGTGGCTGGTTATCGAATTGGTTAAACAACTTGACAAAGTCGTCTGGCTTTCGGTAGAGGTGTAGATCGATGATGACATCCTTGGGTAGTGGCGATGGTAGACATTTGGGGTCTCCATTCGAAGCAACGAGCGTAATGTTCGGATATTTGTCGTGGATGGCCTTGTATATCTGATTGAAACGATCAGGGTAGCTTTCACAGCCACGGGTGAGGTCGTCCTCGTTACCAATCTCAATGAGGTCAACATTCCACGGTTCTTTGCGGCCGTTCTGAGCGCGCAGTTTGCCATAGTGCGTTGAAGAGTCGCCGAAAAGATATTCCATCTCGTTCATGATATCTTCGATGAAAGGTTTGAGATCTGGCCCGGACAGAATATCTCCGTAGGATTTACCGGCCCAAACAGCTAGAAGAGGTGCCATGTTCATGTCTTCGCACCACCACAGATACTCATCCAGGCCAATCGCATCTGTGTTCGGGTAGAACCAGTCGCTTTCCCTTCCTGGTCGATCAACTACCGGGCCAATCGTGGTGTTCCATTTCCAGCGGCTTTCGACTTGCAATCCTTCAAGGTTGTTTCCACCGGGGAATCGCAGAAATGCAGGATGCATCTCGTCTAGAAAGGAAGCAAGATCATCCCTCAGTCCATTCTCCCGTCCCTTGAAGGTCGGCGGAAACAGCTGGATATATCCAAAGTTCAATGAGCCCCCGCCTACCTTCGAGCCATCAAAAGTCAGATGCCACTCATTATGCCCATCCGGAGAGTATGTGGTGTTGAATCTGGTTTTGAACTCGGTGAACTTCGACTTCGTACTCTTGACAGTAACGTTGTGATCGGCATAGATGATGCCACTTTTTGATCCAAGAAGCTGCAGGTTGATAGTTCCCGAATACTCACCCATCATCCAGAACGAGCTGTTGTATGCGGCACCTGTGACGGGAATTCCATTGTATCCGGTGTTGGCAAATCCAACGTAGTCCGTGACGCCTTTGGGCACTTCAACTCTCAGAGAAGACGTGATAGCCTTGCTGACTGGCTTTGATGAATCTTGGGATATCGTCGCATTCCCCACTGGTGCGTATGCGGTGATATTCAGACTGGTGCCTTGGAAGCCATTATTCTGAAGCAGCTGTCCATGAATTCCACCGTCGCCTTTCGCGGAATCAGCAGAGACTCGAGAATTCGGCCGACTGAAGCTTCACCTGAATGGTCCATTTCCTTGATCATACTTAGCATGGATCTAGCTTGATCAAGATTTGATACTCACCTCGAACATGATTCCGTACAGTATGGGACTTGACTTGTTTCCGCCGTCATTTGCAACGGTCAGTCTGGTTTCCGTTGAGCTGTTATCATGAGCCATAGCACCGGTGCAATATGTGACCAGAATGATGCATATCGCATAGCCGAAACTGGCTTGTGCCAGAGGGGTTGACCTCATCCCGAGTCAAACTGAACTGTACAATCAACCTTACAAAGCAGCCCTGAAGGTAAAGGTTTTTGGTCATCCTCAGGGCAATGGGGACTCTTAGTAGGCTCTGCCCCTGTGGAGACCGAGGCTGGCTTACTCCACAGGGGCATCATGGACCCTGTTCAGGGATTCAGGTCGACGTGGTTTGGCTCAATGATACCTTGGAAACGAACATCCAATCGATGGGCGATATTCAGGCACTCGGTGTGTTGATTCTGCGTCGGTTGCAATGTATAGTAGAGTCGTGACGTCAGATATTCACATAGGGTCAACCATCTGTGCAGTGATTTTGAAGGCTCACGATGTTCAGAGATAGTCTGAGGAGATATCTGGAGCTTGAGCAGAAATGTAAAGAGTCGGAGTGGACTACATCGCCACTCCAAAATAACAATCGCGATCCCGTGAGGTCCCCAGGGCGCTTTGTTTGACCCGATCTACACCTTGACATCGTTGATGAGACTGTTTTCAGCTAAATGATTCAAACTAATATCATCTATCTTAGAGACATACTATCTATGCTCCGTACTGCCTTGCTGTCTGAAAAAATGAGGCTAGTCGGGCTGAATGGTCTTCGATTGGCCAGTATACAGCGGTTACATTCAGGCGACAGCGAGATAACACGAAATGGAGACAGGTCTTTCTTGCAGCGGTTTATCAACCTTAAAATATTAGTGTCGTGATGCTATACTAATTTTGTATACGGTGCTTGAATATCATGTCTTCAGGTATGGATTGTGCCCATGGGTCTTTCATCCACCTTCGCGTTTGCTACGCTTTCGTTTCCTTTTCTTCAGCACCTTTCTTTATTCCTTCTTCCTCCTTCTCTTCCTCCTTCTGCTACAATGAACTGCACCCCGCTTTATCCTCGTCCCCGGATGTCCATCGATGGGTCTCAGAGCTGTCCAAAGCGTGATCGTGAGATTGGGCATTCTTCCCTGTGCTGAATCCCTACTGGTGACGGTTTCTTTTCCGCTTCTAGTATGTCTGGAGGATTAGCACTTACAGATACCATGCTCACCATGACAACCGCGGCAATTGTCACGCGGCAATTCCATCCACGGCTTGCGTTTGATCGCTTGCCGGATCTGCTCGAAACACTCGATGATACTGATATTCCTCTCGATTAAAGAGTGTGCACAAATTGAGGAAGCAGAATATCTTCGAAATCAAATCTACATCTTGTTCTTCGGAGACATGTATCAGGTAGAGCGGCAGACAGTCATTGGTTTATCGAACACGACCCAATTCATTAGACAAGGCCCTCTAGAGCGGTATCAACATCAACTTATTCCATGCAAAAAGAAAGAAAAAGAAATCAGACAAGGCCCGAAAGTTAAAGAACCAATATTGAGAAAGGTGCCAGGAGGGACGTGAGAAAAAAAGGGAGAACAAAATGATTAACAAGGGATTTCAAGGTATGAGAGGGCGTAAAATGCATATAGTCGATAAAGTGTACAGAGAATGAGACAAGTATGAAGTAGAATGGGGCGAATGGAGACGAAAGAGAAGTGGTGTCACTCGGGAGAGTGAGAGCTTCCAATGAGACGATGAAGATGAGTCCAAGGATGTGCCAGGGTCGCATGGTGCGACATGGGGGTCGTGATACCAGGTATCAAGGCGAGGTGGCTCGCTTCCAAAACTTCCAACCTTCTCTCCTCTCCTCGAGGCCGACACCAACAAGGCGTTCAATGCCTTCAGGGCCCTCTGCTTCTTCGAACTTCTCCTGGTCGATCTCCTCGCCGCCTTCTTCGTCCGTGCCGTTGCGGACAATGGCAGGCCAGAGGACACCGACACCGTCCCCGCCAAGAGTGACCTCGTACTTGGTGAAACCTTCCTCGTCGAACTTCTCTTCGAGGTCCTGCTTCACGCTGGAGTTGGCGTTAGGGCGGAGCAGTGTAATTGCGCACCCACCACCGCCAGCCCCGGTCAACTTGGTCCAGCCAATATCCGCGTAGTCGACGAGTTCTCGAATCCGTTCGAGACGAGGGTGAGAGACGCCCAGGGAGACGAGGAAACCGTGGTTGATGCGGATGAGATCACCGAAGTGGCCAAGTGTCGCTTCGGAGATACCCTGGAAATCGGGGTCCTGGATCAGGCGTTGTGCGGAGCATGTCACTTCATCGATGGCATTGAGAATGGACTCGGTCACGATGGGGTGGGCTGTTCGAAGCTTGCCCACCTTCTCGACTTCGGTCTTTGTTGATCGGGCTTGTTGGGTATTCACGAGGAGGAGGGGTAGTTCGGGGAAGGTGGGCAGGGGCACTACCGTGGGAGGCTTCGTATAATCATCGCGGCGGAAAATCACGGCCTTGCCGCCTGCGGCCACCGTGTTATCCACGCCGCTGGGGTTGCCATGGATGCAGAGCTCTCCCACGAAGGCCCAGCGGTTGATGCGCTCGATCTGTGTTTCGGCCTCCTCGGGGGGTTGGTCGGGGTGGGGGCCAGACAGGGTACGGATCTGAAGGAGAAGGGCGGCGCTCAGGCAGACGCAGACACTGGCGCTGCTGCCTAGGCCTGCTCCGGTGGGGATGGTCGATCGAAGGGTATATATGGCGCCGGGGCTTTGGGGGGAACCGAGAGAGAGGAAGAGGTAGAGGAATGAGGAGGCAGAGCGGATGTGGATTTTGCGTTGCTCTTCTGGAAGACCGAGCCCCTTGGAGACCTCCTGGAGGTGTGGTTCAATGGCCTCGACCAGCTCTGGATCGAGCTCGGTCACAAGACTGTAGTAGAACTTCTTTTTTGAGGGCTGGTGGAACTTCTCCCACGGTAGGGTGTCGATGTTCCAGGTGTGACTGAGTCCCAGATCTCTGAAATTTAAGGTGATCGTGCGCTGTGATTTGGAGAGGGTGGTGACGAGGAGATAGGAGCGGAGGGAGATCGCGGCCGCCATCGCAGCCTTGCCGTGGACCACGGCATGTTCACCGAAGACGATGACTTTGCCTGGCGCCGACACCATAAATGTCGGTGCCATTGGCGACGAGGCCTTGCGCGTCATTTTCGGTCGCTTGGGCTTGTCGGCCTGCGATTCTGCGGAAACGGAGGAGGCACTGTCGGAGGTCTCGTCCGCGGAGCTGGTTCCATTAATTCCATTAATCCCATTGGAATGCGCCAGGGCGTTGACTGGGTCAAGGAAATCCACCGTTCGACGGCGCGGGAGGGCAGCGCCGTTCGTTTCGGTCATGACGGCGGACATTGGAGTAGAGAAAGGACAATCAGACAATCATAGCAAGGGATGCGGAGTCAAAGGGGAACTGAGATGTACGGAGAACGGAGTATACCAGGGGGACGTGCCCAATCACAACCACCACATATCGAATTGGTCATCTTTCTCCATAGTTTCTTCGCTACTACATTCCTGTTTGCTCGTCTTTTGTTCGTGTTCTGTTTATTCGCTTCGTTTGGTTTACCTAACTTGAATCCACTGGGCAAAGACCCCCGTGCAGAGATTTCGTGGCGTGCAGTAGCGCCGGGATGATCATCTCTATGCTCTGAGCTACACGGTACAGAGTACAGGCTTCACCTCAGATACTGAAATATGTAGAATTGGATTCAAAAATAGACCGAAAAGGCTATGGTATGCATAACGACACTGACCCGACACGGGAATGGTGTACAGGTGCCCAAGGGTGACGGAATCAGGTGCATATATGCATCTCCCATCTATCGCGCTGACTCTATCGCACTGTACAGGAGAAAAAAGCAGGTTCATGAAATCATAGGTTCATCGTCACAGTCATGCTGTTGCTGTGGACCAGCAGACACGGTGGCAGATCTTGCCACAGCACTTCCAAGTCACTGAGGAAGGACGCACTGTCCTCCGCACTAAGCGAGGTGCCCTCCACGGGAGACGGCAGGGTGGTGAAAATAACCGCTGTCTCACCACTCTGCTGTGCCATCAGCTCGTTCAAAATCAAATGTTGCGCCCGACTCGGGAGGTCATTGAAGGACAGCGGCACAGAGGCCACACCGGGGTATCCGGTGGCTTGTGCATGTGCATGTACATGTGAGCTGCCGTGGGTGCTGGGCGAAGAAGGGGACACGGCAGATGGGCGACGCGCGTAGATCGAATCCAGCTTGTTAGTGAACCGAGGGGGTGAGTTCTGGGCGGCAAACATGATGGAAGGACCATTGTTCTCCTCCGCCTCGGCATTCACTTTGGCTTCGGGGATCGGGGAAGAGCTAAACCGGTTACTCGAAGGGGAGCGATTGATTGGCGGCCGGCGAACGGTGGGTTTGCTCTTGGGAGAAGCATCTTCACCGGTCTCAATGATCGAGGGGATTGGCTCGGGACGGTCGATCCCTTCAGCCCGAGAGCTCGTGATCCCTGGTGAATCGGCACTAGGGCTGCAGTCTTCGGTCTTGGCTCTTCCAAGAAGCCTTGAAGGACCAGATACCGGCAGTGGCTCATTCTGGGCGCTGGCTAGGTCCTCGCCACCATCCTCCGGCTCTGGGTCGCTGGTGTAGGCTTCCAAGTCGCTGTCTTCACTTTCACTCGAGCTGTCCGAGCTATCGTAGTTGACGAAAGCATCTAACAAGCGGTGTGTCTGCATGCCAAGGTTCACGCCGCCCAACGCCCGGAAGCTAGAAACGGATCGCCTGCGGCGAGTAGATTGGATCAATTTTCTCAGCCCAGTAACTCGGTGATGTAAGGCTTTAGCTCCACTGTCCTGGCTCGATGGTCCTTGCCAGCTATACGACTTGTCCAAGTGCAAGCTGTCACTGGCTCGGTCGGAATCTTGTGGATCGTGGGCTTGAGTGCGAGCTTGGAGGACTCCCTGCCACCATTCCTCTCCTTGCAGGGTCGACTTAACTTTCTCCTCCGCGTTGGGCGACGCTGCCGACGTATCGCCATTCACGATAATACGGTATGACTGGAGATCGCCGCATGCAAGCCAGAATACGAGGACTTCGGCCTCAATGCGTAGTTTCTCGAGAAGGGCTTCAACTCGCGCTCTTTCGTCTTCGACGTCGGTCTCATATTCCACAAAGACTGCAACTCGAATCTTGTATGTCTTCTTCCACGACGGAACTGTATTGAGGATGCAGCCCAGCTGAAGGATCAAGGTGTATGTATCAAAATTAGTGGTCAACACATTTTGCTTGCTTTCATGGTCAGCCCCAAGCTCGGCGGACATCTGAATAGGCCACAGGTCAATGTATTTCTTGGTATGGCGACCGTGAGGATCAGGCAGCTCTAAATCCTCAAATCCTTTTGCCACGGCGACGTTGATCCGCAGCTTGAACAATAGATCTTCAAGGATTGTGACATAGCTTTGCCCGCTCATGGGTGGATTCTGCGGTCCAGGCTGCGGCTCCTCGGTTCGTGTACTGGCGCGCCGACCCTTGGAATCCCTACGACCACTGTGCGCAGACCATGTCTCAACGAGCGATCGATCCTCTCGGAATTGGTCGATGACAACAATGTTCGGTCGCATACCTCCCAGGCCAGAGTTGAGAACGATGTTCCTCATCCCCCACTCCGCGGCGGGAGAAATAGAGATGTTCACAAAGGCTTTGATCTTGGAGTATTCGACAAACTTTGTCCACGCTGTCTGTTGGCGACGTGCTTCAGGAACCGCAGCTGAGAAATCATCGGTCACGAGGACATGGGCCAGGACAAACAGCGCTCCTTTCTTTAGCGAATTGCAGAAAGAGACCATCTTGTACTGCTTATCCAAATCGCTGACGAAAAGCAGGATTTGAGGCCGCCAGAATTTGACGTGCTCCTGGCGCAGACGAAGTAAGTACTTTCGGACTTGGTGGTAGATCAAGCTCTGGCTAACATCGCCCCAAGGCTTGGGCGGCGAGCTATAATGAATCAACAAGAACAGGATGACGAGGATTCCCACGCATCCTGTGGCATATAGCCCGTCAACAAAGAACATGCTGACACCGCTAACCAACGTCCCTGCCGCAGCCGTCTGCCAGTTGAAGTAGTGGAACGACGGACGAAAGTTTGGCGCCGAGCCAATCTTCAACAGGAAACATGCAAGGTTGGTAACCAAAAAGGTCATCAAGTAAGTCATTGTGACAAAGGAAGCGATGCGATTGATATCAAACAACATCGTGACTTGGGCGAACACGAAGGTCACAATGATCGCATAGACCGGGTCGTCGGTCTTCTTCGTTCCTTGCGCGAACATTCCGATTCCAGGCAGGAGACTATCGCGTGCAATAGCTTGCAGGAGTTTGGCAGATCCAATAACGCCCATCAAAGCAGAGAAGAAACTTGTCGCGAATTCTCCAAGGAGAATCACACTATCAGAAGCGTTGACCTAACTTCCATCAGAGCCCGACTCGTCTGTCGACGTGGATTGACTTACGACTTGGATAACGTTCACATTATTGTAGAACGATTCTCGAGTAACTGAGGCCGCCATCGCGAGAATGACAAGCCCATAGGAGATAAATGTCAATGCCAATCCCGAGAGTGTACCCTTGGGAATGGCCTTGCTTGGATTCTTGAGGTCACCAGACATGCTTGCACCGCTGATGGCAAATTAGCCAAGTCTACAAGGAATTGTACGTTACTTACGCGAATATGCCTCCCGTGGCGGGGAACAGGATGCCAAAAAGATCCTGGAAGTTCTCTCTTCCTTTGATTTGGCTCCCAGCAGCTCCTTTGGTTAGGTGAGGTAGAAGGTTGTCCACCAAAGTTTTCAGTCGAAGTCCCGTAAACTCAACACCCTGGCGAGGAACCGGGAAAGGCTTCATGAATATCGCCGAAAGTGGAATGCTGAACGTGGCGACCAAAAGTATGACCAACAGGCCATTGCTTGCTCTGGCAAATATCGAGCTTCCTGCTAAGCAGATGGCCGTGCAGAGTATCAGAATCACGGTTCCCCACAGATACTGCCACCAAAAGCCTTCCTGCAGGAAGTTGGCCCAGTCGCCCGATTGTGTGCCAAAGTTCTGGGTGAAGCAATCTACCAAACCAACGGCGTTCATACCAGTGTTGAATACTAATCCCAGATAAAACACAATGCCAATCGAGCCACCGAACTCGGGACCTAGAGATCGAGAGATCAGGTAGTAGGCACCGCCACCTCGAACTGTTCCGTTGGTTGCAATCGCAGATAAAGACATCGTCGTCACCAGGTTGATAGTATAAGAGATAGCGAGAAGGCCTGGGCGGGATTAACACTGGGACAAGATCAGCTCGAAGCCCTTCTTACCTAGAATACCCAAGACACCAGCCTGTCCCAGGATGAACCCGAAGCGAAGGAACATCAGAATACTCAGTACATTCAAGGTTGTGGGCACGAAGACACCTGAGAATGTTCCAAGCTTCTTCGGTTCATCAAAGGATCTCGAGCGGTGCCCATTCTTGTCCTTCTTATCGGCACTCGAATCTCGAAGCGGTCCTGCCGCAGGCATAGGCACATGTTGAGAAGTCGCATCTCCACCAAGCTCTCCTTCCTGAGCACCATCGGCCCGTCTACTCCACCACCTAGATATCCCGTGGAAATAATCTGACGTTGAGGAATTCTGCAGGTTCTCGCTTCGTTCTGTCGAGTTCATGGGCTCATAGGGACGGGCCCATCGAGTAGGGGGCCATGGAAGCAGTCTAGTACGCTCATCTGAAGTGGAATGGGCCGAGTCCCCAGGTGCCAGGCGAGACACATCCTCCTGGGCGGTTCGTGTCGAGAAATTAGGGCGCCGCCGAGACAGGGAGTCGGAGGACTCTCCGACTCGTTCGGTCGACATCTCAAGAGCAATGTCTAGAGAATGAACATAGGGCCGTATGTAGTAACTGTACTGGAGAGAATGTCAATGGTTTGAAGGACACTGTCGAGTCCTCGTCCGAGAAAGAAAACAACCTACATTGGCCGATATGACGTTGGTATGCAAACGGTGCAAACTGTGTCAACCGCCGATCACCTCGCTGCTTGGCGTGGCTAGTCTGTCTCAAAGCCTCCTCGATCACACTCTGTTTCACCCACCTTTTCCCCCCGAGCATTTGTACCAGCCAGCACTCGTTGGCCTACACTGGGTTGTTCCATGCCCATCTGTCGAGTGTGAATACTGGCCAGCTGTCAGCTAACGTGACCCCAAAAGCCACCTTCACGATGGCAGATAACGGAGAGGGATCGTCCCTTACCCCAGCCCATTCTATGCCCATAGCCTCCCCCTCGGTGCGCTCGAGGTCTCCCGGGCCTGATGTAGGGAACAGACAGGCATCTATCGCACGCCTCGCCTCGCCTGTGCCCTCCCCTTCTTTGGGAACATCCCTGTCGTCTCGTCAGGGTATCCCAGCCATGCGACCTGTTGTGAATCCTTCGGATCAGGAATTCTCGAAGTCATACACCAACCAGGCATCGCTTCCAGGTCCCGGACAATCTATGATCGCATCCCAGATCCAAGAGAGCCTGGGTCGCTCACCGCCACGATTTGGAACTCCCTCACGATACACCGGGTCTCCTGCTCCCAACCCGATTCTCGATAGCCGACCGGTTGCCTCTCAATATGGCTCATTTGACACCAAAGCTGGATCCGAAATGCCTGGAATGGGACCGAACGAAGACCCCGAGGTCGTCAAGAGACATCTAGTCATGGACCCTGGAGACAACCAGTCTGAGATCGCCACCAGCTTTGGTGGAGAAGACCATTTCTCGAGCTTACAGCTGCAGGGTGGTGATATCACACGACAAGTCTACCGCTGGGCGGAGGACGCAGAGGCCGAGGCCGCAGGACGTTTCCTGCGCAGCAAGAGTTTCAGCGTCAGCCGGCCAAGACCAGAAGCTGAGACGGAAGACATCGATAGCATCCGGGTTCCAGGAGGATTTCGCAGAGATTACCTCCGCAGAGCTGCTGGAAGCCCTGTTCGGGGGAGTGCTCAGGGGTCCGTTCGGGGCGGACCCAGTGGACATGCTCCCCCACAGCTCCCTACCACGAGCTTTTTGGAGTTCTTGACTCTATACGGTCACTTTGCTGGTGAAGAGTTAGAAGAGGACGATGAGGTCCTGGGACCGGATGAGTATTTCTCGTCTGATGCCTGGGATGAGCCAGAAGAGGGCAGAGAGTCTGGAGAAGACGCAGCCCTCTTGCAAGGCGAGACGCCGGGTCGCAAGAAGAGAAAGCACAAGCAGCGCTCGCCGGCTGGAACCACGACCACAACAGGTGCGGTCCTTCTGCTGCTTAAGTCCTTTGTTGGTACTGGTATCCTCTTCTTGCCCCGTGCTTTCTTGAACGGTGGCATGCTCTTCAGTAGCATGGTTTTGCTGGGAGTCTCGATCCTCAGCTACTACGCTTTCATTCTTTTGGTCAACACTCGCATGAAGATCGAAGGTTCTTTCGGTGACATTGGTGGCATCTTGTACGGAAAGCACATGCGACGTATCATTCTTGGATCCATTGTTCTCAGTCAGCTGGGCTTTGTGTCGGCATACATCGTCTTCGTTTCGCAAAACCTGCAGGCATTCGTGCTGGCCGTGAGCAAGTGTCTCACTTTCATCGATATCAAGTACTTGGTTTTGCTGCAGTTGATCATCTTCTTGCCTTTGTCTTTGATTCGGGATATCAGCAAGCTTGGCTTCACTGCGCTGATTGCTGATGTGTTCATTCTCTTGGGCTTGCTTTACATCTACTACTACGATATCAGTACTTTGGTCAGCCAGGGCGGTATTTCGGATGTCAAATCCTTCAACCCCAACACCTGGTCCATGTTCATTGGTACTGCAATCTTCACCTACGAGGGCATCGGTCTGATCATTCCCATCCAGGAATCGATGAAGAGGCCTACCAGGTTCCCTGGTGTGCTGGCCGGTGTCATGGTTGTCATCACATTCATCTTCCTGTCTGCGGGTGCATTGAGCTACGCCGCCTACGGATCGTCCACCAAGACTGTCATCCTCCTCAACCTTCCCCAGGATGACAAATTCGTCAATGTGGTTCAGTTCCTTTACTCGCTTGCCATTTTGCTGAGCACTCCGCTCCAGCTCTTCCCCGCGATCCGTATCATGGAGAACGAGTTGTTCACGCGCAGTGGAAAGTACAACCCGTACATCAAGTGGAAGAAGAACGGCTTCCGTTTCTTCTTGGTTATGGTCTGTGCTGTCGTTGCCTGGTGTGGTGCGGATGATCTCGACAAGTTTGTTTCACTGGTCGGAAGCTTTGCCTGTGTTCCGTTGATTTACGTCTACCCGGTATGCTTTACTCCCGTCTTTACTGATTGCATAACTAACACGATATCTTGCTCTAGCCCCTCCTCCACCTTCGTGCTTGTGCTCGTTCCAAACGCCAAGCCATCGCCGATGTGACCCTCGCTGTCTTCGGTGCAATCTGTTGCATATACACGACCTCTCTGACCCTTGCAAGCTGGATGGGTCCCGAGGTCCCACAGAGCCCTGGTTACTGTGACTCGCACTAAGGTTGACCTTTACTCGTTGATATCTTTCGTTCTAGAGCGTGGCTAGCCAGCCCTTGGGACCTTGCATTTTGTGGTTTTATCTGATCCTAGACTGGCATTTCATTGGGCTTATATTTGCTGCTTTGGCGCATGTACGGATGGCAGCCTTGTGACTTTACAAAATTGGGAACTTGTCAGTATAGTTAGCGTATTTACGGGGTGAGCAACCCTTTGTACACATACATTCCGGTTTCTTCCTCTGTTCAAAACTTCCTTTGTTTACCTCAGTTCTTCGCAGCTCCGTCGGGCATCTCCAGATATATGGAGATGTATGAAGACATTCGAAAACCTACTTGGAAAACCTACTTGGAACTCTGTGAGTCAAGTCATTCCAAAATGGAATATGATTCAAGTGCACCAAAGAGCCTATGTACAGTGGCTACCAACGCTGGGGCTAGAGCCCCAGCGTTGTTGGTAGCGAAGTGGTCTTCGCACCCGCAAATCTTTCTATATGCCTCTCGTTCGTTCAAGGGTCGGCTTTTCTGCCCCAAGACAAGACCTCCAGATCATTTACGTAGGGAAATGCGATACCACAGGATATCAACACCTCAAGATCCCCAATGAGAAACAAGAAATGTGAATCAGTCTCTACTTCGAGAGGGAATTTAAGCACCGCCCTCGGCAGCAGCACCACCCTTGGCGGCCTGCTCAGCGAGCTGCTTCTCACGGCCTCCCCAGCTGTAAGGATAGATGTCAGTATGTGCAAAATGTGTTGATTTGAGCTCATGTAGAGCTCATGTACGCTGATGGGGTGGGGAACGTACTTCCAGTAGTTGAGATAACGGTAAGCCTGGGTAGTCTGAGCGCCGAAGTTGGTAAGGTGGCAAGCGAAGAGGAGGTAGTTCTTGGGGGTGACGGCAAGGGAGTAGCGCATGAAGGTAGCGGCGTAGACGACAAGGGCACCGGTCATGGGGCCGGAGATACTAAAAAGCGAAGCTGTTAGTACCATTGCACTCGCTTCCGAATGTGTAAAACTGAGCAAGGCTCAAAGCTCCCTGCTCATAGGATCTTGACGTACATCTCAGCATCCTTCTGGGTGTCCATCACAGCGGCGATGGGGATACCGAAGTTGGAGACGGGGCCCCAGAAGTCTAGAAGCAATTGACAGTTAGCATTCCACTGCGACTCGAATCTCGTTTGAATATAGTATCAAGCGCAGCTGGAGAGGTGTCGTCGCTCCATGCCCCAGGTGCTTATTCTCCTTCGGTCTCATTCGCCGTTGGCCGATCTCGGTGCGGGAAGCGTTTCGGGGAACTTGAACGTACGGGTTGAGCAGACATAGTCCAGCACCGAGTTGGAGCGAATCTTTGCGTTGATAGCCTTGATAGCAGCAGCCATGACGAAGTTGCTGGATCGGTATCACAATTGGGTTCGGGGGAGGTGAGGGTGGTTATCAGAAGAATGCTCGAGCACCCGGCGTCGGCCGCGTCACGTGCATCTTCCCCCAGCTATCTCCGGGGTACTTCAGACAATATTGTTCAATTTCTGATAATTGATTTATTTTTTTGGTGGCGAATAGATCAGTTCTAAGCAGCCGTCATTCAACCTGACACGATGTCATTGCCCTGATCATGGATTTTAACAGCAGGTTGGATGCAAACTGCACCCGTTGACCTACCAAGCGCTGGATATATAACGAAGGATATACATAGGTATGACTTTGAAAACTTGAATCAGCCAAATTCCAAGGTTGCTGTCCTAGCTAGGCCCACAGGGATCTTACCCAGACAAGCATGACAAACCATACCTATGTAGGTAACAAATACCTACATACTACCTAGGTAGGTAGGCAATCTTTTACTGAAGCAGTAGTATCAAGAACCTTGGAACTAGGAACAAATGCATTCGCAGACCTGACAGCATGTCGACAAGGAGGTCTATGTACCCGGGCTATAGTCCACGAACCAAGACCATACAGCGCAAGACGCAATCAGACCTCGAGATGCGATTGTAGGATATCAATGTCATGAAATTGGGTGGAAAAAGTCGCGTGCACCAAAGCTAACATTATTTTTGACCTAATGCGAATTCAAAAGGATTTCAGTCGCGTCTCCGTCCTCGACACGACCTCCATCCTGCGCCGTAACGCCTTGCCCAGTAGAATATGGGTTGATCTAGCCTGCTCGTGTATCGCTTTTTGCCAAGGCATCGAAAGCGGCTTTTCTTCTGCACCGAACCGCCCTAGTTTTCAAGTTATAACAGATTGTCGATGTTGTGAAGCGTAGAATCTTCCTCTTTTCACGTCTCAAATTATCTACCACCGAAGCCTGGGGGAGGGAAGCCGCGGCCCTGGCCAGGGGGTTGGAAGCCAGGAGGAGGCTGGAAGCCGGCAGCTGGAGAGAACGGTTAGAAATGTATCTGGTGAGGGAGAGACCAATGAAGAAGACTTACGGGGACCGCCTTGGGGCGCGAATCCAGGGGGAGGGGCAAAACCAGCTAGAATTGAAGTGAGTACATATTCCAGCATGTGTGTTCATCGGGGTACTTACGAGGTCCAACGGGGGGACCACCACGTCCAGCAAAGCCAGGAGGAGGAGCACCGGGGAAGCCACCGGGAGGGAAACCGAAGCCACCAGGGGGAGGGGGACCACCGACTCCGGCAGCAGGACCTCCGAGTCCAACGGGCAGGCCACGACCAGCGGGCTTGCTGATACCGGGGCCAGCGGCGAGGGTAGCGGGAGCGCCACCGGGACCAGCAGCACCAAGTCGGGCAGAGGGATCGGCGGGAGGAGGACCGTCAACAGAGCACGAGACGACTTGAGTTCCGCGAACAATGGTCAGACCGAGAGTTCGCTTCTCTTCCGCTTCGACCAGCGGGGCATTTGCGGGACCGGCGGCGGACTTGGACTTGCGCTTGATGCGACGGAACTCTTCTGTGTCGGCGAGAACGAGGTTCATGTGCTAGAGCGAAGAAAATTAGCGGAGGCGCTTCTATCACCGCGGAAGAGTTGAGTACCTTATCGAATGCCAGCATCGAGCCGGTCATTTGGCGTCCATCGTTCAAGGTCACGCGCATCCGGTAGTTGATCTGTGAGATGAGTCAGATAATGCAATTGAGCACTTCAATCTGAGAGAGGAGAACGCACGAGGTTTTGCTAGACAAGAGAAGTTAGCGACAGCCGTTGACCGCAGTGTTCATGAGAATGAGAAACTCACCATCTTGTTAGTGGCCATGGTGGCTGAGGAGCGCGCACGGATGCGACTTGAGGGTTCAAAAAATGAAAGACAGTAGATAGAGCAAGCCTCTCTACTGTGGGAAGTTGAGTAAAGGCGTGAGATCCTTTTCCAGTTGTGAAGCTTGAGCTCGCTCGGATGCTACGAGTTCTTGATAGGAAATTACATAATACCAAAATCAGCTGACTGGTCCCTCCAGCTTTCTGCCTCGTCAACCAGGCCACAACATCCATGTCCACATGCGAGGTAGTCTCCGTCGCCGTATATTTGTGCCAACCAGGCTAAATGGGCCAGCAATTAATAGAAGCCACTTTATCAATGTAGGCTCTCGGTGAAATATTGCGGGGCAGCCCCCCTATCTTAGTGGGATTGATAAATGGTCCTCCCCCCCCCCCCCCCCCCGACGATATGAACCTACATCTTTTGATCAGCCAAAACTGGAGTCGGGTTTTCGTCAAATTACAATCTATAGCATCCCAGATCTCGGAAAACATAGTTTTTGTGCAGATCTGACCTCAAGTCCCTGGTCCTAACTATAGGAACGAAGTCAAAAACGCCATCGAACTATAAGCAATCACCACAACCTTGGAACCTTGGAACAGGCTTCGTCAATGAAGTACTAACTTTTATGACGCCAATAAGCCTATCAAACTCAGATATTGAACTCACATTCCAACAGCCCTGAGCGTTTCAAATTACGATGCACCCTTTGCTCTCGAGAACAAAGCGTGCTATTCATGGACTACGGACCAAAAGCAGCGTACAAGGGGTTCGCCAAAGAGCGAAAACGTCAAGGTAGGTAGGATAAAAAACATTAATATATGCAGAGCTCAAAGGAATTACAATGATAATTAGTTGATTTATATGCATTTAAAATTACGAGTTGGGTTAGATGCGTCACAGGGACTCGCTTAGGGATGACAGGATCAAACTTGCTATAGTTCATAAGATATATTCATTCTCGTCAATCATAATACAAAAGAAATGTCATAGCCACGAAAAAAGCAAAGGAAAAACAAGTCAAAAGAGTGAAGAACAAGAAGACGTAAAAGAGAAAAAAAGACTCGACTCTAACACCGATTCCCTAACTTGCGCCAACTTGCTGCATAGACCATTCTAGTCTTTGAAACTGCTCGTCCTCGGCCAAGGGCCAATAAGAGACGAGCAAACAGCACAAAAGAGATAAGTAGCAAGGGAAAAGAAAGTCCTGGGTATCATTGTGAGCATGAGTGATCCAAAAGAACCAAGGTCGACCGCCAAGTACACATGTTGAATTGAGGCAGGAAGCATCTTAGATTTTAACGATGTTCAGAAATAAAATGGCCTGGGGCCACGGTTCAGAGCATTCTGAGCAGTCCTCGTAATGCCTCTGAGTCCCTGCTTGACGACCTGGGGCTCTCGGACAATAACGTTTGGCCGAGGAGGAGGAGGAGGAGGAGCATACCCACGCCGCTGAGGCTGAGGGCGGGGAGGTGTGTAGGAATAGCCTGCTGGCTCCCTGTCGAACTGTGTACGCAATCCCTCCCTTCGAGGCACCCGGGTTTCATAGCGACGGCCGGGCTCTGGCATTCGATCGAAGGTTGGGGAGGCCGGACGTGTTCGACCATACTCGGGACTATACTCGGGAGGACTTTCGAAACGAACATGTCTGTCACCTCTGCGAGGTCCCCTCGGCTCTCGAGTGACATACTCCTGTGGTCTGTGACAGGTGTATTTAGTAAATATTGGCGGGTTTGGTAGATACCGGGGCCTGGGAGCGTACCGGGTGTGGGTTCTGTATTCACGGTGGGTGGGTTCTCTTGGGTGGACCGACTCTGAGCTGTAGATCGGTGCTGAGCGATAGCCGAACCAGGAATCGAAGAAGCCCATGTTGTAGGGTCCCGAAGTTCTCGTAGTTTTGAATCGTGTTTGGGTTGAGTATCCGTTCGTCGAGGTTCTGACGTAGCAGTACTGAGTCTTTCCGACAATTTGGATGTAGTAGGTACGCTACGTCGAGTCAGTTTGGAAGATGAGACTCGAAGATGAAACCGGGCGAAAGGGCGATTAATATGACTTGGAGTGAAAGACAATGCATTTCAGACAAAAATACTTGCACAAAGAAGGGGACAATGAGACAATGAGACAAAGCAGGATGACGAACCTCGAAGGTGCAAGGTGAGAAAGACATGCGGATTAAAGAGTCACTGGGTTTCGAGCAGCTGATATTCACAAAGAAGTGATGTTGATATTTATACGACGCTCAAAGGCGTACTACTTATAGCTCAAAGACATCACACACACACGGGCATAGCAGTGCCACATTATATCCCATGAAACAGTTACTGACAGGCAGCACCTTGTAATGGAATTTCAATGTTCATAGTTGGGTGTGTTAAGGGTATGTTGATATAGCAGGCTGGTATCGTACTGGGTCACAAGGGGCGCAGTCACCAGAGGCCAACCACACAGGTGACGAGGGAACCTTTTCCTCACGGGTCAAGTCCACACAGTTGAATGTTCCTAGTCAAAGAGGCTATAATATGAATGCTATTGTCTTATTATTGCACCCAAACCAGGGCGTGTGTTGGTGATGGACTAGCGCCTCAGGCGGCTGTTGATCTAATGAGCCACCGCCGCGAACGAGCCAATGAACCCCTCCTGCTTGACATCACGGATATGCAGGTTCACCGCGCAACAGTTACAAAGTACGTACTGGCACCATCCAAGCCAGATCGAGGGATGTAGCCTACCAGCCACACACGAGCCACGGGGATCGACGAATCACGGCTGCAGTCTCCCATGTTGGCTCTAAAAACCCAACGGCGACTACGAGCCAACCATCTATACTTCCGCAGCGGTTGTTCCTACAAACTACTGCAATGTCATGTAAGAAATGTACTATATTCACGGAAACCCGCAGAAAGTGTCGGGCAGCAAGCCACAGCCTCAAAAATGTCATCTCCACCGCTCAATAAAACGATCCTGGTCACTATCACGGCGATGAAGAACATCCATGTTCAGTTTTTGGACCCCATTTTGTAGCCGTACTAATTCTCCCTCGAGGCTCGAGAGCGACTGCTCCTCCAATGGATCCCGTAGTGATGTCTCATAATGAGAGTCAAGGTGCAACGCACCATCCAGCAGCTGGGATGCGTGGTCTAAAGGTGCCAAATGCGTCGACAGAGGCGCGTCCACCGCTATAGTAAGGGTACTTAAGGTCTGGGACATATCACGGCGCTTCTCATGAAGGTCATGAATCCCGCGCTCCCCGCGGAGAGCTTCGGGCGCAATGCCAACGCGCCGTAACAGGGTTTCCAGAACGGGTTGTGGCTGTACAGGGGCGACCGGGGCACGGGGGCCGAGAAGAAGACCGGTTTGCAAAGACCGCCGGCGCAGGGATTCTCGTCGTGATGACGGTTGGGGCGCTTCGATGCCTACTTCTGACTGATACAGAGCAGCTAATTGTTCAAGCAGCTCTGAAGATGACTCGCGGACTTCAAGTTGCTTTGCAAGGTCTTGTTTTGACAGCGTCATTTCGATCAACATATCAAGTGCCTGATGAACATTAGTTTATTGCCCCAATGCCCAATTTTGCAGGGGCCATGTACCTGTTCGAGTTTCTCTTGCGAGGCTTCGCGCAGCTGCCCATGTTCGTTCTGCAGCTCCCGAAGAATGGGCTCGTGGAACTGCTGCCTGGTCGACATCTCTGCTAAGAGTTCAATTTCCGGATAGAGAGACTCGAGTTCCTCTTCCAGCTCTGTGTTCGTTGCCCCGTCAAGGGTGCTAGAGGCGATATTCGCATGGATGCTTTCCAAGTATAGGCGATCGAGACGGTAGTGGATCTCCTCTGCGACGTACTCCGATAGCATTGTGCTCAGATGACTTGTGCGCTTGACCATCGATGCATTATTCCCCCGCACCTTGATGCCCGACATGAGAGCCTCAAGGCTCCCCAGAGCCTTGTCATCCTGCTTCAGCCTGGTCGACAGAGTAGCGAGAATCCGCTTACTCTCCGCACCCGAGTGATCCGTCGTGGTCCGGAAATCTGCTTCTAGCTCTTCGAACAGTTCAGTCGCCTACAGAGAATCAGCAAGATGCGACGCTTCTCGTGGTGGTCAACGTTACCGCCAGTGTAGTACTCTGCCTGCCGGCTTCGTGTTTCTTTCGCAACCGAGCAATATCCTTGTTTCGCTGCTGCTCCAAATTTTGCTCTCGACTCAACTGCTTATTGAGGGTTTCGCATTGCAGCTTTAATGTCTCGGTTTGTTTCTGGACTGTTGCTGTCGAAGCTTCGAGGGATTCGATCGCGCGTCGGAGGTCATCTTCGAGGATTGGTCGTGTCGCGCCAAGGTCTGGGTCTTGAAGAATGGGCTGCAGAGCACCGGATTTCTTTAACTTGTTATATCTGGACTGGAATCAGTGGGTGTTTGCCATCGGAGACTGTTGATGCGTACAGCGTGAGCTCGTCCTTGGATAACAACGTCTCCGGGCGGAGGTGCGTGGAGGCCCACTCCGCATTCCGGGGATCTTCAAAAGCGGATATGATCACATCTCGTTTGTGTGGAATGTCTCGATCCTTGAGAATCGACAACACGGGGGTTTTCATCATTGTTGTGTTGATGCGGAGACAGAGGAGGTGGGAAGTGGAGCTTGGCACGGCATCTCGACGCCCCAGACGAACTCCTACCTAGGTATGTATATCAGAAGGCTGATATACCCACAGTGCAATAGACCAATTGGTCAATGACAACGCTTAGCTCGTCTTAAATTGATTGTTAAGAAGCCAGGCTCTAACCATATTGCAACCCCACAGCTCCTTGCCCCGTTTTTTTTCACTATGCGGCGATAAGTATAGATCTGAAAGAACATCGGCTTTTAATAACTCCTTTGTAGCCTTGATACTAATAGAATCCAGTCCAATGCCTTTGTGCATCCATGATGGACAAAGGTATGCGATCATACAATGACTACCAGAAAGATCATTCTTCGAGTATAAAGGTCGGCTTCGATCCAACAGTATCCTTACCATCAACCCAAACAATTGTCTATTTCACTACCCAAACCAGAAACCAACCCAATACAAACCAGTCTTCATCATGAACCCAATATCCAAGAAAACCGCCTGCGAGTCTTTCGCCCAGGAGCGAAAGCACGTACTCACCGAACTCAAAGGAGTTTCCCACGACTATCTTCACAGCAAACCAAGGCCCGAGATTGCCAACCGCTTGCGCAAGGCAAGTGTCATCGTCGCCGGGTGGTCCAAGAATACCAAGAAGAACAATCTAATCGGCGTTCGTTTCCCAGAGAAGTGCGCCCTCGTGTCAGCCGTCATGAAGGACATGGCTGGTCTGATTGGGGGTGATGCAAAGGTATCTCATGCTTATGTTGTGGCCATGACTGATCAGATCACAAAGAAGCTCAACAAGATCACATCGAAGGATATTGGTAAAGAAGGACAGGCCTTGGACTCCAAGGTGGGCTCGAATTGGGATCTGCTCTCGTATATCGCTGGGTCAATGGCCACTGAAGCCGAACACAAGTAGGTGGATTGATATCATATATTAACATGGCCAGGTGGATTGAATGCAGTTTTGATGTGCATTTTATGTTGCGCTGAATAAATCAGATGCTCGGTTTGCGAATTCGGATTGTCGAGCAGATGCATGCTATGCTGATATTCCAAGGTTGGTGTCTCGTTCTTCTTTTTTATCTTTTATGAAAGTCCATGATATCCAGTTGTTAAATTCATTTTTCTTGTGTAGACCGGGTAGACTAGAGATTTAGCGTAGAAAGTGCAGATATAAACGTACCCAGGAATGATTCCCATGCAGTCTTGGAATCACCAATCACAGTGACATCTATCCAAGAAGCTATCAATGGATGGATATTTACGTATGCGCCTGATCCGCTTGATTCTTTGTTCTTTGAAGCCGCTTTGACCAATGTCCGACACGCATCTGGGTTCTTCCTAGCACAAGGACTTTGAGCCAAAAACTTATCGTCTTGACAATGATCCCGTGTAGCAGCATTGACGACAAGCGGATAGCTATATGCTGCTCAACGGAGTCAAGCCAATACCCAAATCTAGGCCTCAAACTTGAATCATGGAGAGAACAAACTCCATTGCCTGGGCATGCTGCCGGAAGTCTGACGAACAGAAGACATGACACGGAAGATGCCGCGAGATGAAGGTCTGTTATATCCGCAATCGTTCGAGGTCTCTTCACGTCAGGAAAGCCCTGAAGCATGAGTCGATGTCGGACAAGCATCTCCAGCAGCCGTGACAATGCACACACGACGGATATCCTTTAGATGCCCAACGGGCCGAGAGTCATGGGGAAAGCCAGCAGCGAAGCCCTGGAAATGATCAGGAAACCAAACTCGGACATGCACGATGCCGGTTTTCAGCCCTATACGTGCGTGGGTCATGTATGTATCCCCCGTGCCGGGGCTCTGATTGCCGGAGAATGCAGCACCAACAGGGCCACGTCCCTTCCAAACTGACTGTCGGATAGCCCAGTGTTCTAGGACGGTGTCTGGACATCCAATATTCCCAAGAGCGAAGAATATCAGTGAGGCCGACATCTCCGAGGCTCAGCGGGAATGCGGCTGCCTGTGCTGAGTAATCCTCAGCCCTGCGATGCTTTTTTTTTCTTACTTTGTTATTTTCTTTTTGGTTTGGTGAATTGGAGTCTTGTGAGTTCGAAGACAGTGTATATGCAAAGCACAGTTCGTACTTTGAGGACGTCAGTTCGCGGAGTCCCTTATACTACTAGTACGAGTGTCCGAGAGTCGACGTGTCGCGAGTTAGCGCCGCAAATCGTTACCGCAAAAAAGTCCGCCCTTTCGACTTTCGACCCTCGATCTTCGACTTCGGTTTCAACTTTCTTCATCTCTGTAGACCGGAGCTCTGAACTTCACCTGACGACTTGAACGATTCTGCGCCTGTGAGGGTACCGCGATGTCCCTTGAGATCTCTCTGTGAAACCACCTCCGAATCCCCGAATCTCCGATCCAAGTCCCCTATCCAATCGACACATACGCAACATGTCTGCCAAACCCACTACAACAGATTCCCGGGGTCAGAGCCCGGGCCAGACCTCCGGGTCTCCGTCCGTCTCGGGCGGGGGAGACGCCCCGAATGAGGTGGAGATGAAGAGCCTACGGCCTGATCCCCCCAAGGGCTCAATTCCCCTAGGGGAGGATGTGATGCAATTGGCTCGCATGGGAGAAATTGGCGCCATGCAGAACCTGTTTGCAGCCAAGAAGTTCACCGCGAATCATCGCGACGCGGAAGGAATCACCCCTCTGCACGTTCGTTTTCGCCGCACATCCGCCGCAAATCCAAATCATGACTGACATTTGTATTCGTTCTAGTGGGCCGCCATCAACAACCAGTATGCGATGTGTAAATTCCTGCTCGATTCCGGAGCCGACGTCAACGCCAAGGGTGGAGAGTCGGTCGCGACACCTGCCATGTGGGCCGCGCAGCGCTGTCACTACTATATCGTCAATCTCCTGCTCCAGAACGGCGGTGATCCTCTCCTCACGGATGTCCAGGGGTACAATATTCTTCACTTGGCGACCATTGACGGCAATGCATTCTTGGTCGTGCTTCTCCTGCACCAGGAGATTCCTGTGGACGTGGTCGACCAACAGGGACACACTGGGCTGATGTGGGCTGCGTACAAGGGATACCCTATTTGCGTGGACTTGTTTTTGCGCTGGGGCGCGAATGCGAACGCCGTGGATGAAGGTGGTTTGACGCCGCTCCACTGGGCTCTCGTCAAGGGCTCGATGCCTTGCGTTCTCAAGCTGCTGGAATACGGCGCCGATCGCTTCGCAAAGACTCGTGATGGAAAGTCGCCTGCTACTGTCGCGCAGGAAATGAACACCATGCGCGTGTGGTACCGCTCGCTCAACGAGCGTGGCTATGAGCCTGATGGCTCGCAGAAGGTGGTGCCCATGGGATTGTCGAGCTTTGTGCGCAATAAGAGCATCATGGCCAAGTTCTTCTTCCTGTGGCCATGGTTGACGATTCTCATCGCGCTCTGGATGCTCAGTCATTTGGCGATCTTTGTCTCGGTGCCTCTTGTCTTGGTGACTGTGTTTGGTATGCAGTACGTTGCACAGCAGCTTGCGAATAAGGGTCCTCCGGAATACCGCATCTTGCAGAAGACGCCCTATCTGGCGGGTGTCTTTGCCGGGACGCTGTTCTGGGTTGGTCTCCGTTACGTCTTCAAGGTTTTGCCCGCGACTTACTCCTCGAACCCGATTCTGAACATCTTTTTTGCGGTGTTCTTCTGCTCTACGACGTACTTCTACACCTTCTCTATGGTCCAGGACCCTGGCTATGTTCCGAAATCCAACAGCCGAAACCAACAGAGAGAGGTTGTCAAGGAGTTGTTCGAGCAGTGGAAGTTTGACGAGGAGAACTTCTGCATTCCTTGCATGACGAGAAAGCCACTCCGTAGTAAGCATTGTCGTCGCTGTGGACGCTGTGTTGCAAAGCATGATCAGTATGTTTATCTGATAGGACTTGTTCATGACCGCGTTGCTAACCATCAACAGCCACTGTCCATGGATCGATAACTGTGTCGGAGCAAACAACCTCCGACACTTTGTTCTTTACATCGTCTCCCTCCAGGTCGGCATTATCCTGTTTGTGCAGCTGACCATTGCCTGTGAGTACACATCCGAACCACCAATAAACCAACCGCTAATCAAGCAGACATCACCTCTCTCCCCGCTCCCAGCGAAGCTACGTGTAATGTGATCAACGACACTCTGTGCGGATACGCCTCCCGCGACACCTTCACCTTAGTCCTTAATATCTGGATCACCCTCCAACTCGTTTGGGTCACGATGCTGTGCGCCGTGCAGCTCATCCAAATTTCCCGCAACCAAACCACCTTCGAGAACATGCGCGGCCACCACATCGACCGCTCCTACCCCAGCTCCCAAGCCTTCGCCTCCGCCATGACGGCCGGAACCACCTCCATGGACGCCGCTGGTTTCACTGCCGCCGGCCAAGGTCCCAACCCGGCCCTCCGCGGCCCTCCTGCCCCCCGCCGTAAGCACGGCTGCATCGCCCAGTGGTCCTCGCTCCTGGGCGTGGACGCCTTCTGGACCACCGCTAAGGACGGACTCCGGGACGGACCCCAAGCCGCTCGCCCGCGCAACCCCTTCTCCCGCGGCGTGGTCACCAACTGCCGGGACTTCTGGTGCGATCCGGCACCTCTGTTCGGTAAGCGGAATAACGGCTCGGCGATGCTGGGCGGTGAAATCGTTAATTATCATGATATGTACGAAACCCCGATGCGCATGCACACCGGGCGCAGCGACGGGCCTGGCTATCGCAGTCTTGCTGGCGAGGACCCGGAGCAAGCGGTGTAGAAATCTCCGATCAGCTTGTGTGTACCTTTTTTTTTGATCATTTTATCATTTTTCCTCCCCGCGCCTCCTTTTTACCGAACAGCGCGGTGTTGCATTGGGCATGTGGGCACGAATGTTTGCATTTAGATGTACAGACAGACATTAATGAACGATATATTATCCCGACCCTCTCCAACCACCCGCCCGGCGTGGACGGATGTCTCGACCGACATCCCGATCAGATAAGATCCGAACCCCAGTTCTGGAAAGATACCAACCTAGGCCAAGCGTGGGCTCACCACACAGACCACAGCCCATTGGCAGATACCTGTACCTGCATTGCCAGCTCATGGTACTTTTGGCCCATGTCTCTTTCCTTGGCGTTTGAGCCCTGCAGCTGCCTCGATGATCCAGTGTGGCCTGACCTTACCGCTAACAGCTCGGGAGTTCGAGGGTTCCACCCCCCATCCTAGGTTAGTCAACCCGAGCAAAATCCTCGACTCCATTGTCCTGCAGGACGTATCGGGGCGGAAGAGCCCGCCCATGTATCGGATCATTTTGAGACATGCCGATATCGCCAGTAAGCTAACCGTCTGGGCAGCCTTCCAAGGTTAGGAGCCGAGATGGGATCTAATCTCGGGAACTGTCCATGGGTGGCAAGGTACGTACTGTATAGTACTTACGGAGCTGTCTGCCTAGTCCCGGGGCTATACCAGTCCATAGCTTGACAGGGATCCTCTGCACGCATTGCACTAGTAAGAAGTACTCGAGTTCACATGCAGGGCAAATGTAATATTGTTGACTCGGAACGGCTGATTCCGAAATTCGACCTCGTATTGATGGTAAAACGGGAAAAGGTAAAAGGTAAAGATTAAAATGTAATCAAGGAAATTACAAGTGCGTACGGGAACTCCATCTCGCTAACCACTTAGGCAGGTGATTGGCACTTCTTCAACCGGGTTCTGCAACTTACGGTCAGGCCTGATGTTTCAGATGAGAACCTTGGAATCAAAGACCGAGTAGCACTTTCCCGGGTGGTACTAGTCCTAGTCAACTACGGAGTATTGGGTAGGGCGCATGGTAGACGCCAAGGCATTCGATCAGATAAAAATTCTTCAAGTTATCTGATCCATGCAGGACCCACTTGCTGTTATCTGATTTGATCTTCACCGTACAGCCTGTATACAGTATGCATGGATGTAACTACATAACTAATATACATTTACGACAGGACCCTGACAGGCTGACACGACAGTTCTAGACTCTATGGGATCGGCATCCCGGCTACAGCGGTTGGTATTGTGATTCGACTTGGGATTTTTTTTTCGCCAAGGGACGGGAGTGCGTAATTGCTCTTCTGTAACGTTACCAGTCTCCACAGTCGGAGGTATTTGCCTAGAAGATCCTTAGTAGAGATGGAGAAAAATTATCAGTACAGGAAAAACTTCACTACAATTGAACGAGAATAATTCTTAGAAAGTTGAAAAGGTTACAATTGACAATCATAGCAATAGCAAATAGCTCATTAATGCATTCTAAAACATCTAAACCCGCCCCGAATTTTAGCTTAAAGCATAGCCCGCACACGGGTGTCCTGCACCACGCCCGCCAGCTGCTCCGCAAACACGGAGTTGACAATCTCTCCACCACGCACCGCCAACACGGACAGCAACGAATCACTCAATCCGTGCGTCTTCTCATTACATCCCTGCAGCCAAATGCCCGCATCGGCAGCGACCTTCTTCTCATCCAGCGTCACCCGGTAATCACGGCCGGGGTTCCAGCCGGCCGCGCCAACAGGCTGCAGGCCCCGCACGTTGTCGAGCATCTCCTCGTGCGCGTCGCGGAGGTAGCCCGTGGCGACCATCAGGGCGTCGACGTCCAGAACTTCCTTCTCGCTCTCGTTCTTCACGGACTTGACGTGGATGCGCATGCGGCTGGAGGGGTTGTGGTGTTCGATGCGGGCGACCTTGGACTCGGAGAGGATGCGCTGCTGCCATTGGCTTTCGTCGGGGTTCTCGACTCTTTGGAGGTACATGTCGTTGTAGATGGCTTCGATGAGTTCGAGACGGACGACGCTGTAGTTGGTGGCTTTTTCGATGGCGATGCGGCGGGCTCGCTCTTCGGGGGACATTTCGTAGAATTTGTCGACACGTTCGGGGTTGAAGATCTCGTTCACGCTGAGTAAGTTAGTGACTGATTGGAGAGAAATAAACCTGTTGAGGGTACGTACAAGGGAGAATCGTCACTGGGACGGAGGGCGGAGTCCCGCAGGATCAGGGTGGTGCGCGAGTTCGGGTACCGGCGGTGCAGATCGTGGTAGATCTCGGCGGCACTCTGGCCACTGCCCACGACGGCAATGTTGTAGGGGGCCATATCATCGTTCAGCATCTGAGGGAGGGTGGTGCAGTACTTGGAGGAGTGCATGATGCGGGGATCTTGAGGGAATCCAGGCGGCATCTTAGCCTTACCACCAATGGCGATGACGACCTTGCGGGCATTGCGGGAGGAGATCTCGCCAGTGCCGGTGTTGCGCGACACGACGGTGAAGTAATCCACGACGCCGCTGGCATCAGTCTGGCCGGGGACCACCTCCACAACCTCCTCGCCGTAGTTGACGACGTTCTCGAAGCGGGTGGCGCACCAGCGCATGTAATCCTCAAACTCCATGCGCGCGGGCAGGAATGTGCCCAGGTTGGTGAAGTGGATCAGACGGTTCTTGTGGTGCAGGTAATTCAGGAAGGTGAAGCTGCTGCGGGGATCGCGCATGGTGGCCAGATCCTTCATGAAGGAGATCTGCATGCGGGAGCCGGGCACCAGCATACCGCTGTGCCAGGCGAATTGGTTCTGCTTCTCCAGGAAGGTCACCTTGGGCTTGAAGTTGGTCTTGGCTCCGAGAGCGGGATCCATGGCATCATTCAGCGCAATGCCGATGGCCAGGGAGGCCGGACCGAAACCCACGCAGAGAAGATCGTGCATCTCGTCGGAACCGGTTGGGCGCAGTAGCGACCGTCCCGTTTGGGGTGTGCGTGGAACCATGTCCAGGAAGGGCAGCTCTGACTTGCGGGTAATGGGCTCCATGATGATTAAGACCCGAAGAAGAAGGTTTTGCAGAACACGAACCACCAGGGGGGGAAGAGCGGTTTATGTACTCTTCGCGACGGGAATCTCCCAGATCAGATAAAAAAAAAAGTAAAAAAAAAAAAAGACCTGGTGGAGCAAAGCTCTCGCTTGAAGTGATGCCAAGGCACAGGTACGGAGTAATACAGAAGGTGGAATTTTTATCAATCAGCACTCCACTTGGTATTTTTCGTTTTCCGTTCGTTTTGTGTTTTGTGGTTTTGTGTTTTGTGGTTTCTGGCGCCATCCGCCTTGGAGACGTCCCGGTATTTATCTCCCGAACAATGTCTATATACATATGCAGAAGAACACTAAATCGTGTTAGAGTCTCTTGCTTGCTTAGCTTGAAACGATTAAAGGGGTTTTGCGCTTCATGCGCCTTATTCCACCAGCCAGAGGGCGCGGATTTGTAACCCTCGACGCTCACAGGGCCGATGTCGGGAAATGATGGGGAGAGAGTCGGGACCAGTCCGGATGGAGTAGATGAGCGTCAGGTCATCTCCCAACTTGCGTCGACACGTTTCTTGGCGGCGCACTGAGCTCGTTCCCGGTGGAGCCTGTTATGCAGCTAATCAGGAAAATACCTCCGCACAGTGTCGGTTGCGCCCTTTTGATTCGGAGTCGCTGGAATTCGGAGGTGATTTGGTTTAGTTGATTCGCTTTGGTTTTGGTTTTGGGACTGCAACCCTACGCGTAAGATATGGCTTATACTAGTGCTCATTGCAGCCATAGACCGATTGCATGGTATTCTCCTACTTCAGGCTAAGAACCTGCATGTCTTAATTCCCAATGTTAATTCAGTAAATATATAAATTGCAAACCTCTCCGTACATATAGGTATCAGAGTTTCATACATTACAGATTAATACGTCATGAAGCTGAATCCGAGTGGGGATATGGTCTGATCTTTCAACTGTCAGACAATATTCTGAGTATCGAGTAGGTGGAATATCGGCAGGTCGAGTCCGATATGGAGAGTAAGTTCACCACTTCCCTAGGGTAGAAGTTAGTCGGGCAAAACGCCAGTCAGAACCGCCAGTCACGCTGTCAGGCACCCACTCCAACCTTGTCGGTTCTGGCGCTTGGCTCGCCAGATCACGAACCCTCTGGTTTTCGGTCTCCCCTCCTCGCCTTTTTCTTGTTTTTCTTATTTTTGCTATTTTTCCACTCTGTGGGAACCTTCTCTTCGCGCGCTTGCCTGCTCTGCCAGTCCAGCCACTCACAGCGCACCTATTAAATCCGCATAAGCAGACCATCTATAAGCCTCCACCATGCATTAAAGATGCCCTGAGAGCAAACGAAAGAAAGAAAAACAAACATGGATCGTTTCACGCAATTCCCGGCCGTCAATGACGATGGCGAGGACGTCCATGTCGTGCCCTGGAATCTCGACTGTCAACTCCCCTCCGAGGTGTTGGCCCTGTCGTGGGCCGTCTTGCTACGCGCATTCACAACCGATGAAACCCCGGTCTTTCTCTTGAACGGTGCACCCGTCAAGGCAGATTTATCAACTCAAACAGTCCAACCAGCCGATTTGGCCTCGGTGGCAGATCTCTCCGTGAAACACACAGCCGTGGTGTTGGGCGATCCATTATTCGATGATGGCAGACATGCCCCCGCGCTACGCTGGACGGTGGACCCCACTTCACATTCCGGAGCCTTGTGTGCGACCGGAGGCATGGACGCACCATTTTTGTATGAACTCGGAAAACAGCTCAAGCAGATCATTCACGAGCAAGCAGCGCGTCAGGGAATCACGGTGGAGCTGTCTGCCGGGGAGGTCCCGACGTTGGCGATCGCGAACGCAGAACCCGCGACACTGCCAGGCCCGGGGCTCCTGCATGAGCTTGCCTTGCGGGGATTCCATGATGCGAATCACGCGATCGAGTTCCTTACGGCGGAAGGAGACGTTTGCTGCTTGTCTTACCGGGATTTGGATCGGCTTTCCTCGAAGCTCGCGGGTGAAATAGCTCGTGCTTCGACGGATGCTGGGCAGAGGGTCGTGCCTGTGCTTCTCCCGCAGTCGGTGGAGCTTTATATCTCATGGCTGGCGATCCTCAAGGCTGGCGCTGCATTCTGTCCTTTGAACACCGATGCTCCGACAGACCGAATCGAGTTTATTCTACAGGATGTGGCTGCTTCGGTGGTCATCACAAATGGGGCCCTTGTCTCGAGGATACCCCCCAAAGACCACATCTCTGTTCTGACCGTGGACGACCTACAAAACGACAATAGCCCCATAGAGCCTTTCTCTATCGAAACCGCCCCCCATCTGGCGTATGTGATGTACACATCTGGATCGACCGGCCGCCCCAAAGGCGTCGGCGTATCCCACCTGGCTGCCACTCAATCACTCCTTGCTCATGACGATTTGATACCCCAATTCAAGCGATTTTTGCAATTTGCATCCCCCACCTTTGATGTTTCCGTTTTTGAAGTCTTTTTCCCCATGATGCGAGGGGCCACTCTGATCGGCTCCGAGCGAGAGAACATGCTCCTCGATATTTCCCATGTTATGACGACCATGAAAGTCGATGCCGCAGAGCTGACCCCCACAGTAGCAGGGGAGCTGCTGCGCACACGAACGGCCGCACCGTCCCTCCGCGTTCTCCTGACCATCGGCGAGATGCTCACCAGACACGTGGTGGACGAGTTCGGCCAGTCTGAATCCCAGGCCGGTATTCTGCACGGCATGTACGGACCGACAGAGGCCGCAATTCACTGCACCGCAGCCACCCATTTCAAGTCCAAAGACCGTGTCAACATGATCGGAACTGCTTTCAAGACGGTCTCGGCTTATATCATGTCCCTCCCGGATGAGTCTAACGAGCTTCGCACCCTTTCCCTGGGCCAGATCGGAGAGCTCGTTGTTGGCGGTCCGCAGCTGGCGGATGGATACATCAATCGCCCAGAAGAGAATGCCAAGGCCTTTATCGACAGCCCGATCTACGGTCGACTTTACCGAACCGGCGATAAAGCTCGCATGCTGCCATCCGGTGAGATTGAATGCTTTGGGCGTATCTCCAGTGGCCAGGTCAAGCTCCGCGGCCAGCGAATTGAGCTCGGTGAGATCGAACATGTTATCACCAGGGCTTCAGGCGTTCGAAGTGCAGTCACACTGGTCATCGATGGAAATCTTGTCGCTTTCGTGCTTGTCACAGACAAAGGTGTCACGGATAGCAGCCTGCGAGACGTCTGTCGCCAGCTGTTGCCCCGTTTTATGATTCCCGGCGAGTTCGTGCTTGTCGACCAATTCCCCCAACTACCTTCTGGCAAGATCGACCGCAAGACTCTAGAGGCCGATTTCATCCAACACCGAAACAATGCCCAGTCTGTGGTCCTGGACTCCCGAGACGAGAAAGAAGAATCTATTGTCTTGTGCGTGGCGGGTGTGCTCGGACGACGCCTGGCACCTACAGAGAGTCTAGCTGCAGCCGGACTTGATTCGCTGGCGGCAATCCGTCTGGCCTCTCATCTTTTGAATGCGGGAATCCGTCTTGGCGTTGCAGCCTTGCTGGAAGCCGATTCTATCGATGGTATCTGGCAACTCGCCAGCTTGGACACCGATGATCTGACTGGTGATACACAAACCGCCCTGCAGGCTATCTCTGAGCTGGTTGCAGATGCGGGTGTGGCGCGGCTTGACTCCCTGGGCTTGGATTCGGTCTCAGAGCTTGTGCCCTGTAGTCACATCCAGCAGGCTATGCTTCTAGAGACTGTCAGAAATGACAAGGCATACTGCAATTGGGTCGAGCTGGAATTCGATTCAACCAGTCCAACGGGGCTGAAGAATGCATTCTCTCGGCTAATGGAGCACAACGAGATTTTGCGATCTGGTTTCGTGGAAATCGGTCTGAAAGATCACTCCTACGGTCGTTTCACCTGGAAGAACCTTGATACACAGGTTCTCCAAGTAGATGCATTTGAGCATGATGTGTCAATGGCCGTAGGTCACGATATCTTGAATCCATTCAGGGTTCAGATCAAAGAAGAGAACGACCGCCTCCGGGCCCTTGTCCACATTCACCATGCCCTATACGATGGGTGGTCGTGGCAACTTATGTTACAAGACCTCCACAACATTTTATTTGGAGACCAGCCATCAACCAGACCATCCTATGCCGTTATCACGAATTTCTTTATCGAGCAAAGTCTCAACAAAGCATCCACAGATTCTACGACCTACTGGCACGACCAACTTCAAGGGTCAACACCAACATCATTCCCAATCTTCCACGGCAACGCCATCAAGCCGACAACCTCCCACACAACCCGCGTTCTTCAAACACCCATCTCACGACTCGGCGACGTAAGCCATGATCTTCGCGTTAGTCGCCAAACAATCTTCCAAGCAGCATTCACCTACATCCTATCCACCTACCTCGGTACCAGTGACATTACCTTCGGGACCGTATTCTCAGGTCGAACTCTCCCACTGAAAGGAATCGAAACAATTCTCGGCCCATGTATCAGAACACTCCCCACACGCATGGACATTGCAAAAATGCAAAATGTCTCCGATCTTCTTCTGGCAATACAAAATATGAACCACCAATCCCTCGAGCACGGAAGCCTGCCCTTGCAAGACATCAAGAAGGCCTCCGGCATTGACCTGGCTCGCAACCTCTTCGACACAGCACTCGTATGGCAGGAGAGTATCTACACTCAGGAACAAACTGGGTTCAGAGAGGTCGATGCCAGCGAGTTCCTGGAGTTTGCTCTTCTCCTTGAGTTCGAACCTAGGGAGCAGCATGTATTCGCTAGAGCGACTTTCCAACGGTCGGTTCTGTCATCTGAACAGGCGGATTTGCTGCTCGCGCAGATAGATGCCGTCGCTCAGATCTTGATTGAGCGAGTCGATGTTCTTATTACGGAGATTGGTGATCATCTTCCTCGTGAGATCTTGTCTCACTATGCTGCTCCCGCGGTTCAATGCGAGTGGTCTTTGACCTCTGGCGTTGAGATCTTTGCTTCTACGGATCCCCATCGAGTAGTCGCTGAAGAGGTCAGTTGGAAAGATGGGACTCCCTATGTCGAAAGCATAACATATGGACAACTGAATTCTCGGGCTAACGGCCTCGCGCATTTGTTGCTTCATGTTGGAGTCTCCAAGAGGGATCTTGTGCCTATTCTTCTCACTTCATTGATTGACTTTTACGTTTCCGTACTTGGAATCGTCAAGGCCGGCGCAGGCATGTTGGTCCTTCCACAGAATTCCGAGGATCTCCAATCTGTGTTCTCAAAGACAAAATCCAAGTTCTGCATCGTCGATTCTGTGACGGAGAAAAGCTACCGACTCCCTTCTATAAAGCTTGTACAACGGATTCACCTCTCCTATTCACTGGACGTCTATCATGATTTCAACATCCCGTATACCAACAAGGGATCCGATGCAGCATATGCCGTTGTCGAAGCCGAACATACAAATACCGTTTTCTTCTCACGCCAAAGCCTCCAGAGCAACATCAACGCCCTTTCAATCCAGTACCCAACACCCACTGGATCGAAGATCCTCTCAGCACACCCTCACTCCATCCCCGAGATCTTCTTTTCCTGGCAGAATGGAGCTACATTCTGTTCAACTTCCTCTGCAACCATGGACCTACAACAAGCTTGCCAAGAGCTAAGCATCACACACCTCCACCTGACCCCCACACTAGCCTCTCGTGTCAATCCCAAGGCCGTGCCATCGGTACAATATCTCCTTACCTCGGGCGAGCAACTGAGTTACCGAGTCCATCGCAACTGGTCAAGAAGAGGCCTCTACCAAGCCTACAGTTCTCAAGAGCTGGCTGGTCCTGGCACAATTGTGCAATCTGGTCGATCGACCTTCATTCGTAATGTGGGTCAGCCACTCGGTGATACCTTTGTCGTTATTCTCGATGAGTCGTTATCCTTGCTCCCCCACGGTGCAGTTGGAGAGGTTTGCTTTGGCGGTGATCATATTGGCAATTGCGTCTCTGGCTCCGAAATGCAGACCGGTCGATTCGTCGATCACGTCAAGTACGGTCGGATCTGTCGTACTGGTGACCATGGAAGATTGCTTCCTGATGGGACAATCATTCTCGAGAGAGCTTCTGGTCTGCGGGGTGCTCAGCTTGATGAGATCGATCGTGTATTCTCGTCGTTGGAATCGGTTCAAGAGTTTGCTAGTTTGACCGTGGATTTGAAATCGGGTCAAGAGCTGGCTGTCGTTTGGGTTCCCTCTGCTCAGCCTGCGGATGCAGACCTCGAGCAAGTCACCCAGGATTTGTTCGCTGAACTCATCAAAACCCTGCCACTGTCTGCTGTGCCTGCTCTCCTGGTCCCAGTGGACGAGATCGCTATCACCCCTTCTTACAAGATCGACTTTGCAAAGTTGAAGAGCCAAATCGGTGGACTGAGCGATCGGGAACTAGCAGCTTTCTCGCCGAAGCTCAGTGACAGTGATAACAATGATAGTCTTACCGATGTGGAGAAAATCATCGTTGCGGCTTTGTCGACAGTCACGGATACCGACCAAAGCCACATTGGAAGACACACATCATTCTACAAGCTGGGTTTGGACTCGCTATCTGCCATTGCTTTCTCGCGCAAGTTGCAGGAACTCGGATGCGGAAGACTTGCCGTGTCGACAATATTGCGCTACAGCTCGGTTTTCCAACTTGCGTCTGTCGTCGTTCCAACCAATCAAGGAGATGAACACGATACCGCACCAGTTGAGACTGAATCTCAAGATTCTCTGGTGGCCTTTGATCAAGGTTTTATTCACCAGGTAGAAAGCAAATTCAAAGCCCAGGGGTCGTCCGTCCAAGACATCTATCCTTGTACGCCTTTGCAAGAGGCGATGCTTGCAGCAGAGTCTGGTGGACAGTCTGCTTACTTCAATCATCTTTTGCTTCTTGTGCATAGTGATGCCGAGGCTCTGAAGCTTGCGTGGAGCCACATGATGCAAAGACACGGCATTCTCAGAACTTGTTTCGTGCAGACCAATGACAAGCAATTTGCATTTGCTCAGGTTGTGCTGGACAATTCCTCCTTGCCTTGGAATCAAATCGAAACATCATCTCTTGAGTATGAGATAGTCATCAAGGACAAGAAAGCAGAATTTGAACAAATTTCGCCTGTCAATGATCAGCTACCATATTCATTGACTCTCGTCACTGATACTACATCGGGGAATACGCATCTGTTGTTGTCTATTCACCACGCTCTCTATGATGGAGAGGGTATTTCTCAGCTTCTGCACGAGCTGCAGCTATCGGTCTTGGGCAGAGAATTGCCTAAAAGTACACCATTTTCTCAATTCATCGACTACATGACATCCGTGGACTACAGTGCCTCTGACAAATACTGGAAGCAGTATCTGACTGGTGTTTCCCCAACACTCCTTCCCGCCGCCGGTGCAGACAACTACGCTTCGCAGCAGATTCACATGTCTCTCAAAACCCCCTTCCACTCTTTCAAACAGCAGTGCAAGGATCTTTCCGTCAGCCCCCTGAACGTATTCCACGCTGCGTGGGCCAGACTTCTCTCGCTTTACACTGATTCCTCAGATGTCTGTTTCGGAAATGTCTTCAGCTGCCGAACAATCTCGTTGGACGGAGCAGATCAGATCGTCGGTCCCTGCTTCAACACACTCCCATTCCGAGTCAAAATCACTTCCACGGCAACGAATCACGATCTGTTGAAGTCGTCGCAAAAGAGTAATAGCGAGATACTGCCTCACCAACTCAGTCCCTTGAGACGAATTCAACGTGTTGTTGGAGCTGGCTCGAGACTCTTCGACACGCTGCTCATTTTCCAAAACACAAACACTGACCTGGATGCCAATATCTGGGAACTTCTCCAAGATGAGGGTAACATGGGATTCCCTCTTATTTGTGAAATTGTACCCAATGATGCAGCAAACACCATCCAGGTCTGTTTGCATTTCCAAGAATCGCATATCTCAAAGGCAGCTGCTGAGAGCGTTGCGCGGGATTTCGTTACTCTCGTCGAACACATTTCTCAATACCCCTTTGCTCAAGCTTCCGATAAGACACCCTTGGGAGCACAGACTCCTGTTGTGTTTGCGCAGGTTACGAGCAAAGCTGTCAATTTCCGGTCCAATAAACCTCTTCAGACTCGCCCTTGGTCCCACCAGGAAGAGGCTGTTCGCGAGATCTTGTGCAAATTCTCTGACGTCGAGTCCGAAGAAGTATCTCAAGATACGACAATCTTCCAGCTTGGACTAGACAGTATCAACGCAGTCCAAATTTCGGCCAAGCTACGTGGACTGGGGTATAAGATCTCGTCTGGGGACATTCTTGAAGCAGCATCCATTGAAAAGATCGCATCTCTTCTCGGTTCCGTGGAAAATACCGATGACAAAGTCGTTTATGACTTTGAATCTTTCCAAACCCAGCATTTGCAGCCCGTGCTTGATCAGCTTGGACTCGCTGGTGAGGTCCAATCCCTGTCCTCTTGCACGCCTGTTCAGAACGGCATGTTGGCTGCATTCACCCATTCCAATGGTGATGTTTACTTCAATCGCATGGCACTGAACTTCTCGGCACCTTTGAACTCGACGCGCTTGAAAGAGGCGTGGTCTGAAGTTGTCGCTCAACATGAGATGCTGCGGACGGGCTTTGTTCAGCTACGCGATCAGCAACATCCCTTTGCCATGCTCACCTATAGCACCATTGAACTCCCCTGGTATGAGATACCCGTGGGATCTCCTATCCAAGAAAAGAATATTCTGGAGAACCTTCACCGGCCCCCTTGGAGTATCGAAGTCGAGGCCGGCGAAAATATCAATGTCTTGTATTTCTCCGCATTACATGCCATCTACGATGCCCAATCTCTATCTGCCATATTCGCAGACGTGAAAACAAGATATGAAGGAAACGCCCTTCCACCTCGACCCCCGATATCCGAAACCCTCGGTCCAATCCTCATCGAAAGCAAAAACCAAAGCGAATCGGCGACCTTCTGGAAAGATCTCGCCCCAGAAGTCCACCCCTCTAAATTCCCCGATCTGCACCCCACCCGCACAGACGACCGTATACTCCTCACCCATTCCATTCGCTGCTCGCAGCCTCGCAAGACCCTCGAGGACGCATGTCGCAACCTAGGCGTGACCCTTCAAGCAGCCGCCCAGACCGCATGGGCTCGCTTGCTATCTGCGTATACTGGAGAGTCAAACGTCACTTTCGGAACTGTGCTTTCGGGTAGAAACCTCTCCACTGCGGCACAAGAGGCTGTGTTCCCTTGTTTGGTTACGGTGCCGACGCCTCTGCGTATTGAGGGTGCTAATCGAGAGCTCTTGGATCGCACGCTGAGAAGGAATGCTTTGCTGGTTAAGCATCAGTTTGCCCCGCTTGCGAATATTCAGCGCTGGCTCGGAAGTGACGAGCCGCTCTTTGATACTTTGTTTGTTTATCAGAAGTTCGCTTCAGCTGCCGCGGGTTGGGATGTCGTTGATGAGAAGACGAAGATTGATGTAAGTTGCTTGCTGTTTTTTTCTCCATTGGTTTTTTTCTCTGTTTTGTCTGGTTGGACTCTGGCTAATTGATCATCAGTACCCCGTTTCCATTGAGTTGATTCCGCAATCGACGGATCTGCAGATCTCACTGAGTTACAGGGGTGATCTTGTTCCTGCAGAGCAGGCTGTTGTTCTACTAAATCAGTATGACAAGTTTTTGCAGGACACTGTCTTCTGCCCTGATGCTGATGCAACGAGCCATGCGTCTGTTGGTGGCGACTTGCTCTCGGTGACACCGGCGAAGGAAGCGCCTATCCCTGCACCTGTCAACTTGCTGCATCAGTTTGTTGAAGTCAATGCGCTGCGAATTCCCGAGAAGATTGCATTCGAGTTCGCTTTCGGTGAGACTGCCGATAGTCTCCAGAAGAGGACTTGGACTTATCGCCAGTTCAATGAATGCGGTAACCAAATCGCGCATCTTCTGCAGAGCAAGGGTGCTGTGCCTGGTGGAGTAGTGGCTATCTGTTTCGACAAGTGTCCGGAAGCTTCGATGGCAATCCTGGGAATCTTGAAAGCCGGTTGCGCATACTTGGCTCTTGATCCTGGGGCTCCTATCTCTCGCAAACAATTCATGTTGGAGGACTCGGGTACCAAAGTCTTGCTATGCAGCCAGTCAAAGAAGGCTGAATTGGCTAGCCTCGAGGGCATTGATGTTCAAGCTCTTGATGAACCCGGTCTATTTGATGAACTCCCAACTGGTGATGTCTCCCTTGTCCGACCAATTCTCCCAGATGACACATGTTATTGTCTGTACACTTCCGGCACGACTGGAACGCCCAAAGGCTGCGAGATCACACACGACAATGCCGTGCAGGCAATGCTCGCATTCCAAAGATTGTTTGCCGGCCACTGGGATGAAGACTCCCGATGGCTCCAATTTGCGTCTTTCCATTTCGACGTCAGTGTTCTGGAACAGTACTGGAGCTGGAGTGTTGGAATCTGTGTGACGTCGTGCCCTCGCGATTTACTCTTTGAAGACCTACCCGGGACGATCCAGAAGCTTCAGATCACACACATCGACCTCACGCCCAGTCTGGCAAGACTCGTTCACCCTGATGAAGTGCCTTCACTCTGTCGCGGAGTCTTCATCACCGGTGGAGAGGCGTTGAAGCAAGAAATCCTCGACGCATGGGGCAAGCATGGCGTGATCTACAACGGATACGGGCCTACAGAGGTTACTATCGGCTGCACTATGCTTCCGCGAATGTCCGCAAATGACAAAGCCTCGAATATCGGGCCCCAATTCGATAATGTGGGATCTTACGTTTTCACCCCCGGCACAACGACACCCGTGCTACGCGGTGGCATTGGTGAGCTTTGTGTCTCTGGACCACTCGTCGGAAAAGGATACCTGAACAGAGCGGAGCTCACGAAAGAACGATTCCAAGACCTTCCTGAATTCGAAGACCGGATCTATCGCACTGGTGATCTCGTGAGAATCCTTCACGATGGCAGTTTCCAGTTCCTAGGACGTATCGATGACCAGGTTAAGCTTCGCGGACAGCGACTTGAGATCGGAGAGATCAACGAGGTGATCAAGCAGGCGACGCCGGAATTGAACGAAGTCGCTACTCTGGTCATCACGCATCCTAAACAAGCTAAGGACCAGCTCGTCTCTTTCTTCACGACCGTTGCGGATAAGAAGTCTCGTGCTGATGTTGCGGTTCGATCTTCGAAGGAAGACCGTGCTTTGCTATCCAAGATCAAGGGTGCTTGCTCTACCCATCTTCCGGGATATATGGTGCCTACTCATATCATCCCGATGACAAGGTTCCCCCTCTCTGCAAACAATAAGGCCGATATGAAGGTCCTCAAGGGCATTTACCAGAACCTAACCCTGGATGAAATCCAAAGGTTGGGCGCTTTGACTGTTGACCAGCCCACTGGCAGTGCGCAAGAAGGGAAGATCTTGCAAGTTCTCACCAAATTCATTGGATCGACTGAGACGATCTCTCCATCATCCAGTATCTATGAGCTAGGTCTCGATTCAATCTCCGTCATCGCTTTCTCGCGGAGTTTGAGAGAGGTTGGGTTCTCCCAAGCCCAACCTTCTATCATCATGAAGCATCCTACCATCGTTGCAATGGCTGCTGCACTCCAGAATTCAAGCTCTTCCAACTCTGTCGAGGCTATCCAGCGCAAAGCCAAGCAGGGGATTGTGGCGTTTGCTCAAAAGAACTCTCACGCTGTCATTGAGCATGTTGGAGTTCTTGACGATGATGTCGAGAACATCGCACCTTGCACGCCACTCCAGGAAGGTATCATATACCACTTCTTGTCAAGCACTACCCCTCTGTACTGCTCGTCCTTTACCTTTGAGCTTGACGAGTTTATTGACGTCGAGACTCTGCGGGGGGCCTGGGCCAAGACCCAAAGAGAAGTTCAAATGCTGCGCGCCAGATTTTCACCATCTGCCGATGGCTATGCTCAGGCCATACTGAAGCAAGATACACTACCTTGGTTCTTCGATGCAGTAGAAACCAATGGTGACGTTGATTCCGTGCGCAAACAGCGACATGGAGCATGGACCTCTCGGCTCAACGGCCTTGCAACCCAGCTTTGGGAAGTGGGTGTTATCTCTTCCCCCGAGCAGTCTATGATGTGTCTGCACATATTCCATGCTCTTTATGACGGAAACAGTCTGGTTCTTCTTCTCGAGTCTGTGGCTCGAAACTATCTCGGTCAACGCAAGGAGACGCAGACAGTCCCGGAATTCCTTGATGTCTTGCACCTTGGACCTCTTTGCAAAGATCCTGCGGCAGAGAGATTCTGGAAAGAGCATCTCGCAGGCTGTCGTGACCGGCCTTTTGTTGAGAAGGGCACGGAAGACACCCCAATTCTCCACAAGGCTCAGATCAACGCCACCGATCAGGTGGATCATCTGCGTCGATCCCTCAATATCACGGAGCAAGCTGTACTCCACACATGCTGGCTCCTCACTCTCCAGCAGCAATACTCCTTTGTGCCACCACTTGGTATTATCGCCTCGGGTAGGACTATCGATGTGCCCGGAGTCGAAGATGTGGTTGGCCCACTTTTCAACACCATTCCCAGTAATGTCCAGCTCTTTGGCTTAGAGTCTTGGGCTGATGTTGCTCGTCGGTGCCATGACTATCATGTTTCTATGATCCCATTCCAATACACCGCTCTGCGAGACATTGTCAAATGGCTCGGCAAGAGTCCTGATGAGCGACTCTTCAACACTCTGTTTGTCTTCCAGCGCGAGGATGACGATGTTGAGCCTTTGACCAAGAACCTTTGGCGGACTATGAACTCAGAGGCCGAACATGAGTACCCCCTTGCTTTTGAAGTTGTGCGCAATGGCAATCAATCTTTGACCGTCACCCTTGCCGCGAAGAGCAATGCAGTCTCTCTAGAGGATACTCAACAATTGGTTTCCAGGTTCGAGACTGTTCTCTCGCAGTTTGCCCAAGATCCAGACAGAGCGTTGCCGAAGATAAATAGCGATGCTTCGCCCATCACAAAAGGTGAGGCGAACGGTCCTCATGACTCCTTGGTGAAACATATCAATGGAGATCACGCTACTAGCTCGTCCTTTGAATGGACTTCTCACGCCTGCATCATCCGCGATGTCATCTCGACCCTCGCTGGGATTGAAGCCGAATCCATACGCGAGGACACCTCCATCTTCGAAATTGGACTTGACAGTATCGACGCAATCAAGATCTCATCTCGACTCAGCAAGGCTGGAATCAAACTTCAAGTCAGCTCCATCATGCGCCATCGTACAGTGAAGGCCATGAGCGCACAGCTCTCAATGACAAACAGTCATGCTGAGAATGGTGGTCCCTCAATGCTTGAAAGATTAGAGAAGTCGCTCGTCAAGTTCCTGGAAAGCGAAGGCACTCTCCCCTCAGATGCTACTCGGGTTTTACCAGCTACGCCCATTCAAGAAGCCATGGTCGCAGAGATGACTTCTTCTGAGTATGAACACTATTACAATCATGAGATTCTCGAAATCGAGGCAGGTATGGATCTCGGAAGAATGGAAGCGGCTTGGAGAGCGGTCGTCAAAGCTCATCCTATCCTGCGGACTTCGTTTGTTGAAGTTTGGGACCCTGAGATTCCCGTTTCCTATGCACAGATCGTTCATAGTGAAGACCGTGCTGACATCCACACTGTGCACTTGCATGGTGTATCCGTGGAATCCATCATCGAGACACAAGTATCGAAGGTTCGCAATGAGAAAATCAACGGCCCCTTGCTCTCTGTCACTCTCGCAGTGGATGGAGCGAAGCATTACCTTGTCCTCTCAATCGCGCACGCTCTCTACGATGGCTGGTCAATCAACTTGCTCCATGAAGATATTGCCAAATCATATGCTGGCGAGACATGCGCCCGTCCATCCGCTGACGACATTCTCGAGCAAATCATCTCGTCTTCGGGCGACGAATCACTCCGATACTGGCGTGCAACCCTAGCAAACTTCTCACCAGTGCCCTTCTTGCCTATGAAGCACTCTGGTGATGATGCAACGGCCGTCCACCGCGGAGAAAAGGCTTTGTCTGTTCCGCTCTCCAAGGCAGAGACGTTCTGCAAGCGCCATGGAATCACCCTGCAAGCACTTCTTGTTAGCTGTTGGTCTCTTGTTCTCGCTACGCATGTCAAGAGGCTAGATGTGGCCTTTGGTCTTGTCCTTTCCGGGCGCAACGTCGCTGATTCTGAGAATGTGATGTTCCCGACGATGAATACCGTCGCTATGCGCATTGTTCTCCATGGTACTCGTCTCGAACTCGTCAAGTACGTACAAGAGGCTCTTCTTGCTATGTCGGAGCACCAGCATTTCCCGCTTCGTCGCGCGAGACCTGATACCGGGTCGCGGGCTTTGTTCGATACTTTGTTCATGTATCAGAAGCGACCGGTGGATAATCAGGCTGGGCCCTCTGTCCTGTACAAATCTACCGGTGGAGCTGCAAGCGTTGAATACCCTGTCTGTGCTGAGATCGAGGGTGTTGGGGAGGAGCTCGTTGGCCGAGTGGCGGGCCGTGGGAATGTTGTTGGAGATGCAGATGCTCGTATCCTGTTGGACCAAATGGGTGACGTTCTTTCGTCCATTATTGACGAATCATCCGAGCAGACGATCGAATTCACCGAGAAGGGAGTCAGGATCTGCGGAGGGTCTCCCTTCAAGGACGAGACTGAACAAGAAGTTGCTGTCGATAGGCCTCGAGAAATTCACCAAACGGAGTGGTCGCCGATCGAGTCCAAGATTCGAAACGTCCTCTCTATTGCTTCCGGAGTGTTGGAGGACTCCATCGGAAAGAACTCTACCATCTTCGAACTTGGTCTGGACAGCATCAGTGCCATCAAAGTCGCGGCACTCCTGAAGAAACAATCGGTCCGGCTAGCTGTCAGTGACATGCTTCGAGCTGGCACGGTCCAGAACATGGCTACCGCAGCCAACAGCAGCCCGACGGACTTCTCGATCGATGTTCCAAGCATCTTGCGCGACTCGCTGGGTGACATCGATGTCCTGCAACTAATGGAATCGCACAGTGTCAACGCACAAGAGGTGGTGGGAATATTCCCCGCAACTGCAGGACAGACCTACTTCCTTGAGATGCATGATGTGAATCCCCACGTATTCTATCCCGATTTCTACTATTTGTTGTCCGAGCAACTGAGCCCAGAGATACTCGACCAGGCCTGGGCGCAGGTGGTCGAGCGAACCCCGATGCTCCGCACCGCATTCCTCCGCACAGATTCCCGGCTTATGCCGTATGTCCAGGTGGAGCTTGAGGCGGTGCACATTCCAGTGATCTGGCATTCCAGGTTCGATTCGGATCGTGTTTCACGGAGTCGCCGGCAAGGATTTGGGGCTGTGCCTGTTGCATTGCATGCTTACCAAACGACCAAGGGGACGGCGCTTGTCCTGCAGCTGCACCACGCACTGTATGATGCAGTCAGCCTGCCGCAGATTTTGGATCGGCTTGTTTCACACTGCCATGGCGAAACCCCCCCAGCAGAACCCGACCTTGGTCTCTCGCAGCTGGTAGCATTCCAGCATGTGCATTCGCCCCTGCAGGTGCGGCGCGAATTCTGGCAAAAGTATCTAGGCCGAGCTCCAACGGCGCCTAAGCGCGGGGTTGGCTCTGGGGTTGGCTTTGGGCCGGTGGAACACCATTACCGGCCGGGGCTGGTGGCCAACATGGCCAACATCGAAAAGGTCGCTAAGCGCCAGAGTCTCAGCATTCAGGCCATTTTCCTGGCCATCTATGCTCGCGTGCATCTGCAGCACTTCGAAACAGTGGACGACGCAGGGTCGCACGGGCGGTTAATTGTTGGCCTGTACCTTGCCAATCGATCGCACTCTCTCGACGGTCTGGCCGACTCAGCAATCCCGACCGTGAACATTGTCCCATTACGGTTGGACGACAAGCTCAGCGATTCCCCTTCTACGCTGCTGGATGCCGCCCGGCGGATTCAGGCGGACCTCACCGAGATCAGCCGCGTCGAGCACTCCAGCGTGTCGCTCCTGGAAATTGCCGAGTGGACCGGTCTCCAGCTTGACACCTGCGTCAATTTCCTACGACTGCCAGAGCAACTGGCGCCGGGCAACGAGAAGCTTTCGGTCACAGCTTTGCAACGCGAGGAGTTGGAAAATCTTAGCGCGACGATTCCCTCGGACAACCAGAGAATTAAAAGCAATGGTGTTACGCCACCGGGTGCAGCGGATGATCTTAGCGTCCCAACGGCCTCTTTCCTACTGGTACGATATGCACATCAGCTCTTCGCACTAATGCAAATGCACATGCTAATTCTAATCTCTTGACAGCCTACGATCGACGTCGAAGCCGCCGTTCGCAAGGGCCGACTGGATTTCGGTCTCTTCGCGCCGCGGTGCAGGCTTCCCGGGGATATTGCCGCTGCGGCGATCGACACCATGAAGCGGCAGATGTCCACTTTGGTGACAGGCTCCGAATCCATGTAGAATCCATGCGAGGGATGCCGGCTTGGTCTCCGGCTGATTTACAGTTTTTTGCGGGGAATCTCTCTGACTATTTCTTTTCTTTTTTCTATTTATGGGGCTCCCTGTGCATGTGCATCGAGCCCCGACTATCTGCGTTTTGCTTTTTGGGCGATGTGTTCGCTGCCCTTGTTCTATGTATCAGATTTGCATAGACTTGTGATTTGATTTATGATTTGATGAGTGACGGCGGGACCCACGGTCTCCGGGACGATCCCCGTGGAGGTTGGGAGTATGGAGTACTGTACGGAGTAATAGGACAGTCCTATACTAGTACTACGGAATAAAGATGCAGTTCCGATTTCAGTATATTGCATGACATACAAAGTACGGAGTACAGACTACAGTAGATATCGTACATGGCAATTTTAATCGAGTGTTCTCATTAGTCCCCATTCCTCCGTGTAGATGTGAAGTGCGGTGAACATCGGTGGGGACAGTACATCATCAGTATTAATATGGGATCCCGCACTCCACTTCCGAGGATTGGATCCGCGCTCTTTGCTTTTTTCCGTGATGGATCATATTCCGCATTTCTCATGGCTACAAAAGCAAGGGCGACTTCGCGTGGTCGTTTTCTTTCTAAACAAGGGGCATAGAATAGTGATGAAATGCGAAACTCAGGCCAACGGCGGAAGCAGAGATGGCCCTATTGTTTATTGGGGTGGCGTTAGGTACTGCAGGGGCCGTGCGGACTTTTTTTTTTTTTTTTCTTTTTTTTTTCTTCTTTCTTTTGTGTGGACATGTTATGAAATGATTGCTTCTTCCGAGTTTTAAAAGGTGTAGCACCTGTCTGAAACACTTTCAGGGCTGGAAGTATAGATGTGGGATGTTTATGCTGACATAAGTATTTGTTGTCTATCACGCGTCACCCTAATCCACTTCGGGCATCCGATAACAACGCGACTCGCGTTACCTTTTTTCCCCGTCGCATTCCTCGTCTTGGAACAGCTCATAGCTTTGAACAGCTAGCTTTGTGCCCTTGGTCCCTTGGTTCTACATCCTAGCTACCCTATCCTAATCGACTTGGTGCCCTACACTGGCTCCCTTGGAGGCCTAACCTGGATTCCACCCCTCCTCGTGGGTCTCTATCGCCCAACTGTGCTCGGATCTATCCCTTGCACTTTCTGCTGAAAGTCGAACCCTCCGGTCTAAGACACTCCCTTGGACCGCTATTTTTGTGTTATCGCGTCAATACCCCGTGAGACATTCGCGCATCAGATCGATAAACATCACACGCGTGTGAACCGCGTCGGCGCATGGGTTGTGAATTCCTCCATGCGAGTGGGTGACTCGGTCCTTTGTGCATTGCCACTCGCACCTTCTCAACATTCCTGCCTTCCTTCGACACCCTTGACTCATCCACACACACCCTCGATCCCTGGACCTGCAGAGGGTTGTGACCGTCGCCTCTGATTCGGAACATTGGGATTTAACATCGACCATCGCTCACCCGCGCCTATTTGTCTTGTTCCCGCTCCGTCTGGTTGAAACGCGATTGGGATCGTGACGCGCTCTTCATTCTTCGTTGCGCGGCATCTCCACACATTCCCCCGATCATGGTCGCGACATTTTCGCCGCACCGGGACTCCGGCGGCACCCTGCATCTCACTTCCCACTCCGGGATTCATCACGTTGATGCCAGCTCCGCCATCCGACAACTACGCCGCTCACTGTCGCGTTCCCCATCCAAGAGTTCCAACTTTTTCCTCAACACGCGAAATCACTCTCCCTCCAAATCCGCCTACATCTCTTCTCCGCTCTCACCGTCTCGACGCAGCTCCCAAAACAACTTTGTTCTCTTCCCATCACACCAGTCTCCTCTCGCGGTGCCTTATCCTCCCAGCGCGAAAATCTCCCGGCCGGCGATGCGACGCCGCACGTCGCCTCGCAGTCCGGCCAAGCGCGCCTTGAGTGTCTCGACTGACGCTGGAAACGCCACTCCCACCCAGCCCATCGCCCTTCCCCCCGGCGAGGAGAATGACTTGACTCTCGACGATCTGGTTCCAAATATGATGAGCACAACTCCAGACAGCCCTTGTGCAAGCAATACGCCTCTGGCGGAGCCAGCTTTCGCGCCCCGCCCCACCTTATCGCGTATCGAGAAGCGACGCAGTGGGACCTTTGGCAGCCTTGCAAGTGGGAGCCCATTGAAGCGCAGTGATGGAATCATGAATCTGGACCAAGCTTCACGGGGCAGTCCTTCCGCGAAACGACGCAGCGTGCATAACCCGAACTGTCCGCCTGAATTCAGCATTTTCGACAACGAGGTGGAAGATACCACGCCCGAGGGCTCTCCATCATCTGAGATTCCTTCTTTCCCCACGCCTGTTCAGCCACATAGCCCATTTGCGACGATTCCCAAGCGCTCGTCTTCTCTGCGGCGATCAACTCTCCAGCAGCGCGGTGAACGACCCCTCTTTGGCCGACCAAAGGCGTTGGATGATGATGAGGGCACCTCCCCACCCGGTACGCCATTAACGGTCCGGCCGCGTATGTCGTTTGACAGCAGCCTGTTTCAACCTGGCAGCGAGAACATTTTCTCTCCCAAGCCATCAGCAAGCCCTCTATTCTCCAACTCCCCAGCCAATCCTCCTGTCAATAATGCTCAACCTCGCGCCGGCGCTCACCCTCTCTCTCGCACCATCACCCAATCATCCTCTGGGTCAAGTCTTGATGACTCCCCCACCCACGAACCGGTTCACAAGCCCGAGGGGCGCCGGCCCTTGTTCAACTTCTCCAAGTCCCTTCCCGCTGGAGCAACTCGCCCAGCACCCGTCCGCAGAATCACACGAGAGGATTCTGGCGAATTTGCTACTCCAGACAACTACAAGCTGGTCAAGCCTCTGCCGGCGGCATTCATGTCCACTGGTCTCATCTCGAAGAAGAACCGCAATGCGGAGGAGAGTGGATCCGCATTCAACAAGAGCATGCCTGATACACCATGTAAACGGCCTATGAACATGTTCACGGCCGGTCCGAACCCCACCGACAGACTGTTCGACAAGTCAAGGCAGTCAGATGCCCCATCTGCTTCTCCTTTCAACCCACCTACGACTTCGCGCCCCAAGCCGAGTCCCTTCGCCCGCGGCATGGGCATCTTTGGTAGCAGCTTCAACCGTCCCGAGGCTTCCCGCCGTGGCAGCCTCGCCAGTCTCGATGGCGACGACTTGAATCTAGCCCAGTCTCCCTCATCCCGACAGGACAGCCAGCCTCTGAATGATGACTTCCCTCCCACTCCAACCAAACAGCCTTTCCTCTCATCTCGCACCTACCCTCCTACCGCCGGCTCCATCCCCTCCTTGGAACGGTTGTCGGAGACCGCCAGTCCTCTGCACGAGCGGCTCTTGCAGGCTTCGCCTCACACTCCCCGGGACCAATACTTCCCTCCCGATCCCAGTGGTCTGTCTATCTCTGTGCCCAATGACCACTCGGCTCACATTGAGCACGAGCTTCCAGCTACCCCCACCGGACCTCGTGACTCCTGGTCTTCGTTCAGGCGCCCCAGTCTACAAATCAGTGGATACCACGCCCCTGACGTTGACCCAACTCTCACATCCCGCTTTGACAGCGTGGAGCTCATTGGAACTGGAGAGTTTTCCCAGGTCTTCCGCGTCTCAAAGCCCCACGACGCGTCTTTCCCTTCTGTTTTCTCCCTTCCGTCCAGCGAGCCCAAATCTCCTGGCTCCCTTCCCCATCAAGTGTGGGCTGTCAAGAAGAGCAAGCAGCCATATCTGGGGTTGAAGGATCGGGAGCGCCGTATCCGAGAGGTTGACATCTTGAAGACCCTCAGCAACTGCGATCATGTGGTTTCCTTCATGGACAGCTGGGAAAACCTAGGTCATCTCTACATCCAGACCGAATACTGCGAGGAAGGTAGCCTGGATGGCTTTTTGGCTCAAGCCGGCCTGAAGGCCCGTCTTGACGACTTCCGTATCTGGAAGATCTTGCTTGAAATGTCATTGGGTCTGAAGGAAATCCACGACGAGGGCTTCATCCATCTTGATCTCAAGCCGGCCAATATTCTGGTCACTTTTGAAGGCACTTTGAAAATTGGTGACTTTGGCATGGCCGCCCGCTGGCCTGCCGAGCACGGAATCGAAGGCGAGGGTGATCGGGAGTACATTGGACCGGAGATTCTCAAGGGTCAATATGACAAGCCCGCCGACATCTTCTCCCTCGGTCTCATCATCTTCGAGATTGCTGGCAATGTCGAGCTCCCTGACAACGGACTCTCTTGGCAAAAGCTACGCAACGGTGATATGAGCGATGTCCCCAGCCTCACCTTCAGCCACGAAAGCCAGGTCTCCCGCGATGCCAGTGGAAACCCCATCATGAAGGAGTCGTCTTTCGAGGAACTCTGTACCTCTGACCTGGGTGGCGGCGAGTTTGGTGATGACTTCTTGACCTGCCGTGAGCTGAGTACCCCCAAGCCTCAGCATGTCGCTCGCAGCGGCGAGCTCATCGATCCTCCCGCCTTCATGGCTGATCCTTACCACCCTCAATCTCTGGACGGAGTCGTCCGATGGATGATCTCCCCCGAACCACAACACCGTCCCACCGCGGACCAAATCCTGGAAACCTTTGGTGTCCAATTTACCAACCAACGACGCCGCGCTGGCGCCACCGTCTTCGAGGGTAACTGGGGCCCCGCTGACGAGATCTTGGCCGAAGATGCCGAAATGATCGACGTGTAATTTAATATCCCTTTCTCACCATGTGCATATGGAGGGTGTTTTCTGTTCTGTTTTCGTTTTCCCTTTCCCATTTCCTTTGTCACCTTGTTTCCACTGGCGTTCCCGGCCATTCCCACGGAGTATTTGTTTCCACCTATCTTTGATGCCATGTTTTCTCACGACTTTCCCCCAAGACTTCGAAATGAAGTTGGTTTTTCCCCGCGTGGGCTGGGTTTGGGCGCTTTCCCGTCCGGATTGGAGGCGTCCCCAGTTCATGCGATTCTCATGTGGAGTTCGAGGGTATTCCTTGATGGAGTTTCCCCCATTTGTTTCCCCGATCTTTTGTTTCTTTTGTATGATCTCCTATCATTACAAGGTGCCAGAAATGTACCATCATTGGGCTTATGGTTTGCCATGCTCTCTGGGTCTGTATTCTTACGTGGAGATTGATACCCACATCTGGATGCTGCTATCTCTTTTTTTCTTTCGACTTTGTTTTATGACCTATGTGCCTTCGGGCTGTGATGACCTTTTGAGCGATCTGTGCGGGTTGGTGTCTTCGGTTGTGTACCTGGGTTCCATGTCTGTATAGCAATTGTGGAATAATGATGAACGATTACAACAACATCTTGATTTGTAGACATTGAATGTTCAGATTGTAGACTTGTAAGTCCCGAGGTCAGAGGCTGATATTCCCTCGCTAACATCTCCAACTTGGAAAATCTGTCTACTACCCCGTACCTAGGTATCCCTCTGCTCTACCTAAGGCCAAAACCTTGGTAGGTTACTAGGTAGAAGCAGAAAAAATTGTTAGTATCACAACGCCTTCTATCACGCCTTCTTCGGTAAGACCTCAGGAGGTGAATTAGATTGATCTTTCTTGCTTAATGTTCAATTTTCAAACTCCTGTGGTCCAAAATACACACTAGGTATGAAATCTTCCAAGGTTGTGTTGGAGAAGTGTAGCAGCTATACTCTGTAGTTCGAAGATATATATCTCGGATCCATGGATCGCCACGGGATTTCTTGGCGTTTGACGCAGACTTCTCGGACCTCCGCATCGCATGCTAACTGCCAACCTCTTCACTGAGAGCCTCCTTTAATAATGCACTGCTCTTGAATCAAACACCCACAATGGACCACAAAGATTTCGTATCCGACAACCTGACCCGCCTGACGGGCGCGTCAGATTCCACCCTCATCGACTTCGTGCTCGCGACAGCTTCCTCCGCCAAGTCGACCACCTCCCTCACCGAAAAACTCACAGCCTTCCTCGATGCCCCCAATCCAGCCGACATCGGCTCCTTCGCCCGCGAGCTCCACGGCCGCATGGGCAAGGGCGCCCAGCCCAGCGCCCCAGCCAAGCCCGCAGCAAGCAATGACAAGAAGAAATACCGCCTAGTCGACATGGGCGAAGAGCCCGATTCTACAACACTAGGACCTACGAATGTTGAAGCCGAGCGCGAGCGAGAGAGAAGACGTGCCCGGGACAGCGGCAAAGAGCGACGAAGCAAGCGGGATGAGCCCAGACGCGAAGACGATAGCCGGAAGCGCGACCGCAGCAGAGATCTTGAAAGCCGGGACCGGCCACGCACGAAGAAGCTCCGCAAGCGGGACGAGGATTTCGACGATCGCTGGGGTGATGAGGAGATACCCTCTGACTACGAGGAGGAGTTTGAAGAATCGCCGCCGAAGCGGACGCGGATTGACGATGGTTCTGTTTCGCCTCGTCCCGAAGAAATCGATCCCAAGACTCAGGAGGAGATTGATCGACAGAAAGATCTGCGAGAACGAGACGAGTTCGCGAAGCGATTGGCTAGTAAGGACGATAGCAAGTCGAAGAAGATTGTTGAGGATCGTACGCGTGATGGCGAGGCTGCGCGGAGACGTGCGCTAGCTGATGATGCTAAGGCGCGGGCGGCGATGATGCCTGATCTGCGTGAGAGGTCGAGACAGGAATATTTGAAGAAGCGGGAGACGGAGCGGCTGGCATTGTTGCGGAGGCAGGTTGTTGAGGAGGCTGCAGAGCTGCGGGAGAATCCCAATTTGTCTCGGAAGGAGAAGGAGGAGTTTGCGCGGAATCGAGAGGTTCTTCGCATTGCTGAGGAGAGGCTTAGGATCGATGATCATCGTGATGGGTATATGATGCCCGATGACTACATCACGGAGAAGGGGAAGATCGATCGCAAGAAGAAGGAAGATGCGCTGTATAAGCGGTACGTGGAACGAGATGAGATGGGCCAGGAACGGTTCGTCACTGAGCACGAGGAGTGGGAGCTTGAACAGGCGGCCAAGGCCAAGGCACAGATCAAGAAGGCCGAGTTCGTGGATGAGGGCGACTATGAGTATGTCTTCGACGATTCACAGCAGATCAACTTTGTCATGGATGCCAAGATGGCTGGTACGCAGAAGCCGATGACACAGGAGCAACTGCGATTCAAGGAGCAGGTTGATGCGGCCGAGAAGAAGGCTCTGACCATGGAAGAGACTCGAAAGAGCCTTCCGATCTACCAGTTCCGTGATCAGATCATCCAAGCTGTGGCAGACCACCAGGTCTTGATTATTGTCGGTGAGACCGGCTCTGGAAAGACTACGCAGATCCCCCAGTACCTCCACGAGGCCGGCTATACCAAGGACGGACTCAAGGTTGGCTGCACCCAGCCGCGACGAGTGGCTGCCATGAGTGTTGCGGCGCGTGTGGCCGAGGAAATGGGCACGAAGATCGGCAACGAAGTCGGTTACGCCATTCGATTCGAAGACAACACGAGCGACAAGACCATTCTCAAGTACATGACCGATGGAATGCTGCTGCGTGAACTCTTGACCGAGCCCGACCTGAGCCAGTACTCAGCGTTGATGATCGACGAGGCCCACGAACGGACGGTGCCTACTGATATCGCCTGTGGCCTTCTCAAGGATATCGCCAAGGCGCGACCTGATTTGAAATTGCTCATTTCCTCCGCGACGATGGATGCGCAAAAGTTCCAGAAGTATTTCGACGATGCGCCCATTTTCAACATCCCCGGTCGTCGATACCCCGTCGATGTGCACTACACCTCGCAGCCCGAGGCCAATTACCTCGCCGCGGCCATCACCACCTGTTTCCAGATCCATGTCACCCAAGGTCCCGGAGATATCTTGGTGTTCTTGACCGGTCAAGAAGAAATCGAGGCGGCAGAGCAGAGTTTAGCAGAAACGGCTCGAAAGCTAGGGAGCAAAATACCGGAAATGATCATTGCTCCTATCTACGCCAATTTACCGTCCGAGATGCAGACGAAGATCTTCGAGCCTACGCCCCCTAAGGCGCGCAAGGTGGTTCTTGCCACCAACATTGCCGAGACCAGTTTGACCATTGATGGTATTGTCTACGTGATTGACCCCGGTTTCGTCAAGGAAAACGTCTTCAATCCTCGCACCGGCATGGAAAGTCTCGTCGTGACCCCTTGTTCCCGAGCCTCAGCCAACCAGCGCGCCGGTCGTGCAGGACGTGTCGGGCCCGGAAAGTGCTTCCGCTTATACACCAAGTGGGCATACTACAACGAGCTGGAAGAGAACACCACGCCCGAGATCCAACGAACGAACCTGAACGGAGTCATCCTGATGCTGAAATCCCTGGGAATCGACCAACTCCTCGACTTCGACTTCATGGATCCGCCGCCAGCGGAAACGATCATCCGGGCCCTCGAACAGCTCTACGCCCTGGGCGCCCTCAACGACCGCGGCGAACTCACCAAAGTCGGTCGCCAAATGGCCGAATTCCCCACAGACCCCATGCTGGCCAAAGCCATCCTCGCCTCCGACAAATACGGCTGCGTCGAAGAAGTGCTTTCCATCGTCTCCATGCTCGGCGAAGGCAGCGCCCTCTTCTTCCGACCAAAGGACAAGAAGATCCACGCCGACAGCGCCCGCAACCGCTTCACCATCAAAGAAGGCGGCGACCACCTCACCCTCCTCAACGTCTGGAACCAATGGGTCGATTCAGACTTCAGCCCCATCTGGGCCAAAGAGAATTTCCTCCAGCAGCGCAGTCTCACGCGCGCGCGCGACGTCCGCGACCAGCTCGCCAAATTGTGCGATCGCGTCGAAGTCGCTGTCAGCACTTGCGGCGCGACCAACATGCAGCCGATCCAGAAGGCTATTACAGCTGGCTTCTTCCCGAATGCGGCGCGTCTGCAGCGCGGTGGCGATAGTTATCGCACGATCAAGAATGGCCAGTCTGTTTACTTGCATCCTTCCAGTACGCTGATGGAGGTGAATCCACGCTGGGTCATTTACTTCGAGCTGGTACTTACCAGTAAAGAGTACATGCGCAGCAATATGCCGCTGCAGGCAGAGTGGCTGGTGGAAGTTGCGCCGCATTATTATAAGAAGAAGGATCTGGAGAGTCTGGGATTGGATCGCAAGCAGTCGAAGGGGCAGGGGTTGGCCGGAGAGAAGAAATGATGTGTATCTTATGTGTGAATAAAGTAATTCGATCAACTCAGCTCGTTTGCATCGACATACTTATCCTTGCCAGCAAGAAATCGGAGTAGTCGAGGCACATCGCCGTGCTCTCCGTCCATTGCGACCGACGGACCTAGTCGTCGATAGAACGGGGCTTCAAAATACTCAGGGAAGAATCCCGCATACTCCCAATCGATAATCGCCATGATTTTCAGACTGGCAAGATCCACAATAACATTCTGCTGTGAGAGATCATTATGGCAGAAGACGTATTCATATTCTCCCCTCTGCGTCGCCCAAACTTCATCACTCTGGCGCATCACTCGATAAGGAGGAATCACCACCCCTTCCAGACCACTGACTTGAGCCTTCATCTCGTGCAGATTCACTACATGTTCCTCCAGCTCAGCCGAAACGACTCTCTTCTCCTCGTCCGCAAGTTCCGACATAGGCGTCCCGTCCACGAACTCCGTAACCAAGAAGAAGGCATCGTCAATTTCGAATGCGGCGTAGATGGCTGGAACGGGGATTTCGCTCCCGTGGAGGAATCGCAGGGCTGCGGCCTCGTTTTGGAGTCTTTCTTTGCCTAGGCAGGGGATGTGAAGTCCTTTGTAGCCGGTCTTGAATTCGCGGGGGCGTAGACTGCGTTTGATGAAGAGGTTCTCGCTGTGGTAGTAGGCTCTTTCGGCGGTGATGCCGATGCAGGTCTTGGGTGAGGCGTGGGAAGAGTGGTGGCTTGTTAGGTCTTGTCTGAGAGATTCTTCGGTGTAGTGGGTAGTTGAAGTCATTGGGAACATAGTGTTGAAGGAATTAAGTAGAGTGTACGGAGAGAAGTTCGAAAGAGAATGATCCCTGCAGGGTCTCATGTCAGGTGGTTTCTATGGAAGGAGCAGATTGACCAGTTTCATCTTTCATCTTTCATCCTTCACAGCCTCCACTATACACACATCACTGTTTTTGCCTAGCACTGTCTCTTGCCATGTCTTTGATCTCCTTGCCGGGATACCGGTTTCAAACAGCATATCGGTCTAAATCCAGTCAGCATCTACACCGTCAGGGTCATTTGCAGGTCTTACCTCGGCAATCGAGAGCCCAGAAAGCTCTGGCACGAAACCGTATGCCCAACCAACGGAAATGACAATCATGCCAAACCAGATGTAGCAGACATCGATCTCCAGATCGGCCGCAGTCGCATCTACGAGGTACGGAGTGACAAACCCAATAGCCCAAGTGGCGAGCCAGTAAACCAGCATCGTGAGCGTGGATTGATACAGTCGCAGGCACTGCGAGTACGGCTCGGTCATAACCACCCAACCTGGACGATATGGTTAGTCGAAGAGTAAGAAAGCAAGTCTTCACATACCCATCGTGCCCCAGGTGGCAGCATACGCTGCAATGAAAATCACCGCGCCGGCAAGCAAAGCGTTCTGATCACTCGCGCTGCCAGGAGATACCGAATGAATGACAGTAGGGACCAGCATCGTGATACCCATCACCACTCCTCCCCACAGCAAACACGTCCGTCGGCCAACCTTCTCCACCAAGATTGTTGACACGGCCGTGAATATGGCGTTCACCAAGGCCAGAACCAGCAAAATCAAGCACGAGCCACTGACGCCGGCTTCTTTGAAGAATGTCGTTCCATAGCCAAACCAGAACGTTATGCCCGTTGCGATCGTCAGAATTGCCATACACATCCCGAGCAGCTGGCGACGTAGATTCGACCCTTGTAAACATTCAATGAGTCGGAAATCTTCATGCGTGCTCTGTTCCGCGGCCCATTGCGCCACTGAATATGATCAACGCAAGGAAAAGCTGAAACGCGACGGAGATTCCTGGGTGGATAAAGCAGTCAGCAATCAACAGTCGAAAGTGAAGATTATACTATTCGGACTGGCTACTCACGCCAACTATTAGCACCAGCAAGCTTTCTAGTCCCAAGACTAATACGGAGTACTACAGGCCAAAATATTTCCACAAGTGAGGGAACGAGTGTAAAATGATACCAGCCGGCCTCTTGTATTTGCCTTTGAGGAATCCACCAAGTACATAGGAGACTTTCGGGCGTCTACAGTCAGTCATTCCCATCGGTGTGTAGATACGCTTCGCCAGTTGAAGGCTCTACTCCATATCTTCTGATGAAGTCTTCTGAGCCCAGAACACCATTCAAGTACCCGGAGTCGTAGCCAATGAGGGTTCCTTTGAGTTGTTAGTGGATATGGGGTATTTTAACTTTGTAACTACATGGAAGACATACCGGATGCAAAGATCATTCCGTATATTGTGCATTGTTTGAAAGAAATCATCTTGAGAATTGATATGGATGAGAGGTGTCAAGAAGATTCTGATTGAATCTAGTCTTTAAACAAGAAATCCCATGGAATAGTCCGATAGGAAACTGTCATGATTCGTTCTATGTTCATCTCGAATATACATGGCAATGATACTGGGGAGATAATGCAATGTCAAGTATGGATGTCCGCGGGTGGCGATTTGCTGAGGAGAATCGTATACGCTCTCACTGGACCTATTGTGTGCAAATAAAGAATAGAGATCGGAAAGCGGAGGGCAGACCCGTGGACATATTGCATCCTCTGTCAATCTCCAGTTCTACAGCTAGTCTGGAGTGGACGGCATCTGATCTACTCGTCCGTTCAAACTTTGGACTGGGAATTCATGGTCCGCTACTATATCGTATCATCTTCAGATCTCTCGGTCAGGATTCGACAGGCGTAGATTGACATATGATAGATTGATTTGGTGAATTCCTTGGCGAAATCAGATATGCACGCATGGGGTTTCGTTCCCAGCTTCGACACCTCGGACCAGAACACCGGGTTTGAAATTCTCCTTGGTACTGCCACCGATGCTGTTCCTGCATGGAGAATTACCACCCGAGGGAGACGACCTAGATTTCGTAGATCACGGATTCTAGTTCATTTCTCTACGTAAGGAAAGAAATAACTTCTGTTCATATTGAAGTGCAAGTCACATGGTCTGTATTCCATAGGTACCGGCCTAGTTGAATGCTACAAGACCTCGGTTTTCTCTATTAGCAGTATTTGTGCTATAGAGTACAGACACATGGACTTAAGCTTAAGAAAGTAACCCTTGGATAGTCCAGGAGGTAACCCTGGAACATATGACACCCACCGACCAATCAGCGGCGACCTAAAACAAACCTCGGCAAGTGAACCTCGGGATCTCCGCTTCCCCCGGAATTCAACGTCAGACTCTCCGCAGTGTTTTTCCTTCTTCTCTCCTCTCCTCTCTCCCTTCACTCTCCTCGACCTCAACACTCTACAACCCACGCTCCACACCATGTCCCAAACATTCACCCCCGCCGACGTGGCTTCCCACAACACCGCCGACAAGGGCCTCTACATCATCGTCGACAACAACGTCTTCGACGTCACTACCTTCATCGACGAACACCCCGGCGGTGCCAAGATCCTCAAGCGCGTCGCTGGCAAGGACGCCTCCAAGCAATTTTGGAAGGTGAGCACCGGCGCATTCGGCCGAGACGCGGCATTTGGAATTTCCCGTTCCAGTCACTAACCGACACCTAGTACCACAACGAATCGGTCTTGAAGAAGTACACGCCGAAACTGAAGGTTGGAGAGGTGAAGGATGCAGCGAAGCTGTGAGATATGGAATAAATATCATATACGGTAGATACGGAGATGAGCAATGTGATACCCGATTTGAGGTTACAATTTTAGGGTTGTGGATTTAGGTGTGATGTAGACGTGGATGAGAAGTGTGGACAGCTAGCGCTGGATCATTTATTAACAGATTATATCGCTGTGACGCCCCGTGCGAAGATCGCAAGAAATCAAAGTGGTATCAACACGGAAAAAAGGTATAAAGGTCGAGGACCGACGGTAATTACAATTAGAAGCCACGGAAAGGATCAGAGCCAGGTCGATAGGAGATCTCACTATCCACGACGGAAGGCGTGTCGAATTCGTAACGCCGCTCGCTCCATTGGCTGGAGGTCTTGCGAGTATGGCGATGACGCGGGGCCGGTCGTGGCCGATTCATCTGTTCGGCGTGGTGATCGATGAACGCTTCCATGCGCATAGTGCCCATGTCGAACATGTTGCTTCCGACGCTGGGGGCGCCCGAGGCCTCGGAAGTGCGCCGGACACTGCTCTGGCGACTCATGCCTGGAATGGGGGCCATGGCTGGGAAATGGAGCTCGGGGGAGACGGTTCCACTATGCGAGGAGGGGATGGTGCCTTGACTGGAGAAGCTGCGGAGGGCGTGGAGGGCTGGCCGGGGTGCGGTGTTGCTTCGTTTGCGGTTGTGGGCGAAGCGTGGCACGTGGGGTGCGTCGGCGGCGAGGTCGAGACTCTCTTTTGGTAGTTCGGGGACGGAGGGAGGGCCGGCACTGGCGAACCGTTTCCCTGGCATGGGGCGGGGTCGGCCTTTGGCGACGCGAATGGAATCGCGGATTGGGTTGCGGCGTAGGGTGCTGTTTGATTGGGTGTGTTCTTCAGTGGGGATTGGAGGGAGGGCTGCGAGATCGTGCAGGCCCATGGCGGAGTGGCTGAGGAAGGAGAGGGCGGTTAACCAGACATAGTGGCGTTCGATTGAGAGAGCGGTGAATTTCAGAGCACGTTGAGGAGTGAGAACGAGGATGGAGCGGTTGAATGGAGGTGGTGAGGTGCCCTTTGGTAGAGGGTTGTCGTCTTTGACGTCGAGAACGGATTGAATTGTGACTGGTCATGTTAGTCAGGAAGGCCTGGAGGGTAAACACTTGGGAACTTACACTTTCGGCCACTCTTTCCTAGCAGCGCGGGGCCGCTGGTGGGTTGTTTGCTACTCCACATGATGGAGCCTTCGTATGGAGCCAGCCACACCCAGCGTTTGTGCCGGACGCCGCTGTTGGTGATGTTCGCGGAGACCTCGTCCGGATTCTTGCCTTCCCAGTTGTCCTTGGATTCACCCATGCCGAAGGACTTGCGTCGACGGACGTATTTGAACATCCACTCACCAACCATCGTCTGCGCAATAGCATCGACAACGCTGGTTGACTGCACACCACTAATAGAGTCTTTGCGCTCGCGTTGATCTTGGCTTCGGTAGGATGGGGTTGCGCGGTGTGAGGCGCGTTTGGCGGATACGCGCCGCTCCCGCGGTGCTGTGATATCGTCGAATGGCAACGGCGGTGGTCGATACGGTTGATACGTGGGTGACCCAGGAGAGAAGGTCGAGAACGATTGTGACGGAGAAGACTGTGTCTCGGGTCTCTCAGTGACCTCAGATTGAGACATAGCTGTCGCGGACCGCACGCGACGAAGAGTAGGTCGCCTCACTAGCGATTGGCCGCTGGTGTCCGAGAACTTTCGGCCAACAGAGCGCGTCGGGCTTGGTGGCCCGTCACTGCTGTTGAGCGGGATCTTGCGAGAGCTCAGTCGAACGGGAACGGGGAATGGCGGGGCAATGCTAGAGCCTGCACTTCCGCTATCGAGACTCGGTTCGCTCGAAGTCCGAGCGAAGGTCCTTTGATGCACAGCTGCTCCGTTGGAGATCATGGCCATCTTGCGCATACCGGGTTGGCGAATGCTGGAGGAGGCCGTGCTGGATCTCTGCGAAGGCCGAGAGCGGCCAATTGCGGGTGGCATGGATTCAGGGCTGGAGAGCTGCTCGTCGATTTCGGGAAGGGTCATGCTGTCTAGGCTGGGTCTTGATTTTGCGTTGACGAGCTTGCCACGGCTGACGGTGTATGAGGCAAATGGTCGATTGAGAAGCTCGTCATCGGTGAACACTTCGCGCTCCCCATGCGGGCCTTCCTCGTCGCTGTTGTGCTCGAAACCGGCGAAAAGACTGCTGGATCGCAGGGGTCGCCGGATGTTGGACAATGCGCCCTCTGATAACGGGCCATTGTCGTTATTTCCTGGGTAGGCTTGCACATGATCAAGGCTTGGTTCCCTTGAAGATTTCACATCTTTGTCTGTTCCTGCACGTCTTTGCTTTCGCTTCTCTGAGCGCGGGGGCAGAGGGGGCGCGGAATAGGACTCGAGGCTGGTCTCCTGGGGTTCAGTGCGAGGGAGCACATCTTGAATGGCCGAAGGAAGCAGACTGGCGGGCAATTTGACGGGTCGTTGATCAATGCGAATCTCCTCCGTTTGAATGGCAACGGATTGACAATCCGCAATCGCTCTGAAGTTAACCTGACACCCGACATTCTTAGTTTGGGGTGGAAGAACGACACTGTTTCGAGGCGAAGACGGCTCTGAGCCGGGTGCGTGAATTGTGATTACTGGAATGTCCATCGGTGATGGAAGATCGTTTGGTGACAAGCTGGTGCGCTTCTCGTTGTGGACAACTTCTGGCTGTACATCCGTCTGAGTAGAGACCGATGTCATTTGTACCGGCTCTCGGGGGAGTTCAACCGGGGCAGGCGGCGCGTCTACCACCTTAGGTGTCCACGGCGGACTTGGGAGTTCGCCCACGGTCTGGCATGAAGTCGAAATCATTTCGGTTCCAATAGTCAACGTTGTCGCATCTTTCGTCTCGATTTCAGGTGTCTCGCTCGCAGATTCGGTTGGCTCCGGACCGTCCAAAGGTCTGAAATCATCTTTCTCCAATGTCACGGGCGCAATTCTGGGAGATGGCGGTGGCGAGTATTGGACAGCGGTGTCACAGTAATTAGCGCCGACCTTGGCTTCCTTCGACGGGCCATCCTGGTCAACGTCCCGAACACGGAACTCTGAAGCGACGGGTGAGTCTGCGCTTTGCATGGAGAGACCAAGCAGTTTTCTAGCTTTGAAAGAGATGCTATGGGATGCCTGTGAATGAACAGACACGGGTCGCTCCTCAGGGAGAGCCTCTGGAGACGCGGGGGTCTCATCGTCAGATGGAGCGAAATCATCCTCCTCGTCGAAGTCGAGTTCCTCCGCCAAGTTCAACCCGGAACTGTTGCTAGCTCCAGGAGCCATGCTCATCACGGAGTATCGCACATTGTGGAAGCTGGAGGTCAACTCTCCATCATTCGAGCTGACGGTTGTCACGCTCGTGCGCCGGCGGCCGAAGCTGCTGGACGCAATGCTAGCGGAGTCACTTTCCTTGGCCTTGTCTTCGTCCCCATTCTCACTTTTCTGGGAATGGGAATTAAGAGTCGCGACTTCCTGGGCGGCCGCGAACTCATTCAAGACAGTCTTCAGGCGCCCTTCTACTACATGGACTTTGCGTTCCCAGGCACGCCGCTCGTTCGCCCAGGCATCTTGGTCTTGATTCCACAGCTCCTGGGTGCGCTCGAGCTCTTCTTCCCGGCCGCGCGTCTTCTTCTGCGCCTGGTCAAGCTTCTTACGAACATCATTGATGTTCTCGACTGCTTCGTCGCGCTCCCGGACTAACTCGTTCATCGCAGATGATGTCCCGCCTTCCAGTAGCTGAATTTGGTGCTTCAACGAGCGCCCTTCCCGAGTTACTTGGGAAAGGTTCGCGGAGAGCGTTTCATTCTCTGTTTTCGACTCGTCCAAGCTCTCCTCTAGTCCATCGATAGCCTTGGTTTTGTTTTCAATCTCGCGGCGTAGTGAGAGGATCTCCGATACCAGCGAGGCATGCAGGGTCGGCGTGATCCTGCGCGGATCGAAAGGCGATAGCGTATCTTCGACAAGGTCGTCATCGTCTGTTTGCCCGTCCGTTTGTCCCTCTGGAGAGAATGCGGGAGTTGGGAGGCCAGGCGGGGACGAGGGAATAGGCGACGAGTCCCACCGACGCGAAGGTCTTGATCGTGATCGAGTCTTTGGCGTGTGTGATTTGCTTTCAGTTGATTTCGGTTTTGAGAACGGGCCCATGGAGGCCGGAGAGTGTAGGTCGGCCATTTTGCATGTATACGCCTCCAAGCACACAGGCTGTGTGGATTGTGCTTACCAGAGCACGTCACGCACCGCCTGTTAGTTGAGGTCGTTCGATCATCCGATCACCGTTGGCGCCAATATGGTTATCTCGGAAACGGGTACCAACGCGAGAGGGTATATGCAGCGTCAAGACCCAGTAGAACTTTGTGGAACGAAAAAAAGTCAGCCACCGGTCCAACGTGGTAGCCCAGGACCCAATGCCGAGGTTTGAATATGCACGAAGGCTAATTCTGCTTACATTGAGTGTGAGAGGCGAGTAAGATGTCGAGGGAGCGCGGGAGAGGATAGATCAATCCAAGGCGCGACGATCGCGGAATCTAGATCTGACACAAAGGCCAAGATTGATTACCAGGTGAGTGAGATTGGCCTTGCGGCACGCATATCGGAAGTGCGCCGGATGCGAGGAGATTCGAAGGACCTCTGCGCATCCCAAAAAAGTGTCAGGGGTGTTCGTTAGGGGCATGGGGAAGCAAAAACCCACCCAATTAGCCAGGATCCACTGTAGCTGCCAGGATGAGAGCGCGGTGATTCGATAGATTCCTGTCTCAAAGCCGGGCCGATCAAGGGCGTCAGAGGTCGTGGTCTGTTCGCCAGATCGAGTCTACTTGTACAAGTGCTCTGTGCAATGTCCGGAGTACAAAGTACGCCGTGCAGGGCGATTGAGCGACCATTGACAGTGGAGAGTGGAGATGCACGTTCTGAACGAAAAAAAAAAAAAACAAAAGACCAAATCACCAAATCACCAAAAATCCTCAAAGGTTAAAATAAATTAAACTGGAGCCGGCGTAATTTCAAGGAATGAGCTATTGACCGAGTCGCGTCCAGGCGAATTGCCTAGAAGAGGAAACAGACTCACGATCACCAGACTGACGTCGAGGTGTTCGTGGATGTTCGGGTTCCACTGCGCGGAACGGGTACGCAGTGCTGCTGTGCAAGGAGGATCCCCCTATTCTTGTGTACACCTGGGTGGAGGGGGCTGGCAGGCTGGACAAATCACCGACCGTCGCGGTCCAATGAGCCGTGCGAGGTCCAATGAGATCGAACAGGAAGTCCACTACGGCCGACAGTTAGCAAGGTCACATAATTTGGGGGATCGTTTAGCGTGTTTGAGAATGGAATTAGAACAACCCCTGTGCTGGCGTTTTGTGCTGGGGGCGATCAGGCAATTTCGCTGCATGGGAGTGGTCTGTGTTTCAGGATTGCAGATGCAGCAGCGTGCTTAACTGCGCAACGCCTCCCTCTGATGCCAGACAATTCACGTGAAGTTAGGAGCTTCGCGCGACGCGAGTTCTCCACCGAGAGCTTTGCTTTCCCACCGGGAAACGCATCCACTTCGGCGGAAATGAGAACCAAACTCTCGTGTTTGGTGTCTCTGAGCATCGCGCAGCACGCCGTACACGGATCTGGGTCAGATTCTCGACATGCATCGGTCGCATATCGGAGGGGTAAGCTGCAAGGCCAACGCAGGCCAATGATTGGCAATAATCCTCAATTATCGTGTTTGCAGGCCAATTGGAAATTGGACCAACGGGGGAAACGCGAAGGAGTAACAGTCTCCGCGAACCATTGCCGGGCCCCACCCCATTCGCCCTCAGGGGGTCACTTCATCTGTGTCGTACTTTGGCATTCGGCCCGTTGACAGGTCCAATTGTGGCGACTCTCCCGACGGCTTTTTCTTCTTTTTGGTCTGACAGCACTAGTGGCGGGTCTAGTCCTGCGCCTCGCGATGGTTAGTACGGCAGGGTTACTTCGCATGTCTCTGATTCCAGAGATCACAGGTGAAATAGTGTGGAACGAGAGAGGTGAATGGTGAGTTGAGAGAGGTGCAAGAGGGAAGAGGGAAGAGAGAAGAGACTCCCGAGTTCCGGAACCAAGGCACTTCACATTCGCCTGAGCATTAGCATCAACTATGTATACTAGTAGAGTGGGCATATTGCGGTTTTAATTAGGACCTTAGTGATCTGCACTTATCACTCTGCATTCTTCTCACAGAATGCGCCTCATAACACTCCGCAGTATCTCCAAATGCCCGAATATGGCTTGAGGCCCGATCATTGAATTAAATAGACAATAATTATTGCTTATATGCATGCTATGGATGCAAGCAAAGGACTAGTATGCTTTTGCTTTGTACTAAATCCCCGAAACCCCTAGGCCGAATCGGAAGCGTTTGTTAATCTATATCTCTAAAAGGGCCTGCTCTCTACTTCTAGTGCATCTCATCTTGAGCGAACATCTCAAAATGTACAGCCATACATACTCCGTAGATTGATTTGAAACAAGTACGACGTATTGATCGCATAAATTGAAATCCAAAACTAGATTGCTCAACCATCACTGTCATTGTCCTTCAATACCAAATCGTTTGGCAACCTCCACGAAACCACCCGAGTCAACGTCAATCCACATATCAACCCATCCATCTGCCTTGGCCTTGGCAACGTCAACAGGAGACCAAGCTTCTTCCAGGTAACGCTCAACAAAGATAGTCTGGAACCCGCAGTCCTTGGCCCCCTTCAAGTCCTTCAAATGAGCAGCAACCATAGCACATTGACCAGGTTCAAAGCCAAGTTTTCTCGCCGCACCCTTATAAACCAATGGCGACGGCTTATACGCACTGAAATCCTCAGCGCTAGTCAAATGCCTGAACGGCAAAGAACCATAGCTCTTCAAATCCCGCAACAGATCGTGATTCCCATTCGATAAAGTCGACGTCTCAAATCGTCCGTTCAGCATCTCCAGCCCCCTCACACTATCCGGCCACGGACTAAGACGGTGCCAACTGAAAGAAAGTTCCCACCGCTCCTCGTCGCTGAACAAGCCTCCCAGCCCGTGTTTCTGGAGGAGGTCCGTGATCGCACGGAAGTGGTGCTGGTCCACGGATACGAACTCAGATGATGAGTCGAATGTAGTCGTGGTAGTGAAGGTGCCATATGATCGACGCCACTCTTCGGCAATGGCCAGCCAGTCATGGAAAGTCATGGTGGTGATCCGCGCCCGCAGCTCAGCTGGGAGGTCCTTGCGTTGCGCGGCATGCAAGGCGGCTGTACTCAGCTCCTTTGTGACGCATGTACGCCATTCGACTACTGTGCCGAAGGTGTCGAAGAATAATATCTTGGGTGGGTTGGTGACGGACATGTTGTAGGTTCCAAAGTTGCACAGGTGGTGGTAGTCAACTTCCCCGCATGCGAAGCGCAATAGCCGAGCTGGATGAATGGAAATCAGCGAATTCGATGTATCTACGGAGTACTCCGTATCAATATGTATGCACGCTGTCACCTGGGCTGGCACAGTATATGATTAGTCACAGCCGAGGCTGATGGTTTCGCCAGAACTGACGGCTGATTGTTCTAGCGAGTGTTTCTCCAGCCCATCAGAGTTTTTGAGCTCGGTCGGCACGGCAAGAATGTGAGATGTAGGAAGTAAAAACGTCATTTGAAAGTTGGTCTCGGCAAGGCTCGGATATAGGCAAACAAATGTTTGATATGTCGGCGGTGGTGATGTTGCCTTTGCTGGTCTCCACAATGACAACCTTGGAAGATGCACGAGATTTATACAAACTTGAGTACGGCGTATAGAGTACAGATTATCTGCCTTGTGCTCAGGGTCGCACAGCCACTATTTTGGTCTTGCTGGATTCTGTATGTATCATCCGAAAACACAAGGAGGGCTGGGAAGGAAACAGCAGTAGGTAGGAGGAGAGCCTTGGAAAACATGCGAAGAAGCAGTGAGATAGGTTTACTAGTAGTACACATTGCCAAGTGCCCGGGTCGAGTCTGTGGAGTATCTGATATGATGTGAATTCGGATATCAGAAATTACCCACCAGATATATCAGCGGGTGTGTGGAAAGATGCATCCTCTGCTGTGCCTGGATAGGGGAAGAGAAGAGAGGCTAGAAACTAAAGTGAGAAAATAGGAAAGAACAGGAGGGCTTGTTGTTAATTTACCTTTCAATAAAACAAAACTGTCATAGAGACCATACCATGGCATGTACGTATTGTGCTCAAAATAATAGAGCGTTGAGGGCTTGATCAGGGCTTGGAAGGACATCAAGGGACCTCGGGAGATACTGAAGACAAAAATTGTAAATAAAGATTGGTCTCTTCGTTTTTCTTTTTTACTCCGAGTGCTATCATGGTTGACCTTGGATCGTCCACTAGTACTGCTTCCACGCCCCTCTGCGCCAAATTATCACCATGAGATCATACTACGATTATGATCGATGCCACCTATCGTTCTGTCCAGGCGGCTCCGGCATCAGAAGAGCTGCAAACATGATTCTTATAGTCTCACGGAAGAACCTTGGGACTTCTTTAATCAACCCTTCGACTGACTGCCCTCCAGAATATGCCGAAAGAAACTCGCTGGTATTGGAATCTTCAGTTCATCCGCTCAAATGCTTTGAAGTGAAGAAGATTAGGTTTTCGGGACAAGAGCTAAATGCACGTGGCACAGATCTGAGATTGAATCTACTCACATCCATGGATCTGCAGCTAGGACAGACTAGCGCCCATACGCGGATCGTGTATCTGGGACCTTCCTATTCTCCAGGACGATCCATCTTACCTGCCAACTCACTTCTCAGCCACCTCAAATCACTTTCACTCACCACCATTGCCTTTCACTTCTATTCGTCACCAATACGACCGTTCAATGTAAGTTTAGAACTCCTTCTGTGACAGCAAGTGATCTACATATCATCTACCAAGGTAGTCTTCGAATATAGATCACTTTCTCTCCTGCACAGCAGTGTCCAGGAAAACGCATGATCATCAAACAACCGAATGGTGCGGGTTGGGTAAGTTTAAGATTCACTATGAGCTACTGGGTATTACTAATTATTATTATTAGCATGGAGCGAGAACCCGAACGAAAAGGCCGGGCTGTCGTGGATCTGCGCGGACTGAACAAAGTGACCGTCCGTGATGTCTACCCGATTCCCTCGCAGGAGGACATCCTGCTTCTGACGAACGGCAAACGTTACATCACGCTGCTGGATGCAGCAAAATTCTTCTACCAATGGCTAATTGCGCGCCGACACAGAGGACGAATCGTTGTCGTCACGCACCGCGGGCAAGAGGTGTTATTATGGGCTTCTGCAACTCGGTTCCCTATGTGCAACGGAGCATACATTCTTGGTTGTTCTGGATGGACACCACGAAACCAAGAAAAACAACACTTCATCCGCAAGCTTCCTACCAATTCGAGTATTGATATTGAGTTACTCACATCTCTTATCAATGGTGATGGACAACTACCAGCAATTGCTAGTAGCGAATGTGCTTTTCTTGCATCATCCGCCAGTCGAATCAAACAATGCCGTGGGTATCTATACTTTCTAGTTATTGCTAGTAACTAACAGTTATTATAGCTACCCATAGATCACAAGGAGATCTTATCTGGATTGACTGTGAGGTACGGTTTACTATTATGGTCCCTCTGGATCTAACAGAGACTCCCTACATGGTTTTTGCATCTTGGGGCGAACATACTCACCCATCAGGGCTTGGACTGCTACATCTGGTAGCATCCATGAATGTCAATAATACTCAATCTACCCCCTCCGCAAATCTCCCCTACATTTCAGTCTGAAATGGGAAGCATCGATGGAACGCAGTGGAGATACTGTATACCCTTCTCTACACACTGACCGTGTGCCGCTGGGTTACGCAGATCACTGGGTGTCGTTTGTTCAAGACGTAATGGCTATCTTTCACTCGACGCCAATCACACATGAGGTCCCCATACACAAGGAATCCGAGGATCGGGGCACCTTGAGCGATCTCGCTGATGGACCCCACTATCGCGTCAAAGAATCGTTCACTACCGTTATCTCGATACCGCCATCGTCTTGGGATCCTATCTCCGCATTCAAGCCCGAATTGACTGCAAAAAGCATGGCCAGGGAGGATCAGCAAATCCAGAACTTCCTGGTTTCAGACCAAAACAGGTTTGGGTTGCTCGCTTTGACTGACTGGGCGGCTGGATTCTGGTTGACGACTCGCGGAGTCCTCGGTCAGTATTCATACACCCTCGTCTTATCGTTGATGCATAACTGACGATTCGAAGCTGCCCGCTCTGATGGAGCAACACCGTCTCGAGCTATTGGCCTTGCTGGAATGGGAATTCGGTTTCTGGATCACTGCTCGAGGGATCCTCGGGCCCGAGCCTGACTCCGAAAGTGAGGTTGACTCCGACGCTGCGGCTAGCGTGGTGTGGTTGCAGAATCCTTGTCTCCTCCGGGGTCGAACAGACTGGCACGCAGTAGACCCAGAAGAGTTCAACTCCTTCTACATAGACGACCATTGATACATACGTCGCACTGATAGACACTCACGCCGACCCTCATCCTCCAGAGTTGCCCGGCGCACGGGATCACGAGGAAGTCATCGCCCATTCAGAACTGCATCATGGCCTACGCCGCGGTAAGGAGGCTTGCCGCAGTCATCACCCAACTTCAGACCCGGAGACCGCGTCGGTACTTTCCGTGGTCGAGTCCACAGTGGTGTATTACGTGCCTGTTTCACTCCCTGAATGCGTGGTGCACCAATGGAGAGGGAGGGGGGAATGGGTTCATGACTCCGTTCCGCGTCCACTGTGTGCAGTTCACAGATAGAGATTCGTCTTGTGAGACCTGCCTCGAAGAGAGTTGGTTCTGCTCCTCGGTATGTATGCACTCTCTGTGTGGATTGGACGGTGGCTGACAAGTGTGGTCGGTAGCTACCAGCCAACCTGGAACGTCATCGCTTTGAGTTGCTCGCCTTGCTCAAGTGGGTACAGCCTATCTTCAAGCCTGTGGTGGTCCCACAGGATGCAGATCAATTTGGACCACGCATCAAAGAATTGCTCTTGAGTGTCCGATCACGAGCAAGGGTGGCTCAGATGATGGAAGTCCTGGTCCCGAGTTTCGATTTTCTGGTCCGTGGCTACATTGAGACTGATGCAGTAGCATCTCAGATTGTGGTACGCACAGAAGGTGGCCAAGGAGACGACTACTGACAGGGACGTTGATAGGAACAGGATGACATGACCTCTCAGGCCTTTTTCCGTCGATACCGAACGCGTCCCTATGCAATCGAGCTGTCTTCGGACCTGAGTGTTCGGAAGTTAGCAGTGGTGGCGGATCGACGATGTGGTCTCGGTGCAGAAGACAGAGAAGCTATGGGCTGGTGCAATGCAGTCAGAAATTTCCGCCGCTGTACCGAGATCATCCTTGAGCAACAGAATGTGCCCCTGTGGGCATATCGATGGATGACCTCTATTTCTGCATCTTAGATAGGTATTTGCACTCCCTATCAGATGATTTTGACGTGCTCTCTCCAATTCCAGCGTTTCAACTCACTTTCTTTCATCCACCGCAGTGAAGCTTTCTTCACTTCTCACCTCTATTATGGTTACTGGTAACTAACCCAATGACAGACTATATCATCCCAGACTCCTTGCATTACTCTCTCTTCGGATTCAATTCCATTCCTGATCCATACGGGACTGTACGCGAAAGGGGCCGGGTCCGATCTGAGCCTGAAGTTACCCAGATTTGCTTAACGCCCACAGAGCCGGCCATACCTGTCATTGGTCGGTATGCACGTTCATCACTATGAGGCCTCGCAGTACGCCTCAACTATGAACGTCCCAGTCTACAACGACACATATGTCTCTCCCCGTCAGAGAGTGATCGCCGGGAGGTGGGTTCCCCTCGTAGAAACCCGGTACCTATGGGACCGCACTGCGTATTCACAGACTGCATCGATTGCAGGAAGACAGACGAGCCATGCAGTCATGCAGATGGGCGATGTGAGTCTGTCCGTTCAAACTCAAGACCATTTCGCACAGTTTTTCGCCCAGGAATGGACCCAGAGGTCTTTGATTTCACCACAAGATGGTGATATTATGTTCCTCACATAGGAAGCACAGGCCATAGGCCACAGTGTGAATGTATCTGCATGTAGTCGTTGCTGCATGGACTGACAGTTTGTAGCTCCCTGCGCTGATGGAAAAGCACCGGTTCGAGCTGTTATCTCTACTCAGCTGTATCGCTCATTTCCGAATAGCGACTGAGGCAATATGGGTTCCGAGTCTCACACGAGAGCAGTTCCAATTCTGATAGAATGGACTGAGACCATTTTATCCTAGGCAACGCGTCCTGGAGGAAACTAAGGCAGCTATTTGGGGTCTCTTGCTTGGCTTCCACGCGATGACCAAAGCACACCTCTCGTCGTGTCTTGAATGGGACAAAGAATCCTCTGGTATGTATTCGGCGTCTTTTCAGTGTATAATCTCCTGAGTTGATCGGGTATCCACGGAAAAGGGGATGTTGCCCGGTTACCTATTTCGCAGGAGTCGCCTGGTATCAGGGTACTCGTGAATATCCCCTGCTCTACAGATACAGAGAAGCAGAAAGAATACCATTACTCAATCAAAGTCATTTCACGGGTGGAATTCTTCACACTTGGGCGGAACGGGCTGTAGGCGATGTGGGCTTCAAAGCCTCCGGGATTCGTAAGCACAACGTGCTGTACATACGAGTTTTCATTTCCGCCGCCACGCGGACCCTGCCGATCTTGCGCCAAGAGCTGTACAACCTGCACTGTCCGAAACCGCGTGTGTATAGTCCGGACAAAGGGGAGTTTTACGGTGACGTTCCTGATACACCGTATTGGAAATACCATGTATGGAGAAGGAGGCTGGTATAAGGCGTTACGCGCCCGTGCTGGGTGGGTCCATCTAAAGTTTGGTAAGTTTTGGCGCTAGTCTCAAGGTTACTTGGACTCAGCACGGGAGCGTCTATATGAGAGTTCGGCTTTCTACCTTGTATTTCGTCTTAGGTTTCAGTGTCAAGGATACTAGTGCCTTGGGTGAATACAACCTTGGCTTTCTGGTAGAAAGAGATGCAAAAGAACCTTCGAATGTTCTCTCGGGGTTCTGGGCGTCAACTCCGCTTAATCAGCCGTCGATCTTGGACGATCGGCGTGTTGGAAACTAATTGAATGCATCATACTGGGCGTCCTAAAGTGGGGGCCATACATAAGCCCAGACTACTCCGTAGCTCACTGCTTGAATAGGTGTGATCGGTGAGCTCTCATTTCCACATCCCAACTTCGCGGGATCTGATAAAACTTGAAAATCATGGTCTCAGAGTGCCGTATCCAGTATTGTACAGTATGTAGAAGCGGCACAATTCCGAATATATCATTTCATATCAGTACTAGGTACGAGCTTGGTTCCCTCGGCACGCCCATGTATAGAAGGAGTGGAAGTAATATCCGCTGCAGGGCTCATGTCCGTAATCACTCTACTGGTAGTTACTCGTATCTATGTACTAGTACACGGTATGGCATCTCCAGGCTGCAGAAGTCAAGACAGGGATTGAATTTGCTTGATTCGCGCCACAAACTTGGGACCTGCAGCCTAAAGTGCATGCAGGCATGTTCGCCGGAGCCTTGTATCGACGGTCATATACATATCGCCTAGTGGTACTCGAAATGTACGATTGGCTATAGTTTATATTTTATTATGTACAATTTCATTTGAGTCTGTGTACGGAGTAGTACCAATGGCAAAATCAAAGCTTGCTGTCCACCCATCTTGGTGGCCGTTTTTCAGCAAATGCAAGCACACCTTCGTGCAGGTTCTGGCCATCATCAAGCGCAGAACCCCAATTCTCACTCAAGAGCCGACTGGCATTTTCCGAACTGCCATCCTCATACCCAGCAACGATTCCCGCCCGGCTAATAATCACACTATCGGGACTATTATCCACGATGCTAGCAGCCAATTCCAAAGCAGCCTTCACAACAGGCCTCTCCAAAACCTCCGCGTCACCAGCAGCATCATCCGTAACAGCATTGATAAGCCCCCATTCCCTAGCTTCATCAGCCGTAATACTCTTCCCCGTAAGCGCCATTTCTGTCGCACGCGGACGACCAATAGTCCTCGCCAGCCTGGGCAATGAACCCGCCATAGCAACAACGCCACGCTTTGCTTCAGGAAGTGCGAATTTTGCACTGCGCGCCGCAACAACCAGATCCAAATTCGCAACAATTTCCATTCCCCCACCAAAGGCAAGTCCATTCACTGCTGCGATAACGGGCTTTTTGCCGTGTCGCCGGGATAGCGCGCCGAACCCTGACCGCGGCATCATGGGGGGCTCGAGCTCACCGCGCGCACGGCGCGCATTAGATGCGTTCCATTCTTTCAGGTCCATACCGGCGCAGAAGGCGCGCCCAGCGCCTGTCACAATTGCGCATCGGAGCGTGGGCTCGTTGTCGTACCACGCGAATAGAGATTCCAGTTCGTATTGTCCGCTACTTGTCATGGAGTTGAGAGCTTTGGGTCGGTTGAAGATCACCAGCATGACATGCGGCGCTGGGAATGAGACCACTGCATAGCTTTGGGGTGGTGGCTGTCGCTTGAATTGAGACATGGTGCACGGTTTAGGGAATGAATTGACTGTGAGGTGTCGGACTTGGGAGGAGCTATCTACATATTTGCGGAATACCATGGGCAAGTACGGAGTAGTTGGGCTCTCACTCCGTACGGGTTCCGGTATACAGTATGTATGGAGAGGGTCCAGATTTTACTCGTATAGCGTATGATACATCTTCGTAGATTCGCAGATACCAGCGCCCTCGTATGGTGTGTGTGACCTTGGAAATAATAGGCGACTGGATCGGCGGTGCTCATCAAAAGCTGCCGAGAATAATCCGCTGCTCACGTCCCGCCATGAACGAGGAAAAGGGATGATCTGATAATCTTCAATGTACTAATGTTGAGTTCAAAACAGATGGGTTTCTTTTTAGGACAGCGCGAGCATTAGACAAGATCCAAGATACCATGTATGTGTCTATATTAACGCTGAGCAAGCTGTACTGTAATGTGTGCAATTCCGAGATGCCCCTCATATATCTTGCACGTGTTCTCGTACTCGTTCCATCGTGAATAGGAGCTCAGAAACTTAGGTTGAAGCAAGCCTTGCCGAGACTTACGAGGCCTGTGGGGCGTAATTAAAGGCTTGGAGGTGATCGACAATACGGAACCGGTATATGTATTTACGTTTAAATTACTCACACTGATTGATATCCATGTTCAATAGTTTTGTCGAAAACCCACTGCCAAGTATGGCTATGCTCTTACCCAGGTGGTCTCGGATCAAAAACTCATAAATCATCCGATCTTATCAGATTTCTTTGGCCCGTGACGGCGGCAGAAAACCCGGTATCGGGCGAATAATTGAACCGTTAATCGAACAACAGCCTCAACCTAGCTGTGGAAAACCAGTCAATCCAACTGGTACGGCATAGAACCAGAATAGTTGATTGACTGTCTTCAAGCCAAATGACAGCATGGCTGAAGATACACCCCCTAAAGCCGGGAGCTTCATCAACAAGGTACATCAAGTCAAGCCACACATCCCACCCCGAAGCTAAATACCGTCGATGAACAGCTCAAGAAAGTTTTTGGATACTTCACAATCTATGTGCAAGTCAATCCAACCAAGTTCGACATCCTACTCCTGATCACCGGTCTCATCTTCGCCATTGCATCCGGAGTCCCCTTTCCACTGCTGGGTATCATCTTCGGCCAACTGATTGATGACTTCAACTCCGAGAGCTGTACCGCCAAAGCAGACTACAGCCCCGAAATTCAGGCGTCATACCAGTCTGAAGTCAACAGCAAGATCCTCTATGTTCTCTACCTCGCCATCGCCCAATTTGGGTTCATGTACATCCAGCTCGTATGTTGGTCTCTCGGAGGTGCGCGACTAGCGCAGCGGCTGCGCGAGCAGTACTTCCGCAGCATGTTGCGCCAAGAGCCTTCTTTCTTCGACGATTTGCCTTCCGGTGAAGTCTCTTCGAGGCTGAATGGTGATATCTCGACTATTCGCTCTGGAACTTCGGAGAAAGTGGGAATTTGTATCTCGAGCGTTTCGTTCTTTGTGACGTCTTACGTGGTCGCATTCATTAAAGATGCAAAGTTGGCGGGAATTCTGGTCTCGCTGGTCCCTGCTTACTTTATAATGTCTCTCGTTGGAGGCTGGTTCATCGAAAAGTATTCCGGTACCATGTCTGATTGCTTTGCTGCTGCTTCATCTGTTGCATCGGAAGGATTGTCCAACGTGTCTGTTGTGCATGCTTTCAATGCTAATCAGCGTCTGGAGTCCAAATTCGAGGGCCATTTACGCATGGCGCGCAATGAGGGTCTGAAGAAAGCTCTGGCCACTGGTGTGCAGGCCGGTTTCATGTATTTCATTGCATATGCTGCTAATGCTCTGGCATTCTGGCAGGGTAGCCGAACAATTGCAAACTCCGTTGCTAATGGCGGCGGTGGTGCATCTGTTGGTTCTATTTTCACAGTGATCTTCGTCCTAGTGGATGGTGAGTAGCTGACACATTGAAACTTATCGCGGATCGAAGCTGACTTTCAATAGCAACCCTTGTTCTCAGCCAGGTTGCTCCATTCTTGCAGATTTTCGGCGCCGCCTCGGCTGCTTTCGCAAAGCTGCAGAGGGACATGCACCATCGATCCGCCATTAATGGGATGTCCGACACCGGGCTAGCCTTACCCTCTTCAACGGCTGGGCACTTTGAGCTCCGAGATGTCTCCTTCACGTATCCTTCACGTCCCGAACAGCAAGTTCTTCGCAATGTTTCCTTGGAATGTCCTCCAGGAAAGCAGACCGCTATTATTGGATTGTCTGGTAGTGGCAAGTCAACCGTTGCTAGCTTGATGCTTCGACTGTATGATCCTGTTGAGGGGTCAGTTCTATTGGATGGTCAAGACGTCCGCGACCTGAATACGCGGCAACTCCGCAGCTGCATTGGAATGGTCCAGCAGGAAGCGACGCTCCTTGACCGGTCAATCCTGGAGAACATTGCCCATGGTCTTGTGAATTCGGCTTCTCCCGAGCATGAGGCTCTCCATTCAGTGCTGATTGGGGGAAAGCTCGGCGAGGTGGCCACCGCGATCAGAGAGGGACAGGACGAGATCAAGGCAGCTGAGGCCCATGGTCCGGAGGTTGTGAAGATCATCGAAATGGTCCAGCACGCAGCTGAATTGGCGGACGCTGCTCGATTTATCGGTCAGCTCTCTGAGGGCCTTGGAACTATGGTGGGTTCCAACGGTACCTTGCTGAGCGGTGGTCAAAAGCAAAGAATTGCAGTGGCGCGCGCGTTAGTCAAAGATCCCAAGGTGCTGATTCTCGATGAAGCTACGGCATCGCTCGACTCAAGAAGTGAGAAGGAGATTCTTGATGCGGTTGGACGATGCTCCGAAGGCAGAACTATGATCTCAATTGCCCATCGCCTTTCGACAATCAAGAAGGCTGACAAGATTATCGTGATGCGCGATGGGGGTGTTGTTGAAGAAGGCAACCATTCCGAGCTCATGGCCAAACAAGGGGCTTATGCTGGCCTCGTCGAACTACAGAATCTCAACACCGACTCTAACCCTTCGGGCCAAAATGCCGAGAGCTCTTCGGTTGACATCACGCAGAGTGAGAAGGAAAGTGAGAATGAAAAAACCCCAGAGGTCGTCAAGAGCAAGGAAGTTGTCATCGACACAACTGAAAAGCCCCTGGACTCGCCCTCCAACGCGCCGGCAAAGAAGACTCTTTGGTACTTGACCAAGGGTATGCTGCCAATCATGCGCCCTTATCTACTCATTGCCCTTATTGCCCTCATTGGTGCCAGTATCGTCGGCGCTGCTTTCTCTGCTGAAGCTGTGATCTTCGGTAACACAGTGGGTAGTCTGACACCCTGTGAGACACCCGAATACATCCGCTCGCGAGGTAACTTCTTTGGCTTGATGTTCTTCATTCTGGCGATTATTGAATTCTTTGCCAATATCGTCAGTTGGGTTGGATTCGGATGGGTTTCTGAAAAGTCCATCTACAACGTTCGTGTGCTTCTCTTCCGATCTCTGTTTGAACAAGACCTACAATGGCACCAGTCTGCTGGTCGTAACCCGACAGGCCTCTTGGGTTATATCACCAACGATGGTAACCTCATTGCTGGTCTCAGTGGATCGGTGATTGGGACGATTTTCTCGATTTGTATCAACCTTGTCGTTGCTGTGGTCTTGTCCCTGTGCATCGCATGGAAGATCGCCTTGGTCTGCATCGCCGTCGTCCCGCTATTGCTCGGTACTGGTGTTGTTCAACTACACGTTCTTGGTCAGTTCGAAGAGCGACACGAAAATGCATTCAATCAATCCGTGAGCATAAGTGTCGAGGCGATCAACTCTATCAAGACCATCGCCTCGCTGTCCTTGGAAGAAGAGACAATGGCTGCTTTTAGACGGACCCTCAATGGACCACGCCGCGAGACTACAATGGTTAGTTTACACGCAAACCTCTGGTTGGGCCTTGCCTATTTCTTGGGTAACCTCTCATACGCCCTTGCGTTCTGGTGGGGATCCAAGCAAATTTTCAATGGCACCTATAGCGAGACCCAATTCATCATTGTGATGTTTGCCTTGCTAGTCAGCGCACAGCTATGGAGTCAAATGTTTGCTCTGGCTCCGGAGGTATCAAACGCCCGCGCTGCAGTATCACGAGTTCTTGCAATTCTCGAAATTGGATCCGCGGGCACCAAGTACAAGGCAGTTGAGACCTCGAGTGAGAAGGATCCTGAAGCCACTGCACCGACAAAGTCTGTGGCGCCAGCCACCCAAGGCGGAGTTGACGTTGAATTCCGCGATGTCAAATTCTCCTATCCAGCACGCGCTCATATCCCAGTGCTTCGTGGTCTGAACGTCCATGTTCGCCCAGGTCAATTCTGCGCTCTGGTCGGACCCTCTGGAGCGGGCAAATCAACCATCATCTCCCTTGTCGAGCGAATGTATCTACCAACTTCGGGCGAGATTCTCGTCGACGGGACAGACATCACCAAGCGCGAAGACATCTCTTTCCGCGATCATATTGCCCTGGTGCCCCAGGAAGGCGTGTTATTCGAAGGCAGTGTCCGCTTCAATGTATCTCTCGGAGCCCGCCCAGGAACAGAAGTATCCGATGCTGAGATTGAGGACGCTTGCAAGTTAGCCAACATTCACGAAACTATCATCAACCTTCCTGACGGTTATGACACGCTTTGTGGTGCAAATGGAAGCAAACTTTCCGGCGGGCAGAAGCAGAGATTGGCCATCGCTCGAGCTCTTGTGCGAAAGCCTCGATTGCTGGTGCTTGACGAGCCTACTAGTGCGCTTGACGCAGAGTCGGAGAAGCTCTTGCAACAGGGGCTTGAAGTTGCGTCCAAGGGCATTAGTGTTCTGGCGATTGCGCATAGATTAAACACTATCCGCAAGGCGGACACGATTTATATGATCGAGGCCGGTGTGTGCGTTGATGCGGGAACGCACGAGGAATTGTTCAAACGCTCTGAGAGCTATCGAACTAATGTGCTCAGTCAGAGCTTTGGAGGGGAGTGATTTTAGATTCTTGTTTTTCGATAGACGTGTACCATATAATTTTCACTTGTATAATAAATATCTATTCAGTCGACGGTCAAGTTTCCTTGGATGCCCGATAATCTGAAGATACACCTGCCAGTCCACGGTGTTCAGATAGTAGCCGCTCTGGGAGATAATACGTTAATGGTCTGTAAGGCACTCTTACTCACATTAGATTCTGTTGGGACTCGGGACTTGATGGAGTTTTCAAGGTTGAAAAGGCTTGATTATGAACAACTATTTCGAGAGTCCTTTTTTGAAGCGGGAATATCTAACACAAATTGAGAGAAAGCAATACCCAGATACATAATCAATCTCTTTACATGAAACGTCTCATCATTCACAAACGTGGCTTGAAGCCCAGCCCAGTACCCGCAATGTGTGGGCTAACCTGGTTGAAAGGACACAATTGGAAATACCTTTCACGGGTGGCCTTCACTAAGCTGGCTCGCTTATGGGGAAGATCAATGATCTGATCTTGATGCAAACCAAATGTATAATCATAGGTAAGCACCTTGTCGTTGGTGCTCATAGGCTCGCCGATGACGTTCTCCGTACGGCAATCATCAAGGAAACAATAGTGAATCATACTGGGCCACCAAGCCATGACACGATGGGGGCCACGGAACTTATCATTTCCGACAAGTGTGTGACGGCCACGGTCAAAGTTGCCCGAAGAATAATGAGCGCCCACATTATCTTCCTTGGCCCAGAAGATCTCATAGTATGAGAAGAATTCGTCGTTGAAGCGACCAAGAACAGTCAGCGTGTGGGGGTCCTCATCTTGTCTGCGGAGGTAATCGCGGTGCTCGTCCAGAGTTCCGGTTTCTTTCCATCCGGCCGCGACACGAGGATCGTTCTGCCAGGTGTGGAAGAGGTTCAAGTGCTCGGGGTTGCGGTAATCAAGCGCAATCAGTGAGAAGTGCTCGTCCAAGAATGGGATATAGCGGCTGTAAACCACAGAGCCAGGTGTTGGCTTTGGGTGACGACGGGGGTGTCGTCTGTGCATGGTCTCGGTTGATGTCATCGTCCAGTCAAGCAGAGGCACTGAAGCTGCAGGGTTCCATGATGGAAGCCAGATGGGCTGAGAGCCCAGTGGGGATGCAGCACCTTGCCAGAAGGCGCTGCGGAGAATGAGAAGCTCATTTGGTGTAGCAGTGAAAGGTGTCTTGGCGCTGACGGGAGCTGGGTGCTCTGTTGCTACCATTGATAGGCGCAAGGCGTGCGCGAGAGCCTCCGCATTGGGACCTTGCAGAGTCAGGCGGAAGGTCTCTGTTTCTTGCTGCACGGTGAAGATCGTGTATAGATAAAGCCAGATCTGGCCCACTGAAGGGGCAGTGCTGTTCTGCCAGCGCGCGATAGCCGAGGGGCTCCTCTGTGCACGAGCCCAAGCAGTGTTGTTCGATGCTGGGACCGCTGTCTGGGGACTCACGGGCTGTGGTGCCGTGAAGTACAGGTTCTCATTGTGTAAAGGTTGGGGGAAAGCTTGCGCTTCTCCCTTTTCAGCTTTGCGCAATTGGAAAGAACTGTTGCCTTCGACCACCGTGTTAGAAGGAGTGACGTTATAGGTGGTCAGATAAGGATGAGGCAAGCGGATCTTGGCCGCGGCCAATGGTTGGGAAGTGGGAGGCATTGTGAAAGGTTGATGGATTCTAATCAGATCAAACTGGCCCGCAGGGACTTATACGTAGTACGAGAGGGCGGAGCTCCATCGGGTTTTCCGTCACCATGTGAATTTTCCGGAATCCTCCATTTGTGGGCCTTTGCCGATTTCGCAAGTGAGCTATGGAGCTGCATATTCATGGTGGCGGTTTCAATGGAGGTCCTGTATAGGGAAGCTGAATGTAGATCGTGAAAATTACCAAGACCCGGATATACTCCGTATACAATGTAGACTTGGCTCTTGGCAGTAAAAAGAAGCACCACCAAGCTTGCAGATCTAGTCCCAATGGAGTGGTGTGAAAACTTAAACCAGGCATCATGGTTCGCACAGCCTTAGAAGGCGATGTCTTGAGTTTGTGACTTTGATATGACGTCGCTTCTTTCACACAGAAGCTCAATTGCACTTCTCCTTTCCTCACACGGTTGATCTGATAATCTACTGTCCCTCTTTGAGTCTCCATATCCCCTTCAATGGTGGAGACACTACGCAAGGGTGTGGAGGACGGGCCGCATGCTGTTGTATGTACCACCGTAGTGAAACCGTGATCGGTACAGTACACAGTATCGTCGTAATTTTGGTATCTTATTTCGGGCTCTGTTACGGGTATCTGATACCTGTATACTTACACCGTCATTTACCCGGAGACCCTCTCAGCTTCCAGCGGCTACCGCGAATCCAGCCCTGGAGTCCACCACGACCTCTGAGCAAATGTCCGACACGGTGGGGCCCAGAAGATGAAACGAAAACGGACGCGGCAGTCCCGGGTGACGCTGAAAACATGTGGATTGAAGTCCGTGGATCGGGGTGCTTATCAATCTCATCAATCTTGACATTTTGTTGCTTGATCGGCAGGGACAAGCTTGCATCCTGCATACTCTTTCTGCAGTCCCACCATGGCCGGTGCAATCCTGTCTACTGGAAACGAGGCACCAAAGAAGCTGGCCAGATTCGTTCGCTTCGATGTCCCCTTGTTAGTACAGAGCGAGTTTCAGGGTCGCGAGGTCGACCTGCTGTTACTCGCCTGGGCCCTGCTGCAGTACCGATACAGCAATGGAAACCCAGTCGAATTTACCTGGGGGAGGAATGGCACGGGTGCGGATTTCACCTTTGACTTCAGCACAGCGCGCGCGGGGTGGAGCCCTGATGTTTCCATCGCCGGCGCGTTAGAATCAGTTAAGAAGTCGCGCGAGGAAGCGCACGCAGGTCATTTAGTTGATGTCGATAATGCGATCGTGTTTTTCAACGATGAATGCGCGCCCCACGACTTATCCAGCAATGCGCGAGTGAGCGATGGCGATGCGCTTGGTGGTGGAATGGCCTGGGTGAGCTTTGAACCCATTGCGCAATGACCAGATCGTTTGCTAATAGATGTAGGGAAATATTCAACTCCAGGCGACAATGTCCGAGGGAAGTCTGTGGCTTCGTCCATGTTGGCGGGAGCCCCTCGGTGCGGAGTTCCTTGCGAAACACTTCGCGCACGCACTGATTGAAATACTCAATAAAACCTTCGCCGACTTTACGAAGCCCATTTCCACGGTTCTCGAATTAAGCGACGTTGATCGATCTGAGCTTTGGCAGTGGAACAAAGACCTACCCCCTCGAGCCGACACCTGTATTCAGGAATTAATATCGGAGCAAGTCCGGCGCAACCCCGCCGCACAAGCCATTTGTTCGTGGGATGGAGACCTCTCCTACGAGGAGGTCGAGAGATATTCCACACTGGTTGCGCACCACCTAGTCAATCTAGGTGTTAAGATTGGTCAGATCGTCCCTCTCTGTTTTGAGAAATCACGATGGACTATCGTCGGCGTTTTGGGTGTGGTCAAGGCCGGAGGTGCCATCGTGCTGATGGATCCGAGCCAGCCTTTGGAAAGACGTCAAACTATCGCCGAGCAAGTCAATGCTACATTAATCGTGACTTCCAAGACACACGGTCCATTTGGTCAGAAGATTGCGCCAGGTGCTCAAACAGTCGTCGTGGGACAAGAAGAACTGGACAGCTTGGCCCAGACTGTCTCGCCGACCGAGCTCCCAGTCGTTCCTACAGACTCAATTCTCTACCTCATCTTCACATCAGGAAGCACCGGTAAACCCAAGGGTGTCATCATCAACCACACGACCTACACCACAAGTGCAATTGCACGAAGCGCCGCAGTCGGGTACACCGATGTATCACGCGTTCTGGACTTCGCATCATATGCCTTCGATGTCAGTGTTGACAGCATGCTCTGCACTATGCTCCGAGGTGGATGTCTATGTATCCCATCAGATGAAGACCGCTTGAACGATCTAAGTGGTGTGATTCGTCGAATGGGCGTGACGATGTCGAACATGACACCATCAGTAGCGCGCATTCTCGACCCGGACATCATCCCTTCATTGCACAGCCTCGGGCTCGGTGGCGAGTCATGTTCGGTTGGCGATGTTTCCGAATGGGGAAAACTGACAAGAATTGTGATCGGATATGGGCCATCAGAGTGCACCGTCGGGTGTACGATCAACCATAGCGCTGCTGGCAAGCCATATGTTAGTATTGGTCCTGGCAATGGTGGTATCATCTGGCTTGTTGATCCGGATGATCATAACAAACTCACGCCCATTGGAGGTATTGGAGAACTTCTCGTCGAAGGACCTATCGTTGGTCAGGGTTATCTCGGCGATCCTCAGAAGACCGCCGAATCGTTTATTGAAGATCCGGTATGGCTTTTGGCGGGTAGTAATGAGGTCCCCGGACGCAAAGGACGCCTATACAAAACTGGCGATTTGGTCCGTCATGACCCAGATGGAGAACGCGGGTTCGTGTTCGTTGGTCGCAAAGACACACAAGTCAAACTTCGTGGACAGCGCGTTGAACTTGGCGAGATCGAATACCATGTCAGAAGATTGCTTCCATCAGGAACAGATGTTGCCGTCGAAGTCATCGCTCCACAAGGCCGAAGCAAGGAATCTATGCTTTTGGCCTTCGTCGCGGATCCAAATGCCGAGAAGCCGGACGGCGATACAGAGAACGGCATCAAGCAAGTTCAGTTCTCTGCCGGTATCCAAGAGAAGATGACAAGTCTCGATGAAGAAATGTCCAAGGTGCTCCCAGTCTACATGGTGCCGTCGTTGTATATCGGTATCGATCGCATGCCCATGCTTGTATCTGGAAAGACAGACCGCAAGACCCTGCGCGCATTTGGATCACAGCTAGACTTGTTTTCTGCCGATGCCACGAATGGCGACATGCAAAAGCCAAGCTCGGATGCGGAAGTCTGCCTTCATGAGATTTGGTGTCGTCTGCTTGGCTTGACTTCAGAGCAAGCCGGTACTAATCATAATTTCTTTATCCTCGGTGGCGATTCCGTTCTGGCTATGAAACTTGTTCCCGCGGTTCGGGAGCAAGGGTTCGTTTTGACTGTCGCGGACATCTTCAACTCTCCTGTCCTATCTGAGATGGCCAAATCAATGCATAAGGAAGAAGCAGACTCGCAGGTCGAGGTGCTGAGATTCTCATTGATAGACCCAGATTGGAACTTGGACGATGCCTGCAAGGAGGTTGCCGAGAAATGCGCCGTGGAAAAGACTGCTATTGAAGATATTTATCCATGCACCCCATTGCAGGAGATTCTCATGGCATTCTCAGCTCGCTCCGCTGAGAGCTACGTGGCGCAGCGAGTTGCCGAGATCCCAAGCATCGAGATAGCGGAGAAATTGCAAGCTGCATGGAGTTCTGTCATTCAAGAAAGCCCAATTCTTCGAACCCGCGTGGTTGAGTGCGGAGATCATGGCTTTATGCAAGTCGTTACCAACGAAGGCTCGGCATGGCAGTCTCGCACCACCGACCTGGAATCATTCTTGGAGGAAGATCAAAAGGTCCCGATGTCGGTCAACATGCCCTTGAGCCGGTATACGATCGTCCGCGACGAGTCTCTCGATCAAATCTACTTCGTCTGGACCGTTCACCATGCAATTTATGATGGCTGGTCAACCGATCTGATCGTTGAGCATGCGAAGAACGCATACAAGGGCGTTTCGACTTCAACTCCGGCAGAGTTCAAGCACTTCATCAGCTATTTGACCGATCCTGCCAGAGAGTCCTCAAAAGACTACTGGCGTGTGCAGCTTCAAGGCGCCACCGGTCCCCAATTCCCCTCCCTCCCTTCTCGGATGTACATCCCCGAGCCCAACGCGGTGGCAGACAGATTCGTCCCCGTGAAGCCCACAACCCGAACAAGCATTACCACCGCAACACTCATTCGAGCAGCCTGGGCCTTGGTAGCTGCGCAGTATACCATGAGTGATGACGTGGTCTTCGGTGAAACCTTCGCCGGGCGAACTCTTCCAATTCCCGGCGTTGAACAGATCGAGGGCCCCATGATCGCCACAGTACCTGTCCGAATCCGCGTCGACCGATCTGCGCCCGTCCAAGAATTCTTGCAGGCCATTCAAGACCATGGCCTCGTCAGATCCGCCCACGAGCACCTGGGTATGCAGAACATCCGCCGTGTGAGCGCCGACGCCCAATTAGCCTGTGAAGTAAAGATGGGTCTTGTCATCCAGCCTCGTCAGCCTGAGACTCCGGAGAAATCTGATGATGAGCTGCCGCCATTCCGAGTTGAGGACGCAGCCCACGAGGCTCTCCGTTTCAATTCTTATCCATTGATGTTGGCCTGTTCTCTTCAAGCCGATGGATTCAATGTTACTGCGAGCTTCGACTCGAAGCTCATCAGTGAGCCGCAGATGGGCCGAGTCTTGGCACAGCTTGAGTATGCGGTCGCACAGCTGTGTACCCAGGATTCAAAGCAGCTTTGTGATATCGCTGGCTTGAATGAAGTCGAGCTTGCAGAGATCTGGCAGCTCAATGCAAATGCGCCCTCGGGTTCTGAGGCTGCAGAGAAAGCCCCTGAACCATCCAAGGGACTGGTTGTTGGGGATAGCTACCCCACGGACTCCGTTCCTTGGATCGTTCACCCCTCTGACTACAACTCACTCGTGCCAATCGGTACGATGGGTGAGTTACTACTAGAGGGTGTGAGTGGTGCCAGTCTCGAGCCACCCGAGTGGCTCACCAAGGGTGCGAGCGGGATTCCTGGTCGACAGAGCAAGCTCTACCAAACCGGTGACCTTGTCAAGTATGCAGACGACAAAACACTGATCTTCATGGGCCGAAAAGAGAGTCTCCGAAAGGTTGATGGCCATGTCATGGATCTCACTGCGATTGATGCTCAGCTTCGTCAGTCGCTTCCCGCGGACACTGATGCTGTAACCCAATTGATCACTCCGACAGGCTCAGGCAGTCAGTCTCCTGTGCTGGTCGCTTTTGTGAGCGAGACTCCATCAGAAGATCGAGCCGTGAGTCTGGGTGTGGAGGCCCCTGCCGAGCTGCGTTTGGCAGGTATCATCTCGACACAGCTTGTTGAGTCAATTACCGGTCTCAACAAGGTGCTTTCTGATGTGCTGCCGCCTTACATGATTCCTTCTGTGTATATTCCTGTCGAATCGGTGCCTCGCGCTAACGACCAAATCGATGTCGAGGCTCTGACATCGATGGCGGAGCAAGTCAGCCATGAGTTACTGCTGCAGCTACGAACGGCTATCATGAACTTGCGCCCGGGCAAAGGCGATGCTGTGCATATGAACAAGAAGGAGCGAACTTTGCGCTCGTTATGGGCCAAGTCTCTGCGTATGGAAGAGAACAAGCTCGCACTTGACGATAACTTCTTCCGCCTTGGTGGAGATTCTATCATGGCTATGAAGCTCGTCTCTGCCTTGCGACTGGCAGGCTATCACTTGTCTGTCACTGATATTTTCCGCAATATGCAGTTGCGTGGTATGGCCGGTGCTTTGGTCGAGCTTTCAACAGACGAGACACGGCCATCTAAGACATACTCGCCGTTCTCGTTGTTGAATGTGGCAGATGTGCAAACATTCTGTGCCCAAGAGATCAAGCCACTGTTGGCTGATTCAACCTGGAAGATTCAAGACGTTTTGCCTGCGACAGAGCCCCAAGAGCGTGATGTTGATGCTACAGTTTCAGCTCCTCGCAGCGCTCTCCAATACAACATGTTGTACCTGAATAAGGATATTGTTGTGGAGAAACTTGTTGCATCCTTCAACGCGCTGGTCTCGATCCACCCCATCTTACGAACAGTCTTTGTTCGTGAATCTGATCGGGTGCTCCAAGTCGTGCTGGATGAGCTGGTCATTCCTGTATCTGAACACGTCACCGATGGCCCCGTTGAAGACTTCTGCAAGAAACTTGCCAAGGATGACATCGAAATCGATTCATCTTTCGAACTCGGAAAGCCTTCCCTGGGCTTGTTCGCAGTCCAAGGCCCTGAAGAGAACGGGTTCATGATCCGCATTTCTCATGCCCAATACGACGGTATCTCTTTCCCAGAGATCCTTCGCCAGCTCGAGCTCCAATACCAAGGAGAAGAAATCGGCTCATCGCCTCCATTCTCAACATTCATCCAATACCAAAACGACGCCAAGCCCGATAACATCACCTACTGGCGCAACACACTCCAAGGCTCCCGGCTCACCACGCTCCCCGAGCCCGAATCCACAAAGACAACCTTCATCAAGAAGCAAGTCGACATGCGCGCCCGCTCCCCAGACACAACCATGGCCACTCTCCTCACAGCCAGCTGGGCCCGCGTACTCTCCCAACACCTCTCTATCCAAGACATCACCTTCGGAGGCGTGGTATCCGGTCGCACAGTCGATGTCCCAGACATCGACAAGATCATGGGCCCAACATACCAATACATGCCACTGCGTGTGAAGTTCGAATCAGGCATGAGTGTCAAGACCCTCCTAGACGGCGTGCGCGACCAATACCTCGAGGGCAGTCGACATGCAACACTTGGGTTCCAAGAGATCTCGGACAATTGTACCAGCTGGTCGCCACTCTTGTCGTTCTTCTCGTCGATTGTTCATCATCATGATATCGAGTACTTTGATAGTATTCCTTTCGCGGGATCGGAGGCTCGTGTGGATTACATTAACCCGCATCCTGAGCCTACTAGTCCTACCCGAGTTGTGTCTTATACTGAGAAGGGAGAGACTTTTGTTGGCATTGAGGCTGATGAAGAGAGGTTGGAGTTCTGGGAGGAGAGGCTTGGAGAGTTGGGTGCTGTGATTGAAGGGTTTGTGAATGAGCCTGAGGCTACGCTGTAGATTTGAATTGCTTCATGTGTTTATATTGAGATCTTGTGTTATTAAACATTTGTTTTCCATTCAAATTTCTAAGTGAAAATATACAAGGAGACAGCAGTAATATGTACGGAGTAGAGTACCTAGTAGGTATTAGATTTTGATATTATCATTAGCGATGCTCTCAATTCGAGCACCTCATCTTACGGCTATATAGTTTGAGCTATCCAGCTCCTTTCAATTGGGCTGAGCTAGTGTAGATTGAAAACGACCCACTTCGGCTTCCATTGCGTAGACTGATGTTTGATAAAAATAACCGCAAGCAACAAAGGCTCTGGCAAAACGGTTCGAAGTGCTCGCTTCGCGGAGAGTTCAGTGGAAATTGGGAAGTGGGGAGGGAGCCTCGCACCTGCCTATTTGGGCCAGCTGGCTGGTGGGGCCATTGGTCTCTTTTCATTGGTCTTGTTTCACGTGATTCAGGCTCTGATTGATAACCTCTTATCAGATCTGACGAGCATCATCAACCCCCTGCAAGACACGCATAATGGAAATCAAGCTTCTCGCCTCCCTGGCCCGAGGCCAACCGGGTATTCTCCACCACTGTGTCAGTTCCCCAATCCCCACCCGCTCATCCCAACACTAACACCCCCCCAGACCGACACCCTAGTCGCATTCGAGTACACCCGCAGTCACGTCCCCAAACCACACACTCTAGTCTTCGTCGGCGGTCTCGGCGACAGCTTAGGCTCAGTCGACTATCTCAGCGACATTGTCCGCGCCCTCGACCCCACCCAATGGAGCGTCTTCTCCCTCATCCTCTCCTGCGCCGGTGGCGGCTGGGGCATGGGCCGACTAGGCAAAGACATCGACGAACTCTCCCAATGCGTCTCCTACGTCCGTGAATATAAGACTCCGCAATTTGGCGCTGGCAAAGTCGTCATCATGGGCCACTCAACCGGTAGCCAGGACGTAATGCACTACATCAACTGTCCGAACCCTCGTCCTGCCCACCCCGTCTTCGACCGGGGCTGGAACCCCATTGTTCGAGTCCCTGTTGACGGCGCGATTATGCAAGCGCCTGTTTCGGACCGCGAGGGAATCCTCTGGGTCGTTAAGTGCGGCACTGCGCGCGATAGTCCGGCTAAAATGCGCGCTATCTACAATAAAGCTGTTGCGGATGCGCGACGTGCGACCTACGATGATCATGAGTCTGTGGATACGGTTGTGCCGCTTTCGGTCACTTCGAGAATTGGGTATCCGCCTTCGGCTCCGGTGAGTAGTCGGCGGTTCTTGAGTCTCGTTAGTCCGGATAGTCCGGAGGATCCGTCGGAGGATGATTTGTTCAGCTCGGATTTGAGTGATGAGCAGTTCCGGGGGACTTTTGGGAAAATTGGAGAGAGGGGGCTTTTGAAACAGAAGATGCTGGTGCTTTACTCTGGACGGGATCAGTCGGTTCCTCCGTGGGTGAATAAGGAGGCTCTGTTGAAGAGGTGGCAGGTTGCTGCTGATGGCAGTGGTCGCCAGATTTGGGATTCTAGGAGTATGGTCATTCCCAACGCGTCTCATGCGCTGAGTGATAGTGATCAGGCTGAGCCGAGGCGCATTTTGGTGGAACGGGTCACGGCTTATTTGAATGATATTCAGCGCGGGTGATCGCTGAACTATTGCCATTAATGAAAATTATATTATAGCGCAGGTGAACACGGAGTGCATGACGACACATTTGGAATGTGTGAGTTACAAAATATTGAGACCTTTGGAAATCGATTGATCACTTTACCGTTTTGTGGCTTTGTGGCTTTGTGGCAGCCATGTTCGCCATCAACTTTCGAATTGGCCAAGACGCCAAGTATACCCATGCACCGCATGTTCCCGACTGAAAGAAACGGTTATCCCCACGGCTCAGGGAGTAGCCTATCTCGCCCTTTCTGGCTAGCTTCTAGCTTTCAGGAGCAGCTGCCTCCTCTGTCCTAGTCCGACGCCGATGGACTGGGAAATGTGATATCCAACGCACAAAGTACGCAAGGATTCCTTCCAGGCATGCTTCCAACGGTGCTGTCAGATAGATCTGTTCCACTCCACTGCGATCTTCCATCCCGTGACAACATCCCCTAGATTAGTTTGCATAGTCCGTCTGAAACGCATCACTAAGCTGGATTCGGCATGATTGACCGATCATGTGGAAGATCAACTGCCTTCGAGCTTGGACTCACATCTCAATAGCGCAACGGGAGGATCCCATTATTGATCCAGAGCCACGTGTGCTAGGGGACATCAGTGAAACAGATCCTTTACTCCGTACTCCGTACGGAGTTCTTCTACTTTACTCCATACCGAGTATGTGATCTCCGTGCCCAACATTTGAACCCTCGGGCCCCAAACAGTTAGGTTTCCAAGATCCAATCTCTGCCGCGTCCCTGCTGATCCGAGGTGCGTTGCATGTGCATCTCGCAGACTCCGACCACAGGGCAAGTGCATGAACATTCGAAACAGGTCAGGGCGAGACCATAGCGGACCGTTGAAGCTCCACCGGGAAGAGCCGTTGACGAACCCCTGTCATTGCAATCAAATCGATGGCGTCGATTGGCGTGCGAGCTCCCCTGGCAATCTCGGGTCTGGGCGAACAGGGGGTGAAACTTGAACGGGTACGACTCGGTATTCCGTTCTGGAATTCTGATTGCCGCGACAAATCGGACATAATCAGAAAAAAGAAGAAAAAAGGAACATCTCTGTATCGGAATGGGGGATCCAAGATGTGGACTCGGCCGTCTCACCCCTGGCCCGCGGCCACAGAACTGGGACGGGAAACGGAGTCTCGGCGAAGTTTGTTGCCCAACTGGGTCCCCATTGGGGAAATTGGACCTCACCGGATGTGATGGGATGTGAAAAAATCGACATTGAAGTGGGCAAAATAATACAAATAAACAAAATCCTCCGAGTCCCAGCAACCAACCAGGATGCAGAGAACCAGCAGAACCAGATGCAAAAACCCAACTTCTTATCCACCTTCCTGTCCTTGTTGTCCACCTTACCTTCCTGGCAGTCGCCGGGACGATCTATCGACGGGACCTTTTACGCGCCGTTCCGCGGGTGGACAGCAGTGGACAGTGGACCGAAATGTCTGACATTCCAAGCAATCTACGAACCTCTCTCGAGGACTCGACATTCTCGATTGGGGCAAGGCCCCTCCGCCAGCTCCAGCGCCAGTGCGTCCATGCAAGGGTACAACGTGGAACAGACGGGCACGTCGAGTGCTCGCTAACCACTTCGAGTCTGGCGCTGCCCTTCGATGTTCCAGACGTTCCAGAATCGAGTGATTGGGCTCCATCGACGTGCATTTCCTTTTGTAGCGTCTCCCAGGGCCATGGAGTGTCTTCTCGGAGATTGTCTGTGGAGACCAACTACCGACGTCCGATTGTCCAGTTCGTACGAAGTAGGGTTGAGGTTCGAACATCGAGTCTCGCTTAAGGGAGGACTCGGAAGCCCTGGAGAGCTCCCAGGCTCCCCACAAGCTTCTTTCCAAAAGAAATGAGACGGGTTTATCCACTGTGCCCTGTGCGTTTTCTCCTTTTTGTTGTGGAGTTTTATTTTATTTTTTGTGGACTAGTGTCGAGCGTAAAGGATAGGAGTCAGTTTACCAGTAGACCATCCTAGTAGATACACTACCTATGTACGTATACTGGATCGTACTATCATTCTCATTATATACAGTAGTACAGTATGGAGTGAGTATAGCAGAGATGACTTCATCGAACAGGTTAGCCTCTATACCCGAAACCGCGTCTCAGGAAAAAAAAAGAGAGAAAAGACAGGGATGAGAAATTCCGAATTCCCTTTTTCCTATTTCTGTAATTCCAATTCCAATTCCTCTAAATTCCATTTTCGCGTTATAACGGAGTAGATTCCCTTTTGCCAACCCCTCTCTCCACTTCGTTCCAGCCTTCCGCACATTCCCCTCTTCTCCTCTACCTCTACCTCTACCTCTCCCTCCCTCTCTTCCTCTCTCCATTGGGAAGTGCCCGCTTTTCCTTTTGCCTCTGGACCCTATCCCCCTCCGTGCGCTTCGAACCCCTCTTTTCCCCTGACTGGTGACTGGTGACTGGTACGTCCTGCAAGCTCTCCCCTCCAAACCTCGCTGACCGAGATAGTATCCAAAATGTCTGGCAAAATGACGTTGTACAAGCTGGTGGTGCTGGGCGATGGAGGTGTAGGAAAGACCGCCTTGACCATCCAGGTAGGTCTCGCGACGCCCCGAGCCCCGACACGCGCTGACCCCTCTAGCTGTGTTTGAACCACTTCGTCGAAACATACGACCCAACCATCGAGGACTCATATCGCAAACAAGTCGTCATCGATCAACAATCCTGTATGCTCGAGGTGCTGGACACAGCGGGCCAAGAAGAATACACCGCACTCCGCGACCAGTGGATCCGCGATGGCGAAGGCTTCGTCCTGGTCTACAGCATCACCTCGCGCGCCTCCTTCTCACGCATCACCAAATTTTATAACCAGATCAAGATGGTCAAGGAATCCTCCAGCTCCGGCTCCCCCTCCGGCCCCAGCTACCTCAATTCCCCCATGAGCACCTCCAGTCCCGCCATGCCCGTGCCCGTGATGCTCGTCGGCAACAAGAGCGACAAGGCCGTCGAGCGCGCCGTCTCCGCCCAAGAAGGCCAAGCGCTGGCCAAGGAGCTGGGCTGCGATTTCGTCGAGGCCTCCGCCAAGAACTGCATCAATGTCGAAAAGGCCTTCTACGACGTCGTTCGCATGCTGCGAGCGCAGCGACAACAAGGGGCTGGGGGTCGCGGTGCGGATCGCCGCCCGACGGGCTTTGGGTCCGGCCATCGCGACCGCGATGCTGGCCCCGAATACCCTAAGTCCTTCCGGCCCGACAAGCGGCATCGCAGTCGGCTTCAGTGCACTCTTCTGTGATCGGCCGGGTCCGTCCGGGAGTTCTTTTAAATGATGGCTGTTTTTTCCCTTTTCCCTCACTCTTTCCTCACAAAAACACATTCCCCCTCTCACACGATATCCTCTTTCTACCCCTCAATCTCTCACCCCCTCTCGCTCTCGCTCTCGCCTCCTCCCTCTCCCTCTCTCTCTCTCTCTCTCTCTCTCTCTCTCTCTCTCTTTTGGTCCTAGGTGCATCGGGAAGGTGGTTCTGTCCTTTGGTTAACCCGTTTGGCGTCGGTGGCCCTGTGCTACATCTTTTACGAGCTTGGAGCTTCTGCAATTTGGGCATTCAATTGCGATCGCCACAGCATTGGACCCCAAAAGAAACAAAAAAAATCCCGAAGCCAAAAGATCGCAGTCGCGCATTAGCAGGCATTTCGATATGATACCCTACGGCTGAGCTTTTTATCTTTTTATATCTTTTTACATCTCTTTTTTTTCCAGCCAAATCTTGCGATATAGACAATTGATACAGGTTTCCTTACTGCTCGGTCCAGAGTACCTCCTGGGTACCCGCTCTCAGCCCGTACCGCCCACCACACCAGAGGTACCTCCTGGGTACCCCAAGTGCGGGGAAAGCACGGACGTTCGGTTGCATCCGACTCAGCTTCCTGTCCGCGTCGATCAACTGCATGTCCTGCCTTACCTCGGGTAAAGACACTCGTACTTTTGGATCATGTCTCTCTTCTGTCTCAGTAGCCACGCTCTCCCAATTCAACCATGTCCCAAGAGACCGCCCATTCGCACTCCCTCGCCGACCCCGAAGCGTTCTGGTCCCATCACGCGACCAGGCTCCACTGGCATGCTCAGCCTTCGCGAGCACTGACTCAACAGACCAAGACCCTCCCCAGTGGCACAACCCACCAATCCTGGTCCTGGTTCGCCGACGGCCAGATCTCCACCACGTTCAATTGCATCGATCGCCACGTCCAAGCCGGCCAGGGCAACAATGTCGCCATCATCTGGGAATCCCCCGTCACAAACACCACCCAGAAATACACATACGCCCAGCTCCTCGATGAGGTCGAAGTCCTCGCGGGCGTCCTCCGCGAAGAGGGCGTCAAACGCGGCGACGTAGTCATCATCTACAGTAATATACCCCGCAAAAGACCCAAAGTTCAGTCCCAAGCTAACTGGACCCAGTGCCGATGATCCCCGCCGCTCTGATCGCCTGTCTCGCCATAACCCGACTAGGCGCAATCCACGCCGCCGTCTTCGGTGGCTTCGCCCCCGCTGCCCTCGCGCAGCGCATCGATGCCGCTCGCCCCCGCGCCATCATGACCGCCTCGTGCGGCATCGAGGGGTCCAAGGGCCCGATCCCATACCGACCCCTCGTCGAGGCAGCCGTGAAACGGGCCTCCTTCAAGCCTGCCAAGGTCATCATCTGGCAGCGGGATCAGCTCCGCTGGAACCAGCCTGACAAGCGCGGTGGACAGCGTAACTGGCAGAGGCTGGTCAAGAGCGCACGCATGCGCGGCGTCAAAGCAGACGCCGTACCAATCAAGAGCAGTGATGGTCTCTACATAATCTATACTAGCGGTAAGTTGGGGTCTATGTCATACCTTCTAGGGTTATGAGGCCGGTATTCATGTAACCCAGGTACAACCGGCCTGCCGAAAGGCGTACTTCGTGAAGCGGGCGGCCACGCCGTCGGCCTGGAACTATCCATCAAGTCCCTATTTGGAATCAAGGGACCAGGCGATACAATGTTCTGCGCTTCAGATATCGGCTGGGTCGTCGGACATTCGTACATACTGTACGCGCCTTTACTCGTCGGCGCAACAACAGTTCTCTTCGAAGGTAAACCCGTCGGAACACCCGACGCCGGCACATTCTGGCGCATCGTTGAAAGACACAGCGTCAATGCCCTCTTCACGGCTCCGACTGCCATGCGAGCTATCAGGAAAGATGATCCAGATGACTCGCTCATTGGTCAAGTCGGCCAGCGAGGTGGATTGAAGTCCCTACGCGGACTCTTCCTAGCCGGCGAGCGCAGCGAGCCAAGTATCGTCCGCGCGTATCAGGATCTCCTGGGGTTGTACGCTGCGCCCGGAGCGCAAGTCATCGATAATTGGTGGTCTTCTGAATCCGGGTCCCCGATCTCGGGGCTGGCTTTGAACAGCGCGGCTGCGGTCGTGGGGCCCGTCAAGACGGAGTCGCCGTTGCCTGCACGGCCTGGCTCGGCTGGTTTGCCGATGCCTGGATTCGATGTCCGCGTTGTAGACGATGAGGGCGCTGAGGTACCCCACGGCACGATGGGGAATATTGTTATGGCGCCGCCGTTGGCGCCTTCGGCTTTCACTACCCTGTTCCAGGACGAGGAGCGTTTCTACCGTGGATATCTTCTGCGGTTTTCTGGGCGCTGGGTCGACACTGGTGATGCGGGGATGATTGATTCTGATGGATATGTGCATATCATGTCGCGGAGTGATGATATTATAAATGTTGCTGCGCATCGTTTCAGCACGGGTATGTTTTTGAATCTCGATGCGTCTAACATTGGAACCGAATTGACTGGTTTGCGTCTCTCCAGGCTCAATCGAACAAGCTATTCTCTCTCACCCATCCATCGGCGAAGCCAGTGTAGTTGGAATTCCCGACCCGCTGAAAGGCCATCTTCCATTCGCGTTCGTCCATCTCAAAACCGGCGAGGTGACATCTGCTATTCCGAGCAGGGAGCTCTTCAGTGAAGTCAATTCGCTGGTTCGGGAACAGATTGGTGCCATTGCGTCTCTCGGTGGTATGATTCAGGGCCGGGGAATGATTCCTAAGACTCGGAGTGGGAAGACGCTGAGGCGCGTGTTGAGGGAGTTGGTGGAGCATGCTGTTAGTGGTGAGTTTGAGAAAGCGGTTAATGTTCCTCCTACTGTGGAGGATGGGGAGGTTGTGGAGGTTGCAAGGGAGAGGGTTAGGGAGTATTTTTTGGTGGGGAGGCCGAAGCTTTAGATGAGTTCTATAGATGGAAGTCATTGTATATATTGGACATGGTCTGGTTATACTTCCACACTACCTAGGTAGGATATTGGAATGCAACCTCTAGCTCTGGAGGCTTGAAGTGATTACGGTGTACATACATCAGAACACTGTAGATAGTGTCCCAAGATATATTTTATATTCTCTCGTCAAATACATAACCTTGGAAACAATTGTTGTACTTTATTGTGCTCACTCTGAACGTGAGGACAGTACCAAAAATTGCCTGGCTCATAATGCACAAAATGGCGGCCTCTCCCATCGAACAGCCCAGTAGCTCACTGGATTGCACCGATGAAGTGGATCTTCACACCTCCACTTTACGGCCGGCTGGCCCAATGGCAAGGCGCTTGACTACGAATCAAGAGATTGCAGGTTCGATCCCTGCGTCGGTCATCTCTTTTTGTTTGGGACATCTTTTTGGCTTTGATTTTTGCATTGACCATGTGAAAAAGGCATGATCGAGTCCATGTCAAGCTGAGCAGGGATGTACAGGAGACCAGAACCCACTGAAATAATACGGAATATGAATCAGGCCATATCGACTCAGTCCACCCGTCGGGAGCCGAGAGACTCTCCGTGTAGGGATTCCCCGTGTAGGGATTCCCCGTGTAGGTATTCGCCATGTAGGTATTTCCCGAGTAGGTATTCCCCAACTATAAAGGAGTCAACCACAGAACTATACAATTGAAACATCGCAAAAAGAACCATGGATATCTTTCTAGACATTCTCGACACCTTCGTTCTCGATCGGTGTTACGCCTATCTCTCCCCAGACCCAGCCAGCCAGTATACGAACTTGACTTCGCCCGATCTGAACCGCCATGTCAAGGTGTACTACCCTTTGGAGCCCTCGAAATGGGCCGAAGCAAGCCTCTGGAAGAGAGAAGATCTCTCAAGACAAGCATTGTCCTTATACCTGATTACCTGGTTCGAGACCATCCACATTCACATCTAAAGCCAATGTACGAAACTAACAAAGACCGGTATAGGCTCTTCGCAATGCTCATGTACCTCCTCGGCAGCCTAGCTCTATACCACACCCTCTTCGACAAAAGACTCCTCCAACACCCCCGCTTCCTAGCAAACCAAATCAAGCTCGAAATCAACCAAGGCATCTCAGCCATCCCAACCATAACCCTCCTCACAGTCCCCTTCTTCCTAGCCGAAATAAGAGGCTGGTCCAAACTATACGACTTTACCTCCCAGTCCCCATTCTGGGGATACACACTACTGCAATACCCGCTCTTTATCTGTTTCACGGATAGTGGGATCTACTGGATCCATCGGGGCTTGCATCACCCACTCGTGTATAGGTGGTTGCATAAGCCGCATCATAAATGGGCTGTGCCGACGCCGTTTGCGAGTTATGCTTTCCATCCGTTGGATGGGTGGTCGCAGAGTTTGCCGTATCATGTTTTTCCGTTGATTTTCCCGCTGCAGAAGGTGGCTTATTTGGGGCTTTTTGTTTTTGTTACGATGTGGACGGTTTTGATTCGTGAGTTATCCCCTATGATTTTTGATTGAGGGTGAGAATTGGAGCATGAATGGCATGGCTAACCGAGTACAGATGATGCGGAATACCTACCGACGTCGGAGATTATCAACGGAGCCTCTTGTCATACGATGCATCACCTTTATTTCAACTACAATTACGGCCAGTTCACAACTGCCTGGGATAGATTGGGGGGGACTTATCGCAAGCCCAAGGGCGATGCCTTCATGGAAGCCGAAGCCAAGAGCGACGGGAAGATAGAGAGGAAGCGAGATTGAAGTCCGGGGATATATCGACTTATTCTTTAATTACGTACTTAATACCCACTTAATTGCGGTGCGCTTTGATAGCACCATTGAATAAACTCGTTCAAGTCACCCAGATCATCGGTAGCGCTGTTATCCATGTACTGTAGCCTAGCCTCGGATTTCCCTGTCGCCTCTAATGTCGCATTCAGCAACCACCAAAGCTCCTGTGCGTGTTTTGGATATCCGAGGTGAAGGAGACGGTCTTGGTCTAAGAGTCCAATGACGGAGTCCCAGACACGCTTCCAGTTGCTGGAGGCACAGCGGATTCTGTCAAGGGAGAGGTATTTTAAGAGCCCTGCTCTTACTTGGAAGGCGACGGAGTTGATGGCTTCTGGATTTAGCTCGGGTATAAGTTTTTGGAATTGGGGGGTTAACATACCGTATATGAGAATAAGGAGGTGTTCCACTGATATAGATAGACTCCAGGGTATTTGGCCTTCGCTCAATGGTTTCTCGAGTAATTGTGTAACCACGTCACTTAGTCGAGGAAGTGGTCGCTCCGTCGAATGACTCGTGGCAATTTTACTGAAGGAGGACGCGCTCTCGGCTTCCCAAAGCCCGGAACTCCAGGGGAAATTGCAATTCATTTCGAAAACCGATATGGATGGGTGGTTCTTGAAACATACTGTGAGGAAACCGTCGGCTAGGAAACCCCAGCAAGCAATTCTTCAAAAGTCAGTAAGATTGTAAAAGTCAAGGTATAATCATGCCGGATTCAATCACCTTATACAAACCTCCTCCGCCACCAAATCCCTCCAAGTACCTTCATCGCAAAGATCTGGAGTAGCCTCTCGCTTGAGTTGGAATATCCCAAGGGAGCGTATAGTAGACACCAAGCACGGATGCCGGACGATTCGAATCCGACGTCTCGTTTGCATATTGTCGCGACCGAACTGAAGCATCTCAATAATGAGTGCACTTTGGATTAACTGTATGGTTGAATGATCCTTCGGTAGTGCAAATGTAGAGAGCCTCGCGATTTGCCGGAAGATATACTCCTCGGCCACATCGAAGAGCGCAGATGGTAGACCTTTCCCATCTAGCGGTGTGGTGTATGTAGCACCAGATAAGAATATTGAGAGCAGGAGGGAGTTTGATATATTGCCTGGATCGAAGGTGGGAAAGTGAACTACTGGCAAGTGCCAGTGAAGGGATTGGAAGAAGGCCGTTATTGATGCTGAGATATGGGAGACGTCCAGGAGGTGGGACAGCTCTGTGAAGTCCAGCTCGTGTGGGGAATCGGGACTTCCGAGACCCATTGATTTTGAGGTTTCGGCTAGTTCGGCCATGATCTCGGATAATTGCGTTGAAAGCTTGGAGGGGAAGAGGACATTGGGGTTGAATTGGGTTAGGAAGTACTCATCAGCAAATGAAGGGAGATTTGATGGTAATTGGAAAGGCAAGCTTGGGATTTGAAAGTCGCCAAAAGTGGACATGATGTCCGTGGGAACGAGGGCATCTTCGATATGCGAATGGAGTGTTTCCAGATTCCGTCGAACGGAGCATTTTGCAGTCTCCCCGATTGCCAATCGATCTTTTTGAAAAGAGGGATCGGCAAAATGTCGGAGAAAAGAGAATGGTCCACTGCCTTTCAAGGTCGCTCGCGATGGATGAGACGGTGCACGCGGGATGACGGCAGGACTGCTGGATCTTGAAGCGTGTTGCACCGAGAAAGTACACTCACGCGAAAATGACCGACAGCGAGAACAGGGCGTGCCTTTGTCGCATGATGCCTTGGCAAAGAAGCAGAGATCACAGGATTGCCGCTTCCTGCCTGGTTTGGCGGCTGGAGGCGCGGGTTGATTGCTCTTCTTTGCACAGTTCTTGCTGTGTCTTCGCGTTACCTCTCTTTGGAGATCTTAGATACTGCCGTTTCTAAGTATATTTGTTTCACTCACGGTTTTTGAAATGATTTGTTGCAGAATGGGCAGCTGGATGTAAGCTGTCGGGTATCTGGAATATGGTCAGATGAGATCCGGGTGCAGGCTGATTGAACTTGCGAGTTGCTTCATGTCGCAGGAGATGGGGTTTTCGTTGATACGACTTGGTGCACTGTGTGCATTGGAACATATTCCAATTACCTGGGGGGGCAGTGAGGCTTTACAAAGGAATCAATGGAGTTGAACGGAGCAGGAGTCCCCTGCCCGCGCCCGCCGAGTCCGAGATGACAAATCAGCCCTAGATGCCCAGGTGCAGGTGCCCAGGTGGGACACCTGGGGAGCCCTGGCTAACTGGAACGACTTCTACAGCTACAATTTCAAGTAAATGTGAACTGAAATCCAATTGATAGAAACGAAATAATAATAAAAAAAAACTCCGAGCCGAGAAAACAATAAGATACACACGGCAAAAACCAATTAGACCCCGGCAGATTTGGCTGGGTCCATACCAGGAAAATCGGCCTCGTCCCGAACCGCGATGTGGGAATGATCCATAGCGATGACAGGTCCCGCGTCTGAGATCTTGCGGACATTGTTAGCTGACGTCGAGGGATTGTAACTATAAACATTGAGTGTCGTCTTGTGGGGAACAGTGGCGGTGTAGAGCCTCCATCGCAACCAGGGACCATTCAGGCGACACCTTTTGTGGCCGTTTACAATAGCATCGCCCGGCTCAATGGAGACGGGGATAGGTTCCCATGGGCCAGCATAACCTCCATTGGGTTTGCGGAGGTTGGCCTCGATTGCTCTGCAGTAACGACTGTTCTCAGTTCCGTCGGCCAGTACCATTACAACAACACCGAGCAGTGGAGGCATATCAAATGGCCCATCGATCAAGGTCATGGGACAATTTTCTCTCATGTAATCGACATCACCTGCGTAGATTTGCATCATAGATGCACCGGTATCATCAATCATGCTGAATTCGGCGGGAAGAGTATTTCTCGTATTATCCGGGGGGGCTCGCAAACAAATTTTTACCTAATTACGGTTAGTGATGTAATTCTTTAGGATAGCAGATAGGATGGGTAATACCTCAATAAATTTAGCCCATGTGTCGGTTGGGTCAGGTGCCCATTGTGTGAACTTGTTGAAGTAGAGGTTCTGACCGAGGGGCCCAGGTCCAAAGAGCTATTCATAGTTAGATACGCGCGGGCAGGAATCATCTTGGGATACTTACACCTTCCGTGTGGAAACCGGTTTCAGATCCTTTGTGTAAAGCATAAAGATGATAGAACTCGCGCCAGTCGAAGGGCCTCGGTCGGCAAAGTTGAACACCCTTGTTCCAATATGTGACCAAACCGTCAACCCAGTCCAGACTGCCCGATTTGTAGGCATCGATAATGGCTTCTAAACTACATGCGACGTTGAACTCATCTCCGGTCTCTTGGACCCACGCCAAGGATCCTTCAAGAGCTTTCAGTCGTAGAGCCACCTTCAAGCTCACATCCGGCATTTCAGACATCAGATCCCTGGAAATGATTGTCAGTCGATGCGTCAAATTATCCAGATGGGGACACTTACATCCTTCCCTTCTGGAGTTTCAACAACTCCTTCAATTTGTTCTCATATGCTGTAGGCATCACCTTTTCCCGAATACGCTCCTTACATCTCGCAATCTGAGCAGTAAAGTCACTAGAAAGAAAAGTCAGCCTTCAATCCTGTTCAACTCCAAACCACTCAAGACATACTTTGGGTCTAGATCCGGCTCATCCATGGTCCAGCCCTTGGGTACCTTTTCCAGATCATCGATCTGGTTCTTCACCGGTCCCCAAACCACTTTATTCTTAGCAAGCTTAGGCTTAGCCCTCGCCTTCTCCATTTTCTCGGTGTAGTCGGTTTTGAGATCGGCCATGAAAGCCTCCTTGTTCAAAGGCTCTGGCTTAGGCAGAGGCTTAAGTTCCTTCAGCCTCGACCGCGATGAGTCCGAATGCTCACTAGGAGCCTTTCGCTTCCTCGGAGAACGTGAGGGTATGACCGCTTCAAGCTCTTTTCTCGAGGATTCATTGCGCTCCTGCTGCGCTTGCTCGCTGAAGAAACCATCTGGTCGTTGAGCGACTCGACGGGACCGTCTGGTACCACCATCGTACTGAATGCTCTTGATGGTACTCTTTTTGGGTGGCATATTGATTGCTATATCGCGATATTCTTGGAATGCGGTTTACCAAAGGAAGTGTGTAAATGTTTGATTGAAGAGATGATCTACAAATAATTTTCTGTGGGCGTCATATTTGTATATAAATTCAATTCCTTGAGCAGACAGAGTATCCTACTAAGTCCTAGGTTGCGAACATAGCTTCAAACTCGAAAGCCAAAGAAAGAAACAAAATCAAAGTTTCTTTGAGGAGGCCTCCGGCCCTCAGCCAAGACGACAGTGTAATAAAGAGCTGGCTTGTTATTCAAAGGAATTTCTCGTCTTCTGGACAGCTTCGGAGTTTGGGAATTTTTCAATTTTTTCACTGCGAAATCCCAACTGAGGCTTGACAGGGGCAGATTAATATAGATTCTTTGTTTTGCCGAGGTGAGATGACATGAAACCTTTTTCCTTTGTAACAGCATGGTTTTAATGTGGTTGTCGCGATGGGACAAAGACTCTGGGATCAAGGCTGCGCTCCTGTATGTTTAAGTGGACATTTCAATGCTTAATCGTCCTCATGGATCTGATCCTTTGGGTATCTTTGTTGGAACCACACTGATACTTGGACATAGTCTCTGTTGTGTTGAGGAAAGTCTATTCATAGATCAAAATATTGGGTTAAGATGCCGTTCTTTGATGGGATTTACTAGCTTTGACCTGACACAAGAAGAAAAAAAGAAACGGGTTTCGAAAGCATCCTGGAAAGAAAAGCACATGGAACTTTGTAACATTGAGAAACGAAGAAAAGAGACGAAACAAAGAAAATTTTGACCTCCGGCCAGTGCAACAAAATACTTTCGACGTACTTTGCAGGTCGAACACTGTTCCAACCATCAATATTTGTGACTTGCAGCGGCTCAGGACTAGTATATATGACTGATAAGCGCTCCGAGTTGTTTTGATTGACATAAAAGTTCGATCGATGACTAGCTGTGACATTTCAGAGCAGCAGGTCAGAGGGCTAGTCCTGACGCTGGAACAAAGAATGCACTCGATCCGCGGGGGCGATGAGGGCATGTCAAACATCAACCACGAGGTGTAGAGGCAAATTTGAAAGGGTCTTGCAGTCATTGAATTCACTACAGCCAGTGAAGGAAAGATGTAGAGAGTCATGGCAAATGTACAATTTCTGCGTCTTCAGAGAGAATCAGTCTCCACGAAGACCTTGTAAATCCTAGCTGGCTTGTATTAGGACAGTAACTTTTTGCCAGTCACTTTAGCCAGGTGAATTCCTATCTGCTTTGTGTGTTAGTGTCAATATAAACCCTAGAGTGCAGGACAAGACTCCGAGGCGCCAGAGAAACGAGGCCGAATGACGTCATCGCGGCGCTTCCACCTTCCTTTGCAGCGCTTCGCATTTCCTCGCCCTCCACTGCGCAATGCATCTCCATTTCACTCCATATTTGTTGGGTTGGTGTGATGGCGTCTGACAAGGAAGATGACATAGGGGCCAGTGAGCGTCCAGTGCGCAGGAGGACTAGAAGCGGATGGTGAGGATTCCAGCCTAAGGTCCTTGACCGAGAGACTGACGGCGAGACATAGTATACAGTGCCGCCGTCGCCGTCGCAAATGCAAGTTGAATCCCACCATCCTTTCAATCGATCAGGCAGCTCTGACACCTCTTAGGCGATGGGGCACGACCACGATGCCATGGCTGCGAGGTACGAGGTCAGGTCTGCCGGTGGGGACTCAAGGCGTCGTTTCATCCTTCGCGTACAATGAGCCTTTCGCGCCAGGAAGCAATTGCGCTGTCTGAGCTTGAAGAGGATCGAGGGTCTATATCCTCCCGGCATCAGGATTTTATCGATGAGTCCAAACTGATCGTCGATGGGTATTCGACGGTGGACCGTCTTTCCCACGAGCCAGATCTTGCGATTCAAGATGAAGCATCGCCAAGCCATGTCTCCCAGGTACCTCCTCCACTGAATTCGGCAGACTTGAATGTCGCTAGTCTGTTTGCTCGGTATAACCTGCAATCCGATACTCCTGGAAGCCCATCAAGCGGGGAATACCATGTATCACCTTTTGATGGGTCAAAGCAACCCATCTCCTTAACCCGGAATATCATGAGAGATGAGGATACCTGCAACTACCCCTTTCTGTTGGGCCAGGCAAGATCAGAAGACGGTACCCCGTCCCCAGTGCTGCCAGTTACAGATGGTGAGAAATTAAGACTGATCTCCGCTTTCATACGGGAGACAGGGACATGGTGCGAGACAACTGACTCCCAGATGCATTTTACTGTAAAAAGTATCCACAAAATGATGGAATCGCCATCATTTGTCGCAGCCGCGCTCTCGCTCGCTTCTCGCCAGATGGATTCGGCTCAGATGCGCCAGCGATCAGTGACATTGGAGCTGTATCAATATGCTATTCAATTGCTCCTTTGTCAGGATCCCGCCCGGGCAGATACATCGACTTTGGCCACATGCACTCTTCTGTGTGTATATGAGATGATGGCCTCGCGAGTTGAAGAGTGGAGGCGGCACTTGAAGGGGTGTGCGGGATTCCTTCGCGCCCAGAAATGGAATGGGTCTAGTGAGGGGATTGTGAAAGCCAGCTTCTGGGCTTTTGCTCGTATTGGTGAGCTACTTCAATGAAGCCTTCTTTCCAAGGGTACATGAGATCAGTACTGATGGCCTGTTCTGAAAGATGTATGGGCGGCGTTTAACAGTGGCAAAGCAACACTGATCCCCACTGAATCGTGGGTAGACAATGTGTGCATTGATCATGTTTTGACAAATGGAGACTTGGATGATTATTGCAATCTGGCAATCCTGGTATTCGCGAACATCGTGAATGCTCTTTCTAGTCCCTCTAACCCCAAAACAGGGGCTTTCAAGGCTTCTATTGGCTCACTTTGGGATGAATTGCAGAAGTGGTACCAATTGCGGCCACCAGAGGCCCGCCCACTGCTAAGAGATTTTCCTCCTACCAGTGTCTTTCCAGAAATGGTCTTCTCAAGATCTTCCCCTAGTAAGTCTCCACATCAGTAACCAGCGGGGAAAGTGGCTGATGCTGTTAGACTGCGGTAATACCTTCTATCACTCGGGTTGCATGTTGCTTTTGCAAACCGGGCTCATCTTTCAGACACCAGATCGGTATCAGCCGTCCGAGAGCAGCATTGTAAGTCTGAATTTTCTCTCCAATAGCATGTTTTCGGTCTCACAATGTTCTAGTATGATATCTTTTGGCACGCACGAGAGCTAGTCGGAAGCTCCATTTCAAATCCATCGCAGTAAGTTGAACATTCCCTTTGTGGCTCTTGACGTTTCAAATGAAGAGAAATGCTAAGATTTATGGTTGAAATTCGAAGTGCCAACTGGGTCAATCAGCTTCAACCGCTGTTCATCGCTGGCACAGTATTCGGGAATGGCGTTGCCACTCCTTCTATTCGAGATTTTGTTTCGAAAGATTCAGTCGAGGAAGTTTTAGCTACAGGATACCATGAAGCTGATGAATTTTGTCCGGAAAAGATCATGTTGCTGAAGCACCTAGCTAAGATTGAGCGTGAGACAGGTTGGAAGACTTCAGACCGCGCCGCTGAGCTTCGAATGCTCTGGGGGTTTGCCTAATGCGACTTATTGATAACAGCCAAGAAGAGTCATTTTTGACTGTATCGCACATTCAACAATAGCACTATGGAGGATGAGGCTGAGACACCACTGCATCATTCAATCCCTACGATCGTTCAACTTCTACCTGGTCGACATCTCTTCTTGCGGAACAGCAATATCAAGCGCGAGACCAAGAAGCACGAACGGCATCCGAAGACAAAAATTCCCGAAGGTCCTTCACAAACAGATCGGGGCGCTCCAAAGACGAGAAATGACCACCATTGTCATACTCGCGCCAAAAACGAACATTAGCGGCTCGATCAGCCCAGTCGCGAGGACACTGTCAACTGTCAGAATACACAAAAGGAAAATAAACTAGAGACATCCTTACATGAAGTTGTTCCTTTGCATACATACTCACACCAGTAGGCACAGAGACATACGTTTCGAACGTCCTCTCAGCCTCGCGCCTTGTACCAAACGCCTCTCGATAGAATCTCAGAGCAGGAGTTGCACCTTGAATCCAATGCATCATAACCATCGTGATTATAACATCATCACTAAAGGCCTCATACACATCAGCCCAGTCGTGAATCTTCTCCACGAACCAAGCAAGTAACCCGATCGGCGAATCTCCGAGTGCGAACCCCAGAGTCTGAGGCCTTGTCCTCTGCTGCTCCAGATATCCACTCTGATCAATCTCGAAATTCCGCCTCATCTGCACCGCCTTCATCTCGAACTCCGTGTACGTGAACGCCGAAAAGCACCAGCGGATATAAGCAGCAGGAGCAGTAAATAAAGTCGGAGGTGGTACTGGGAACATGTTCAGATGCTGGGCTCTGACGGAATCGGGATACTGGATTGCTAAAGAGCGAGTGATGAATGATCCGAAATCACCTCCCTGCGTCACGAATTTGGGATAGCCCAGGACCTCGGTCATGAGGATTTTGTAGGCGCGGGCAACGACCTCGGGTCCGAGGCCGGACTTTTTCGGCGCAGGAGAGAATCCGAATCCGGGGATTGAGGGGGCGACGACGTGGAAGGATGGCTCGTTGGCTTTGGGGTTGCTTAGTGGTTTCACGATTTGCATTGCCTCCACGAAGGATCCTGGCCAGCCGTGGGAAAATAGAAGAGGGATTGCATTGCTGCTTGTTGCTTGGTTATGGGTGTAATGGAGGACGATGGTTCCGTATCCTGGTACATCCAGCTTCACTATGAAGTGGTTGAAGGTTTCGTTGAGGACTTTCTGGTTGAGTTATTGCTTCCGTTAGAATGAAGCCGTGACAATTCAGAGATTGCACAAACCTCTTGCTTTTCCCAGTCGAATTCATGCTCCCAGTACTCTGCGAGCTGTCTCACGCGAGCGACTTTCGCTCCTTGTGACCAATTGTTGGCGTTGAAGTCTGACTGTTCTTCGGGGTAGCGGGCTAGTGCCAGTTTCTGTGTGGTGAGTTTCAAGAGCTCCCGGTCGACGTGAATCTGATATGCCACGGGGACATTGAATTTCAGTTCATCGAGGGGAATGGGTGATTTGAACAACATGGTTATGGAATGCAGTATGGCAAGGTCGAACTGGGCGATGTTTCGAAATAGTACCTGTTGTGGACTTTATAGGGTTGGAAATGAATTGGAGGGGGTTTTCTAGGTCCTTTCTTGAAGCAACATTTATCGACACAAATCATGCTAAATTCCGTGATCAACAGGGCCACTCCAAGTAGACCGAATCTGGAAACATGCAAGTGCAAGCGCAAGCGCTTTCGGGAATGGGGTTCTAAGGTCGATCTTAACTCTGCGCCAAGCCCAACATAGACTTGAGAGATTGAAGGCATCTTGAATATCCCAAGAAAGAGAAATGCGACATCGAAATGAGTAGAAAATGGAGGAGACAAGTGGATGGCAAGTCCAGCCGCCTGCTCATTAAACACCTACAAAGACATCTATACAAACATAAATACTCGTAAATTCTGTGCAAAAGAAGTGTATCAAATTACTTCGAAGATCTCAAGTGCACCACAAATACCTTCGCCAGCAACCATGAATCAAAAGGAAATTATTATCATCGGTGGAGGCATCTCCGGCCTAGGAATGGCCATTCAACTGAAACGCCTTCTCGGCCATACCAACTTCACCATTTATGAGAAATCAGACAACCTAGGTGGAACCTGGTGGCACAATAGGTATCCTGCTTGCGCATGCGATATCCCAAGCCACTTTTACTCTTATAGCTTCGCCCTGAAGCACGACTGGTCGACTATGTACCCCGGGCGAGATGAGCTCCATGGCTGTAAGCTCCGAATGCTTCCAATGTTGGAGGTTAGCGTGACCGGCTAACACAAGTAGATTTCTTCTCGGTCGCTGAGCGATTCAATATCTTACCACACTGCCATTTCAATGCCATGTGTACTGGCATGGTGTGGGATGATGTCCGTTCTCTCTGGGTCGTTACGCTGCAGAATACGGAGTCGGGGGAGATCTTCCAGCGCGAGGCTGCGGTCGTCATTAGTGCGATTGGGACTTTGGATCGCCCTGCTGTTCCCAATATTGAAGGTAGGGATTTATTCAGGGGTGAGATGTTCCACAGCGCTGAGTGGAAGGATGGATTCGATCCCAAGAACAAGCGAATTACCGTCATTGGTAATGGTGCGTCGGCAACGCAGTTCGTTCCTGAGCTGGTCAAGTCAGTTGGATCGAATGGAAAAGTAACTCAACATGTCAGAAGTTCTCACTGGTGGACAAAGCGAGTAAGTTTGCTTGCCCAAATGGGTATACGAGTGATCCCAGCTAACATGAACAGGGGAATCCTGGGTACTCCAAAGCTTTCCAATCCATGCTGAAGTATGCACCACTTGCAGCACGGATCTACCGAGTCATTCTGGCCTGCCAGCTGGAGAGTACCTTTTATTCATTCTACATGGATTCCAACGGCGCAAAGATGCGCCAGAGAATCCGAGAGGCAACGTATTCATATATCAAAGAAGCACCAGCCAAGTACCACGACATCCTCACGCCAAACTACGAACCAGGCTGCAAGCGCCGAGTCAACACATCCACCTACTTGCAATGTCTGCATTCACCCCAAATGCAACTAACCACCGACGCAATCCTCGCAATCGGTCCCGACTACGTCGAAACCAAAGCCGGAAAGCGACACCCAAGCGATGCCATCATCTTCGCCACCGGCTTCCAGACTCAGAAATGGCTATTTCCAATGGAAATCAAAGGTCGTGACGGCATCGATCTCCACGATCAATGGGATGCGGCAGGAGGCGCCGAAGCATACAAGGGTACTGTTGTGACGAATTTCCCGAATTTCTTCATTCTGTACGGTCCCAATGCAGGGACCGGTCAGCATTCTGTCATTTTCCATTCCGAGTGTCAGATCAATTACTCGTGTCGCTTGTTGCGTCCTGTGCTTGGCGGCGCGGACTCGATTATGGTCAGGTCGGAAGCGCAGAAACGGGACCTTTCCTGGGTTCAAGGCAAGTTGCAGCATCTGGTTTTTAATAGTGGGTGTCAGAGTTGGTGGATGGATCCGGTCACGAAGAAGAATACTTTCATTTATCCGGATCCTATGTACAAGTACTGGCTTCGTACGATTTTTCCTCGCTGGTCGGACTTTGAGGTGCGTCGGGCTCGGTCGGGGGTGAAGTACTATTTGGTTGGCTCTCTGGTGGTTATTGGACTGGTGGGTTCAATTTACATTATGGCGCAAGATACGGCGAGAGTCGTCGATGGGTCTTTGTCCTGGCTTTCTCTTTTTACTGGCTGGCGATTTGACACCTTTTCTCGTGCCAAATGAGGCAGGATACCGAATGGAGTCTTATATTAGTAGGGCATATCTGGTCATTCCAACTGTATTCCGTAGGTAAAGAAATCACCGATAGCAAGTATAGTATCATCGTCAGCAATCATCTCCCACTCATCTCCTTTCGGGCCATGTCTCAGTAGTTCAACGTATTAGCTGACCCATCTTGCAGTCTGAGCCATTGGTAATATCTGAACTAACCCACCCTCGAGGCAACACGAACTAGTTAATAGTCATTGCAGCTGTGAGCTGCACCGTATCCAATAGCAAAAACCACTGAGCTCATAATCAAGCGCCCCCGCATCAAATCTTTTGGTTAAATTGACCAGATTTGGAGATCCACCGATGCTGATGCTGCACGGGACAAAGAAACAAATATGCCATTCTGAGAACCAACTGGCCGGGGGGGAGCTCAAGAGCATCCTTGAACTCCTTCCTTCTCTTCTTCTTTTGTTCTTCTGTAAGCTCGATTCCCGAGGAAATCGCACAACACCCGCACTCCGAAGTGCAATGGCCATTACCTTTCTTGTTTCCAGTAAGAGCCCTTTTCTTGCAGCATCCACATTGACGACTGCAACATCCTCCCTGATCAGCACAGTCTTGAACTAAACCCGCGCGCATGTACCACGTAGGATCACGCCGTATGTTATCATAGTCCTCTTTGAATGACACCCAGAGGTTGCACTCCGCCAGGTAAAGTTCGTGACGCGTGTCTGCCAATCGCACACGAGCGTCTTGGAGCTCTTTCTCGGCCTTTTTCAGCTGGCCTTTTGTCTCTTCGTATTGGGTTGTTTCAGATTCGATGGACAGCGCTTTTCTGAGGGCTGGGACCCTTTTGTGTAGCACTTCTTCTCGCTGGGTCTCTTCGCGCAAGGTTCTCTCGGCAATAAGTATGTCGATGACTCTTTGTACCCTGATCAACCTGCCGTTGCGGATAATTCTATCTCGATTTTTTGCATCATAGAGGAAGTACTTGTCGGATGGCATGGCGGGGTGTGAAGACAGAGCAGTGTGTCAGGGTGAAGAGTGCGGCATCTCAATTCTCAATTTAAGGTAGAGCCCCGGTCTGTTTTTGGTGACACAATTACTTTTAAGGTTACCCCGGCACGCTGTCCAAGGTAAAAGCACACACTTCCATGGTTATAACGTGGATTTGACGCAAACCAGTAAGTGCATTAAAAAATTAAAAAAATAAAAAATGCAAAAAGATAATCTTAAAGACCATGTTGGTATTTTAGGAAGAGCCGAACGCGGGGGTCGAACCCGCAGCCTTAAGATTAAGAGTCTTACGCTCTACCGATTGAGCTAGCCCGGCAAGAGGCTGTTAGATGGGGCGGCAGAATAGTGCTACATAAACCAGTCATGTAATTTGCTCGTGTATGCTGTTCAAGGCTAGACATCATGAGAAGCTGAGAGGGTCTGTCTGCTCATGATTCATCAGCTGTATTGTAGAAAAAGGCGGCATCCTACTAGAAAATAGGCCCACCCGGGAGTAGCAGTCTGTACCTGAGAATCCTGGAAACCTTGGAACCCTGGAAGACGCATGCGGACAGTCAACTAGCGGGTGCCAAAATATATAGAGGTTCAGCGCCACGGTAATTTGACCAAGGTGTCCTTGGCAGCCGGGACTATTGACCGGATTCCGAAGACGGAGTGGCCGCAGTACGAAAGAAGGGGAAAACACAAGAAAAATAAAAATAGTAGAGAAAAAGCAAATATGAAGAGACAAAGCGAAAGAGAAAGAAACCGACGCGCCCTTGCATTCTCCGAGATTATTGCCATGGCGAAACGGCCCGATGCCGAGGTCAAAGAATGGAAAAGATCGGAAGAGTGAGGCGCTTGGCTCTGCGCTTTGGCGAAGCTTGGCCAGACAATCCCATCTGGCGGGTGATTGGACCTGTTCGATCTGTCTATCCGTCCCATGGAAGAAATCTGAAACATGGCGACATTGCACATTGCACATTGCACACACCCAAATAATTGGCCAGGTGGAAAGTGGGAATTGACCTCGGGAACCTGGGGAAAAGCGCAATCAAGGGATGAGCCCATCTTGCGCTATGTTGATCGGTGTAGACACATGGGAAGAGCTGATCGACACGCGAACATTCGAGTCACGGTCAGACCCGAGGCCCCACGTTGTTTAATTGCCAACCCCATACTCCGTATTTCGCAATCGCTTCATCCTGTGGCCTGTTACTCCAATGTAACCCGAATCCTCGCAGCTAATCCCAAAACGGGCTGCGCCGGTGCCTGGAATTCCACCAACCACAAGGGGGGATACAAGACAAGCTTAGACAAGAACAGACAAGAGTCCAGCCTCCAAACTCTGTTCTCGGCTGTCTTTTCTTCTCTTTTTTCTCTGCAATGTCGGTGAATCCAGTCCCGAACGCGTCTGGGTCCGGGGCCCCGCAACCCCAGCCGAATCGGCGACTCCGCTCACTGTCCCCCCAATGGAGCCATTGCTGCCGTTGCTGAATGCGTCCCGTCTGTCTGATAGGCCTTCGCTTATCGCAGAAGGGGAAAACCCCGGTGGAGGGCCCTTGCGGAAGTGAAGTGAAGTGAAGTGAAATGAAGAGATTGGTCGTTTAACCGTAGCAAATGCGGCGTGGCGTTGCTCCCTTTAAAGGTTGCACTTCTTTCCTTTCCAAGTTTTTTTTCTCTTTCTCTCTCCGTGACTCTCAATTGATATCCAAAATGGCTTCCACAGAGAAAGAGGACCATGCATCCGTGGAGATCCAACACTCCGAAGTCAAGGGCTCAGAAGTCCTGGGCAACCAGGAACTGATGAACGATGCCTTCGACGGCGAGAATGAAGAGCACCAGGAAGGTGTCTGGTCGGCGGCGCAGAAACATCCCTGGGCCTGCTTCTGGGCCTTCGTGATGTGCTTTACCATTGTAAGTGGGGAGGTCAATGGCGGCATCGCAGAGCTAACGCAGACCAGGTCATGGAGTCCTTCGACATGTTCTTGAACGGAAACTTCGTCGCCTTGACGGCCTTCCAGGAGAAATATGGTGTGGAGCTTGATGGGAAATGGGTGATTCCAACAAAGTGGCAGAGTGCCCTCTTCCAGGCTGGTCAGTGTGGTGCGTTTGTGGGTGTCTTCTTGGCTGGTCCTGTTACCAATCGTTTTGGATACCGATGGACCACCATGTTCGCCCTGATGCTGATGAACGCGACAATCTTTGTTTCTTTCTTTGTGCGTATTCCATGAGATGTCCCGCGAAGCCTCGACTAATGCTTTACACAGGCCAATTCCCTGACCCTCTTGGTGGTGGGACAAGCATTGGAAGGTGTCCCATGGGGTTTCTTCATCGCCAATTCCCCCGCCTATGCCAGTGAGATCGTCCCCATGGCGCTCCGTGGTGCCTGTACAGCGACTTTGCAGATGAGTTGGTCGATTGGATCAATCATCGTCGCGGGTGCCACCTACGCCTACAACAAGAGGGACGATCAATGGGCGTGGCGTGTCCCTCTAGCCCTTCAATGGCTCTTCCCTGTGAGTCCACAGCCATCAAGATCGATACACCAACTAACCCATCCAGACTCCACTTCTGATTCTTGTCTTCCTCGCCCCCGAATCACCCTGGTGGCTGATCCGCCGCGGCCGCAAGGCCGAAGCCATGCGCTCCATCGAGCGCCTCGGCAGCAAGGACCCCCAAAGAGTCCAACAATCCTACGCGATGATTGAAAGAACCGTGCAGATCGAAGCCTCTCAAGGCGGAGCACCCACCCTCCTCGATCTACTCAAGGGCAGCGATCTGCGCCGCACGATCATCACCTGTTTAGTTTACGCATCGCAGAACTTTGCCGGCAACCTCATCGCCAACCAAGCAACCTTCTTCTTCGAGCGTAAGTGGCCTCAAAACCCCAACCATCCACACACTAACACCTCCATAGAAGCCGGCATCAGCCCCAACATGGCCTTCCAGCTCAACCTCGTCAACTCCTGTCTCCAATTCGTCGCCAACGCCCTCTCCTGGTTCCTAACAGCCTGGTTCTGCCGCCGCACAATCTACCTCTGGGGCACGGCCGTCAACATCGTCCTCCTAGTCGTCCTGGGCGTCTGTGCCTCCATAACCCAAAACACAGCCACGAACTACGCACAGGCCGTACTAGGAATCTTGATCTCATTCGTCTTCGCCGGAACCATGGGTCCCATCTCATACACCATTATCTCTGAGACTTCTTCTGTGCGTCTGCGCGCTCTTAGTACCGGTGTCGGTCGTGCGGCGTACTACGTTGCTGAGATCCCAATGATTTATCTTGCTTCTCAGATGCTGAATGCGACTGGGTGGAATCTGGCTGGAAAGTGTGGATATGTCTGGGGTGGCACTGCGCTGGTTTGTTGGATTTCGGCGTTCTTCTGGCTTCCTGATCTGAAGCATCGCTCGTATCGCGAGGCGGATATCTTGTTCAATCGCAAGGTTCCGGCTCGGAAGTTCAGATCGACTGTTATTGGGGTGCATGAGAATGAGTAGGGGGGTTGGATGGTATTGATTCTGGCATGATTTACGTCGACATAGATTTTGACTTGTATTCTCGGCATAAGCGTGGGTTGGGTGAGTCGTTTTATTTTGATCATCATTTATTCTAAAGGATATAATTGAGTATTTTGCAAATGTTCTTAAGGCACTATCATTCTTAACAGTCAACTGTCTGCGACTGACATTGAAAACTATCTATGAGATGTCTCTGAGCTAACCTTGGAAGGCAAATCGCAGTTAATTGCTTTACATGCACCAGATACAGAGCAGCACCCAATAACTAGAAGACTACTTCCCTCCCTTTCCATCCCCCTGTCCACCCTCAATAGTCGGCCCCTCCCCCTCCCCCATCCAAGGATGCTGATTCTCCCGAATAATATGCGTCTGACTCGACTGACTATCCACCTCCCAATCCCTCGTAACCGACACAACCAGAGGCTCACTCCGAGACGAAAGCCCATAATCCGCATTCGCCTTCCTCTCCCGAGACCTGAATTGCGATTTCGAGTCCAGATTATACGTATCTCCTGTTCCGGTGTTCACGCGCAACCGCCCTTCCAACTTGAGCCAGGTGAGGAATGGCTTCAATTGGCCCCAGCAGGCTGTTACGATGCTGAGACATTGGACTAGTTCTTCGATCACGGATATGTCGCATATATCGTAGCTGGGGTCTGTGGATGTTGTGGCTGGGCGGATGAGTGGGAGTTGGGCGATTATGACGCCGATCACGCTGTTGCACCTGCAGGTTAGAGAGGGGGGTTGTGATGGGGTTCTGGGAGAGGTACAGTATTCTTGGTAAGAAGATGCTGGCGAATACGAGGCGTTTTTTGAAGGAGGCGTGGATGCCTTTGATGAGGAGGAAGGCCTGGGTTAGAATTAATGCTTCAGTAGCCATGTTGGATAGGCAGACGAAGTAGTGCCATGCTTCCTGATAAATCTTAACAAAATAATGTTCTTTTCCAATGTGAAGATGAAGATGAGATACCATATTGATGCATTTTCCATTCCAAAAGTCCCAGGATCGTGGCACCTCGCATTCAAATGCAGTTCCCAGTATTGCGACGAGGGTCCAAGTGACGACCAAACCGGCCACAATCTTCCCCAGGCGATGGTCCTTCGCGGCAGGACTCAGACGCAATGTGAAGATCACCAGGGAGAGCTTCGAAAAACAAAGACTGGCGATGTACAGCAGAGATGCAGTCCACAGATTCTGTACTCATTCAGCCAGTTGCAAGAGAATAGAAAGCATCACGAACCTTCATGATTTGATCGAAATTGGCATCAGAAACATCCTTCTTGTGTGTTCCATAGCCCGCAGCGACCGCCAGCGACAAAGTCACCACCTGCGCAATGCAAAAGGCCTGTTTTTTATCAACAACCACACACCAAACACTCGAATAGAACATACCGAAGAAACAATAACCAAAAAATCATCCGAAGTCCATCTCTTAAAAATATGATACTTCGTCCCCAACCTCGCAAAAACCGCCAAAACAACCACAACCAACAAACACCACGCAGTAACATTCACCTCAGGGTCCTTACTATCGCCCGTAAATCGAGTCCCCATAGCTCAACTCAATCAGAAAAGAAACCATGCATAATGCATTGTGCAGCAAACCCCCTATTTGGGAACATGCGCACACGAAACCATTTCAACAAGTTTCAAAAGGAAAATTTGGGGGCCGCCCCCTCCGCGACAAGGATAATGATAATTCGAACGCTCTCGGACTTCGATAGGAGGGAACTATGCAGGGATGTTGTGATCCTTTTAGACTCACAGCCCATCAGAACACAATCGGCATTGTGGGTCTCCGCACAAGCGTTCAGATGGCGCAGTTCGTGTGCATTAGTTCACGCCGTCCGGTCGACAATTAATTGCTTGCATATTAGGCTTGCGCTGATCTGTCGGGGCCGATGTCTTGCGGTTTTTCTTTTCTTTTTCTTTCTTTCTTGCTTTAACATTGTGATTGTTGTTGATCCTTGGCTTGAGATGGGTTCTTATGAGCTGAAAGATACGAGGAATCTTGGCCTTGAGGCTAGGGAGGTGTCGGCTTGCGATCGTGATGATTTTCATTTGCAGAGGCTTGGGAAGGCGCCGGTTTTGAAGGTTGGTGTTTTGGGAGATGCTTTGTTATTTGCTGATTCTGATGATGATCATGATAGCGGAATTTTGGAATTCTTTCGATTCTGGGTTTTAGTTGTACGATTATCGCGACTTGGGAAGGTCTGCTGGAGTGAGTCTGTTGCTGCTTGTGGTTGTTCTTTTCTGACTGAGTATAGCACGTTTATTATTGCTTTGACCAAGTACGTTCTGTTTCTATCCGTGGACAGGTTTTGCAATGCTAATAACTCGCAGTGGAGGGTCTGCAGGCGCAGTATATGCGTATATCTTTGCCTGGACGGGAACAACATGCTGTTTCCTTGTACTATCAGAATTGGCTTCGATGTAAGTGATACAAAATAGCCATACCCCGTCGGACGGCACATTGACGATCCCAGGGCACCAACATCAGGAGGCCAATACCATTGGTGTGCCATGCTCGCACCGCCCAAGAGAATGAAGTTCTGGAGCTATATCACCGGTAACAGCATTACACCCCTACAAGATTCGAAGCAGGTCTAATAATTACCAGGCTGGCTCGCAGTCATCGGCTGGCAAGCCGCATTTGCCTCCACGGCCTTCCTCTGCGGAACAGAGATCCAAGGAGCTGCGATTCTCGCGCACAAGAACTACAACGCAGAAGCCTACCAAGGTACCCTGATCTTATGGGCTAGTCTCATCGTCGCCCTAGCAGTCAACTTGATCGGGGGCAAATTCCTCCCCAGACTCGAGAACCTGATTCTATGTGTGCATATTCTGGGATTCTTCGGTATCCTCATTCCATTGACGTACATGGCGGATCACAAGACGAAGGAAGAGGTCTTCCTGCATTTCACTAATGGTGGTGGATTTGCGACTGATGGACTTTCGTGGTTCGTTGGAATGACAGGTTGCGTCTTTGCTTTTGCTGGTGGTGATGCAGCTGTTCACGTACGTATTTCTCGTAGCACTTGAGCCTGGATTCAGGTGAATCGACGAACCAAGTGACTGACACATCTACAGATGGCCGAAGAAGTTGCAAATGCGTCTCGTGCAATTCCCCGCGCAATCATGCTCAGTATTGCAATCAACGGTGCGCTGGGATTCGGTATGCTGATTGCTGTTCTCTTCTGCATGGGCGATCTCGACGCAGCACTCAATAGCGATACTGGATACCCCTATATCGAAATTTTCTACCAGGCTACGAACTCCGTTTCGGGCTCACTGGCCATGGTCTCCATTAACCTGATTATTGCCGTTTGCTCTGTCATCGGTATGTTGGCTGCGACATCTCGTCAATTCTGGTCATTTGCTCGCGACCGCGGCATTCCCGGATGGCGATGGTGGAGTCATGTAAGTCTCGTTTCGTATACTCCATGGCTATAGTCATAGTCTAATATTGTCCAGGTTTCTTCCAGACATCTGCCCACTTACTCCGTCTATCTGACTATGACAGTTGCATGGCTCCTCGGTCTGATCAACATCGGTTCCTCGGTCGCTCTGGACGATATCACGTCCATGGCTGTATCGGGTCTATACGCTTCTTATCTCACTGTTGGCCTTCTGCTTCTGTACCGTCGCTGCCGTGGAGATATCAAGACTTCCGACGACAATGACGAGATGGTGATTAATGTCCCTGGAGCGAAACTCGTTTGGGGCCCGTTCCGTGTTCCCGGTATTTTGGGGATGTTGGTGAATGGCTATGCTTGCATCTATATGATCATCGTGATCTTCTTCAGCTTCTGGCCCTCGGATATGAGTCCTACCGTGGAGGATATGAATTACAGTGTTGTGGGCACGGTTGGGGTTATTATCTTGGCCGTTTTGTATTATTTCGTGCGGGCGCGAAATGTGTACCAGGGTCCTGTTATGGAGGTTTCGATGTGAGATCGATTCTGGGTTAGAATGATTGGTGTGGTAGATTTGAAAATGTTCTATATCCCGTACATAAATGAGAAGAGTTCTGGGCGCATTTACTGCAGTGGCCTGCTAATCTCAGGTCTACACTTGGGCAGTCCAGGCTCACATCGACACCCCCGAGCAAGTATAGAGCGCAAATGGGAAATTTCCGCATTTAGCCTGATGCAAGCGAGTGACTGGCTTATAGTTATCATATTTGTCCTTGGACCATCCGAGGCGATAGGCTTTGTTGAGCTGCTCGATTGCCCTCGGCGTGGAGTGGAAGGACTAGGGTGTTGAACCACGCCCTATTTCACAGTACAGGCTGGTCCTCCGATCCTCAGTGAGTCTCCACTTGCGGCTATTTGCAGCCTTAATTCTTGGTAACTGTAGATTGCTGGTCGGCGATCGTGGTGCTTCCGGGGAGCAATGGTTGGGCCTCGACATCATGGTCATTATACAGATCCTCAATGCCTCCAGAGATGAAAGCACCCTGCTCATTACTCTTTGGATCCTGGGAATGACTGTTGAGGGAATTCATCGATTGATCACAGGATGGACAGAGAACGTAGGTGATTTCCCGGCGATCATTCATCACCCGTTGAATGTATTGGTAGTAGGCCCCTTGGATGAAGGAACGGAGATATGCCAGACTAAAATTGAAAATCAGTATGCTTTCCTTCTCTCCATCGAAATAAATCAGACCCACAAGAGTAAAAGGCAAGAAAGGTTGGAGTAGATCTGCGGAATCGCACGAGCAAGCGTGTAACTATACCGGTTTCCCCACGACCCCATATTAAAGGTTGCAAGAACCACGATACCCGCAATGTATATTCCCAAGAAAAGAGAGGTGATGAAACCATCAATAGCGATTTCGAAGGGCGCATAGGTCTGGCTTCGGATCTTGCGATATTGACAAAGCATGTACACCGATCCGGCGGCGGAGATCGTAATCTGTACTTCATCAGACAAGATTCCCCAAGTGAAAGGGAAATACAAACCGCAAACAACTGAACCCAGGCCTCAGCTCTTCCGTGGGCTGTGAATACCGCGGCAAATGCACATGGCCATGAGAGCACTGAGAGCAAGGCCTGTGTTTTGCGGGCCTTGGACAACGGGTGTCTGTTAGGGGAACACTTGCTTTGGCACATTTTGAAATATGCTGAGTGAGAGGATATTGATGTTGTTAACCCAGAGTTCCGCTCTTAAGCAACATGGCTGCCCAGGTGACGGCCCCCGGCGCCAAGCACGAATAGGGAGGAAGACTGCTGCCTAGAGAGATGAAAATAGATGTTTACTTCTTGAATAGATCCGCCATTTGGGAATAAGCAGAGGCTCTTGTGAGTCGTGTTATCATCTCTGTAGCACTTCCAGTGCGGTGCGAGTCAAGAGTCATGACAGCGAACCTCATCTTCAACACGTCTTATCATCAAGCTTTAAGCTCTCGTGTTCTTAATTTTCTTCCTCAGTCGTAATTCAATTGATCGTGCAGAGGCTCGCGGGGCTTTGCGGAGTTGGTATAATGTCAGGATTGAGACGGCAGGCTTGTATGTTGACGCCGGCGGCACTCTTCGCGTCCTGGCAGTCTGTCAAGTACGACGCGATCAGCATGATGTCTTTGCGCCGATTTTGCTTTTTTTGTCAAGCACTCGGGTTGCAAGCTCGGTCTTAAAGAGCTCCTCTTTGAATGTTGTTGTCAATATCCGGACAGGTGATCATGCTTGTTCTCTAGTGGAATAGGAAGAGCGATGGTCCGACGAAGCAAACAGGAAGATGGAGGACCATGACCCAGCGAGTCTGAAAAAGAGGATGACACGAACTTGGAATCCACAAGTGGAAACCAAAGCTGATCCAAGGAGTGTATAGTTGCTTAAGCTCGATGATCGTAGAAAGGGAATCTGAGATACCCTCTAAGGCCAATTTGAGGCGAAGGTGAGGTGCTGTTTCCTCACTGTGGTAGATATATCACTCTTTAATCCTCTGTCTCTCTCTTTGTCCTTCTTGAAAATAAATCTTTCTTCACTCCATCAAATTGACCCGCCCAGGCGCTGTGATAAAGCGGTACACGCCTACAGGCCTGCTTGTGAGTGTTTTTAAAGTTGCCTAGGGAATGAGCTGCCAACATATCTATCGCAATGGAAGTCGACATCCATTTCAAATCGGGCTACGAAACAGACTCCACCTCCAGCACCAAAACCGGCCTACGGAACAGTGACCGACATCGTCCAAATGCTCCTACGCTATTTCTCCACGGCCGCAGCCGAGCTGTTCGAGAAAATCATGATCATGGCCGAGCGGATAGACCGTCCACGGGAGTGAATTCGGACCTGATCACGAGCCCTGAAGCCGAAGGTCTACTTCACATATTGGTCTCGACTTGTTCCAAACCCCAGTACAAACATACATCAAACAGTCTTCTAAAATAAGATCAACTGTCCATCGCATCTTGAGTTCGAGATATTTCTAGCTGTAGTTGTTTTCAGGCTCTCGGAGTCATTTTCAACTGTAGTATTCGAAAAAAGACCACGCAGATTCAACTTCCCTGCCTCTTCACCGCACTCAAGAACCTTGGAATATTTGAACCCCATATGCTTCTCCTAAGCAGCACAAAGAGAAAGCACCTAATTCTCCTCGTCATCAATTCTCATCGGGTTGTGGAACCCCCCCTCCGCAAAAGAGCCCGGATCCCGAGCCTCATTGATATTAGCACTCGGGCCAGAAAAGGCAGCAGGCAGAACAAGGCTGTGTTCTACCAGGAATCTCTCCGCATGCTGGGTCATCGCCGAGAGATCTAGCTTGACGCCGTTAAGGCGTTCAGATAGCTCGCTCACTTCTTGACGGAGCTGGGAACTGCGAGTGACCAACGCTTCCATCTCGCGATACATTTGAGTGAAGTGATTCCAGAAGGCTGTGCCCTCGGTCAAGTCGTGCATAATTCCATTCTCCTGAGCAGAAGGGAGTGCGTGCCTGGAATTGGAGCGCGATCGATGAGGCAGTCTGATTCGGATCGAACTTTCAAGCTCCTCGTTTTTCATGGACGAGATTGGGCGAGTCATTTCGTTGTCTGGGTTCCTGACGGGGCTGGTGGCATCCGAGCTGGCAGTAGGCACCATGTTGTTGGTAGGGCCTCTGATGTAGGAATAGGTTGTGCGTCTGGTGTACTGACGCTTTACATGGTGATGGTCGACGGTTTCATCGTCGGAGGATTCGTGGTGGCGCTTGCAAGGTGATGCAGGTGGTGGATTGTTTAGGGCTGCCGGCATATGGGGCTTTGGGCTTCTGCTCGACATATCGAGATAGCCTCGTTGAGTTCCTATTGCACAGGTTCATATCAGTATACTGATTTCGTTTTCTGGCTCTATATCACATGTGCTTGATGTGAGGGCGATGTGATATAATAGTGAAACCTCATCTTATACCGAGGATTCTGGTCTTCCAAGGTTGGTCTTCACTTACTGATGATGATCTTGCTTTTGTTCCTTGTAATAGACTGATGAAGCTCCAATGATGGCTGATACTTAGTGTGAAAAGCAGAGTGAGGATGTGAGAGAAGAGAGTACTGCGAGGCCTATATCTCAAATTTTATAGCCGGGAATAGCAAACAAACCATGGAGATCGTTTAGGATTACTTTGGACGGAGGAAGTGTATCAAACAGGATGTCTCCCAGTTGATGACATCAGAGTCGAAACACGATCGTGCCCTAGGGTAGATTTTTATGTCTATGATTTCGTCTTTGGAGCAGGTTGTTAGTGATGATTCGATGGGCAACGCGAAGATTATACTGCAGGACCAGCCCACCGAGGTAGACATGGCATAGAGACTCCGCACATATGGAAGCATAAACTTCCGGTCACCGCATTAGACAGTCAATTGCCCAGGTGGCGAGCAAAGAGAGGTATACATTGCTTTACACATATGTTTTGACTGGGGGTATAGGTTGAAGATCTGACTCTACCCTAACTCACCATGTCGAGGACGAGTGTTACAAAGCGTTGAGTAACACATGTGGAGCTCAGTATAGTGCAGATCTCCCGAGTCTTCAACAAAGTATTTTGACAGGGTTGCAACAAGATACTAATCATGAACAGATTGGCAACAATGACGATCATTGACTACGAATAGGCCAACAGGTATGAAGAATAGAAAATCATTCTTGATCGAAGTCTGATATGCTAGATAAATTATCATGTCCAAGAAAGGTATGTCGTAAATAAAAACAACCCTCGGAAAAGGTCGATACCAAAACAATCCCAAAGGGCTCGCTGTGTATCATGTGGCGTAGACAAGACATGTACAACCAAAGAAGCCAACCATAAACACCCACACCGGGCTCGAATCAACGCAAGCGCCGGTGTTCATTCCTAACGCCAGTACACTGGTCCGCTTTACAGCAGAAGGGCGACGGCACCGAAGACAGCAGCCAGACCGGCACCAGCACCGGCGGCGGCGTTCGCGGCACCGGCGTTGAAGGCGGGCATGGAGGGCACGGGGGTACCAGAGGCACCCGCGGAGCCGGTGGCGTCGGCGTTGGGAACCAGAGGGGTGGAGGCAGCGCCGGAAGGAGCCACGGGGATGACGGGGACGCTGCTGGCGCTGACTTGGGGAACGGCAGTGGAGCTAGAGATGTGTTAGATGTGAGGGTGCGGTTGGGTCGGAATTTGCTTACCAGCTCTGGCACTGAGTCACGGTAGAGGTCTGGATGGGACGGGTCACAGTGTAGGGGCCGTTGGTCATGGTGATGTGACCGGGCTATAGAAGTCAGTATGTAGTCTTTCATAGTCGCCAGGTGTACGTACAGTGGCGATGCTGTAGGTCTGGCTGCCGTGGACGATGGAGGTGGCCTCGGGGCAGTAGGTGGTGTAAGCAGTGACAACCTCAGTGGTGACGCTGGAGGCCACGGCGCCAGTGGCGACAACAAGAGCAGCGATGGAGAAACGCATTTTGGTAGATAAAAGAGTGGATAGGCTGTTGAAACAGAACTAAAAGAGTGTAATCGGATAAAGACCGGAGGTTGAAAGAGAGAAGTGAGAAAGGGAAATCCAGACCGTTTATAATGCGACGAGGTTAATCTAATTAGATTCAGGTACCCGCGCACTAACACAAGGACCATTCATTGTTGTCGGTCGTGGCAATAGACTAGCTTCATCTCGTGTCACAATGGTACTTGGCAGCCCAGCCAAAGTTGTATGCACCACCAGGTCCCTCCTCCCCTAGCGTCTTCATGTCCTCCTCACTTGTTCAGCCCACGTCCTCCAGATAATTGTGCAGTGCGCGGCCCGGGGATCGCTTCCTGATTAGGTCGCTTGGCTGCGAGGGGCTAATTCTAGACAGTTGAAGTGATGTTCATTGATCGTCTCTGTGGACTCGGGTATATCGATGATCATTCTATTCTTATATTCCTCACTCAATACTTACCACGGAGTACAGAGTAGCTATTGACATCTGTCGCTTCCAAGGGAAAATACCTTGAGCAATTCTCCTCCAGTCTGGATTTCTTCATTTCCACAATCTCCACTCCGCGTGGCTCCACTAAAGGATCCAGCCCTGAGTTCTTCAATTTACAGAGTACGGAGTACAGATGAAGCAAGGCTACGATCTGTACCCCTTAGACCCCTAAGGTTGCATTCAACACTCTAATTTTATCTCATGTACTCGACAACACACAATGTCCCCAATGACGAAGTGAGGGTTCCAACGGACATCCAATCTGATCCATGTTGACGATTGGATTGAGATGTGGACTAGCATTCGGAGCCCAACCCTGGAAGCAGCCCAGAAGAACTCCGAGCTTATTCAACGCTGTTCGGTACTTGAGTCGTGGCGTTATTTGAATCTTGACCTTTGTTCCCTATTTACTTTCGGGCGATATATTTCTTGTCGGGTAGTAGACACGCGCTTCCACTACCTTTGCTCCGTACAGCCCTGAAGGGTACATGAGACTGCTCTGCGATGTTGCTGGCCTTTAGACCACAGTTAAATCAACGCAGCACCTGCGGGCATATTCTGGTTTTCCAATGTAGGACTGCAATCAACACGGAGTATACTATGTGCGCATGTGCCCAGGTGCGTACCTAGGTAGTTGATGAAATTCTCTTCATCTACAGAGCGGTCTGGGCTGAACCTAGGCAGGATCATTGTTGCTAACCAAAGCTTGCAGGCCTATGTGCCTCGTGCGCGTGGTCTAAGACCCCAGGAACAGGATGAAGCGTCATTCTCAAGGCTGCAAGGTCGACGCTCAGGCAATTGGATGTTTAAGGTTGGGAGATCCAAGGTTTGATCAACCTTGGATGACAGGGACAGAATGCTTGTGCAAAACACTTCAAATTGATCGAGTCTATGTACTGATATGGAATTGAACTCTCGAAGCACTCGGAGCATACAGGCGTATGTCCTCGTTAGACCAGAGTGTCGCGTGCGACAGAGGCATTGGAAGCGGGAGGCCAGCACGGAAAGCAACAGTCCAAAGACCGATGTCAATGCCGATGCCGGACCGAGCCCTCGGCAAACCAAATACACAACAATTCCAATCCGATGTTACTGATCCCTTTAGGATGGTTGGAGGCGTGGGACCTTTCAGCAGCGCCCGTCCAATGCCGGCTAGACCGAAGCCCGGCCAGCACCGACGAGTGCTGAGACAGACAAAGTACGCCGTTTCTTCATCTTGGATTTAGTTGTGTGAAGAAGAAAAGAGGAAAGAAAATTTTGCCGCGAAGAAAACCCAGCGCGTCGTGCACGGGCCAGGCGGAGAGCCCAGAGGGGGCTAGCGTGCTTTTCCCGCTTTCCGCGGGCAACGGAAAGCCGCCAGCTGCTCGTCCGCCAACTATCAGTCGTTTAAAAGCCGGGGCTTTCCTATCGAGCGGTACTTATACGTTGTGTTCCTTTGGTTTTACCTCGTTACAGCTTCACCATGTATTTGTCTCGCTGTAGCAGGTCGGCGGCCCGTTTGCTTCCCCTTGGAAGCTCTCGAGCGGCCATTGTCTCCGCTCGCGCCTCTATCGCTCCTCGCCTGGCACCGCAATCGCGGGGTGTGTCCACCCGCGATACTCAACACAAGGTATGTTGGAACAAGCTCAATTGCAAGTGAATAGTCCGGACTGACATGATTACAGCTGCTTGCGTCTTCCCTCGAGGAGTCCGACCCCGCGGTCTTCAGTATCTTGCAGAAGGTGCGTCATCGTCCATTGACAGCTCACCCTTGATAGACCAACCGCTAAACCCATTCTAGGAGAAAAAGCGCCAGAAGCACTTCATCAACCTCATCCCCTCAGAGAACTTCACCTCCCAAGCCGTCCTCGATGCCCTCGGCAGTGTGATGCAAAGTATGTACCCCGGATTCTGGCATCGGCGCGCGGACAGCCCATACTAACCGCCACTCAGACAAGTACTCCGAGGGATACCCCGGTGCTCGTTACTATGGAGGAAATGAGCACATCGACGCCTCCGAGCGCCTGTGCCAGCAGCGTGCGCTGGAAACCTTCCGTCTGAACCCGGAGGAGTGGGGAGTGAACGTTCAGCGTATGATACCACCGAAATGATGCATGATTTCCAGCAGCTAACAAGCCCCAGCTCTGTCCGGTTCCCCTGCCAACTTGATGGCCTACTCCGCCGTTCTCAACACCCACGACCGTCTCATGGGCCTGGACCTCCCCCACGGTGGTCACCTGTCCCACGGCTACCAGACTCCTACCAAGAAGATTTCCGCCATCTCCAAATACTTCGAGACCTTCCCCTACCGCCTCGACGAGTCAACGGGCCTGATCGACTATGATGCCCTGGAGAAGAACGCCCAGCTCTACCGCCCCAAGCTGATCATTGCCGGTACCTCGGCCTACAGCCGTCTGATCGACTACCCACGCATGCGCGCCATTGCGGACTCCGTCGGCGCCTACTTGCTCGCCGATATGGCGCATATCTCCGGTCTCGTTGCCGCCGATGTCCTCCCATCTCCCTTCCCTTACTCCGACATCGTGACTACCACCACCCACAAGTCCCTGCGCGGTCCCCGCGGTGCTATGATCTTCTACCGCAAGGGTGTTCGCAGCACTGATAAGAAGGGCAACGCCATTAACTACGACCTCGAGAACCCCATCAACGCATCCGTTTTCCCCGGCCACCAAGGTGGTCCCCACAACCACACCATCACCGCGCTGGCCGTGGCACTCAAGCAGGCTCAATCGCCCGACTTCGAGGCCTACCAGAAGACTGTCCTAGCCAATGCCGCCGCTCTCGCCGAGCGCCTCGGTGCCTCCACCAGCAACGGTGGACTCGGCTACAATATTGTGTCCGGTGGCACCGACAACCACCTTGTCCTCGTGGACCTGAAGAACCGCGGCGTCGACGGTGCCCGCGTCGAGCGTGTCCTTGAGCTTTGCGGTGTCGCTAGCAACAAGAACACCGTGCCCGGTGATAAGTCCGCCCTCAAGCCTGGCGGTCTGCGTCTCGGAACCCCTGCCATGACCTCCCGTGGCTTCCAGCCCGAGGACTTCAACCGCGTCGCCGATATCGTCGACCGCGCTGTCATCATCACCCAGAAGTTGGACAAGGCTGCCCGTGAGGCTGCGCAGTCCCGCGGTGTTAAGAACCCTGGTACCGTCAAGGCATTCTTGGAGTACCTGGGTGAGGGCGAGGAGATCTCAGAGATCGTCGTGCTCCGCCAAGAGGTCGAGGACTGGGTTGGCACCTTCAGCCTGCCTTGGGCTGAGGACCAGTAGATGCTTGATTTTTGCTTTTTCGGTTTGATTCCCTTTTCCTGTACATTTCCCGGCATGACCTCCAAACGAATATGATTGAAGAATTTTCTACAAAGATTAAGAAGGCATTACTTCGTACTCGATTGGAATGAGCAATTGGATAGAGGTGTTCAAATGTAGGACCACCTTCAGTTCTATCACAATGTCTTCCCTGTTCATCAAGTAAATCAGTGAGATTCCCCGGAGGACATTTTGCAAACATGTATGGAATGCGAATTTCAACAAGTAGAAATTACCCCGCAGACCAGATGCGGAGTATCGGAATGCAATTGGAGACTGCCTTTTCCCGTCTGACGGCCGACCAGTTCGACATCCAACTGCACATACAAGCTCAACCATGAAAGTCAGCCAGGTACGAAACAGAAGAAAACAAAGGCATCACACACATTGACACATCCAGCTCTACGTCTACCCGATCAAGTCTCTCCGACCAACGAGCCTCAAAGAAGGGGTCCTAACAAGCCTAGGGCTAGAATATGACCGCCATTTCATGCTGCTCAAAGTCACCTCGACCGAAGATGGCCCTACCTTGAAGAACATGCACGTCCCACACTTCCCCGAGATGTCCCTCTTCCAAACCGACATCGAGTACCCTACCTCGACCACAGCCGGGAAAGTCCTCGTCACGTACACCCCACCAGACTCCGAGTCCCGGCGTCTGGAAATCCCACTTAAACCCAGCACCAAGAGCCTCAATCCCCTGGCGATCACTATGCACCAGAGCCCTACGACGGGGTACGACATGGGCGCCGTCTACAATGACTGGTTCAGCGACTGTTTCGGATACCCCGTTATCCTGGCGTATCTGGGTCCGCACAGCAGAGAAGTCCTGGGCACGCTTGGCCCCACCAGAACATCTATCCGTCATCTCCGAGGGAAATGGGAACTCAGTATTTTGGGCCTGGTCGCTATCCTAGTCACCGTTTTCAATGGCTATCGACAACTCCGGGCCGAAGTTGTCGGTGGCATTCTCGTTGCCAGTATCCTGGCTATTGGGGGGTTGAATTATTTCCGGCCCGGAGATAGAATTACTTTTGCCGATTGTGCACCTTACTTGGTTATCTCTGAGACATCTGTGAATGATGTCTCGGCCCGGTTGGGCGGGGAAGAGATGGATCGGACGAAATTCCGACCTAATATTGTGGTTTCGGGTGCTGAGAAGGCTTTCGAGGAGGATTTCTGGCGTGCGCTGCGAATTGGACAGGCGAGGCTTTTGCTTACGGGGAATTGTATTCGGTGCCAGAGTTTAAATGTGGATTATGGGACTGGGAAGATGGGGGTTGGGGAGTCCGGGAGTGTGCTTAAGAAGTTGATGAAGGATCGTAGGGTTGATCTTGGGGCGAGGTTTAGTCCTGTCTTTGGGAGGTATTCTTTCTTGGAGCGGGGATTGGGTGTTTGTCTTAGGATTGGGGATGAGGTTGAGGTTGCCGAGAGGGCAGATACGAGGTCTATTCTTGGTATGTCTCTCTTTAGCCTCTTGGGCTTGCTAACGGTGATTAGATTGGCCTGGGTTGACGAATTGATTATAAGGTTGGAAGGTTGGAAAGGTGATACTCTATACTCTATACTCTACTCTACTAGTATATTACACCATGGATCAACCTTGGAATAGAACTGAAGTTTGATCTACACCTGACGTCATGAAACGTTCGAGTCAACATTTGATATGTTCAATTCGATGACAATTGACAACTGATTGATAATATAGTAATAGTAGCAGTGAAATGAAGAATCTTCTCCGAGCTATCCGAATAGACTAATGCCCTGTCGGTACCTCCGTGTCTTATGTGAAGAAGCATCGATGGATCCGATTGGTGCAGAGCCACAGTGACATCACTGCCCCAGATTGCACCGCCACATATATCACATGACCTACGATCCATGGAACAGGCAGCTGAAAGTAGTCAAAAATAACTTTCGATTTGAGTGCCTTCTGAGATTGTCTCTGTTACAACTCTTGATTCTGTCTTCATTCGCCCTGTGGCTTTCTGAGCTCGAATCGAGAACCCTAACTACGGAGTACTAGTACGGAGTGGCTCAGGCCTCAACCCGCTGCCTAATCACACACAGTTTCAGTTGACATCCACGCTGGCCTGTCACGCTTGTACTTTTTAATTGCTGTCCCACCGGTGTGACACGTCCGCCAATTTTCCAAGACCTGATCGGTCAGGCGCCAAACATCCTGCGACTCCGCTGCATAAGGCGTCGCTGAGCCCCGCTGCGGGTAAGTTGCCGCAGGGGAAAAAAAGACGATCGCAAATCGTTCCCTGAACAACGCCCACAATCGTCATGGACTCCGCCCATCTGCGTCGCAAGGACACCACCAAGGGGCCGCCGCTGCGCATCCTCTCCCTCGGTACGTGATCTCGTTCGGACATCGGATATCGGACTCAGCTGACTGTATTAGATGGCGGTGGTGTTCGTGGCTACTCCATGCTCATTCTCCTCCAGGAACTCATGTATCGCACCTACGTCGAATGTGAAGGAAAGCCGCCTCGACGCGACCAGATCCCCAAGCCGTGCGACCACTTCGACTTGATCGCGGGGACTGGCACGGGCGGGTTGATCGCTCTCATGCTCGGTCGCCTCCGGCTGGATCTGGAGACGTGTAAAGAGGTCTATGTGCGCATGACTCGCCGCGTGTTTGAAACAGATAAGACCATCGCCGGTATTCCGTATCGCTCGACACTGTTCAAGGCCTCGAAACTCGAAGAGGCGATTCGCGAATGTGTGCGGGAACACACCGTGTTCGAGGCGGAGGGCAATGATACCGGGAATGCGAATGCGAATGCCCGCGATTCCATCGCCAGCCTTCCTTACAGCCCGAATTCTGTTCCGCAACGATCGATCAGCCGTGGTAGTTTTAGTACCTCTGCTGCTTCACATCCGATGACGCCATCCAGCCAAAGAGGGTCCGCTTTCATCAACGGGCTGCGCTGGGGGAATCCAGATGCGCTACTATACGACAACCGCGAGTACCGGACAAAGACGTAAGTCTCCCCGTGAGGACCAATTTGATCTCCAAGGCTAATGCCCATTTTAGTGCTGTGACAGCGCTTTACAAAGGTACACCGCGCAAAGGGTCCGCCGTGCTTCTGCGATCCTATGATTCCCGCCGAGAACCGCCACCGGAATTCGATTGTACCGTGTGGCAGGCAGGACGTGCAACCTCGGCAACAGGGCTTGCATTCAAACCGATCCAGATTGGTCAGCATGTCTTCATCGATGAAGGCCCCGGTACCTACAACCCTGCGCCGCAGATTCTCGATGAAGCAATTGTGAACGAGTGGCCAGGCCGCGAAGTAGGCGTATTCATCAGTGTGGGAACTGGAAAGCGACCTGCTGGGACCAATAACCGACAGCATGAATGGTGGGAGGACTTTTTCGGTGACGCACTGGGCACATTCGCCGAAGCGCGGCGCCGACTCATCAGCAAGATCGAGGGTTGTGAGGACATCCACAACGACATGCTCCGAGACCGTTTGGCCAAACGCAACGTTAGCAAAGATAATTACTTCCGTCTGAACGTGGAAGTCGGAGTTGGCGAGTTCGGCATGAACGAATGGAACCGACTGGCCGACATCAGCACCAACACTCGACAGTACCTTGCCAAACCCGAGGTCAAGAAAATGATCTTGGAAGCCGGTGTCCGTTTCGCCAAGATCGAGCGCATGAACAGACGTCTTGCCATTCACGCCGCAGCCGGCGGCGAGCGCGACGACCTCTCGTTCGACCTCGAAACCGAGGAACTCACCCTCTCCTCTCCCCCTCAATCCCACATCCCCCCTCCCGCCAACTTCGCCGTCGAGCTGCCCGCAGAACTCCCGGGGGACCCAATCGACTTTGCGCACCAACCCGCCCAACCCCCTGTCCCCACCAGTGTCACCATCTCACCTCCCAATGACTCTCTCCCCGCCCACGCCTCTCCCGTGGAAAACTTCCCCACCTCACCCACCTGGCAAACAGGAGGTGACTACCGCCGCAGCTACGAGCACGGTCGTCCAGGAAACTCCAACCAGCCCACGTCTCCACACCGAAGCGAGGACCATTTCTCCACCTTCCACGGCATGGCTCCTCCTGTTCCTCCCAAAACCCCCATCCCCTATCCCACCGAGGACGACATGCCCGCCCCGCTCTTCTCCCAGGCCCCTGGCAATGTCCGTCCTCCGTACCCGGTCGATGAGCCACCGCCCATCGTGAACCGGCAGCGCAAGCCGAGCTTCCACATCCGAGGCTGAACGTTGTTTATATTCCTTTGTATCTCACTGAATACCCCCTCTGGGACGGTTCGGGCGTCGTTATCGTTAGTGCGGACTCGGTCCCGGAGTAATGCATCACGATTTTTATGATCAAGACTCTTGTCTTCAACCTCGATATAATTCAATAATGCTATTGTTTCTTGTACTTTATACTAGTACTCTGTACAGCGCTGATGCGCGTTCCTGCATATCGCTCCGAGTTGATTTCGGAGAATTTCTGCGTCATGTATTGGATATCATGTACTCCGTAGGCAGCCACTGAATAAGTTCCGGTGCATACATGCGAGTGGTTGCTAGGGGCTTCGTAGTTAGGGAGTGCTCCATACTGAGTTCGCAGTCTAGGCAGAGTCAATAAGTCCTTATGATCGTATGTACTCGAACTAGCCCACAATGCGATGCTTCCTCCATACGGAGTACTCGGTGTCATAACAGTGTTATTTATGAGACAAGCTTCAAGGGATATTCAATACCCAACAGACAGGTACATGTACCTGCCGATCGTAGCTTAAGCCGCCCCACAGTAAAGTACCCAGTACCTCCTTTCCCCATAAGCCCAGCCACTTTGTTTTGCATCTCGACCTTCCCCTTTTCTGTTCACTTCTTTTCTTTTGATGCGTTGGCTTTGTTTTTCTTGCATTTCTCTTCCCTTCGCACATTTGATTCTTATTCCTTTTGCCAAGCGCACAGGTCCAAGCGTTGCTGACACCCCCTTGCTGAACGAGGTCACACATTCCATTTCTTTTTTTTCGGCCCTCGTGGCAATTCCAGAAGCATTCCTTGATCGACAATCGCAGTCGCCGTTTCATGATCGTGGCCCGAACTCCGTATTGACACTTGAAACGATAGTCGCCCCGGCGATACGCTGATAAGCGTGGCATAAGCGCTTGAACTCGCGGACGACTCCAGGGCTATCTGTCCCGACAAGCCTCCCACTGCTGGCCGGTGTGGTCTTTCTACCACAATCATGGATCCGAATATTGCCTTGTCGCATGCCTCCCTCATCGCCAGAGCGGACAGTTCAGGCCGTCCCCCGATTTACAAGGCCGTCGGTATCTCGCTCGCTGTCGCATCTGGCGTCTTTATAGGAATCTCGTTCGTTATCAAGAAGATCGGTCTACTGAAAGCCAACGTGAAATATAACGAGGAGGCCGGCGAAGGATATGGATACTTGAAAAACTTCTGGTGGTGGCTGGGCATGACGCTCATGATCGTGGGAGAGATCTGCAATTTCGTCGCGTATGCATTCGTCGACGCAATTCTGGTCACACCGCTGGGTGCGCTGTCCGTTGTGATTACAACTATTCTGTCGGCGATCTTCCTGAAAGAGCGACTCAGCTTCGTGGGCAAGGTGGGCTGTTTCTGCTGCATTATTGGCTCCGTCACCATTGCTATGAATGCTCCTGAGCAGTCGTCTGTTGAGGATATTCAGGGCATGCAGCACTTTGTTATTCAGCCTGGGTTTTTGGTTTATGCTGGGTTGATCATTATCGGGGCCATCTTTACGGCGCTTTGGGCGGGCCCGCGGTATGGAAAGACGAGCATGTTTGTCTATATCAGTATTTGCAGTATGGTTGGTGGTCTGAGTGTTGTTGCTACTCAGGGACTGGGCTCTGCGATTTTGGCGCAAATCAATGGCGAGGAACAGTTCAAGCATTGGTTCCTTTATGTCTTGTTCGTCTTTGTGATTGGAACGCTTTTGACGGAGATCATCTATCTCAACGTATGTCACCTTTTACTTGTTCGATGCTTGTTGAAGCAGCACTAACACATCTTACAGAAAGCGCTCAACCTTTTCAATGCTGCCTTGGTCACTCCTACTTACTATGTCATGTTCACTACTGCGACCATCGTCACTTCTGCCATTTTGTTCAAGGGCTTCAAGGGCACAGCCGTGCAAATCACAACCGTGATCATTGGTTTCCTTCAAATTTGTGCCGGGGTGGTCCTTCTGCAGCTCTCCAAGTCCGCCAAGGACGTACCCGACGCTGCCGTTTTCAAGGGCGATTTGGACCAAATCCGTGAAGTGGCCACCGTCGAGGAGCCCGAATCTGAACCCAAGGCAGACTCAATTCGCGGAGCTGCGTCCATCATACGTCGTATTTCGACCGCTCGTCGGACTATGGAGACAGACGAGGCTCGGCGCTTCTTCCACGACAAACATGAAGATACCCTGAAGCCACCTGGTGAACATGAAATCATTGAGTGGGATGGTCTGCGCCGGCGCAAAACTGTTGTCGGCGAGGGCCCGACTATGTCACGTCCTATCACCCCACGCACACCGTCTGTCAGGCAACAGCACCCACCATGGGGCATGTCTCACTTCCCCGAGGCCGAGGAGGATGTTCGACCGGATACCAAGCAAAGTAACCATTCATTCATGGATAGCATTCGGTCTCGGGCGGCCAGTGTACTGCATCCATCCTGGAAGCCTGTGAACTCAGACGACCCCAGGGCTCTTGACTCAAACACAGAGCCGGTAGGCTTGACGGCACTGCCTCAGCGAGGCAATAATGATACTGGATATCACGGGGCCGGAGGCCTAGAAGACAATACACATGGAAATCCTCAGCGAAATGACAGCCGGCGATCTGTCTCCTGGAAAGACGAAAAAGGCGACAACCTCAACCCCGAACCACAAGCACGCCGCCAGTTCTCTTTTAACAACGTGGTGAACCGCATGAAATCAGGCAGTGAATCTTCCGTCAAGCAACCCCCCGGCTCACCACGAGGAATCCTCCGACGCACCTACCACGCCGACCTCCGCAAATCCGCCACAGAAGAGGAGTCCCTCGGTCTGGTACACGGCGACAGTCGTACCACCCAACCAGAAGACGAGCCACTCAACGAGAAGATCGAACGCTGGTCAAGCAGCGAGTCGGACCTCGGTGAGCCTCAACCCCTCTTCACCAGGCCCCACGGAGCATCCGTCTCCAGCATGTCGACTGCCGCATTCCCCGCCTATGAAGACAACCACCACGACTTCGATTCAAACCCTTACTACGTGAATCAAACTTCTGACCACGACTGGCAAACTTCCGGAAGAAATCGTACACGCTCTAATTCTTCCGCTCACAACCGTGCCCCTCCTCCTGCTCAGTCGTCTTTCTCTACGCACCGCTATCCAAACCCCCTCCCGCCACTGCCTGATATCACACCTACCACCACGCTGGATCTCATGCCCACGATAACGAACTCGGGTATGAGAAACGTCTCCGATGATTCGGGGACTGCCGTGACCTCGTTATCGGAGGATACGGAGTCTCAGGACCTGCCGCCTCCGACGAGGCGACAGAGCGGGTGGCGCAGACACATGTCGAATGATAGTCGTGATCAGGAATATCGCGAGCGAGGTTCCTTCCGATGAATCTGAAAAGATTTTGTCGATCTGATTTGGGGATTTTGGATGTGATTTGTCTTATTTACGATGCACATACATCTTTTATTCATTGCATATTGCATAGCATGGCGCTTGTTTTGATTTGTTCATCTTTCTGTTGTCGATATGATCTCATCCAATGCGGGTGTGTACAATGTACTTTTGATTTTGTGTTTATGTGGCGGTTATGATAATGGTGCACGAATTATAACGAGAGATATTAGCAATATGAACAGATGGATCAAGATTTTACCGGTGTCCAGTAGGAGGAAGATGAGTCAACGTTCCAAAATATCAAGTAAGAGATGGGTATCAAAAGCTACAAATAGAAGCCGACTTTATCCCCAAAACGCCAATGGCTTCCAGCCATATGCAATGCCACAATAGGGATTTCCAGAGTGAGATCCAATTTCACTTCGCACCAAACATTCCGGCAATACTTCGCTGCCCTTTCGAGGCAACATGCATGCCTGGGAACCGGGACTCCGCAAGTCTTCGTCCAGCCTTCATACTCTCGATTGCCCTGCGCCCACGTCAGCCAACTCATCTCTTCCACATTCGGGATTCATGACACTTACCAGTCCACACTGACAATCCTGACACTCTTCCAGCCACCACGTGCAATCTCCTGCTGAAGCTTCCGTGCCGAAAGACCCCCACCTGCACCTGAAGATCCAGTATTCGGATTTCCAATAATGACATGCGTGACGGTCTTCCGAGCCATGTAAATGGACGTTCTAGCCCCGTTCGAAGCAAGCAAGTGCTTGAGCTTGTACTCCGAGATCTGAGGGAGCGTAGATCCGTTAATGAAGACAGTTACTCTAGCAAAGATATCCGAAGTCGACGCCAAATCAAGAGACGCATTTCCAGATTGCGGTTCAGATTCCACTCTAGCAGGTGTGACGTCCTTCACTGGCGCTGAAATTTCTTTCCCCGGTCCTTTCACCCTCTTCACCTGATCATCCTGATCATCGACGGCCTTTCGCTTCCCAACACCCATGAACGACCGAATGTCCCGCACACCAAGCTGGTTCCTCTTCGCATCTTCTTCGTTGAGCATGGTCCATTCACCGGGTGCTTGGGGCGGGGACTCGGGTCCGCATTTGCCATCGAATGCGCCGGGCACGAGTGTCGTGTCTGATTCTCGTCGTTGTGGTAGACAGTCTCCGCTTTTGTATTGCTGTGTCAGTTTCGAGGATCGGGCCTCGCGCCATGGCGTTGAGCCTAGGAATGAGCCGCCTTCGATTCGCTGGTGTCCTGTTGAGGCTGATTGCCAGGGATCGAAGTGGCGGTGGTTTCGTGGCTCTGGGGGCTTGGTATTGGGTTTGAATTTGGTGTTGGCCATGGTGTTATGTGAGGGAGAATGTCTGGGGCGACGTTGGACGGAAAGTCGCGAAAAAGAATGACGTGGGGTACCATGGTTCAGTGTGTTTTGGTTTAACTACTTTGGGAACGGCGGGATCAGGCAGAATATCATTCATTTCTTTCGGATCGACACAAACACAACAGAAACACAACAGAAACACGAACTCCAAAAACACAGACGGAAACAGTTTTTACTCTGCGACCGTATGATCGACCGTTTCGGGCATCATCTTGAATAGATTCGGAGGAATTGGAGCAATATTCGCCAATCCAGCTGGGGTTATGTCCATACCATAGCCTCTTATCCATTCGCGCATTGGCGGCCAAACACCAAGGTTGACACCGGCAGGCTCAGGGTTAGGGTAAACCTGACCACTAAGAAGTTTCAAAGCATTCCTTGTATTCGCCCAAATTCGAAATTGGTCCGCGTTCGGCATCGTAGCTCCATAGAGGGCTTTCCGGATCCAAGGACCGTCTGTTCGCTGAGTATGACTGGGAATAAAACCCCCCGTCTCGACGGCTGCAGGAACGTGAGTCCAGTGTGTGAGTCTTCTCTGGACTCCGACAGCGTCAAGGTTATTTTCATCAAGCACGCACGCGAGAAGAAGAATACCATCACGCATAGTCGGGTCTCCCCGAATGTTGAACATGGTGTGGATGCCAGTGGTAAAGGGAAAATTGGTGGTAGGGTTGACATCCATCGCCATCATCAAGTCGATATCAGTATCCCAGATTTGCATCACCTCGGCACCTGTGTCGTGCAGGAAATCTAGCGCAACCCACCAGGCATGGGTTGTGCTATGTCCAGGCAATGGGGCCGGGGCCCCTGTTGGGGTTCCTTTGGCCAGGGTGGGCGGCCCGGGCGGCGCCCCAACATGGTCCATGACAATGTTTGGCATATCAACGTTGCAGAGTCGAACTCCGGTTTTGTACTGACATTGTTAGCCAAGAAATGCGGACTCGAGTCAATGCCTTACATAGTGCCGATTTCCAGGTCCTGTTGGATTCAGACTCAGCGAGGCGGCGCTCAACAAGGGTCGGGGCGTGTTCATCTGCGAGAAAAGATTAGCCACGACCATGAAGTGGTTGGATTGAACTTACGCCCTCGACCCAGAAGCTCTTCCATCCCTCGTGTTTGCGAGCGAGGGCTTGGAACTCGGCCCAGTTCAGTGGCCTGGGCTCACAGAGTCGCTTGCCATTTGACCAATACGTGACCAGATCATCGCCATACCAATCAAGTTCATGGGATCTGTACGCCTTCAACAGGGCCTTCACATTGGGAAGTTGCTTGTTCTTATCTGGGAACTCCTTGCTCTCGATGGCTTTCTCGATATCTCTGAGAACTGAGATTCGCTGGATGACGTCCTTGCTGTATTTTCCTTTTTCCCCGACTGCCATATCACTAGTCGAATTCAGCAAATTGGCACAATAGCAGATCAAAGTGGCTCACTTACTCCCTTATCTTCTGTGCAGCCTTGTATCCCTTCAGTCTATGCTCGAAGAACCGGGGCATGATTTGCTCCGCGATCCTCTCCTCGCATCTCTTGACTTGAGCGTCAATATCACTATTCGAACGAAGTCAGCATCAAAGACAGAAAGAAGGGCATCAATCCTTACTCCTCATCCAGGTCGGGTTCATCCCACGTCCAACCCTTAGGGAGCTTGCTGATATCATTGAGCGGCTTCGGTCCCTTATAACTCCACGTCGCACGCGCACGCTTAACCGGCTTCTTTGCATTCTTTGCTCGAGCTTCAGCGAGTCTCTTGACGTAGGAGTTCTTGAGATCGGCTTCAAATGCTTTCATATCCGAGACCACCTCGATCTGATCTGGCCCAGCTAGATCATCCACCGGCTCGGGCTGGATCTTCGTGCCTTGTCGTTCGACTATCTTACTTGGCCGATCTTTATCGTCCTTCAGAGTAGGCTTAACGGCCTTCGGAGTAGGCTTAGCCTTTTTCGCAGGCCGGCGGTCGACGGGAGGAGGAGACCGCCTTCTTCTCTTTGCTTTCGTCATTGCTCCCAGTGCTTCGGGATCTCCGGGTTCCGAGACTTCTTCGGTAGTCTCGCTATCTTCCTGTTCGGTGGGCTCAGGAGACTTGGAAGCCCTGGCAACCTTAGCCCGCTTGGATGTCTTGGCGACCTTGGATCGCTTTGCTGCTTTCTTCGGGGCCATTGTTGCTCGGTCTGATATGCTTGACTAGGATAGTGTGTTTGCGGAGGAATTGTGAGAGAGAGATAGAAGTTGAAAAGGGTAGGTACTCAATTCCAGGGACACCGGGCTATTATAAGTTTGGCATCGCCCGGGGCCTCTCTCTGGTGCAATAAGACTTGTTCAGCGGGTGGATCTGGGCCTACAAAGGGTTCCGTGGGAAAAGAAACAAAGACCCCCTCGAGCGAGAGCAACATCGAACAGTGGGTGGGAAGCTACTCGAATTCAATTTCCAGCTCGTTTCTTTCAGCTCGAAACTTTGCCTCCTGTCAGTCTGGGCTTTCCAACTCGGGCTTCGAGCTGCTAACAAAGAAGTGTCACAAAGAATCGATTGCCCCAGCTAGATACTAGTTGATCTGTTTTGGAACTATCACCACGAAGAATCATGCCCCCTCCCTCCATAGCAGTTGGAAATCTGGCGTAGATGGCAATTGCTTAGTTGTCTCGAATGAGAGCAGTAGATAGCTTGCTATAAGACGAACAAGGCAGGATATTCGGTTCAATAGTCCAATACAAACGGTGACCTCGGCCAGCTTCGACAAAGAATGAATCACGCTTGGCTTTCGGCATCAAAGAAATCCAAACTTGGAGGGTTAGGGATCATCCAAGACTCTCACTCGACATTCTTGCATCGATTTCTTTATCACCAAACACCGCAATTGAATGCAGCATCCCAGCTAGTATGGTTTTCTTTGACGAGTTTCAATTTCCCCCACTCGCTCCACCGTGCGGTTTCATTCCTTGAGGAACAAAAACCACAGTTCGTAGTGTTCGGACTTCGCATAGAGAGAAAAGCAGCCGAGCATCGAAAGCATTATCCTATCTTTCTATCGCAGTGATAATTCAAGAGATGCCGGTGTCATAGTCAGACGCTAGCTCTAAGCTTTAAACAGGGTGGCTGGGACAGAAAGTTCAGTTTGGAGCCGAATAGTGCATGAGACAATTCCTGGCTGTCATTTTTGGGATGTGATAATTCTTGCGAGCCTTGCAAAGGTGTGGTAAGACCTGCGTTAATTTGTAGCGTTGGTAGACTTGTACAGATGGGATAGAAGACTGAGGTAGGCGTATCAGAGCTGGTTGATGGGGGCTTAGACTTGAACTGTTACTGGCAAAGCTGCCTCTGTGTAGCTGGGCGCTTTTACCAAATTATGGATCCAAGATGCCAGAATTGAAACCATACTGCTATCAATGCCTCATTGCTACAAAGCTGAAAGGTGTAAGGGGCAATGAAACATAGCGTAGTCAAGGGCGTTGCCAGTATGAATTAGACGAGAAAATCTACGATCTACTATACTCAAGCAAAACCTAACGTATGTAGCCAAGGCAAACCCAGATCATAATCGTTCATTACCGTAATCATCTCTCTAGAGCAAAGGCAAAAAACGAGAAGTGAAAAGATGCAGCCAACTGCCAAAAACCATTTTTTCCAAAAAAAAAAGAGAACACGCAAGAGCAAAGAACTCGTAAACCCATTGGAGACAGTCACAAAGAAAAGTCGTTCATAAGAGATTCGTCACATCATAGTCATCAGGAAACAACAAACCGCCTTCCAAGATTGAAGGGCGAGATGCCACACATCCTTATTGCAAAGCAGAAATAAATAAAAAACAAACAAATGAGCTTCGTTTCGTTTCGACAGCCGGGATTTGGGATAAGTCCGGTGCCCATGCTTTGCATAAGCAAGTTCTATCATGAAAAAACTCCGAGATGGGAACCAAAGAAAAAGAGATAAAAAAATAGAAAAAGAGGACCAAAAGGCAAAATGGGACATGTCGCTTCCGATGCAATGCTTTCATCGATGTCGGGCCATCATGCTGCTGGGCTTCATGGGCTGCAGGATGGGTGGTCCACCGACTGGCCCGCCGAGCGTGGCGTCTGTGATGGTCTTTCGACGCTTGGAGGTCTCGTACTCGCTTGCAGCCTCGGGACGGATAGGTTCCTCATCCTCGCGCATGCGCTTGCTGCCAGCGCTGAGGGAGTTGGCGGCCGGGTATACGGGCGTCGCAGTGGATGCCATATAGGGGTCTGAGGAGCCGTTGGCGGGGGTGCCGCGGGTGTCGCTCACGGCGTTATAGAGGGTTGACGCGGCGCCTGGACGAGGAGGGGTGTTATAGCCGGAGGCCCAGTGCGGGGCGGGACCGGAGGTGCGCGGGGTCATGCGACCAGAGCCATTCTGTTGAGAGGGGGAGCTGGTCATCTCTGGAGTGAGCTGGGCGTGCTCGGTCAGGTTCGAGACCGACGGGTTGGTGCTGTACGTGTAGGAGTTGCGGTTGGAGTTGTAGCCCGGTTCTTGGATGTACTCCTGGTCTTGCTCCTCGTTGGAGTAGCGGTCTTGAGGGCGCTCTGTAGATTCGGGCTCCGAGGCGCCGGTGCGTGGGTTGGGCGGCGCCATTTCACTCTTCATGTACCCCGCTGGCAGGGGGTGGCCGTAGCTGGACATCCCGGATTGGGTCAGGGGAGTGTGGGGGGCGTATTGAGGGTGGGATTGCGGGGCGGCGGAGTAGTAGGGCTTGCTGCTGTCGTAGCCTTGGGCTTGGTAGGAGGGGAGACCTTGCATATTGCTGCCCGGTGGGGTTGTCGCTGGCGTGGTGGGCATCGACCGTTGATTGCTCAACGTGGTGTCAATGGACAACGGCTGCGTTTGGGGCACTTGGCCTCCCCATTCGTATGAGCTGCCTTGATTGGGCACACCCATTATGCTGGATGCGCTGGCAGGTGGGGTGGGGAATGTGTTAGCACGCTCAAGTCCCGGGCGAGAACCTGGGGGACCGCTCATTGGGCCTTGAGACATGTGCGAGGACATTGGGGTCTGGAGAGAGTGGTGGTGGTGCAGGCCTGGGGGTTGCTGGGGTCCTGATGGGGTGCGTTGGGGGCCAGGGGGAGGGCCCTCCAGACGTCGGTTCATCGACTCTGCCACGACGGTGTTCGTGCGGGTCTGATTGGCCGGGTGGTAGAGAAGACCACCAATGTTGTGCACAAAGAGCGGGTAAAGAAGATCAGTGATCTTCTCCTTGTTCGCGAACTCCATAGCGCGTTCGAAAGGAATCCTAGAAAAGTCAGTAATCAATTACGAATCATCTTCGAGAGAAACATACCAGACACCCTTAAGGTGCATTGGGCCAATCTTGACAACGTGGCGAAGCTTTTCACTCTTCAGGATGCCATCACGTCGCCCACGGGTCATGCCAGCGACGTTCAAGAGCTTGGTGCCGTTGATCATGTGGTTATCTATCGTTCAGTTAGCTACATTCCCCACCGGAAAAATAGAGATCAACTTACCCTCGCGTCTTGCCACACAGACTCCCTTGGCCTCTACCTGGTAACAGAGACTACCCTCGTCTTCCCACAGGGTGGCCGTCACTCGGGGCTTCGCACCTGGAGGTGCCACCTGGCCTGTTGGATCGAACACATAGCCTTGGAGAGGCGCACCGGTGGTGTTGCCGTATCCGCCTGCAGGAGCCACGCCGTGATTGTTCACTTGATAACGATCAGAATAGTCATCCACGCTTTGGCTGTGAAGCTTACCAGGCAGAGGAAGCAATTGCGCGGGCATCTGACCGCCCATGGTGCTGGGCGGGTGAGTGGGCGGGGAAGTCACGCCATTGTATCCATACTGGGGATAACCTGCCGGGGGATAAGAGGAGGCGGGCTGCATCACTGGAGGCTGTGGGTGGTACGAGTAATGGGACATGGCGCCGGCGGTAGCGCCCTGAGGAGCGTAGGACTGAGCAGAAGACATGTGTGAAGCGTGGACGTCCATGTAGGGGGCTTGGTTCATGCTGCCGAGAGAGGTCGGACTAGGATAGTACCCGTCGTTGACCGAGGGAGGGATGCTGTATTCAGAGTCTAAGGACAGCCGGCCCTGGGTCCCAGATAGGTCCGCAGGCGGGCTCCTGGGCTCGTTCGGGACGGAGACACCAGACAGGCTTGTGCGAGTGGAATTGGTCACGGATGGATCGTGATAGGCGGGTCGGGAGAGGCCCTGGGTGGCTGTCGGCAGGCTGAGCGCGGGGAGTTTGTCGCCGGACAGTAACGGTCTTTCTGCCGCGTGATGGTTGTACCAGGGGATGTCAGCAGGACCGCGGGTGTGGACCTGCGAAATCGATGGCAGCTCCAGTTTTTCGGTTGCAGCAGAAACGGGGTTCGAAAGAGAGGAGGTTGGCGGACGTCGGACGTGGATGATGTCCGGCGTGTGAGTGGGCACAGGTTAAGTGGGATCTCCCCGGTTGGTAAACGGCTGCACGGTAGGCCCCAAGCGCGGAAGCTTCAAGAAATGCAAACGATGACAAGGAAAGCAGAACAGAAGTCGCAATGTCAATCAAGCGATGCAAGATGCAGGCAATGTACGTGCAGGGTCGTGAGCGTGGTCAGTCGTTAAACCTTTTGCAGAGACTTTGGGTCTTTGCAGAAGCGCAAGAAGGACTTTTGAAAGGACGAATTCAAACAGTCATCAGAATCATTAAGAATCGTTAACCGCACATCGAAAGCTTCAACTAAGAGTCATGTAAGCGTCGTGTCGTAGGTTCATGCAATCATCAAGAGCGCATTGAGTGATCAAATATGGCCGCAGCCCAATGGAAGGGGGGAGGCACAAGTCCCCAGTCTTAGACAGTGGAGGGTTGGGGGGAGGTTGAGAAAGTTCCCAGTGTGTCGATGTTAAAGGCGGAGGCTGGGAAGCAAACGCATCCCTAGGCTGGCGGCGTTTGAACACACAAACACAACCCAATAATAATAAAAGCCAAAACAATGTATACAGACACCTGGGCACAGTCTACCTCGGTAGGATCTGAATTTACAATTAAAAGAAAAAAAAGGGATCGTACTTGCACAGGCAAAAAGAAGATGACGCTGAGCCGCAGCGGGAAAGGCGATCAGTGGAGGGGCTGACTAAGGGAAGGAAGAAAGAGACAAGAATGTGTCTGCAGAAATCCCGGCCTGCCCCGTCTTTTGAGGGAAGAGGAGAGAAGAGAAAAAGGAAGAAGAGAGAGCGAGAGAATCAATCACAGTGGACCCGGTGGAGAGGGTAGAACCGTGCGTTCAGATCATCCTCTAGCATCGATATGATTTATTATTGATATTTCCAGTGATTATTGGGTTTACTGATCGAGTTAGGGTAATTCTGATTTATTTCCATTTCCTATAAAATTACGGATTATTCTCTAACTACGCCACCAAGCAAGGACTATGATCAGCAGAGCGTTAAGATAAAATACCATACCCATGGCTGTGTGACTGTCGAAGTACTAGTACCTAGGGAGTACCTGGTATCAACACTACATCCATGGATCCTCCAGATCGAACCGAATGGTCTGTTCTCGGGTCCCACTCGGTGAACCATGGATGGCACCGGGGAGAGGAACGGGGAAGCATCAACAACCATCATGGATCCATGGATCCATGAATGCTTTGGGTTTGTCACTTCGTACGTATTTACCGCGTACGCAGGTATTGAGGTATTAGGTATTCTGACTTGGTCTCGCCCCGATCGACATCGTGCAAGACATCTGTCAGCGGCTGCAGAGAGGGGTAAGGGCAAAATAGAGATAATAATACCATTTCGCCGGCAATGCGCGGCGGCTGCACCGTCGATTGCGGATTGCACTCGCCCGCTTTAGGAGCCAGCGCTTGAGATTACCTTGGGGTACAGTCTATGCAAGGTCCGAAGAGCATCGGACTTCGGCCGAGCCTCTCCGGATAACTTACTCTTCGAAGCGGTGGCTGGTCGATCGCGCACTCCAGTTTCAGAGCTACGGCCGTAGCCGCTAAGTGGGCTGATAGGCCTGGTCTGTGTTTTGTTTTTTTTATTCCTCTGTTACTAGTAATTTCTTTTTTTTCTGTCCTGTTTTATGGTTCGGGACGATCTGGGCGTTAAGACGGGCCGTGAGTAACAGTGGGGAGGAAGAGGAAAGCAGCACGTCACACCTAGGGATGCAGAGGGGGCGAAATCAGTGGCTCACAGCGCACCACGAAACACGGGTGGCTTGAAGGCGATCAAGGGTCTGTTCTCGCTGTTGCGATCCCTGTTCGCTGGGGCCAGTGGGAGGGCGGGCGTCTACCCAAAGAGTATGCTGAAGAGAAAGGGGAAGGAAAAAAGCAATTATGAATTAGGGGGCATGGAACAGGCAAGAGATTTTGAGTCTGTCCAACCCACTGCCTTGGTCCGAATTGAAATGAGATTCACACGTAGCATCGCAATCCAGGCTGGCCACCCCGTGATGCATCCAAAGAGCAGACACACAGACAATAATTAGGGTAGTCGAGATAGCCGTACAATATTGCCTCCACGTCAGTGAATAATAATAGCAAATAGTAGGAAGATCGCTGGGGGATTCGATTAGGCAAAGTTCAGCCCAACAGAAAGCCCAGATCGCAGCAAGGGGGATGTCAAAATAGCTCACTACACCGCCTATTAATCCCTTGCATTTTATATATCGGTACTAGTACGACGACGTAGTATATCTGGATCTCTGACAGTAGAGTATATAAGTATTCTAGTACTCCGTATGCAATTCCCAAACCGTGCAGGGCCTGGGTTTTCGGGGAGATCATGATCGGAAATCGATTTCCTAAATGGTGTATGTATTTGAAATCTTTCAAGTGGAGATTTTAGCGTCCACACAGACCCTTGAGAGGTCGGTGAACATGGGGTCGGAGAGACACGGGCCTTGCTGTCATCCAGTCCGTCCAATTCCTACATCCATACAGGACGAAGTACGAGTACTTCGTCGAATGCTTAACCGCGCATGTCTCGTGGGAAAGTATCTGCGAACGTCTGGTGCAGGACAAGCAGGTACTGAGGGGAGCTCCAAAAGACACTACTGACAGATCCCTGCACCGCAGCTCGCTATCGACGGCCCGATACCCGCTGCACATACAGCGTACAGTAGTCTAAGGATCCGCCAGAACCGGAGGATTCGACGTCCCAGGGGATTGGCTTTACTCAGACTTTTACGAGAGTATCTGGTCTGGGCTTCACGACTACTCTAGTATAGTACTAGCACTAGTCCATCCGACCTCCTCCGTGTACTTTGTGTGACTATTTCCCTGCGGAGAAAAAAGCTCTCCACTTCACCCTAACCGCAATGACTAGCGACGCCCCACCACACAATTATCGTGAACTCCGCAATTCGGGTGTGATGCATCATGGCCACCGTTAAGCCGATGCAGGAAGACGATCCTTCTTTTCTTTTTGCGTATGATAGGTAGAGTGAGGCAGAGTGAGCTGTAATGGTCACCGCATCTTCACTTTCTTCACCTCTTCTAGCGTCCCTATGTCTCACCATCGACCGACTATCACCTCGGGTGGAGAGGTTCGAGGAAATTGTATTCTTCACATCACTCTCGTAGAGCTTTTGCGCAGACCATCGCCGATCGACGGGTTCGTCCGTGTATTGTACCTTGCAGCGAGTTACCCTGCAGCGGACACTGTCCGTGCAGAGTTATGAGAACAGATCAAGGCAGAAATTAATGGATTCCCTTTTTCTTGATTTTTCTTTGCTTTTTCTTGGCCCCCTCTCATCTTGTAACATCAGATACGGGCCCCGTACTATTTCTCCAAGGGGCGCGAAGAGCCTTCCACGGAGGATTTATTGTTTCAGGGGCAGGCCATGTTTTCTCCATGCTGTACAGTGCAATATGCCCGAAGCCGTCTGGGCAGACGTTTGACGCCAGATAAAGCCGTCAGACCTGGACAATGAGCACAAGGCCTTTGAGGGGGATACAGGACAAGACTCGGAACACGAGGAGAATTGGACCGACAGCCGACAGGGATGTTCCCTGCAAGTTGGTGTGTTGTACATGGCAAATTAATTGCCAGACCGAGATAACCCCGTATCCCCCGTATACCGTCGAGTACCTCGAGACTTACATGTGACTTCGAAGGATCTGGCGTTTGGGGCCGTGCAACTCCATTTAACCTCGCATTGCATTGTCCCGTGGAGCCAAGAGATCGACTGTACGTTGTACTATTCTTGGGAGAAGGGAGAGCAATCTACGGAGTACCATAGGTCTATCTACGATGATGCTACTGCGTGGTAATGTACGCACTGGACTAATAGAGTCTACGGACACCATCCCAACAATATTCACCAGATACCCCAACTCGGTGGAGCAGTGAGTAATGGAACCGCCTTAGCCGTCAGCAATAGCCACCAGCTCGAGTCAGAGCATCCAGCTGAATGTCATATCTCCGAAATAACCAGGATGGCTCGGGCCAAATGTGTAACGAGACTAAGAACCGACCGTCCGCCAAGCGCCCCAATGATTGGCCTCTGCGCTGCAGCAGCCCGCCGATCGATGATCCGACGCAACAATGACTGGCTGCGGTGGCCACCACGTACGAAGGGCTAGATCGTGTGGATTCACCGCCAGTTAACCCTTGCGTGTAGACGTGGCGACCGTTAGTACACGTACTGTACTATACTGTACGGCTCCGTCCACAGCCGATGTCGCTCGCGACGTCAGAGCGCAAGGTTCATATGTACGACATATTTGACACATTGCCTGTGCGAGCTTGAGGACCCAGTCTGCGATAGAATCAGCCGTTGCACGAATCAGTCAGTACAGTAGAGTACTCCGTAGAGTACTGGTATACGGAGTACTGGTAGTAATATTAAGTACTGTACGGAATATACCATCATTGAGTACGGAGTATACTAGAGTCAATGGAGCAACATTCAACTTGGAAGAGCACATGCTGCGGTGCCTAATTGCCCCTTTGTCATCCCCAAAGATGCACCTGGAAAATGCGAACAGGGAACATCCCTGTAGCCGACGGGACCACGATAGACAAAACACCACCCTTCTAGAAAGGGTCACTCACCGTCTCTTTCGGTCTCAGCTCACACTCCCTCAGACCCAGTACCTCCCGAGTGCAGTCGATAGTCGAGGTAGATGCAAGTTCTAGCCACAACCCTGTCCCGGCAGATGCCAAGTGCCAGCGCAGTGCAGGCGCAGGTGCCGCCGGTTATGCATTCCTCTCTGCCATTAGGCGTGCAATGCGAATCATTTCCGGATTCCTTCTTGCAAGCCTGCGCTGTCTCGGGCTGAAACTTGCCAATTGTGCCTTGTTTATTGGGCGCCGGTGGGCGCTTGTTGGGGAATGCTGGGGGTGGGGATGACAGTCTCTTGCATGAATCGTACAATGTTCATGTACGATGAAGCCTAGTCGGCTTTCTCTGGTTCACCGCTGGTTGCGATCCTGCAGTTGCGATCGTGTTCTAGGGATGAGTTGTGCTGTGAGCGGTATCCCTTGATTTGGGCTCGTAGACCGATTGTTTCCCGCCGGGAATTGGGGGGATTCGAGTCTGGCCGCGCTCGCTGTTTTCCGGTTCTATTTTCTTTTCTTCGTGAAGCTCTGAGGGCGTCGTCGTTTTATGCTTTTGTATAACTATGCACTCTGCGATCGTGATAATGCAGTCTACGCACGGCGGATCAGTGCTGACGGCTTCGGTGCATTGACTCGGTATCTGCAGTGCTCTGTGCTATGTAGACGGATCTGAACGTACTTGGAGGAAGCGTGGGTGATGCAGTATGCTGTTTCCCGGTCATGTAGGGGTGCTGGGTTCCTGCGATGGACCGTACCCGTAGGCGTCCGTGGATGTGTTTTCCGTATAGATCGCGACAATGTTCAGCGAAGAGTAAAACGCAAGGAAATTCGCATTCAAAGTTATGAATTCTGTTTTTACGTCTCAGGTCTAACTTGGATCCTTGGAGGTTTTGCTCTTCTACATATCCGTCCTGCGACTTGAAAACTTACCTAGTAGAACCTTAGACATCATGAGTCTCACCTGGCATGTCTTCAGGTATATATATCCAAAGCCCCAAAGTTGACATCACATTGAGCAACCTTAGAAATTTGAAACTACTTGTACACTCGGGAAAACATTTAACATTTAAAATCTCTGAAATACAAAAGAATGCGTTTTGTTCAATAAATAATAAATCTAATCCTAACAATATCCAGACAACCCTGAAGCCAAACCACATCTATCATGAATTTTTACATGCATTTTCTCATCAAATCACGATCAGAGATCGTATGTTCATCGCTTACCAGCCTGACTGAAGATCTGCTGCCAGATATCCACCCACTGCTGCTGCTTATAGGACAAAGGACGATGCGGGTTACGGAACGTATTCGAGAGAATCTCGCGCAAGCGAGTGTGGAGAATTTTCAAAGCCAGCATGGACTTCCAGTCTCGCACAGCGAAGCGCACCCGATTAGCATCAATGGAAATAACACCCGAATACATCTACCGACAGTGTTAGCAGTGTTATAGGGGACTGGGAATGCAGGGCAGTAGCTTACCTTGAACTCGGCATCACCACACAAAAGTGCAATGGCAAAGTCGTCGACTGCGCTGGTGTCGTGGGCGTTCAGGTTGCGGTTCCGCGCTTGCATGATGTGGTAGTAGGATAGCCATTTCACCGATGAGTCGGCGCGCTTGTTCACCGATGTTGGATGTAAAGTGACTGTCTGGTTGTTGCCAACGTTGCGCCAGCCTTTGCCCTCGCGCGTGAGAAGCTTAGGGTAGAAACTCCAGGCGATAACGGAATTGATGACAACGTCGTTGTTGCTGTTGATGTCGAAATCTTCGGGGATGATGAAGAATTGTCGGTTCCTGCTGTTGGAGCGTGCGCTGTATATTGGGTTAGAAGAGTTCGGTCGGGAATGGAAAGATCACTTACCGATTGAGCGCTGATTTTTGGGCGGCGTCCAGGGTCAACAGGCCTGCGTCGGCAATTGATACCACGAGCTGCATTTTGATATCCTCGATTCCCAGAAGTGTCTGGGGGCTGAGGAAGTTCTTTCGGCAGAAGGCGAATTCGTTGGACCCGGGGGTGCTGCGGATGCGCCTCCAGCTACAGTATGCATTATAAACAGTCAAGAGATCCGAGTCACCTGTGATTGTTAGCATTGACCCATAATCCTAATGAGTTTCCCACGTACCTCTTTGGAATGTGAGTCGCGCTCCGTCACGCTGTGAGTTCGATCCGATGGTGTTGACGAATGGCGATTTGGACGAGAGAATTGCAGCAATGCTGACGGTCGCGTCCAGGCAGCGGAAGAAGGCTCCGTGAATAATCATTTTGCCTAGGAAGACATCCAATGGTAGCTTGGCTAGTTGCGTTCCAAGGGACGTCAAGCTCTCATTGCTGGTCAGAGCCTTGACTTCCTTGAGAGAATCAATCGCCCGACGAATATTTTTGGATGATGGCGGATCAAGAGCCTCGAGGAGCGTCTGCTCTACTTCTCCAAGTTTGCAGATCTTCACTCGGAGCACGAGGTCTTGCAAGGATAGCCGGAGGAGCTCAGGGGTTTGCTGCTCGGCGAGAAGTTTGTCATGTCGGTGCCGAGTGAACAAATGGAAGCAGATACCATTCTGGACACGACCAGCACGACCGCGGCGCTGCTTGGCGTTTGCGCGAGAGATGAACGACTCAACGAGTCGGGACAGCTGACGTCTCTCGTCAAAGCGCATCATCTTCTCTTTGCCGGCATCGACCACGGCTGTGATATCTGGAATGGTGATACCTGTTTCCGCAATGTTGGTTGCAATGACAATCTTTCTTGTGCCCTCTGGGGGTACATTGAAAGCCTTTTCTTGATCGTCGCTCGCGATCGAAGAGTGAAGCGCATGGACAATCCAGTTTCGTTGGAACATTGGCTCTGCAAGGATTTCATCGTTCAGGCGACGGATTTCTGCAAGTCCGGGCATGAACACCAAGATCGCCTTGCTATAGTGAACCATGTCTGGCGCCGTCGCAATCTTTATAAGCAGTCTCTTGATCAATTCATAGTCCAGCCTGTACTCGTCGATGTTGACGATAGTCTCTTTGGTCTGTCGGGAGTACCCGTCGAGACTAGCCTGGAGACCCCCAGAATTATCGGCATCCGCGGGTCGATCCTCCATATCATCGTCCAGAGCTGTGTGTTGATCGTCTTCGGAAAGACGGTAGTTGGTCATTTCGACTGCATCCTCCAAATACTTCATCTCAACGGGGAAGGTTCGTCCTGGAATGTTGAGAATCGGCACACCACCAAGATACGTCGAGAATCTCTGCGCGTCCACGGTGGCTGACATGAGAATGAGTTTCAGATCAGGCCGCTTTTGCATGAGCCGTCGGAGTACGATGAGCAGGAAGTCGCTGTCGATCGTGCGCTCATGAACCTCGTCAAGAACAACGTGAGTGATATCTTGGAAGTCTTCAGGGCGTTCCAGCATTCGTACGACCACTCCCGTAGTCCTGCAAGTTGATTAGTTCAGTGGCCGTAGACAAATGAAGGGTCAATAGGAGTACTTACGCATAGATCAACGGTGTGGACTGGGTGAATTTGCTCTCCAATCTCACGGCAAAACCAATCAACGACCTGTTGGTGCCAACGTCGTTCTTGCTCTCTCCTAGCTCCTCACTAACACGTCGAGCGAGTGAGATCGCTGAGATTCGACGGGGCTCGGTCACATAGATCTTGCAGGGTCGACCTTGAATCATTTCATGCTCGAGAATGAAGGATGGGATCTGGGTACTCTTTCCACTACCCGTTTCACTGCAGATGATGAGAACGCGATGGTCATCAAGCGTATGCAAGATCTCATCCTTGAAACCCCAAATTGGAAGATTCATTCTGCCTTGCGCCATCCGGTGATATGAAGGCGTCGATGACTTCGCAATCCAGGTTTCTTTCAAATGATCATTGGCGCCGAAGTAGTTATCGCGGCCAGAGCCCTTCAGCGGGGTGCCTGGCTTGCTGCCATTCCCGTTGCGCTTGCGGAAGTTGTCAGAGAGCACCACGTCGTCTTCGAATGTGCTGGGGTTTTCTTGGATCAAGCGTTTCAAGTCCTTGAGTGTGGCTTTGTCAATATCATCCTGCTGTGTCTTTTGCAAGGTTGCAAATTCAGTCCATAGATCTCTCCAGGCCGTTGGAAGACGCAAATATGATTTGCCCTCCTTGGAATTTTGAGGGAACAAGATAAACAGGGCTAAAGTTGACACGTAGTTCTCGGCCTGCTGCGCATCGGGTGTGACAATAGCATCCATTGACACGAATGTTGCCAGGGCATTGGACTTGTGCGTAACCGAGTCCACCACCAGTGTGAATGGGACCTCTTGAGGCTTCGACCATCGCACTTCCACGGCTTTCCTGTTGGAATGACTAGACGAAGACAGGTCTTGGTAAACAACCGTCACAGAAGAGTCTCTTGATTTACAAGTCTCCTCTAATACCCGACGAGGGGTGAGGCCAGTCGATTTTCCAAAGTCACGAAGCGTGAAGGAAGAAGTCTGAGCTTCTGGGGGAGGTAGACCCAAGATGGACCCCGGCTCCTCATCATCATTCTCGAACATCCCACCGAGAGCCTCCTCCATTCCATCAATCTCCAGCAGGGAAGGATCAATCTCTTCGGAAACTTCTGCTTTCGACTGAGCTTCTTCTTCAACAGGAGCACTCTTTTTCTTTCGGTCCACTGGGCACCGCGTGAATGTGGCATCTTTCCTGAGCTCATCCAACTTCTGCTCCCACATATACTCTGCCTCTCGACGCTCGAAAAGCACATCGCGTTCTATCTTGGCAAGCTTGCGCTGAACCTTGGCAGATTCCGGATCGTCCGATATGTTAGCAGCTCGTCCTTTCTTTCCCTTTCCAGGGCGATCGAACAAATCTGGCTGAAGGCTATAGAGTCGAGTTTGGAGGTCGAGCCACTCGGGAACCATGTCGTCGGGGTCGACCGAGCTGTCAGAGTCATAGGAGGCAGGCGTGGCAACCTTTGCGGCCTTCCAATCTTCTTTCTTGCCCCCGCCTTTTTTGCCTTGAGTGGCAGTGGGAGTCGATGCCCCAGTGGTTTTCGATTCTAACAAAGATCAGCACCACAGTTTAACGGCAGCTCGAAAACATTGACACCTACCAGTCATCCATGAAGTAACAGCATCCGCGTCCTTCAGTTGGCGCGCATTTGACTGAGTATAAGAGGGGAGCTCGTTCTTGTCACTATGAGTTGCTAACCACTCCAGCGCCTCATCAAGGTTCCACACAACGTCGCGACCGGCACTGGTTGTGTTGCCAGCAAAGTATTGAAGAACATGCTTCAATGCATCTTCCACGCGATTTTCGGGGAACTCAAGTCTGAGCAATGTCTCCTTCAGTGTCCAAAGCTTGTTATACACCTCCTCTTCAGAACCAGCCTGCTTTGAACTCGTCTTTCCGCTTGCCGCGAGATATTCATGCTCCTCAGTATCATACAGATCAAAGATCGTGTCCTGGACCTCTGTGGGCAGCCACTCAAGGAGGCTCAGTGTGACTGATTGCTGCCGGAACACACGCCGTTCATTCTCCAGCTTTGTGGCTTGTCGTGCTGCGTCATTCCTGCACTTTCCAGCATACTTATCAACCAGGATCTGGAGCTCTGCCTCTTCAAGATGCTTCTCTAGTTCCTCTGGTGTATAATTTTGCAAGGAGGATGTTGTCTGCGGTGCGCTGGCGTTTGCGGTGCCATCCTCTGTGCGTATAGGCTGCGACTCGCTTTCTGGCGTCTGCTTGGAGTCTCCCGTCGCCGGAGATGGGGTCTGTGTGGCCTCCGGCTTGGGCTTTGATGGCATAGAGACTGTCGCAAAGCCTCGAGCCGGATTGGAGGCGGGCTTCTTCTTTTTCTTATTGTTCGGCGGCATTTTGCCTTATTTATGGCGGGAGCGGCGGGGGAGACTTGAAAGAAGGCCAGAAGTCAGCAGGATATATGCGGTAGGGAATTTCCAGGGGGAATCAGATGCGCAATACTCACCAAAGGGGAGTTGAGGAGTGTCCAGAGCGAAGAGTCGGCCATGGCTGTTGAATGGCGGGATGCAAACCAGCTCCCCACACAAAACTCTTATGACAGCATTCCTAGCCCACTTCACCACTCTCTCATCTTTTAACCAACCCCCTCTCCCTCCATTCCCCCGTATTGACCGCCGATCATGGATGCGATTCCATGGGACCAGGTCAAGGCCGGGGATCTGGATGCCTTGCAGGTCGTTCTCCTCTCGAGTTCGACCTCGCGCAGGCTCCGGGCCCTGCAAGATCTCCGCGACAAGAATGGTAGCGTGACAAGATCTGGCCGTGCGCTGAGGATCAGGGCTAACTGTCTATCGAATAGGGTCTGAATTATCACCGGAAACCCATCAAGAAGTTCTAGATTTGCTCTTCCGAACATATCCTCTCTATGTCGATCGATCCTCCCGCCAGGCCGTCCAGCAATGCCTCCGCTCTCTCCTCCGCACCCCCAATGCGACCGAACACTTGAAGTTCCTCACCCAAAAACTAAAGGCCGAGGCAGCCCGACCGGGCCTGGCCTCCGCATTCGCATTCGTTTTGTTGGAATGGTGCTGCATCTTACTGCAGCACTCCAGCGAGGACCAGAACACACCGCTAGCCATCGTGCTCGAACTGATTACGGTGGTTGCCAAGGCTTTGGAGAACTGTCTCGCACACAACCCGAAACCCGCAGTGAAACAATCTGCTCTTCGGGTAACAAGACGTGCTCTGCGCGCCGTCTTCTCCTCCGCAGCATGGGGGGACGATGCGGTGCGCCAGTCTGTCAGCCAATTGACTAGTGATGCCTCTGCATCATACAAGAATGCGCCTATTCTTGGTGTTGTTTGCGGAGTCTGCGCACGACTAGCGGACAAGAAGTCTACGCTCGAGGAGTCCAAGAAAGCCATTCTGGCATTCTACGTCAAGGAAATCGTGAGCTCAAAGACCGTTGTGCCTGCGCATGCGGCCGGTGGTCTGGGCGATTTCTTCGCCTCATTTGTTACGTATGAAGACATTGCTACAGAGCTGGTGCCTCCCATGGAGAAATCCATGCTGAGAGCCCCAGAGGTGGTTCTCAGTGGTGTGATCCCACCCCTCTGTGCCTCCTTGCCCGAAGACATCGACATTTCCGAATTGGTCCAAACACGTCTGGCCAAGCACCTTCTTGCCAGCATGAAATCCAACAACCCATCCATCCGCCAGGGTGCATCTGAATCCTTTGGATCTTTGCTATCTCGGTGCAAGACCGAGCCCTTGGTTCTGAAGATCACCGGTGAGATCATGGGTCCTTTGAAGACTAACAAGATCACTGCTGCCGAGCACCGTGTGGCTTATGCGCAGGCCATCGCGGCCATCCCATCTTCAGCCGATGTCTCAAAAGACATCGCTCAAGGATTTGGTCTTGTCTTCACACGAGAGTCTAACGAGACTGCCCTCGAGGAGGAGATCAAGTCTTTCAGCAAGCACCTTGCTCATCTTATCCAGTCAAAGGTCAAGATCAACGATGATGTCGCAAACACAATTGTCAAGGGTATCTCCGACAAGAGAATTCCTTTCCGCAAGCTCTGGCAGATCAGCATCGGAGAGATTCTTTGGGCTTCTGACCTGGAGGCTTTGAAGAGTGCTGAGATCGAACCCCTCGTCACCAAGTTCCTTGCTAAAATGAAGGATTTGTTCAGCGAGGTCGCCGCAAACCCTCTTCCCTCTGCCACAAGCGGCGCTCTTTCATCGGCTTACCTTTTCCTGGCACTTTTCCACAAAGTTTCTGACATTCAGGGCTCTTCCAAGGCTACTTGGGATGAGTACGTGGCACAATCGATGACACTGAGCCCGAAGCCATCTTTCATGCTCAACTCCAAGGTTTTCTCCAAGTTGGGCTCCAAAGAAGAGGTCCAGTGGCTCGTCAGGTCATTGGCTGCTGTCGCCTCCGCACCCAAGTTCGCTAGCGCCGATGAGGCATCTAAGACTGCCTGGGCGCAGGCATTCATTTACGGTATTGTCGCTCCTTCTATCCCCTCAAACTTCCGAGAGGTTTCTGCGGAAACCCTTTCGCAGGTTTACCTGAAGGACGTGACCTCTTTCGGTCATGTCTTCGTCCGCGCGCTCTGGACTTGGATCCTTGCTTTCCGAACAGCAGACAAGGAATCCGCCGCCAACGCAGCGGGGCCAGGGAGCGAGCGCCTTCTGCACATGGTCGTGAGGGCGCTTTGTCCATCTACTGATGTGGTGCAGAAGTCTGGAATTTCTGCCGACGATCTCAAGGCTCAGCTTATTGAAATTCTTATTCTGAGCCGACCAGAGTTGGTCCCTAGCACATCTTGGATTTCTCTTTGTTTGAGAACAGGCACCGACCCTGGCGATCTTGTTCGCGCGAACCCTGCCAAATGCATTGAGCAGTTGGTTCGTGTCAACGCTGACCCCGTTCAATCGGCTGTCCCTGATGTCAACCCGGCTGTTTGGGGCTCTGCGGCTGAATTGGCGTTCGTTGCACCAGACGTGATGATCCCGCGCCTAGTTGATCAGATCAAATTTGACTTGGACGGCACTCGTCTTTCCAAGTTCACAGCTACAGATGCTGCGATCGCGCGTACTCCGGAAGGCACTGCCTTTGTTGATGTGCTGAGCAGCAAGTCGAAGCACCCCGCATTTGACAAGAACACCAAGGACTATGATACGCTGAAGTGGGAAGAGGAGCTTCGAGCCCAGCTAGCTGAAAAGAAGGGACAGACACAAAAGAAGCTTACCCCTGAGGAGAACTCCAAGGTTAAGGCCCAGCTCGCCAAGGAGGCCAAGATCCGTGAGGATGTCCTGGAGGAAGTCAAGCGGATTGAGCGTGGTGCTGGTCTCATTCACGGCCTTGCAACTGGGCCCATTAACGATGTCTCTGGCTGGATCAACGCTGCTGTCACATCACTCCTGTCGCTTGCCCAGGCTGGAGCTGGCTTGTTCGTTGGTGACGTGGTTTCTCGGGCTTTCATCACCTGCTCTAATGAGGTGTCATCTCGCCTTGGAAACCTGCGATCTTCCGCTGGTATTGCCACCCTGCGAGCCATCGGCAACACAAACCTCCCCTCTGATATGGAATCGGAGCCCCTTGGTGAACTTGTTACAAGAATCCTCTACCGACTGCGCTTCGCTTCCGAGCAGCGTCCCTTTGACACTACCTCCCTCGCCTACGTTCTTCCTCTTATCTTCCAGGTCCTGACCCAGAACGGCATCCAAGAAGCCAAGGGAGAAGAAGAGGGTACTCAGGTTCTCTTGGCACTTGAGTTCCTCTCCTTCCACTCTGGCTCTTTCGCCGATAGCCGCCTCCCTCGCGTCGAGGTCTTGAGTCAGCTGCTTTCCGCTATGCAGCGATACACCCAGCACTACAAGATTGTCAAGGATACTTTGAATGACTTCTGTAGGTGCGTCTCGCCCAACATCAACAGCACCGAGCTGGACACACTTTTGCGGGGCACTATTGTCGCCGAGGCATCTGTCAGAACGACTGTGCTCCAGGTCATTGAGGCCGAGATTGATCTGACCGATCTTGATTTCTCTGAGCACATCTGGCTCGCCTGTCACGACGGCGTGGAAGAGAACGCCGAAATTGCAGACACCATCTGGGAGGACAATGCTCTCGAAGTGGATGAAAGCTCGTACAGCAAGATCATCAGCTACCTGGATTCCAAGGATTATCAACTCCGAGGTGCTGCTGCTCGTGCGCTGGCTCATGCCATTGAGTTCGACAAGAGCAAGTTCGTTGGCATCTTGTCCGAGCTTGAAGCCAAGTACGTGGATGAAATCAAGCCTAAGGCCCCTGAAAAGGATGCCTACGGAATGCCTAAGAAGGTGGAGGTCTCAGATCACTGGGAGGCTCGCAGCGGTATCGCTCTGGCCTTCGGTGCTATGACCAATGAATTCGATGGTGAGCAAGGTGTCTCTTTCTTGCGTTTCCTCATTGAGCAGGGTCCTCTGCTTGACGGAAACTCTCGTGTTAGAAGCCAGATGACAGAAAGTGGTAAATCCGTCATCATCCAGCGTGGCCAAGCCAAGGTCGAGGAGATGATGAACCTGCTTCAAACCACTTTGGAGACTTCTGACAAAGACACCACAACCTCTGATTTGTTGAACGAGGCTGTTATTGTGCTTTACGGATCGGTGGCAACTCACCTCAAGGCGAACGATCCTCGTTTGCAGACTGTCATCAAGGAGTTACTCTCGGCCCTCGATACCCCATCAGAGTCCGTTCAGCACGCTGTTTCCGAGTGTCTGCCGCCCTTGATCAGATCCTCTGGATCAAAGACAAAGGAGTACGTAGAAAGTCTTATCCACCGTCTCTTCAACGCCACCGAATACCCTCCCCAGCGTGGTGCCGCCTACGGTCTTGCTGCCATTGTGTGTGGTAGGGGTATCTCAACCTTGCGCGAGTTCCGTATCATGAGCTTGCTCAAGGAGGCCACTGAAAACAGAGCTCAAAAGGAGCACCGACGTGGTGCTTTGTTGGCGTATGAGCTTCTTGCTCTCATTCTGGGACGCACCTTTGAGCCTTTCGTGATTCAGATCGTCCCTCAGCTTCTTGGTGGCTTCGGTGATACCAGTATTGGTGTCCGTGATGCCTGTCTGGATGCTTCAAGGGCATGCTTCCAAAACCTCAGCTCTTACGGTGTGAAGCAGATTCTTCCCACCCTCCTCGACGGTCTGGACGACACACAGTGGCGTAGTCAGAAGGGTGCCTGTGACCTGCTCGGAGCCATGGCCTACCTGGACCCTCAGCAGCTTGCAGCCAGCTTGCCTGACATCATTCCCCCTCTGACTATTGTGCTCAATGACACCCACAAGGAGGTCCGTAACGCAGCGAACCGCAGTCTCCAACGTTTCGGTGAGGTTATCAGCAACCCCGAAGTCAAGAGCTTGGTCGGTGTGCTTCTGAAGGCTCTCAGCGACCCTACCAAGCACACAGATGAGGCTCTGGATTCCTTGATCAAGGTTTCCTTCGTTCACTACCTTGATGCCCCCTCGCTGGCCCTCGTCACTCGCATTCTCGAGCGTGGTCTCAGCGACCGATCCAACACCAAGCGGAAGTCCGCACAGATCATCGGCAGTCTGGCTCATCTTACAGAGCGCAAGGACCTCATCTCCCACCTGCCCATCCTGGTGGCTGGTCTTAACTTGGCCATTGTCGATCCCGTTCCCACGACTCGTGCCACTGCCTCCAAGGCCCTTGGTTCCCTCATCGAGAAGCTTGGAGAAGATGCTCTGCCTGACCTCATTCCCAACCTCATGTCTACTCTCAAGTCTGATACCGGTGCTGGTGACAGACTTGGATCTGCTCAAGCACTTTCCGAGGTTCTCGCTGGATTGGGTACTACCAGACTTGAGGAGACTCTGCCAACCATTCTTCAGAACGTGTCCAGTGCCAAGGCTTCCGTTCGTGAAGGCTTCATGACCCTCTTCATCTTCTTGCCTGCCTGCTTTGGTAACAGCTTTGCCAACTACCTCAGCAAAATCATTCCTCCCATTCTGGCTGGTCTAGCTGATGACGTTGACGCTATTCGGGAGACTGCTCTCCGTGCCGGTCGCTTGCTTGTCAAGAACTTCGCCCACAAGGCCATTGACCTTCTGCTTCCCGAGTTGGAGCGTGGTTTGGCTGACGACAGCTACCGTATCCGTCTCAGCTCCGTCGAGCTGGTCGGTGACCTTCTCTTCAGTCTTACTGGTATCTCCGGTAAGAGCGAAGGCGAAGAGGAAGAGGAGGAAGCCACCCAGGCTGGTCAATCCTTGCTGGAGGTTCTCGGAGAAGAGCGCCGCAACAAGGTCCTTTCCGCTCTGTACATCTGTCGCTGCGATACCTCTGGTCAAGTCAAGAGTGCCGCTCTCGGTGTCTGGAAGGCGCTTGTTGCCTCCCCGAAGACCCTCAAGGATATGGTCCCCACGCTGTCCCAGCTCATCATTCGCCGCCTTGGATCTACCAACATGGAGCAAAAGGTCATTGCCAGCAACGCTCTTGGAGACCTTATCAAGAAGGCTGGAGAGTCTGTGCTCAATACTTTGCTTCCCTTGCTTCAAGATGGTCTTCAAACTTCGCCCGACGTGGATGTCAAGCAGGGTATCTGTATCGCTCTCCGTGAGCTCATCACTGCCGCTTCTCCCGATGCACTGGAGGACTTCGAGGAGATCCTCATCGCCACTGTTCGTGTTGCCCTGGTTGACAACGACGAGGACGTCCGTGAGGCCGCCGCCGAGGCCTTCGACTCCCTCCAGCAGATCATGGGCAAGCGGGCTGTGGACCAGGTTCTGCCTTATCTCCTCCACCTGCTGAGAAACGACGACGACGCCGAACAGGCTCTGTCGGCCTTGTTGACGCTCCTTACCGAGCAGACTCGTGCCAACATCATCCTTCCCAACCTCATTCCTACCTTGCTCACGTCGCCTATCTCTGCCTTCAACGCCAGGGCCCTGGCATCTCTGGCCGAGGTCGCTGGTTCTGCCATGACAAGAAGATTGCCTACCATCCTCAACTCCCTCATGGATGGTATGGTCGAATCTACCGACGAGGAGCACCGCGAAGAGCTCAGCAATGCCTTCGATACAGTCCTCGTTTCTGTGGACGAGTACGATGGCTTGAGCGCAGCCATGAGCGTGATGATTGGTCTTGCGAAGCACGACGACCACCGTCGTCGCGCTGCTGCTTGCGTTCATCTGACCAAGTTCTTCGCAGAGGCCGAAATGGACTTCTCGCGCTACTACCAGGATCTGATCCGCGCCCTGCTGATCTCATTCGACGACTCAGACAAGGACGTTGTCAAGTCGGCATGGACAGCCCTCACTGGCCTCATGTCGCACATGCGCAAGGAAGAGATGGAGGCCTTGGCCATTCCCACCCGCCAGATCCTCCGACAGGTTGGTGTGGCTGGCGCAGATCTGCCTGGCTTCAGTCTTCCCAAGGGAATTATGGCTATCCTGCCAATCTTCTTGCAGGGTCTCCTCAACGGTACTACCGACCAGCGTACTCAATCCGCTCTGGCGATGTCCGATATTATCGACCGCACTCGTGCCGAGTCATTGAAGCCATTCGTCACCCAGATCACTGGTCCGCTCATTCGTGTTGTGTCGGAGCGTTCCGTGGACATCAAGTGTAAGTGCAACTGTCATTTTGCGCAGGTAACAAGTGTATTGACTATTTCTAGGTGCTATCTTCTACACACTTAACAAGCTGTTGGAGAAGATCCCCTTGGCTGTCAAGCCGTTCTTGCCCCAGCTCCAGCGTACTTTCGCCCGTGGTCTTGCTGACACTACTAGCGAGACCCTGCGCAACCGTGCTGCTAAGGGTCTTGGTATCCTGATTACCCTGACACCAAGAGTTGACCCGCTGATTGCTGGTAAGTGTCAAAAGTCCTTTCATGTGGTGCTAGGCTTGGCTAATCTCATTCACTAGAACTTATCACTGGATCCAAGACGTCCGATGTCGGTGTCAAGAACGCCATGATGAAGGCTCTCCAGGAGGTCGTTGGCAAGGCTGGTGGTAACATGAGCGAAGCCTCTCGGCAGGCAATTCTGACTCTGATCGACGATGATTCTAGCGATCAGACTGGTAAGACCATTTCCCATAATTCCAAGTTCTACTTGCTAATACGTCCCCAGACTCCGTTTCCATTACCAACGCACGTCTGCTTGCCTCGCTTGTTAAAGTCATCCCCGTCGCCAACTCGGTTCCTCTGATCAAGTACACATATTCACTCCCAGTATTTGCTGTTCTGAACGCTAACTCGCTTGCAGGAACCGCATCCTCAGCGGCCCGCTCTCTCACGCCTCGATCCTTGGGCTCAATGCTCTTTTGGCCGAGTGCCCCGAAGTTCTGACTGAGCACTTCGCGGCTGAGTTGCCCACTGTCCTCTGCCAGGGTATCGCCAACAAGGATGTAAGAAACAAGAACCCCTCAACGCGCCCTATTAGCCTCAGACTAACCGCAAAATAGCCCTTCGTGTCCGACAACAGCGCCCTCGCTGCCGGCAAGTATCTCTTGTCCAACGAAGGCGATCACGCCTTCGAATCGAGCAAGGCCATTTTCGAAGCCTTCGTGCCCGCCATCCAGGCCGGTAGCCCATCCGACACCCGTCGCTTGAGCTTGGTGGCTATCCGAACCGTCAGCCGTCTTCACCCCGAGCTGGCCCGCCCCCACCTGGCCCTTCTCGCGCCGCCCATCTTCGCCTGTGTCCGTGACTTGGTGATCCCCGTTAAGCTGGCGGCTGAGGCAGCCTTCTTGTCCATCTTCTCGGTCGTCGAGTCCGACAGCGAGGTCTTTGACAAGTACATGGCTGGTCCGGGTGCCTCTTTGCCCCCCGGCCCCAAGCGCAGCATGTCTGATTACTTCAAGCGCGTTGCCATCCGATTGGCTGCTCAGGCTCGTGAGCGTCGTGAGGCTGAAGGTGGTGAAGGTGGTCTGGGACTGTCCAATGATGAAGTGGATGATGAGAAAGAATTGTGGAGCATCGGCAAGGTTGATCTTGGTGATGCCTTCGGCGAGGAATGATTTTATGCGCATCCGAGGAGCATCTAGTGTGTTCTAGAGATATACCCTTGGGTTTTATGTTAGTCGTATAAAAGTTATGCATGTACACGTCTATCTGAAAATTTGTTTAGAATTACTCCACTATGGGGTAAGGTACATAGACCTGGTGCGGTCGTGGCTTCATGCGGCCCAGGTGTCAATGAATCCGAGTGTATAGACCTTTGTTATTTCTGATGTCTACTTCATATGTCTCTCATGATCTCGGCTCCTTCCGGTTCTCAAATTACAATTGACCTAGATTCCAATGTTATAATAGCGCTGTCACCGGCTCAAAATCAAGCTCATCATGTTCTGACTCTTTAACCTTCCATTGTGGGAATTGCTGTTGTAGATGGAGTGCATCCTGTCTTGGAAGAGCGTCGATCTCATATCTGGTTCAGTAATCGGCAATGCTACATCTTCTTGGCGAACAGCCAGATGGGTATGTTGATCAATCGAAAGTCATAAACTCCACATGCTAGGGCTTCCCCGGACTGTGGCTGTGCAGTCCACGGGTGGCTTGTCAATTGCATTTGATAGGGTGGGTTTTCACGTGACGTTAGTTCCAAGGTCGTGAGATAAGAAGGCGGTCAGATAGCCCTAAGTGTGGCAGAATGCTAGGGCACACCGTCGCCAGGGCCTCGCTAATTCCCAGGCTGAGCTAAGCAGCCCGCCCTCACCAATTCTCACCATCGAATTCTCAGCGTCACGAATCATCATCACGCCAACGCCATCGATACGCCGTCAAGATGTGAGTGCCATCTCCAGCTCCCCTATGATTATTCAAAATGCACGCCCCTGTGCTGCCCAAACGATATCCACCCTCAACTTCGTCGCCCGAGATTTTTATTTCATGCTCTGTGGAGGAGACAACTTGGGGATCTTTGTGCTGACCGGGCCTTCCACCACAGGGTCAACCTTACCACCCAGAAGCGCCTCGCCGCCTCCGTGGTCGGCTGCGGCAAGCGCAAGATTTGGCTCGACCCCAACGAGATGAGCGAGATCTCCAACGCCAACTCTCGCCAGACCATCCGCAAGCTCGTCAGCGATGGCCTGATCATCCGCAAGCCCGTCACCATGCACTCCCGCGCCAGTGCTCGTGAGCTCAACCTTGCCCGCCGCGAGGGTCGCCACCGTGGTCTGGGTAAGCGTAAGGGTACCAAGGACGCCCGTATGCCCAGGTATGCAACACCCACCGCTCCGCCAGTGTCCAGACTCGCATGGAACTGGACACACGACCTGGACTTTGACTAATTGAATCTCTTTCTCTGTTTAGCCAAGTCCTCTGGATGCGCCGCATGCGTGTTCTCCGTCGTCTGCTCGTCCGCTACCGTGCCGCCGGCAAGATCGACAAGCACCTCTACCACGAGCTCTACCACCTCAGCAAGGGTAACACCTTCAAGCACAAGCGTGCCCTCGTTGAGCACATCCAGAAGGCCAAGGCTGAGCGTCAACGCGACCGTGCCCTGAAGGAGGAGATGGACGCCAAGCGTGCCAAGAACAAGGCTCTCCGCGAGCGCCGGTTGGAGCGCAAGGAGGCCAAGCGCGACGCTCTGATCAACGAAGAGTAAATCTGATACCAAAAATTTCAATTACCCTTCCCGTTGATGTTCTTTTCTCGCGGCGGTGCGGAGGTTGGAAACGGTTAACTTCTGGGTTGGATCCGGGATTTCGAGGCTGCTCCCGATATCGAACCCAGGTCGGCCTTCGGCGTCTTCCTGTAGTCTAGATTCTTTTGTGACGACTCGCCGATTCCCCGTGTCTTTATGATTGCGCGGAGTTCTCGTTGGAGCGTTCGGAGCCTACGGATATGGGAAATAGGAAGACGATGATGATGTGATACTCAAGCTATTCTTGTCTAAAATGTAACGAGAAAGCAAAAGGAAATCTTTTTTTACTTCACCCAAACACCAAAATCGCAGCCTCTTTCGTCTACCATCGTCCACTTGCGCGATCTGATTGATACTGTCTAGACGTAGATCGCCATAGTGCCATGTGCCCTAGTGAGCCTGACATGTTCTCCGGGACTGTGCCTCTTCTATTTTGGAGACTCAATGATCTGATAGCCAGGATCAACGAGCTTATACGAGCACTACTTTGTATGTCGTGGGTCACATTTATGGGTCTGGGGGGTAGCCTGATCGGTCACATCACACCTTATCCATCAGCTGGTATCATCTGTGTTTCCACATCTCCGGGCTGTACTTATCAGTTCAGTCGAGGGGCAACTTGAGAGTGGATGGAGTGGGTATGTGGTTTGTCCAGGCGTCGAGTATCAGATTGGGCTGAGTGCCTGAATGCCAAGGTTTCACTGCATGTTCTACTGCCTGATATCTCAGGCCTGAAGATGCGAACATCCCTCCTTTGCCGACAATTGAACCCATATAGCCGCGAGCTCAATGTTTTCTGCTTCTCTTTTCCATGTATATGGACTACCGTATACATAGATGTGCTCTTTGTACCACTGCCAGTTTCGTTTACTTGCATATGCCCTCTGTGTTCACTATGAATATCCTGCAGAAATATATAACCTTGAAACACATGCATGGAAGTGCTATAGTTCCACCACAGCAACCGGGTATTCGGCAACTTGGAAAGAACAAAGATCAAATCCCACGACAATCCACCATCTGCCCAGGTGGGCATTTGACACGAACGAACACGAGGCAACATGTTTCACTCTCATAGTCCAAGCCAAGATCCCAAAGGCCCACACCCAAAACGGCAAGAAGGTTTTAGATGTGAAACTGATATACTCCACACAAAGTCTAGTCCAAACCCTTATACCATCGTAATGAGCGGTCAGCATTCCATTCAGATTCCAGAAGACACTATTAATGTTCTGAAGGGAGAGAATGACCCCACGAAGGCAACTGCAGAGTCTAAAGAACCATCTATACCTAATCTGGTCAACCTAACCCTCTGGTGAGATCAAAGCATACCTAGTATAAGACACGCCGCCTCTCTACCGGCACCTCCGGTGCTGTGAATGTCTCATCTGGAAAATGGCTTCTACGTAGATATCCCGGGGGATTCATGAGACATTCATGAACCATCCTGAAGCAGTGAGGGGCTGACCAGGCGTGCTGGAAATTGAGCCATAGCCAAGGATCCGAAACTCAGCTAGAAGATGGGTACATGCCTGAGACTCCTCGAGTTGGGCAACAACGTTTGATTCAAGGTTTGGCTTTGTTCTTCTTCTTTGGCCGTTTGGGAAATCAAGACGGGTCGAAGAGCGGTCAGAGGGAACTAGGATAGCCATATGATTCACCTAGGCAAGAATAAGGAAGAGTGGAAAAAATGGTTACTCCGTAGGAAATTCATTAGATACACCCTTTTTTCATACACATCGAACACCAAGCCAAACACACCGGGGGAATCTCAAGCAATGAATCAAAATCAGGAACAGTCATAACATCTTTGGAATCGTAAAACAAAACGTAACGTATAGAGCAAAGTCGAAGACGCTAGAACTTCACGCCCCACGGCGTAGGAACCGGAACGAGAACAGGTGGCCGATGCGCACTCGGCGGAGGTTCCAGATCAAATGGGTTGCTGCGCATGCTATCATGTTTCGTGAGCTCCCCCCGCTCAAGGTCCCAATACTCCTGCAATCCTAGTCCCCCATCCCAAGAAGACGTAGAGTAGAATGAAGCCATGCGAGAGGGCGAAATCTCAACCAATGGCCGAGTTGCAAAGTTCCGAGCCTGTTCGCGACGCAAGTACATGCTGTCAAGCGAGAGATCTGGATTCGAATAGGCGGCGATGACGGGGATTGGCGGAGGGAGGGACATGCTGGGTGGGGTTGGGGATGAGTGTCGGGAGCTGATGGAGTTGCGGAGAAGGTGCTGTTTGATGCCGCGCTCTGGGGATCTATGGCGTCGGATGCAGAATGCTATCGCGACGAGGAATATTAGGACGGCGCAGCCGCCGATGATGCTTCCGACTAAGATGCTGGTTTTGGTGGAGGGAGATGCGTCGATTGGGGCGCTGGTGGTGTTTGCGCCCGTGACGATTCCGATCAACGGGGTGGTTTTGGTTTGTGGATTTGAAGTTGTGGTTGGAATTCTCGAGCTGATTGAGCTGATTGAGCTGGTGGGACTGGTGACATAGTCCGTGGAGGCTTGCGTACTTGACCTGGTCAATGGTGGTGCAATGTACATAGTGCTCGGGACATTAGTTGACGAAGTTTCGGTCGTAGATTCAGCTGTCGAAGTTGAATGGGTCTCCATTGGACTTGATGCCGGTGTCATTGGGCTATGTGCTGGCGCTAAAGTCTCCGAGGTGGTAGAATATGGAGATGTAGATGTGGAGGTGGTCCCTGAGATATCGCTCGAAAGCTCAGTTGATATCGTCAAGACCGACGACGCCGGTATTGAAAAACCGCCAGTGGATGTGGCACTCGACGTGCTGTTTCCAATCAACGTAAACACCCACGTTGGATGCACCGTCTCCGTCTGGATCGAGGTGACGGTCACCAAGGACAACGGTTCATGTTGAGGCGGATTCCGGAAGCCTGCGCTTGCAGAGACAGAGAAGACACTCGACATGCCTGGTCCAGCCTTTATAAAGACGGGGTTTGGCGTCTGAATGTGATTGGAACATGGAGACGGTGCGAAAGTAGTCCCAGACAGACTTTCCGAGGGCTCGAAGGCAAGATTAATTCTCCCGTTCAGCTCCCGATTGCAGGTGTATCACGTCAAATACGAGGCCGGAGGGTTATATAGCAAAACCCCGCGAGCCCCGAGACGAAAATTTCAGCATCCAAACTCTCTCTCTTCAAAGACAATGTTTGGCTTCAAGGGGTTCTTATTTGTCTAGACCCCGGCGCTTCTTCCGGTGTCTGAGTGGTGGTCCCCTCGCCCCTCTCTGACAGAGCGCTTAGTTCCATTTGCGCCAATGACGGGCATTTTGGATGTTCGGGGCAATGTGATACCCATGTTTTCTGCACGATCTCGTCATGCCGCGAGACGAAACAGGGTGGTTTCGGGTTTAGCGAGTCTCAAAGTTGGTGTTGGGACTGGTCCAACCCTGTGTTTCATCTTTAGCCTGTTTGGGAGGCGATACCCCGTACTCCGTACTTCAGAGCTTGAATATGCCGTTTTGCAGCTTCGAACGAGAACGACTGGAGCGAGAAGGGTTGGAACATGAACTGTTCGAGCAACCCTGGAACATTGGAAGGGTCTGGTGTCATGTGACCGTGTGAATAGCCTCACTTTGCCCAGGTGGGGAGTTCGTGCAGTACTCCATACAGGAGATTTTATCTCGGCTCTACTAAGTCCCAATATATCATAGTGCATACCTGGGTATGAGATCTATCCTATGTGATTATGCGCAACCTCTAGCTACACTTCATCCTTCATCTTATACTCCCTAGACTATACGGAGTACTACACCTCCGGATTACTGGACATACTATCTACCTAGGTATCAGAGAGCACGTAGTACTTTTGAATCTTGCATAACGTGAATGATGCGAAAGTACCCATGTGTATACGGGGACATCAAGTGCAGAAGTCAAGTGTTGACAGTCACGCCCGCCCGAATTCCCCACCTGCAAAAGTCCCCATATTCTCTCTTTCATCTACAATCTTCCTACAACCATCTGCCTTCCCCATCTTTTCCCCCGTATTTCTGCTTTGTCCAAACCGTTTCAATTCTTCGGACCTTGGACTCGTCTCGAAACCTCGGCTGTCCCCTTTTGTTCCCCGCATGGGAGGGTAGATTGCGATCGTGCTGCACTAGATCGCCATGTTTGGCTGGGGTGCTGGACTGGGTAAGCATTCTCATTCGAACGATTCATTGCTCTTCCAAACCTCCCCGTTGATTGTGCCCCTCGATGGCCCCGCGTTGTGCTGGCCCCTGGGCGGTCGGCCAGGAACCTCCGCCACCGTCACTGTCCAAGTCGCGTGGAATGTGGCGCATGACGGTGTGATCTCAGCTTGGCCATAATTTCAATTCCGGGACCGAAGACCTGCTTGATCCAGTGGCTAACACACTGCCTACAGCCCTTCCTTCCGCCAGCTCGGAGCCGGAGAAGGAGCGCAAACCCCCCGCGGACCCGACGCCACTCGATTTCCCCGTCTATAACCTCCCCGATGTCGTCTCCAATGACTCCGAGTCGAGGCTCGCAGAGATGTCCGATCTCCTGGCCGACATCAAGCGCCCACAGGACATCTCCATGGACCGCTTCCGGCCGTTGAATCTACAGATGGAGACCGACGTGCCCGTCAATCAAATGATCCCCAAGGACACCACACATCCTATGGCCCCGCTGCCGTGGGAAGACACCAGCGTGCCTACGGAAGATAATCCACGACCCTTGATGGGCAATGGGGCCCCGTATCCCCCCAAGGAACGATATGAGACGCTCGAAAAGGAGATGGCGCTCGACAACGACGACACGTTCCGCGAGGTGGCTCGACTGCCGCCACGCCCTGGCCGCGCTGGGGTTCGAGTGACGCAGTCAAGGAAGTTCTGGATGGGATTAGAGCGCATGGCTCAGTACTGGGATACCAGTTTAGACAATTACTACGAGCGCCCGGCAACCCCCGAACAAACGCCTCCATCCGAAGAGGAGCAGGGAAATGATACAATGCAGCTGGACGAAGAGGCCAGGATCAAGGATGGACCGGGAGAGAGCATGGATATCGATGAGGCACTTGCGGTACCCAACGAAGCAGACCTACGACCTGCCGTCACCATGTACACCGGCCGTCGAATGGGGACTGGTAGCGAGATGCCTGACGAAACCCGCGACGAGACCATCCGTGCTTTCGTGGAGATGGCGGCATGGCCATTCGGATGCCAAGTGACTGTTCCAACGCTGGCCCCACGATTGACCACCAAAAACCTTCTTTTCCCCGTTCGACAAACGTTCCAGTCGTCGCGATCCCCGCGTGACCGCCAGCTGGCTCGCAGCGGAATGCTCGAGGGCCCGGTGCTCATCTCGCAGTGTCGACCCGAGACGTCTTTCCGCAACCCTGAAGATACCCCGGGCACCGGCCTCGGCGAGGTGTGCGATCTGTTCCGCGAGGTGGGCGGCATGCTGCTGGCGGCGCAAGAGCGAGCTCGTGAAGGTGCTGTGGAGCGCCAGCCCGGCGAAGGCAAATGGTGGACCACGGCTCCTCGCTTTGGTGGGGCACCGAATGATGGCATCCTGGAAGATCTCATCAGCCATGGCACCGGGATGTTCATGTCTGAATCCATGGAAGACGTGCGCCCGGCTCCTGAGGCCAAGCGCCGCCAGTTCGAACACCCATTCTCCACGTCGCTTTCGCGCAGGCCCAGCGCCATGCGCCGACTGACGAGCAGTGAGAAGTGGAAGATTCTACAGCCGGGACCCAGCCTGTGGGATAAACGCATGAGCTACATGCAAATCGGCAAGGTCCAGGAGAGTCCCTTTGATGACGTGTGTTCTCCCACCCCCACCTGTTGAGGCCCAGCTAACAGTGCAGATTTACATGATCTCCTCCATCAACCACCACGTCTCCATCCTTCATCTTCGCGTCCACCGACGCTACCTCGATATCCTGACCGACGGCCACAGTGACTACCCCACCGATTCCGATGAGCAGCCGTGGCATGTCCTGAAGCTCCAGCGGACCCGATGGCTGGATCTATTCGATGTCAATGACCGCATCGAAGCGCTGCAGGGTGTCTGGCAACTGTTCCATCACCAGCTTAGACTCACGCGTCGTGAAGGCGATGTCCCCGTCACGATAGAACTTCCCATAGAGCATCTTCCCATAGAGACTTGATTGCTCGCGATGCATCTTGTACATACAGTGGTTTTTGTTCTTCTCATACCCATCCCAATGGCACGTCTTTTCTCAGTTCTCGGTGTACATCTTTTTCCGGTTCGGTATCAATTCTGTTCTTCCATCTCTACTAGTACTAGTATTGAACAACTCAGAATACACTTCATTTCACCGCTTCCCAGCCCCCATAGATGATGATCCTTTCGCAAGCCTTGTACTTTTGTCGTGAGCTCTGACCCAATCCTCGATCCAGACCCCCCATTCCCCTCGAGTGACATCCCAGTCCGAGCAGACCGAAAGCGAGACCGGTATTGCCCGCCCCCGAACTCTCTCAATGTGACCTATCGAGATGATAATCCTCGCCTCGGCGCGGCCGTGTGGAGTATAACGCTTAGACCTCTTTTATTTTCCGGCCAACGCACTTCAGACGAGTCCGGAGTACTGCCTCGACTGGGTGAGAGGCCCTGGGAGCCCGTATAAATCACTGCAGTACTAGTATACAATCTCGTTGCAGACCTGTAACTCAGTGTAAGCGAGATTGGATTTGAGAGCGGCTGAGCGTGAAGTCTAACGGATTCCCGATCTGTGGGGATCCGACCTTCCCCCCGAACCTTCCAGCTTATGGGGTTTGGGTATTGGCAATACAGGTACTCTGTATTTTCTAACAGCTGGTATGAAGCCGAACGTTGTCGTGATATATCTAAACAGCCCTGGAGGTACTTACCTAGGTACTAGAGCTTACATTCCAAAACTCATGGACAGGAGATATTACCCAATATCCCTCAGATCGACGGCCATTACATGGCCCCGCGAATTAACGCTGGATCTCACAGATACCAGGCCTAAACCACATACCTCTATTTAACCATCACCCGCACTTCGCGCGACCAATTCCCGCAAAGAGGAACCAGCATAATCTCTCCACTTGATGCAAAAGCAAACCTGGCGGCACAGTCCACGAGCGCTCCAAAAAGAGCACAATCCCCACAATGGGGAACAAAAGTACACAGTTCTACCCGCGACACCGGACAGCCATGTGGAAATTCGGAGGCACTGGCGGTGGTACTTTTGCGACGCAAAAAAAGGACCTGAGAGCAAAAACTGAGATCAGATAGAGATCAAACCCAGAGTCAAGTCAGGACGTACTCCATACTCCGTACTCCGTATGTATGGAGTAATTAGTCGAAGGGTACCGACAGAACCCAACCCCAGACTATTACCCAAGTGAGTAACCGATTGCAAAAAGAACATGACTTGCGTGAATGGCGTGCAGATGTTAGACTGTGACTCCAGAATGCCGGATCAACTACCGCGCATAGTGTAGTCGAGATTCAAATCGTCGGCAAGGTGCCGTGGTTTGTCTCTCGGCTGGTTCTGTAATTCAGACATTCATCCGAGATTGAGAGGCATTTCCATCTGCTATGCAGGACCCCGATCTGCTGTGCTCCCTTGGGCCCTTACATCCGGTGATCAGACCAGTGGTTCATTCCAAGGTTGTTGTCTGCGTAAGGAGATCTGGATCAAGCTCTGTATGGAGGACTCGCAGGTTGCAAACTTTGCATGTGGGTCTCAAGCACAACATATACACACAGTACGGAGTACTCCGCGCCACTTAGTATACACTCCGTACGAGTCGAAAAGTTCATTACATGGGACACCACGTGGACTCGAACTGCAGTCTCGTCGAAATAGATCACAGCGTAAGTACTAGTAGTACTAGTACTGTACTACTATGGAGGATATTTCCACTGTGTGCGGTGTACGGAGTACTGAACTAGTAGAAACTCAGCGTTTGCTGAAGAATGTCGTGTCCCGCTGTCACAGGATGTCAGAGGCTCATGGAGCGCTGCATAGACCCAGGAGAATGAGGCGGTCACATTTCAGCCGAGGCGGCATAACCGATCGGTGGTGGACGCACAAATCACGCGCTTGCATCGCCGATGCCCAGGAGCCTCGTAGGGATCCGAGATTATACGTGTATTGTACAGACAGTACTCCGTACTCCGTATAGTCCTCCGTACAAGATGGAGCCAGTCGTATAGAGTCCACAAAGAATCGAGAGCCATCGGTGCTCCAGCCACGGATACTTTGTGCCCCATTCTCTGATGATCAGGTGGAATGGTATGTATCATGACCGTGTGATCTGAGCTATGTCTGGCGTTGCAATTTGATTTGATCAACTGCGTTTGGCGCGTGTCAGAGAGTATGAGATTTGGAACTACGGAGTATGTACGGACCTGTTCTATGTATGACCTCGTCCATTCATGACCAGCCCTACGATTTGAGTGATGTACGATCTACTCGGAAGATACGTGTTCCGTCTCTGTGTCCGCTGCATCGCGATACTGCAACCGACCTGACCTATTCAGCAACCGGCTGATGCAGCCTCCCGTGTTGCCTTCTGTGGAATCTACAGGAACAAGATCGCCTGCGTAGGCATAGGGAGTCATTCCAATAGTGTCGCGAGAGTCATGTCCCCGCCCATTAGATGTGAGCCAGCTTGCATGCTCGGATTCTGGGGTTTTCTCGGATGCGAAGGTCAATAGCGTTAGAGATTTGTAATTTCCAATCTGCATCAAGGGATTGGTAATGCCCGGAGTAACGGAGCATGGCGGAAGAGTTTCCAAACAGTCCCAGCCTGGTTGCGGTGAGTTTTGAGGCTCTGGGATCTCCCACGATGACATAGGTGTTCCGTCTGTCGACATGAGGCCGGTGTTGTGGTGTTTGTCCCGACCATGGTGGACTCTGAGGCGCCCCTTGCGTGGTCAATTGAATATCTAACAGAAACTCTATGTATTTCAGATATTGTACATACTGCACGCTGCATGGCGTGCAGCTGGTTTGCAGGTCAGCTTCGATCAGAGACAGTCTCGACACACCTGTTTATTGTAATTATTTATTTTTGTGTCCCTGAGTCCCAGGATGATCATTACGTGCGATGGAGTACGCTTATCCACTGGGCGAAAAATTGAACACGCGTGGCCGCATGGAGACCCAGCGCGTCGAGGTGAACCCAGGAAACAGGATGGTGGAATAGGCGGATCGACGCAACGACCAAGGAGCTTGGACAGCTTTAAAAGAAATGTAACCCAATGAAGGCCCCCTTTCTTCGGTGGCAAGTCATTCAGCTGTCAAGTTCCATATGTAAATGTCAAGGAATTTGTGCTCGGCCAATGAGATCCCTACCTCACATAGGGAGAATGGAGTGGACGTTTTCTGATTTCACAGTGCATTATCCCCATACTCCAGATCCATCTGCCAGGGCCCTGCAGTGCATAACCTTGCAATCGTACACAGTACGCGTACTGTACAGAGTACTCTGCCGAATATAGTACTAGTACGGACCAGTGCTCTCCAGGGCTCAGAAACATGAGCCGAGCAGTTTGTGTGTACGGAGTAGGAAAAATGGATTTACTCCACTAGGTAACTCCACTCAATCCTTCTGTCCGGATTCCTTGGGATTTCGCACAGCGGGTGACTAGACTGCACGGGCAGGCAACGGTCCAAATAAGCAAATAATAGGAATGTCGGGGGTGACTTCTGTGGCACGGCGTTTGACTCGGGCGTTCCGTAGCACAGAGGAATTGAGCTGCATCCTGATCAAGCCAGGGGTAAACTGTGCTACTGCCTAGTACGGTGATGATCTCTGGGAGCTCTTGTCCGGAGTACATCTGTCCCCGTACGAGGCATTACCGACAGTACCGATGTCCACCGAGCCGTGGATGCTTCCCGTCGCCATCCACGGGTTGAGACGGGTGAGGCCGTTATTACCGTACCATACTTCGGTGGACATTCCATTGTTCTTTAGTCCTCGAAAAGTGTAACGCAATTAAGGACGGAGAAAAAATTGGGAAACCCAAATTGCTGGGATGCTGATCAGCCCCGACAACCACCACACTGGGGAGGGTGAAGTCATCCCTCGAATGGAAATGACCAGTTCGCTGGGGGTAAACTCTTTTCTCCAGTAATCGGCCAGTTGGTGCTTTGCGGTGGCGCCCCTTGCGAGCGGTGTCCGAGGCGATCGGTGAACCTCGGGCGTTTATTGGGTTCTTGGGCGTGAAAGGGATTGACGGGATATATCCACTGTGTCTATTATACTTTGCGCGTTCTGGAGTCTCGAGATTGGCGGTCGAGGCGGTCTCTTTGATTGGTTGATCTAGATATGGGTATGTCTCTTAGTGTCTGTACGGTGTAGTCCGTCCTCCCGAGTCCTAGGCATTGGGTGATCTACGGAACTCAAGGTTGAAGGAGAGTGAGACAGATGAGAGAGAGAGCGAGCGCTTTGGCGCTTCTGATCCAACAGTGCGGCTTAGTGCTTGCATATATGTATATCTGTATTGATGTACGGACAGTATGGTATACATGGTCAGCTGGGACGGCATGTACTCCGTCTTGTTCCCGGTGAAGTGGTTGACCTCCGGCAAGCGCGATCCCCGTTCCACGCGGACCCTAGCTTCGATCATAGTATATATCTTGAGTCTTCTCTTCAGACGGAGGATTTTGCATACTCTCTTTCGATCGAGAGCATATCCATATTACTACAGAGTACTCTGTACTGCTCGTACAGGACATTCATACTACATACTAGTATAGTCTGCAGACATTTCCCCAGCCGCCAGACCCACCCGGATTACTGCGATTGTTTTGGGAATAAACAAAAACAAAAAACAAAAAAACCCAGAAGCCAACAATTAAAACCAAAAAGAAACGCGAAGCCGACCTGTCAAATGGGCTCTCAGGGGTTTCCTGATCGGGTCAGATATCAATGTCATAAAGGGAGGGGCAAGACGATCCTGACATTTAATTACCCCCTCTCCCTCTTCGAACGATTTTTCCCTTCTAGTCTGTTCTGGCTGTAATACCATACCGATACCAGGTACTGACCCCTCCTTGTCGCCCAACCTTGTACTTCTGCGTTGGATCTGTCTGATGCGGTGGATACTCGCGGTCTTGTTTTTTCATTCTTCTCTTGGAATATATTCGGCCGGGATTGGATCAGTGATCTGACTATTTCTTTGTCTAGCTCCACATCCTGAGCTACACGCATTTTTGCGACCTACCACTTTCGGAGCTTTAATCGCGCTATTGGTTTTCGATCCCCCGTCTCTTTAGAGTGCTACTGCGCAACATCACGTCACATTCCTGCTACAGAGCCATGTCGACGGGAATTTGATTCACCTCACTTGCAAACCGGTCCCTGGAACAGAGGCGCCTCGCCCCGAACCTCATCTACAAATCCTCGGTCCCGCTGGTTATCCTGATGAACCGCATGCCTCCTCCCGAAGGGCCGCTGGCACCGCCGGGTCCGCACCCAGCCTACGAGTCCTCATGGCGACCGCTCTACCCGCCGACCTTCGACAACCACCCCGACTCCCGCCGCTCCTCCGCAAACCCCCAGACACCCCTTCCGCCCCATCCATATCCAGTGCTGCCAAACCGCGAGCTGCCCCAGCTCTCCCAGGATGGCCCGTATGGCCGGCCAAACGGCCAACCGCCCAACGCCCTGTCTCCAAACGCGCCCGCACATTCCCCGCAGGACGCTAACCCCCCTCACCCCAACTTTCGACAGCCGATGAATGGCGCACACGAGGGATCCCCGGACCACCGAGCTCGCATGAGCTACCCACCGCCAGACCAGATCAACAGCGCCGAACACATGGCTTCAGCCGGCCCATTACCGCCAGCATCCCAATGGTTAACCGCCGCGCAGATGGCGGCGACTACAGCGTCCACGCCGCCGGGATACGACCCGGCGTTCTACCAGAACCAGGCATATACGCGTCAACGTAAGGCAGCACGAGCTACACAGGTGAGTCGTGCGCGGTAGTCAACATCCGATGTAAGCTGACAGTCCGGGCTGTAGGCCTGTGATCAATGCCGAACAAGGAAGGCGAAGTGTGACGAGGGACGACCGAATTGCAGTCATTGCAAGGAAAACAGTCTGACCTGCGTCTATAAAGAAGTACCACCCCATAAGCAGGAGAAGACAACGCAGGTGTTGTTAGATCGGCTAATGCAGATGGAAGACCGTCTGGAGAATCGTATGTCGGTGATGCTTGAGACCCAGAGAGACCACGAGCAGCTCCTGCGGTCTCTCTCAACAGAGCATAAAACAACGCCACGGCCTATGAAGGCCGCCCAAGAAATTGCGGTGCCCGCACCCATGGCGGTGGAGCAGAAGCCATTGCTCAAGCAGGAAACACCTTCGCTCCAGGCACCCCCGGCGACCCTCGAGCCGGGGACTCAGGACCTGGCGAGTTCGAGCTTCTCCTCGAACTTGGGAGGCGTCGGAGTGGACACGAAGACTGACGAACCAGAGGGAGAATTGTCCATTCCTGTTGAACATACCACTGCAGCTCATAAGCTTTTGATGTGGCCCTCAATCAAGAGACTCCTTGTCCCCAAGGAATACGATGAGGACTACGTGATGCGATTAGAGGAAGAACGTGGTCTGATCAGCATCTATGGTCAGGGAGAGATCTCTTACACTGCCGATGACAGTCAATTACCAACAGATGGTGGGTTTGATGGTGCCCGACCCGACGGAGATGGCGCAGGCCTTGACGCGGATGTCGACATTGACAAGTTCGGTAATCTGAAGCTCGACGTTGGGACTGCACAACGCTACTACGAATGTTATCTTGATAACATGTACAAGCTTCACCCGTTCATTGAGCAGGGCGAGCTTGACCAGAAGGTGGATAGATTCATTCGTTGCTATTGCCGCATCAACACATCCCCAAGTTCCACCTCGAATTCCCGGCCAGGTCGCGACGGCCCACCGCCAGCGAAGCGGAGGCGTTCAAACGACAATATGGGGATTCGGGGTGAGTTCATGGACAGTCCCCCTAACCCGCTGCGACCACGTGTTGGCAAGAACATTGACAATGCCATGGTACTGCTCTGTCTGGCTATCGGTGCCATCTGTGAAGTTCCAGCGCCCCTTCCTGGTCCAATCATGGACCAGCCAATCGATTACCGCACCCAACGCATTCCCGGTCCCCTGACACCCATCTCTGCGATTCCGGCCAACCAGAACGGCCCATATGCTCCCAACGGTGTGCTTTCACCTGCGAACTCGGACTCGGCTGTCCCAATGGCTTATTCGCATCCTCTCTACGCTATGCCCATGCAGTCAGCTAGCCAATCTTTCCCTTCTACGTTAGGGGAAAATCGAAAGAACCTCTCGAGACGATCCGTCTCGGCTGTACGTGACGAACAGGGCAACACCAAGAACTACCAAGTCATCGCAGGATTGACTATGTATGGTTATGCCACTTCAATTTTGGGGTATCTGCAAGGCGGCAATGAACTGGAACATGTTCAAACTGGCTTGCTCGCTGGCCTCTATGCAGGCCAGCTGGCTCATCCGTTCCAGAGCCACAGTTGGATCTCGCAGGCCTCAAGGGCCTGCCAAGTGCTGGTGCGAACAAAGCGGTATGAGAGACTGGAAGAGGGACCCGTCAAGGATCTCTACAACTTTGCGTACTGGACATGTCTCCAACTAGAGAGTGACCTGCTTGCGGAGCTTGATATCCCCGCAAGTGGTATTTCGCGCTCCGAGGGCCGAATGGCTCTCCCCAAAGGAAAGTTTACCATCAGCCTTCCCGACGACCTCAGTTCACCTTCGACGATGATGATGTTGTTCTACTCGGCCCAGATCCACCTTCGCAAAGTCCTCAACAGAGTCCACACAGATCTTTACAAAGTTGAAAAGCAAGGCCAAAGGCGATGGTCGTCGACCGTGCAAGAAGCTCTGAGCATGAACCTGGACCTTTGGAGAACGAGTCTTCCTGACAGCATGAAGTGGAAGGATAACGAAGGACCCGCCAATGAGATCAATGCCGCTCGCATGCGTGCAAAGTACTACGGTGCTCGCTACATTATCCACCGCCCTCTCCTTTACCACGCCCTGCACTACGGTCACGCAGGTACCCGCGTCGGCCCCATCGGCCAGTCAGTGGATTCCCCAACCTACCAACAGCAGTCACCCTCCGTGACACACAATAGCACTTCCCGCTCGGCAGAAATGTCACGCATGCCCAGTGATATGGGGTCAACACTCCCCGTGTCTCTGGTCAATGGATGGACTCCTCCCAAAGTCCACCCACGGGATCTTCCCAAAAAGCTTCGACTTGCCTGCAAGATCTGCATTGAGTCTGCAATTCTCAGCACCGAAGCCTTCGACGGTGTCGTTGGTCACAGATTGGTGGTGACCAACATCTTTGGCACAGCCCATGCGTACGACTCTCCATTCCATCCCCTGCCATGTGCTGTACTAACAAACCACAGACAATTTGGTAACATGCTCGTCCTTTCCGCAACTTACATGTCCGGTCTCCGCGAGATGGTCGATGCCAAGATCCTGGAACGTCTCCTCAAACGCACCATCGCCTTCCTCGCCCAGAGCGAACACATCTCCCCTACCCTCCGCGCCGACGCCCGTATCCTCACCGAGATTTACGAGAAAATCTTCCACTGTGCTCCAGACATGAGTACTTATCACGGCATGACACATCATTAAGCATCAGCGATATCTGGTTCCTTTCCATTCATACCACTTTATGCATCCTCTCCAGCCGAGTCTCGCACTCTTGTCATCTTTACCTTCTGACCCTTCTTCTTTCCACCTCTTTTTTCTTCTCATGATTCCCCACCCTATCCGATCCATCCCATTTGGTGTTCTATCGGTGTGGCTTTTGTTCTGTCCTGAACTGGATTTCTTTGCTCTTTCGTTTTGCATCTAACTACGACATGCCGGGTGTGGAGTTTCACTGCGTTTAACATTGTGTGCATGTCATCTACGTCAACATTACGGTATACTTCAACTTCATCTCTTGGTTGTTCTCAGGCTCGAGCTTTTTGTCCCTCGTGGAAACTTTGTCTCTTGTATGATGTTTGTGCTTTGGTGTTTTTTTTTTTTTTCGTAGATTCCTAGTGCATATGATTGGACCTATGTTCAATTTGAGACTTTTGAGTAGTTGGCGTAAATACTGAGTACATCAGGGGTATATCATGAATGGTGATGCTGGTCGGTGCTGTCCGAAGACATCGAGTGCAACACCCGGTTCTTTTTTCACCCAGAACGCCCCGGGCTTTAGGGGGTTAGAAATATCTGCCGGTCTGACATTACAGCTGAGTGATTCCCCAGGACACGTAACACAAAAATGAACAGAAGAACCGGAAAAGATAGTCCCCAGGTTGAACGCGATGTTTTGCACAGGCGAGCGGACCTCGGCTTCCCCGCAGACCCCGACCCAAAGCCCATTACATCAGCCCTTATATAGGCCCCGGGGTGGACTCCGGCCGGGGCCGTCAGCGGTGGACTAGACGTGAGATCCGGAGGTTCTGGGGTATTTCATCTACAAGCCCAGCCCCAGTTTTCCAGTAGAGTCCAAGAGTACAAGTAGACATGGCGAGCGGAAGGACCTGGCCCTCGAGAGAAGGTATCTATCCCAAGTCTCATCTATGGAGCCTTACGTCTAACACTCAACAGGCTTCACGGCAGACGTGCTAGGCTCTCTTATATCCCGTGCCGTCCTTGATCCATGGAAGGTGATTCCTCTTTTCGCCTTGGCCCAATACACAACCAAGGGACAGGCTATACTTTCAGCCCATCCAAAGCTTCTCAAAGCACTGCGTCAGCTAGCAGCCCTCGCACTTCTGACCCGCCTCAGCAGCTGGCTAACCAGGCGTACGCTGAACAACGGCTTCAGGGACTCTTACGACTGGAACAAGGAGGTTATCGTCCTCACAGGTGGCAGCAATGGCATCGGCCAACGCATCGCCAACCTCCTAGGCGAGAAAGATACCAAAGTTGCCATCCTGGACATATCCCCACCAGACTCCCTCCCCAACAGCATCCGCTTCTACCAGTGCGACATCACCTCGCCCGATGAAATCGCCTCAGCAGCACAAGCAATCCGCTCCTCCTTCGGCCGCCCAACCATCCTCATCAACAATGCCGGAGTATGCACCGGCAAAACCATCCTCTCCTCCACCCCCGAGCAAACCCGTCGCATGTTCGACATCAATGCTCTCTCGCACTATGCCCTCGCAAGAGAATTCCTCCCAGACATCGTCTCCGCCAACCACGGCATGGTCGTCACCATCGCCTCTCAGGCTGGCTACGCTGTCACTCCCAATATGGTCGATTACTCTGCCTCCAAGGCTGCGGCGATAGCCTTCCATGAGGGATTGGCTGCCGAGCTGGTGACGAGGTACTCGGCGCCAAGGGTGAGGACCGTTCTTGTTACGCAGGGCTTTACGAAAACGGCGTTCATTAAGGATCTTACACCCGAGGATACGTGGTTCAATCCTTTGCTTGAGCCGGAGAGTGTGGCGGAGGGGGTGGTGAGGCAGGTCTTGAAGGGGGAGAGTGGAGTGGTTGTTTTGCCGGGCTCGGTGGGGTGGCTTGCTACTAGGTTGAGGGGGTATCCGGGGTGGTTTCAGCATATACTGAGATGTCGGCTGGAGAGGTTGATGCGGACTGAGTAGTATGAGGGTGTTTGAAGTTTGTTCCTTTTATTTGTACTCGATGTACCGGGTAGACTCGGATATGTTGTATAGTTGGTTCGTATATCAATACTTAGTGAGTTTTTTTTTGAATTGGGTACCTTGGATCTGGAATCTCCCGAGGTCTAGGCAAACATGTATGCTACTGTACTGTACGGAGTACATAAGAGCCAATCCCCCTCGCGATGCCAATAGTATACATTGGCCCAGACTGCCCGAGGTTACATACTAGCGCTCCAAGGTTGTTTGCCTATGCGAGTAGGACAGCAAACACTTGCGTTATGCAGACTCGTAGTTGTCTAGGCAATGTACGAGCACGGAGTAGGCAAGGGTTGGTCGTATAAAACTGTCCTAAAATTGAATGATTGGCACTCCTAGTATAATCGAGCTATATCCAGCGTAGTTAGCTCTGGTGCGCAATATATATCCAGCAGTACCTAGGCAAGTAGATTCTGATCGACTAAGAGGCTGGTATTTCGTCACAGATCCCAGCCCCGTCAACCCGGCCCGTGCACGATGCTTCACCGCGATTTTGATTCGCTCCACCCGTTGCACAGCTCATTCATATTTTTTCTCTTCGGATCGTCTGCATCTCGCATTTGACGTATTGTACATTTTCCTCGACGTCGCCCTCGACCTCGACCGTCGACGAACATCACGAACTAATTAGCCGCAGCGAAACCGTGGAAGCGCCGTGGCTCCACAGTGAGATCCACGGTTCAGCTCCCGTTGTTTACCCAAACAAACTGGGGCCATAACAACTCGGGAACCTCTACCCTTCCATCCTCCTCTACACTCTAACATTCCAGCTCACATTCCGCATGATTGACGCTTCTATCTAATTGCCCATCATGTTCAAGGCGCTTATGGGCAGCCGGTCGTCTTCGGACGTTCGCTCCAAAAGTAGCCGCAAAGACAGGACTGACAGGTCAGAAAGATCCGAGAGATCAGTGAGGTCTGACAAGTCCGACACGAGATCAATTTCCAGCCGCAAATCCTCACGGGGTGACGACCGTGATCGTGGTCTGGGTGATCTCGATTCATACCCCTCCCACCGCAGTCGGCGCGGACCCGCAAGTATTGCCGACGACTCCGTCGCATCCTTCGTGACCGCCGAACCAGAACCCATTGACGATTACGACCGTTACGTTGAACGAACACCCAAACGCAGAGACAGCGACCGAGAGAGCAAGAGTTCTCGCCGCCGCGAACGGGACCGATCCGGCAGCCCAGACCGCGAAAGGCGTCGCCGCGGAACCAGCCATACCATCGATGACGACTTCGATCGGGAGCGCGACCGTCGCGAGCGTCGCCGAACTCACTCCGGGGATCCATATGTGCCTCCGATTGCAACGCATATGCCGTCGAGCGCTCCAGCTGCGCAATTCCCCGCCGACGGCTCGCCGGGCTTCTCTCAGTACCCCATGCAATATGACAACGCTCTGCCGTCTGCTGGCCATTCCCCCGAGCACGATGTCTACGATCCGCATGTCCAGCAACAGTTCCCCGGCCAGTTTCCGGACACAGTTGCACAGCCGTATCGCCCTCCCAATCCTAACGGCGCGGCTGCGGATTACTACGGCGACCAAGGCCAATCGGTTGAGTATCAGCCTGGTATTCGACCTGCTCGTCCGGCGATTCTGCCAAATACCCAATCGCACTTAATGGCAGCTTCTCCGTCGGCAAATCCTCCCCCTGAGCCCAGTAGCATGGGCCAGACCGGGGCGGCGGCGGCCTACTTCGACGACGAGTTCTCTGGTCCAGAAGCGAACCCGCCCGTGACTTCGTCATCGAGGCCTCCAAAGCCCTCAAAGCCTTCGAAGCCATCTGCGGGCAGTGTTGCATCCGCTGCGGCTGCGGGCGCTGCCACTTATGGTGTTGGTAATATCACGTCTCACGCTGATGCATATGCGTCAGAGCAGCACAGCTCGTCCTACAACCACCAAAGTCAAACCATCGGATACAACCAACCCATGGCTTACAACCAGCCTATTCCTTACAACCAGCCAATGTCTAGTGGAAGTCAGAGCCCCCCAAAACCATCCCACTCCCATCACTTCAGCGAGGGTGCTGCCCTTGCCGCCGCTGGAGCCGCCGGAGGATACCTGGTGGGCCACCACCACAGTTCCTCAAGCCCAGAGCAAGGATCACCATACCCTTTCCAGAACTACGAGCAGTCTTCTCAAGCTGGAATGGTCCCGTATGCTTCTGGCAACCCTGAAACTCTGCATGTCGCCGGCCCGGGTGGCCACGCCACGCATGCCATCCACAACCCAGGTTTCTACCCCCATGGACCCAGTGCGCTCGTCATGCGCGAACGCCAACGGGGTGCTGTTGGGCGCTTCGTCGATTTCTGGCGTGACCCCGAAGGTGTAGGGAGATTCGAGGACTACACAGAAACCATCGGCGTGTGCAAGTATTGTTTCGCACCCGGCACAACCTCTGTGGATGCACCTCGCCAGCATCATTATCACGCTCGCCGTCGCCGAAACTCCGCCGATCGACACAGCAGTGGCAGCTCAAGAGTCAGCAAGTCTAGCCGATATAACTCGTCAGAAGATGAGGGCCGTCGACGCAAGAAGTCCAACAAATCATCTTGGCTTCCTGGCATGCTGGCTGGCTATGGGGCCAAGTCATTGTTCACAAGCAAGGAATTTGATGACTCTTACAGCATTCGATCTGGCCGTGTGCAGTCATCACACGGCGAGGACGATGACCGCAGGAGCTATACTTCTCGCGGTGTGGCTCGTCGTTCTGGCCGTAGCCCACACAGAGATTATCACTCGGACTCGAAGCGTCCACAATCTGCATACACTCGCAGCAGCCGGTCGCGATCCCGTTCCTCTTCCCGATCTGACCGACATTCATTCATGAAAGAGGCTGCGATCGGTGCGGCAGTTGGTGGAGCTGCCTATGCCCTTGCGAAAACCCACGACCGCTCTCGCAGTAGTTCACCTGAAGGACGACGCCGACGAAAGGATTCTACTTCATCCTCGTCCATGGTCAATGTGTCCCGACCATCCAGAAAGAAGTCTGTCGCCGGTAACATTGGATCATTCTTCACATCCTCGTCTGAAAACCGGAAGAAGCGCCACTCCAAGAAGCGCAGAGGCTTCTTCTCCTTCAATGGTGGCTCTTCATCCTCATCACTGGACAATGATCTTGCATTTGGTGATGGCTTCCACAAGAAGTCTCCCAAGTCCAAGAAGAAAGACAAGAAGGGCAAAGATGTTGATGCTGCTTTGGTAGGCCTTGGCGCCACGGCAAACCGTCTTGCGGGCTCCTCCCCCCATGGCCCCGGTCGCAGTGCGGGCCAAATGTACACCGCCAAATCTCGTCATTCCAACTACGCATCCTCGGCCACGAATGATGACGAGTGGGTTGACGAGTCAGAGGATCAATCCAGTGTCAGCTCAGCACTGGCATTTGGAGCGAGCAGCCCTGATTCTTCAGATTCGGGGACCAGCAAGTGGGGATGGAGATGGGGCAGCAAGAAGGACAAGAAGAAGAAGGACAAGCGGTCGAGTGGCACCAATACTGCGCTGGCAGTTGGTGCTGGCGCCCTCGGCGCAGCTGCTATCTCTTCTGCTCGCCACCATCATGACAGCAAGCCCACTAGTGATGGCGCTCTCCAATATGTCTATCCCATGCCCACATCCGACCCATCTCGCTTTGACGCCGCGAAGATGAACCCCCAAGATCATCCCGGAGGCGAACCGACACTTGTTCGCCCGGGTCCTATTCCTCTTCAGCAGCCCCAGCCTTTCGCCCCTGTTTCTCAAGCAGTGTACACTACCCAGGGCGCACTTCCTGGGACAATTCCAGCGCACAGTGCGCCTGCTGTTCCCGTTTACGGTGCTGGGTTCCCCCAGTACCGCATTCAGGACCCGGAGTCCCGCGATGCTGGATGGGCTCCTCCTCCAATGGATCCAACATCCCCTGGCCGTGGGCCACACCGACGCTCTGACTCGTTCCCTGTTTACCCAACACAGGAGCCCCTCCCCACCATTAAGCGTCGCTCTACTGGCAAGGACCAGGCTTCTGTTTCCTTCAACCTGACAGAAGAGCAAGCAGAGAAAGAGCGTCATCTCAATCGCCGCGACAAGAGCAATCGAGATGATGTGGTTGACCAACCGCTTGTGTTGTACGATAGGGAAGAAGAGCTTGCCCGAGAGGAGGAGAATCATCGTCGCGAACGTCGCCGGATGGAGAAGGAGCTCAAGGAGCTGGAGAGGCGCAGAGACGAAGACGACAGAGAGAAAGAGTCTTCGTCCTGGGTTGGTCCTGCCGCCGCTGGACTAATTGGTGCCGCTGCCACCAGTGCAATCATGTCTCGCAAGCATGATGATAATGTCTCCGAGACCAGCTCACGACACTCCGAGCGCCGCGAAAAGCGCATTGCCGAGCGTTACCGCTACGAGAATGAGCAAGAAGGCTCTCTCATCTCGGCATTCCCAGCCAGTGAGCCAATTGATGATGATATCACCGTCGAACACCGCGAAGAACAGAAGCCTCGATCCCCTCGCCGCGCTCGCCCAGCCCAAGTTTACGATGATTATGCCGAGTTCTACGCGCCCGAGGAACTCCGCCACAGCCCAGACGTCCACACTGGCAAATCTACCGGCATGCCCACTATTGTGGAAGTGGAGCCTGCCAGTGAGCGACGGGCTCGCGAGGAGCCTATTCCCGAGCAGGACTATTCTTACGAACCTTACGAAAACGTTGACCGACTTCCCTGGCCTGTTCCCCGCCTTAACTTCATTGAGCCCACGCCTCCTCACAGCGTGAATGGTGGCTCTGTCCGTGATGCTACCGCCCCAAGTGCACCTGTAGATACCCCCAAGCGCGACCGACCAACCGGTTCTCGCGTTTCATGGGGCGAGCATGAAACACATGAATACGAAGTCCCGTCTTGCTCAGAGCAAGACCCTCTTGATTACGAGTCCCATGAGGTATCAGCCAAAGATATACCCCTCCCTCCCTCCGAGGTTTCTGCCAGGGATGTTCCCTTGCCTGCTTCTGAGGTATCCCAGAACAAGAACGAGAAATCTCAATATGGAAACGACATTGAGTTCGCTGCTACGATTGCTGCTGCAACCGCTGCCGCTGGATTTGATCCCTCATTCATCACCAATGATCCTTCGTACCACACGCGCACTTCTCCTCCTGGCTCGGAGGATGAGGCCCACGCGCCATTCACCTCTCCTTGGGCTCCACGCAAGCAGGGCTTCGTCGAAGAGGAAGAACTTGACCCCAAGTCTAAGGACATTTCTTCTCATGGAGCTCAAGATAAGGATGAGCTCTTCTTTGACGAGCCTAAGGCAATCCAAGATCGTGATGCCTACGGACGCCGCGAAAACTCAATCGCTCAGGAAGTTATCGAGCATCTTAATGGCAAGCGGTCGAACGATGCTTCCCCAGAGAGAGATGTTGACACTTTCTCTATGCCTGGCGGATTTGATACAGCTGATCCACGAGACTTGGTGGATGACAGGTCTGTTGTCACCGCTCCCTTGGACAACAAGCCAAAATCCAAGCCCAAGCCTAAGAAATCCCGCCTCAGCCAGGAGTTTGAAATCCCCGAGTACAAGGACCAAGACCCCTCTGCTGAAGAGTCGCGCTCAATTCCATCTGCGCCCGAACCAGAGGCTTTGCGCGAGCTTCCCGTCAACGACCTCGAGGCATCTCAAACCCGTGAACCATCCTCCATGGGTGACTCTTTCTCCGTTATCTCTGCTCCCACATCGAAGGATGAGACATCCAAGTCCAAGTCACGGAAGTCTCGTCGCAGTGGCGATGAATTTGAGACTGCGCCTCAAGAACCCGAGGTCCCCGCGCCAGACGACTCTTTCTCTGTTATTTCCGCTCCTGTGTCCAAGGATGAAACTTCCAAGTCTACCTCCAGGAAGTCTCGTCGCAGCGGCGATGACTTTGAATTTGACTCGCGCGAGCGTTCTGAACCTCAAGACATGGCTCGCTCTTTCGACTCGACTATACCGCCTACAGAAGAGCCTGCTCTGCCCAAGAAGTCTCGACGCAGCGGAGATGACTTCGAGGTTGCATACCAAGAGCCGCGTGATGACAGCTTCTCTGTTATCTCAGCTCCAACTTCGAAGGAAGAGACCTCCAAGTCCGAGTCTCGCAAGTCCCGCCGCAGTGGCGACGACTTCGAGGCTGAGAACCAAGAACGTGAACTTGCCGAGCCCCGGGACGATTCATTCTCCGTCATTTCTGCTCCCGTCTCGAAGGATGAGACATCCAAGTCCAAGTCCCGGAAGTCTCGTCGCAGCGGTGATGACTTTGAGATCTATGAATCCCGTGAGCCCTCTGAGTCTCGCGAAGTATCTCGCTCCGCTACATCTACTCCTGCCCCCAAGGAGGAGTCCAAGCACAGAAAGTCAAGACGTAGCGGCGATGATTACTCTTCCCGCTCGCGAGAGGTATCTCTGGCCCGTGACGATCGCTCCATCCTCTCCGCACCTGTGTCCAAGGACGAGACTTCCAAGTCTAGACGATCTCGCCGCAGTGGAGATGATTTCGACATCTCGCGATCGCGTGATGTGTCCGAAGTCCGCGATGACTCCCGCTCCGTCATTTCTGAATCAGGAAAGTCTCGCCGCTCCCGTCGCAGCGATGACTTCGACCCTCGTCGGGATGCTGGAACCCCGCCTCCCGATGACGACAATGGCGACGAGAAGAAGAGACGCCGCAAGCGTCGCTCCAAGCACGAGGGTGACAGCTATGCTGACGATGATGCTCGCTCTATTACTACAGATGCTGCGGATGATAACAAGTCTGAGCGCCGTAGGCACCGCCACCGTTCGTCGAGGGATTTCGATGACACCGCCTCAATTACATCCGCTATCACTGATGTTGCGGATGACAAGTCTGAGCGCCGCAGGCATCGTAGCCGATCGTCCAGGGACTTTGATGATAATGCATCTGTGACCTCCTCTCCAGCCCGGATCTCTGAATCCCGCGAAAGGGGCAAGGACAAGAAGGATAAGAGCGGTGGTTTCTTGAGAAGTCTCTTCGGCTCGCAGGTCTCGGCTCCTGCAGAACGCGTTCGTTCCGACCATTCTCGTGATCACTCCCGGTCTTCCTCGTTGGACAAACGTTCGTCCCGCGAGGCCATCTCCGAAGCCGGAGGCGATGATGAGCGCCGCCGCCGCAAGAAGCGTTCCTCCAAGAGCCGCACCTCCAGCAACGGAGATGAATTGGATGCTTACCTGTCAGACAAGGAGAAGCGCGACCCTAATCTGGAGGAGTACAGATCGAGTAGGCAACGCAAGGAAGAAGAACGTCGCCATAAGTATGAGGACATTGTGGATTCTGGAAGGAAACGGGATTCCGCAAAGGTATTGCATTGATTTTTCCTTTTTTTTCTCTTTCATGTTGATCGATTTATTGTACGCGTTTTATGTGCCACATAGTTTCCCTTCTTGTTGGATGATTCCCTCAGCACCACAGCCACAAACTGCAAACAAAGAAATGTACTAAGCTTTTACTGGTATTATTCCACGCGCAGGACTTTAAAGACGACGATTCTTTTTTAAGCGAGGGCCCCGGACTTCCCGCTGATCGCACCACCGGTGCTTCGGGGCCTCCAGAGGATGCCGCTGTCGCCGCGGGCTTAGACCTGAACGAGGTCCTACAGCAGAGGCCTCGGAGCCGTTCAATTTCGCCCCCGAACGCCGAAAAAACCCTGGATCTGACGCCCAAGTCAAGGAGTAGACCAGCTTCACCAGACTCAGGCCGTCACCCCGCCCAGCGGAGACACTCCGTTGCCAAATCAACTGAGTCACCTACCGCTGTGCCCTTGCACTTCCGCCGGCCCCCAACCTCTCCAGGCCTTTCTCGAGCTGTACCAGTTGAGCCCGCGACCTCCCCCGGCTCGCCGAGCCAACAGCGTCACCGCCGTCCCGGCTCAGTGGAGTTCCGCAACTCGCGAGAGATTAGACCACTATGGCTCGTTGAGCGCCACAGCGCCGCCAAGGGCGAGCCAGAAGAAGAGAGTCATCTCCCATCCCTCCCATCAAGCAAAGGTTCCTCGCGAGTCCCTTCAATTGAGAATTTGAAGGATCTCAACGACGATGAAATGAAGAGTTGGGAACACGTCGATCTAAGCCACGAAATCACGGAACGTCCAAACCTGACGATCTCAACTGATCAGGCCAATGAGCATCGTGAACGTGATCTTGATCTCCTCGACTCCCAGCAGGCCACGCCCACTGCGGAGCATCACGACGAAAACAAAGGAAGACCTCACTATGAGTTCCACTCTCCTTCTGAGCTCCTGCAGGACCCCGCGTCGTTGGATGAGATCACCTCAAAGTCGTTCGAACGCTTGCCCTCTGTTGAAGGCTCAGTCGTCGGAGACAATGCTCGCGAACTAAGTGCTGACGACAAGAGTAAGGAGACCGATCGTGCGCTTGATGCCCTTGAGGGCCGAACACAGCCAGACCGAACCCCCACACAGGAGAAAGACTCTTTCAATTTCAACCAGGGTGGTTTCGCGAACATTGTTGATGCCGCTGCCATTGCCGCTGTGAAGGAGCATGATGAGCGGGCTGCACCCGCAGACAAGGCTGAGCCTGGCTTTGGCGACATCGTCAACCAAGCAGTCGCTCAATCTTTCGATGATCGCAAACCCGAGGATAATGCCGGAATTGATCCTGCTCCTGAGTCATCGAAGGACTTGGTCCCTGAAATGACTGAGCAGCCGGTCGAAGAGCCTCAACCTGAACCTTCTGAGCCTGCAGCTGATAACATCGAGGCTCCGCAGCTTTCAAAGAAGCAGAAGAAGAAGAAGGGCAAGAAGAACCAAGCTCAGGAAGATGTGCCTCAAGAACCGACGGAGGAACAGAGTCTCCCAACTGAGACCCCTGTTGAGACCCCGGCTGAGACACCCTTTGAGACACCCGCTGAGACTCCCACTGAGATCCCCGAGAATGTTCCTGAACCTCAGTTTGAGCCTTTGGAATCCTCGCGTGAAATCCAACTCGAGCCAGAGGTCGCGCTTGCTGAAGGCGAAGCAACTCCTCAACCGGAACCTGAGGCCAGTGCAGCTGAAGTAACTACGGATATCGCAACCGAACCTCAGGCCGCAGCTGAGTCTACTGAGCCAGCTGTTGAACCCACGCCAGAGACCGAGGTGGTGCCTACCGAACTCGAGCAAGCTGAGGACACAGCATCTTCATCTAAGAAGTCGAAGAAGGACAAGAAAAAGAAGAAGAAGGGTAAGAATGCTGCCACCGAGGAACCTACCGAAGATGTAGCTACTGCGCAATCCGTCGAAGAGTCTCCTGCCGTGGAGGCGACGGAGGCTACTACTTCTACCAACGAGCCTGCTTCACAAGAACTTCCCGTGGACCAAGTTCATACAGAAGAAGCAATCAAGGCGGAACTTGTCCCTGCTACCGAGGAGCCTGCAATGCCAGCTGAGCGGGAGATGCCAGCAGGCGAGACATCCGAACCTGTTTTCGCCGATGCCAACGAAAATCAGACCCCAGAAGCTGCCCCTCGGAGCATTGATGATACCGCACCAGTGGCTCTTGATGAGTCCAACTTTGTGCCTGAAACACCCAAAGAAGAGACGGGAAGCGAAGAGAACTTCCAAGAGGCTGTCGAGGAACAGGGCCCTCAGCCCATTGAAGAACAGATATCGCTGCCCGCCGAAGAGAAGGAACCTACATCCGAACCTGCGACGGAAGAGCGGCAAGTCGAAGAAACACCCGCGGAAGCCACAGAGTCCAAGTCAGAGAAGCGCAAGAACAAGAAGAAGAAGAACCGCAAATCTGCCGTTGAGGAGACGGTCGACGAACCTGTTGTTGAGACTGAATCTCTTCAGCCAGCAACTGAGGAGGCTCAGCCTGAGCAATCAGTGCCAATCAGCGGTGAAGCCTTGCCCTCTGATCTTGACAAGGATGTCGAGCTGCCTTCTGAACCAGCTGCCCAAGAGCCAACTCCCGCCCTGGAGCAAGAGGCTCCTTCTTCCGAGACAGTGGATCCCAGTGCCCCAGTCGAGGCTAATGCCACTGAAGAGTCTTCCCGTGACATTCCAGAAGACACGGTAGAATTCCAACCCGAACCAGGATCCGTGGCTCCTGTGGAAGACTCCGCTCATGAAACCACCGAGCCTGCCCTCGCCACTCAGGCTGAACCTGAACCTGAGGCTGAAACGGAAGTCGCCATGACGGAAGTCGCCATGACTCCTGCTCAGAAGAAGAAGGCAAAGAAGGACAAGAAGAAGAAGGGCAAGGAGAGCCAAGCTTCTGTCCCCGAGGAAGAGGTTCTGCCTGAGTCTGCCGAAACAGCTCCGCCAGCTAATACAGCTGTTGAAGAGGCTGCTAAGGAAACTGCCGCCCCCGAGGAGGCACCCATGGAAATGGCACCGGAAGCCGAACATCAGGTTCCCGCCGAGGTCGAGGCCCCCGCTGAGACCGAGCAAATTTCCGTTCCCGAGCAGCCCGCAGAGCTCGAGAAGCCCCAAGAAGAAAGTGCCTCCCTCGCGGAGCCAGCAGCGGAAACAGTAGAGGCAGAGACCCCACTCGAGTCCAATGAGCCTGTAGAGCAGGAGAAAACCGAGGAGGCTGCCGCTGAGCCAGAAGTTCCCATGACAGCTGCTGAGAAGAAGAAGGCGAAGAAGAACAAGAAGAAGCAGCAGAAGCAGGAGGAAGATGTGATCCCGGCTCAAGAGGATACTCCACCGACTGACCTCGCCTCTCAGCCCGGACCAGAGGAGGTCCCAGAGGCTAGCAGGGATCTGGCACCGGCAGAAGGCACTGAAGCCGTTGATCCCCCCTCCATGGACACTGAGGCTCCTTCCCAAGACACCCCAGTTGAAGCCACAGAACCAGAAGTGGCCCCGGCCCCTGAAGATGCTGCTCCCACCGATGTTCCCCCTCCCTTGGAGACCGAGGCTGCAGTAGTTGAAGAGACCTCCGCCCCCGGAGCTGTTCAGCCTGGCGATGATGCACCTGTGCCTGCCGACGACACAATTGCCGCTCCTCTGGAGGCAGATGTTGCCAAGGAAGACGAGCCCTCAGTGGAGGCTGAGGTTCCAATGACTGCCGCGGAGAAGAAGAAGGCTAAAAAGAACAAGAAGAAGAAGAACCAGTCTGCTCAGCCTGAAGAAGAGCCAACTACCGAGACTGAGCCTTCTCCCGCCGAAGACAAGTCAGCCAAGACTCCTGCTGAAGCTGCCCCGGAGGCCGAGGCTGCACACACATCCGAAGCCGGTGAGCAGCCTACTGAGCCTGAGGTGGCCCGCGAGATCGATGTCGACGCCACATCTGCCGACCAGCAAACTCCAGATGCGCAGAACGTTGATGCTGAGACATCTGAGCCATCCACCGAGCTACCTGCTGCCACGCCCGAAGTATCTGAACAAGTTTCCGATGTCCCAGCTAGTACCGAGGCCGAGCCCCAGGTGGACGAAACAGCTACTCCCACCGAAGGTCAAGAAGAGCAGAAGGTTGGAGTTGCCGCTGAAGAGTCTCCGGAGAAGATCGCAGAGGAAAAGCCCAATGAATCCGCCACAGAGCCAGCTGAAGAAGAGGCAATTACACCTGCACAGAAACGAAAGGCCAAGAAAGACAAGAAGAAGAAGAGCCAATCTGCTGCCGCTGAGGATGAGCAAGTTGCCCCTTCTGAGGAGGCCACGGCTGTACCTGCTGAAGAGGAGACCAAGCCCGCCGAGGAGGAGACACAGCCTGTTGTCGCTGAGGATCCCATCGAGCCAGCTGTGGCCCAGGAGTCCGAACAAGTTCCAGAGCCAGAGGCGGCGCCCCCTGTTACCGAAGAGGAGCCCCCAAAGGCCGAGGAAGCCACTCCAGCCGAAGAGACCACTCAGCCGGAAACCCCCATTGATTCCGAAGCCGCTGAGGTAGACGAGTTTGCGGGTATGAATGCTGCTCAACGAAAGAAGGCCAAGAGGGAGAAGAAGAAGCGCCAGTCGCTCGCCGCTGAACAAGACCCTGCACCTGCAGAGGAAGAGCCCAAAGCTGCTCCCGAGGAAAGCCCAGCCGACGAACAGCCAGTCCCCGAAGATACCAAGGAAGTTTCTCCCACCGAATCCCTCGAGCCAGTTGCCCTTCAAGAGGCTGAGCCCGTCTCTCTTGAAAAGGATGCAGAGACACCTGCCGTGGAAGAAGAAGCACCAAAGGCTGAAGATCCTTCACCAGCTGAAGATACCGTCCAGCCAGAAGCCCCTGTCGACGAGGCTGCTGCTGAAGCCGACGAATTTGCGGGCATGACTGCCGCTCAAAGGAAGAAGGCCAAGAAGGAGAAGAAGCGCCAGTCACTCGCCGCTGAACAACAGTCTACGCCCATAGAGGAAGAACCGAAGGCTGCGCCTTCCGAGGAGCAGCCCGTTGAAGATCAGCCGGCTGTACAGGAGGCTACAGATACGATCGCAGAGGAATCCACCGAGCGTTCTCTTGAAAATAACCCCGGACCAGCAATCGCAGAAGAGGAAGCGCCAAAACCTGAAGAACCTACTGCAGCTGAAGAGATTGCCGCGCCAGAGACCCCTGCTGAGCCTGCTGCCGCCGAAGTAGATGAATTCGCGGGAATGACTGCTGCCCAGAGGAAGAAAGCTAAAAAAGAGAAGAAACGTCAGTCTCTCGCTGCCGAGGAGTCGAAGCCTACAATTCCCGAGGATGAGGCCAAGTCAGCCCCCAGCGAAGAGGAGCAGCCTGCGTCCACTGAAGCTGTCCAAGATGTGCCTTCCGAGGCCGCTGAAACTGCCGAGCCATCTTCCCTGCAGGATGCTGAGACCTCGCCTGAACAAACCGCTGAAGCACCTGCAGTTGAAGAGGCATCAAAGACCGAAGAGATCTCTCCTGTCGAAGCCGCCCCTACGGCCGACGAGCCTGCTGATGCCGCCGCCGCCGAAGCGGCAGAGGAGGCCGAGTTCGAGGGCATGACCCCGGCCCAAAAGCGCAAAGCTAAGAAAGACAAGAAACGACAGCAGCGCAAGTCAGTCGCGTTTGAGGAAGATACAACTCCAGCTGAAGAGCCTAAGCCAGACCAAGAGCCGCCTGCTGAAAGCAACCCCGAATCGCAAGAAGCTTCAGCTGACCTCCCTGGCTCGGAAGAGACTCCCAAGGATTTGCCATCTAACGAAGAGGTTTCTGAGACTCCCGCAGAAGAAAAGGAGACTGAGGGACCTGCCAATACTGAGTCGGAGGGGCCGAAACCTGCCGCTGAATCTGTTGAACAAACGGAAACAGATGCTCAACCTCCCACGGAAGAGTCTTCTACAAATCCCGAGGTCGACGAATACGCTGGGATGACCGCTGCTCAGAAGAAGAAGGCCAAGAAGAACAAGAAGAAGGGCAAATCAGCGGATGCGACTGAAGAGGCCGCGGTTGAAACCCCCGAAACCCAACCAGAGACTACTGAGCAGGAGCAAGTGATCGAATCTGAACAACCCAAGACCGAAGATCTCGACACCACTGCGGTTTTATCCGAAGATGCACCTAAGGACGAAGTTTCTGAAGCCAAGGAGCCCGATAGCGAGACTAAAGCCGCCGACGAAACGAGTCAGCCGGATGCTGTTGCCGACACCCCTGCCGCCGAAGTCGACGAATACGCGGGAATGACCGCCGCTCAAAAGAAGAAGGCCAAGAAGGCCAAAAAGCGACAGTCCAAGGGCAACGCCGCCGATGATAGCTCTGCTCCGCCCACCGAGCCCGCGACGCCAATTGAAGAAAATAGCGTGGAGAAGGTCCTCACTTCGACGGACACAGACGCCCCTGGACTTCCCGCGACGGCAACCTCGCCTGCGGAACATGACGGTAAAGATCAGTCCCACGACGAAACAAACGCTTCGGCGCAAGAAACAACCTCGACTGATAACTTCATGTCTTCGCAGGTTGAGACGTCGACAGAGAGTCCTTTTTTAGATTTTCCTCCCCAACCCGTGCTTGAGCGTTCAGTCATTTCCGGCGAGTTGGAGGAGGTAGCTGCTCCGCAGGAGGGTGATGTTGCCCCTTCTGCACAGGAGCCTGATGTTGTTGAGTCTTCTCTTGAAGAGAAGGCTGCTGGTGAAGTTGGTGAGGAGATTTCGTCCGTGCCGGAAGCGGGCGATTTCTCAGAGAAGGTCGAAGATACGTCTGTGGATGTGCCGGTGGAAGCTGTTCCCAAGCCACAGACTGAAGAAGCCCCCCTGGAGGAAGAGGCTGTGGAGACCGCTGTTTCTAAGAAACAGAAGAAAAAGAACAAAAAGAATAAAAAACAAGAGGAGGAAACGGTTGAAGCTCCAGCTAACGATGTTGATGTGGCTACTGGAGAAGAAGAGAAGGAGATGTCCAATGTTGTGCCCTCAATTGAGGCCGAAGCTCAGCCTGAATTACCAGCCGTTGAAGACAATCAAGCCGAGCCAACTGCTGAGCCGGAGCCAGTCGTCGACAAGCCAACCGTTGAAGAGCCAGCCGTCGCAGAGCCAATCATTCAACCTGAACCAGCCATCGAAACGACGCCAATCGTCGAAGAGCCAGTCGTTGAACAGACAGCCGCTGCGGAACCAGTCAATCAAGACGAGCCGGTCGTCGAAAAACCCCCAATTGTCGAAGAGCCAGCCGCTCAAGCCGAGGCAACTGTTGAACCGGAACCAGTCATCGATGAAACAAGTGTCGATGAACCAACAGTTGAAGAGCCAGTCGTTCATGCCGAGGCAACTGTTGAACCGGAACCAGTCATCGATGAAACAAGTGTCGATGAACCAACAGTTGAAGAGCCAGTCGTTCAGGCCGAACGAAACGTTGAAACGGAGCCAGTCGTCGATGAACCAAGTGTCGATGAACCAACAGTTGAAGAGCCAGTCGTTCAGGCCGAACGAAACGTTGAAACGGAGCCAATTGTCGTTGAGCCAACAACTGAAGACTCCGCCGTTGTAGTCGAGCCAGCTGTTGAAACGGAGCCAGTCGTCGAGAACTCAATCATCGATGATCCAACGAACCAAGCCCCGTCAACAAAAGCTTTAGAGGAACAGACAGAAGAACACCATGTTGAACAGTCTTCTGCTGACCAGCCAATTGATACCCCTGAAGAGACCAAGGAACTCAACGTTTCAGCAGCCGAGAATATTGAAACCCCGATTCTCGAAGGCCCGGCGGAAGAGGAGACTGAGCAGCCTTCGCTCTCTAAAAAGAAGAGCAAAAAGGACAAGAAGAGAGAACGCCAACAAGCTCTGGCTCAAGAACAAGAGGCTATCTCTCAGCAAGAGGCCACGCCAGCATTGGAAGCACTCGACGCTCCTGCTCCCGAATTGGAGCCCCAGGTTGCTACGGAAAATGTACCTGAAGACGAGAAGCCCCAAGATGACCTTGCTTTTACAGAAGCCGACCCGAGTGCTGAGCCGATTGAGCACCCCGTCCATGATGCTGAACCTGCTGCTGAAGCTGAGCACCATGCTTCGAACAAAGAGCTCGCATCCGAAGAAGCTTCCGCCGAGCCCTCTTCAGCCGAATCTCAACCCGAGGAAGCAGTCAAGACCCTCGAGTCGACCGAAGCTGGCCCTCAGGTCTCAGAGGCCGAGCTCCCCACTGAAAACCCCGAAGCCGAGGCTTCCGCAGAGCTTGTCGCTGGGGCTGTAGAGGAACCGCCATCTGCACCCAAGAAGATGAGCAAGAAAGAGCAAAAGAAGGCTGCCGCTGCCGCTGCCGCTGCCGCAGCTAGTCTCGAGGAAGACAATTCTCCCGAGCAAAAACTTGCCCCCAACGAGCCTGCAGCAGTCGCCACCGAAGCTCCCGATGAGGTGGCAGCACAACCACTTGCCGAAGAGCAAGTGCCCACCGAATCAAAGGATGAGCCCGAGCCCATGGTGGAACGATCTCTTGAAGAACCAAAGGAGATAGCCACTCCCGAGCACGCGGAAACCCTTGAACAGAAGCCTGTTGAGTCTTCTGAGCCCATCGAACAAGTTAGTCTTGAGGCTTTACCAGATGATAACACTCAAGAGCCACCCAATGAGCCAGCCAGCGAAGGCCCCTCTCGCAAAATGTCAAAGAAGGAGAAGAAGAAGGCCAAGAAAGACCTCAAGCAGGAACCCATTGAGCCAACTTCTACCGGGCCTGAGGAGCCTATATCCACTGTCCAGCCTGATGTTTCGGAGGTTGCACCCGAACAAGTGGCTTTAGACGAGCCAATGGCCGAATCTGTTCTGGAACATGAGACTATTCAACCGGAATCATTGGATCAAAGTCCTGTAGCTACCGCCGGAACAAGCGAAGAGCCCAAGAGCGAGGACGTCGTTCCCGAAGACAATCAGCACCCGGAGACTGTGAAGGATGAGGCAGTTGTCTCTCAGGAGACCGCCGACGTTGCTCCTACTGAAGCAGAGACATTGGATATTCCCACAGACGTCGCAGAAAAGCCTACTTCTCCCGAACAGACTGCTGATGAGCATCTCGACAAAGCAACCGACAACGGACTCCCCGAGCTTTCGACTGACAAGCCTCATGAGGCTCAAGAAGCGTCAGAATTGCCCAAGAAGATGTCAAAGAAGGACAAGCGTAAGGCGAAGAAGAATGCTGGCATTGTCGACGAGACGCCTGAGCCGCAACCTGAACAGGCTACGGTCGATGTTGCCGAAACCCCGGCTGAGATTGAAAAACAAACATCAGAGCCCGCTATTGAGGCGCCAGCTCAATCGGAACCAGAGCCTGATGTAGCCCAGGCTGTTTCGGAGCGAGAGCTGCTCGTTGATTCTCCGCTTCCAATTGAAGAACAGCCCACACCCGAGCCGGAAGTTCCAGCTGAATCCCAGCAAGCTGAGCCTGAGCCCGCTCAGCAGGACCCGATTCTGTCGCAAAAGGCAGCCAAGAAAAAAGCCAAGAAGGCCCAAAAAGCCGAAAAATCTCTGGACATCGAGCCAGCAACTGAACAAGAGTCCACTACTGCAGAGAACGTTCAAATCGCACCTTTTGAAGATGAACCGCCCAAGGCCCCAGAGGCAACATCGCCACCAAAGAAATCCGCACAGGATGACGACGATTGGCCTGCCATTGACTGGGAGCAAAAGGTCGATCGTTCCCAGCAACCGAGGGAGGCGGATCTTGGGCCCGAGCCGGTACCAACATCGGGACAAGATATCATTGCAGAATTCGAAGACTCTTCTGCCCCAGAAGCCCAGGAAAACGAAGCACTTGAGCAGACCAGCGATCATGCTTCCTTGCCGTTGAGCAAAAAAGACAAGAAGAAGGCCAAGAAGGACAAGATCCAGTCCCAAGAAGCTGTCGCCGAAAAGCCCGTGGAAAAATTCGACAGGGCAGTGGAAGCGCCTCCTCGAACAACTACTCCCGGTGGATCTAAGATTGCGAATATCTTCCCCGGCCTAGAGCGTGGTGGCTACAAGAAAAGCGTGGAAAAGCTGTCGTCACTCAACGAAAGCCATAAACCAAAAGTCGAGCCAGAAGCCAGTCGCGAGCTAGCAGCTCCTGTTGCAGAAGCCGCACCTTCGGAGTCGAAAGAGCTTCCCCACGCTCCCAAACTACCTAGCCTCGAAGAACAGATCGAGTCTGCTATTGCGCATGTGAAGTCCTACGACGAAATTCCTACAGAGAAGGAGACTACCAAGATTCCCGAGGACGATGTTCCTACACAAGACAAGCAACCTTTGGATGCGCCAGTCTCATTTCCCCCAGATACTCGCGAGGACTCAACCCAATTCTCGCCCGAACAGGCCGGAGAGGATCAATGCGAGCTCCGTCGATCGCCCTCCATTCACGGACGACACCAAGCCACCCCTAGGACTTGGAGCCTCGACGATCCATCGCTACCAGCCACCGGACCCTCCCCTCCTCGGTCTGTCTTCGGAGGGCCGAGCGAGGAGTCCTTCAGTCGGCCTCGGACACCGCTCGATACCATTGCGGAACAAGAGCCCCGGGAAGGTCGTCCCGCCACCAAGGGTCGAAGGGGCACTCCTCGCTTGGAGATGAAGGCGGAGCATGTCTTGCCTCGACCTCAAACTCCTGTGCGCAAGTTCACGGATAATGCGTTTGACCGAGAGTCATGGCCTACGGATGAAAGCAAAAAAATCGTCCGGGCTGGATCTCGAGAGACAATTGAAGTCACCAAGACTCCTGAACAAGGGTTTCAGATTCTGAAGCCCAGCACGAGCAGCGGAAGATTACGTCGCACGAAGCGCAGCGTTAGCGGCGATCTGCGGGCGGCGAGTCAGTCCCAGCCTTCCTCCACCGATCTCGACCAGCTCCCGTCTTCTTCTTCTTACGACCCCGTCACCGACAAGGGCAAGCGTCCTATGCGCAACATGTCGGACGTTTATGTATGTCACTTTTGATTTTTAATTTTTTGCATTTTGTTTGTTTTGATTTACTAACTGTGTGTTTTTGCAGGAGGGTTGGGGTGAAACGCCAAGCTCCCCGCGGTCGCCCAGCCGACCGCCTAGTGTCCGTCGTCGCCGTAGCATGCAACACTTGCAAGACATTGAGACTCGAATCGATCAGCTCATTTCAGAAAATCGTCTATTGATTGCTGCCCGTGATGAGGCCGAAGACAAACTACGAAACGCCAGTGTCGCTCGCCGGAAGAGCGACCGCGCCCTCAACACCCGCGACGGGGATCTTCGCGACCGAGATGCGGAGGTGGAACAATTGAAGAACTCAGTGGAATGGCTACAAAAAGAGACATCCCGTCTCACCAATGAGAATGAGTCCATCACAGCTTCCAATGCTGCCCTCGCCGCCGCCCACTCGGCCGAAGTCAGCGCTGTCCGCGACAACTCGGCCCACGAATTGGCCGAGTTACGGGCAAAACACACCAAACTCTCGTCCAAAATGGACGAAAGAGTTCGCCAAGAGATCGAGTCTGCGCTGGCGCAGAAGGATATCGAACTGCGACGCCTGCGCACCGAACTCGAAGAAGCTCGCGACAAGGTCAAGGAGCTACAACAACAAATCTCGGCTTCAGTACACGACAATGCCCTCGTCTTCCGGGACGAGGAATACTTCGATGCCGCGTGCCAAAAGCTCTGCGGTCACGTCCAGTCGTGGGTGGTGCGATTCTCCAAGCACAACGACAAGCGTCGCTGCCGCCCACTCGCCGAGCTGAAAGACGAAAAGATCGCAGACCGGTTCGATAATGCCCTGCTGGACGGATCCGATCCTGACGCATACCTGTCGGATCGAGTCCGCCGCCGCGACGTCTTCATGTCTGTGGTCATGACTATGGTTTGGGAATACATCTTCACCCGCTACCTGTTCGGCATGGACCGTGAACAACGTCAAAAACTCAAGTCCCTCGAGAAACAACTGGGTGAGGTCGGCCCCAGCCGAGCTGTGCATCGCTGGCGAGCCACAACCCTCACCCTCCTCTCTCGTCGCCCCGCCTTCGCCGCCCAGCGCGAGAACGACACCGAGGCCGTCACCCTGGAAATTTTCCAGACCCTCTCCCGTGTCCTCCCTCCCCCCTCCCACGTCGAGTCCCAACTCCTCGACAACCTCCGCAAAATTATGCGTGTGGCGGTCAACCTCTCTCTGGAGATGCGTACCCAACTCGCCGAATTCATCATGCTCCCTCCCCTCCAGCCGGAATACGACATCAACGGCGATCTCGCCCGACAGGTCTACTTCAACGCTGCGCTCATGAACGAGCGTAGCGGACTGACCACCAACAACGAAGACCTCGAGTCTCAGCAGTCCGTTGTCCGCATCGTGCTCTTCCCCCTCGTCGTCAAGAAGGGCAACGATGTCGGCGAGGGCGATGACGAAGTCGTCGTGTGTCCCGCCCAGGTCCTCATCGCTCGTCCGCTCAAGGATAAGAAATTCCCTGGCATGAGTGACCGCATGTCCGTTGACGGGTCGAGATCCGTCCAAAGTTTCGCTCCCAGTGTTGCCCCTTCGTCAATGATGGACATGAGTAATGTGATTTGAGGCGTCACACTCTTTTCACGATTACTCCCATCCGTGGCCCTGCGAGAGACCGCATTCTGCTTTTTTGACTTGGTGTTTCGGTACCGGTTTCATCGCGAGCACCATGGCCGTGAGCATTGGAGTTGCCTATGATTTTTTTGTTTTATTTTCTTTTTCCGTGTCAGATTTGTATTTACATGGCCTTTGATGTCTTATGAGTGATGAACTGTACTTCTGGCATTACAGTGTAATAATTTATTCTTTACTTCGTTCCAAGCTTGCTTCTGCAATTGACATAGACATCTAACTGTAAGCTACACACCCTTCAGATGTCGGCATTAGACAACCCAGTCGTTCCAAGGATTGTTCCAATGTTCTGGCCTGGCAAATGAGTAGATCTTCTTGACCCACAAAGATATCGCCGCGGAACTAAACTAGTATCGGAGAAATTTAGCCTACGCATGCAGTGGCATGCAGATGAGTGGAGGTTATCAGGTGCATGGGATGCGGCCGTGATACATCATTTCTCCCAAGGGAATGTCTGGCTACCTACCTAGTACTAGGTATGTAAGTGTGGAATGCATGCACTGGATATTCCTCGCTAAACATAAATTATATTCTTATGACCATCAGCCCAATTATAATAGCTAGGTATACGCAAGACAGAAAACCCCCAAACCTCAGAACCCCAAACTATTTACAAGTAAAGGAGGACGCTTTGCTCGCATCACCCCCAACATAAGTCAAGAACTTAGGATACGCACACAAGTCCGCCGTCCGCAGAGGCAGCTTCGCACTATCAGTCCCAGTAGGCGTAGCAATAGCCCGCAAAGTGTCCGGCGCAGTACCATTCTCCACCCAGTTCACCAGCGAGTCCAAACTACTTCCAGGATAGAATCCAATCCCACCCTTGCAGTGATCAGCACCAGGGGCCGCAAAGAAGCGATAATAGTCCTGAATGCTGGGATCGATCTCCATAGCCTGTCGGTAGTAGTTCTCCGTGCCGTTGAAGAAGATCAACGGATCCTTCATGCCGTGCCAGGCAATCATCTTGCCGCCCGCTTGCTTGAAATCCGTCAAATCGGGATCGCGAGTCCCGATGATGGAGCTGTACTCGTTGACGGATTGGCGGAAATGACGAATGTACTCTGTGTAGGTGATGTCTGCCACGTCCAGGGAAGAGTTGCGGGCCAGGAAGATCTGTTGCCAGTCTGCGGAGATCTGGAATGGGATGGGCTGGCAGTTCTTCGAGGGCAGGGTGCAGTTCGTGCCGGCCAGACGGGTCAGAGTTGCGTCGTGAGAGAGTCCGTACCACAGGGATGAGCCGGAGGGGTCTTGAGGACCGGCCCAGACGAGGGTCACGTATTTGGCGGCCTTGGGGGTGATTTTGACGGTGCTGTTGGATGAGCACTGCACTGTCTTGCCGACGAGGGATGTGGCATTGTATTTGCAGAGTCCCGGGACGGAAATGATGCGGTCTTTCACGCCGTCCAGCGCATCACATTCATCGATGGCGTGTTCGGTGAAGGCATTGAGCTCGCAGGCTGAAGGGTAGTAGTCTATTTTACGTATTAGCCTGAATCCGTAAGTCGTTCCGTGCAGAGCGAAATCTTACCGAGAGCATTCATCAACATCTGAGGCCAGAACTCAGACGGGATGAACTTGTCCCAGTTGATAGCAGGCGATCCAGCCAGGATACCATCATATTGAGTCGGGTACCGCTGAGCCATCATATGGCCCTGGCGACCTCCAGTCGAGCAACCATTCCAGTAAGCGTACTTGTGAGGCTTTTCATAGAACATCTTGGTAGCAGCCTTTCCCAGCGAAGCAGCATCGTCAAGAGAAACCGCGCTGAAGTCCTGCATATTTGCCCAATTCACATTTCCCTCACTGGAAAGACCCCACGACTTGACAGTCGCAGCTTCGTCATGTCCGCCATTCGTCGATGCAGCAGCATACCCGCCAAAGACGGCCTGACTCAATCGGCCCCGTGTGCCCATGATCCAACCACCGCCGCCCATTCCCATGAATCGGCCATTCCAATTATCGACCGGCAGCGAAATCCAAGTCGTCACATTATCGTTCCAGCCCGGATGGGTGTAGTTCACCGTGAGCTGGCACACTTCCACTGTCTTGTTCGTTGCAACCGGATAGGCGTTCGTGGAATCGTCGACGTCAAAGCTGGCATTGTTGAGCTCAGCATCAATGGAGAGGACATCGATACTGGGGAGGCTGAGAGATGCAAAGGTTTCAGGCGCGCAGACTCTTCCGGTATTTGCTGACAGTGCCGAGGTCAGGAACTGGGATAGACCCAGGAGGTACACGTAGCTGGAGACCATGGCTTTGGAGGCTCAGGACCTTCAGGCTGTAGACTGAAGATGTGAATGATATCACAATGCGCTAGCCCTGGATCTTAAAAAATGCGCAGCAGAGCTTTTATACCAACAAACAGCAAGCTAGCAGATCGGACTATCGACTCCACTTGTGGAGGTGTTCATCGGACACGGGCGGAAGCGAGATTTGGTCTGTGGGCTAGGGTATTTGCATCTGGGAGACCATTCAATATGTATTCCAAGGTTCCTGTTGTGATATCCAGTATAATAGCACTGTCCTCTGCACGGAGCAGAGAGTGTACTACCGAAGATGCTCCCGTGTGCATGTATCCTGCATTAGTGTCTTGTAAGAGGAATACAATACCCCCTGATAGTCGACAATTCCCCTGTAGGATTAGATCGGTGGCGTGAAATATTACGATCTCCAATACTAGCTGTTTCGATCTCCCCTTTTCTGCGATTGAGTGCTGCTCTTTGCAGGGTTCTCCGCACTCGGATACTTATCCTGTCTGTTCGCGGCTTTCGACTCTATTCCAAGGCCGGCATTTCATTCGCCTTGGCTCGGTTGAAAAGCCGAAATCCCCTTCCGATGCTCTGATTTGAACGCCCAAGCTCAGTTGTGACGCGGGGCCCCGGGGTTTAGCCGGTACTATGACGATGTTTCTGGGCATGGTCCAGTCAGAGTAGGATAACGTGAGGATCTTCAGTGTACTACGTAGTACTATTGTCTTCATAAATCCTCAGCATCTTGAATTGCGGGGTCACATATCAGGCCGAGGATCCTGCCAAGGGGCATTCGGCTGAGGCATTCCGGATTTCAAGGAAATTGCTGTGAATGTCCACACACGCATCCGAGGTCTGCTTGAGATGAACCTCCTTTCTCATTTTTTCGACATGCAGCATAAAGCTTGTAATAGACGTCTCATTTTGGTTGGCTTATAGATTTTCCCACTGCTATCTTCAAGAGACTAAATCTTGGAATTCGAACCCCCGTTTGATATGACATCAGTACTACTTTCAGTATGGACAGCCATTGTCTAGTATCTCCGCTAGAATGGCCAACCTACATCGGAATAACTCAAGAATGAGTTAACACATAAGTTTTTGGACAAAGATTAGCCTTCAATCGGCCCTACAGTACAAGGTGATGAGAATCCGGACTCTCGTAGGCACAGACTTTCCGACACTCACATATTTATCTCCGCGGAGAGCTGAGAGGTGCAGCTGAGGGTTTGGCCGGAGATTTCACAAATTTGATTGTCGAGCTCTAGATTGGTAATGTCGAAACCTCCATTATCCCACAACTGTGGTCCGGTGGGATTTCTAAGGTGGAGTGGCTAATCCGGTGGGATGCCGGGCGCAGGGCCCTAAAAAGGGTATGCTCCGTACTCACATCTTCACTCGAAGTGGTTACAAGGAACATCATAACATGCTACGTTTTCATTGTCAGGTCCCAGGCTGTACCTCAAGCTATCGCCACAAAGAGCATCTCCGACGTCACGAAACGAAACATCGTGCGGGTCCTCATCACACCTGTCCGAGCTGTGATCGCGTTTTTTCTCGAAAGTAAGACTCAGCTGAAATTTGCGCATCATCGAAAACCTGGTATTGACATTCAATGCAGTGATAGTCTTCGGCGTCATATTCGTCGGGATCATGAAGACCCTGAGAGGTCAACCACTCGTGCCACACGGGCCTGCACAAAGTGTCGCATGACCAAAGCGCGGTGTCAGGGAGGCTCGCCATGCACACAGTGTCAATCGGATGGAAGCCTGTGTATCTTTGATAATGTAGCGCAGCAGGCGTCTGGGTCTGCTCACCAGGACCCCAAACATATCGGATCACAGGATCCATACCTTGCGAACGATCCTGTTGAGACTTCATTCGCCAATACCGCTAGGATTCAGCACCACATACAACTCTACTTTGCTCATTTTCATCCTCATTGGCCTATTTTGCATCGCCAGACCTTCAGTGTTCCTGATGAGCCTCCGTTCCTACTGCAAGCAGTGTTAATGATCGGTCTCTGGGTCAATGGGAGTCCTCAAGCACAACAAGCTGCACGGGACTTACATTCCAAGCTCGGAAACGAGATTTTGGCACAGCGGGTAAGCTAATTGATGGGAATTAAGATGAAGTATGTCTAGCTCATGATCTTTTCAACTCGCAGGATATCTGGGAACGGTCCCCAGTAGAAGAGAACGAGAGTTCTGATGGCTTGACCTCGCGGTGGCCGATTGCAACTTACCAAGGTATTCTTCTCTACCTCATCTTTTCCTTGTCGCTCTCGGTTTCGAGCTTGTCGAGTCTCGAGCTCAGCCTCAGCCTGGGACTGAGCCGGCCTGATCGTGAAATACTTATGGCGCTTACTGCGACGTGCCTCCGCAACGACATCTTCCATTACCCCAATATGATTACGAGGTACGGAGACGTGGAATTCTCTACTTGCTTGTGGGTGGGAGTTGAAGAGATTAAGAGGCTTGGTTTGGCGCTCTATAAGGTGTCTCGGATTTGTAGAGGGGATCATAGCTTGGCAAATCACGATGGCACTGTTCGACTGTTGCGCCTCTCTGATCTGCAGTTCCCAATGCCGGACAGCTATACTCTGTGGAATGCTGGGTCGAATGCTGAATTGATTCAACTTCGTTCGATTTATGCTAGGAGAGGGGATAGCCTGGATGACCTTGAGAGTACCACTTGGATTTCGCAGAAGGCAAAGTTTTTAGAAACCAATGAAGATTGGTGGATTCAAATTATTTGAGAGTCTTCAAGGCTCTAAGAGTGGCGCGGTTGTTTTATGCCGTATTCATCAAAAGGACTTGTTGTAATGCTATTCGAGTTGATTTTCGTACTTGGAAGGATGGGCACGGGGTTGGCACAAGAATATCTCAAAGGAATGATGTAAATCCAAGCAATCAAACATAATTTCACAAGTACGACTTTTTTCTTCACTAACTAATTCCACTCAAAAAGGAGATTTTCCAACTCCACACCCCCTACCGTCTACGCCACGGCTGGAGTATCCTGACCAGGAACAAGCCAACAAACTCTGTCCGACACCTTTTCTTCCTCAAAGACCTTAGCCAAATCAGCCTGATGCTCGGTGAAATGTTCCCACGATTCGAAGTGAATAGGAACCATCCGATCAACATTCAGCTCGCGCATCAAATGAGCAGCCTGCTTCCCATCGAAAGTGATTTGTAGAACCCCATTGGGATGCTCGAAGAGCGCATTCCCCAGGTTCAAGACGGCGATGGAAACATGCCACTTGTCCTTGATTGCAGCCAGCTCATCAATCCACACAGTATCGCCAGAGAAATAAACCACATTCGGCAGACCGGACTCATGAATACCGAATGAGTCGCACTCGATGATGAATCCCGTAACCTCGCCTCCGGGGAAGTGCTTGCAAGGAGTTCCCGTGATACGGTATTCCTTGCCTCCGAGCTTGGTGCAAACGGTCTGCCAAGGGCGAAGTCCGACGACTCCAGGGCGTGGCTGGAGATTGTGTGCACCGTCGGGTGTGGTGAAGACATGGCGGCCGTCTAGCAATTGACGGCCCAGGGGATCAAGGTTGTCGACATGATCCTCGTGACTGAGCAAGACGGCATCGATGGGTGGGATGTCGTGGAGCTGCAGGGCTGGACCCTCGAAGCTTCGGAGAATGCCTGCCGGGGGCTCGCCCTTGAAGCCGAATTCCTCAAGGTTGGGAGCCTTGGACCAGCCGTCGTAGATGTACTCGGAGCCTGCAGGGCAGAACACGGGATCGGTCAGGAATCGCACCCCATCAATGTTGAGGATCGCCGTGGCGGTCGTGATGTGGGTGATAGAGACATTTCCTCCGAAGGTGGACATGGTATCGTTTGGCTGGGTTTGCTGAGTGATTGGAAGCTTGAGATATTGATGAGTGATGGTTGATGAAGACAATAATTCGGCGGTATCCTTAGAGCTTTATATACCTTTTCCATGGTGATATCTCGATCCCACCGGCAGGTAGCGCATAGCAAATCCACAAGGTGTTTTGGTTTCTTGATAATCTGACATCCATGACCCATTAGCAGTGGGATGTATTATAGGAAATTAATAAGGGAAAGGTTTCACATTGATATGTTTTGATAATGCATGGATCGTGAAGTGCTCAGTAACTCATACACAGCCGGGCATCGGTAATCATCCCACAGGCCCATCCCACCAAGCTCCACTGTCAATTGATCAGCGTCTGCCGGAGCTCGCATGGCTTTCAAATCATGGCTATTTCTTTTCTCTCAATGGTTTCCAGCTTATTGGATCAAGTCCATGTCTATGGCTAGCCCCCAAACAGCACCTTATAAAAGCCCATTCTAGCCATCTGATTCGATCTCATCCGACCCATCATAATCCCTTTGTGCTTCAATTCATCTAAACTGCGCAGCCCTTCCAAGGCTAGCGCCCAACCAAACATCCTCTTTGGACAACACATCGATTATTGATGGTATCATCCGAGATTGATGGCCCCCAGGCCTGGATCATCGTCGTTGCTGTTTTTTGGAACAATGCTCACCACTGGGGCGTTCTCTCCGTGGGTCATATCAGTCTTGATAGATAATGAATTTCGAAACCAGGAAAGCTGACACTTCATTCCAGAGCTACGGCGTGTTTCTAGCATATTTCACTTCGAATTCAACCATCGTCGGGGCCAGAACCTTAGACTATGCTTTCATTGGAGGTCTCGCCGCATCACAAGCACTCGTGATCTCCCCTCTAGTCACATTCCTCCATCACAATTTCGGCATCAAAGTGACAATGGCACTCGGTGTCTTCTTTGAAACTGTGGCACTGCTCGGAGCCTCTTGGAGCAAGGAAATCTGGCAGCTTTATCTGAGTCAAGGAGTTTGCTTTGGCTGGGGACTGGGGTTGCAGTATCTTTCGACAACATATCTGATCCCCCAATGGTTCGACAGAAAGCGCAGCCTCGCGGCGGGCATCTGCACTGCTGGTAGCGGAGCTGGCGGACTCATCTATTCCCTAGCCACACATGCAATGCTGACGCGATTCGGCAGTCCGTGGTCTTATCGTATCATAGCGTTCTCGCAATTGACAGTCAACGCAATGTGCGTCCTAGTCGTTCGAGACAGGAGCGTGCGAGAGTCTAATACTTACCACATGCCGAAGATCAACTTCAGGCTTTACTTTCGTTATGAAATGTGGTTGTTTATCGGATGGAGCTTCTTCAGTGTCATGGGGTTCATGGTTATTTGGTTTTCGTTGGCAACATACGGCCGAAGTATTGGCCTGACTTCCACGCAAGGCTCTATCGTTACCGCAGTCATGAATGTTGGACAGATGTTCGGTCGTCCTGCGGTGGGACTCCTCAGCGATCGAGTTGGGCGGATCAATATGGCTGCTTTTGCTACTTGCATCAGTGGTCTGCTTTGCCTTTTACTATGGGTATTTGCTCGAACCTACGCATCACTCATAGCATTTGCTTTGTTTGCTGGTATATTCTTCGGCACCTTTTGGACTGTGAGCGATCTATCAACCCCAGCTTTTTGTTCCACGCTAATATACACTAGGTGGTGGGCCCCTTAGGTGCTGAAGTAGTTGGTCTTGGTGAGCTTCAATCAGCTTTGACTATCATGTGGTTGACCTGCGCAATACCTGCAACATGTATGTATTTCCCATACTCTTTCGATCTTATAACTTGGCTGACAACTGCATGTAGTTGGTGAGGCCATTGGGCTTGAACTTCGAACGTCTGGGACACACGAATACCTAGGCACGCAACTGTTCACTGGTTTCTTATATATAGGAGCTTTCTTGTTCTTGGTGTTACTACGAGGCTGGAAGCTTAAAAAACGTCAGGAAGTGTTTTCAGACACAAATTCACTGGGGTCTGGCGGTGATACTGGTGCGGTGGAAGAGCTCGTAATATTTCCCCCGCGCAAAATCCTCCATGAGAATGTCAGACATCTCATATCTTGGGGGAAGGTCTGAGATTTCGGGTTTCATTTACTTTAGAAGATAATGTTTGCTATTTGTCAGGCACACACACACACACAATTTATCAACGCCCAGCGGCTACGTTGAGAGGACGATTTGCAACAACTCGAGTGTATGTGGCACTCCTGGCGCAATAGCTTTTACCTTGAACGGCTAGATTCTCCGCCAAGCCTCATCGTCCCCGAGGTGGGTAGCAAATTTCTACTAAGAGTGGATCGAATCCCCGAAACTCCACAACCAATGAGTGGGCTATGGTCAGTCATATCCATAAAGCGAGGTCTAAGTGCAAGTGTCCGTTATTTGGAATGTTGAATGTATGAACTCGTGGATGATGGATAATCGGAAATTCATGAATTGAGAATAAATCCCGAAACCAAAGGGTTTATAGATCGTACAAAATGACTGAAACGACAAATGCCTGTGTCATAACAAACTGACCTCACAAACAAATGTTGTAGGATTGGCTTCAAATGTATGATCTTGGCAAAGAGAGCGAGATTTTGAAAGCTAATCCGCAAATGCACAGGCCTTAAACCCCAAGACCTTCCGAGTACTCAACGTTGTCATTTCCATCGGTCTTTGTTCGATCTAATGGCATATCATAGTCCCCTCAGATCCAAGATTCTAGGCTGTATCCATCTTTATAAGCGAACACTTCCTGCGGTCCTTCTGCATCAATCTCGTAACCATATTCACAACGATCATAGGAAACCTTGGGTTGTGAGTGATAGAAAGAGTTATACTTCGGGTCCAATGCTTCCTTTAGACTCGTAACTGAGCCATCCGGATGTAGAGTTTCCCAGGGCTTGACACATTCGGAGCCTTTGCATGATTTCAACACCATGAGAAGTGCATCAAGTCTTGGGACGACCTCGGACATCGCATAACCCAGTACTTCAATCTCTTGAAGATCCTTCTTCCACAGGTTGTTCACTTGGTATGGATCCGTCTTTGAATGCTTGTCAGCCGAGTTCAAAGCCCAGTCTCCAAGGTCCCGGAGAGATGTTTCACAAAGGACTTACAGTCAAGTCGTAGAGCTCATGCTCATTGTTGCACCACACGGAAAGGAAAAGGTTGTAGTCGTCCGCAAGCACACGAACAGCCTTGTAGGTATTGTTGGGCACAGTGGGAACCCCTTCCAGGATTAGCATCAATGTCCCAAGCTCGTGGGGCTCACAAGATCTATGACCTAGCGCTGAAGAACATACCGAGATTTGACAAGCCTCCTTCGAGCATTCCTCGCCCCCAAAATTCAACAGTAACATGCTCATGGGCCTGTTCATTAGGCTTGGAGATTGGCATAGGAGTGCCATCAAAGTCGGTCCTCAGGGGTAAACCAGCTAAATCGAACAGAGTTGGGGCGATATCGATATGTGTAGTAATAGTTTCGTCGACATGGTTCTCTGGAATCCCAGGTCCACGGATCATGAAAGGAACGCGAATATCTTCCTCGAAACCGCAGGTCTTTCCAGGAGGCAACCTGTGCTGGGAGATATGGAATCCGTTATCCGAAGTGTAGATGATGAAGGTGTTGTTGATCTTTCCCGATTGCTCGAGACGGGTAATCAGATTATCAACTAGTTCATCGACACCTTGAAGAGCTCGAAGCCGTTGGCGATAGTAGTGGTCGTTGTAGTCCACTACAGACTGGTTTCGATACGGAAGATCGTGGATCCAGCTCACACCAGATGGCTATAACAATGATTAACTTTTGCACTAGAACGGGTCATTGCAGTATAAATGTTTCGGGGACTCACGTCTTTGGGGTTGAAGTTAGCAGTTCGGGGAACCTTCGCATCTGGGAAAAGATGTTTATGGCGTTCTTCTGGAATAGGTTCATCCATCCAAAGAGGCCCAGCACCACCTCCATATGTCCCATTCATATTCGAGTGGGGAGCAATAGGGGTGACGGTAAGGAAAAAGGGTCGTTCTCCATCCAAAGCATCGTTCAAAAAGCCCATTGACTTTTCACGCAAGATCTCCGTGGTATGACGACCAAGATAACTGACAGGTTCGTCATGATTCCGTTGATAGGTCGCATTCATATAGTCATAAGTATAGGGATCCAAGATAAAGTCAGAGCCATTGAAGCCAGCAGCGTGTGGCTTGTTGTAGTATCGCAATGAATGCGAATTCATCAATTTGCCGGTATAATATGTGTCATATCCTGCGTTTTGCAGCCAGACCGGCAGATAGTTCTCATTGAAATTCTGAGCAATGAACTTTGGATAACCGCCTTTCAAGGAGTTCAGTAAGAAAAACCTGAACAAGATGTGAAGTACAGCTTACCCCACGGTGGATTCACATCTGTGACATTGGTGTTATGCGCCAGACGACCAGTCAGCAAGCTGACACGGGATGGGCAACACAAGGCAGTTGTCACGAAATGATTGGAAAAAGTAGTGCCTTTTTTGGCCATGTGTTTCATGGTCAGCGGCGTATAGCTCAACGAATCGAGCTTGAGATCTTGATCATCCGTCATGATAAAGAGAAAGTTGGGCTTCGTCCCTTCATTGGAACTGGTTGATACGAGCGCACTCGCATCTTCAAGAGAGTCACTTGCTGCCGTAGTGGCCAGCCAGAGGCCGATGCTCATAATATGCTCAAACCTCATACTCGCTTTTCGATCAGGCTCTCTCTGTTGAGAAAAGTCACCACATCCTGCAGTCATATGCTAGGTGATTTATACCTTTTCCAGTCTGTTCCTTCTGCTTATCGTGATCAAAGGCTTACAGAGATGTGGATCTGCAATAAGCAAATGAACAACGCTCTGTCACTGAAAGTGATGTCTCCTTCCCGAGGAAGAATAGTCTATGGCCGACGCCAATAATCTGCCTTTTGGCCCCTCGGAACTCTATTCAATTGCCTTTTGTGAAAGTAAAATGTTGAAGGATCATGTCTATTCTGCCGGGTGGACATCATGACTGTGGGGCTTTGGCTTCTCGTGTCTACTAGGGCCCCACAACTTCGGCGAAGTCGCAGTGAGAAGAACCACAAACTGCTGAGTTCATCCCGGCTACTTTATTGATGAGTCAACAGTTTATCGGACTTTTGGTACGGCCATTCTGTCTTTCAGAACGACTTCGTAGACATAAATGGTTGAACGCGACATCTCCCAATAAGGGAGGTAAGTACCAGCAAGCTTGCAATAGACATTGGACCGATTATATGTCGATGTTCATACTGTATCGAACCAACCACTCCACAGATCGATAATAAATTGTGACCATCAAACAGACCTCGGGAAGCATCCCGTTCCTTTGATTCCAAGGCTGTGGGGCATATCTGGTGCCCCACGGCATCGCCGACTTGGAAGGTCTGTGGTGCGATGCCCTTTTCAGTGATGGCCCGAGAGCTCTTAGCTTCCAAGGTTGAATCCGGGGGGGAACCTTGGAAGTGTCCGTGTCAGTGGAGAATTGGTATTGTACTAGGTAAGGCATGGCCAACAAAGTGCCAAGTGAGTCCTGCTTGGGCACATAGAAGTCTGTATGTACGAGCATACCTATGAATTTTTACCTAGTAACAGGCATTGATCTCCGTGTGTCTGGCAAATTGAGAGCTCGTGGGAGGCACTAAGCCTCGGAGGTGAAGACCTCGGGAGCAGTGCAGCTATCAGCCACTCTGGGTATGGACTCGAGAACTAACACCTCCAGGGCTGTTGCTAGCCCAGGGAAGGCAGTAGAACGAAGCACTTCCAAGTTGGACTGAGCATCGCATTTCTCCTTGAAAGTGTTGTGAACACCCGGTCAGGTGACCATCTTTCCCCAGATCCATGTATAACAACCTTGGAAGCTCGCTTTCTCCCTCTTTTTGCTTTTCCCTTCGCCATTTATCTGGATACCCATCACTTCCCTCTGGTTTCTTACTCCCACCAGTAGCTGTCCCATTAGAAACAGAGCCTATACTTGGCATTGTGATTGTGGTAGTATTTTGCGCAAGCTATATATATCAGTCCGTGCCTGGAGCTTCCAAGGTTCCACACGTGGATAGAGACGCACGAAGATACAGACGAGCGTCAACCTACACGAATCTTGGCATAACACAAAAAGTCCAATAAGCGGAGCCACCTGGGCACTTACCATGTTGAAAACGAGCCGCAAACGAGCGCAATACACACATTTGGAGTGCAGGGCAGCGCCAGGCTGCGGCAGGTTTCCAATATGATAAGTGTCTCCGCTTCTGGGATTTTTTTGTGTTAAGCCGAACTCACGTAGCTTGATGCTCGTCTATATCTTGGCAAGGCTTCAATGTCAGATCGACAGACTTTTCAGTTTTCAGTTACATCGAGATACTGCGACGTAGCAATTTGAGGTCCCGAGGTCATAGTTGATGCTGACCTCATCTTCGGGGTGCCAGGGTGGACCACTCTCCAGTGACCATTTGACGGGAACTTCCAACTTCCAAAGTTGTCTTCCTCTCGTTATTCTTACCTTCAGCCTACTATAGTCGATGATTGTTGACGATAAACCTCGCGCTAACCACTAGGCGGAGACATTCCTTGTTTTCTGCCGTTCGCCACCCGCGTCATCTGTGAGCTGTAAAGCTGTCTCGTGCCTGAGGATTCACGGACTGCGCTGTCAACCATGCCGATGTCGGTTCGTGATCACCAGCGCTAGATACGGAAAGCCGGAGCTCCTGCATGCTGCAACTCTTGTGATCCAGAACCTCTGATTCGGCCATTGGTGGACGCGCTCCTGAAATTCTCCTCGTTTCAGTGCGAATGCTGCAGACGGACGCCCAACTGTGAACCGCCTGCCCAATCACCAAAGCCAACACGATGGATCCGCCGATGACCCCGACACCTGGCGGTGCAGTCTCCCGACCGCCTCGTCCCTCGCATTCATCGAGCCCCAGCAAACGTCCACAGCGCAAGGATTACCCACCTTCTGCTGATAACAGCGCTAGCTATCGCCCAATGGGCGATCGGGCCTCTGGGGGCCCAGTAGCCGTCTCCGAGGCTACCAACGAGACCCGCTTCGATTCCCCCGCTGATAATGCTGGGAAAACCTCCAAGTCCTCTAAACGCAAGAAGAACCGCAATCGCAAACGCCGCAACCGCCACCAATCTTTTATACCACCTGACCGCGAGCGTTCTGAGGATAGCCCCAGGCCGAACGTAGGTGCTGGAGACGACTCAATGGAGGCCGATCGGCCAACCTCGAGGGACACTCAGTCGTTCTTCAAGCTGGGACACAATTTGAGCAATACAAGCTTGGAAAGCGAGGCGTTATTAGATCACCGGTATGTTCATTGACCACGAGTGTGTTCGTGGAGGCAAAAGCTAATGTTCCATGACCATGTAGCGAACAGCATTCAATGCGACCTCGCCGTGACAGTCGCCCTGGCTCGTCATTCCGACCCGGCTCCCTACTAAACACTGTATTCCGATCGAACGATGGACAATCCCGCAATACCCCCAGAGCAGGAAGAAGCCGCCAATACCAAGACGAAGATAGCGAGGAGGAGGCCAATGATCGGACGCCGTTGATGCGGTCAGGTTCCAATCAGAACCCCAACCACAATCGCTATGGAACAGACAGCCGTGCAGGTATCTTCGCAAACCGGGCTCGACAACCCTCCGTTCAGACAGTCTCCTCCGGTTGCTCGCCCAGGGACAACCGTAGCCCGCTATATTCCCCCGCTCTTGACCGAGACTACGATGTCAACAACCCGCCATCAATCCCTGGGTCTCCAAAGGTGGGCCCCGAGATGGGGTACGAGGACGCAGTTGTAACTGGGGCGGACTGGGATTTCACATTGGCGCGGTCTTTGGAAAACCGCAGGGACTCGCTTAACATTCTCAATGATACCCTGATTGATATCGATGGGAGCGGTGTACACCCGCATTCTGCGCCATCTTCGTGCCCCGGGTCACCACGCCTTTCTCCGCAGCCGGATGCGCGACGGAGGCGAACCGTGGCTCTTCCCGCCGCAGAAGACGTGTGCTTCCCCACCGAGACAATCTCAGAGATTGGAGACGAGGGACCTAGGCAGATGGGCAACGAGATCGGTGAGCGCCGAAGGCGCAGGCACCGACGATGGCCCGATCTGTCTGCCTTGGAAGAATGGAGCCGCGAGGAGAAGGAGGGACGCAATGGGGACTTTGGAGCCAAGAAGATCAGTGAGCCGATGCTCATCGAAGGTCGGCTACGCCCCCAATACAAAACTTGGAAGCGCGAGGAAGACGAGGCACCTTACCGGTTCACTTACTTCAACGAGGAGTTCCCGAGCACTATCCATGCTCAAACCATATCAGAGCTGGTGCAGCCTGGTAGCAGCTTCCGGGATTTGTTCATCCCCGAGCCTCCAGAGCTGGAGGACTCGTCGGATGATTCAGACACAGACGATGAGACATTCATGGACAACCCAAATAACCACCCCCATCTTGGCAGCAAGCCAGCCTCTCACCCGGACATACAGGGTATGAGCCAGCCTCAGGGCCAAGGCCATCAAACCAACGTCAAGCCCTCCACGACGGCTCCGAATCTCTCAATACCTGCTGCACGCGATACAGCGGATCTTATCTCTGGAACCGCTCCTCCTGTTCGGGGTCCCTCGCGGTTATCCGTCATCAGTGAAGGGCGCGCCGACTCCAACCGTGAGCTGTCACCCACACAATCGAACCCTCCTCAGGACCGAACTTCTCGACCCAAACCGAAACGGTACGGGCCGCGGCCCACTTTCTGGCTTGACGTTCTCTCCCCGACGGATGCAGAAATGCGTACGATCGCAAAGGCATTCGGCATTCACGCTCTGACCGCAGAGGATATTATGATGCAAGAAGCTCGAGAGAAAGTGGAGTTGTTCCGAAGCTACTACTTTGTCCACTATCGCACGTTCGAACAGGATACCAACAGCGAGGATTATCTCGAGCCTGTGAATATGTATGTGGTCGTATTCCGTGAAGGCGTCATTTCCTTCCATTTCTCTCAAACACCCCACCCGGCCAATGTGCGCCGTCGCATTCGGCAATTGATGGATTATCTGATCTTGAGCTCGGATTGGATCTCATACGCCTTGATCGACGACATCACGGACGTCTTCGGGCCGCTCATCCAAGCCATCGAGGATGAAGTTGACGAGATCGATGAAATGATCATGCAGATGCACTCATCCTCATCAGGCAAGGAGGGCTCGTCAAATGACAGCGTGCTCCCATCCTTCGCCCCGGGCGAAATGCTTCGACGCGTTGGAGAATGTCGCAAAAAGGTCATGGGACTGTATCGATTGCTTAGCAACAAAGCAGATGTAGTCAAGGGCTTTGCCAAGCGTTGCAATGAGCAATGGGAGGTTGCACCCAAGTCCGAAATTGGTCTCTACTTGGGTGATATTCAAGATCACATTATGACCATGACAGGCAACTTGACGCATTACGAAACGTGAGTGGTTCCCCACACCCAAGCAATTCAATCTCTAACCCGCCTATAGGATCCTCTCCCGCGCGCATTCCAACTATCTAGCGCAGATCAACATTCTCATGAACGAGCGCCAGGAGCATACTGCCGATGTGTTAGGCAAGCTGACTGTCCTTGGTACCATTGTGCTACCCATGAACATCATCTGCGGCATGTGGGGAATGAACGTGAAGGTGCCGGGTCAGGACATTGACAGCCTGACCTGGTTCTGGTGTAGTACGTCCCCCTTGACCTTTTAAGTTCCCTTTTTTTGACCCCGTTGCTAACCTTTTCCTAGTTACCGCTGGACTGGTTGTATTTGCCTTGGTCTCGGTCATCATTGCCAAACGGGTCTACAAAATTGTATAGTCACACATGCCGTGCTTCGCGAAGCTTCAGTCTGACCCTCCACTATTTGGGTGACTGGACTCATGGATTGATACCCTCGCTTTTGGCCTTAATTTTTTACTGCCCTCTTTTCTCCGACAATAAAAACGCTGCCTGTCGGACGAGATTGACGATATACGAACTCCGGTTTTGGATTTGGGAGGCATATACATAGTTCGCTCATAGAATTGTACACTGTACATTAGTCTAATGGATCATTACTCTGTACTACCATATTAGTCAGTATTCCCTGCTTTTGCAAGGGTTTCCAGGTTTATTTCTTAGCTACATCGATCCTGCCAGGATTCTGAGTGGCGCAAGCAGGGACTAGGACCGGTGCTTGGCCATTAGTACATCCCCTCACTGCGCTGGACAATGTCGGACACAAGACCTATGTATGTCTACTACCATACATTCTATAGGGACTGCCAGTATTCTCGTGAACCACTACTTTCTGCTACTCTTTGCTCCCTGTTATTTACTTCGATCGCAGTATCCGGGTGCCGCTGAGGTCATTGTATTGCCCTTACTCATGGTAATTAATTATTGCTACCACTAGCAGGTATTATTGCCAATAATACCATCCCATCGTGTTAAATACCGGTCACCCCGGGATGGGATAGAAAAGTGACTTCATCTTCCTTGTTCCTGTTCTCTTTGACACACCTGAACACTTGTGTTAAAAGCCCTCCCCTTTCGTTGTTGGCCAATTTGCATTCTAGACTGCGTCGTCGGCCCCCTTTGACGTGGACTGCGATCATTGGTCTTCGCCCGGACCCGACCCTCTCAGCCACTTTTCACCGTTCTGACCGACATCTCTGCAGGCGCATTTAGCACCCAACAGCCTAGACGCCACTCTTGAGTAAGACCAGCCAGTCAAGCCAAAACGTTGAGCCGGATCGGCGGTCTCCATCTGTCTGGAATCCGCCAACCAAATCGTCTCGTCCTCGGTTCCTTCGTTCTAGACGCTCTCGTTTCTGCCCGTGGAAGAAAGCATGTGTGTGCTCGTTGCACCCTGACGGCCCACTTGGTACAGCTCCATATCTCCAGTTTTTCCCGCAATCCTTCTTTTTCCGTGCGTTTCTCTGTACAGAGCCCCGTTTCCCGGCAAACAGCATGTGGTCTTCGGCTATTCGTGCATCACCCTCACATGTGTAACGATCTGTACTCTGCGCAACATCTCGATCGATCCGCGTGATATCCCATTCGCTATTGCCAAGAACAACTCATTTCTTCACCGTCGAGCCCTTCGGGTGCCTTGCCTATTCCACCCTTTCCGAGCCCGGTCTCTGCCCAACTAGCTGGCTCCCTCTCGGGTCTCCTGACTGAGCGACGTCGCGTCAGTCCATATTGAGTCGACGAGATGACTGCAGAGTCCGAGAGGCCGCCTCGCACCAACGGCACCTCTGGTCGATCCAGAGGGGCCAAGGATGCAGAGGCGGCATCGGACCCGGTGCATCGGTCGGCCAACGAAGGCGCTGTTAACAACACAGCTGCCAAACCACAGATCACCTCCCAGTTGCCTTGGCTCTCTCCAAATATTCCTGCCCCTTCAACCACCGCATCTACCACGAACTCCGCCGTTTCATCCCGGGAATCCTCTCCGGTCCGATTCTCCTCCCGCGCCTTGAACTCTTCCTCCCACAGCCGTGTTTCCTCACAATCCCGAAAGCCCAGCCAAGACCGAGCCAGTCCAACCCGGCACTCTAACGGCTCAACACCGGGACAGTCTACGCATTCACCTTCGGCCAGCTTTTCACGTTCCTCCGCCTCACCCGTTAAACCCTTGGTTCTATCCGCTCCCATCGACCCGTCGGCCAATGTTGCCAGCCCAGAAAAGAACAATATGCCATCATGGGCTGCGAATCGCCGTACCGAGCTGGAATCGACACTTCCAAACATCTCACAGAAAAGATCTACGCCACAAGTGGACGACCCAGCGAAGGTCGACCGAAATGCACCCCGGAATACTCCCAGGACCACCGGTGGACAGGGATCATCGCTGGAGACCGTTGATGAAATGACAAGCAGTCCTTCCACTCCTTTGAGCGAGGCGACTGCCAAGCCGGTGACCCCGGAAGAGTCTAGGCTGCATCGCATCGACGAAGATCCGACCCCACGCCCCCCACAGCAAGTCCAAGGGAGCGGCAGCGACAGTGGGGAAAACCGAAGTTCCGAACCCAAAGAGGAGCCTCGTCCCCAGGCGACAGCCGCCACTAAACCACCCCGAACTCTCATGAACCAGCGGTCGACCACTTCTCTCAGTGCTGGTGCTCGGGGGAAGCCTGCCGATGGATCGGTCCGCAACATGACTGTGGAAACAGAGACCGTCAGTTCGATCCCGCAGGTCTCCTTGGGGGTTGGGAACGGTGAGCGCGGCATCGCCTCCCGCTCGGAGACGGGTACACTGCGTATGAAGCCCTCGACGGAGACCATCCGTCCTCGAAAAGAAAAGAAGAAAAACCGCAGACCCAACGCTCTCACCGCCGGTCCTGCATCAAGCAAGGCGGACATCTTCGAAGCCAAAGTGGCCAATGCGGTGGACGAGGCCGATGTCTCGGACTCCGACGAGACTTTCGTTTACGAATCAAACCCCCCAGATCCGTACCCCATCCGTCCTCCTCGCTATCATTCCCGCACGCCAAGTGCCACCTCAATGGTGAGCCAAGTCGATCAACTATCCAACCGCACACGAGGGTTGCGAGATGCATCCCATGGTGTGACCGGCAAGCGCAGCATGAAGTTCACCGGTGCCAACAATAGCATCGACGGCGGTATGCCGGATCTTGATGGGCCTGCCCGATCCACCAGGACTGACGGAAGTGGAACCATCACTCCGCGGCACCACAATGTTGGCAGTCGTCATCACGGCCGAGGCATGCAGAGCGTTTTGGACTCTGATACCTACGCTCAGCCCGGGCCCCATGCTCCAAAGTCCCCTCGCCATTTCACTGGGGCTGGTTACCGACAGTCGCGACACAACGGTATTCGGATGTCTCCCAATCACCGAACTTTAAACGGGTTCAAGAAGGGTGGGGAATATGGTTGCTCCGACTACGAAGCTGAAGGTGCAGATGATGAGCGTACGCCCCTGGTGGGCACACGTTCAGTGCGCAGCCGAAATGGCGGTCGCCGCCCTAATAGTGCGAGCTTACGACAGATGGAGTACATGGCGCAACGCCACCGGGGAATCTTTTCCAGGTTTGGCTCTTGCGCCATCATCTTCCTGTTGCTGTTGATCGTTGCTGGTGGTGCAACTTCATTCATTGTTGCGGCAACCCAGCCCTTGTTGGATGTCCAGGTTATCGCAATTCAGAATGTCCTTGCCTCAGAGCAGGAGCTGATGTTAGATTTGAATGTGCAAGCTGTCAACCCCAACCTGTTCCCTGTGACTATTGACGATACCGACGTGAACATTTTCGCGAAGAGCGGGTACGTCGGAACAGACAAGTTCTGGCGAGAGCATGGCGCCGAGGACCTGGATAATTTCCCGCGCGTCGAGCAAAGTCGACGTCGCTGGCAACTGTCACGAGCTGTTCGATGTATGGGCAGTGTGGATTGTCTGAAAGAAGCCATGGGCGGACACACCGCACCACATGCCAGCGACGGAGTGGACAAAGGCACCGACCCCCCCGAGGACCCAGAGGGAGATCCAAAGTCCATGCTTCTCGGTCGGGTATTCCGCTTCGACTCTCCCCTTTCCTTCGAGTCCTCACCGTGGAACCACCGCACCTCAAGCTCAAAGGGACAGATCCGATTAAACCGACCAGGCAACAAAACCGAGACAGGAGGCACAGAGCGCTGGGAGCGTGTCCTCCAGCATCCCTTTGAGCTCACGGTCCGCGGAGTCGTCAAATACCAACTCCCTCTTAGTTCCCGGTACCTTTCCGCGTCTATCAGCTCCAGCATCAAAGTGGTGCCCGATACCGAGGACCCAGACACACCGGATAAAGGCAATCAAACCGCCCGGATCACCGCCAAGCGGAACTTACCTCTTCTTCCACTCGATGCTCGCTCGCCGGGCTCGAGACGACCCTTTACGGCATAACCCTTTTAGCGATAGATCATTGACTCACGACAGCCCTGCTTCCCTGTTTTACCTTCTTCCCTGTTTTTCTCTTATTTTCTGTAAGAAGACGAAAAGCAAAGAGTCTGGCTTGTGGACTCTTCTTCTGGCTTACCGTTGTATACCCATTTGCATTCGTCTTATGTCTTGATTTGTTGTTGCCGAAGACATTTCACTTTCTGAGTGTGATATTCTTACTCCTCTTGCCTCTCTGCCTCTTTGCTTCTCGGGATCTTCGAGGTTCTTGTATCTATATTTTATTCTGGGTATTGGTGCCGGGCTTTGTACGACCCTTAGTTCCTGGCTACCGAATATGATGCTCATCTCGCTGCAGACGGGATGTCGAGCACGGTGTTTTTCCTGGACGGCTTGTTCCTGTAGTATTCGGTGCCTTTGGAGCTTCAACTTTCGGGATAACTCAAACCTTGAAATTTAACTGTAAATGTAGTATGTCAAGTCTGTGAACCTTGGAAGTAGCCATGTCTTGTAGGGGAGGGCTCAGTAGACCTAGGTAGGCATCCGCACCAGTCCGAAAAGCCCAAAGCCCAATCCGACCCAGCCCAGTAAATGGGCCGGGTTTTGGGCCGGTCCCCGGGCCCAGGCCCGGTAATGGGCTCTGGGCTCGGGCTCGGGCTTTTCTGGAGGCCCACTGGGGGCCCAGTAGTGGGCTGGGCTCGCGGCCGGGATCTCAGGCGGGGCCCATTGCGGAAGTCTGGGGCTGAGTGTCTAGGTCTATGGTAGTATTATGAGCGGAGACATCCCGGGCAAGGCTCTTAAACCCTACTTTCTCCATACAAGTCTACCACTCGATCCAGGTGATTCTTCTTAAAAGCATTGCAATATCTGGGTACATACACATCATAAATCATAATCGTCGGCGTGGGCATCGTTCTCAGAAGCTAAGAGATGAAAGCAGATAATGTACCAAAAAAAGGGGGGGAAATAAACGAGTACAGAGACAGCAAAGAAGTAATAAATAATCAAAAAGAGCCACCATTCCCGAAAAGAATATGAAAGCAAAAAGAAACCAAGGGAAGACAGGGAACCCTCGCCAGGCTAGAACAGAACCTTCGTAAAGCGATTGATCAAGTCCTCAAATTTCTCAACGGCAGGATCCCGATCTAGAAGTCGGCCTTGGCCATCAAACCGGTTGGGCAAGTCAATGGTTGAATCCGAAGAATCAGAACCTTTAGAACCCCCGCTGCCATGCACAGAGTGAGGCACCGACGAAGAACGACGACGACGATGATCATGGCCGCCGCCATGCGGCTCAATGGTGGAAGTACTATCATCCGACTCATACCCAATATCAGAGGCATTGTCAAGATCGAAAGCGACAGATTTCGACGCAGGATGACTATTCGGTCTTGAGAGGGGTTTGCTTAAACCTAGGAGACAGTCAGTTTCAAATTCCGAACACCAGTTTTAAGAACCCACCCTCGTGGATAATTGGGGATCTCACATTGTCATCGGCTCTACGAGGCCGGTACTGTTCTGGACCTGCGCCGTAGGCGTACGGCTGCGAGGGAGGTGCAGCACCAGGGGGTGGGGGATAATCGGCCGGGTTGTATGGGGCAGGGGTAGCATTCAGGTTGTGAGTTGAGTCGCCAGGGGGAGGGGGAAATTGAGGTCCATTGGGGTAGTAGTGGTCAGGCATTGGGGGAGGACCATGTGGGGAGGGAGGGTAGGGAGCGTAAGGCTCTGGATCGTAGGATTCCTCGTAAGGGTCGCGAGCATGGTCATTGCGATCGTTGTAGCCTACGCCACTAGTCAGGGTGAATATCTCGTGGAAGAACGGGGAGTGGGGACTTACGTGCGTGAGCGGGTTCGCGTTCGCGTTCTCTCTCCCTGGACTTGGACTTGCGTCGCTCGTTGAACTTGTGTGCGGCGTATCCGAGACCAGAGGCACCGAGAGCTGCACCGGCGAGGTCGCGCGAGCGGCTGCGGTGCTTCCGGCGTCGGTCGCTGCGGTCACGGTCCGAGCCTGAGGAACTGGTGTAGCGGCCTCCGCGGCTGCGGCTTCGGCTGCGAGAGTGACGCCGCGTGCTGTAGGACTCAGGTCCTTCCAGATAGGGCTGGCTGGAGCCCGGCTGGCCGTAGTAGTGCTCGGCGGGGATGCTGCCTGAGACTGGGTCGTTGCCGTACTCGATCAGACCGGCGGAGTCGCGGGCTGGGTCGGGGTAAGACTGTGATGGGGCGCGGCTGCGAGATCTGGAGCGGTGTCGGCCGCGGCTGTGGCCGTCTTTCTCGTCTTTCTCGCCTTTCTTCTTCTCGTACAGACCCGTGGCAGCGGCAGTTGCGAGACCAGCACCGACAATTGGCAGAGCTTGTCTGAGGCGGCTCTTGCTGCGAGAACGTTCACCCTTCCGGGAGCGCGAGTGGCTGCGGATCTTCTCGACGATGCCTGCAGCGGCTGCACCGGCCAAACCGGCGCCGGCCATGTGCTTGCGGCGTTCGGACATGTTGCGGTCGTCGTCCTTCTCGCCCTTCTCGGAGCGGCCACGGCTGGCAGCGCGAGAGCGCGAGCGAGTGCGGGATCGGCCCTTGCGTTCTCCGGCATTAGACTTGCTACGCAGGGCAGCCACACCAGCGGCCACGGCGGCGGCACCAACGCCCAGCTCGAGGAGGGTCTTGGCCCGCGAGTGTGAATGGGAACGGCTGCGGCTTCGACTGTGATGACTGTGACTGTGCAAGCTGTGTCTACTGTGGCGGTGGGAGTGGTGAGACCGGTTATCATCGAAGGAGTGAGAACGGTGACGACTCTTGCTGCGGTAGTATTCGCGTGCGCGGGAAGCAGCGTTGACAGCCACTGCGCCCAGCGCACCGGCACCAACCGTCTTGCCGATTCGACTGGCACCGTGAGTAGATTCGCCGTCCTTCTTGCTCCGGCTGCGCATCAGCTCGGCTGCGCCAGCACCTACCAGGGCACCTTCTAGCATGTGACGACGGTGGTGGGCGTGGTCCTCTTGGCCGTGAGTCTCCTTGCGAATGTATACCATGCTATCATCACTGCTGTAGTCCTGGTCACGATCGCGCCGACGACTGGTCTGCGAGATGGAATCACTGGGACTCAACTCCCGCCGAGAGCGTCGGTCATCGTACTCGCGCACTCGGCGGTGGCGATGATAGTAGTAAGGGTCCTCGTCGGCTTCGGAGCGGCGCACGACGTCATAGTCAGATTCCCGGGGACTGGTGTAGGCATGGCGAGCTTCGTGAATCAGCGGTGGCTCTCGGGTCAGGGGTGGCTCCACTGCGTGTTCCATGGGTCGGGCACGTCGGGTCCAGTTTGGGTGTAGGTACTCACGTTCTTCGTAGTATCGCTCATAGCGCGCGGGGGTCTCATAGTCCACTTCTCGTTCGTAGCGCTGGATGCTCACGGGCTCATCGCGATCCGTCTTGCGGCGAATTACCATCTCGCGCTCGCCGGCATATGGATCCTCGTGTCTCGACATGAAGTCTCGACGGTCGTCTTCGGGGGGAACGACATAGCGCTTGATTGTGACGGGGCGGGTGTCATCCCAATCCCGTTCTCGGCTGTAGTATGACATCGGATGGAGTGATTTAGGAGTAATGTAACAAAGAGTGAAGAGGTGAGATGTAGAAAGACGAAAAAAAATGTCAGATGCACAATGCAGGGAATTGAGGGGGGGCGGCAGGGAAGTGGGGGTTTGCAGAGAGGCTGTGATCGACTACTGGTCGGGGATGTTTCTGGTCGCCTGATTGGTGATGAGATACCTCAAGCGAATCAGAAACAGCCAAGCCGAAACCCGGTTCTTTGGGCTGAATAATGATTCAGGATGATGAAAGGAAAGCCGGTAGGGCGGAGAGCGGAGACTCGACTCAGCCTCTGATGATCTGCAAGCTAGCACTAGGGCCGAAGAACCCGGAACACTCGGAAACGATGAAAGAAACCAAGTTTCTCAGATGGTGAAGGATTTGAAAAGGAGGAAAGGAAGAGGCAAAAAATAAGTAGTTGCCACGTGAGGCTCTTTTGCAACGGGGCTGTGGCAAAAGTATGCTGCAGAGGCTTGCAGGAAGAGAAAAAGAGAAGTACGAGGAGAAGCAGGAGAAGGAGAGAATGAGAGGTGTAGAAGTAAGGTGTATCAGTGACTGATAGACTCTTTGGCGCTTCCCGTCTCAACCCATGGGTGTCAACGGGGTCCATCCATGGTTTCCTGCATCTGATACTAGGTACCCGGGCCCCTATACGAGACTCTACTACTGGACAGTACGGAGTACATACTCTTTGCTTCTTGCATGTATTGCAGTCTCGGAGAATCGAGCAGAGATCGCCCGTTTCACAAATTAAATTGCAAGTAAATTAATTTCGGCCGTTGGGTAGACCTTTAGGTTGCCGCATTTCCACCGTCGAGCCCCTGGAAGAGAAGTGTGTCACCATGCGCCCTCGATGCGCCTGCTTGTCCCAGTACATAGTCCAATCATAACGAGTTTCTGTATACATCAGAAACCCCTTGTGCCTCAATCCACCCCGGGCAATAACAGAGGCACTACTGTACATGGGGCGCCGAGGAATGCCCCGCGATGATGTCATAGCCATGGGGCGTCGGCACAGGCTGGGTACTTCGCCCCGGTGGAGTCGAGAACTAGAATTTCTAGAAGGAAAAGGTGCCCGGGAATGTCCCGATCTTACGGTTTCTGTAAAAGTGTTATTTCCCTTCGATTCAAGGCATCTACAGTGACGCTCGCATGTCTATCAGAAATATATCAAGAAATCGCTTGAAACTCACCGGGCGTCAGGTATATCTATTGGTGGCCGAAACTCCAGAAGACTTGAAACTGGAGCGACTGTCAAAACAAAGACTAAATTAGTTGGACTGATACATGCTATGTCGATATTCGCCCCTCTCACCCGCTCCCTAGGCAACTAGATCGGCGGGTGCTCAGGCTAGCTAACACCTGCGTGGTCTTTGTACGTGCATCACGATTCCTGGTCTTGATGATTTCTCAGCACTTGGAAGGACGAAATTTTCTTTCGCTTAGCGCTGTTCAGTCCTCTCTTTAAATTCTTTACCATGCAGATCTTTATTTAGAAAGTGTCTCATTCTCGATGCCTGCTACCGAGGTAACTTCATCTTGACATTGTCTGGGAGATCGCGTCTTGCAGGAAGATAAGTTATGGTCGCATCATTGTTTCCGATAGCGAGAGGCAAAGAGGACCAATGAAAATTCAATCCTGATGCAAATGATTCCAATTCGATATTTAAACAACCACAGACCACATGTACCTAGGTAGGTATCCGCACCACGACGTAGTGATGCCTCATATTGTGAATATTGCTCCATACGTATTTTGTCACACCACGAAAGAAGACCAACCACACGGAACACAAGCTATGCAGCCCAGGGTACTGGCTGCTTAGTACGACTTCTTGTCAGACCTTGAGTTGATCACTATCTAGCGATCAAGGCTCACGCCGTGTCCATATTACCTTGTGTGTCTATCAGTGTTTATCCCGGACGCCAGAGCTCCATGTCGGGTAGTTATGACGGGAATTCGAATGATTTTCGCGTTCATCAAATACGCAAATGCTACAACCGTTCGTCATATTGACGTGCTTATGCAGATATCTGTACTCCAGGGCTTGAGAACTGGGGTAGTTGATCTGCCAAACCCCGGGCCTGACGCATGGCTTGGGTACTTTTGTACCTAGCTCGCCCCCTAAATACGCTACTCTAAGGTGACAGCTGGCTACTGAGATTAAAAGCCCAGTGACGACGCCGGAGAGATCTAAGCACTTTCTGCTTTCCGTTGCTGGAAATTGTACTACAGTCATTCTCAGAGTCCCTGGCCCAACACTACTAGGTATTGCAAGGTCACGACCATATTGGCGAGTATAGGGGTTTAACACAATCCCAAAATACCTTGCCTTGGAAAGCGCTTTGGTTTTTGATCCGAGAAATTATGTCGTCTGTCCTCGAAACTTTTCCTTGGACGCATTCCCGTGGCTTCTTCGTCGCCAACATAGATATTCTTCAGATCAGAATATGCCTGAGCCCTCTGTAAAATGTGAGTCTAGTTTGATCGATCAAACATTCCCCGATCGGACCTCATTGGTCTCAGGATGTGGTTCAAGGGACATGAATCTCCGGAGTCCAATCAACCCCTGTTCGCGTCCCAACATCACCAAGGTAGTCTTTTCGCCTTACTTATACGATTGGCCGCCTCATTCAAAGGTGTTCTCGTCGGAACATTGGAACAGCTGGGTTATGAGCCACCTAGTCGGACGGAGGTATGAATAAGACTGAATAAAATTCCCAACGCCGGATGAAAGTCGACGCAGCACTTGAGGAAGCCTTGAACTTCACCAAGATGGGCATGCTGAGCCACTGCGCTAGGCCACGTCACGGAGCCCTCATTATACTCTGGTTTGCTTAGACGCCTACTTCTTCTCTCTCCATTCTCTACTCCACTGGGGCATCGTCCACTTTCCAAGGCCTCTCCTAGCTACTCCATTCACCAACGCAATGTAAGGCCGCCCAGAGTATCTTCATGAGATGTATCTATCGATGAAATCACACTGATAAATCTCCAGGACAGACATACGTTGGGAAATATGAGGACCCTGGGCAGGAATTCCATATCGAGGTCCAAATCAGCAAGGAGAAACCCGAGGGTCTGGAGCTCTGCTTCCAGGGCCTAGAGTCCCAGAAATGGGTACTGACGAATTACCATGCGGATGTCTTCCTTTTACCATTGTCTTTTGACGAGCTCGCCAAGCGAGCCATATTCACTTTTATAGATGAAGACTACTTCCTATATACTTTCCATCATTTTGCTGAGACGGGGGATGTTCGATTTTACTGGGCGCACGATCCTGTGGTTCCTGTTGGAGAACAATTCTTTGTCAAGTCGGGCAAAAGTCCTGACGATGACACCTTTAAACTAGTGATTAAACCAGGTTTATCCGGGACTTGAAACAATGGTCAAAGCATGTGGGTTGAATACCAAAAGGTCAAATTGGTCATCATGAACAAGATTGTTGTCGATTAATCTATCTATGAAAATTTATCAGACCTTGGCCTTGAAAGCCACCGGCTCAGGCAAAGCAACAGGAGTATCTGTGCGCGCCTTCTTCTGGATAAGATGTTCAAAGGAAGCCGAAGTCTCCACACGAGGCGTAAAAGGCTTGAAATCCCAAAGGTAACCCAACGTCCTCAGAATCGACGAAGCAGAATAAGAAACAACCTTGCCCTCAGAGTTAGTTCCTTTCTGCTCGACCTGACCCTTGGCGATCCAGGGCGAAATCAGCAGAGTGGGAATTCGACCACCGAGGCGATCGAAAGAGAACGTATAGTTCTCGCCATTGGGCGCGGTCTCGGTATAAGTCAGGTTATCAGGGCGGGCTGCAAGTGGAGGGGGAACGTGGTCGTGGAAACCACCAGTTTCATCGAAGGTAAGGATGAAGAGGGTCTCGTTCCACTGGGGGCTGGATCGGAGGGCATCGTAGACATTTTTGATGAGGGTTTCGCCCTCCGAGACTAGACCGGTGGGGTGCATGGAGTTTGTGCCGACGCCACAGCAGGAGGGGTCGACGAAGGAGAACTCGGGCAGGGTGCCAGCTTTGGCATCAGCGTAGAAGTTCTTCAATGGCTGCGCTTTGTCGGTGTTGTTGCTCGTGAAGGTCCAGTCGAAGAAGTAGGCATCAATCATATCGGTGCTTGTGTAGTAGTTCTTCCAGGTGTGATTGGTCTCGGAGAGCTGTTGGAAAATGGAGCGCTGGGTCAGACCGTGGGTATCAGAGTCGAAAGACTCATCGTTGGTTCCGTGGCCGGAAGAGGTACCCGACAGAACGAAAGCACGGTTGGGGTTGGTGGGCTGGCGCGAGTGGTTAGTTGTGTCTGGGGCATAGCTGGTGCACACTTACTCCGGGGTGGTCAGAATGCCAGTGGTTGAACGTGAGATAGTTTTGAACCAAAGAGGTAAACACTGGGACTTCATCTTCAGTGTAGTAGTTGAGAACCTGCTTGGCTAGGGCTGCCTTGTCGACATCGTCACCGTAGCGACGCAGTTGCTCGTGCACGAAGCCCTGCTGGGTGGGAGTGAGCTTGCCGCTGGCAATGGCCGCATTGCTCGGAGCAAATGATCCGTAGAATTCAATGTTGTTACCGGTCACCGAGTGATCGGGGTCGTCCAGAATGGAGTCAAAGTCCTTGGCAGAGCTGCATACTTTGCCCGCGGAAGCATCGGTCAAATTGTACGGGTTGCAGAAGGGACCGTTGTTGATTGGGTTCTCCAGTCCTTTGAGGGTCTGGCCACCAAGCAAGTTGTCGAATGAGCGGTTCTCCATCTCAAGAATAACAACATTCTTGATCTTGTTCTTGAGATTGGAAATAGATGCCGAGGAATGGGACCGAGAGGGGCCCTTGGGAGGAGCGGCAGTGACTGCCGCCGCAAAGGTCAGGAGACCGAGGAGAGCACTGAGATTCATTTTGAATCAAGGGAGGTTCTTGTTCAAAGGCTGAATGAGTGGCTTGATGCCTTCCTCGAATGCGGGCGTCGCTGTCCTTATATGCTGTTCCTGCATATTGCAATCCAACATCCCCGACATTCCTAACCCATCTTCCACCATCTCCCACGTGCTACCATGGAGCTCACCGACTTGTTCGCTTTCCATCTGGATACAAGCATACGGCGAGGTCGAGCGATTAAGCCGCGGGGTGATCAATCAAAACTCTCGCCAAGACACCCCGGGGTGAATAATGGTGATATGCGACACATCTGATTGGCGACCAATGTGCTATCGGGACATTCGCTCATGCAACCGAAGTAGACTGTGCCGTTGCCCCGATCCGATTGGTTGCCTGGGTGGAATTGGCAGGTACACGATGCTGCATGGTGTACGAAAAGCGACGTTTGATCGGGCGGTTTACTCCGCGCTCCTGTGTCAAGCATTCGCCCGCACGCTCGGATCGCAGAAGCGAGCTTGAAGAATGAGGCTAGGGCTGAGAGAAAATTGCGGTGGCCGAATCAGGGGGCCGACTTCCTGCACGAGCAATGTTGGCTTGCGGCCGGCGACTTCATTCGGTCCACTCCGTGCCGTGTGGAATTCCCCGGCACCTAGACCCATGTCCAACGGAATGAAGCGCGAGGTTGCATATTGCGGTGATCATTGCAAGATGCAGCTGTTGACAGATTGAAGTTGGGAACCTTGGAAGTTGAGTGGAATCCACGGATCGGTTCTCGTGGCTTCGGGACGGGCGGTGATTGGCTGATCTTATACTTCGAGTTCTACTATTTCAATTGTACAGTCTCCGGGGCTGTACGGAGTATTCATATAGCATTGGCAAATATAATAGATACTATTAGGAATATACACTGCATGATTGATGTGAGTCTCAACTATTCCATTCTTCCGTGTGCCAACACTCCTACTTGTAGTAGTTAGGCACCTTCAGCCCCTTAAATTCGAACGAAGTATTTTCTCGGCGATCAATCACCTTTCGATGATGTACATCGCGAACACGAGCACGAACATATTCAGTTCCGGTCGGCGCGGGCTCAGTTGAGCTCCGTTCTTCCGCCGAGAGCAACCCGAGACGCTCCAATAGAGGCGATGGTACGGTTCGCATGATAGTATCATCTCCAGGTCTAGCAAAGTACAAGAGTCCAAGACGTGGCGTCTGAATCTGATCTTTGGGAGGAGTGACAACGCGATGAATCGTTGATTTAATGAATCCTGTTCCACGATTAGCGAACCCCCGGAACAAACGGTGTTGAAATCACATACCATTGGTGAGGAAGGAGAGAGTATCGGCAGCATTGCATGTAATGCTGCCGTCCACAGGCTTCACCCATTTCCAGTCTCCCTCTGGAGTCCGAATCTGGAGTCCAGCGATATGCTGCGAGAACAGCAATGTCAAGCTGCCAAAGTCGGTATGACCTCCTGTGGTAACAGCCTGGGCTTTATCCCATTCTTCTTGCGTGCGAGTGTTATAGATCATGTACCGCAAGTGGTCATCAGAACGCCTGTCGTAAGCGTGTGCGTTGACGAGGTAGTCTTCTGGTAGTTCCAGAATAATAGCCATCAGCACAAATAGCTTTCGAATCACGCGGTCGAAAAGATCACGGTGGAAGCTCGCGATCTCATCGTAGTTCTGGCGCACAATTCTGTGTCTAGGGAGGTCATCCCAGACTGGAATTGCTTTGGGGATATTGAGCTATACAAATTAGTACGTATTGAAGCGGATGAGGCTCATGCATACCATCTCCACATTGTCCTTGACTCCGGTATCTCCGATCCATCTTTCGTTCTCGCGGTAGCCAAAGTATTCGCCTTCGGCGAAGTTACAGGCAAAGCTGCGCTTTTCCTCGAGTGGCTCCTTGAAAAATGCATTTCCGATGCTGAATTGTCGAAGGACGCGCTCTTCGCTAAGTCCATGGCCTGTCACGACCCAAAAGCCGACTCGGGTCACCGCATCATATAGTTGCTTAGCGAGCGCTTCTTTGCCGCCGGGTTCGTCAAAACGAGACAGGTCAATCTCAACGAGCGGTGCCCAGTCGAGCTTCTCCTCGGTAGGTGCTGGACGAGTCCATGCCTTGATTGGGATCTTCTCTGTAAGGGTTTCTGTTTCGACTGCTGATGGAGCCATAATTTGCTTGATTTGATGGTGAACGAGGGGGGTCTTTTCGACAACTACCCTTGATTAAATATCTACAACTTCGTATTTCGCTCATCAGCAATGAATGTATTGGACTTTCATTCGCCGAATCTACCGGTATATCGTGGATGCGGGGTTCGCGATGGTATCATCGTGTCTGAGATGGCGTTATATAGGGCAAGTACTCCGTACCATGCCGAGGATTTGATCGGATGGTTTTTGACTGAGATGATATACATCAGATTGTTGAAGGGATACGGATAAAACGGATCACCTATTCGAGGCGAAGATCTGACAGGATTTCGGGGGATTTAGGCATGGCTTGTTGTGATTGATTATTCCGGTTAAACCGGGGTGAGTTCTAGGAGTGCGTGCATGTTAGGGTCGCAAGGACTCACGAGAGTAGTCTGTAGGCTGGATGAATATAGATCATCGATTCAAAGCAGCGGAGTGCGATCATCCGCTGATAGATTGAAGTCGATACTCGTGCTGGCTGGACATGCCATGGAAATGTTTGGGGGTATCAATGCCCAATCTTTTCTCTTCAAAGTCTTTCTTCAAAAAAAGAAACTCATATATATTCTCATAAACAAAAGACGAAGTGAAGCCAAGCAGAAATCGAATTTGCATGTGATTGTAGCCTGAGGCCACAATCGCGAAAAACCTCATCGCACTTGGCCAACAACATCACGTTGGAGTCTGCGAAACACAATGGCCGGACAGTCAAGAGCCCAGCCTGCCAGGCTATACCTTCTGGCCTACAACACCATCTGTGCCATCATCTGGGCGCGAATCCTCCTCACCACCATCACAACTCTAATCGCCTCCGATGTCTCATCCGTATACGCCCTGGAGCCATGGACCCGATTTGCCCAAACCCTAGCAGTGGCGGAGATAATCCACGCCGCAACAGGTAGTTTGCCCCAGTTCCTCTCAGCAGAGCTCTCTGACCAACCCAACAGGCATTGTCCGCTCCCCCGTATTCACCACCTTTACCCAGGTGTTTGCCCGCTCGGTCCAGGTGTGGGCGATCAATTATGCTTTCCCCGATGTGACGAAGCCTTCTGTGGCGTATGCCGCTATGTTGCTGGCCTGGGCGACCGCTGATACTATCCGGTATTCTTATTTCGCTATCATGTTGGCAGATTGGCCTATCCCCCGGGCTTTGAAATGGGCGAGGTGAGATTCGGACCCCTTCCGTTGTTGGTGCACGAACTGACCGGGCTCAGATATTCGTTGTTCATTGCCTTTTATCCCGTCGGTATTAGCAGTGAGTGGTGGTTGATGTACAATGCGACCACTGTCACGGAGCACTGGGCTGTGTTCGGTATTTTTTACTTCTTCTTGGGGCTCTATGTGCCTGGTGAGTATCGCGTTGGTTATCTATTTAAGGCATTCAAGCTGACCGATAGTAGGCTCGGTGATGATGTACTCGTACATGTTGAAGCAAAGACGGAAGGTTATGGCTCTTCAATGAGCCAAAGAACACAGCGAGAGCGTACAGGCAAGGGAATTGAATTTTGGAAATTCACACTCCTGGACTTGAAGATGAACCCCGAAGAGTAAAGTTTAGTACTCCGCACGGAGTACTTGTTGCCAATCTCGGGGGGTTTCTTTTGGCAGTTGAAAGCGCCACATTGCTCTCGCACGCCAGATTCGGAAAAGCCTTAGAAGGTGCCTTTGACCAAGTCCAGGCTTTGATTCAACGCTAGGTCCATCATATTCAGCCAATGGGTGATTTGGTAGTTGCAAAGCAACACCCGCACATCTGATTGGCCTTTCGCGCTTGAATGCACAGATAGACGATAGCAGAGAAACCCTCCGAGGGGGAATTAACCCTCCGCTCTAATATAATGCCGCCATAACAAAGAGCAATGAGCAAAGATTCGAATTCCCAGCAATGATCGACGGTAGTTTTGCCATCCAATGGCCCATGTCGTGATCAAGCTATCTTGGCAAGCCTGTCAACAATCCATGGATTCACTTAAAAGATACGATAACTTGAAGTTATACCGAGATGTGGGCTTCGCATCCACGGCATCAAAATGGCCGACAAAAACGACGAAAAGGTAGTAACTACCAGCATACCTTCAACGCCAACCAATGAATCCCAAACCACAAACACCGCCGAGCTCGAAAAGCGAGTGATGCGCAAGATCGACTTCTGGCTCGTCGGTTTCTACTCGGTAGTCTACATATTCCGAGTAATTGACTCAAGCAACTACTCCAACGCGGCGATTATCAATCTTGAAAACGGCACCGGAATCAAACAAGAGCTCGGATTCAGTCCCGCAGAATGGTCGTGGACACAGTCGATCTTCTCATACAGCTACCTGTTCTTCGAACCAACGAACACCATCCTCCTCAAGAGCTTCAGGCCATCAAGATGGATGTTTCTGCTGATTCTCTCGTGGGGAATATGCGCCTGCGCAGCCGGGGCTGCTCAGAACTTCTCGGGAATGATGTGTGTGCGCTTCGCCATCGGTTTAGCTGAAGCGGGCTTTTATCCCGCCGTGCTCTACCATATGGCCTTTTGGTATAAGCCTTCTGAGATGCGGTGGCGGATCGCACTCTTCTACTCCCTTGGTCAGGTATCCGGTGCATTGAGTGGATTGCTTGCATACGCGATCAGCTTCATGGATGGTGCCGGCGGGCTTTCGGGCTGGAGATGGCTATTCATTCTTGAAGGTCTGCCGGCAATTCTTCTGTCTGTTGTGGCATTATTTGGGCTGCCTGATTATCCTGAGACGGCGCGAATGTTGACAGAAGAGGAGAGAGAATTTTTGAAAGGGAGGCTTTCTGACGCTTCGCCCTCTGGCAAGGATAAGAGTTGGGACTGGGCCGGGCTCAAGGCTTTGCTCAAGAGCCCAACGCTTTATACCTTTTCGATCTATTGGATTGGACACGGGATTGGAGGATTCGGCGTGAATTATGCTTTGCCAACAGTGATCTATGAACTGGGCTTTACTACGACAGCTCTGTCACAGCTGATGAACATTGTGAGTGCCGAATTGAAAATTCCAGGGTATTCATCGCTAATGAATGTTTCCACAGCCTCCATATGTCGCGTGTTTCTTCTTTTTGAATATCTTGGGCTATCTCCTCCACAAGGGATGGATCAGGCCCTGGACCACTGCAGTCGCGAGTGAGTATTACCAACACCGGTGGTGTGCTGTGCTAACTCAGTTAAAACAGTCGAGAGCACCACGATCATCTGCTATATCATCTTGATCACTGTGAAAAACTCGGTGGTCAAATACCTCGCCTTGGTGGTCGCCACTGCTTGTGCCGGTTCGGCATATCCCGTCATCTGGCCAGAACGTATTCGTGCATTGGAAGGCACAGTCGCCGTGGGGATTGGCATCGGATACACGAACGCTTTGGCTCAGTTCAGCGGAATCGCTGGGCCTCACATATACAGCACGGTCTTTGGCCCGACGTATCATGTGTCATATGTCATTTGCCTTTGCTTCCTGTGCGCGGCGATTTCAGGTGTTTTAAGCTCATGGTGGCTTGTTTGGAGGAAGGATCGCAAGAATGAGTCTGTGGGAGAACGTGATGCCCCGTGAAGATGGTGCAATGCCAAGACGTCGGAGGAAATGCGGCCTTAGTAATCTGGCTGATAAATGTCTCCGCGCCACGGGGCCTTACAAATCGGTGGATTTTCAATCCCCGGATTTGATGCTGTCGGCCTTTCTATAAAACCTGCATGGGAACCCTCATACTACACATTTTGCATACCGGAAAACAATCAAAACATCCTGTCCGTACAAAAGTTCAAAATGACAACGGCTATCTTCAAATACATCGATCCCGCCTCCTACGACCCTCACGCCACAGAGCCCTTCAAAAAGGCCTGGGGCAAAGTCGACGGACCAGGCCGCTCCTACACGCTCACAGACCGAGAGCGAAAAGTAGAGAACCTCCGCGGCCAAGAAACCAACTTCAACACCGACAATGCAGGCTTCGCGGTCCTGAACTCACCCTCCAAAGAGCGCTTGTTCACCGATGACGCCGCCGTGCAAGCAGGCTACTATGCCGAAGTGAAAGAACTCCTCCGAAAGACGCTACCGGGAGTCAAAAAGGTCGCCATTTTCGACCACACCATCAGACGTCGAACGCCCGGGTCAGCGCGCAGTCCAGTGCAACTTGTGCACGTTGATCAGACGCCCGCGGCGGCAGAAACGAGAGTGCGGCGTCACCTGCCAGAAGACGAGGTTGAGGAGTTGTTGAAGGGCCGATATCAGATTATTAATGTGTGGCGACCGATTGAGAATCCAGCTACGGACTTCCCTTTGGCTGTGGTTGATTGGAGGAGTACGACTCCGGATGATTTTGTGAAGCTTGATTTGCTTTATCCGAAGGAATGGCAGCAGGGTGGGGAGGTTGCGCCGGATCCAGACTCGGTGTCTTCGACAGATGGCTATGAGGTGAAGGGGGAGACTTATGCGATCGCGCCGAATGAGGGTCATCGCTTCTTCTACATGAAGGATATGACTCCTGATGAGGTGATGCTTCTTAAGTGCTTTGATTCTCGAAGCCATACGATGACGGATGGTCAGACTGATATCGCCCATGGTACTGGTCATACTGCTTTCTTTGATCCCCAGACACCCGAGGGCGCGCCTGGGAGGCAGAGCATTGAGGTGAGATGTTTGGTTTTCTATGAATAGCCATGGATTGGCATGCTTTGATGATTTTTTGTTTGATGTGAGCGATGCGACGATTCTTAATAGCATTATGTGTTTTGTAATCCATTTTCAATTCGTCTCTCAGAGTTGGTATAGAAAGAGAAACTTCACAAGCCTGCGTTACTGCGGGTCGCGAGCCTAAATTGGTGCGGGTTAAGGAACAGAGTGATTCTGAGGTGGTGCCGATTGAGTGCTCGGGCTTCCTGGTTCCATGTGCGATTTTTGGGAGTTTGGAGAGTTTGTCGCGCGCGTCGCCCAGTGATCGCCGTGTACGATGTTTTTGTACAGTGGGCCATGAGAACTTGGAACAACTCGAAGAACTGCCCAAACAGCGCCGATGGTCTGAGCGCAGACATGTACGTTCCCTCTTCAGTAGTGCCTAGCTAGCTTCTCGTAAGTTGAGGATCTCAGAGGTCTCGTCCATGTATAACACACACCCCATTCTCAATTCGTAGAAAAACCACGTTATTCATGGATCTACCTCACTTTTCATTTTGAGCAGCCCCAGAAGCCCTTCAGCTTCCGAGTTTGACTTTTGCTATGGCTTTGTGAGCCCATCAGCGACCATTCTCAGCGTCGGGGTCCGATGCGACAAGCTCTCGGATACTGGTATATGACGGCCATATGCCTGATCCGACTGTGGGAAGTGTGGTTTGTGGGTAGTGCAAGTGCCCCGGGTTTGTCAATATGCAGCCTCGTGGGATTCGGAATTGGTCGATCCAGCTCCATGAGCAGCCCCCAGGGCCATATTGTTTCCACGGGAGCAACCGAAGCTGCGGTATACTCAGATTCTGCTGTTGAGAAGGCAACACAGATATGCTTTCTTTGAGGTCCAGGACACGGGCCCCCTGCCAAATCGAAGATATAGCCCGTGCTTGATCAATGAAGAATTCGGTCTCTTCGTGAATTGATAATGGGGGTCCGGGTGATGTGGTGGGTACGCTTGTTGGCATGCTGCTGAGCCGCGGCAGCTTCTTTCTTTGATTTTCTTTATTCAAACGAGTGAGTAGGTAATCAAAGATGTCAACCTTGGAACGTGGGCTCAAACTCTTTGACTGCAATGGCGCCCGTGCCAGGCTGTTGCGAGATCTGAGCCGTGTAGCTAGCCCATCCCGTTCCCCCAAGGAGAAGATGCCCTTTGTACACAGGTTGGGGAAGAAAACCTTGGAAGTGCCCACCAACTTGGTTGAGGAAGGAAGAGAAAGAGAAGAAGAAGAAGACAAAGTTGTATGCACTATATATAGGCAGGGCCCCGGAGAAGAGCCACTTTGGTCTCAAGCAGGGGACATGTTAGGTAATATCTATTGACCTCCAGGGCTATGCATGGGGGTTGTTGGAAGTCATCCATCGGATATTTTATTTGGGTCCCTGGCTCTATAGATTTCTCTCTATCTCCAGGGGCCTCTCTTTTTCTTCTAGAACTTGGAATAACATCCGCTTTTCCGCTAGTCTCTCTTCCTAGCGCCTATCAGATCTTCATCGAGCTCGTTTCTCAGCAGTCTCAGCATTTGTGAGTAGTCACTTAGTGATTTGAAAGATTACACTTTGACCTTTGGAAAGTGAGAGTATTGATGTGAGATTAATGATTAATATTTTTGTTTAATTTTCATAGCTCGTATGACTAATAGCCAACATCGTAAGCCTGTGAGCAGCAGACTTTAGTCATTACACTTCAAGGACCCGAACCATAGACGTACCCTCCAATCGGGGCGCCCAATGATTCCCACGGCACAGATGTAGGGCCCATCCAATTCTGCGGGTGCATATGGCCGAGACCAGAAATCATAGTCGGCTCACTGCTCGTGGACCCGATTGTTGGGACCGGCGAGCCAGATTGCGAATGAGGGTGGGATAGGACGAAGCTGTCGTGCATGGGTCCAACTGGGGAGAGAGCAGAGATGGATGACATGGATGACACGGACATAGTGGAAAGTGGTGTATGGACTGTGTTGAGAAGTTGGCTTTGCATGTTTGCTTGTGATTGCTGGAGCTGAGCCTGCGCCTGGGCTTGGCTGTGGGCTTGGGCTTGGAGGTGTAATTGAGAATGTGTGAGATTATTGGGATTGTATTTTGCTGCGGCGACGTCACTGGGAGATGTTAGCTGTTGGTCGGTTGTAAAATAGAGGTATAGAGACGTACATCATCTGCCTAAGGACAGGAACTGCCTTGCTGGAGAAGACACTGCGCACAGAGAGCGAAGCGAACATTTCTAATGCTCTATCCAAGATATCTTTGGTGTCTTGATATTCAGGTTGGCTCTCCGGGATCAAAAGAATGACTGCCAATGTGACGGCAGCATGGAAAGCGTGGAAACTTCCAAGTCCGCTGGTATACCATCTATATGGCTTGAAGCAGGCTGACTCGAGCAAGGTCTGGAATATCGAAATCGAAGCCTTGGCGGAAGCAATACACTTGGCTCTAGCAGTGCTGGTCTCATGTGTGGTCTCGCCTTGCAAGTAGCGACAGAGGCTTGGGCGGTAGAGAAGTAGTATTAATTGATGAATCTGGCTGTAGAGAATGTGGTGGTTTGCCTGATGATGAGTTGGCAAAGGTTCATTAGAGTCGAGTGTATAGCGAGCATCAACCATCTCACGAACGGAAATGATTTCCGCTTCAAGCGTGGAGATACTGCGGCGGGATGTTCTGGGATGGCTGAAAAGCGCTTCGCAAATCCTGGAGGAAATTTCGTTGAGTCGGAAATTGAGGAGGAGGTATGTCATTTGCGTTGGACGAGATGGTACAGGTGAGGATGCAGATCTGACCATATTGGGGCTAGTGAGAAGATCGACGTCGTCGATGTCTGCGGGCATTTTCACATCTTGTGACATAGCTCGCTGATCGAGGCTTCCAAACGCCGTGTTTTGGATGGTGTAGAGCATCATGAGCCCGGCCCAGACTCGGCGCCGCTCTTCGCGCTCAATGGACCCCAATGCAAATCGCTCTGGGTCAAGATGACAGCCCATCGATATCGCAACGTGGTGGGTGAATCCAAGTAAGGTCCAAATGGGCAGCCCACGGTGGGCTCGAGCGTAAGTAATGAGAACCATGGCTTGGAGTGAGTTGATCGAATGTCGGAACATGACCCCGTCGGCAGCAAGACACCGCAGTGCAGCAGAGCGATATCTTGCTGAGAGACTCTTGATGTTTCGGCTTACCGTGCGCTCCCGTCCAAGGTCAGCCAGTAAAGGGTGATCATCATCGAGCGCGCTGATAGCTATAGCAAGGATAGCAAATAGTAATGCCAACCATGATAATGACACACTGCCAGGGTCGTGACAGAACTGCTGATATTCAGCTTCAAATGTCAAGTCATGAAGAATGTGGAAAACCTGTTGCGCCAGTTAGAATCCAGATATTCCACAGCCAAGCTGATGAGGTACATACTGTGGAGAAAACCTGAAAGTATACATCCTTCAGGGCATTGCAGCAACTCGCAGGCGGTAGAGCAGCCAAAAGCTCTTCCCGAGAGATCGTCCCATTTTTGGCCAATGGGATCTGCAGATCATCATCGTCGTCTGCCACATCTGAATCATTATTCCTCAAGCACTCCGCAGCGGGGCTCTTCGCCACCAAAGACTCCCACTGAGACGCAAGTGGGACGTAGCGGACATGACCGGAAGGCGAGGTATGCAACGAGCCAACATTATCCATGATAGAGCCGAAGCTATCCCACTCAGCTGCAGGACCAATGTCAGACTCGGGCAAACTGCCAGCTGCACTCGTCCCTGCCAGTGGCGAGACAGCGCCACCGGTGGGCGTGCCAGCCTGTGAGCTCATCTGTCTCTGGAGCAAGGCTTCCAGATTCCGGATCCTGGCCAGTAGCTCAGCTTGCACAGCGCTCTCCCCTGGTGATGGCTGCTCTGCTGAGAGTCGGGGTTGGCCGAGATAGATGCAGTCTTCGGCGCCGAGGCCGCGGCGAACGCAGGTCTGACATGGCCGGCCATCCCGGGAGCAACGGATCTTGCGTGTTCGACAGGCCTGGCAGCTGATTGGGAGGCGCTTGCCTGTTGGTCGTGAAGACATGTTCCAAGGTTGTGATGTGAGGTGCACTGGACTGTAGTTGCCCAATTCGACAGTGGAGAAGCACAAAAAGTTGGAAAGGAAAGGGGCCCTCCAAAAGAAAAAGGGAGCCGATGTTCAGCCGGGATCTCCGTATTCTATAGACTTTGTGGGTATATGGCTTGTTGAGTTCGTGTTGGGCCCATCAAGCTAGACGAAGAAGAGTAAAGCCTATTGTGGTTTAATGGACAAGCGGGGGAAGTGACGTTTTTTGACTTTGATTGAAAAGCGGATGGGCGTCTTCTATATTTCTTCATCCCGCTCTGAAGGCAGCCCTTTTCCAATCTAATCAGGTCTGCCACGTAGGGTTGCGTTGATCGGAAGGAATGGCTGCATGATGGCTCAATCTAAGCAACTCGCCCCTTTCTTCCAGATGCAGGTGAAAATAAAATAAAAACAAGAGTCAAGTTCCCTCCTTCCGAAAAGGAATAAAATTGATTAATATTCTACTATTGCTAAGTTGGGGGAAAGTTGGTGACAGATGACAGCATCAATAGCGCTTGGACGGGGAGTCCGATATGCATGGAACACTTCTAGAAGGGTGGAAACGTTCGGAAGGCGCAGATCACGCTGATGATCTAACGAAAAACGGCATGGATCGTGCCCGATCGGGAGTATTTTGGCTTTTCCAGTGGGCTTTGATTCTCTGCAATCCATGGATCCAACCTCGCTTAGGCCCTGTCATTTCACAAACCTGCCGGCAGTGGACTACGGGAGTCTCCCAGCAGCAATGTGAGGGCAGAGTCACCGCTGCATTATCATGAAGTGTCGAATAACAAGGTGCAGGGATCATCATAGCTTCTCAGGTAAGTGCCGATTTGCCGATGTGCGCTAGAACTTAGAAGAGGCCTAAGCCACGGGCGATGCCGATCATACCCCCTTGCTTGACCAGCCTTGACATTTAAAAAAAAAGGTTCAAGCACTGAATCGCTCAATACGAAGTGGGTCTGAATGGGCGATATGATTGGCTTGGGTGAAAGTCCCTGACTGAGCCACAATATGCGCGATGACAACAAGGTGCACTGGCGGCAAAGCGCCATACTTAGAACAGCCGACGTGTCGCGAAAACTCTGATTGAGTCTCAGCCCATCATTTGTATCAGATCAGCTTGGTACTCCGTACTGGAGGTATATTGGAGCCTACACATGGATGTCCACGGATATAGTTCGGGAGCGGATCCGCGTCCCAAGGGTTTGAGCACATGGCATCTTTACCTTCCAAGGGCCGGATCCTCCGAACTCCATACATCCACCATCCCTACTTGGCTTCTAGGTGCGGACTACATGTTGAGCAAGTAGATCATTCGAAAAAGCAATGGGCCTAATTTCCACATGGCATGATCAGCGTGCCAACCCATTGTGCGAACTATCGTCTAATTAGTGGGCTCGGACCTCGTGTTCCCAGCTGTCGGGATTTCCGGTAACCAGAGTCAACATTTGAAAGTCCACGCACACATGGATACTCGAATCACTTCAACCTGAGTGTCTGCAGATTACTATTTTCAATGCGTAAAACTAAGAACCTAATCGCAGAAGTAAGATACGGCAGCCTCCAGCAGAACATTTCCAAGGTTGAACACTCAGCCATCCCCGTACCCCGTACCCCGACGACCTCCTTTCACCGGAATTGCTTTTCCAATTTAACTTTTACATGCAGGGTGATCATTGATAATCATCGTCTCGCGTGGCAAGTTTCAAAGTTCCCATCCGATCCCTACTATGCATCGGATGGGCCCCTGATTGGTCAGCGCGAATCGCATCTTGACTAGGGGCCTCTTCTCCAGGTTCGATGCTGAAGATCATCTCGATCTCGAATGCACGTTCAGCGTTAGTAAATGATCAGTCATTTTCTACTGTTTCCCAGATAGGTAGATTTCCTGAAACTACCGCGCAGATGGATGCTACGCTGCATGTGCGAGTCAGCCTCAGACAGGTCGGGTCCTCAAATATGCAGGGAGGGGGGTTGGAGGACCCGTTTAGGAAGGTCGCGCTATTCTAGAATTGTTCTATCGTCTGTCGAGCAGCTGCCTTTTTTCTCACGCACAGCTTTATTTCCAATAATGCAGCCAAGTATGCAGCCTCATATTTTCCCTGCGCTCCACACACACTCTAATACGTGCCGAAAAACAGAGTTTGGAGATTCGGTAGTTGGAGACAGTTCCATGTTCCGTTGTGAAGGGGCTCGAGGGCTGTATGCAAGGTACACATGGCTCTCGAAGTCTATGGCTCGTGGAATGTGGAAAACGTTTTGCCGGTGAAAATTGAAGGGGCCGTTTGCGGGTACCTGACTAGCACCCACCAGGGTAAGGACAAACCTTAGAAGTTACATCTGAGGTTCTGAGTCGACCTCTATACTGTCACCTTCCTTCAGCGGAGTATACAAAGGCTATTGTGCACTGACCCCTTGTGTTTACATTATGGATGTGCCCAGGTGGTTTTATTTTGGCTTCCCAGGTTACGTGTTTTAGATCACATAACTACTACGGAGAAGCTCCACGGTTGAATCCCATCTTACCTACGTCACGGGTACACCGAACCTTCCTGGCTCCCTGAATGATCCAAATAAAAAGAGCCATCCATCCAGTCTGTTGTACTAAGGGTGATTTTCGGCTTGGGTCTCCGAGCAAATCTCGGCTCCGGCCCACAATTGGATCGCTGACTATGTGAGTGGGCCTCAACAAGCGATCAAGACCCGCGATCCACCCATTTCCATTGGAGGTGGCGACTGGGCTTTGCCCAGGTGCAGAGCTAATGGATCCAAGTGAAACAACATCGCTTCAGCCCCATCTAGAGCACATGCTATCGTAGCCGGTGATTACCTAGTACAAACTGGACACCGCTTCCAAGGTTCCAAGGTTGAGAGCGCTTTCAAATTACCTAGTAAGAACAGCCAGATATATATCAAAATTTCAATCAGATCTGCACGCCGAAAGTGCTTCAGTTGAGCTCAGTATCGTTCCAGGTGGCATCAGAAACCTTCCAAGGTTGGAATCAAAGCTGCCGCGATTTGTGCTCCAGGGCTGTGGCTAGTCAAACTTGGAAACTCAAGTGACTACCTAGGTACTCTCCCGGGGTCGGTTCCAAGGTTCAAGGCTGGAGATCAGTCTCTCTCTCACCCTCTCTCTCTTTCCTCCCTTCTTCGATCGACCACTCTTTTCGGGGCCTTCTTGTCTACACAAAAGCCTCAACCTCAGGCATAAAGACTCAAATCATGTTCATCCGAACTTCAACCGACACATTGACTGACAATCCTGTTGTGAAACACCTGGTCAGGTGACCATGTTTTCCCAGGTCTATAGCTCGCTCTCTCTCTCTCTTTGCTTTTCCCTTCTTCTTTAGCATCCATCTACTGGAGATTTCCATCACTTCTTTCTGGTCTCCCTTCCATCAGTAGATGTCTCATCAAATTCTACCAGCCTTGTTTATCTTCCTGGATTCTGTCCTCTTACAGCACAGCAGACTTTCTACACCCCAAAAGTTTCACAAAATGCCTGTCGTTAATCCCACTGATCATTAATTTGCTCTGCAATCTGATTCAAAGCTCATTGAATCCTTGAAGAGCACCTGTAGCGGGATTAACGACAGGCATTTTGTGAAACTTTTGGGATGTAGAAAGTCTGCTGTGCTGTAAGAGGACAGAATCCAGGAAGATAAACAAGGCTGGTAGAATTGTCAGTCAACTGCAGCATCAACGAGCATCTCCAAAGACGCCAAGTCAGCGAGCTTTGGACTCAAGGAATCTCGACTGCCGCTGGCACTCAGAATGATGCCATCGTCAACCCACAAGGCAATCTTGTCGGAACCAGATCCGACACGCAGTCATTGGTACGGCTGTCCGTCGGTCTCATCGTGGTCGTATCGCTGACGTTTCGAACTCCTGGCTCTCGTCGACTGGGCCTATAGCTTCTGGTTCACTAGGTATGATTTCGATCTCAGCACTTTCGACCGAAAGCCGTTTCGTCACCCAAGAATGGACAGTAATCACATGCAAAGGTTCGAAAAGGTCCGTGTCGAGGTCGGTTCCTGTGCGCACGAACGGGGATCCCTGACAGGAGGATGCACCTTGGGACACCCCAGGTGGGCAGAGCATGACACTAATAAGAGCAAAATATTAGGCAAGATCAGGCAAACTTAGGTATAGCCATACCCTGATGTCAATGGAATGTGAGTCCTTATCTTTTGGATTTTCCAAGGCTGTGCAATACTCACTTCAAAACCGGCTGTTCCATGCTTGAGCTTTGGCATTTGTTTCGCCTTGGTAGATCCGGTCAGCGGAGAAGCCAATTCAATCGCAGAAAAAGCAAATAGGTAAAAGACCCTCGAATGATCAATCTTTAGGGGCTTCTACTGAGGAAAAAGCACCTAATATTACCCAGCTGATTAGTCGAAGAGAGCGACGAGAAGAGACAGAAAAGGAAAGACTCTCTACCGGTGGATAGACCCATCTAGGCTCGAAAGCAACAATGAACTTGAAAATTGGGTATCGTTGAGAGCCCGCCGAAAGCACGGGGCTATTATAAATTAGATACATTCCGTCCAACAGGTAAAACAATGACAAAATCCGAACTCCTGACATATCAAGCCATCTAAGATGCAATTCCTCAATAGCATGGTTCAAAACGCCAAATCTCACAGAGCGTATATCACATCATCTTAGGTGAGGTTCCGAAGATAACTCAGCCGGCGGCGGCGGTGGGGAAACGGAAACAGGCTCGGCTGGCATCTCATGAGGACCCGGCTTGTATGCCTGATAGTAGACTGGTGTCTGGGGGTAGCCTTGGGAACTGCTGAAAGTCATTTGACTGTCGCGGTTCGTTTGTCCATCACTTGATGCCTCGAATGGTCCTTGATCGGTGGGGGCGGGAGCATAGGCTGCTGAAGTCTCGGTGGTCTCTGGAACGGCATTCTTGCGTTGTCGTCGACGACGAAGATAAAAGAATGCGATGCCGAACCCAATGGCCGAGCAGGCGACTCCTACTCCAGCGCCGATGCCCGCGGCTTCTTTTCTGCTCAGTAGTTCTGGCTCGGAGTCTGTGTCGGATGATGCCGCGTCGGTTGGCGTGCTGGTTGGCGTGCTGGTTGGCCCGGTAGAGCCTGATGCGGCAGGGGTAGATGTTGCTGAGGGTGTTGCTGAGGATGATGATGCTTGTAATGGCTTTGTGATGTAAAATCCCTTGGTTTGAAGCGTTAAATCCGGGTCTCCAGTATAATCGGAGGCCCCGTCGATGAAGAAAAAGCCGTATTGTGAAGTTTCATCCAGGTAATACTCGTCAATATCGATTCTCCAAGTATAACTTCCGGCTTCAGAGACATTTTCGTATTGTTCGGCTATCCAACAAAGTCATTAGACCAGCTCATGGGTTCATTTGACAGGACTTCTTTCTCACTTGACAGCATTTTCGAATAGCTGTAGCTGTCAAAGTTCCATGCCGCGACGTAAAGATCTGCCAGCGGTGATCCCAACCTGCTCGCAACCAAGGAAGATGGCCAGCCTTCCCATGTGATTTCAATCACGTCTCCGTTATAAAAATAATATGCGAAGTCGTCCTCGGTTGCGTCTGGGTATGTGAATATTGCACAGACAAAGCGTATAAAAGAGAGAAACGATAATAATCCCCAGGCTGATTTAGCCATGATGGTAAAAAGTCCAGATCGTACGATCCAGTCTGCAGCTGTGACACTGCACTCAGAGAAAGATTGTGAGATAAAAGCCAGAGGACGAAGGCCTGCTCGAGCGATGGGGGGAACCGGGGGCCGCCAAGACTTTGTGAACTGGGTGCACTTAGCCACAGGCCAAGATGTGATGTGTAACTCAGCTAGGTCTCACGGTGCAGGGGTTCGTCCGACCAGAGTGTCTGATCGACTCTAACGTCGAGGCTCTGGATCGAATACCCACGAGAAAGACATACGCTTACTTTGTACTCCGTATAGTACCAGGATTTCGCGTTAGGAAAGACAAGAGATACATGAATGGCCCCGAATGCTGTGATCTGCAGTGGGTCTGTTGGTCTGGATTGAGATTTCTAGGCTCTTCCACACAGACCCCTAATTCCAAATTGATACGGAGCCCAGGTGAAGCAAGCCAGTTTGAAATGCCTACCAGATCACGACATATGGGTCAAATGTAACCCTCCAACATCAACTGGTATCTTAATAGAAGATTGCTAATGGAGTACTAGTCTAAGCCTCCAGGGTTCATTCGGCAAGCCACCGAGCCCCAGCCTCCTGGTCCTGGTTATGGGCCAGAGGATCTCACTGGTATTATTAGAAAATGAGATACAGGAATACGAAACTTTCTCGCCTGAGGGCGAGTAGAAAAGCCCAGATCGTGTCTTTTCATGCAAGGCAGCCCAGCGTGCACTTTTGACCGCCCAAAATCACTTCCCAGGTTAGGCATAGTACTCGGCTCCGTAACAAGTTCGATGATGCGAACACTGATCTACAGTGCGGCTCCGTAACTTAACCTTGGAGGTGTCCCTCTTGAGCGTAATCCGTGAAGGCTGTATGGAGTAGTTTCTTACTCCAAAACATACCTCTTTTGGGTGTTCACGGTCTGCAGGACCCGACGTGTGGTTTGATTAGTATTGAGAATGCGCCTAGGTCGCGCCGTTTACCTTGATCAACACTTATACGCCTGTCGTGTACATTGATGTTCAAATCAGACACTCGAGACCGTAGCAATAATTTCGAACGACATGAGGTGCGGAGTACAACATCCGCCAGATGCACAGCCCGCAGCCTTACCCGCATCTCCACCGCGGAGTAAACAGCCGTCAAATAGTAACTCCTTTCATCGTCAAGCACAACTGGATTGATAATCCTCTCGTTCTCCTTTTCGCTTTTCTTCCTACTTGCCGACGGATTTCGCCCCCACCTTGGAATGAGCTTCATCTACCAAGCTACATGAATATGCATGCAGAACTAGTTGAGTTATCATTCATAAGCTACTCATGAAGCCCCGGAAGACTGAATGTCCAGAGACTGTACAGACCCTCGCGTAAGTGTTTCAAACCGCCTTCGCGATCCCATCAGTCGACTCAATATGTTGAGCTTCGCCAACGACACTGACTGCGCGCTTGGCATCCTCATCCTGATCAACCACACGATCTCCAAACGCAGCAGCCACTTCCTCAAGTGTCTTCTGCTTAGTCTCGGGGAAGTAGAAGTATGCAATCGTCAAGAAGAACGCAGAGCATGCTACGAAGACGTAGTAATAGTTTTCGTGAATATTGGCAAAAGCACTGGGTCCAGCCTCGGTGACTAAAAATCATTTAGTGATCAGCCGCAGTAGTCCTCGGGACAGTCGAACTTACTGGCAACATTGACGATGAAGTGTGAAGAGGCAGCAATTCCCATGACCTTATTGCGGAGAGCGATAGGGAGTACCTCGGCGCCGTATAGCCATGTGGTACTGTTGAGCATGCCGTCTGGGTCTTCATGTTAGCAGAATTTCAGTGCAAATGGGATAGCAACTTACAGTAGCAGACCACGAAGAGGTAAATTCCCAAAATTGCAAATCCTTTGCCGATGCGGTTGTCCGTGTTTTGGAAACATCTCTGCATCACTGCTGCGTAAATCTCGATCACGATGATACCAGCCAATCCGGCGATCAACATCCTGCGATAGTTAGTACTTGCAACGAATTGAGCAGGACTTCACTTACTTCCGACGACCCCATTGATCAGTCATGTATTTAGTGGTGAGGGAATTCGAAATGAAAGCGACAGTACCATATACCGCAGCCAAAGCAAGAATAGTATGGGACCCAATTCCAAGACTCTTGTACAAAGTAGCTTTAAAACCGTTAGTGACCAACCCAGCTCACTACCAGGTTGAGTGCTTACTTTGATAATACTGGATAACATTGACACCAGTCAAACTCGTCATCGTCTGCACAGCAATAGACCTAAGAAAGTTAGCCAACTCATCCAGAATCAACATCACACAGATAGCAAACTCACACAAGCACGCGATGCCTAAACACCTTGAAGATCTCCCGGTAGGAACTAAGCTCCCGCTCCATCTCATACTCAATCTGAGCCTTCATGAGCCCAAACTCCTCCTCCATCTCCTGCAACTCCAAGCCACGCCTGATCCTCGCGAATTCACTCCTCGCCAAATCCAGCTTCCCAGACCGAATAAGCTGTCTCGGCGAATTCGGCATAAAAGTCGCAAGTCCCATGAACATGATAATTCCCCACGGGATCTGAATTCCCAGTGGCAGACGCCACTGCACAGGTCCATACGGCGCATAGCTGCACGCATACCCCACCCAGTTCGACATCATTGTTCCGAAAGAGATGCCGCAGCCTGAGATGCCACCAATCAGGCCTCGGTACCGCGGGTCTGAGATTTCGCTGAGGTAGATTGGAACGGTTGCGACGAGGCCACTGGATTCGGTTAGAGGTGTTGGGGTATTGGAACTGCGGAATGCAGGCTTACCCGACTGCGTAGCCGGCTAGGGCTCGGCCGGCGAGGAACATGCCGATGTTGACGGAGGCGGTTTGGATGACTGTTCCGATTGTGACGATTATGCACATCATTTGCATGAAGCGGATACGGCCGAGTTTGTCGCCGATGAAGGTTTGCGTCAGTGCGCCGAGGGCTTCGCCGGCGATATACACTGCCACAACCTGTTCATGTCAGTTCCATGTTCAATGACATGCTGTACTTTGATACGCACTGCTCCGGTGAGGCCATTGGATGGCTTTTGCATATAATCAATCCAGCTCTGGTGGGCAATTGCTGAAACCTGTTAGATTGAGTCGTAAGGATGGGCTTTTCAAACTCACTTGTAGTCGCGATACCAGTATCGAAACCCTGAGGATACCAGAATCAGCTCTCTGATCTATTACCGAGCTTACAGAGTAACTCACGAATAGGAATGTGCCGATAGCGGCAAAGAAAGCAATACCTAGCGCATACCACATCGCCATGGTGCTATGTATTTCTCAGAGTACTTTGGAAGCAGAATGCGAGGTACCGGCCTGTTATCTATGCAGAACCGGGCCACGTCCGATCAACCGAGGGGTCACCGTGCAAAACCAGCGAGTAATGTAGTCTCCCCACGGAGGAGGGCCGAGGGCGGTTTCTGGGGATGCGGGGAAAGGCGCTGAGGAAATGCATACGAGACGTATCCACTCGGTCAGGCCACGCAGATATATACTCTTTTTGGCCCGTTTAGCCATGGCGTTTTCCAGTCCGGTGTATGTGGCACTGGGAACCCCCTGTGCCACGGCGGATTCTAGACATGACGTGCGTGACGATCGACTGCCGGGGATGCTGCAGTGAATCAATAATCAGCCCACAGCATGAATGAGCTGTAGAGATAGAGTCTGGAGTCGCTAGACGGTATGGAACAGTGTGGCGCTAGTAGCGCGTCTGGACAAGGGTGTGAACGGGATACCATTTTGGGATGGTGACTTGGCATTGCTTGAACTTTCGCTCTCGTCGCCTATCGGGTCATGTTCAACCGAGTCTCTGTCAGCTGAGTGGTAAGACAATGATACCAGTCGACTGTGCAAAAGACGAAAGTTCACATGGCTGGGCGTGGGGGTGCTGTGGCGCTTGGGTCCAGGGTGCATTCTTGGGTTGACCCCGATCCTGGACCTGCTGAGGCACTGTTAGGTAGTCCACTGGCGACCATCAGTGCGATATTTTGTTGCTCGACAAATGCAAGTTTGGTATGTTGATCACAAGTAGCAGAAAGATAAGTGGAGTAAGGTCAATAAGAGGGCTCCGCAGGCATGAACCGGACAGTGGACCCATGAAGGGCTAGACTGGAGCTCAACAACAGGCACTCTATATTGATGCTTTATGCGACAAGGCATATGAGGGAAAGAGACGCTACGGTCTGAACTACGAGGGAGTGGGATGTTCATTCAACGACTCATAATCCGGTAGTCATAGATGGTGTTTTTGAATAGATGAATTCCTATTTCATTTTTCCATTGCCAATGTCATATATGCTCCGCAGCAGCGAAACACGTTGTGCAATGCAGGAAACCCAGAAGCCGAACAAGGAAATCGAATAACTTAGAAAACCAGAGCAGCACCCTTGGTCTTCTTGTCACCACTGTAGAGCAAAGTATATTAGCATACCGATCATCCATCTCAGAGCGCAGAAACACATACCCCAGCTCGAAGTGCTTGCAGCGCTTCAGGGCGAGCTGCTTCTTGGTCTTGCACTGAGTGCACTCAAGACGCAGGACGACCTTCTTGGTAGTCTTAGCCTTCTTGTGGAAGACGGGCTTGGTCTGACCACCGTAACCGCTCTGCTTCCGGTCGTAACGACGCTTACCCTGAGCGAAGAGGGAGGCCTGAAAGAATGTGTATCAGTTTGGTGTTCCGCGGTCGAGGGTTCTCGAGAGCACATACCTTGCCAGCCTTGTACTGGGTGACCTTGTGCTGGGTGTGCTTGTGGCAGTCCTTGGACTTGCAGTACGTCCGGCGGGTTTTGGGGATGTTGACCTGGAAATGACATGAGCTTTGTGTCTTGCGGGAGAGATGGGATGTCAATGTTCGTGTTCCGAAGTCCGATTCGAATATCTGGCGATCGCGAATATGTTTCGTGTGCGACAGGCTTGTTGATTGGGTGTGAATCAGCGTTGTGGACTGGGGTCGTTGAATTCTCAGTGCGTGACCCCATGTGGTGTGCACTTCTCAAATTCAGTGCCAGTCGTGGCAGCGCTCGCCACGGTATCTTCGTCCTCGTCCATCTCCGTGGTTTGTTTGAGAATCCGGTGGAAAACAAGCGGTCTCGGGCTTCTTCAGGCGATGGTTTGCGAATGTCGAGAAATTTGACGTATTCGAGGTCGGCACACACAATTCGTAACGCAGAAAATTCGAATAATCGGGCTTCGGAGCAGAACAGGACATATCCCAGGTATCATCCTTACCATTTTGACTGACTTGGCCGGATAGCTGGGTGGTGGTCGTTGGATTGTCGCTTGTCGGAGGAGAGCAAGAGCGATTTCTTGGTGTGTGGGATTGCACTCGCTTAGGCCCGATAGGGTATGCGCTAACCAGATTTGGTAACGCCAACTGATTGTGATGAGTCATCATTTCTTTCTGCCTGAGGCTACATTGACATCATCTCGCGATGAAATTGCAGTGTCTATTTAGCTACCTGGGTAGTTGTGAGTTGCAAGGATCTTGTCTATGTAAAGCCTTCTCCGAGAACAACTCGTTCTCCTTTCCCATACCAGGTTGTGCCCCAAATAAGTTCCAATCCCTTCTCATGGCCAATCACCCACTCGCCCTGGGATGGGTCTCCCAATCGTCTCCACACATTCGAGCGGAGTTCACCATTGAGATCCTCAATTTGAGCAACCAGCTGCCCGGCCTCCTTGCCGGTTAGTGTCGGGGAGCCCAATGCTCTCTCCGTGGCCATGGCTGGTTTCACAACGCGAGCAATCGTGATGTGTGCCGAAGGCACTGTATACCTAGCGGCGATAGGGACGCCATTCATAGTCACCTTGTTGTAGAGATCCCGACGCAAGTGGTGATAGGTATACCCGTCATTCTTTCCACTATACGCAGCAGTGTCATCTTCGCCAGCTGCGGGCACAAAGCTCAGCGCGATGGCGGAAGTATCGTAGCTTATGATCGGCTTAACCAGCCGAGTACGGTGCTTGAGGGTGTAGTTGGCCAGATCCTGCCACTCTGTTAGATTGACCTTGTCAATCAATTCGGTGATCTCGCTGCTCTTCTTCGCGGGACAAATCTCCAATGTCGTCATGTGTAGGTTCTCGGTTGGAACGAGCCACAGACCTGCTGGTGTTATTGTGCTGCCCACACCAAGGCCTCACGATCGCACTTACCGGGTCCGGTCAACGTTCTCAGCTGCTGCTGAATCTTGGACACCAATTCTCGCACATGCTGGGGCGGACGGGCCCAAAAGGCGAGGTTGTTTCGTGGATCGACGTAGTTCGTTAGGCCTTTCTCTGCTTCGAGCACTTGGTTCAAGATAGGGTCCTCTTTCCAATCGCAGAATCCTGGCTGGCTGATTTGGTCACTGAAGACGGCATTTCTGTTGGTTCTATGGGTCTCATAGGCGTTTTGCAGTGTTTTCTGTCGACTCAGTAAAGGTTTTGGTAGGACCTGACAGCGGAATGTCTTACTGGGTCGTCATTACACGCGTTGATCAATTGCTCGAGTTGATTGCCAGCGGCACTGAGGCTTGCCATGGTTGACTCCAAGGTTGGTGCGATCTTGATCAGGGGCGGGCTTTCAGCGGGGTAGAGCAATGCAACACTCCGCGGATGAGACCGATCATGGATGTAGGTAGAATTTTGTTTGTGTGGTCTTTTCAAAGAACTTTTCATTTTATTTACATGTCACTGGGCAACGTGAAGCAGTCAGGAACAATTGTAGCCTGTTCTTACAGAGCCTTGGAAATAGCGTGGTTGATTCTTGAGCTGCGGTCTATACTTCCAGATATATATCCACGGATGCAGTGTCTACGGAGAAGGTAGCAGCCTGCATAGAACCCTTCACTTTCATCTCCCGGCATTCGAAGAACGCGAATCCAGCCCAGGTGAAACAGAGACAAAAGCTACGAAGAATATTTCATTCAATTTCCTTCTCCCATTGACCATCAGTGTCCATCGAGAGTCCAAAGCACACGATCAGGCATCAAGGCCACCGCCCCACCAAAAACCTCCCCCGCCTCACTTGACTCCGAATCTCATCTTCAACGCAAACAGCTTCACACAATGTTGATCAAGTAGGTCATCGCACACCGTCCACCAGTCCAAGCTAACCGATCAGGGTCCGCACACTCACCGGCAAGGAGATCGAGCTCGACATCGAGCCCGACTACAAGGTACGCCCGCAAGCCGACATCGACGGAACCGACCCTAACCCGCCCAGGTCTCCCGGATAAAAGAGCGCGTTGAGGAGAAGGAAGGCATTCCACCTGTCCAGCAACGACTGATCTTCGGCGGCAAGCAAATGTACGATTACGGAATGTCCGCGCATTCCAAGGTTCGCAGGCTAACAACTCGCAGGGCCGACGACAAGACCGCCGCCGAATACAACCTCGAAGGTGGCGCGACGCTGCATCTCGTCCTTGCTCTCCGTGGAGGCGCATAGTTCGCTAGATAATACAATCTGAACCAGGGACTGAGCTATACTTTTCTTTCCGGTGGTCGCGATGGAATTTGCATATTAGGAGTCCTGGAATTTACTTCTTGCCCGGGTTGTTTCCCGACTGCTTTTCACATCGGGGTTGACACAATATCTGTATACGCTTATTCGGCGAAAGACGAAAGACGCTCGTCAATCCACGAGGACCCCGCGGGAATACCGCGACACAATACCAGTCCACGGGTACAGTAGTGCGGTTCCAATATAAAGCGCGCAATCTCACCTTCACCTCCAAGGCTTATCGTTCTCGTGGATCTACGGGAAAAGATGCATTCACGAACAATGTCCACTAGCTCACAGGCTAAATTGAAAATATACATCGGTTTGACTCGCAAGTGAGGTGAAACTACCTCGGGTATCAAAAATGAGATCCTAACTCCGATCAGAGATGATGCAAATATAGACAGATTGAAAAAGCAGCATGAAGTATTTCTTCCCCTCTTAGATAGTCAGAATGGCCCTGCCACTTCTTTATTCGATCCTGGGATCAGACCCGAGGATCAAACCGGCGGACTCTCCTTGGAGGTGGAGGGGACGGCAATAAAGCGTCCCTTGCTGTGTACCCCCCCTCCGGTATCCATTGTCAGGACTCTCCTTGGAGGTAGAGCCTGAAGCGGGGGCGGCAACGAAGATGAACCCTTGCTGTATACCCCCCCCCTCCGGTATTCATTGTCAAGAGCAAGGTTTCCATTGTCCCCGACAAGAGACAAGAGATCCCCGGATCAAACGCGTCGCCGTTTGGGAGGCATGAAGACGCTTGGCGGCGGCCGCCGTCGCATGATCGGACCACCAGTTGCCGGGCCTGAAGGGAGGGACTCGGGGTGAGAAGAGGACGAAACAGGCGAACCAGCCCGTCGCTTGAGGCCGGGATTCAACCCCGACTGCGTGTTTGTGAGAGCGCGCAACTTGTCCTCGTTCTTTATAAGCGCCGGATCCTTCGGCGAGCCTGCCTTCGGCGCTATCACTTTGGGTGAAGCTGGCCTGCGCGATTCCTGATGTTCCTCGACCAGGGCGCGTGGTGCGCGCTGTACCTGGGAGGCGCGGTTATTGAGCGCTTTTGTCGGGACGGTGAGGGCGTTGTTGCGTTTTGTAGGCTGGAAGATGCTGTTCTTTTTCTTTGATCCAAACTCTCGAGGCATCTGGTAATTATCGACGCCGATACCGCCCATTTTGCGATCAAAGGCTGCATGTCGTTGTCGGGGGGTCGGCCGAGCGTGTGCCATGCGGTGACTCCTGCTCTGGGGGATGATTTGGGGGGTGAGCGCTGCACGCTTATTGTTGATGCCGTCGATTGCTTTGCGCATATTCTCTGCATCTGCATCCAGAGACTGCTCAGTCTGCTTTCGCAGCTCACAGTATAGTTTATACCAGTCGTCTGATTGTTGTGGAATCTCATCGGGTTTTAGGAGGGGGATGTCGCGTTTGATGAAATCGATCCATATTTCGGCGTCTTCACCAATAAAATGAGGCGAGGCCAGCTCAATATTGTGCTAGTTAAGATAAATGTTAGTGAGCGCTTTGAAATACGACCAGAGCACACCCAGAGCACACCCAAAGCACACCTAGAGCATACCCAGAGCCTAGCCAGAGTCCAACCAGAGTGTGTCAGAGCACCACCAGAGCACTGCCAGAGTCCAGCTAGAGTCCGCCCAGAGTTCGCCAGAGTGTGACTAGACTGAGCCCAGAGTGCGACCAGATTGAGCCCAGAGTGCGAGCCAGGTGAGGCCAAACTGCGAGCCAAGTGAGAATGGGGATGACGTACTAGTTTTTCGGGATTATCGATCCTCAACAGAATAGGGCGAGCGAGTGTGTATGGCAGTGCGCCGAGATCATCCAGGACTGTATCGGACAAAAGCTATCCTTAGCTCATCTGGTTCCGTCAGACTGCATGTGTAGTCTGTACATACCTTTGACATAGCGGATTGCTGTGGCTGTGGCCATAGCGCGGAGGGAGCGGGCAGGCATGTTTACGACGGCGTTTAGTCCAACGTATACAGCAAGGCAGCATCCATAGATCGGAGTAAAGGGCTTTGGGTCGAAGACTTGATCGCAATGAAGTGGAAGTCGGCGAACGGGCGTCCGCGCTTTAAATAGCAGATCACCTTCCCTTGACGCTCATTGGTCGACTCCACCATAATCTACCTCGACTATTCACTCTCTTTGTCGAACAGGCTACAATAGTAAATGAGCCCTGGAAGTGAATACAATATATCAATAGTGACAGTCTATTGTTTTTATAGAGTTGAATGTTCGGACGAATAATATGACTCACTCACTGTTCTTCGTCTCAGTTTCAAGAGACATTTTGGTTGACGTCAGACATCTGAAGAGTCTCAAAGATAATGAGTTTCGACAGCCTTTTTGGCTATGATCAGAAGTTTCAAATGGAGCTCTCAGAGCACTGCTATACCTAGTCTACAGAGTAGAGTACAGAGTACAGAGTATGGCGTATGGAGTAGATGTGCGGCCTTCAATCCCTACACGTGATGTCATAGGCAAACGATGCAAACTCCCATCACCGTGGGGTCAATCTGGAGAAATTGGCCTCAACTCGACTTGCTCAACTGTATATCCCACAGGTGAGCGATTCTCTCTCCGAACGGTGCATCTGGACTCGGAGACCTCGAATGACAAGATAGTTGAAAGTCAGTGCTAACGCCTGTTCAGATCACAATGGCTCCTCGCTCTCAACTCCAGATTACTACCTCCTCTGTGATCCGTTTGGTCAAGGAAGAAGCTTCCTACCACAAGGAGCTTGAGCAACAGACTGAGCGCGTGAAGAGACTAGAAGCCGAGACTGCTGGCGATGATGAGAACCGCGAGTACATGTTGAAGCAAGAGGTATGCGCATCTGACTACTGGACATGAAACTTCATTCACTCAATGTACCCCACTGACATGGAATGTAGGCCTTGTCCCTCGAAGAGACCAAGAAAGTCCTGCCTACCCTGAAGCAGCAGATTCAACAGACTGTGGCGAACCTTGATGCTCTGATTGTGAGTTACTATATCCTTACCTGACGCCAGTCGACTAACCCCAGCAGATCGAGGAGGGCAAGAAGGGATCTGACAGCAATGTCGCGGACATCACAGCGGCCAAAGAGGCCATTGCCCAAGCCAAGACCGCAGAGCGCGAGATTTCCTAAACCAGCACCAAAATACCCAAGCAGAAATAGATCCATAATGCCATGAAATGTCCTCTGAAATTGCCAACGCCTGAAACCGGGTAAAACTCCTTGCTAGTGCGGGTAATGTACAAATGCTTCAAGTAGTATCCATCTTCTCATTGTAGTGATCGTCAGGAACCTCCTCTCCCTCTTCAAGCTCGGACAATTCACCGTCACTGATCGCGGAGATTTCGCCATCATCAACCATGTTCGTGTCCTCATTATTGGACGCCGTAGTCACCTGGCGCAAAGGTGACGCGGCTCCGGTAGCGCCTGTCTTTTCAACCACCAAAGCCGCAGGTCGGGGCTCCTCCTGGATCTGCGGCGGAGTCATACCCTCGCTGTCGGGGCCCGGGGTATTGGCACTGCTAGCCTTGCCCTTCGATGTGGAATCGCCCTCATCGCCATCCTCGCCCTCCTGCATCCCCTCCCGGCGCTCAACCTCCTCTTTCTCATCGCGAATCAACCGACGCAGCTGCATGCCCTCGTCGACAATGCGACCGAACTGCTCTCGCCGCTCAGCCCAAGTTGTGGCGTAGTCCTTGCTCTCGTTCTCTAGATCCGCGATCTCCGTGCGCAGTTTTTGGAGGTTCGCCGATTGATCCTCGCGCGGCTTCAGTAGGCGGTTGCTAGTGATTTTATCGGCCAGTTCGTCGTACGTCTTGCGCAAGGAGAGTAGTCGCTGCGCCTCTTCAAGTTGACTACGGAGATCGGCTGTGCTCTCCCGGACGGATTGCATTGTAGACAGAATCTGTACTCGCTCTGTGGCATATCGCTGGCGTTCTTTCTCATTTCCTGTGATAAGAAACTGCACGCGCGTGATGCTGGCTTCGAATGCAGCGAAATCCAGCGACACATCTTCTCGGAAGTGGCGCCATTCTTCGAGCTTTTTCTGTTTTTGGGCTTCTGCGGTCGCGTGGCTGTCGTCGCTTTCTTCGGGTGGTGGGGTAGGGAGAGAGGATTGCGAAACAAGGATGGAGTCGGGGTTTAAGAGGCGCTTGGAGATTCGTTTGAAGGGTCTCTCTTCGACGTTGAGGAGACGCGATTTGTGGAGTGCATCTGCCGGACGGTGAGCATTGATTTTCAAGGACGGGGATGCCCTGGACGGGACCTTCTTCTGACTGGTCTAGGAGGCCATATGAAGCCATCTTGATTCAGGAGCCGTAAATAGCTACAGCGCTGAGTTCGGGGAGGGCGACTTGGCGGGCGACTTGGAGGTCTGAAAAGTGAAGCCGAGCGGTCAGTTACTCCGCCCAACCTTATTGACGTCTGTTCTCCAACGTTCGGCTGCGTTGCTTTGCTACGGACTCGCTGGCCAAACGACCCATTATTACTGTATAGTATTCTGACAAGCCTACTGGTCTGAAACAAGGCCACCGATACGCAGATCGAGCGGGTGCTTGCCTGCGGTCACGCCGTGCTCCGCCAGAGGTGTTTGCAACCACGGCCTCGCGAAGCTCCAATCTGTGACCCGATGGACATTGTCACGCGAGGGTCCGTGGCTCCTGTCCCAGTTGCCCACTTGACTGCCTCCAGACTCTGCGTATCACCACTATGACGGAGATGTACTCCGGGCTCCATGTGAGCCAGCGATTCTCCTCTCTGGAAGAGTTCAAGTCAGTAGTCCGCAGCATATCTGTGAGGCAACACTGGGAGCTCCGTGTGACACGAAGCAACAAGAAAAGTGTAGTCATTGGGTGTCGCTCGTCGGCAAATTGCTTCTTCCGAGTCGTCTGTCGTTCGAACAAGAATGCAACCTACATCACCAGTCTCCAGGACAGCCATAGTTGCCGCCGGAGCGCAGACTCTCCCACTGCTACCCCGGCTCGCTCTGAGGCCTCTCATGTGCGGTTTCTGCTGGGGGAGATCCCCAAGCTGTTCGACATGAAGTCGAAGATCAAGGCCCAGGAAGTCGTCGATGCCGTAAAACGCTACCACGGCTATGATATCTCCATGCGCCAGGCACAGCGAGCACTTACCAAGGTCCAACCTCGACATGCCGACAGCCAGGGCGACCAGGACCTTGATCTTGATCTGAGCGCAGGAGAGCAGCAATCGCCCGAGCAATCACCAGAGTCACATAGGGACGCGACACACGCCTTCGAGGACATGGCCGAGAACAGATGGCTCCCGGATCATCTACCAACATCCTTGATTGAAGACGATAACATCCCTCCAAGCGACCCAGCAAGCAACCATATTCCTATACCCTCTGATTCTCAAACCTTACCCGCCCAGGTGCAACAGTCATTGCCTCCCAACCCACCTCTCGCTCTCCCCCCACACCAAATGACCATGCCGCCACCAGAACCAGAGTACCAGACTGCTGCCACCATTGCAGGGGTTAACGAGCCCCCCAAGGCCCCGAGCTATCCTCGTGATCACACGGTCCCCCAGATGGTTCTGACCAATTTCAAGATCGAGTTCACATGCACGACATGTGGGTCATTGAACCAGAGCTTCTTTCCTAACCAAGGCAATGTTACCGGCGCCAGCTATTTAAACCATGCAATGCCGAATCCTAGTAACGTTGCCAGGGAGCCGGGCCAAAACGGTGTGGGTAGCAGCAACGTAGTCGGCGATAATTCTACTTACGATAGCAATGCGTCGAATACTTCTATTCAACACGCCTGGTCTGGTGGTGGTCTTGGAGTGTCAATTGGGTCGGCGCATACTTGACTTATCATGCTAAGTCCCGGAGAGGATACTGGAGGCAGTCAGATCTGAAGACATGGGTTATCTCTTCTTTCTATCTTTCTTTTCATCTTACTTTTGGGAAATACCTATCTGCGTCAAGATTGTCAACTAATTCAGGTTCAACATCCGCGATGTCAAATGTCGGCATCCTTGAGTATCATTTCTTTCTCTTGCTACCACGGAGAGGGCATCAATTGGGAGCTTGCATGCAACATCGTTCAAAGCCATACCTGGATTGACCAGTGAAGAGAGCTTATGATGTAAGTTTGGATCTGGGCGCCAGCAAAGTCGCCATTTGTTTCTGTTCATGCAGGGAAACGTGCATATAGGAGGGGATGTCTTGTGCTTGGATTTTGTCCCGGCTTGTCTTATTTGGAAGCTCATGAGTAGCTCCCGCCAATGAATGACTGAAACGAAAAGCCATTGGAATCTATCCAAGACGACTCACAGTTCTCCAATACATAGCTTCCTAGTCCCTCTACTGGTACACGCCTCGATGGAGTCGTCACTTGTGCTTCTCTAGTTCGATACAGAGCCGAGCCACGGAGCTCTCCCGACGGTTTAGGTAGGAGTTGCAGAACACCGAGAGCCAGAGGTCTGATTCCCGACGCGTCACTCCTCAATTGGCTTGATTCGCCGCACACGCTGTCATTCCGCACACCGGCTGCCCAGGTGAATAGCGCCAGATGCCTGGAGGGCCGATTTCCTGGCCCATGACTCAGCGTTCGGAGGTCCGATCGGCTCTCCGACGAAGGCCGTAGATCCACCGCAGACTCTGCTCGCCAACCACAGAGAGAAGAGGTGCGGGATCAAGCCGTGCAGAGACTGATAATGCACACGAGCTTTTACTCGTGTCGGACCCAGGTCCGATGGGACATCCGCTTAGCGGTCCCAACTTCCAATCGACAGCCAGCGCTCAGTTGCCGATTGAGAAACCTGCCAGGAAAACTTTTCTCACCAATCCAATGCCTTGGATATGACTAGGTCCGTGGAGTTGGTCTTTCATTTAAATATCATCTCATTCCCCCCACAGTCACTACTTGGATAGCATCACGCCAAGCCTTCACATCAGACCCCGGAAACCTTATCTCCCGGCCAAGATTAATGTCACGACACAGGCTTGTATGTCCTCGAGAAGAATAGAGATACAATTGCTGTCATAACAGCCCGAAGCTATACCGTCTGCAGACATGAATCGACAACGAGAGGCCGAAAAGGCCCTCCACGATCAAACAAATATCTTGCCCTTCGCACAGCTTATGGTTGTCTTCACTAGCTTGGCAATCTCGTTACTGATATGCATGGTGGATCAGAATGGAATCAGTGTGACATTACCGACTATCTCTCGCGACCTCAGTGCCCAGAACACAATATCATGGGCTGGAACCTCGTCGCTGATTGCAAACACCATGTTCACAGTGCTGTACGGCCGAATCTCCGACATCTTTGGTCGGAAGATCGTCTATCTATCTGCATTGCTAACCCTCTGCATTGCGGACTTGCTGTGCGGCCTATCGCAAAATCCAGCCATGTTCTACGCCTTCCGTGGCTTGGCTGGTATTGCCGGTGGCGGCGTCACTTCATTGACGATGATCATCGTCTCTGATATTGTGACTCTAGAGAGACGAGGAAAATACCAAGGCATACTGGGTGCAGCTTTGGGGCTGGGAAATGTCATCGGGCCATTCATAGCTGCTGCATTCATCATGCGCTCAACGTGGCGTGGCTTCTTCTGGCTGATCTCTCCTCTGGCTGCTTGTTCTGCGGTCATTGGATATTTCCTGATTCCGAATAATGCTGGGAAGGGCAGTTTCTGGGTGAATGTTGCTCGCATTGATTGGTTCGGTGTGCTCGCATCGTCTATTGGAATCATCTTCCTTTTGATTCCTATCTCTGGGGGTGGCTCATACTTCCCATGGGACTCACCGATGGTTATAAGTATGCTTGTCATTGGAAGTTGCTCTTTGATTGCATTCCTGTTCATTGAGTGGAAAGTGGCTATGCTGCCCATGCTACCAGGTAAGTTCTCAGTCAAGGTCTGGATCTAGTTTCGAAGCTGACATACAGCCAGTGGTTTTCTTTAAAAATAAGGTTGTCTCTACAATCTTTCTGCAAAGCTTTCTGCTTGGTGCAGTCTACCAAGCAAACCTATATTACTTGCCGCTGTACTACCAAAACGCCCGTGGATGGTCACCTATCGTTTCTGCAGCGATGACATCTCCAATGGTTGCAGCTCAGTCAATCTTCTCGATCATCTCCGGACAGTACATCTCACGACTGAAACGTTATGGTGAAATCATTTGGATTGGATTTGGTCTTTGGACATTGTAAGCACCTCGTCCGATCTTTCTCTTGAGTCTACCTAGGTAAGACTAACCACACCTGTTCATAGGGGCTCGGGCTTGATGCTCTTATTCACGGATAGCACTCACCCAGCCATTGTTGCCGTGATTGTATTTATCAGTGGCGCGGGAGTTGGTTTCACCTTCCAGCCCACCCTCATCGCCTTGCAGGCCCATTGCACAAAGTCTCAACGAGCAGTGGTGATCGCAAATCGGAACTTCTTCCGGTGCATGGGTGGCGCATGTGGTCTCGCTATCTCAGCTGCGATCTTGCAGGCCACTCTTCGATCGAACCTACCGACCAAGTTTGCATACTTGGCGGAATCCTCTTACTCCCTTCCTGACAAATCGAATCTCAGTTCCACTGAATGGGCCTCAATCTTATTGGCATATACCAAGGCCTCACATGCAGTTTTCATCTTGCAGGTCTGCCTCATTGGCGTCTGTTTCCTTGCATGCGTGTTTATTCGTGACAGGGGATTGGAGCGCCCCAAGGAGCCCGAAGAAATCGAAGAGGAAAAGCGCAAAGCGCAGGAGAGAGATGCTGAAGCCGCTGTGGTTGATCGTCCAGAAGAACCAGTCACCCACCAGACACCTGGAAATATTGAGAAGCGTCCTTCCGCGTCTACGCTCGCCGAGTCGTCGATGCCACCTTCCCGGGTGGAGCTTGGCGCCGAGAAGGAGAGGCACACCGAGTGATAGAATCCGCGAGCAGATCATTGTTTCGTTTGCTATATTTTATGTTTGTGCCTGATTCTGTTGCATCAGCAGTGCGTGTCATTAGCCTAAGAAAAGCATCATAGATACCTCCTTATACTAATCCAATCCTATTGAATGTATTTAAAGCGCTAGAAATATTTTGATATATTCATGAAACTCAATTCAGGATACACTGTGCTAGATGACAACTTGGAAGGTGTGAATCATATAGATCGGTGGCGCGGAAGTCGGTGGCTTGTCTTGGCATCTAACCCCGACACCTCCGACGACAATCGCCGACCTCCGAACGGCGTTCCACCAGGCCTACTTGAGTGTCATACCAAAATAAAATGTACGCACCTGGAGTAAGCACTGTGTCTCCAAGACATAGTCCAGCACAAGAGCACAACCCAAGGAAGCGTGGACGGACAGCATGCACGCGTTGCAAGACTCGGAAGCAGAAGGTGAGCTCCGATATCCGCCATAGCCACCACAGCAACTCATCGGACATTAGTGCGATAACGAGTATCCAACTTGCTCAAACTGCTCAAAGGCTGGAGCTATTTGCGACAAGTCCAGTGTGCGGGATGATACCGATCGCCAGAATGAGTATGTGTGGAAGTGACGCCGCAGACAATAGCTAACGGACTAGTTACACACGCGTCCTGGAAGAGCGTGTGGCATTTCTGGAAGGCCGACTCAACCGATCTGACTCTGATCGGAATACTGCAAATGCCACGCCATCGCTGTTTACACAAGGCCATGCCACGCCGACAGCTACCCCCGGGCTAGACAACAACCCCGTTGGGGAAATCGTGGGCTTGCTGGCCCTAAGCTCCTCGGAAGCACCAGCATATGTCGGATCAAGCTCCGGTCTCTCTCTTGCTGCTGACTTGGGAGAAATGGTGCAGACGAGTGTGTGGAACCAATTCATTCAAAAAATGCAGCAACAGCAGAACAAAAGCCTCATCAATAACTCACGCAACACGAGGGGTCGAACCCACGGGCCATCCGAGCAGCCGACAGCTCCTGAAATCCAAGACCGATCTCGGACAGAAGAACTGTTGCCGGCAAACGTGGAACCACCGACTGATGAGATGGGAGCGAGAATCCTCGACACGTATTTCACACGACTTCATTCTCGATATCCGTTTCTCAATCAGAAACAGGTGTGGCAGATCCACGAAGATCGCTGGCGACTGGCAAAGACCAAGCGCGAGGACCTGACAAGATCTGATCGATTTGCTATCTTCAAGCTCAACATTGTATATGCAATTGGAGCTACGATGCTGCAGCTCAGTGAGAAATATGCTTATACAGCACCTGAGGTGAGATGGGATCCTATTGCCATGATTGATGCGATACTAATAACTTCCAGCGATTCTATACCGCAGCATTACAGCATGTTCCGACGATGTGTGAGGCGCGATCTATCCACAACATCGAAGCCATGGTTCTTCTTGTCGTGTACCATTTGCGAACTGCCTCCAGCCATGGGATGTGGTACATGATTGGTCTCGCTATGCGCACAGCCATTGACCTGGGTCTTCATCGCAAGGCAAATGAGAGCAACATGGACCCCTTCACGACCCAGATGCGACGAAGGCTCTTCTGGACTGTATACTATTTGGAGCGGGTGGTATCCATGTCCCTCGGTCGCCCATTCAGCCTTTCCGATCGCCACATCGACCTTGATCTACCACTAGATGTGGACGATGACATTGAAGATCCTGCATTACTCACCGCACCCCCCGACCCGACCAAAACAACGTCCCTTACATTCGCAATTTATCTCTTCAAACTCCGTCGCATCGATTCCCGGATTCAGCATAAGATCTACCGTGCCGACCGGCCTCTATCGAGTCTTCGACCAAAGATGGATCCATTATACCTGGAGCTTGAACAATGGAAAGAATCCGCGCTCTTGAGATTCAGCGGACCAGACCTCGACTACCCAATGCTTCATTACAACAGAGCCGTCCGGCTACTCATTCAACCATTTCTCCCCCTCCTCCCTATAACAGACCCATATTACCAGATCTGCCTATTATCAGCAGGGAACATCTGCCAGTCACACAAACGTCTCCACCAAACCCTCGAATACGGACATTCATTCTTGGCCGTCCAAACCGTCTTCATGGCCGGCATCACCCTACTCTACGCCCTATGGACCCACACCGATCAAGTCTGGTCCGTCCGCATGAGCAACGACATCCGCGCGTGCTCCACTGTCCTATTCGTCATGGGTGAGCGTGCAGCATGGGTAAAGAAATATCGGGATGCATTCGAACTACTAGTCAATGCTGCCATGGAAAAATTACAGGGTGACGAGACTGCCCGGAATGCCGGAATGGCCGAATTGATGACTGCTCAATATGGAGTGAATTGGGGCTCTACTGGAACGTCTACTGGTGATTCTGCCAATGTGACAGGCTTGGCGCCTGATGTGAGCGTTCCTCAGACGCAGGCACCCGATGAGACGGAGAATGCAGTGCGGATGGCGTTGCAGTTGGCACCGTGGATCGATCAGAATGAGAATGATCCTCTTTGGATGCCGGACTTCGATACACTGGAGAGCTCATCAGGGAATTTCTGGAGTCATCCTGACACAAGACTGTTTGATGCTCTTTGAATATATCTGACGAGAGAGGAATACCAGGCTCCTTCACCATTCCCGATATGCAGGAAAGCTTATACTCTCTTCCGTCGAAGGTAATCCACCGATTCCTTCGCCCTTTGGAACGGCTTGTTATCTATCTTCGTATTGGCCGACATACATGATAGACGCATCTGGTCTCTCAACTGGCCCAAGATGTCTTTGTGGAATCCGATGCCTGTCTGCGCAGGTGGCATACTTGTTGCACCGATCTTGGCTCATCGAAATCTGTTTCGTGGATGATTATGATCAAAATTTCGATCATATCGGGTTCATCGCTTCGTGTGCGCCGGCTCTGCTATGTTGCCGAATGCCCATGAATGTTGCATTCAGTGACACAACTCATTGACCAAAAGAACATACACCCTGTAGATCAAGGAGGGATATCGGTGAACCAGCTTGCAAGATCAGGGAAGTCAAATCTCCCAAGGAACCCGAAATCCTCTTGCCCCAAGCCCATCTCATCCCACGTGGTGAAAGGATTCATGTCCACTGCGCCAGATTCCTGACGAATACCATGATCGTCAGAAACCGGCTCCGCATGCTGGGATAGATCCGGCCGGCTCTGGAACTGATTGACCTTCTGCTGCAAATGCGTGTTTGCAAGTGATGTATTTTCGCCGGGTCGGGACGGTGCTGCGCGAGAGTTAGTTTTCACAGACCGTCAAAGCCGAAGAATTTATAATGTATAACACACCGGAATAGTTTTGGACGATATGCTGGTGGGTGACTTGGAGAAATTGAAGCGAGTTGCGCGCAGATGAGCTAAACATTGCCATGAAAGCAAGAATCTCTTCACATTTACGCCAGCTCTCCTCTACAAGTTGTGGATCGACTTGTTCACGCACTGATCGACAGGAGTATGACATAATAAGGATGAAACCTGCGGTTGAAGTATCTGAAGGTGTTAGTCAGCTAGCAGATGAAGCAATTGGAGACACGAACAGAAGCCATTATACCACCATGCATCGGTTACGCTGGTTCGGTATGTCTGATGAACGAGAGATACCAAGTCAATGGCTGCCAAGACACAAGAGGCGGCGCATTTGGAAAAGACCGATGAATATATCAGATTCTTTTCTGCGGGCGCCGAATTGCCTCGATCTCCTGGATCAACGTCAGAGCGCCTTGAAGAGCTTGCTCTTTCGTCAGAGCACAGCTGGGTGAACATAGGGCGGTATAACAAAAGGCGAAGATGAATTGCTCTAGTCTTGTTAGTGAATGCAAACCGGGGCTGGAAAATCTGACAAGGACATGTACCTAGCTCGCAGAACGTTTTGTTGACGCTTGAAGATAGATATGCCACCACTACCCGCACGTTGCAATGGCTCATTTGTCCAATTGAGCGGCGATGGCACGTTGGCTTCATACGCAGAGAGCCTATCGTCCAGTTCCATCAAGACATCTAGGCTACACATCTTGGAGCTGCGAGGCGACGATGAGCGATTGCTGTTCGACCGGGTCTGCCAGGCATTATAGACCTCAGATAAGATAGATTCGAGAATCTTGTATAACTCAATGGTCGAGACGTAGAATGTCAGATACCCGTTGATGTGATCACAAGACTGTCCGCTGAGCTCGCATGGATCACTTGCTTGGGAGTCGGTTCCCATTTCAGGCAAGGGTACGGGTGAAATATGTGAAGTCATGCTAGGCCTTCCATGCGTCATGCTCACGATCCTATCGCTATTGTTTTAGCAGTGTCGTTAAGATCAGGTTTTAAAGGTTGCACTCACATATCCATAATGACACAGCTGTGCCATGTTCGCCGCCGGATCTCTGTCTCCAAAGGCTTCCATGAAGAATTCGTCGTTGTCTCGTGTAATCCAAGACCTTGTCCAGCTCGACAAGCCAACCCAATAGCATTCCAGCATCGGTTCGGATAAGGCGTACTTTGAAGGAGCAGTGAGACAATCAGGAGTGTTTGCACAACCCCGATAGTACCGATGTCGAGAAGATCCAGGTTCACGAATCGCTTGGCACGCAGGAAGAATGAGTAAACCGCTGCCTCTCGTTCGGAAGGAGGAATGTCAGAGAAGTGACACCCAAGAGCAAAGATACAGTTCAGGGCGCAATGGAAAACCATCGAGTTCGGACCACAATCATATGCGCCCCCAAGGCCGATATTCAGTTGCGGCAACTCAGGCTTGGGCGATTTCGTCGACCCCCAGAGGTTTTCATAAGCCTGCTCAAAGCTTGGACGATGAAAGAAGGGAAAAAGACAATGTACCCTGTCCCAGTAACATTCGAGTAGGTGGTCTGCCAATGATCGAGGCGGTAAAGAGAAGTCATCGAATCGAAGATCCACAGAAGGGTGTCCCAGATCACGCCAGAGGCCTGTTTCGGGACCTTGTGTTAGAGGAGCTTCATTTTTGCCCTCCCGTAGTGCAGACATGTATGACTGTAGAGGCATCGGCTCCCCCGCGAGGCGCATGAAGGAGGCCACTGAGGAATTCCCGTAGTATTGCTGCTCTCGCGGGGAGTCTGTGCCTGGATCATCTTCCGGCACGGATATAGCGCCCATGGCAGTGACATTTCCATGGGAGCTGATAGAAGGAGATGGGTAGATACTCCCTGCTCTGGGCCGCGCCGGCTCAGACGATAGATGTGAAGGCCGCGGTGTCCGATAGACATCCTCTGCATCCGAGACATTCCTCTGAGCAGGGAGCCTTGGGGGTTGGAACGGAGAGCTTGCCGGTATGGACGTTGGTCCCGGCACAACAGGAGTCGACCCCAAGCCCAGCAATCCTTCAGCTGCGGCCGAGGTACGAGATTCTGTGTCGAGGGGGTCCAAGTCCACATCTTCGTCCATTTGACTTTCAGCCTCGTCACCCCCATTCTGAGATGGTGCAGGTGGTACGGCGACTCCGCCTTTGGTGCATGTTTCCTCTAGTTCCCGGATGCGTTCATGGAGGATTTTCAAGTACTCATCGTTGCTGGCTGATCTTGCATTATCAATCTTGTAGACGCATTGCTCCACTGAATAAGATCGACGAACGCAAGGCCCGCATATTGGCTTTTCGCCATCACACCGGACTTTTTTGTCTCGGCAAGATTCACAAGCCAGGGCAATCTTCCGCCGACGTGGTGTTTCCCGCTTTTGGATTCCTCTCGGCATGTCAACGCTTTGTCCCAGCCACGAGGACAGGGTATATCACACGACCCACCCGTGGACAGTACGTGCAGATGAACTGTATGGGGGTATGATTGGCACACCGGGTGGTGACCGAGTAAGGGGCAGAAGTGTTGGGGATGGAATGATCCCGGCACGGGATGCACCCGGAGCCCACGAGCAGGACGATCACGTGCCATGGCATACCCCACGAAATTGAGGACTCCAACGAACTCAAAAGTCAGACCGAGGGGAGCCGAGCGATCTCAATCTTCAGTTTGACACCTTTTCTGGGGTCTGGGCCTAGCCAGGATAGGATGGCTTGTGAACTCCCGGATTTTAGTCGACGCCGACATCATCTGTGGGGTCCGGGATGCACCCGGAGAGACTATTCCCACCCCGGGTCCATTCCGGCGTTGACGTAGTAAACCTGCCCTTTCTCCTTCAAAAAGGAATTTAAACATTGCACCTGCAGCAATCTTACGTTCTATTTTCCGAGTCTTATGCAACCACCATAAGCCAACATCCATCCCGAATCGTACCTTGTCTCTACAAGAGTCTCCACCCATCCCCGAATACTATATCAACCCAAACAGAATATCTTCACAGCGACGTCGAATCCAACAATACAATCCAAGCCCAGTGCTTCCTCTCGAATCAAAATGGAGTATGGGAGCCAGCATCCAATCATGGACCATGTCACCTTGTCCGACTGTTGTCCATGGCAAGCCGAGAGTCCCCAGCCTACCATCCCCAAAGAACATTGGCCTGTTGAGGACGGCCTTCAGTGGGGATCAGATCCCAGTTTCTGCTATCATGGATTCTCCAACCCCATCGGTACCTGGACAGAGGAGCGACTGGTGCAAAACCTGATGCGCAACATGGCCAGCTTTTGCAACAGCGTGGACATCGGATTTGATGTCTCAGAAAAATACCACGAACTACACCAACAGCCCATGGATGATCCCATGCAATTAAACGGTCTATCTTTGCCCATGTTCCAGCCCTCTCTGGTTCCTCATTATGAACGCCTATCCGAAACACCCTCCTCATCATCTTCACCTCCGCCTACAACCCGAGGGCGATCCTCTCCGGAGAGTAGTAGTACTACGTGCTCACGAGCCAGCTGCACGAAAGCTGACAGCAAAACACAAAAGAAGAGAAAATGTGTACAAAGACCCGGGCAAAAGCTGTGCCATTGCCGCTCGGAGAAAAAGAGAAGGGAGATTATCGGACAGCGATATAAAGAGCTTTGCCACCTGGTGCCGGGACTGGAGAAACATTCTTATACACGGAAATATGTTTTGGCAGAGGTTGCTATATGGATTCAGGATCTACTTCGAGGGAACGATGCTCTCGAGGCACAGCTGCAGCAATTGAAGGAGCAAGAACGGCTAAATCAGATGCGGCTGTTCCCTGTTGAGGCTGAAGAGATCTAGTGATGACCTTCGTTGATGAGTAATATGACCTGTATAATAGTACATATAATCCATTACATTATTTATGAAAGAGCAAAAGCGCTTTCTACCTACCTAGGTATCTTGAGCATTGTTCTACCAAAAGCGAGCATACGAAGGCTCAAATGGAATATGTGATTTGAGTATCAAGATGAAGTAATATTTGACAAAATATGAATATATACACGTCTAAATGTGTTGATCAAATAAACTTATCAAGCCGAAGTGCCTTCGCGCTCCTTCAGAACTGCACGCACACGAGGCAAAACAAATCGCCCGTAGTCAATAGCGTCATGAAGATTATCATATCCACGAACAGAAATCAGATCCGCCCCGAGATCCACATAATCAATCAGCGAGTCGGTAATCGTCTTCGGCGATCCCACCAAAGCCGTAGACGCGCCCCGCGCATTCGTCGCCGTGACAGTGGGATACCACAACGCACGGTCCTGGACCTCCCCACGAGCCGCAATATCAAGCAAGCGCTGAGAGCCTACATTCTGAGGAGGCGGCGCATTAGCCGGAACCTTTCCTTGGCCATTTGCGCGATGAGTTGAGAGAGCATCGAGTGTCGCATGAGCCTTAGCCCAAGCCAGATCATCCGTCTCAGCCAGGATAGGACGGAAAGTGACCCAAATACGGGGTCTGTCGGACTCGGCGCGACCGGCCTTATCAGATGCAGCGTAAATACGATCGATCTGTTCCTTGGTTTCTTTGAGAGGCTCGCCCCACAACCCGAAGATGTCGGCCAGGGAGCCTCCGATACGGTATGCCTCGTCGGACGACCCGCCTACGGACACGGGGATGGTTCCGTTGGTGGGACGCACGCGGTTACTGAATTGCTTGAATTGGTAGTATTCACCTTCCCAGTCGAAGGGCTCGTCGGACTTCCATGCGCGACGGAGGATCTTGATGTATTCTTCCAGACGGCCGTAGCGCTGGTCTTTGGTCAGGAAATCGCCTTCCTTGGCTTGCTCTGCGTCGCTGCCTCCGGCGATAAAGTGGACAACAACACGGCCGCGGCTCAGCTGGTCAAGGGTTGAGAGCGCCTTGGCGGCTACAGTTGGGTAGAGGGTGTTTGGGCGAAGAGCGATGATAACCTTGATGTGTTTGGTTACGGAAAGGATTGTTGCGCCGATGGTGAAAGGGTCGAATGATGATGAATCATATGGCACCAATGTGTAATTGTATCCGAAATCATCTAGAGATCGAGCATAGCGAACGAGATACTCGGGATCAATTGGTGCACCGGGGATGGGTGCGAGCTCGGTGGACTCGTTGGGGAAAGTGACGCTGATGAATTCCGGCATTGTTTATGTATGCTAATTAGAGAGAAACGAAAATAAAAACAGGCTGATAGTGTACACTGTCTATATAAGTAGTGTTAAATTGCTGAGATGTAACTGTATAGACATGACGCGAGTTGGGGGTGGATTGCGTCTTAGCACGCAAGCAAGAGGCCATTGATCGGATGATTTCGCTGGACTCGGACCATTATCAATGAGTTAGTGTCAGCATAGTTTCATATCCGATTTATTTAGAAATCAGCACTAAATCCCCATGCAGTGCAGCTATTGCGCAAGATGATCATGAAGCGTCGCAATGTACTACTGTGATAAGTGCATCGGTGAAATTCCGCTGTCTCAAACCATTTCAAGCACTAGCTGCCTGTGGATTAAGTCTTGGAAGAGCCAGAACCGGATAAGATAGGAGACCTGGAGTTGACGCGATCGCTGGGCATTTTGAGAACATGAGGTGGATGTTGTATAAAAATGGTGGAGTCTCCACAATTGGCTGCTCGAACGTTACACGCATATCCGAGACCCTTCCCCTCTGTATGTTTGACAGGTAAACATTATTGATAATGGGGAAACCGAGGGACCTCCAAGCGACCGTTCCCAGATCGCAGAGTATCGATGCCGACAATGTGTCTGGTTCCGACGAAAGCTCATTCACAAAACCCACGAAGACATGGAAGAGCTTAGTGTGGGATACATGGGAGTTACCACCAAAGGAGCGCTGGCTGCTCTTCAAAGTTGATGCTTTCGTACTCACATTTGCATCGATTGGCTATTTTTTGAAAAATATCGACCAGACAAATGTCAACAACGCTTTCCTTAGTGGGATGGAGGAGGACCTGGAGATGTTTGGCAACCAACTGGTGACAAGTAAGCGAGGAAGAAAACATCATTCACGAAGCTTGGAATTGGTGTTAACAGAGCTTCAGGTACATCGATATGGACAGTGGGATACGTGATCGGTCAAATTCCCTGCAATTTACTGTTGACCCGAGTGTCACCGCGATGGATTATTCCAACCCTGGAGGTCGGATGGGGTCTTGCGACAATCTGCACATCGGCCGTCAAAAACTACCAAGCACTTTACGCCCTACGATTTCTAGTGGGCTTCTTTGAGTTCGTACCTCTTTACCTTTGCATGGAATGACATCGACTAACCGGTTCACAGATCAGGATTCTACCCGGGAATTCACTACATGTTGGGCTCATGGTATACCCCACGAGAGATCGGAAAACGAGCAATGATATTCTGGCTCGCTGGATCAGTTGGTTCCTTATTCAGTGGTTTCCTTCAGGCTGCCGCATACAACAATCTCAACGGAACACATGGTTACGCAGGCTGTATGTATCCTGAGGTCGTGGCAGATGTATGCGCTAAATGCTGACTGAATAAAATAGGGCGCTGGCTGTTCGTCATTGATGGCATCATAACACTTCCGCTTGCTGTCGCAGGATACGTCTTCTTCCCTAATTTGCCTCAAGGGGGTAAGAAAACGTGGTGGACTACCGAGGAAGAGCATCTTCTTTCGATCGAAAGAATGAACGGAATTGGCCGTGCTGGAAAAGACCCTTGGACAAAAGCGAAAGCGAAGAAGATTCTTCTCAGTTGGCAAACTTATCTACTTCGTGAGTTTTCTCCCGATTTCAACAATTGGCCGATCATCGGCAAGATTGGAAATGATCAAAGACTAACTCAAATCTAGCGCTCCTTTACATCGTCTGGAACAATGGAATTCCCCAACCGAGTATGGGATATTGGCTGAAAAGCTTCAATAAAGATCCTCCTCCCGTCCCTGGAACCCATTATACGGTGCCGCAGATTAACAACTGTGAGATTTCCTCCCTGATCCCAGATAACACCACAGCATGGCGAGCTAACAATTTTCGAAAGTGCCTCTTCCCACCACTGCTGTCCTGATCGGTATGGGTTTAGTCTGGGCCTGGGTCTCAGACGGACCCTGCCGGGGTGCCCGCTGGCCATTCATCTACATTGGTGCTGTCACAACCGTAAGTATACATCGCTTAATCAACTTTTATAACTCAGAGACTGACCACGTTCACGAAACAGATGATCATGAGTGCTCTTCTACTCAAGCTCCCCCTATACACAGGAATGAAGGGTCGTATCGCTGTATATTGGCTCACCAAAGTCGGCGTAAGTCATGCAAATAGGCTCAATTATTTTGTACATAAGCTAACACTGTCATAGGAAGGTGCTGGCCCATTGATTCTGAGTTGGATCAACGAGATCTGTTCCGACGACACCGAGATGCGGGCTCTACTCGTCGCAATGGCAAATGACCTTGCCTATGTGGTGCAGGCAGTGGTATGTCAGACTCATCAGAGACAAAAGAGCAAGCTAACCCGTCGATCAAGGCACCCAATTTTGTTTGGAAAACTACCGATTTCCCTCGCGCTGCGAAAGGACACACCTATTCCATTGTTCTTCAAGTCTTACTCAGTATGAATCCTGCAATCCATCCATGACATCAAAAGCTGACAGTGATAACATAGTTGCAACCACGGCTCTCATTCAGCTCTTGCTCTGGAGGGATAAGAAGAAGGCTGCGAGAACGGACCTGGAGTCACACGTTGTGGCTGGTATTGAAGAATCGGCCATAGGCACCCAGGCTGCCCGAGGAGGGAATGAAACCGGAGGCGACAGTGATGGAAAGGCTCCTCAAGTCTCCAGCGCGAAGTACGTTGGGACTTCTCAAATCTAAAAAAGCACGAGCAAACTGTCAGAGAGGTTGGACGATTTAGATACATTGGCCTTAATCTCCGAAGTCCTGGATTAAAAATGCACCAATTTATGGTTTCCATCAGTGAGATTTTCTAATGTGTCTTATTACTGTCATCGAGGACGTCTGGACTAGGATTGTAGTCGTTTTGCCTTTGAGAGCTACCAGGTCCAGTAAACCGAGTAAATAGTTGAATTGAATTGACTATCAAACACAAAGAAATGATAAAGAGTGGAGTGGTATCAGGGTCATAATCATGCGGAATCCGGTCCAAGCCGAGGAAATGCCCTGAGCAATCGAAACACGGAGATCAAAAGGGGAAACAGAAAAAAAAAAAAAAAAAAAAATCCAGAGTAGACAAAAGGCAAAAGCAATGCCGAAAAGAAATTATGAAATGCAGATCGAATTATCCCTAGCGCTGAGCCTGATCACACTCGGCCAAGAACCTGTAGATGCCCTCCGGGCCATCGTAAGCGGAATTGGTCTCCGGCTGACCAGCGCTGGAGACTTCGGGAAAGAAGGGGTTGTCACCAAGCTCGCTAATGTTGATGCTGGAGTAACTGGCAGTGGTGGACTTCCAAGGATTGGCACCGAAGAGCTCACCGTCATCGAAGCTGATGGCGTTGCCTGAATCACGAGAAGATGCCATGCGACTTTCCGGTGTCATCATCCCTTGCCAGTCCAGGTCCGAGAAGGACTGTGGCTTCTGCGCCTTCTCGAAGTAGTAGTCTGTGCCAGGGGACGGGGCCATGCTAGGCGCGAAGGGGAACAGGAGAGCCAAGTCGGCACCAGTGCGAACATCGAAGTCCTCATCTTGACCGATTCTGCCACGCTGAACACCCGCTTCGCCGCAGAGTTGCTCTACAGTCTCCGAGTCGCAGCCTGGGAAGTGGACACGAATGGTGGATCGGTTATGGAGCACAATTGGGAGGTCGCCAAGGGTAGACAGACGCTTGAGATCATTGGTGACAGCAGCGAAATCCTTCAATGCTCGTGCAAAGTCAGCAGACAGCAGGTCCATGAGACCCTCTGAGTTGAGGCTGGGGGCGGCGCCCTCACGGCCACCGAGAGCACTGAGAGCAGTGATGGTCGGGGAGACCTGGAAGTCAACGAAAGATCCAGAAGCAGTGCGGGGGATGGCATTCATCTTCCGCTCTGCCTGGTCTTGCAGCGAACTGACGGCCTTAAAGCGCTTTTCGCCGGTGCGAGGATCAATGCCATCGAAGCGGGCTTTCTGACCCGACAAAAAGAAGGCACGCACACCTTGCGACACATTCTGGATGACTTGAGCCGGGGCAGCAGGGCCATGAGAGAAGTATCTGGCTCCACCAACACGGCCAGCCCCGATAGTGTATCCACCTGCAGTTCGGCCCAGGGTACCACCGGTCAGGTTGGGACGCAGGGTCGAAGCGAAGGGGGCGCGACCACTCAGTCGACCAATGCCGGAGACAATTCGCGATGTGCTCCGAACGGGTGCTTCAGAACCGAGACCGGATCGAATGGCAGCGACGAAGGCACCGGCGCGAGTGGAGAAGTGCCGGCTCCGGGCTTGACGGATAGCCGCGGCACGACTAATTGGCTGACGGTTGATGCGGGCATAAGCCGGCTGATAGTGCACTGAAGTGTGTTGTGTTTGTTCTGGGAACTTGGCTCGAATGGCCTTGTGAGCCTTCGCATAGGCGAACCTGATAAGAGGTGAGTCAAGGCATTGATTGGCATGTGAGATTATCAAGGTAACACATACCTTGCTGCTCTCCATATTTTGGGGAGCAGCAGGTGCCCAGTTGGAGGCGCCATACTGTGAGTTTAAAGACGAGATTCCGGGGTTGAGTAAGTGGGACGGATGTTGACGAAAGGGGAGAGGGTGCCTGATGACGCCAGGGTATAGTTGCACCTCCGCCTCAGGCGATCACGCGGTGGCTGTGCAACGCCACTTTCTCGGTGGGGTTTAAATGTTTGCTCTGTTTGCTCTACTTCCGCTGTTTACACTGTTTGTGATGTTTGACCAATTGCCATCTGTTATTTGATATGACGTCACAGCATTAGGCGTGGAGCCCTAGGATGGGATGTACAGATTCTAGTGTCCAAAATACGTAGTTCAATCTAAATTTGAGGAATGAACGGCTCATGAGGACTCATGATTACAGACAATCAAACATGGGTCTGTATTTGCAAGTGGCATAAATGGGGTAGTTCGAAGATTGTCCAGCATGCTATATACTTCTGGGGTCTGACCAACCTTCCTGTGAATTTACACCACACAAATGGTGGAAATGTCTAGGTGAGTCTGAAAAGTGGTATTTCATGGAGCCTTTGAAGCAAACCTCGAAGTTTAGTCACTCATCTGACTCGACCCGAGATCCCAAAGCCTCTTCAGCTCGCTATCCTGCCCCAAGAGAACACGCGGATCATCCCATTCCAACAATCGACCGCTGCCCATAACAGCAACACGATCAAAGTCGAGAACCGAACCGAGGCGATGAGCGACAGTTATCACGGTACAGCCGGCGAAATGCTCGCGCATGACATCCCTAATGAGCTGCTCGGACCGCTCGTCGACGTTACTGCTCGCCTCATCTATGAGGATAATTCGCTTGCCGGCCAGAATAGCCCGCGCGATGCAAAGAAGCTGGCGCTGGCCCTGGGAGAGCCGATCGGCATCCAGTACACTGTCTAAACCACCCATACGATCCACGAAGTCATCCATTTTGAGCTGTTGCAAGACTCGGTGAATCTTGTTTTCGGTTTGCTGCTTCTGGTGCTCAGATCTCTGTCGACGAAGAGCGACAAGATTATCGCGGAGGCTTGTATTCTTCAGGAAGAAAGGATGCTGCGGTACAACGGCCACTGCAGCGCGCACGGTCTGCCGGGGCAGCGTTGTTATATCGATGTCATCAATCATGATACGAGAGCCGGGTCCGACTTCGAGGAGGCGCAGGATACAGCCAAGCAGTGAGCTCTTGCCACTCCCGCTGCGGCCACAAATGCAGACTTTGGAACCAGCGGGAATGTCAAGGTTTAGGCCGCGAAAAACGGGCTCGGCACCGACTTTGGAATCGTAAGAGGCCACCAGGTCCTGTATGGTAATTTTTCCATGCATCGGCCAGTTCTCGGGCACAGAACCAGTTTCGAGAGGTCGATTCTCTGACTCAGTGTCGGCACAGAAAGTCTTGACGCGAGCGACTGCACCCAGCGACGTCTCAAGCTGCGTCCAGGCTTGAATGACGTGTGCTAGGGACTGACCGAACGACATGATCTGCACGAAGGCTAGGGCTACATACTGTGGGGCCAGCTGCTCCCGTAGCTTCACGACCAAGACCATCATGATGGTCACCAGGACGGCGGTCATCAGGTCAAGAACCAAACCCAGCCAGCGCTGGATGCAGAATAGCAGGTAAAAGGGTCTTTGAGAGGCATCGAGAAGGTCCAAATATTTTTCGATAAAGCGAGGCCCCCATGCGAATGCTCGCACTGTAGACAGGCCCTGGAGGAGATCGAGGAACTGTGTGAAGAGTGGGGACTTGGCTTCGAGGTCAAATAGTCGGATCTGCTGAGACGTTCGTACATAGAACTTTTGCAAAACTGGTAATAGTATCAACGTTAGTTCATGCGAAGCTTGATGATGGTTTGTTGAAACTTACACCAGCAGAAAGCGACGAAGGGCACGAGTGCAACTGCGAAATACCCGGAAAAGACGCACATCAAGACAATAGACATGATGATCAACGCAAGGTCGATACAGAAATCAGCAAGCGCGAACGGTAGCTCGGTATCGATAACAGACATGTCCTGACTGAAGCGATTCGTAGTGACACCGACGTCAGTGCGCGAAAAGAAGGCCACTGGAGCCATCATCACAGAGTTGAGAAGCCGGGAATGTAGAACCTCAGAGCTCAAAGCCACCATGACAATGAGATAAAAGTAAACAGCCCCTGTGATGCCAAGCACGGCGAGACCAGTGAGAAGCCCGTAGAGCCCTAGGTAGTAGTCATGGCCGTCTTGACCGGATTGCTCTGCAGCGTCTGTCCAGAAGCTCAGTACGAGGGATGTCATCTGAAAGCCTCCAGCATAAAGAACCGTGAGAGTAAGGAAAAGTAAGGTTTGCCATACAGGGACAGAACTGAAGTAATATGCGTATGTGGCAAGCTCGCCGAGGACTCGCCCAGGCGACTCAGAATCACTGCTGTTCTGGTTTGCAGCTTCGTTGGATCGACCGTTGAGTGCAGCCTGGCGCGGACGCTGCAACAATTCATTCGTTGCATCTCGTGCCTCAATGGCGCCGTTCTGTTCGACTGCCAGGCCGTGTAAATAATCCGTATCGGATTGCAGTTGAGCGAAAGAGCCTTGGTGTACAATGTGACCACCAGTACCCAACGCGACTACATGATCAGCATAGGCGAGCCTATGGATGGCATTCGTGACGCAAACCACGGTTGTACCCATCTGCCGGAAAAGACCCGATTCAGCAAAAAGATTCAGAAAAATGTGTTCTTCGGTGGCAGCATCTTGGCCTGCAAAGACATCGTCCAAGAAGACTGTCTTTTCCCGGGAATAGACAGCTCGGGCCAAGGCAAGCCGCTGCTTTTGGCCACCACTTAACGAAAAGCCCGCACTACCAGCCCTCGTTGCATCGCCCCCGGGAAGATCCCCAATGTCCTGCTCCAGACCACAGACAAAGACAACCTTTTCGTACCAATCTGCGTCATAGTTGGCACCACCTAAGATATTTTGCCGCATCGTCAGATTTTGGATCCAGGGCTCTTGGCCACAAAACGCGACGTGGCCGAGATTGGCATGAATGGAGCCCGTTCGGAGTGGCACTTCGCCCATAATGGCTCGCATGAGGGCGCTCTTGCCCGAGCCCACGGGTCCGACGATGAAGGTAAAGCAAGATCCGTCGATATTAAGTGTAATATCGCTGAGAATGCTCGGCTTATCAGCAGCCCAGCCAAAGCTAGCTTCTGATATAGCCACAAGTGTTTCGCCTTTCTCGTTGTTTTGACTCGGAAGATTTTCCAAATCGCCCAAGGGCAGTCTGTAATCGGTGCAGCTTTCTGACAACAGGTAATTTTGGATGCGGGAGAAGCATGCAAGGGCGGCACTGACAGATGGGATGGTGCGAAAAACGACAGCAAGTGGGTCGGTCAAGAGGTATATCAGAGAAAGCGAGGTATAGGCAGATGCTGTATCCAGAGGCTGACCACTACTCTTCGAAATAATCACAAAAGTTGCAAAGGTTGCCAGAGGGGCAACAGCTTCCGTGTTGAGACCTGCTCGGCCAAAGGAGTTAGCAGCAGCGACGGGATTAAATGTCAAAATGTACAGTATGAGGATAAATCGTAGCCCATGCATGTACTTACCGATAGAGATTTGTATGAAAGATAGTCTGCGATATTGCTTTGACAGATCGAGCTCTCTTACGCGGAGCTTTTGGATCATACTTGAGATGATATCTGACAAACCAAGCATTTTCACTTCCTGCAGAGTGATGATCAATATCCTATCCATTCAAGCATGTGTTATCGGAAATATACGCAAGATTCTCACCTTCATGGACGCGAGGGCGGAAGCCGTGACATCAACCCGCGTTTGGATGCCCCTCATCCACCTTTTCTTAGCTATGCCAATGAACCGGGCAAGCTGAAAGATGGTTCCAGTTGCAAGAATTGCTACAACAATTGGAGCCAGAGCAGCAAGACCAAGCTGTCTGTAAAGGAGAAAAATGGCGACTGCAGACTCAATTGGCGAGGCCCAAAGCTCGTGCAAGGTCGCGGCGCTTTGGCAGATACTATCGGTGTCCGTGGACATTAGCGATACTGCTACGGACTCGTCGAGAGCTGAGCTACTGAGATCCAACGTCTTGGTGTACAGTAAACCGCAGAGACTGCCGCGGATGGATGTGACGAATCGATAGGTCATCTGGTAGTAGAAGCCATTTGAGATCGCTCGTCCGAGGAAGACCAACAGCCATGCGCCGGTTAGACCCCACCCAACTGCATCTGATTCTGATGTATCGGCCGGCCAAGAAGTGGTTCTGTGAATTAGGAAAGGCAACGTGTATTTGAATGCTGCCAATGTAAGCCGAGGGGCAACGCCAGCCAAGAAGATGTACTTGGTGGCCCATAGCGTGGAGTAGGCCAAGGCATGGCGGTGGGACTGGTTTGATGAGCCGAATGCGTTTCGTACTCGTGGGAGTAGGGTTCGTGCTGCGAGGGTGTCGTAGATGGGGAGTAGATCATGATAAGTGAGGGAGCGAATGAACCCGGTTCGCATCAATGAATTCAGCCACCAGAAGACACCTCGGGCGAGAATGCCGCTAGTTGCTTCTGGTGAGAGATTCTGATATTGTGAAAGCAGTATAGATCTCTTTTCCCAGGCTTCCGAAGTCAAGATGAAGACCTTTATCGCGACCGTTGAGGTCAAGAGGCCCGAGATAGCGGAGTCATGGCCAGCAAGCCACAGAGTTCTGACGACGACGCAGTCGAACAGCAGAGTGAAGAGAAGATACACATTGATAATGGTCGATGGTCGCACCGAGCGCGCGTGCTCGGCATGGGACAAGAATAAGAGCACAACTCCATCGACAAACGCGAGCACGGCAGCCGACGTTCGCAAGTGAGATAAAGATCGTTTTTCTGTATTCAGAGCCCAGTAAACCAACACTGCGAGTTGGAGAGCTGTGTATATACCGATCAGTCCCTGTCATCAACGAATCAGTCAGTATTTGTCATTGGCACAATTGCACCCAAGAAGCTTGAATCCCAGAGAGATCATTACGTGCCACTTTTCCAAAGGACCGCAGGCTTTTAGCGACCTTGCGAGGCTGTCTTGCTAGCCAAAAGAGACGCTGAAGAGCTACCACCAAAAAGAGGCACGAGGGGACAATGCTGAGAATGGCGTCTTCGAAAGCAGGTGTGAAGTCGAAAGCGTCCGTGCTAGCAACGGCAAACCGAGCATCGAACGCCATTTCTTAGCCCCCGAAGCGTCAGACAATACGCTCATGGGAGAAGGGTCGAAATATGGACCTGGGAATGATATTTATTTCAGAAATTCAGCGCCGGGTTGCGCGATACAAAAGTATTTGGTGCAATACAACCCCGCCTAATCCCTGCCATTTGCGCTATCTTTCGCGATCCCAAATCAGGCGCCAGGATTGAGAACTTCGGCCCCCGTAAGCCCTTTCATGATGAGTATCTCATCCTTATCTTCATTGATAGCGCGTATTGCCGGAGTGACACGGAACGATGCCCTTGCGCCCCGCTGCATGGGCCTTGACTGAAACACACTGAGAGCCTGGTTCCAGGTCCCCGGAATTTTGTTATGACGGAGTTCGGGGTCGGCGGCGTTTTGCCATGCCCGGGGGCTGAGAAATACCTTCGCCGAGCATTTCTCGTTGGTGTGATCTTTCGGCGTGAGAAAGAAAGTCACAAAGCTGCCTCGATGATATTGAGATATATTGATCAAGGTCAGTGAATCCCCGCGAGATGAACGGGGGAGAAAAGTCCTCAATCGACAGCCGGAACACAGGTTCCTGGCCTGGCGCTTCGGCTGGGTGTCCAGATGCTGTCCGAAAAGCCTGTGAATGTCAGTTTGCCCTTCTCACAAGCTTGCTGTGAACAGGGAATATACCAGTGTGTCAACTACAGCAACCGCGCGAATTTCCTCTATGCCATTCACAGTCACATATTCTGGTCGCCAAATAGATATAGTGGCTTGCTTAGAGTATTCATGCTCAATGTTGAGAGCAATCACCGTCGTCACACTCCCATTAGTGTCTAGGATATAATCTTCTGCCAAGTCTGCCGCTGCGCGAGCTTTGCCCGAACAGCACACTTCTATAATAACACCGGGGTACTTTGCGTCATCATGCTTGAAAGATGCGTCTGGGTTCCGTTCGGAACGAGGCTTTTCTCCAGCTCTTGTATCGTCTGGTAACCGGATCTGAGCAGTAGATCTATGATCTACCTTTCTCGCAAAATCAGCGAAGGGTTTATGGCTGTTCTGAAAGTTGCTTAATTGGGTCAGAATTTCAGAAACCACCTTGACACGAAAGATATCATGGAGAGGAGTTGGCATTCGGATAGTCACATAGGACCGGTAAGGATCATAGTCGAGCCTAGAACACAGCCGAATAAACAAATGAAACTGGATATTGGCAGCACTGGCCCCTGGGTCTACTGACCTCACTTTATCTTCCACGTAGCCCCGGAGACACTCGTCACCATCTAGCACATGCAACACTGTTTTATAGTCATCCTGAACGAGTCGATACTGCCACCAAGACTGTGCTGGCTTTTGACCCGCGCGGTGGAGTTCCAAACAGTCTAGGACTGCGCGAGCATTTTCCGTTATTGGTTGTTTTTCCGTCCCGAGTCGGCGGCGTGAAGGAGGATCCATCAAGCTCGCAGGTGAAATAATAGCATCCGGAAGGCGAACGTTGGATGAGTTATTTGGGATACGAATGGTTGCAACAAGTGGCTCAGAGCTCCAGGACTCAAGCGCTGGCCCCTTCAAGGTTGAGCTCACCGTAGTTGTCACGTGCTTGTGTGCTTTCAGTGCCCAGTTGTATCCTTCGAAGACGACCTCGACAGCACTTGGGGGCATGGTACTCAGTTGCGGCCCGACCACCTATCGTCTAATGACCGGAATCAAACTGGAAAACATCAATGAGCGCAACCCCGTGGGCTCTCGGCATCGCCGCTCAGGCGTCAACCCGAAAGGGGGTACGCGAGATTGGGAATTTCCGTGTGGGAGCAGGAGAATATTATTATATTCTTATTCCTTTCCATTCTCTCTATCCTGGCTCCACTCCATCCATACAACGTCACTTCATCAAACTTTAGAACGCCAAGCCTGCAAATCAGATTCCAGGTGCTTGACAGACCCCTGTATCGCCCATGTTAGCAGGTAATATCGCAAGAGTCTAGATATTATTGAATTGATCAAGAAATACAATGGAAGAAACCTACCAGGCATATATGCCCTGCGCCAATGCTGCAAGGGCCTCATCAACACGGATGATGACTCGGTCGATGATGTTCTTCAACGCTAGGAACCACAATACCAAAAAGCCAATTTCTTTCATCACGGGGACCCCGTGGTTCTCCCCAAGTTTGATCAGCTAAACTAGCCAGTCCCCTCCATCTTGAATCTCCCTGCCAGGGACCCAGACTCCCTGAGTGAGTGGTTGGTCTACTTCGGGTTAGTATAGGCCTATCACACGTAGGAAGGGGTTTAACCTTAAATTCATATCCACGGAGTCTCAAATGTTCGCTCATCTGGATGATCTCCGCGACTTAGCCCAGTGGCAGGCCCGTGATAATGGACATCCTCAATCCAGTGACGGAAATCGCCCGTCATCACGAGGTAGCGTCCTAGCTCTTGGCAGGTGTGTGAGAACTGCAGGGCAGCAATCGCTTTGATCTTGTCAGCATCGCTGGTCATGCTAGATGCATCCATTGTTTGTCTTAGTAACGCCAGAGAGTGAAAACCGACCTTCGATTTCGCCTCTGGCTCGACCAGGACTAATTGAAGTCGGAGTATGTGGGTGCTGTTCTGTTTCGGGCTCGGCTAATTCGTCGTTTGCACATCAGGCACGGTATCTGATTGCGCCTGGTCCAACCGGGAACAGGGCAGCTTCAGTCTCTTCGCCTCTCCATATTTGCCTCTCCATCTTTGGTGTGCATCTGGTCCAGCCGATCTTGGCGCAAGCTTCGGTCGAGAGCTTTCTGAAACCCCTCTTGCTGCATAGAGTTAGGCTTGGAGGACTACTCCGGAACTGAGAGGTTGAGAGGCCATAATTCCGAGAGTGAGAAGGAAGAGAGAGAAAGAGAGTAGTTAGGATCTAGAAGTATATACCGCCAAGTTCGTTCCTGCCACAACTACGCAAACCACGGGAGGTTGTTAATGGTATGACATCGAGATGAGCCGCTCACAGCCAATTAAAATGTACGATTGTACCTAGGTATTCAATTTTCCACTAAGCTACCACGACGCGCATTTCATTATCATCGTGAATACAATATGAACTGGCTCTTCTCCTGGATTTACGACTTCCTCTGGCCGCCTGGGCCCTGGTCTCCGTATTCTGACACGAGGCCCAGGATACATTTCAGCGAAAAAGACGAAACAGAGACAAGACTGGAAGAAAGTGGAGATCTGAACACCCTACAGAGACTACGATATCAAAAGTACAGGGACGAGACGAATTCCTGGGAAAAGACGATGAGAGCGCTCCTCTCGATAGAAGAACTTATCCGACTTGCCAGCCAACAGGAAGACTGTATAAATGAGCTTCTACGCCAGTGTCCTGATGGATCGTTCAGGGATGAAGCTATAGCTGTGGTCAAGGAGACAAGAAGGTTGCTTTGGAACTTGACTCGGCTTTGGTGGCTACACCGAAATGTCCTCGGAGAAGGAGTTGTGGGGAGAGCGCTTGACCTGTGGCGATCGAACTCTATGTGGTATATGCACGAAGTTCTAGTCGAGGACTGCGCCAGAAAGCACGGCTGTTGTTCGCGGGGATGCGGATGTTGTGCAAAACGCCACCAGACCTTTACACGACCTCTTACCGCTGGGCATTGTTCTATTGGGTGCAGATGTTGTATGAGGTGGAGGGGCTTTGATCTCAATCGCGAAGAGGAGAACGATATCTACAAGGAATTCCAGACCCGGGAGAGGCTGTCTTCTTATGATCAAATCGAGTTGGCTTCCATTTGGGGATTGCGTCTCAATTGTCATAAGAGCCCATTTGACCTTATCCAACCGGGATGTGAGCTCGTTGGCCAAAAAGACTCAGGTTACAAGTTATGCAGCCCCGATCCCACTGACAACTGGGATGATTGTTCTTCAGCAACAGAGTCGTGAATCGTATCAGCCTGTGGGAAATTGGCATCAAACTAACTACGCTATTTCTTGCTTCAAATGATTGAAACCTGGCTTTTTTTTTTCTTTTGTTTTTGGGGGGCCTCATCGGTCTCCGACTGACCCCACAATGTCATAATAATTTCAACGACCCTCAACCCAGTTGATTCTGCTGTAGACTTATAACATATACTTGGTCTTTTTTCGACCTAATCGCACCCTTCCTCCAGACAAGGAGGATGGGATGAAGAAATCATGTAGTGGTTGTCTGACGGAAGGTAGTGCAGAGAAACCTGTTGATTTGCTATTATCCGAGCGCCACCAAATAGGGTTGTCTTTCCCTGCTTCGGACAAGGTATTCCTCACCTCGGACAGATTGAACGAGTCGAACCCGAACTCTCCCTGTATTTGGTCCAGGACGGTTTGCATGCGGTCACATTGAGTGGCGAACAAGACGAACCGTTCGAGTAGCCGGTCCGCGGTGATTTCGGGTGCCTTTGATCCTTGGCCGGTCTGAGTTGTCCACTGTGCGATGTCGGACAGGGTCCCGAAGGACGCCATGTCCATTCGCTCCCAAAGTTCTCGCCGATGATGGCCTGGTGACAGTGGAATCCAATGGATGTCCAAGTGGATGTTGTCATCCCATGTGTACCACTGGAATCTCATCACTCCAGATAGTTCTGGAGAATCGACCACAAGTCGTCTTTGCTCGACAGTGACAGTCGATGCCATTGCTGATCTCTCTGCGACTAACCCGGACTCACTCGGTAAGTGCTTCAAGTCTGCTTTAGGTCAGCATTCATTGAGTCCACCCTGCTTTGTTCGGATATTTGGGTATTAACCTTGTCTTGATGCTGTGGGGTCTGAGGTTCAGTCGGCCTGAGGCTCTGGACGGCCGGTAGGTCGGCCTGTTTTTGCTACCTAAATCTTGGTTAGCTGACAATTACCACACCTGATGTGCCGCGGCCGTAAGGTGTAGGACATGCAGGTGGGCCGATAAACTTGTGGGCTATCTTGAAAACAATCGTGTGGCAGCCATGTGTACTCATGTCAAGACTCAATAGACATGGATTCAGACAGCAGGGAGAGGGTGTCATGGCATCAACGTAATCTTCTGATCCCTTTATTGAGGTAAACATAAAAATGACTCACTTTATAGCGCTTTCGTGCGCGCTCAAATACGCGCTTCTTTTGGCGCTTTGTCATAGGCGGCACCTCCGGCTTGTCGACGGGGAGGGGCCGCTTTGGGGGGTGGTCGCGGAGAATCGCAACATAGAAATATTCAACGCCGCTCATGCGAAATAGTGTTCTGGAGACTTTGGTCCCCAGAGTCACCGGGGAGCAATCCATCCATGGATGGCGTATGTCGTACCATTATCCCGTTGTTAGGCCTTTAATCGACATTCCAGTCAAATTTGTTGCCAATATCTCAACAAGCCACGCTGATGTCCTCGTTCAGAGGAGACTGCTTCAAGTCAGCATAGGCCCGTCACACCCGTGGATGGAGGGAGGTTTACGATCTTACTAGTTGACTCCATATCCATGGGATCTTGTCAAGTTTTATTGACTTCACCAGCTAATCGCATGTATCGTTTGTCTAACGCCCAGGTGATGGGTGGGTGATTCTGACTCCTTGAGGGTTTGGGGCTTGGTTGGCTCAGTGCCCCCGAGGCTCAAGTAAATTGACAAAAGTAGGACTGAGAGGGAGGTAATCATCTTAAGTGAAAAGAATCTGAAATCCATAACTTCATTCTGGTGATGGGTGTTGGAATGGAAGATCTACTATGGACATCCCTTCCAGGTAGGTGACTCCAGCCCTAAGTTCGTTCCTGCCTACGCTGATATGCACTCACGGAAATCAACTGGGTACCATGACTGTCAGGTACGACCGCCATGGTTTGTAAGAATCCATGTATGCCGTCGATCGTGTTCCTTGCCTAGCGGAATTGCTTTACCCCTGATCGTAGCCCTGTAGATCTTAGGCCTATATGACTGATGCCTCAGGCTATAAACTGGTTCTGTTTGAAAGGTTCCCCACTACCCTAGGCAGTAAGGATGCATTACAATGGAAGAGTGTCATAGAAATTCATTCTTTTGGTATCTAATTCTTTTGACTTCATTAATCATGAACAAGTTTACTCATCGTCACCGAAGAAAACCTTGATGGGCAACCAGGCGTCACCGCAGACCTTGAAGCGGTCCTTGAGGTTGTCAAGCTGGTTGACCTCCTCATCAGTCAAGCTCCAGCCGTTGATGTCGAAGTTACCCTCAATGCGAGCCTTGTTGACAGACTTAGGGATAACACTCCATCCCTTGGTAACACCCCAGACGAGCAGAACCTGCTGAGGAGTCTTGCCCTTGTTCTCAGCGATCTTCAGCAGAGTAGGGTCCTTGTAGAGAGGAGAGTCGGTGGAACCAAGGCAAGAGTATCCAGTGGAGTGAATACCCTTGGAGGTGTTGTAAGCCACCAACTTGGGGGAGGGGTTGTTGGGGTGGAGCTCGATCTGGTTGACAGCAGGGACGATCTTGGTGGTAGGGTCGTTGAGGAGCTTCTCGAGGTTCTTGATGCCGAAGTTGGAGACACCGATGTTGCGCACCTTGCCGGTAGCAGGGAGCTTCTGCATCTCCTGCCAGGTCTTGATGAAGTCCCAGTCGGGGAGGTGCTTGGAGAGATCGTTGGGGTCGGTGGAGCTGGGCCAGTGGACGAGGTACAGGTCCACGTAGTCGGTGCCGAGGTCCTTGAGAGATGACTCGATGCCCTCGGGCACGCGGGCGTGCCAGGGGTTGTCGAGCTTGGTGGTGAGCCAGATCTCCTCGCGGGGAACACCGGAGTCCTTGATTCCGGCACCGACTTCGGCCTCGTTGCCGTAGGCAAGGGCAGTGTCGATGTGACGGTAGCCGGCGAGGAGGGCGTTCTTCACGGCCTCGCGGACCTCATTGGGCTTGGATTGCCATGTGCCCAGACCGACGGCGGGGATCTTGTCGCCGGTGTTGAGGGTGTAGGTCTTCCTGCGAGATTGTTAGACATTGATTGAATTGGGTGATCGCAGAACTTACTGAGTGTGCTGGTTAGACATTTTGTGTAGAGAGAGATAGGTTTGAGGAGCAAAGAGGGGTATGGGGGTCCCTTATATAGGGAGTGGTAAAGTGGGCAGGTCCAAGAGCAATGATGTAGTAGTGGGGGTAGTTGACACGATAACTCGATAACTGATACGTATTTACTTTGAATTACCCGGGTTCCACTCAGTAACCACTTACTGTCTACGGAGCAGAGTGTTGCTTTGCGACTGCGCCGATCCCCGACGCCGGCTGAATCGGGTCTTTTGGCTAAATTCCCCCCACCCAATGACATTCCCCAATGCCACCTCTCCGTCCGAGACCAATTTCCAGAATCTTCCCGTTCGCTCGGCCCATTCTCACGGATAATATCGGCATTATACCCGAGTCTCTTGCAAATTACCCACCATGTCTTCGGGCTTCGTTTCAGGCGGAACCAGCGACCAGCCGATCGAGCGCGACGATGAGTGGCTCCGAGCTCAGCAGGAATTGGAAGCGGAGCGGAGGCGGAAGGCCGAAATAGGCAAACAGGATGACGGCAAAAGCCTGTTTGAGGTGCTGGAGCGGAACAAGAGTGAGCCGAACTGAAGGAGTCGTGGTGCGAAAGGGATTCCTGGCTGACATGTTAGGGTGATTTCTGTGGGGTACAGTGGCCAAACAAGAAGCCTTCGAGGAAAAGTCGCGTCTGAAAAACCAATTCCGATCCCTCGATGACGACGAAGTCGAATTTCTCGATTCGGTCCTGGAGTCCACGCGCGCCAAGGAGGCGGCCGTCAAGAAGGACACTGCCGAGCGGCTTGAGGCATTTCGTCGACAGCGCGAAAAGGCGGAGAAAGTCCTGAAGGAGCCGGCAGATGTGCTGGAGGCTGAGGGAGAGGGCGAGGATTGGTCCGCGCCGCGGAAGCGAAGGCGCGAGAAGCAAAACACCCTATTTCCCAAGAAGCACAAGACCTCCACGTCCACCCCCGCCGGGAAAGATACAGATAAAGAAGGAGGGGACACAAAGACTGTCCAGAAGGCATCTGCGTCGAGTCAGGCGACACCGGTTACCAAGTCTCCTGGCGCGACAGGACAGCCAACGGCAGCACAACCCACAGAGAAGAAGGCAGAGGTCAAACCGGCGCCACGGCCGCTTGTTTCGCTTGGGCTAGGGGACTATGGCTCCGACTCAGATTAACGCGTCTGGTGGAAAGTCTTTCGCACATTGTATCTTGTGAAAGCCCGCTCAAGCGGCTTTGAATTTTGTCAAATTTTGCTATCTGATTAACATTGGCTGTATAGCACCAGCCGGATGAAGCCTTCGTCAATATTTGCCCAATCGGCAACATGTGATTATATTTGGGTCAACTTAATCCAATTACGCATTGCGATGGATCGCGCACAAACCCCCTGTTCCAACCTACTCCAAATGCTTGGTAGTCTGCTTCACCTCGCGCTCCTCGACCTTGCGCTCCAAATCATGAGTCATGTACTGCTCGGTGCGAGTGCCCAGCACGATCCATGGCGAGTTCGTGAAGATCTGGTTCATCTCCTCCAGAGGCACCTGCTTGGTCTCGGGGAGCAGAAGCCAGAAGAAGAGCGCATTGGTAAAGTTACAGATGACAAACACATAGTAATAGCGGTATCCGATGTTGGTCATCGCAATGGGAGTGACCTGTCCGATCATCGTGTTGAAGGCGTATGAAAGCATAGTCGCGATCGAAACACCCTTTGCACGCGTGCGGGTGTCGAACACCTCGGCGGGAATGATCCAGGAAAGAGGACCACAGGTTGCGGAGAAGGAGAAGTTGTACAGCCAGGTCATGATGATGAAGCCCCAGTGGGCACCTTGATTGTTGGTTTCTGGGGGGAACTTGGCAAGCAAAATTGTCGCCACGATGAAGGTGACGCAGTTGCCGAGGTTTCCAGTGATCAAGGTCCAGCGACGACCGAAGCGATCGATGAACATCATGCAGAGGAACTGAGCGATCAGTGCGATGATCGAGTTGATGGCCTGGTACTTCAGGGTGTCCTCGCTGGAGATACCGATCTGGCCGTAAATTTCGGGTGAGTAGTACCTTTTGAATAATGTCAGCTTTCTTTCCGCATGTCTGGGAAGAAAATGCACTCACTGGATGGCAGAAACACCGGTCATTTGAACTGAGGCCTGCAGGGCACAGCAAAGGAACAAACGACGGAAAGAAGAGCGGTTGGTGAACAGATCGAGGTATGACTTGGCTTCGTTTTCATGCTCGAACGTAATGCTCTCCTGGATTTGAGCATACTCGGCCTGCACCCAAGCGTCATTCTCGTCGCCGTTAGAGTGAAGCTTGGCCAATGTGCGCAAGCCCTCCTCGCCGCGGTTGTTATCGATGAGCCAACGTGGTGACTGTTCACATTAGTGTCACTCTCCCTGAATATCTCACAGCACATACCTCAGGGAAGAAGGAGATCAATAGACCGAGGAACACAGCAGGCGCAATCTGCAGACCCAGAGGCACTTGCCACTGGGCGTGGTTGTCGGGGGCAATACCAGTGTATGTGCCGTAGCCGATCCAAGTCGCGCACAGCGCTCCAACACCCAGCATGAACTGCTGCAGGGCTGTGACTCGACCACGGATGCTGGGGTGACAAATTTCGGCTTGGTACAGAGGGATAACCATGGTGAGGAAACCAACACTAGCAGGGTGGGCGTTAGCACTCCGATCCAAAATTTGCACATTTTCGTCGGCGGAAGAACATACCCCAATCCAGCAAGGAGTCGTCCACTATACAGGTATGCGATGTTCTGTGCACCGGTTTGCAGGCCACCTCCCAGACAGAAGATCAGACATCCCAGGGAGATAGTACGTCGTCGACCAAGGAAGTCACCAGCAGGACCAGCCAATCCGGCACCGACACATGCACCGGCTGTGAACAAGGACACCACCAGACCCCTAGATTTTGTTAATTGCGTGTTCAATGATCCACGAAAAACATCGACACTCACTTCTGGGTATCATCTGGGGCAAACTTCGAAGTAAAAGACTGGCAGATAATCACTTCGGCGATAACACCCAAATCATCTGCACGGGTCAGATTAGTTTAGTTGTTTCAGAGTTGCAGTCGAACATACATCCGTAAAGGAATGATCCAAGCGAGGCGAACACGCCGACAAGGAACTATACAATCAGCTTGATTCCACCAAGGTGCACGATAGACATACCTGGTACCACGCAGGAGACAAACGCATGGTTCAATATGACAGATAAATATGGGGATAAAAATCTGGGGATTCTCCACATATCCGGGGACGATCATGTCTACATATACCAACCGCCCCGGCTCATATTGAATTGAACCGAGACTCAGCACATCCATCGCTTCAATTCCACATAAAGGCGTCGGGATCAGGAGCTTCAGTCATGCGGGGGACAAAGTCCAAAGAAGTGGCGTCTCCGACGGGATTTGATTGACGGAATAATTCCCACAGCCCAATGCAGACATCGCGAAGCCAAGCCCTCGCCTCGTTGGACCCCGAGATTGCCCCATCTGTCTGGACTCGGTGGTGCTGCTAGCCAGAACGGTCTTGTTCTCGTCTGATTTCAACGTGCGACTCGGAAGTCGAGTTTTCCCCGCAGGAGTTTTTCCACTTCTAGGCCGAGTCGGTTATTTGTCGTTTCGCATCTTGCATCCTCTCTTGTTTCTTCTTACGTGTTGGGTTTCGCAAACTCTTGGGGACAACTTTTAAGAGCTGTGAGCCTGTTTTTTTCTCTTCTCTCAGCCACTTTCTGTTTTCGCTCGTATAATCGTAGTACAATGGCGACTTTTACCAAATTGGATGATCAGGAAACTCCTGTGATCTCGGTTCACCCCGAGAGAAAGATCTCCAAGATCAATCCGAATATCTATTCTGGCTTCACTGAGTATGTTCGATGCTTTATTTGCGTCGGCTGTGGGCTGACAGGGTTAGGCATATGGGACGGTGCATTTATGGCGGCATTTATGATCCTGGAAACCCATTGTCCGACGAGAATGGCTTCCGCACGGATGTTTTGGAGGCGTTGAAGGGGCTCAACATCCCCGTCGTTCGGTATCCCGGTGGTAACTTTTGCGCGACCTACCACTGGCTGGATGGTGTTGGCCCCAAGGAGCAACGCCCGTCACGGTATGTCGCTTCACATCCATCGGAAAAATCAATGCTAATGTCTTTGAAGACCTGAGCTTGCCTGGCTTGGAACTGAGACAAACCAGTTCGGAACTGATGAGTTCATGAAGTGGTGTGAGGCTGTTGGCACTGAGCCGTACCTTTGCTTCAACTTCGGCACCGGTACCCTGGATGAAGGTAAGCTTGTGTTTGGCATCATACATGTCTCCAATACTGATGCCAAGATGTATAGCTTTGGGTTGGGTCGAGTACTGCAACGGTACAGGCAACACATACTATGCCAACCTTCGTCGAAAGAATGGTCGTGAGGAGCCCTATAACGTAAGTTCAAGTGTCGCCGTCGACTGGTTTATCGTCTAACGCAAAGAACAGGTCAAGTACTGGGCTCTCGGCAACGAATGCTGGGGTCCCTGGCAAGTCGAGCAGATGACCAAGGAAGCATACGCCCACAAGGCCATCCAATGGGCCAAGGGTAAGCCTCCTCAGCCTCCCACAGAGACAAGCGACTAACAAACAAACAGCTCTGAAGCTCCTCGACCCTAGCCTCATTCTCATTCTCTGTGGCAAGGAAGGCGCCACCACCTGGGACTACTACACACTCAAGGAGTGCCTCGTCCCAGCCCACTCAGCCCTATCAACCAGCTCCGTCCCCCTGATCGACATGCACAGTATCCACCTCTACACATCTTCATCATCCCACCTCCCCAACGTCACAGCTCCCCTCGCAGCAGAGCGCGCCATCGAAGTCACATCTTCGCTGATCGATCTCGCCCGCGTGGAGAACCAAGTCCCCCCCGACCAGCTGCGCCCCACAATCTGCTTTGACGAGTGGAACGTCTGGGACCCCATTCGCGCAGAGGGAAGCCAAGGCGCCGAAGAGAGCTACACACTCTCTGACGCACTAGCCGTGGCAGTTTGGCTTAATGTCTTCGTTCGCAAGAGCAAAGATGTCGGCATGGCCAATATTGCCCAGACGGTCAATGTCATCTCCCCACTTATGACTACCAAGGAAGGCACCACGAAGCAGACGACCTGGTGGCCTCTTTGGTTGTTTTCGCGATACATGCGCGGATGGACTATCGGTAGCCATGTTTCTTCTGGGACGTATGAGGGCGAGACTAAGCCTGCTTGGGTGCGTGGTGCTATGCAGACGCCTTGGTTGGATGTTAGCGCTTCGCTTGGTGAGGATGGATATGTGAATGTTGCTGTGGTTAATATTAGTGAGGAGAAGGATTTCGAGAGTCGGGTTGAGGGGGCGACGGGTGAGGTGCAGGTTTTCACGGTAACTGGTGCTGACGTTTCGGTGTCGAATATGAATGGGAAGGAAGAGGTGGCTATTCAGGAGTCGACTTGGAGTGCGAGTGGAAGTTATGTCTTCCCCAAGCACTCGCTTACTCTTCTGAGATGGAAGGCTTAGATTTAGACTAGACTAGCGGTAAATTCATTTCTTCTTTGCGGCCTACTATTTCCATCTCATCGAAGCACTACTCAATAACCCCGGGACCATGGAGATCGGAGTAGTTGTCAAGCTCATTACATAGAACGAAGTTTCACCTGTGGCACTAGATATCAAATATGTTCATTCATTCGTCGAGGCCCATGTATCTTATTATAACCCAGTTCTAACCGTAGTTGACATCATGGACGGCTCCCTCTTCATTGACATGAATGTTGAGTCTAGAAGAACAAGTTAGCTGCCTGCTCGGTCATACTCCAACACCGTGACAATACCTGTTGGGGTCATGATCCATGGTCTTCATATCCCCGGGCTTCAGAACTCGATGAGATTGTGGCAGATCCTGCTTTGCGAAAGACTACGATATTGTTAGCCTCGGACTCCAACCATCATGGATGTCATGCCGGCGACATACTGTCTCGTTGCTGTTATCGCCGATGGTCTTGCCCATCAACTTGGTGACCCAGTCGGGCTTATCACCCATGGAAGAGTTGATTCCTGGAACTACGAGTGGCATGATGAATGGAGTTGGAAAGAGATATAGTAGAAGAGGAACAGTCGAAGTCAAGTTGGAAGATATAAGCCGTCGATGACGTAGTGTCCCAAATGGGACTAGCGTCTGGCTGAGTCGCCTCACTCGCACTGACTGCACGGGACATGATGTCAAAGGAGATATCAGATGGGTTTCTGGTTATGATTGGATGTTCCTGAGTATACATGTGGCATGTCGGACCTTGGAAGGACCGTGGTGGAAGCGGGTCGATATATCAGATCCACCTGTGCCAACCCCGATCTACTAAGCTTCTCTGCGAAGAATATTCCAAGAAAATTATAAGAAATATGACGGATCATGTCAGTTGACGTCCATCTATGGACGTATTATAAACTATGTACTACCTAGTTACTGAAAGGGAGAAAGTTTTTCTCGGGTGTCTGCATGCCGAAGTCAAAACAGACGCTGTTCAAGGCTACCACCTGGGTCTTTTCGCTCTTTTCGGGGGTTCTCACTGGACCGTTTTAAGGGCTGACTGTCTGTAATGCCCAGTGCTCAGGTGCTTGTTGTTTACCTAAATCGCGACTGCTGGAGTGTCAACCTTGAAAGTAATCCGGCTACAATTTTGTCTATATTCGCATATATACCTAGTATCGGATAATGTCTGGCAGTCGAGACTTTTCCCATTCCATTTTAGTGCTCACCTCTTGTCGCGTTTTGCTCTCAGAGTAAAACTGAGCACGCCTTCGAGCGCCCTGATCCGCTCACTGAGCATGAGCTAAGCGTAAATATAAGCGGCCTGAGCTATATTAATAGAATAGAATATACAAGTCACATTATATACGGTTTTTCTCTAGATCACCCCTATTATCCTATTAAAAAAGAAATTACGTCATTAATACGACTGTTTGCTTTATATTTATTGACTTCCAAACTCCTATTTCTAGCTTTACTCCTAGGATAGAAGGTCATGACCGATCTGCTGACCTGTGCTGACAACCCCTATGATTCTGCTTCCCGGAGTCAGACTTTGCTTTACATAGAGGGTGAGGGTGGGGTAGGGAAAAGTCAAATCATTAAGGCGATTGTCGCCGCAATGGACCTCATAAATCGCAAGGACCTCGGGAGGAAGTCATTCTTATGGCACCCACAGGGGCAGCTGCTGATGCTATTGGGGGTAGCACGTACCACACGCCTCTTGGGATCTCACGGAAACGGTATAGGCAAGGAGGAGTGAGTCCTAGGGTTCGCAGACTTTGGTCTCGGATAACCGTCATGGTCATAGATGAGATCAGCATGGTCGACTTGGCCGCATTGAGCATTATCAATACACACTGCAAGATTGCTCGGTCTCTGGATAGGTCGTGCCGGTGGTGATTTTGATGGGAGATTTTCATCAATTTCCTTCAGTTCAGGGCCAACCATTATGGAATTTTCCGAGAAATGACACGGAACAGGACGGTAAATTGATCTGGGATCAATTTAATAAGGTTATCATCCTCAACGAGCAGATGCGCCAGACAGAAGATGTATCATACAGAGACCTCTTAGGTCAGGCGAGGTCCGAGCTACTTGAATTGGTTTCATGCATCGCGTGCAGCAGATATCAGAATCCCTGATGCAATGTCTCGCCAGTTGACCGGCCTCTCCTTAGGATTCCTTCATTCAGTATTGCAATACCTCACGGCCAAACTCGCAAGCAAATATGCGTCCACTTCATCACTTCAGCTACCATAGGTCTCTTACGGGATAGAGTATAATCGCGCAAGGGCACGAGCCAATGTATTCCTGTGAATTACTCTCATTGGTATTTGCATTACTCGCATATTCACGTGAGCAACAAGTCAAGTAAGGGTTTGCAAATGCGAAGTTGAGTATGATTGATTCTACACATCTTCAATTGCTCGTGAATGGAGGGGTAATGGGAGCCTGTGGCTGAACCCAATCGAAGTTACCCATCAGCCTTGTCAACCAGACATCTTGCGGTTTTTGAGCAGCCCTTGGTTTCTCATCGGTGAACAAAGTCCCGCTCAGGAAAGTGTGTGGGAAACCAGGATCAAACTCATGGGATGCCTCAATCTGTTCAATCTCCTCACCCTCCAGGGAAACACCCAACGCGTCAATGTTTCCCTCGAGATGATCCACCTTCCTCCCTCCCACGATCGGGAATACGAACGGGGCTTTATGCAAGATATAGGCCATTGCAACGCCAGTAACGTGTATGTCTTTCTTGACTGCAATCTGCTCAAGCACCTTGGAGACCGATTTCTCGACCGGCGTCGGAGGCTTCGACTGGCGTCCAGTGTTGGTATTTTCACGTTCACGCATAGAGGCTTCTGTCTGGAACCGCCCCTGGCCCAAAGACCCGTATGCACAGACGCTCATCTGTTCATCGCGACACATAGGCAGAATATCGCGCTCCATGTCGCGCGTGGATGCGTTCCACATGCCCTGATAAACGACAAAGGGGCGCAAAGCATGATCACGAGCATATTGATTGGCTTTGGAAACTACCCAGGCTGGAGTGTCGGAAATGCCGAGATAGAGAACCTTGCCGGAGGCCACCAAGTCATTGAGTGCGTGCATGAGCTCAGGAATAGAGGTGGCATAGTCCCACCAGTGAACGTAGAACAGGTCAACATATTTGGTTTGCAACTTCTCCAGTGATGCTTCCAAAGACAGACGCATAGACTTGGTCCCGTTGCCACCATAGTTGGACTGAATGACATCTTTCTGATAACCCCTGAAGCTCGCAGAATACTTTGTTGCCAGCACAATCTGGTCTCTAACCTTTCGAGATGCCATCCACTCTCCTATCCACATTTCTGACTCCTCGTTTTGGTAGGCATTGGCAGTATCAATGAAGTTTCCCCCCTTCTCGAGAAAGTGGTCGAGTATCTGGAACGTAGTCTCCTTGGAACATTCACCCATTCGCGATTTCCAAGCATCTCCAAAGTTCATTGTCCCAAGGCACAAAGGAGATACACGGATAGAGGCATTGGGCGCCAATTGCCGATGTCGATGAAGAATCGATCTCAAAGGAGGCGGTGGTGCAGGAGGCATCTTGATTCGTGAGCAAGTGTTCGCCGCTAGGGAGCTGATTATCACAACCTTTCTTTTCAATGTCTAATTACCGGCACAGAATGCTTGCTGGTCGAGCTTTTTATCCCTCATCATTATACCGTACTAGTGAATCAATATGACGTGTGAGACTAGCGAGGATGTCTCTTAAGTCCTATCTCCGGCGTCCGCCTCGTGACCACATGAGCCGACTGGCCGGCGGAAGCACCGAACTTTTCTATCTATATATGTGGGAGAAAATGGCAATTTCCGTGTGCAGATTTGAGCGAATCGAAGAAGGCAATTTAGTGTTTGAGCCAAAGCAGGCTCTTCATCTTCGGGACGGAGTGAGAGCTCTGAGGGTCGCAATTATTGAATTTGGCGAGGGCAAGGTACGGCGGTCGATAGCCGCAAGTCGTTCAAAACGAATTCTGCCAAATTAATATTATGTCATCACTGTATTTTATTGCGGAGCGAAGCGAAGCATTATACGGAGTAGAATCATAGAATCCTCTTTCCCTGCGCGCGTCACTTGACAACACTTTTGGTGGTGGGCTCAAAATCCATAGAATTCTGCCCAAGTACAGCGGTGAGAGGTAATCGGTGTAAATAGGCAGAAAACTTCGACTGGCAGAAAAAAATAAATGATTTGCTTGGACCAATATGCCTCCACCCCCCTTTTGGGGAGATCACGTGACTCTATATACTTTGCTACGATCCGCATGACTTTCTGGAGGCCTTAGGCCACCGAGATCCCTAGTACGAAGTAGTACCATGTCGGCTTTTGCTGTAAGCTCAGTACTGGAAGAACATGGTAGATCTTACAGTACATAAATATTTCATTGTAGATAGTGCATTATTTCATCAATAGTAAGGTATAATATAGATCTATACGGAGTAGTATAGCATAGAATCAACATTGTTAATTTCTCAACTGGAATCTTAACTTCGGTGTCACGAGCCGTCCTGACATGGAGAAAGGGTACATCAATTCAAATAACTAAACTTGGGGAAAAAAGGGAAGAGAAAGGAATCAGAGAGCGCGCCATCCTTTTCTTCTCCAAGTCATGGGACTTAACCTGAGGCTTTCCATCCATCTCTACCATATTAGTCTCGTCACTTAATGTCGGACACATAACCTATATCATATGACTTACAAAGTCACTTAACTCACTGCATATAACTAGAACACATAACTTATCTGGCACGTAACATTCCCCTTACAAAACTACATTTCAGTCCCTTAAAATAGCAAAATCATTACAGTTTAACTAGTCTATCGTCATCTGGATAATCATCCAAAAGTTAATCATTCACCATAGCTTCCTTCTATATTTATAATTATCTCAGGGGTCTAGGCTTTATAGAATGATTATTATAGAATTCTTCGATCTTACTTATAAAGTTCTTAAAATTCCCGGTAGAGTACTATATTAAATTAATATTATAACTAAACTATTAGACTTAATATTTTAGTTTCTTATAATATAATTTTATATTAAAAATTCTTTTGATTTCCTATTTATCTATCTCTCTAATCTAAATCGGGGGTAATAAATCCTTATACTGATTTATTAACGGGAGTGTTATTACAACTTTCTATAGCTTACTTATATAGAAAATAGAGTATACTTTTATTGAAAGAGATAGTTCTAATTTAAATAAATATCCTTTCTTATTTAAGATCTTATATAGTCTATTAGTAATATCCGAGAGTTTCCTACTAAATCTATTTTTTAGCTAGTTTTTTATTATAATAAAAACTAAATCTCCTATATTAAAATTAATCTTATAATAGTACTAATTCATCTATTAAACTTAATATTTCTATAGTTTTATTATAAACTTTTTTATATCTTCCCAAATATTATATAAATAGGAAATTATATTAGAGGTTTCTCAGATATTATCTTTTAGAGTTCTATAGTCTTTCTAATTAAATATTATTAGTAGATTATAGTCTCTCTCTATATAAAATAGAGAGTTCCTTATTATTTTTTATAAAAGTACTAAAGCCATAAAATCTACTATAGTTAAATAGTCTGATTAATCTTTTTAATAGTATTCAATATAAGATTAGAGGTATTAAGCTATATATTAATTTATGATTTCATTTTAGTTATCTATTTATAGATAATATAATATAGAGAGTTTTTTTTTAATTCCTAGGATTCAATAGAACTTAGTCTAAAATTCAAAGATAAACTATTTTTTACGGTTTAATATAATTAAGATAGAGATATCAGTAACTTTAATAACATTATTAATAAATAATTAGGCTATTTCTTTTATATTTGTTTTTTTATAGTAAAGAATGGAGATTAGTTGTTTTATTAATCTATATATAATTATAAAGACTATATTAAATCTATATTTATCCTTTGGGAAAGATTAAAAATCTATTGTAAAATACTCCTATAGTTAGTTTAGGATTTTAATAGAGTGTAATAATCTAGGAATCTAATTTTACTATATCTTTATTTATTTATAAATTAAGCAATTATCGATATATTATTTTATATCTATAATTTATCTATACTAATAATATTAAGCAGAAATTAGTCTTTTTAGTTTTCTAATATTTAAATAAGTAATTAGGGGTTATTAATATATTTTATTAAAGAGTCTTACTCTAAGGTTACCTAAATCTAATACTTCTAATTTTAAATAATAAAAAAGTAATCTTTCTTGCATAGTCCATATAGAATTATTAGTATTTACTAAATTATAATATTTTTAAAGTATTGAGTCTTCTCTATTTATCTATAGAACCCTATTAATAATATTTAAAAGTTCTATTGATAATAAGTTTTTGCTATCGTTATCTATTAGAAAGATAGATATAATAGTTTATAGCTATTTAAGTATTTATTCTTTTATTAGGATCTTAAAATAGTCTTTAGGGAGTATAATAGTTTATCTACTATTATCAATACAAAAGATATCTTTCTAAAATAGGATATTAGTAATTATATTTTTTTTTCCTAGTTAGTATTTAATAATAAAACGGAATTAAGATAAGAATTTAGTTTATTATATTTATTATTAATTAAGTTATTAATTTTTTATAAAGTATTCTAAAAATTAATAATCTATTAAGATATTAAGAGATTTAACTATTACTAGATTAAGTAGTTTAGATCTTTATTCCTATAATATTTATACTATAGCTAATAATTCTTTATCTTAAACTTTATAGTTTAATTTAGTTAGTTATATAGTCTTTAAAAAGAATATTATTAGGTATTAGAAGTTATTATCCTTATTATACTAGATTATTATTACTCCAACAACACTATCAGAAATATCTATCTCTAATTAGATTAAAAGAGTTAGGTTATAGTATTATAGAATTAAAGTAGCTAGAAGAGCAGTCTTTATCCTTTAAAATATAGTTTTATATTTCTTGTTCTATTCCTAATTAACATTTTTATAGATTAATTAGTGTAGGGGTTTAGAGATCCTACTATAATATTATATAAATCATTAGTAAAAATTGTAGAATCTAAAGAAATTCTGTATATTCTTTATTATATTAAGGGATCTTTAATTTTGAATAATCTGGATCTTCTTAAAATTAATTATAATATTTTATATATTAATAATGAATTTAAGGAATTTAGTCTTTTATATTGAAAATTTATATTTGTTGATAGTTATCTGTAAATTGGTAGTTTATAGCTTTTTAAAGACTTTATATATATATCGGTAATGGTTTTTAATTATTTTATTATAGATAAGGATATTATCTATAAAAATAATAATATACTTATCTATATAGTTTTTTAGTATATTATTTATAAAGTATTAGAATATTACTAAGTTATTTATTAATCTAAATAGTATTACTTTATATTTAAATGATCTATAGTGAGTCTAAAATATAGTTAAATCTTTTACTCCTTCTATTATTCTAATTTTATGAAAGTTCTACTAGATATTAATTTTTATAAAGAATTTTGCTTTATTGGTTCTCTAAAGGATTTTATTAATTAGAAATAAAGGATAATAGTCTTTTTTTATAATAGTATTTAGTCTTTAGTAATTAATATAGAAATAGAGTCCCCCGTTTTGTTTTCTTATTATAAGGATTAGTGATATATAAGGGGAGGAACTAGGGATAATGAATCTTTTATCTAAGTTTTCTAATATATACTTCTTAGCTTCTTAGAGTTTTTTAGTTAATAATTTATAAAGTAGATAATACCTTAGGTTAGTTTTTCTTTGTAAGATAATGTTATAGTTAATTTTCTTTTGTTGTGGTAGTAGTTTATTAGACTTCCTTTTCAGGAATATATCTGATAAATTATAATATTCAATTAGTAAGATTTTTAGGATTTCTGTTTTTTTAGGGTTTTTAGTTTTCTTCACTTTCAGAATATTATTAATTTTATAAAGAGAGGTTGTAAAGATTTTAGTCTTAGGGTTAGTTTATAATCTTATTTCTAATTAATAGAATACTCTAGAGTTGATAATATTAATGTTAATAGAGTATTATAGCTTGAGGGCAGTAATATTTAGTATCTGTGAGGGAGTTATATTATCTAAATTCTATTATATTTTTTCTAGATTTATCTTCTACTATTATCTATTTTAATGATAGTAAGATAACGGATATTGTTAGTCTTCTTTATTATGATAAGAATCTATTTTTTTTAGTTTCTACCTTTCCATTATTTTATCCTGTTGATTAGTATTTAGTTGATGAGTTATACTATTTTATAGATTCTTTAAGATTATAATAGAGGTGGGTACTACTATCTAGCTTATAGCTTCTTCGAAGAGGGATACTTCGTGGGGCTATATTATTCGTTAATATCTGTAGTCTAGGAGGATATTATTTTCAGTAAACTAAAGTCATCCAAAAATCAGATTATATTTTCCTAAATCTACTATTAGTATAGAAACTTATCACTAGATATACCTATCTATATAAATAGTAAAAACTACAATATAACTAATGGGTCTAGATGCTTTACTATCAAATCTATTCACCAGATATTTCTTTAGTAACTGTTAAGTCTAAATACTATGTTGGACTAATAATCCTACTAATACAGTATTAATAAAGATTAATCTATCTACTCCAGTATTACTTAATACAGAAATTGAGAAAGATTATCTATTTAGAATAAACTCTATATTAAAAACTAAACTATCCTAGAGGTTTCTAAGTAATTTCTATAAATTCAACATAAAAAGAGATATTTTTAATCTACCTAGGAGGGAGATTTTGCCTAGATAAAGGCTTTTCCTAAATTGTTAGGTTCTTTGAGTCTTACTAGATCTATTATTAGTTAAATAGTAGCGACTATAGATTTCTTTTTAGAGCAATTATGTATTATATAGCCTTGTTCTTTATAGTTAAAATATTTATCTTCCTTTATTAAAGTAACTTGTTTAAAGGAAGATAAAAAGATATAAGAAGACTCTAAAAATCCTTTAATTTTTACTTTAGGATTTAATAATAAAGTTACTGTAAAAAAGTAAGATCTACTATCGGTACTCTTTCTACTAATATAGATACCCTTTAAATTTTCTAACTACTTATTGATTTTATAAACTAGGTTAATACAAATTTTAATAAATTTCTTAGTATTGGTATTCTTATCTATCTTAAAGAATATTATCTAACTTTTGAGTATAGATAATAGCTTCTTATAGAGTTCATTCTTCTAATTATCCAAAGAAATATTAATCTCTTTAACTAGTTATATAAATTCACTAATAAAGTTATTAAAATTATTATAGAGGTTTATCTTTAACTTTTAGTATTAAAAAGCTATAATAGCCTTACAATTACTCTTCACAAATATACTCTTTAGATATTTTATAATATCGTCCATATCTTTATATAAGTTCAAAGAGATCGATAAGAAGTAAGATGATATATACTATTAAATTTTTCTAGTACAATAACTCTAAATATATAACATTTAGTATATAGTAGTAGGGTAATAATCTATATTAGCTATAAGTTTTATACGGACAGTAGTCTCCCAGTTCTTGAAGTAGACTAACTTTCTATTATCTAATAACGGGATATTAAGTATTTTCGCAGACTTCTCCGTCCTTTCTTAGCGAACTATAGTAACATTAGGTGAGTTAAAGCTAGGACTAGGATTATCAGTAATACCAGACTCTGCCGATAAAGTAGTAAACCAAAGATTCTAAAAGAGTTTATAGTATTTAAGGATAATAGTATCTCGTTTTTTCTCCGCAGCCTACTAATTTCTTTCAGCAGTATAAAAACGAATTATGAGTTTTTCTTCCTTTACTATAGCAGCATTTAGTATAGTATAAGCTTTATTCTAACTCTTATACATAAATCTATATTAGTTTATAGCTTTCTTTTACTCTTATATAATAGAGTTAATATCACCAACTTTTAATCTCTAAAGTCGGGATTATTATTCCTCCAATATCTTAGTGAATTCAGAGTTCTTTTTTTTAAGATTGTAAATCTTAGCATTTTACTCTTAGTTTAATTCATCGAGATTCCCCTATTATTTTACCATCTTCTCATAAACAGTAGTAAAAGCTTCATATCGTTTTTTTACCTCAATCTTTACAAATATCTAGTACACAATAACTAAGTCCAACTATCAAGAGATAAACTCAGGATAAAGTCGAGATTCAGGGTTTCCAGTTCTAATATCTCCTCCACTAATAACACTACTAATAAGGATATCAAAAGTATCAAAGTATTCTTCTTCTTCGGTCTAACTACAGACCTTCTATTTCTTAAATAGATTAATAGAAGCCATCCTAATTCGTCAAATCGATAGATCTTCAGTTTGAGATTATTTAATATAGGGTACAGAAGTAGACTAAAACTAATCACAATAAAAGCCTGTACAGTATTACTCTAAAGAAAGTATAAAATGAAGTTTAGTTATATATCATAAGCCATCCTAATATAGAGAAAAAGTATATCAATTCAAATAACTAAACTTAGAGAAAAAAAAAAAAGAAAAGAATCAGAGAACGCACTATCCTTTTCTTCTCCAAATCATAGGACTTAACCTAAGGCTTCCCATCCATCTCTACCATATTAGTCTCATCACTTAATATCAGACACATAACCCATATCATATAACTTACAAGGTCACCTAACTCACTGCACATAACTAGAACACATAACTCGTTTGGTATATAATATATAGTACTTAAAGATAATAGTATCTTACTTCTTCTCTACAACCTATTAATTTCTTTCAATAGTATAAAAATAAGTTATAAATTCTTCTTTTTTTACTATAGTAATATTTAGTATAATACAAGTTTTATCCTAACTTTTACATATAAATCTATATTAGTTTATAACTTTCTCTTATTCTTATATAATAGAGTTAATATCATCAACTTCTAATCTCTAAAGTTAGGATTATTATTCCTCTAATATTTTAACAAATTCAGAATTCTCTTTCTTAAAATTATAAATCTTAGTACTTTACTCTTAGTTTAGTTTATTAAAATTTCCCTATCATTTTACTATCTTTTTATAAACGGTAATAAAGACTTTATATTATTTTTTTACCTCAATCTTTACAAATATCTAATACACAATAACTAGATCTAATTATTAAAAAATAAACTCAGAGTAAAGTTAAGATTCGGGGTTTCTAATTTTAGTATCTCCTCTATTAATAACACCACTAATAAAGATATCAAAAATATCAAGGTATTTTTCTTTTTCAGTCTAACCACAAACCTTCCATTTCTTAGATAAATCAGTAGGAGCCATCCTAATTCGTTAGATCAATAGATCTTCGGTTTAAAGTTATTTAGTATAGGGTACAGAGATAGACTAAGACTAATCACAATAAAGGCCTATACAGTATTACTCTAAAGAAAGTATAGAGTAAAGTTTAGTTATATATCATAAACTATCCTAATATAGAGAAAGGGTACATCAATTCAAATAACTAAACTTAGGGAAAGAAGGGAAGAGAAAGGAATCAGAGAGCGCGCCATCCTTTTCTTCTCCAAGTCATGGGATTTAGCCTAAGGCTTTCCATCTATCTCTACCATATTGGTCTCGTCACTTGATATCGGACACGTGACCTATGTCATGTGACTTACAAGGTCACCTGACTCACTGCACATAACTAGAACACGTGACTCATCTAGCACGTGACATTCGGAAGCTTCAATATAACTTGAAGTCCCTGATTCATACGCAATCACGAAATAGATTTATAGATGATTTGATCTTTTGACTCTGGAATTTAGAGTTTGGTTCTGGATACTGGGGGTTAAAAATTCAGGGCTTGGAATATACTATAGGTATCTAGGTCAAGCTTGGGGAGGGGGGGGGATTAAGTTGGGGGGTACTGAGGCTTGGGGGGTGAGTTTGGGGGGTGAGCTTGGGGGGTGAGTTTGGGGGTGCTAGTGAGGGTTGGTATTATGTTGGAAATAATATTATACCGCAAAAGCGGTGCGTTTCAATTTGGCTCGGGCGGTATATCTTCACTATGGGCAAAATTCGTTTTGAACGACTTGCGGCTGTCGACCGCTATCGACCGCCGTAGCAAGGGTTTTCCGCCGGAGCTCGGCACCACTAGTAGTGAATATCATTGGCAACGCGAGCATTTAAGATTATCCCCACCGATTTTCATACTTTACTCCGTACGCGAACCCGTGTCCCGAATGGAGAACTCGGCATGGACATATTAAATCCGTGACGAACCAGCACCGTCGGACTAAGAATTTGTAATTCACATGTGCAACGATATCCCCGGCGTCCCGGGCCCGTACTTTGTAGCGCCTATATGAATCCCTTGTCTAGCCTGTATCCAAAATCCAGCTTTTTCAATTGATTTCAGCAAACAACCAGTTCCTGCCTTTTCGCCTTCTTTTTTCAAAGTCATGAGTTCCTATCTGATCACCGGCTCCTCCCGGGGTATCGGCCTTGAGCTGACTCGTCAGCTCGCCGCTAAGGCACAGAACGATGTCGGCACCATCTTTGCTTCTGCCCGATCCTCCAATGGCCCCGAATTCCAAAAGCTTCTCCAGCAGTATCCCAATCGAATTGTATTCGTCCCTCTCGATGTGACTGATGTGGAAAGCGTCAAAAATGCCGCGAAGCTAGTTTCGGCTGCTCTCGAGGGAAAAGGACTAGATGTTTTGATTAACAACGCTGGTGTAATGAACTACGGTCCTATCGAGGAGATGTGCGTGGTGACCTTCCCTCTTCCCCTCCAAACTCGAGTCCTTATGCTCTAACTATCATTCTTTCCATATCTGAAAGTCGCTAATCACAAACTTGCATAGGGATGATTTGGAGGACACGTTCCGCATCAATGTAGCCGGCGTCCACAACGTCACCAGGAACTTTTTGCCCATTATGAGAGAGGGCGAAATGAAAAAGATCCTAAATATGTGAGTTCATACCTCGTTCAGCTCCTTCACAGGCAGACACTCAAACTAATCACAATTAATGTAGCTCAACCAGTCTTGGCTCCATCACTAGACAGCCTGTTTACAAGGACTCACGTGTTCCATCGTACAAGGTGACAAAGGCCGCCCTGAACATGCTCACAGTGGCGTATTCTCAAGAACTGGACAAGGAGGGATTCACAGTCTTCTGTGTCAGCCCGGGTGTAAGTTATGCATTTCAGATTTTCGCTCCACTAGAGACTAACGTATTGATTTTCACTATTAGTGGTGCAGAACCCATCTAGGAAGCCAAAATGCTGACCTTGCGGTGGAGGAAGGGGCCAATGCTGTTCTGAACGTGCTGGCCAAGACTGGACAAGAAGGAAACGGGAATTTCTACAATGTTCATGTGCCTGGTTGGGAGAATAACCCTGGGATGAACCAGTATGATGGAAAGGGGCTTCCATGGTAAAAGAGAAGGGGATTAAGAGTTGTTAGCTATTATTCGGTCAGGACTACGTGAGGAGCTGTGCACAGAGCTATGGAGCTACAGAAATGACTTCTCTGACTTCGCCTAAATCCACAACCCAGAGAAACATTTCATGATGAATTTATTTGGTTTTGTGAGCACGGTATATAAAAATCGCGCGCCCTTGCCCACCTTCTCGGCACACCGATTTGGAGAAATTTGCGAAAGTAGTAAGCAAATCAAAGTATGCTCTACATGATGAATATGCAAATCAATCCACTTAAAGCATCTGGCGCGTAATGTTGTGCCGAAAATGGCATCAATTATGGCTTTGTAAATTGAGATCTAGTAGAAACAAGAATATCACAAAATAGGAGATGCGTGGAGGAAGAAGAACCAAACTAGATAAAGAGCTCCTTGGAACTCAAGGTCAAATGAATTTGTTGAGGCTACTAGACCAAGGAGAGAGAGCAAAAACTTGATTCGACTAAGCTGGGGAAGGAAGGAAGAAGCAAGACTACTGAAGGGCAACTGAGAGCTACCTAGGTAGAAACAACGGGGTCATGTGCCCAGCCCTAAGGCCACATGACTCACGACAGAATTCCAACAGCTTCCAAGTCTCAGATTCTCCAAGGTCGTTATGGACGAGGATTACTTATAGGTAAGTAGGGTCAATTCAGAACACGCATTTTGCAAAATACCATTACTAGGATCCCAGGCTAGAGTATTCTGTCACTGAAGTTCTTTTTGAAAACTGACATTTTCAGTTGATCAAAGCAGACTTACAAGTTCCTCCAAAACCAGGTAATATTGATATTCTGTAATGTGATATACACAAGGGTATTCTTAAATCGCCTGCGTGATACGCATCAAAGCCATAAGAATAGTTGCAGCAAAAAACGGTTTGAAGAAGAAGGAAATTGTCCTATGATCCAAAACGAATAGATATGAATTATGGGTGATTAATATCCAAATCAGCCCAAACCACATGACCGTTTATTTATAGGTGATAGCACAAACGTTCTGAGAGACTCAACCGGGCCTAAATCTTGTATTCCTTGAAAGCGCTGATAATCCGCCGAATTCCCTGGTTTCTATAAGTATCGTTTTCAAGGTGAGTGTCGTTCAGTCGGAAGACCATATTCTGAGCAGTATTATCGTAGACCGGCCAAGTGAGGTTGAACGCCGAAACTGTATTTGTTAGCATTGATTTTCGATGGACAAAGAAAATCTTTCAGGGTGGTCTCACCTTTATGGGAATTCGGTGATTGAGTGACAGTAAAGCTGATCCACATTCGGCTCATGAGGGTTGCGAGGTGATTGTATTTGATTGAAATATCCGTGGAATTTGAAGAGAGCGGATTGGTAATATAACCCAAACCATCCAAGTTCCGGAATACAAAGGGGATTTCCTGGAAATGAGTTGCACCAAGAATTCTAGGGTTGATACCATTTGGCACGGTGTCGAAACGGTAGCTGTATGATGGGACTCCGTATTGCCGCCACATTTCAGTGGCGTATCGTCGTCCAGCATGGAACATGCTGTCTCCAACGTATAGAGTGGCTCTTCCCCACAAAGATCCATAGGATGGACCAGGAGATGGAGAAACCGAGTCAAGACCAGCTCTGGTCTCCTGGGTGGACATGTCGCTTAGATAGAATTCGGACAAATCACGGATCGTGTTTTGAGAGAGGCCATGGCCTGCATCAAATGCTGCAGCAAAAGAGTAAAAATCGGTCACATTGTTCACAATGAGACCCGTGGGTATAGAGAACGCAGTGCCCTCATTTGTGTTACTGCCTGTTAGGAGAGGACGTTTCACGAATCGACCGTTTCTCAGAGCAGCAGAAGGTGCGCCTTCGATCATGGCACCATCTACTACAGGATAGTATGAGATGCCCTGGAAAGCCGCTTTCAATACATCTGCGGGGATAGTGCGGAGACACTCAAGTGTATCGGCAGCATTGATACAACTGGTGTGGCTCAGCACATTCTCGTAGAGTACGTCCTGTTGGTCGAGAGAGATCATAGCGCTAGGCGAAAGGGGGCCGCCACTCTCGGCGATTCCACCAGAGAACAGACCGTCATCTCGCCCACCAAAAGCGAGGAAATGATGACCAACTGAGATGCCGCCGGACGATTCACCAGAGATGGTGACACTGAGAGGGTCACCGCCGAAGGCTGCGATGTTTTCTTGAACCCAAGATAGTGCCATCCGTTGATCATATAGTCCGAGATTTGCAGAGCCCGCTTCGTTGACAGCGCGACCTTGAAGGAATCCAAAGCCTGAGAGACGATAGTTGATGCTGACGCCAATGATGGGCATGCCCATTTGCACAGACTCTTCTACCAAGGAAGACATGTTGTATCTTTGATCAGCACTGCCGCCCTCCTGGAGACCTCCACCATGAATCCAAACCAATACGGGAAGCATGCTGAAGCCGTTCGCACCATTGGGCCTCACCACATTGAGAGTCAGACAGTCTTCGCTTTCTTCGTGAGAAAATCCTTTTTGCGAGAAGCCTGGAAGCGTAAGAGGTGCAGAGTGGCACCAAGCCCCATACTTTGTTGCTGATCTCGCTGTCCAATTTTGGTTGATGGATTGAGGAGGGCGATATCTCAAATTTCCGACAGGCGGTTGTGCATAGGGAATTCCCAGGAAGAAGTCTTGATCGTACTCCGAATTGTAACCCCCAGTGAGTGTACCGTTCTTGACTGAGACTTCGGGGTGAGATGGACCGTGACGACTGGTCCCCAGCGCCGACACTGAGGCAAACAGAAAGGCTGAGATGGTAATGAGGTCTTTCATGTTCAAGATGATTGACTGACTTGAGTAGATACTTCCGCTGTCCATGGGAGGGGGCATTTGTTTATATATAGACACACCGGATTATAACAACCATGTTCTAGAACCACTTCTCACAATGATGAAAAATCAACGGAGTTTAGAGGCCAGTATCCGGTATTCTGTGTGCCGGAGTCATACCGACGTGACTTTTAGGGGTACGGATATATCGGAGATTGGGCTATAGTGAGAAGATTTTAGCATGCCGCTGTGGACTTGATCGGTAGACTAGTGGAAAATATTCCTTGGTATGACGAATCAATTGGCCTTCTTTTCGACGCACTCGGCAGAAGACTCCAAATGCCTTGAGGACGGGATTTGTGCAGTCTTGGCCATCGACTTGTGCTTCCCGGTTGAATACCATTTAGGTTCATTAGTTTGAAGTGGGACTTCTTTGAGTAAGAGTTATTAGTCTCCTGCGATCATTCATAGACTTCATAATGCATCAATTGTGGTATTCAAGGACTGTCTGAGTAGTGATACTTCGATATCAAGAAAACTTTTAGTTTTTCGGTTTTTTTCCCCACGGTTTATCGACGTTGTTGTAAATTAAGCAACAAGCAGATATTTCTATCTTATGAAAAATCTAGCGAAGATTTCACTGATGACAAACCGAATCATGTACATCACTTTTTCTTAATGTCGAAGCCTGAGGAACATGGGCGAACCTTGTTTGCGTCTAATTACCCTGGGCAATTGTTGGGAATCATGTGATGATCCCGTTCTTTGTAGCTCGTGGTGTTTGCTGCTTGCTGCTTGCTGCCTACCCAGGGGATTCTGGATAGTCTTCTCTCTTCTTCCTTCTTTCCTGAGTCTAGGAATTCAGTCAGTTTCTTCTCTTTCCTGGCCCTTTGGTAGTTCCAACAACAATTCAGATCAACTCAGTACCGTAAGTCCTTACACCCGAACGAGTGAAGAACAGAAGACAATGATACAGAAAAGACATGAAGACACTTCAACAAAGGAATGCTTAGGCCGTTTACGTTGATTGAAAAAGAGGGGCCGTGAGGTTAGTTATCTGTGTGCGAAGATAGAAGCAGGATATCATAGTGATATGTGCCTGCAAATCCATGCACTCACAAACAATATGGTTCTGCCTAGTGTCTAAAATCCTCAAACGAAGAATCAAGATTAGAGCGAGCCAGTCCATTCCACAAACTGTAAGTGCTCATAGTCCGGTCGCTTTAAATTTAATCAATTTACATGACTTCAGCAGTGATGAGGTTGACTAATGGCGTGTCCTGGCAGCCAATACACAACGAATAGACTGGATATGAGATACCTAAATTACGTTCAGGCCTCATGCTTTGCCTCATTTCGTGCCTGGAGCCTCGCCCAAGCTCCACGAAGCATCTCTTCTACTGATTCATAGTGAATGTCTGGAAGACGCTCATTCCAAATCGAATTCACATCACCAACCCCCTTGTAGACGCCCAATGCCCAACCGCTGATGAAGGGGACGACAACATTCTTCATAGTCTCCTCGGGGAGATTAGGGGCGTAAGAGGGAATCCAGGGTGACTTGAATTCTCCTTTCTCAAGGTCCTCCGGCTTGAGGCTATAGACCGTGAATTTTCGACCTGGGGTTTTGTCAATACCATGTTATGACTAGTCCCTTGACCATGGGATCTCCAGAGATTCCCGCAGGCTTACCGGTGATCTTTTCAGCCTTTTGAATGACCTTTGCGTAAGAGGTTCTTTCGCCGACGATTCCGCCGTCAAAAGTCCAAGGCTCGGGGTAATCAATGGCTCGCGCCACGACTTTCGCAACGTCTGCCGAAGCAGTGAAGACAACTGGTGCTTTACCATCCTCGACGACGACAGCACGAGCATTTTCAAGGTCAAAAAGGAGAGGGAAAGTGTCAAAATGCTTTAAGGGAGCACAAGGATGGGCGAGATAATCCATCAGCAGACCTGGCTGGAACAAGCCCCACTCAATTACCTGAAGGATTGGGTATTGTACATTAGAATGGAACCTGTATAGTGGGAGTGGAAGGGGGACAAACCTTGTTCTCTTTGTTCAGTGCTTCCAAGTAATCAAGCACAGGCTCCTTCATGTCGTACATTTTGATTCCGGAGCGAACCTTTCTAGAATGCATGTCAGTGTTTACTGCTCTGCAGCACGATTATACCTGCCGTGGATAATAGATGTACATACCCTGCCCATTCACTAGGTGCAATTCTTGTCACATTTGCAGCAACAGCCGCGTCGATCAACGCAATCTGGTTCCGGCTACCAGGGTCGCTCATAGGATTGAAGAAGGCGAGGACAGTATGAGTTCCTTGAAGATGCTTCACAAGGGTCTCATGGCTATAATCCGTAACTTGAATTACTTTGACTCCCTTTATCTGAAGTTCAGAAGGATCCTGATTTCCAAGTTAGCATACGGTATTCAGGTGGCTCTCCTTGACGATGATTGTCCTTGCAAAGCCACGTACACGTCTTGTCCACAGAATGACTTCATGTTTTCCTTGGGCACCAAGTTCTTCCACGATGGCACGACCAACGCCTGGAGATGAGGAAATTAGTTCACATCATCATTCCGATGCCGACTCGTTACTTACGGCCTGCACCTCCGACAATGGTTACTCGAACCATGATTCAGATGAGCACGCAAAAGATTGTCCTGTTGTCCGGGGAGGGTATCAAGGTAAGACTAGAGCTGCAGGACATCTGGAGCTTATATACCTAACGAATGCTTATCAATGCTGTCGGTGAATATGGATATCCATGGATGTTCCTACCGAACAAAATCCATACAAAATTGCATATACATTACATAGCACCGGGGCACCTCCAGGGCTGGGGCGCATGTTGACCTCATTTCGTCATTAATATTCTGCCGGATCTCAACGACGAATCAAACGTTGATCCTGGAATGTTCCGCCGGCCAACGGCCAGGTGGGTTTGTCTTAAAGCCGATCCCATGAATCATTGAACGAGAACTCACAGCTTGCAATTTTCCAGACACTGCGGTGTAGCCGAAAGAGTTCTAAAGCTTACAAATTCGGCGAAATTGACCAAGTGCCGCTGGTCCGATCTTGGCGATCACACGGAGATAGGCCTTGGCCTATTGTTATATTGTGTCGAACTACAAAATATGGCCTCCCTAGGCCCTAAACAGGGACCTTGGTTTTTGTTACGGTCTTGTGGTAGAATACGCTGTATTCTGTCTGTCATATTTCTATTCTCCGTGGAAAGAATGTTGTGAGAAGACTTCCCCGGCGCCGAAACACGAAACTTCGAAAGCCAACAGAGGCAGGAGTGATTATAGCACCAGTCCGTCATGAAAATATAAGGAATTGGCCATCCAGCCAAAATTGCTTCTACAGTATGGCCGCAGGTACATACGGAGTATATGTAGACCAATTCGCCCCCCGGGGCCGGTGTTCGTGATTAGTAACCAGGCCATGAAGTTCCCTACTGGAAGGGGACGCCACCAAATTCCAATGCCTTTTCTCTCATTGCAAACAAACTAGTCTTGTGTTGTCATAAGATTTCCACGCGCTCAACCTGCTATACATATCCGACAAGAACGCTAGTGGTCATCGATGCAGTCTCACCATGAGCGGCCTACTGAACCCAAAAACCGTCGAATCAAAAAAGCCTGCAATCACTGTCGGCGATTGAAGAGTAGGTGTGACGGTCAATCGCCATGTAAACACTGCCGAGTCTACGAGCGTAGTAAGTACCTCCTCACATAGTTTCAAACCTCCGGATTCTTATACCGTGGTGACCTCGATAGATTGTGCATACGACATTCCATCTCGTCGACCCAACTCACTCGCTCATCATGCCCGACAGTTAGAAGACCGTTTGCGGATTGTTCAAAGCCTGCTGAAATCAGTTAACCTGGATTTGAACATTGACTATTCCCAATCTGCCTCTGCATTGCCTCTATCAGGGAATCCTTCGGTACATAATCTGAGACCCGTGCCCCGCACCGCATCTCCAACAATTCTGGGCCGTATGAATGCCGAGGTACGTTGTTTTCGCCGTTCTCTGTATCTTCATAAGGTGTCAATATAGCTGAGCCACGTCAAGGACCAGGGACCATTTCGCTTTTTCAGTTCGCCGACTCGCAGATCTCGGTGGGCTTTTGATATAAAAGGGAGCCTTCCTTGCAAAGATACCACCTACAAGTTGCTATTCTATGCTTTAGATGATGCTTGCATTCTACAAAAGTTTGTTCACGAACCATCTTTGCGTGCAATGGTTGATCTCATGTATGAGACACCGTCGGGGCAACTTGAACAGAACTACTCCCATCCCGTCGCTTTGATATTTGGCGCACTAGCGCTTGGAAGCTCTTTCGCGAGTGGAGCGCCCGACAGCCAGTTCAATGATACAGTTGCAGCGGGCCATTCACAAGGGTACGTCAGCCTGAATTCTTTTCACACAATGACATCTCTTGTAGCCCCAAGCTCTGACAATGTGTATTTCAGATCGCACTATTTCGGCTTGGCGTTGAAGCCTGTGGGCACATTTGAGTGCCACAGTATTGTTTCTTTGCAGGCGCTTTGCTTTATCGCCATCTTCCTTCAGTCGTCCGGCCAGCTAGAGCGATGCTACTCGTATGTTGGCGTGGCACTTCGCTCCGCAGTAGCTCTTGGTCTTCACAGATCTCAGAAGGAACCGTGTGACCCAGTGGAATGCGAGATACGGAAACGCGTTTTCTGGACAATATGGCGGCTGGATGCTTACGCCAGTTCAATGCTTGGCATGCCATCATTGTTGAGCATCGACGACATTGACCAAGATTATCCAGATCTGTTTGTTGACGACCACAACGCACAAAAAACAAGTTTAACTCCGCCACCAGATGTATCGTCGATATTGGACGGTGGGAATATGCAAATCGAACTTACTAAAGTCGTACCGCTCGTCATGAATCATCGCAAAATTTTCAACAACGCGCGATCAGCATCTACTCTAGAACTGAACAGACTGATGCATGATTCCGGCATGTTTGATATTGAACAGAGGCTGCGGACATGGCATCAGAACTTACCACGGCATC